TCTTCTGCCCGCGTCTTCTCACACCTTGACCTTCCTGATGCTTACCACTTGGTTCGTGTCAAGAAGGGCGATGAGTGGAAGACTGCTTTTGTTTGCAAATCTGGCTCTTACGAGTACAATGTTATCCCCTTTGGTCTTTCGAATGCCCCCGCTGCTTTTCAGTTTTTTATGAACGACATCTTCTCGGACCTCCTTGGTGTCTGTGTTGTCATTTATCTTGACGACATCCTGATCTTCTCAAAAGATCCCCTGGAGCATGAGGAGCATGTTAAGCTTGTTCTTTCTCGCCTTCGTGAACACTCTCTTAAGGTCAATCCGGCCAAGTGTTCTTTTGACCTTTCTGAAGTTGACTTTCTCGGCATGATCATTTCTGCCGATGGCATTAAAATGGACCCTGCCAAGGTCGAGGCCGTTTCCCTTTGGCCTGTTCCCTCTTCTGCTCGCGACATCCAAGTTTTTATTGGTTTCGCAAACTTTTACCGCCGCTTCGTCAAGGACTTTTCCGCACTTGCTCGTCCTTTGACTTCACTCACCACCAAATCCTCCACCTTCTCTTGGTCTCCCGAGGCCCAAGAGGCTTTTGATTCTCTTAAACGTTCATTCACTTCCGCACCTATTCTTCGTTACTTTGATTTCTCCAAACCCGCTGTCATCGAGCCCGATGCTTCTGACTTTGCTCTGGGTGCCGTCCTTTCCCAGTTTGACCCTGACGGCGCTCTTCACCCCGTTGCTTTTCACTCTCGGCAATTCCGTCCCGCCGAGGTGAATTATGACACCCACGACAAAGAGCTCCTTGCTATTGTCGATTCCTTTACTGCCTGGCGTCATTACTTGATGGCTGCCGACCCCGATCATCCCACTCTTGTTTTCTCTGATCACCAGAACCTCACCCGGTTCACTTCCGCTTCCCAACTTTCTCGCCGCCAGTTCCGGTGGGCCCAATTCCTTTCTGATTTTGCTTTTCGCATTTACCACCGCCCTGGTCGCCTCAACACCAAAGCCGATGCTCTCAGTCGCCGTTCTGACTTTGAGATAAAGCCTGGTGACTCCCTCCACTCCACCAACTTCCTTCAGCTGTTCGAGTCTATTTCTCTCGACAGCATCACCGTTATCGGCTCGAACCCCGATTTTCTTTCCGAGATTCGAGCTGCCACCCTTTCTTGTTCCCTTCTTTCTGACTTCAACGCCAAACGTCTTGATGGCGATTACTCCTTCCGTGACGGTCTCCTTTACTTTAAAGACCTGATCGTTGTCCCTTCCCCCGAGCTCCAGCTCAAAGTGTTTGAGCAACGTCACTGCTCCGCTGCCGCTGGTCACTTTGGTCTTGCCAAGACCGTTGAGCTCATCTCCCGGGACTTTCACTGGCCCCGGCTTCGTAAGTCTGTGCGTCGCTTCATTGCTAATTGTGAAGCGTGCCAGCGAGCCAAGCCGTCCCGTCACTCCCCTTATGGTTTACTTCACCCTCTCCCCGTTCCTTCCGAACGTTGGTGGGACCTGTCGATGGACTTCATCACGGATCTCCCACCTTCGAACGGCTTTGACTCCATCTTCGTGGTTAAGGACCGCCTGTCCAAACAAGCACACTTTGTGCCCACCACGAAGACGGTTACAGGCGAGCAAACCGCCGAACTCTTCCTCTCCCACATCTTCCGCTTGCATGGTTGTCCCCGGTCTATTGTTTCGGACCGAGGAACTCAGTTTACTTCGGCCTTCTGGAGGCGCTTCAATGAGCTTCTGAAGACGAAGATTTCCCTTTCTTCTGCCTTCCACCCCGAGACCGACGGTTCGACCGAGGTTCTCAACCAGGTCATCGAGCAGTATTTGCGTATCCATTGCAATTACCTGCAAGACGACTGGACCCTTCACCTTCCCCTTGCCGAGTTCACTTACAACAACTCGGAAAACACCTCCACTGGCATGACTCCCTTCTTTGCAGTCCATGGCCATCACCCCATTTTTGATCCCTCCATCATCCGTGATCCTTCTGTTGTGCCCTCTGCCGAAGAACGTGTCGACCGACTTCAGACCGTTCTCGAGGATCTCAAGGCCAACCTCCGGGTTGCCCAAGAGTCCTACACTTTGCAGGCCAACAAATCCCGTCTCCCCACTCCCGACATCTCCGTTGGCGACCTCGTTTTTCTTGATCGTCGCCACATCCGCACCCTTCGTCCCTCCAACAAGCTTGATCAGAAAAAGCTTGGCCCCTTTAAAGTTCTTCGCCGCATCAACCCCGTTGCCTTTGAACTTAAACTCCCTTCCACACTCAAAGTCCACCCCGTCTTTCATGTATCCCTCCTTGAACCCCGAACGAAGGACATTGTTCCCGAGTTCACCCAACCCGAACCTCCACCCATTCTTGTTGACTCCCAGGAAGAGTTTGAGGTCGAGACTGTTCTCGATTCTCGGCTCTTCCGTGGTCGCTTACAGTACTTGGTTCAGTGGAAGGGCTATTCCGAGACTGACCGGTCTTGGGAGCCCGCTGCCAATGTTTCCCACGCCACTGATCTTGTTGCTGACTTCCACCTTCGCTATCCCTCAAAGCCGAAGGCGACGCCCGGAGTTCGTCGCTAAGGAAGGGGATGATGTTAGGGATAGCTTCTGCTTGTTCTCCACTTTGACTGCACACTTGGCTGTTCTTTTGCCTTTCTGTTTGTTTGTGTGTAGCTTTGCAGTTCCCCTCCAATTTTCCGCCTTTTGCCTGCCATTTCCGCTCCTTCCGCACTTCCGTTTCCCCGCGCTGCTCCGCTTCCTTTGTCTTCTTCGCACGCGCCGGTTTGTTTGTGCACGCGCCTTGCTGCGATTGGTTGCAATTCGGCTGCCGGTCATGTGTCCCACCACCGGTGACTCATGACCTGCCTGACCGCCCCGATCTCTTGTTCATCTCGCATGCATTTGCCCCAACCTTATACTTGACCAATCCGCTTCTTGGACGTTGAGTCACATTGCTTCGCCTTTGCACGTTTCTCCTGCCAGGTGCTTCGCTTTTGCTTGCGCCTCCCTCGCTTTGGTTCTCTGCCTGTCTCGGTGGTCCTTCTCGGCCCTCGTTCGTGCATCGCCCCCTTCGCCCTGCTCGATCGCCCACTTTTCCCTCCCTTGGCCGCCCTTCGCTGCCAAGTCCGGACTTGTCTATAAATAGCCTGACCCCCGCGATGTGTAGTCGAACCTCAGCGTTTCAAAATAGGACTAAATAAAGTGCCTTCTACTTTATTCTCTGAGTGTTCCTCACGTCTCATTTCGAGACAAGTCTTATCTTGAACGGATCTTTGCTTCCCTCGCTCCCTCTCCGAGTCCACTTCGGACTTTACCCTTGCCTTCCCTGAGCTCACTTCGAGCTCACTTCTTCTTTTGCCGTTGAGTCCCCTTCGGACTCTAACATCAACTCGCTCTGGTTTGCCGATGACGGTGTCCTCATCTGTCCGGCTGGCCGCACCCAGGCCATGCTGGATATCTGCGAACGCCACAGCATCGACAACCGGTACCGCTTCTCGCCTCCCAAGTGCGAGGTGCTGTACTCGGCCTGCAACGTCGACCAGCTCCATCCCGCCAAGCTGTACGGCACCGAGCTGCCCAAGGTCCTCCAGTTCCGCTACCTCGGTGTCATGGTCGACATTGACGGATTCCGCCCGGACCTCCAGTTCGACAAGCTCCTCCGCAAGGTCCACATGGTCACCGACACCGTGGTTGGACTCGGCATCACCCTCGGCAAGGTCTCGGCCAAGACCATCACCCAGGTCTACAAGACCTTTGTGCGGCCGACCCTCGAATACGGGATGGCCATGGACATCCCCGACCCAGCTCTGCGCGACCGCCTCGACGACGCCCAGATGACGGCCCTCCGCACCATGTTCCGCGTCGGCCCCGGCACTCCCGTCGGTGCCATGCACCTCAACTGCGGCCTTCCCAAGATGTCGGTCCGTGTCAAGATGCTGGCCCTGCAGAACTGGGCCCGCTGGGACGACCAAGTCTCTGACGGCGACAAGATGCTGTCGATGATCCTGCGCAACAAGATCATTGCGCCCTACCACCCCGACCAGTTCCTCGGCCAAGGAGTCCGAGCCGATCCGCACTGGGCCATGGTGGTCCGCCGACAAGAGGCCGACCACTCCCTCACGGCCACGGAGATCTACCGAGGCAAGACCCGACACCAGCCGCCGCCGCCCGGACCGCCCCGACCCCAGCCCGTCCCGATCAAGACCCTCATCTTCGAGGACCACATGAAGAACGGCTTCGACCGCTCCAAGCAGCTCACCGCCGCCTGCACCCCGTCGACCAAGATGTCGGGACTCTGGGAGGCTCGCGGGTACCAAGGATCCATGATCATGCTCATGTTCATGGTCCGATGGCGACTCGGTGCTCTCCCAGGCCACTTCAGATTTGGCTACCGCAAGTGCAAGAACCTGGCTCGACACGGATCCGGGATCGACTTGACCAGGACCCACGCACAGCAGTGTGTGGATCCGCATCAAGTCCTGGTCCGCAAGGTCGCAGCCCTCAAGACGGCCCACCCGACTTGGGTGGAAAGTGGTATAGCCGGAGTGGGACCAGTGGACAAGCTGCTGGACCTGCTCAGTTTCGATCGCACTCCCCCTCGCAGTCGCACCCCTCCCGCACTTGGATCACTTGCTGCTCATGTACCCGCTCCCCGCACTGCCTTCCGAGCATTCGCACTTGGTGCACACCCAGCACCACCACCCACTCCCACACCCAGTGTAGTCCCACCCTTGCAGTCTCTCCCTGCACCCTCATCACAGCGTAGTATAGTGTCAGCACTTGTCATTCCTCCACCCCGACCCCCCCTCGATCCTGCTGTTCCCTTGTGGGAACTGCTCGAAAATGTGTTCACCCGCTTGGTCTCAGACCTTGTGGGCAGCTGAGGCAGCACTAGGCTGCAACAGGAGTAAATAGGCTTGCCTGTGTACTCAACGTGCCGGGGTACCAACCTGTTGGACCTGATGGCTTGTCTTCTTGAATAAAGTTGACTATAGTAACAAAAAAAAAAAAATCACAGCCATCGGAATGATGCTGGATTGCTGCTAGGCTGGGGCGAGACATCCTGGACCTGGATCGATGGGCTGCTTGCTCTGGCCATCCAGAGAACACTCGTCAAATCATGAACGGGACACCGGAACCCCAGGAACAGGATGCAGATGATATCTTCCAGGATGTGAGTTGGAGGATGGAATGATGGAATGTGTGGGAATGATGGAGTGATGGAATGTGTGGGAATGAGGATGAACACAAGCAATCGATCCATGGATCCAACCATGTTCCTGGCTTGGTGGCTGTGCCACTCGCATTCCATTCCACCCATCTCGTCTCATCTCGTCTCATCGTCGTCTGGACATCATCACAATCCACTCAATCCACATTGTCCATCATGGCTCCCAGTGTCCATCCCTCAACTGACACGGTTCGACCGGCCATCAACGAGCACATCCCAGATATCTTCACCATCATCTGCTGCAACGACGGCTTCCAGCTCGCACTCGACCACAACACCATCAAGATCCTGCTGCGAGTGTGCAAACGAGCCCGTCCTCTCCTGAGCTCCAAGGTGCCTCGCTTCCACCGCTGGTGTCAGAGTATGGAGCTCCTCAATCCAGATGGACAGATGCGGATCGGACTCACACCAAGCGACCAGATTGCCATTTCGCTTCATTGCTATGAACACGACACAGCCGACCGATCCTGGCTCGTTGCTCAGGCAGAGCATGGCAATGCTGCAGCCTCGTATTTCCTGGCAAGGATCGTCCAAGTCGAAACGCAGCTGGCTACATACCAATCCCAGCCGAATGCCTTCCACCAGCAAATCCTCCAGTATCTTAAGAGGGCAGTGGAATATGATCATCCAATGGCACAGTTCCACCTGGCTGAGTGTTATCGCAACGGACTCGGCACCAACCAAGACCACACCAAGGCTGCCGGGCTCTATCGCAGTCTTGCAGAGCGTGGAATGCCCCAAGCCCAAATCGCATTCGGTCGATGTTATGAGTCAGGCGAAGGTGTCGATCAAGGCTTTGACTCAGCCATTGAGTGGTATTCCAAGGCCACCGACCAGGGCAACGAAGACGGTCGCCTCCACACCGTATTCCTCCAGGCCTGGTTCTCGTTCATCGGCCGTGGTGTCGAACAGAGCGACGCCGATGCCTTTAACCACTGGCAAGAAGTCAGCACCAAGTCCACCGACCCGATTCTCAAGCCCATCGCAACGTTCATGGTCGGGTGGATGCACTACCTCGGCCGAGGCACCGTTCAAGACAAACAGAAGGGCACCAAAATCATCCGAGACAACGAATCAGATGAATTCAAGCTTGGAGAGACCGAGTGTCTCGCATCGTACAACTGGGAAACAAACACCGACTCACGACCCCCATCCCGCAAGTTCTTCGAGCTGTGCGAGCTGGGATACTCTCGAAACTGGCTGTGCAGGCATCTCGTGGCAGTGTGTTTGTTCCTTGGATTCGGAACCACCAAGGACCGGAAGGAGGCCGTTGGTATCTTTGGGCAACTCGCCAACGAAGGCCACAGCGACAGCCAGTTGTGGATCGGAGAGTGCTACTACGGGAGCGGGGGAGTATCGAAGGGCAACGAGAAGGCATTCGAGTGGTTCAGCAAGTCGGCCAATCAAGGCAACTCGTATGGACAGTGGAGGGTTGCATTTTGCTACCATTTCGGACAAGGAGTCGCAGAGGACGTAACTGAGGCCGCCGAGTGGTACCGAAAATCGGCCGAACAGGGCAATCGATACGGACAACATTGGCTCAGCCACTGCTATCAATATGGCCGTGGTGTCCCCAAGAACATCGACACCGCCCTGTACTGGCGCCGCAAGTCTGCTGAACAGGGCTTCCAATCTGCCATCAATAACCTCAAGGAACTCGGCCAGTGGCCTTGATCTCCGAGTGCCTCCCAAGCTCCGCTCCGAAGCGAATCTCCGTCATCCCCATCCAAGACACCACGATATGAGACAATCGCCTTACAAGGTGATTCTGGTGAAGCGGCCGTGGCCGAGTTGTGTTGTATTTGACGTTCATTATATGCAATATGCACATCAATCGTGTTCAATAACGATCGTCACTCTTGATCGACCGACAAAAACATCGAATGAGTCGGTAGCTACAAACTTGTGTGCCAACCTTGGGTCGTGAAGAATCTGAGCACCATCCAGACCACCATCTCGACTTGTCCCAAAGTCCACCACGACACTATGGTGAAGTTGACATGGGCACCCTCCCTGGACATCCATTCAGATCGTAATGAAAGGCTGGGTGGAATCTCCCAGAGACCAGCCATGAATTCAAGCAAGGAATCGACCTCCCAACGAGGTTGCATTCTCGACTCACGATCCTTGTCAATGGATGAGCCCCACCCAACTCGCTGAGCCCAGAACAGCAACAGATCGTGACCGTGATCACCCGCCATAAAACACAAGGACAAAAAGGCTTTATTTCAAGTAGTCAAAGTTGTTCTAGAGCGGATATATCACGACCACACTGCACCCGCTGGGTTAGGTTAGGATTTCAGAGTGTAAGGCGGGTACACGCTCGATTCAGGGGGGGGGATCGCATCAGAGAAACGATACAACGACTTTGATGACCAACGAGATTGACTGCAAAGTGCACCCGCGGCGGTTCCGTGACGGCATTGCATCGCTAGTTACGAATGGGCACACATTTGTATGGTTTCTATCAAGGAAACAGAGTGATTTCTCGTTAGTGCATCGCTCCTTGGCAGTCGTTGGGAAAGGATACTCGACGCTGTCAACTTTGGCTGTGGCGACAAGGGTGATTCCACAGCGCCCCAGTGGTGCGAGCGAGACTTACGTTGACTTCAGAGGGGCAAGTGTCGTTTTTGATGATGCTGAGCCAGGTCGCTTGAATGTCCAGCTTGACTTGGCGGAGGGTTGGGGTGTCGCTAGGAAGGGGAATGTAGAGGTCGTCGCAGTGGAACTGGTCGTGGTAAAAGACGGGCTGAGCCTCGGTCGAGGTTCTGTTGTATATACCAAGCCAGTGCCAGGGATCGATCGCGCCATTGACAAAGACGATACGGTCGGTTCCGATGTCGGTCGCCTTGTAGAGGCCGTTGGTCTTGGTGGTGTCGGGGACAGAGTGGGCGTTGTCAAAGATGATGGAGCAAACCTGCTGCTGATAGTCTGGGTTCAGGGTCTTTGAGTAAATCGGGACATCGACATGCTCGGCGTTCAGGAAGTTTCCAAACTCGGTGCACAGTTGCCAGTACCAGAGTCGGGCCTGCCGCGAAACAACAATCGGGTCAGTCGGCGCTGCACAAGGTGATGCACGATGGTACCCATGGCATCCAATGGCCAAGGCCCTCGGGCGTCCTTCGGTGGGCTTGGGGCCATCGCTCGGCCCCTGTGCTCAGCAACCGACACCCAGGGTTGCATACCGGAATGGCGAGGTTGTGGAGAACACCAGTCTGGATGTTGACCAGATCGTTATTGTTGTTGGGAGCGACGCCGTTGATCTTCAGGACGGCAAACATGTACTTTTTCAGATCTGTCCAGAGCTCTTCGTTGGTAGAGTTGGGATTTGCGAATGAGGGGAAGAACTTGCCGGAGCAGACGGCGTCGATTTGCGTCGCAGAGCCGTTGAAGGACTGGCCAACGGGGCCGTACTGGACAGAGCCAGCGAGCGACGAGCCTGGAAGGAAGCCGGCAATATCGCCGTTGAGAAGAACATCGCCAAAGCCAAGGTACTGGCGGGTGGCATTAGGATCCTTCTGGATGGCCTGGTCAAAGAGACTGGTGACCCGGACAAGATTGTCGGCGCAGGTTTGGGAGCCGCCGTCGATGAGGGGGATGCCCAAGCGGACGCCGTACGAAAACTCCCAGAAATCGAGCTTGGAGGTGAGCGGAGCCGAGGAGGAGTGGGCGGCCCAGAATACGTCGGGGTGCAGCTCGCGGGACCAGGCAGCGAGATTGCCGGCGTACGAGCCGCCGACAGCGATCCACTTTGTGCAGGCTGGGAGGTTGTTGGATGCCGTGAAGTTCTTGGCAAAGGCAGCGGCATCCTCGATGGCCTGTTCGGAGGACAGGTACTTGAGGTTTGCAATCGAGTAGTCATAGTAAGGGTTGGAGTCGCCTGTGGGGACGATGCCAGTGCGTCGAGTCAGCAGAGACGGTGGAGAGTGTGAAGCCGAGCTCGGGTTCGAACGTTGGCCCTGGTTGAGCAAAGCAAGGCTGCGTATCAAAACATCACAACAAACCATAGAATCGATGTTCGAGCGCAACAATCATGCCGTTAGTTTGCTGGGCCATGACATAGTGCAGGTCCAGAGCAGATATGGCCAATTCGGCAGTGAGGGCCGACTCGCCACCGATGTAGACTGGAGACGCACGGGTGAAGACGGGGGGGGTGAGACACGGCCAAGGGAGGCAGACCAGCGGTTCAATCCTCGGTCGGATCATTGACGATCGAGACGCTTGATTGCACAAGACACATACACCAGACGGGACCACCGGGTTGGTAAAACTGCACCCCCGAGCAAACGCAAGCGAGAGGAGGCAGATTAGCCATTGAACGACAGCTTCATGATGTCGTTGAGGGCCAAGCAGAAAGACGGCCGATGTTCTAAGGAACCAACCTGGTTATTGACATAATACTTTTGGCGGAGAGTCTGACGGTTGGTAGGATCGAAATGGTCGAGAGGCTGGGTGGCGCGAGGGTCAGGTCAGAGATCTGGGGACATGTCCGTGGCGACAACAGGCCCTTGGACTGGGTATTGCCAGCAAGTGGCAAACCTCACCTGGTAGATCCACTGGGATGGGCTGCTGACGAAAGAGCTGATGGTGCTCGCAGTAGCAAGGAGACTGTGGTTGGTGGCAGGATTGAGTATGACGAGGGGAAGATGGCGAGATGGACGGGTAAGGAATCTTGGGACTGCAACCATTGCGAGTCGAGGACTGCGTTGGGCAATGCTTGATTGCTCCCTCACCTTTGGCGCCTGCCCTCGCGCTGCCCAGCCAAGGCCAGAAACGGCGTTCCGAGAACGGCTGCGGGAAGAGCGAGGGCGACGAGCCACACTGTGTTCCAGAGGACCATCGTTGCGGTGCGGGCAGGACCAGATAGATGGTCAAGAACGCTCGGCGCCGGGATGTTTTGGAGATGGGCGACAGGAGACGAGGTGGTTTGCGTCGAGGAGGAGCGACTCTTGAGTGGGATTGGGTCTGGCCATGGATGCGTTTTGGCTTTTGAATAAGACGCCAATTGGACGAGACCCACTCTGGACAACCCAACCAACAAAAAGAGTGACCGACTGGCTCAGCACGAGCAACCCCATGATGGCCGCGGACGGCCGCGATTGGCTCGCCAAAGTGCACATTGTTTCTGTGTGCTGCTGCTGTGGCTGTGTGCTGCTGCGGCTGTGGCTGGCCATGGACAGTCAGGCTCAGCGCGGCTGTGCGCGCGTGCGTGGCAGGGCGCTGCTTGCGCCTTGTCATCTGTGTCACACTGGGTCGCACCGGGTCGCACCGGCCGGATCCAGCCACCGCCTCATCCGGATCCATCCGCCGTGTCCGGATCCAGCCAGGCTCTCTGCTCCGCCATCGTTTTCCGCCTTCGTTGCCCCTGCTCGTCCATTCCATCCATCCATCCATCCATCCATCCATCCATCCATCCATCCATCCATCCATCTCGCCTCACCCAGATCATCAACCAGGACATCAACCAGGACATCAACCAGGACATCAACGCGATCACCGTCCAACGCACCAGCCGCGACATTCTCCATCTCAGCTTCCCCTGCACAATCACATTTGTCAATCCATTCTCCGCCCATCGCTTCCGTCCTTGGCCGCGCCTTCCTCTCTTGCTCTCTCGCACTCCTCCCGCACTGTCGAACCATCGCTGTGAATGGCAAACCCACCTGCACTGCCGTTAGGATCATTCTTCCTGCACACCTTCGACCTCTTTTTATCCCATCTTGTTTCGCCCCGAATATCTGCTCATTAACTGATCCGGCCAAGCCTCGTTCCTGAGAATCCCACTGCTCGCCCCGTTCCATCTCCTCCCTCGGACTCATATCCTTCTTCTGCCTGCGCACCCTCTGTTTGTGTCCTCTATTCCATCCTTTTTGCTATTCCATCCTTTTGCTCTTCTCCCAAGGTCGATACAGCCCCCCCCCGTTTCATCCGCATCATCTGTATGAGTACCGAGGAATCCTCTCTGCCGCTCTGTTCTGCCCCGTATCCAATAGCCGCTTTCGACTTTGACGATGTTCTGCAGCTCATCCTTACCCGCGTCGCCACCGGGGCAGATCTGATGGGCTGCCTCCTGGTCTCGCGGAGATGGTATGCTGCGGCCCTTCCTGTCCTCTATCGCCACCCTCTCCTGGCCTCGCCGCAAGCCCTGTGCGCCTTCGTGATTGTCTTGCGCCAACATCCGCTGCGATCTGCGTTCCTTTCTTCCCTCTCCTTCGCGGTTCCCCCGGGCCAGCCCTCGTGGCTCAGGGACAAGGATCTGGCAACCCTCTTCGCCGCGCTGCGGCGTTCGGACTCACCGTCCCTCAACGTCCGCCATGTGAGCTTCAAGGGTTGCCGTGGAATCACTGGCAGGTCTCTGCAGCATCTCCCGCTGCTGTTTCCTTCGCTGACCTCGGTCGATCTCCAAGGATGCGTCGGAATATCGTCCAGCCTCCCCATAATGCTGGTTCGTTCGCTAAGGGACCTCTCGCGTCTGATTCTCTCGGCCAGCTGCGCCGTTCCGCTCTGTGATCTGCCTGCGCTCATGACTCCCAAGATGCAAGACCTCGATGTTGTCATTCACCACTCGCCGTATTCGTCCATCGCCTGGCTTATGCATCCGCCCATGCCCCCAAGCCACTCGACCGACACCCAACCGCGCGCCCTCCAGAGGCTTGCCCTGACCCGCCAAGAGATCATCACCAACCAGGGGATGCTTCCGGACGAGGCACTGACCTCGCTGCTCCGGATGAACCCGACCATCACCGACCTCGATCTCCGCTGGAACGCTCAGCTAACGTGGTGCTCGCTGCGAGACATTGTCCTCTGCTCCGGGCTGCAGAGGCTCTCGCTGGACTTTTGCTCCCAGCTATGCGATGACACGCTGCTCCATATTGGCCGGGGCTGCCAAAGGCTCCGACACCTGTCGCTTTCTCACTGCCGGCTTATTACGGACGCTGGCATCAGCTATGCTGCCCAGACTCTCCGCTCCCTGGAAACAATCGATATGGACGGCATTGCACACCTCACCGATACGGCGGCGGCCGTTTGGACTGCCCACGACCATATCAGAGGCATCAGTATGGCGCGATGCCCCAACCTGACGAATCGCAGCCTCCTGGCCCTCGCTCAAGTGCGCAACTTGTGCACTCTCAACATAGCCGACTGTCCTCAAATCAGCTGGCCCCAAGCCCCCGAGCCACCTACCTGCTGCTTCCGAGCTCTCAGGACGATCACAGTCGATGCTAAAGCGCACACGGTCGAGAATGCGCTGGGCATCTTGAGCAAGTGCCCGGCTCTCGAGACCATCGTTGTGAAGGGACGCATGGGCACTCGTCCCAACTTGTCAAGCCTCCGCAACGGCTCACTCTCCCGAGTCGCTGTTGAGTACATATAATCAAGCCCGCCAGGCCACTCATCTGCCAAGGCACGACCTGTGGTGCTTTCGCACACGGTTCGCAAGGATATGCCGCTCCCGCGCCCAATGAGTAGTGCTCTGAGTGCCATCACTCGGAGCCGAGCAAGCCGGGGTCCCGAGCCATCGACGAGCTCCACTCCAGCCACTGCCCTGGATACTCTCCCGACACAATGTCGGCAACTTTTGCATCTGTAGCCAGGGATACAGGCGTCGCAAGTATTATGTGTTGGCTGCACCTTCCCATCTATTCAATTTCCATCATCGACGTTTGCTCTTTTTGGTATCATTTTTGACGAATCATGCTCAACGATCCCTGTTTGTGAGATGACCTCCCGATGACGCCTGTATCTTCAATCAATTCGTGCTCGAGCAACAATACATTTCTCCAGCATAGATCATCCGCTTGACCCAACATTCGCATGAACTGGGTGACGATTGTTGATGCACACAGCCCCATCCCGACTGCAGGCGGGGTTGTGCATGGACATTCCGGACAGAGTATGAATGTGGTTCGCAGCCCCCAGCCTTCCTCAATGCCTTGCACCTCGCTCTGCAGCTGTTGCGGTGTGTGAACGCATCGACTGCGAGCCGGCCAATCACTGTCTCTTGCTTGGAAGAACAGGATGTCGACGCTTCTGTCGTCGGCTGCCGTCGTCTGATCGGCCCGGTCTCCTCCCCCGACCGCAATCCGTTGCAGCGCCGTGCTTCCGAGCCGGGTGTCTCGACAGCATCATCCAGCTTGACCTGGTCCGTTCCTACCGAACTCGTCGCCTTTGCCGGCCTTGCCTTTCCCGTAACACATCTGTCGGCACCGCCGCCCGTCTTCAAAGATCCATGTCGGCCTCAGCCCAGCCGCCATCCGAGCTTGCCCCGCCCCAGAGTCTCACGGCCTCGTCCTCGGCCCAGTCCTTCGACAGCAGCACCGAGCACGACCGATCCGAGGCCGCAAAGCAGTTTTTCGAGAACCGGTACCGGAGGACAGAAAAGACCCTCTCGACTCAGTCCATACTCCGCCAGGCCTCCAACACCCCCGGCTCGGGTCTCGGAGGTATGGATCGTCGCAGACCGCTCGGGTGGTGTGGATTCGCTGGTCCAACACTGCGATCCTCCGTTGCTCGAAGCCACAATCGCCGTCGATCCATGGCGGGCTCTCTGTGAATGTGCTGCTGATCATTTTGATCCCCATTCTCTCTCGCTTCTCGAGCAGAGTCGAGCGGTGGCAACTACATTTACACCAGTCAAGACGGCCCAACGCCCCGCAAATCGGCACACAGAGCCGCCAAGTCTCTGAATCCCGTCCCTGGCAGCAGCCAACCCGACTCCTCTGGCGCCAGCAAACCCAAGCCCAAAGACACCGACGGGGCCGTTCCCGAGCCCGATGAGGAGCTCGAAGACGACGACAAGGTATCCGACGACAAGCAGCTCCGGAGCTGGTTCGTCAAGTATCGCCGTGGCGAAGATTCTGGAGCCGAGAGCAGCGGTGGTGGCGACGACCAGATCCGCCGTCGGGCTGCTTCCCACGGCGACACCGCCGGCAAGACCAAGCACACTTCCATCTATACCAATCTCAACAACCCTTCCAAGTCTCCAAAGACACCGCTGGTCAGCAGCAGCAGCGGCGGCGGTGGCAGCGGCATGGGCGGCGTGCTCTCTCAGCTGAAATGGAATGTCCTCACCGATCAGGACGTCGATATTGCCTTGGCCATGGCCGCTCGGCCGGGCGTGCGTGACGAGCTTCCCGACGGAAGTGCCCACTACACTCTATCTCTCGAGAAGCTCCCGAAAGAGGAGATCAAGAGGCAGGAGGTCATCTACGAGCTCATCGTGACCGAGCGCGAGTATCTGCGGGACCTCAACATCATCATTAAAGTAGGTCTCTGGGTTGGCACCTCGCTGCTGCGGGGAGTCGACCGGGCTTATCGCTCGAACAGCCCCCCTCGTTCCATTCTGGCCCCAGCTCCAAGGCTCTGCTCGTGGACATGGCGACGATATGGCTCTCTGACGCCAATCTTCAATGCATCACTAGCTCTTCCTTGCCAAAATCAGAGAAAAGTCTGTGCTGCCTGCCAAGGCGACGGCCCTGCTGTTCGGAAACATCGAGCAGCTTGTACCCATCAACGAAGAGCTACTCTCGAGCTTCGAGAGCCGTCGACGTGAAGAGTTTGGGGTCATAACTCGTGTTGGAGATATCTTTATGCAAGTCGTAAGTACCATTGCTCGCCCCCTGCCCTCATTCACAGCACCGCCTCTGACTCTCATCTCCGATTCATTCACTCCCAGGCCCAGTACTTCAAAATATACACCCTCTACTGCGGGAACCAGCCAGAGGCCATGTCGTTTTTGAAGGCATCCAAGAACAACGAGGATCTTTCGCTCTTCTTGCAGGTCTGTCGCAGAGCTCCCTTGCCATCGTCAGAGCTCTATCATCGTTGTCTTCCCCAGGCGCACTCGTCAGAGGGAGCTATCGCATCGATGTGGATGCATCCTCTCTGTGCGCATGCCTCCTCTCTATATACTCGCTATAAGGATACGCCTCGTCTATGTGTATATCTCACATGTGCATTTTGCCTTGTGCCAGTACTGTCTGTTGCGGCCAGAATGTCGGGGGCTGGATCTCGGCTCGTTTCTGCTCAAGCCTGTGCAGCGTATCTGCAAATATCCCCTGCTGATGAAGGTGGGTTGCAGGCTCGGCCTCTGTGGCATACGTTTCATTCATTCATTCATTCATTCATTGATCCCTAGTCGAGCTGGTCCGCAGGCCACACCAGCCAAGTCAGGGCATTCCCTGTATTCTCGTCGCTATTCATATCTAACTCGATTCCTCCCCCCCCCCTACTCGTTGTATCTGCTGCTCTCTGCCGCACTCTAGGAGCTGCTGAAACACACCTCCGAGTCTCACGCAGACTTTGCGGACCTCAAGCGCGCGTACGACACAATCAACAAAGTCGTCGATGTCGTCAACGAGCGGCGTCGGTTTGTCGAGAATCAGCAAAAGATGATTGCGACTTTGGCCAAACTTGAGTTCCCAGAGGTACAGGCACTTTGTTCTCCTCTCCTCCCCCCCCTGCCTCTGTGGTGACCACGACGGACTGATGGATCTATTCATGCGATTCGTCGTACAGCTTGATCTGTGTGCGAGGCTTGAGAACAAACTAGTTGACTATACACTCGCTAGAATCGTGGGATCGTTTTAAACAGCAGCCAGGCCACCACTCAGATCACGATCTGATCATTGCCCAGATCACCGCCCACCAGGCAACAAGCACTAACACTATCCATGCCATCATCGCTACTTTTGCAACCTCTGTGCTCGCCTCCCTTCTGCGGTCAGAAACTTCACATGAACCACGAGCCCTCTCGATACTTTGTGCACGAAGGGAACCTCACCAAAAACACAAAGGGCCTAATTGGCTCCTCTGCAAGCTCCAGGTGGGGCGTTCTCTTCAGCGACTGTCTTGTGCTGGCTCGCCCTCCCATGTTCATGGGCAGTAAAGCGCAGGTCTCCAAGATCCTGAAGGTTGCCGATCTTTGTTTGGACACGAGCGAGTCGGAATCCGATAGTAAGCCATCCTTCTCTGGCCCAGCCGTGCGCCGCAAACCTGAATGTCACCAATGCATCCCGCACCAAGTCGATATGTGGTGCTGGGGGGGGGTGCCGATTCAGAGCACCGAAGCCTGTTGGATCTGCATTCTGATACCCAATCCCGCACTGCCTTCACCACCACTCGCCCACCCGCAGAAAAGTCGCTCTGCTTCGATCTCTGCGTCAAGGAAAAGACCTATCGCATGTCGTGTGCAACTGCAAAGGAGCGAGATGCTTGGGTCCAGCGGATAAACGAGGTCATCAAGGATTCGCTCGAGCGCATCAAGCCCGTCGACGAGCATCCGCATGTAGAGATACCGATGGCGGCCCATGCACCCTCTCCTGCGAGCCCGGATGTCCCCAAGCCCAGGACAAACTCTGTCGGACCTGCCTCACGAGCGCTGACCGAGAAGCTTGCCCCGCATGCTGTCAATCGGCTCTCGAGCATCAAGACGCAGTCATCGAGCTCGCTGAGCTCACTTGGAAGCGGTGGGCACCATGCATCTCTGTCTGTCTGTCTGTCTCTCTTCATACTGGTTCGCACACGAAACACCATCGCTGGCATGAGCTCCTAACAAGGGCTCGGCTGTGCTCCTCTTGCTTTCGTAGAGCCCAGCGAATCGACTCAAGATCGCGACAGCAAAGGCGAAGATGTCATCAAGAAGAAGCGAGTTCGGTCGGCGTTCGCAAAGTCGGCGTCGAGTTGCAGCCTGATCGAGTTCCTCAACACCACCAATGCCAAGCCCGACGCCGGAGATAACCGCAGTATCGGAAGGTCTACAGGGAGCATCGCAACGTGTAAGTGCGGCTGGACGATAGGAATCAGGGCGCCCACTAGAAACGCTGGATGGAAACCCTCTATCCTTCGAATCCCAGTCGGTGCTCGAGGTGCCAGCGATACAGAGGTGCAAAGACACATGCGGGCGTTCGCACGATGTTCCGCGGCTTTGTGCCTCTGGCTGTCTATGACTCTGACTCTGCCATCTTAACCGCGACCATTTGTCACAGCCAATCGGCGTGGATCTGAAGGCTGCCAAGCCACAGATCTCAAGATCGACACTGGCAGTCGGGATGTGCATGTTCCAGATCGAATCACCGAGGCGGACCCGCTCTTTCACGCGGCCCCTGCTCCAGAGCACGCTGCCGCCGAGACAGAATCGAATCCGGCAGCCTCCCAGCCGCCACGGGCAAGTGTGCCGAGCCGCAAAAACAGCCATGACTCAAAGATCCCGCAGCCCAAAGCAATGCGACCATCAGCACAGGCAACCTCGCCGAGGTCGTCCGAGGGAATGAAATGGAGGCCGCCTGCGAGTGCCGCCTCGCCACAGACACCAGGACACACCATCCCCACCGAGATTCCCTCTCGCATCCCCATCATCAACCGCCACAAACTCGATTCGGGTACCGAAGTCAATCCTGCCACACGAGCCGAGCCGAGATTGGCTTCCAAGCCCGAGACTCAGTCCGAGCCCAAGTCCGAACCGAAATCAGGCATCCAGGCACCCCCAGAAGTCAAGCAGAAGGAAAGCGCGCATGGCATCTCCCCGTCGCCGCCGCTTCTGCCAAAGAACCGCGCGGCAGAGTCCGGCAAAGAGGCCGTTCTGGTCAACTCGCCAAAGTTCAAGAAGGTGCGCCCGCCCGTCCGCGGTGGGGCCGGACGCAAGAGCGACGACTCTCTCAACTCGGATGCCGAGGTCGTCTCCCCGACGACGAGGACGCAAGAGGACCTGACATCGAGTCGTGGCAGCGGTCTGGCCGAGTCCAGTGGGCCGCAGAGCAAGACTTCATCAGCACCAGCACCGTCACCGTCACCGGGACTGGACGAGCCCGAGCCTGCCGGCGCAAGCAACGATGGTATCGTCAGGGACAGAGTACTCACCCGCAAGGGATCCGGCATTCCTGTCCTGGCCGGCGGGCATCCCTCGGGGTCGACTCGGCGGGAGTCAAAGGACGGCAAAATGTCGATGTCGGATGCCCTCCCTGGTCCTGCCGGAGCGGTTTCTGCCACCCACTCCCTGCAGTCCAAGCCAGGGCTACGTGAGCGTCCGGCGTATGCTCCGCAGATCCTAGTACCGTCGTCTGAGGGCCCGCTGGTCATTCCAAAGCTCAAGCCAATCGCACCCAAGCCTGTACTTCCAGCTTCCGAGTCGGTGGATAGCAAAGCCCCTCATGTCCGAACCAATGTCGGCACAGCATCCAAGCCGCCGGCAACGTCGTCCGAGCTCCCTCGTGGCGAGTTGCAGGAGGCCACGAGCACCTCCTCGCTCCAAAAGACACCCTCAGTTCGAGGTCCACCAGGTCTACCAGGTCCACCAGGTCTACCGGGCCGACCAGCCCCGCAGCAGCATCAAGGCAGACCCACCAAGGATTCTCTGCCCTCTCTGACGTCCCAGGGCTCGCTGATAAGTGCGTCCAAGCCAGACATGCTTGACAGGACGCCGGCAGATTCCGAAGGGACGACTGACAGCCGAGGGCCTGTCGGCCCAGCCACGAACTCGGATGCGGCCGATGAAGCGGATGCACGAGTGTCGCAGAAACCACTGCCATCGGTGCGCCAGCGCATCGGCACCTTCGAGACTGTGTTCAAGAATACGGTTGGCAACCACGGCCCACAAAGCCGAATGCCATGATCGTGGAGGCACAGCCTGTTGCGCATGCACGAAAGCAGTGTAGTTGGTTGCATGGACGAGAGAGACTATCTGATTCATGAGTGCCTTGGCGGTCTCAATGCTTGCAATGTTGCATCAATACATGACGCAACTGCTCTGACAACCCAGTGACCTCGTATCGTCTTCATGTATCGCCATCATGCGAACCGCGACGCCCAAGCAAGAGCCATCATTGCGAGTGGCGGTCGATCATCGCCTTAAGGCAATGTTGAAGCCAACATGGAAACGATCCAGCGATAAATGGCGGTGCTTGTGGGCACACTCTATGAGTAAATATGTATTCAGGCTTCAGGATTCAAAAAAAAAAAAAAAAAAAAACAATATGGCCAGAGGTACAAGCAAACAGCTTGTTCGCTTGTGTGGGCGCTTTGCCCATTGCGGACGACAACTATGTCGATGTGGATGCAGCCATGCAAGCATGTCGATTCAAAGCACCGAGCGTCTCACACCGACTCGACAGCGGCGGCTTCTGGATGCTCGCTAACAATGCGTCGGCGTCTGCGGGCCCGCCACCTGAACCGAGCCAGCAGCGCTAGCGAGTATGCAATCCCCCAGACGGGCATGATCCACTGCAGAATGAGCTCGATGACGAGGAAGAACAGTGCTGTGAAGGCGTCGCGGACAACCGAGCCGTCCTCGGCTGATTCTTGCGGGCTGCTCAGCTTCTGGAAGGAGGTCGAGACAACATAGAGGAGCAAGATGTGATCCGAGACGATGAAGCAGAGCAGTACTATCCGAACGGGTGTCAGTATGCCTGCTGGAGGGTCCGGAGCGACCCCTTCGCAAAGGAGACGGCCCACGATTCGCCAGTTCCCCAGCGACAGGGCGTGGAAGAGGGCCTTGGATTCCCCTCGGTTGGGATCGGCACCCCGAGCCAGGATCGGATCCAGAATGCACACCTGGCCGGACTGGGCAGCGGTGATCAGCAGGATCTCGGTCAGGTCATTGAAGACGTCATCTGGTATGACCGGGATGAGGACGGCGAGGGTAGATGCCAGGCTGGCGCGGAACGGGATAACGCTGGAGATGGCGATGCTCTGACACAGCTTGGTGATCATCTCCGAAGATGGCCGCAGGGAAGAGTGCGACAAGAGCACGGACACAATCTGGTGGTATCCTTTGTAGACGGCGATGGGCAAGACGTCATCTGGGATGTGTACCCTGGGCCCCAACAGGGTAATGAGCGAGAGATGGTTGCGGTGGGCGGCTGTCTTGAGAATGGCCGGGAACAGGTCTGGCGCAACCGAGTTTGCATCGGAGGCGAAGGTATCCGTCGGGGAAGTTGCATCGGCGAGAATGGGCGAGCTGGAGAGCGACGGAGATGCGTGTGATTTTGCTGCGGCGTCGGTCGATAGCCTTGCATATCCCAGCACGATCGAGAGCAGCTGCAGATGATTAGCCTGGGCGACGTACTCGAGGAAGCAGCGCATCGACGTTGTTGGGATATTCAAGAATGCCAAGGCATTGAACAACTGAATCTGCTCGCTCTCAAGCGGGCAATGGTAGTTTTCGGGCAGCTCGGCATGATATCGGTGGCATTCGCATGGGTGCTTGAGCGACAGTTGTAGTCGGCGCGGGTTCAGGACCAAGCGTCCGAGGCGGCTGGGGTGAGGGGCTGACGGAGCCTCCGCTTCCACACTGAGCTTATGGTCTTCTCCGTCGTGGGTGATCTGCGACAGACGCACGGCACGGCAACGACGGCTGTGGCGGATCCGAGATGGCCAGAAGGCTCTGGGGCCGATCGAGGTGAAGAGCGGCAGGAACGGGAGCCGATCGAGGACGGATGAGGGACCGCACTGGGACATGAGCCACTGGGCACGGACAAAGGGGGACCTCGAGGTGGTATAGATCCATCGGTTGGCGCGGACGAACTGGGATGGATCCGAACAGTGGAGCAGGATGCGAACCCAGAGCTCCGGAGGCAGCCAGGTGAGGCTCGGGCACGGACACGGACACGGGATTGAGATCGAGCTTGGGATCGGGGTTGGGATCGGGATTGGGATCGGGATTGGGATCGGGATTGGGATCGGGATTGTGCATGATGCAGAAGGATTGCTGGATGCAAAAGGATTGCTGGATGCCGATGCAGGCTGGACCGGGACCATGGCTGGAAGAGACTGTCGCTGGATCGTTGGTGTCGATCGAGCGGATCGTTGGTGTCGATCGAGCGGATCGTTGGTGTTGATCGAGCGGATCGTTGGTGTCGATCGAGTGGATCTTGGACAAAGTGGAGCCGAATCGGAGCCGATTTGCGCAGACGATGGCCTTTCGATGATGTGGGACTTGCGCGTGGCGGATCGAGAAGCAGAGCCAAGACTTTGATCGAGCCCAGCGATCAGCCAGCAGGAACCAAGACAGGAACAGAAACAGGCAAACGGCCGAGACGGGCGATGGAAGATGATCGCGCGAGCGCTCTGGTTGCGCCGGCAGACAAAGACATGGACAGCCAAAGGCACCGTCTTGGTTCCGCAGGGACGGTGGTCGGCGGAGCGCGAGGCGAAGCGGAGAGTGAGCGTGGGAACCGCCCGGGGAGGGCAAAAGGAAACCCGCGAAGGCCCGGCGAAGGAGCAAGGGCATGCGGGCGGGCAAGGCGAAACGCATGGCAAGGCGCAAGGCAAGATGCATGGCAAGGCGCAAGGCAAGATGCAAGATCGGTCACGTGTGAATCCGCTGTGTGTGTCCGTGGCTGCGCACGGCTCTCCATGGCCCGATTCGCCGATTTGCACCTTCCCAGATCGCATCTTCCCAGATCGCCTCGCGCTGCATGTCGCCGCCATGATCGCTCATCGGCTCGCCCCGCTGGTCTCCAAGCCATTCCAGATCGCTCCGCATTTCCTGTCTCCCCGGCTGCATGCATCGCCCTTCTCCTCGGGCACGCTCCCTCTCTGTGCCGGCCACAACCGATGGTCCAAGATTGGCCGGCAAAAGGTGTGTGGCCCAAGCCTTGGCATTGCTCGCACTCGCCAGGCTTCCTGTCCATACTGACATGCCCCGCCCTTCGTGTCGTCGTCCCAGGGTGCAAACGATGTTGCCCGGGGCAAGGTCATTTCCAAGCTCACCCGCCGGATCATTGCCGCCGTCCGCAACTTCAACGGCGACACCGACCCCAGGACCAACTTTGAGCTCGCTGCCGCCCTCAACGTTGCCAGACAGTTGCAGCTGCCCAGATCCACAATCGATACCTCCATCAAGAAGGGCCTCGGCAGCGACAAGGACGATGAGGCCGACCTCGAATCCATCGCATACGAAGGACTGGGACCGGCCGGTGTTGCTGTCATTGCAAGTATCGTCGACCTGGGCTTACAGCACTCGTCAGGGTTCGAGCTCGGTCCAGCGACTGCCTCGCCGTCTGGACTAATCCAAAGCCTCTCCTCTGCCGCTTGGCCCTCCAGGTCCACACCTTGACCAACAACCGGAACAGATCCTTCCAGACGGTGCGCCTGTGTTTTACCGAGAATGGCGGGTCGCTGACGCCCGTTGCGTATCTGTTTCAGAAGCGCGGCCGCATCGTCGCCGCCCCCGGATCGACCGGACACTCCCTCGACGACATGTGCGACTCTGCCATCGACTGCAATGTCGAGGACATTGGTGCAACCGACGAGTCCGACACCAGCGTCGAGCTGTGGTGTGCCACGAACCAGCTCGCGCAGATCCGAGCCGCACTCGAGGCAAAAGGCTACGAGATCCGCGAGACCGAAATCACCTACTACAGCGAGGACAAGATCGACGTGCCCGACGGCGAGCCGTCGGATCAGTTCCAGAAACTGCTTGACGACCTCGACAACCTCGAAGATGTCATCTCCATCTATACGAACGCTGCATAGTCCGGCGGCTTCCGTTGTCTCAATAGCACTGCATTTTTATTGAGCGCCTTCGGCATTGTCACTGTTCGAGGAGCAGGCGTTGTCCTCAGATTCTTCAGGCGGAATCCGGGTCGTCCTTGCCCCCCTGGCCTTGGCAATGTACTTGGGAAACTTAGACAGAGTACTGCTGTGCAGCGTATTGGTGGAGCGAACCGCCGAACCCAGGAGCAATCGGGGCAGCTTCGGGGCCTTCATGCATCTCGGATCCGACAGAAGCACCCCAACCTTGATGCACACGATAGCGCTGTGTTAGTACATCCTCACCGTCAACCGAGCTTTCGCTAATGGCGAGCACGGACGCTCGGCCTCCAATCGGCAGCAATCACGGCCGGTCTGCAAAGACTCACCACCGCCTCCAGGGGTCAGGATTCTGATGCGATCTCCGGGCTGGGCGATCGTGGCGTTCTTGCCGCCAAAGTTGACCACTCGGTAGCTGCCATCGGCTTCTTTCTTGTAAAGCAAGTTCATGCCAGCCTGTCCGTCCTGGCCGCCATCCATGCTGCAAGTTGGGGGGGGGGAGGACCGGTCAGGTTTGCCCACATCCAGCCATTGCTACCAGACATCACTCCCGGGCATCGCTTCCGGCTCAGGATCATGCCGGGCAAGACAATACGCACCCGTACGGACGGAGCACTCGTCGCTCCGAGAGCATCGAAACCGAGATGGGCTCCAGGAATTCAATGTCACGGACACAGCCGTCGCCGCCACGGAACTGGCCAGCACCGCCCGAGCCTGGAGGGTCGAGATTATCGGAAATGAGTCATCTTGCTCGCTTGCCATCCAACTCTGTCGGCTGGTCGTTGCACTCCTGATCCCTGTCATTCGCCCAATATGCTATCCTGATTCAACATCTCACCTGTGCGGAGCCCAAACTCGTGCAGGATAACAGGGTAACGTCGCTCGAGGATCTCGGGATCGGTGATCCGGGTGTTGGTCATGTGCGTGTGGACACCGCCTATGTTCCAGTTTCGTGAAGCAATCGCCATGTTCAGTAAGCCAGCTCAGAACACCGGGCCCTGATGATCGCTTGGATCTGCCGGTTTGGAAGCGCGAGGCAACTTACTCTTTCCGTTCCAGGTCGGTCCGGCACCGCTTCCTCCCGCTGGGAAACCACGAGCAAATGACGACACAGGGTTGGTCAGCGCGAGGCACGCACTCCGCTATCATTTAGCGAGCGCTTTTGGACACATCATCCAGTCCAATCTGCTCATATCTTGCCGCTCATGCCATCCCATCATCACCACTTGCCGCATCACTGCTTCCTTTCGTGAGCTTCCGGCACGCAACCCACCGATTGTCTCGTAGTATCCAAATCCTTCCACAACCTCGCCTTGCTCCGACTTGCCGCCTTTGCCAAAAGTAAAGTTGTTCATGCAGCCCTGGCTGGCGGCGCATGCACGGAAGGCCTTCAGGATGACATCGCACAGGCGCTGCGACGTCAGCACGTTGCCGCCGACAACCGCCGTCTTCTCCGAAGGGGCCAGCAGCGAGCCAGGAGGCACCACCATCGAGATTGGCGCGAGCGCACCCTGGTTCAGCGGCATATCCTCGTTGATCAGCGAGCGCAGGCAGTAGATGATGGCCGAGTTCGTGAGCGACCGGGGGGCGTTGGTGTTGCCGTAGACCTCGGGACCGGTGCCGGTGAAATCAAAGACAGCGTCGCCGGTGGTCTGGTCAATCTTGATGGTCAGGTTGATCGGTGTGCCGTCATCCATTTGGTCGGCGGCGTGCAGCACCGGACCATACTTGCGGCTCACGGAGCGGAGCATCTCGCGCACAGCAAGCTCGGCGTTGGAGCGGATGTAGGTCATATAAGCCTGAACGACATCCAGGCCTGCGACCGGATAGAGTGAGTGACGAGCTTGTTCCACGCCAGTGACGATATTGCCGGCAGCTTCATCCCAACGCTTGTCCAAGTACATTGAGGGATCGATAACAGAACCGACTCGGGTTTCCAAAAGAAACCGGCAACGCTTCGTCGCCAGAACCAAGAAAAATAAAACGCTCCTCCCTCTTACCATATTCCGCAATCAGACTCTTGACAAGCAGAATGCCGCGATGGTTGGCAGCAACTTGGGCTACAAGGCAGTACTTCGCGAGTGAGCTTGTGCAAAGGCCACGCAGCGGTTGCAGCGGCTAGCATCCTCCCCACCCACTCATACTGGCGCCTCTCGACATCCGGAAACATGGCATTTGCAGCTTCTGGCATCATCGATCCTACTCCCGATTCCAGACACGCCCTCACCTTTGAGGTCCGAGATGTTGTCCTTGAGGCAGCGCGTGCCACTGCAGCCCTCGTACTGAGCCGGCTCGTCCAGCAGGATCTTGGTAATCCCGGCTTCGTCAAAGCTGCCATTCGAGACAAGCTTGAACGACTTGATGGCTGCGCCTTCCTGGTAGAGCTCGCGCGAGTTGGGTGGCATGCTTCCGGGTTGAAGTCCACTACACGCCAAGCAATAAAGTCAGCATTTCCCGTTCTGGGCTATCGCGGGCAGCCCCAAAATCCAGACCACCGGGATGGTTTGAGCAATTTAGGGCAACAGACGATGTCAGCCACGCCCTGTACGAAGCACAGTGGTCGCGCTACATACCCAATGTCAGCGTGGTGTCCTGACCACAGAGAAGGAGCCGAAGGCGTTGATCAGTATCGCCAAGAGACGGTTGAACAAGGCGTTGCGCCGCATCGACATACACCAGATCGACGCGCATTCATCAGCAACAGGCACGATCATGTCCCAGGGGACGCTACGTTGCTCGTCCGTCCATCACCGTTGCTTACCTCGACTTGCCACAAAGAATACAATGCGACCATCTTCAAATACGGGTGTGATGACGGTGATCTGTGTACACGTCGATCATCAATCCAGAAGTCAGATCGCTCTGCTCCGTTCTGCAATTCGCATGCTTGGTGCAAGCGGCACAGCCCCGCCGCCTTCCAGGGGCAAATGGTGCCTCGATGATGCTCAGCGAAGTCCACCTACATCGGGCAGGTGCGAGCCTCCGGCTGCTGGGTGGTTGGTCACCAGCACATCGCCATCCTTGATCCCGTCCTTGAGATACTCCATTTGCCAGCGAACAGCCTCCTGCATAGAGCCAAGGTGCACGGGGATGTGTGGCGCATTGGCAACCAGCCCGCCGTCGGATCCAAACAACGCACACGAAAAGTCCAGGCGCTCCTTGATATTGGTCGACACGGCCGTCTTCTGGAGCGTGCGGCCCATTTGCTCTGAGTTCCGAGACCATTATGGTTCCGACAGATCCCAAAGTGAGTAAGCCGGGAGGGAATCCACAGGGGCCGTCACATAGCGACCGTCCCACATGCCCACGCACACAACCCCATCGACAGCATGCCGACACACGACCAGCCAAACACTCACCAGCGATGCTCATAAATCTGTGGCCAAAGATCGACAACTGGATGGGATCCAAGTCGGTGCCGACCCGCTTCTGCTGGTACTCGCCGACGGTGATGACAACGTGCTCAGAAGTAATGAGCGCAGAGCACTCCGGGTCAACGACGATGGTCGCGTTGTTGTCAATCACAAGGGCAGGCCCGTCAATGACGCTGCCCCGATCGAGGCGGTCGAGGACATAGATGGGCGTGTCGGCGATCCGGCCCAGGCCGTCAAAGTAGCTGCTGGCACGGTCGTGCGGCGCCGGGGCTGGCTTGCGCTCGATCGAGGCGACCTCCTCGTAGACCTTGGTCTTGAATGCCGAGGCCTCGATGTTGGAGCTGCGACCGACACCGCGAACACGGATGTCATCGACATAGATGGCGCGGTCACTCAGAGTAAAGCCAAACTCTTGCTTGTAGGCATCGAGGAAGGGCGGAATGAAATCCCAGTCCTCGTCGCGCTTGGGCTTGAGAGTCATGAGGGCCGTGTCGGTACCCTGGTAGCGGAGGTTCAGGAACTCGTCGCAGTGGACATTCGCAGCTTCAAAGCCTTGTTGGACAAGCTCGCGAGTGGCCTGGGTAACGAGGTTGTTCACACGTTCTTGGATGCGAGGAAGGCTCTGCGGGCCAAATTCGACGGCGCTGTCGATATGCAATGCAGGAGGCAGGAAGATTCAGGGACAATATTGAAGCCGCTGTCTGTTCGGACAATCTCCCCCCCCCTCCATACACAAGATCGGAGGAGCGCCGGACCTTGACACACCTCACCAGAGCCCAACCCTGACACCAACGGGTCCTACCTTGGCTCTTGCACTTCGTGGACAACATCGGCAAGTGAGAGACCGTAGGCGGATAGAATCGCCGAGTACTTGTGGATCAGGATGCGCTTGATGCCCAGGGTGCGGGCGATGGCGCAGGCATGTTGGCCGCCCTGGGTGCAGGTACGGATTAGAAACAGAGTATCGGCAACAGTGCCCCGCCACGGCAATCCAGCCGATGAATGAGCAAGGCAAAGGGGTGGATGAGCATTGGCAAGAGCAGTGCGGCATATATGAGGGCCCCGCAATAGCATGCTTGCTTCCCCCAACGAAGGCAAGCCGACCGGGTCAAAGTCATGCGCCAGCATCGAGACGAGGCCACTTACTGCTCCTCCGAAGCAAGCCAAGACATGATTCGCTGTGTCGTATCCCTTCGCCTGGGTCAGCTCACGGATGGGTCGGCACATGCTTTCGTTGGCGACCTGAGGGAGAGGGATGTTACGTATTTGATGGCAACAGCCACAGTCAGACGGCACATGCCTGATTGATCAAAGGGCAATGGAGACGACACAGGGGACTCCCCGAGACGATGCGGCCCACTCACCTTGATAAAGCCAAAGGCAACTTGGTCGAGCGTCATCTGCTTGGCGGCGGCACCGCCATTCTTGGCAGCCTCCGACGACAAGAACGCATTGACATCATCCGTCAGCTGTTGGAAAAGTGCAAGCGAGGCCTGGATGTCCAGAGGCTCCTTCTCACTGGCGCCAAAGATTTTGGGGAAATAGTCGGGGATCAGGTGTCCCAGAACCAAGTTGGCGTCGGTAATGGCGAGAGGGCCGCCCTTGCGGTAGCACGCAGGACCAGGATCGGCACTGGCACTTTCAGGACTATGGAAACAAAAATGAAAGGGATGAATGGGTGGGCAAATGGCCCAAGCCACAGTGGGGCCGGCTCGCGTATGCGAGATGAATCGATGCATGCGATTCGATATGAGCCAACTCGTGAAACGGGGCGGACAGGCAACCCAGATCAGGCACGGTGAAGCAGTCTTACCCGACAACAAACATGCCGTTGCGGAAGAAGAGACGCGAGCCGCCACCGGCAGCAACCTTTATGCAAGTAGAACGGAGGATATTACGTTGAGAAGCAGTGCTACGCAAGTCAAAGATCAGCCGGAACTGCAGCGAGAACGACAAGGGAGGCACATCGGGCACAGACCCGACCACACTCGCGCCGAGATCGAACCCACCGTATTGATATCCAGCTGTGGGGCCTGAATCGTCACACCAGCCGTGGTGGTTTCGTAGACGTGCTCGTATCGGCCGTCGTATCTCGAAACGTCCGTGCTGGTTCCTGATTCGGACCAACCAATCGCCGAGGATATCGACGGTGACAAGTTAGAGACATGGGCTGGACAGTCTCGGAGTCCCCTGCGACCCATCTACCCAGTGCGACCCATCTACCCAGTGCGCTCACGAGCCAGGCCGACTGCTGTGAAATCCACTCACCGCCCATATCGAAACCTATGACGGCCGTGTTCTCCTCCGGTGTCCAGCTGGTGAGGGCGTAGCCAACCACGCCGCCTGCCGGACCGCTGAGGATCGCCTTGAAGCCGCTGAAGCCGCTGACGGGAGTCAGTCCGCCGTCGCTCTGCATGAATTCGACACGCACATTGGTGTGGATGCCAGCATCAAAGCCGCTAAAGAAGCCCTGAATGTATCGCTGGAGACAAGGAGTCAAATAGGCATCCGCGGTAGCAGAGGTGCCTCGGGCAACGATCTTGATCATCGGCATGATCTCCGAGGACAGGGAAACGTGTGTGAATCCGATCCGCTTGGCAATCTCCCCAATCTTCTTTTCGTGCTCTGGAGACGAAACACAGGAACAGGAGGCGTTGGCGCTGGCATCAAGCAGGCCGACGGATGGCAAGCTGCAACAACGCATGGCGCTGACCAAAACGAGCGGCTTTGTGGCTCAGCTTCCAGACTTGCCTGGGTATGTGAATGCGTGCATCAAACATATCGCCACGCTTCGGATTCCGCGGTCGTAGACATGCTGGAGATCCTTGCGGATGCTTTCGATATCTGATCCGGCCAGACGCACGAGTGAGCTCGCGCAAACAAACAACCGCAGCCTCTGCCCTTGACAGAGAGCGCATAGCATGGCAGAATTGACATGCCTGGGGCCTGCAGGATCTTGACCCACTCGCCCGTGATGCCCTTGACGAAGCGAGCGTCGCCTTCAGGAACCACAACGTCCATGCCGGACTTTGTCGAGGTGTATCCAACAAGAGTGACTCTAGCATGTTTTTCGATCCGGACAGCGTTGGCAACCGAGGGAGGCGCATTCCCGGTCAATGGGCCAGTTGGTCATGAGCCATTTTGATGCCACGAAGTTCATATGTCATTGCGGTGGAGACGTGGATAGAGACGTCGTTAGCGAACAAGAGCCCACACAACGATCGACAGCGGTCTGGCCAGCGCTCAACTCGGCCGTGCATCCGTACCGTTCATCCACCTCGACAACCTGCTCGAACAGCACATCGGGCATGGTGATCGACAGGTCAAAGATCTTGGGCCGCGACTGGTTACCGATCTTGAGCAAGTCCTGCCGATGAATTGAACATGGATGCCCATAAGACAATGCTCTGGGAGCAAGACTCGCACGAAACGTATGGAGCTCCTCCGATAGAAGCGGCAGCGGTGTCCTTTGCCACCCCCCTGACAGTTGTGCCAGAACCACCAAGAACCACCAAGAGCCACCAAGAACCACCAAGAACCACCAAGAACCACAAACCTTGAAGCCCTTGGTGATAAGCAAGGCAACAGGCTCGCCCTTTCGTTCCAGCAGCTAGATCGGCAGAGGATGGATGTACCCAGGTCAGTCTCATCCATAAACTCGCGCCTGCGGAAGCCATCACAGAAGCGGGTCAAGCGTCGAGGAATGTTGATGTGCAGATGAACTTACTGCATTGGTGGCGACGGTGGTGCCCATGCGGATGATCTCTGCAACCGCAGACGGACAACATGGTGCGAGTAGAACAAATCAATCTATGCCCGGCTCAAGTCCAGGAAGACATCCTCCTTGTCCGGGAGCTCGGCCCAAGAGCCCTCGAGTGAGTGACTTACCCAAGCGAGATGTGTCGACGGGCTTGTCTCTGGGATGGGGGATGCCTGTGGCGATCTCCACTGCAAAAGACCATGGAAGAAGGCGTCAGCCAGCGGATATGAGTCCTCCTCCCATCGGAGGTAGATGCAAATCGTGAGGGTGTTGCCATCACGAGCCGATCAGAGGCATGTCTCCTTCAGCAGATACAAAAGTGACTCGGAGCAACATGGAATACCACCCCGCACTACAGGGACATTCATGGGGCAATCATGATCGGCCCAGCCGAGACGAGGAGCTTCTCGCAGAACTCACGGATTCGGCGAATGCCCTCTCGGGGCGCATCGGGATAGTTCTGTGGGTCGACGCTGAGCAGCTTGACAACAACGGGCGACCACTCGTCGGTGCCCTTAGGGATAAAGCCAATGCAGTCGGTGAATGTACCACCGCGGTCGATGCAGATGCGGACTCCACGGGTCATGTCTGGGTGCTGGCGATTGAAGGAGGGCTCTTGCGAGGCGACGGCTCTTGCAGAACGACGAGGGTGTCAGGAAAGATGCAGGTCTGCGACCGAGATGAGCTGCCAAGAGAGCCACGGCGCGGCGATGGGGTCATCGTGGGCACATTGCCGACCTCCGATTTCGAATCCGGCCCAGGCAGGAACGTCCACCCTTCCACAGCCACCCGCTGGCTTGTGAGATCCCGGGGCGGCGACCAAGCCGTCCCGGCGCAGCGATTGCTCGGAGCACACTCTGCTCGATATCTGCAAGCATCAGCGCAAGTCCTCATTGCCCAAGCACAGTCCTTTTCAAAGAACATCATCCCGTGTGGCTGGACGATCGGCGAAACCGCACTCTTGACATCAACAACGACAGTCCCTTCCCTCGTTCGTCTTCGTCTCACCACCCACACTGCCGCTCGAACGACACCTCACCCGGTCATGCAAACTGCTACCATCGACCAGCTCTTTTCCTGCCCTGCCCACGGTACCGACCACGATCTGTTCCTCTCATACCAAGCCCAGACTGATGCCGACACTGTCCGGGCTCTGAAGGAAGTGCTCACCCTGGTCGCCCTCCGTCGATATGGCAAACCCATTTCCATCTTCCACGATGTCGACTGCCTCAACAATCCCAACGACCCTCCAGCCAGCTCCATCAGTGCCCTCCCCACCAGCAAGGCCGTCTTCCTGCTCCTCAGCAAGGCCTCGATGGACATGATGAAGGACAAGGCCAAGAATGGCCAAGAGGACAGCGTCCTGCTCGAAATCAAGACCGCCCTCGACCTCAAGGATGCCAATCGTTCCCTCCCTGTCCTTCCCCTCGGAATCGCCACCAAGGAGACCAAGGATGGCGTCGATGGCTTCACTCCCTTCCTGCCGTACATGGTGTCCCTCCCCGACGACCCTGCCTTTACCTCGCTCAAGCAGACCCTCGGCAGAGTGAACCAGATCCAGTCCTTTGGCTTCCGTCCCGACCAGATGCACAAGCGAGTCTACCGCCTCCTCAACCTCGTCCATCCCATCCCACCCAACATGGATCTCATTACGGCCATCCATGACAAATACTTTTGCGACTCCAAGTTCCGATTCGATCCCGTCCACCTCGACACCCTGCTCAAGCAACTCACCCTGACTGGCCGTGCCGTCATCTCTGGCATGGGTGGCATGGGCAAGTCCGTCCTCGCCATCCAGATCCTGTTCTTCATGATGGGCATTATGAATGCGAGCAACAAGGACGACCTCCTCGCCATCAAAGCCGAGACCATCGGCATCAAGCCGCAGTACCGCCAGGTCTTCTGGCTCAACTGCTCGACCGAGTCGACTGCCATCGATGGACTCATCGAGATGTTCCCTGGCATCAAGCCCGACGAGATCAAGGAGCATGCCTCGAGGTTCCTCGCCAACACTCATGGCTATCTCCTGGTGCTCGACAATGTCGATGACATCAACGTGGTCGACTCTGTGTTTGAGCACTCCAAGTCGGTCGGGTTCAGCGGCGATGTGGTGATGACGACTCGGCTGGCCTCACTGCCTCCTGGTGCATTCACCAGTGCTCTTGAGACCAAGGCACCGAGCTTCCAGCACGATCTGCTCCGTCTCGGCAACTGGGACGACTCCACCACACTCGACTATATCATGTCGTCGTCGCCAATGATTGTCCAGCGACTTGTGTCGGACGAAGCCAAGAAGTCCCTCGACAGCATCGTGGCCAAGATCAGTGGATATCCACTCGTCATCCAGACATTCATGACGTTTGCCGAGAACTATGACACTCCCCTGTCGATGCTCGAGGCCACGTTTGCAGGAGCATTGGAGCTGCAGGATGGCGAGGACGACACGCGGTCGTCGCTCAAGGTGATTGTGGATCTGTCGCTGGACTCGCTGATGAAGCGAGGGAATGAAGGTATCGAGGCAGCCAGGCTGTTCGGGGCCCTCAGTCTGGTGGCGCCGACCAACATCCAGTTCGAGTTGATCAAGGCGATCGTGCAGAAGATGGAGCTCAAGACCGATGGTGAGTTGGGATTGAATCAAAGTGCAGTAGATGGTGTCGGTGTATGGAACTGACCAGTTGCCTGTCCACAGTGGCCGATCTGATCAAGATGATGGTCCAGAGTGGCCTCCTCCGAAGTGGAGCCGAGGGACAGTACTCGACCCACTCGCTCACCCAGCAAGTGTCCCGAGAGTATGTCCAGGCGCATGAGAAACTGGATGCCGAAAGAATCGAAGATGCAACTGGTGAAGTCCTCCTCGAGCTGACCAAACTCGAAGATCTCAAGGCACAATCATTTGCGGAGCATCTAGATCAATACGCTGAGAAGACAGTACCAGCGGTTTACACCAAGCAACTGCATTTCCTGGTCGAGTTCCAGATAGCAAGATTGGCTCAAAAGAAGCCCTTCTACATCAAGGCAACGGAGTCATACAGGAGGAACTTGGAGCGAAGCATAGTGTTCTACGGTACCCGCGAGCACCCCAAGGTTGCCGCCATTCTCGATAACATGGGTCTCACGGAGGCTGACAAAGGCCACCTGAGCCAAGCACTCGCCTTCCACAACGAGTCGCTCGACATCAGGGTCAAGATCTATGGAACTCGCGAGCACCCCGATATCGCCCAGACTATCAGCAACATTGGTGTTGTCGTTGATGCGCAAGGGAATCTGAATGAAGCACTCCGATACTTTCAAGAGGCTCTCGACATCACCATACGGGTATTGGGCACCCGTGAGAGTATTCTCGTCGCCACGATTCTCAACAACATGGGCATGGTCTCTCGGCGCCTGGCACGCTTCGATGACTCGATTCGCTACCATCAAGAAGCTCTCGACATCAGAGTCAAGGTGCTGGGCACACGCCGAGACAAAGACGTGGCAACCAGCCTCCTCAATATGGGACTCGTGTCCAGAGATCAAGGTCGCTTGGACGAGGCCCTTGCTCTGCTGCAAGAGTCCCTCGATATTCTGGAAGCTGTGCTGGGCACACGCGAGCATCCGGATGTCGCCAAGCTCCTTGGTGATATCGGCCTTGTACTGAACGACCAGGGCCACCTTGACGACGCGCTCCAGCTCTACCAAGAAGAGCTGGATATCACCATCAAGATCTTTGGCACTCGCGAGCATCCCAATGTCGCCATGACCCTCAACAACATCGGCGCCATTTTCAGCGACCAAGGCTGCCCAGAGGAAGCCCTCAAGTACTACCAAGAGGATCTCGACATCACCACCAAAATTCACGGCACCCGCCAACATCCGGATGTTGCGCGAACTCTCAACAATATGGGTTTGGCGGCGCGAGTCCTGGGAGATTGGGACAGGGCCTTTGAGCTCTTCCAGGAATCTCTCGAGATATACACCAAGGTCCTTGGCACCTACAACCACCCGGATGTCGCCATGGCCTTGAGTAACATTGGGATTGTAGCGGCACGACGGGGCGATCTGAACGAAGCCTTGCAATACTTCCAAAAGTCGCTCGACATGGTAGTGGCGATCTATGGAACAAGAGTGCATCCTGATGTTGCCTCCACGATCCACAACATGGGCGGGGTGGCCTATCAGCAGATGGACTGCGAGAGAGCTCTTGAGCTCTACCACGAAGCTATCGACATCCTGACCAAGATCCATGGCACTCGGGAGCATCCCAGAGTGGCCACCATCATCCTGGGCATCGGCAGCGTCGCCGAAGTGCAAGGCGATCTCCCTGCGGCCCTGGAAAACTTCCGCGAAGCCTATACAATCTTCAAGAATGCGTATGCCAGTGAAGACCACCCATCAGTGGAGATGGCCTGGCAATGGATGAAGAATATGGAGCAACGCATTGATACAGCCCAAGCCTAGTGTCGATTGGCGATCGAAGGGATGACCGCCGGTTTCCGTTTTCTGCTCGTAGCTTGTTGTTGCACCCGCTCGCTTTGTCGGCTGCAGCATATCTGAGTGGATGTTGCAATCACTGTCGCAATCTCGCCATGCTCGATTGCATCCACAATATTATCAGTCGATCTGTGTCATCGACATACCGTGTCCTCTAGATTCAATAGTATTTATCACGTCCCTCTACATCTTCAGCACGCATCACCAATGTGCTCCCATAATCAGCATCTCGGTGCAGCTACGTCACTTCCATCTCCTGGGAATCGAGCGCTGTGGAGTGAAGTATATGCTGGATGATCGAAAAGCCACACCGACACTGCCCTCGGCACACCTACACCGACAATGAATCAAGGAACAGTACTACTCCACATTTTATATCAATGTATTGACTGCAAAATGCAACATGGCTGTCGGCAGCTAGGATTCGGAGGCATCTTCGGGATCAGGTTGCTGACAGTGTATGACAAGCGAATTCATCGCCTTTTTGTAGCCTTGGTCTGCAGCCTTGCGCCACCAGCTGATCGCCACGTCCATGTCTCTATCGACGCCTTCGCCACTTCGGAAGCAATCGCCGAGTCGATTTTGACCGAACCGATTTCCCTGTGCGGCCGACTTGCGGAGCCATTCGACTGCTTGGGTGTGGTCCTTGGTAACTCCATTTCCCCAGCGATAGCAAGCGCCAACCCAATACTGTCCGTACGAGTCGCCTTGATCAGCGGCCTTGCGGTACCACTCTAGTGTCATGGGTTGGCTCTCATCAACCCCCCAGCCATAGCAGTAGCACTCCCCGATCCAGCACTGGCTTTCAATTCGGCCTTCGTTGGCGAGTTCTTCGAATATGGCTGCAGCCTGCTCTGCGCGCCGCTTCGTCCCGAATCCCCGAGTAAGACACAGCGCCATGAGGTGCTTACAGAGCCACTCGTGCTCGGATCCAAGCTGGCACAGCTTGAAGAACTTGAGGGCCGCCGGGGACCGAGATGGGCCGAGCCATTCACCTGCCAGGCACTCGCTTTCTCCGAGAGGAAACATGGGGGACTGGCCCTTGCGAATGAACTCGACTCCCTTTTGCTTGTCGCGCAAAGTACCTCGGCCAAGGTAGAACATCCAGCCAACCATGTGGGTGGCGATGGGTTTGATGACCGGGTCGGTGGAGTTGGTGCTGACCTCCAGCCATTGGGAGAGTGCGTCTGCATCACTTTGCTCGACGCCATGGCCGATGAATGCAAACCAGCCACGGAGGAACAGGATACGGAGACGGCCGTCGTCGTTTCCTTGATCAGCGGCCTTGGAGTACCATTCGACGGCTGTATCGTAGCTCTGATCGACACCTTCGCTGCTTTCGTAGCATCGACCGAGAGCAACTTGGGCTTGCACCATTCCACGATCTGCAAGATCACGATAGATCTCCGCGGCCTTGGCTTGGTCTCGTTCGACTCCGTAGCCGTCATAGAAGCGATTGGCTACATGGAACTGTGCCATCGGATGGCCGGCGTCGGCTGCGTCCTTCAGAAGGTCAAAGATTCGCTCTTTCACGGCGTCCTCATCGACAGACTGTTGAAAGGAGAGGGCGATTTGGAAGATCCTGGCCAGGAAATACGAGGCGGCCGCGTTCCCCTGCTCCGCGAGAGCAGCGAGCCAGGATCGGTCGACTGGGCATTCATCATCGCAGCGCAGCGAGAGGGCGATTTTGTCGCTGGGTGTGAGGCTGATTAGGAGCGATCCGTCTGGATAGAACAGTCCTGCATTGTGGCACCAGGTGAGGAAGCGAGCCACCCTGGAGCTCAGCAGGGGCCGGGCCCGTCTGCATGCCTGGAGCAGGGTCTTGATTGTGCTGTGGTCGAGGGCAAGTTGGAAGCTCTCGTTGCAGCACACGATGGTGAAGACGTCCGGACTGTGGTCATGCATGTGCGGTTGGGCGATGTGGGAAGAGGAGGGGAAGATGCGCAACGACGGACGAGACGGACAGGAGAGGGAAGGAGTGGGAGAGGGAGAGGGAAGGAGCGGGAGAGGGAGCGGGAGGGAGGCAAGTCGTTGATGGAAGCGGGGCGCCAAGACCCCAGAGTCGCGACAGCGGGGTGGCACAGCCAACGACCCACGGGCCAAGAGAACCCCGCGACAGGGCTAGCAACCCGTATTTCGCGGGATTCTGGCGGAACTGATTCGAGATCCATTCGTCGTTGGTTCATGCATGTGAGGGAACTCTCAGCTTGAAAAGAGTCTCATCGGCCGAGCACAGGGACAAGCGAACAGGCCTGGTCCACATCGGAACCCCTTCGCCATCCGAGGACCAAAAGTGAGCGACGCTGGCGATGTGGGCGATCAGCACGGCGGCGGCCTGCTGGATGGAGATCAATCCCATATTAGCGACCCGGCATGCGACGCCAGTATCCAAGGAGAACATACCATACAGCCACACCAGACCGCCGCCCGAGTCGTATGTAAGCAGCACAACCAAGCCGACTCGACGGCCGTATCCAAACAGACATTCGGCTGGCGAGCGGTGGGGTATCGCCCATTCCTTGACTCGGTCCTTGACTCGGTCCTTGACTCGGTCCTTGACTGGCTTGTTTGATCTGTTCGACGCTGAGATGATCAAGCACTTGGCGAGCGCAGCTTCGGTAGAAAGGGACAACCCGTCCGAGCGTGCTCTCCTCGACTTGTCAAGAGCCACCCTCCCAGCATCACCCACGTTTCTTGTTGGTTGTCGAGTCAAGCCGATCTTCGCCGCCACCGGCCAGCAAGCGGCATTCCAAAAAACAGGTCGCCCATCCATCCACCGATTCTGTGCATCGCCCCGCCGATTGTGCCCCGACACATGTCTCCAAGAAACGCCGATGTTTCTCCTTCGATGCACATGCGCCGCTGACTCAACTCGGACAAGGGTGGGCTGGCAGTGAGTGGGTGTGTGGCGTTTCTTTGACGCGCATAGAGGATGACAAAGACCGATTCCGCCGCATCGGGATCGCAGGTATTTCCACAGTGCCGAATTCTGTCCATTCCCGGCTTGCAAGAGCCCGAGTCAGCACATACAGCCGCCACAGGGATACTCCGCCCCTTGTCGCCGCCGTCCGCTGACACAGCCGCTTTGCCAACAGCCCCATTCGTTCAGTGGGATCCCTTCTTCTGTCTCCGCCCCCAGCCAGCCGCTCGGCTTGTCTGCCGCCGCCATCGCCCCCGACTTTGGCACTCGTGCACTCGCCAGCCTGTATATCTGTGTACACATGCATGCATCAACGTATGCATCAATGTATGTACGTATGGACCCATTTGTGGCTGCTGACCCGATCCTCGATTCTCTTATAAATCTCACCGCCCAACCGCCCACCCGCTCCCCCCAGGTTTGTTTCGCGCCGCCTGCGCTCGTCGTATCCATCCGAGATCGACGACTAAACAGTTCCTTCGGGATGGCTCCCAACATCCAAATCCATGTCCCAACAGCCGAGCCTGTAAGCAACCTCGACTCTGACTATGCCTCGCCCCAACCAGAACGCACCCAGACCCATCGATCAGCCCGTTCGGTACGGTCCAATAAGAGATCCGTCCGCTCGGGCCGATCAGGCAGGGTTTATGCTGAAGACAAGCCCGGGACGCAGTTCCTGGGTGTCCAGGTCCAAGACGAGCTCCAGAGCCAAGGCGTCCAGACCCTCCACCAGCTCTTCCGGGATACCCCCAACGTCGCCATCGCCACGGCCGACCCCAGCCGCAGAACCCTCACTCACCAGGCGCTCAAGTCGTTCATCTCCAGCGGCCTCGACATTGAAAAGTTTGGCCTGCTGCCCAATGCCCGCATCGGCATTGCTCTGCCGGAGGGCCCCGAGCTCGCCGTGTGCCTCCTGACCGTCATGACCTATGCCACTGCCGTTCCTGTCAACTTCAACATGACCGACGAGGAGATCTGCTCCGAGGTCTCGCGGCTGGGCTCCAAGGCAATCGTGCTGCCTGCCTCTCGCCTCACGGTAAGATTGCGGACGATGCAGCGCGCTGCTGCTGGTTGGTCTTGTGTTGCAGGCATGAGCTGTGGCCCTGGGGTTGGCGCTGCCTTGGCTGGTCCCACCAGACACAACGCCTGTGGCTGCCGTCTTCGTCCGCCCCGGGCGGCTTACCTGGGGCAGCGCCTCCCTTATCTTGGCTCTGGCTCTCATCGCCCCTGGCAATCAGCATGGGCCGTGTCTGTTGCATCGACACCGTGATCCGTCTCGCGCCGTTGTCATTCGCTGCAGTCGATGGCCACCACTGTTGTGTGCTCACTCTCTCTATCGATGCCTGCAACGTCTCGCCTCCCCATTGCCTCATGCTTTTCCACCAGGATGAGTTCCTCGACAAGCTGAGCTGGCACAATCTCTCCGTCCTGGTCCTGACGCCCTCCACCGAGGTCTGCGGTCTGTTCACGCTGCAGATCCATGAGGGATCCAAGCACGAGGATCCGCTCAAGGTTCGTCCAGTGTCTCCCGCATCGCCGTCTCCCACGCTTGCACTCTCGCTCGGCCGTGTCCGCAGTACTCCTATTTGCGTGCCTGTCCCGTCGGCTCAGGCATCTGTCCGCTGCATCCGACCATGTCTCGGCTCCCAGTAACCTCTTGTATCTGCTGATGTTGTGCAGCGCTTCTCGACCATGTTCAGTGCCCGCACCAACAACTACTCTCGCCTGACCGACTACGGCATGGTCCTCGCCACCTCCGGCACCAGCGGCAACAAGAAAACCGTCCCCTATACCCTGGAGACCCTGATCGTCGGTGCCCGCTGCGTCTCGAGCTCATGGAATCTCACGGTACGCTACATCCCGTCCTCTCGTGTCTTTGGCGGCCTGCTGTCACTCATGAGCTGCCCACTAAACCCCACGCTCAACACCAGGAATCCGACGTCAACCTCAACATGATGCCCCTCTATCACGTCGGCGGCATTGTCCGCAACCTGCTTGCCCCCATCCTCAGTGGCGGCGCCGTCATCATCACCAAGGGCTTTGACCCCGTGGTCTTTTGGGAACTCGTCGACGGCAAGGACACCAGCGTTCGCCCCACATGGTATTACGCCGTGCCTACGATGCACCATGCCATTCTGCAAGAGGGCGGCAGCCGCGATGCGACCAGCTGCGGCATCCGCATGATCGCCAATGCTGGCGGCGGCCTCCTGCCGTCGCTGGCTGAAGAACTGCGTCGCTTCTTTGCCTGCACGGTGCTACCCTCCTACGGCATGACCGAGTGCATGCCCATCGCCACTCCGCCACAAGGATATGCCCTCGAGCGGCCTGGAACATCTGGCGTCTCCGTCGGTATGTAGCTGAGTGCAGACCAGCATCGGGTGCTCTTGCCGGCCGGTCGCGCCGTCCATGTTCTGTCGCCGTTGGTTGGACCACAAACGAGTGTGATTGTATGGTCGGGTCCCAACAGTCCTCCTCTGGCGCTCCTAGGTCCCGAGATTGCCATCTACGACTCCGAAAGCAACCCGTGCTCGCCGTTTGTCGTCGGCAACATCATGGTCCGTGGCGCACCCACCTTCGGCGGATACGAGAACGACGTCGCCGCCAATGCCAACTCGTTCACGCGCGACGGCTTCTTCAACACCGGCGACATGGGCTACCTCGACAACGATGGCTATCTGTGTGAGTATTCGACGCTGGCAGGGATTCCGGCGTCAGCGCTGACAACCGGTGGCTCGGACCAGTGTCTCCCACGGTCCTGGCTCCTGCCGCCCTTGCTTGTTTGGCTCCCCCCACTCCTGTTCCTGACGCAACTGCATCCGTACCCTTCATCCAGATATCACTGGCCGCTCCAAAGAAGTCATCAACCGAGGCGGTGAGATCATTTCTCCCGTCGAGGTCGAGGACGCCGTGATCAAGCACCCCAAGGTCCGCGAAACCATCGCCTTTGTCGTGCCGCATGATGTCCTGCAAGAGACCATCGGTGTGGTCATAGTCTCGACCAACCCAGCCTCCAGAGTCGACCTGGTGCAGCTGCAGAGGTATTCGTCGTCGCTGACTTGTGTGTGCGGTGCCATCGACATGAAGCAGTGTCTGATCGTCGCTGCATTGGACTCGCTGCCCACTTCCGTCTCATGCGCAACTCGTTCGTCGCAGCTTCGTCTCCAAGAGCCTCCATCCCTCAAAGTGGCCTCAGCTCATCGTCTACATGGATGCCCTCCCCAAGAACCAGAACAACAAGCCCCTCCGCATCAATCTGGCCAAGCGCTGCGGCATTCCCGAGCAAACCGACCAGGTGCCGATGACCCGTCGCCTGTGGGATGCCGTCTGCCCACCCAAGACAGCGTCCCTTCAAGAGCCGATTCCGACCACGCCGGTGGTCATCTCGTACGAAAGCAGCCTCAAGCATATTAAGGCCTTCCCCGGCATCGTCGACGCCGTCTATGTCAAGACCAGCCCCGAGGACGACGACATCACCATGTTTGTGCAGACCTCGCTGAGCATTGGCGAGCAGGACATTCGAGAGTCACTCGCCCCGCTGGTTCACTCCTACGAGATTCCCAAGGACATTATCGTCGTCGATGCGCTCAAGAAGAACCCTGACGGCTCATTCGACACCGAGGCTCTCCATGAGATCATCCGCAACAAGGGCATCGACGAGTCCAAGCTCACCGAGGTCGAGCTGGGCATCTATGCCATCTTCAAGGAGGTCCTGCAAGTGGACAAGGTTCCGAGCATCAACTCTGACTTTTTCGAGCTCGGAGGCGGGTCGCTCAAGGCTGGCCGGGTCGTTGGCTTGATCAGGTACGCATCGAGTTAGATCGGGTCGAGTGATGCACGGATTGGCTCTGCCAATGCCCCTGGGTCGAGTGCATCCCGCTGTGGAGCGTGCTCTTGATAGAGCTCGACACCATTTGCGGGCGGCCTGGCTGAATGGCAGACTACCGAGGCCATGTCTTGCGGTCGCTGAGCAGCGGGCCTGGGAATGTCGAGTGATTCCACCCAGCACACAACGTTTTGCCATGCCATTCCTCCACACCATACCCGCCACACCATGTCATATCACACCGTACCCGCCGCACATACTCCTTGCATCCTACTAATCGCTCCTGATCCATCTCCTCCACCAACGACGCTGCAGAAAGCAGTACGACGTCAACATCCCTGCCATGGAAATGTTCCAGCACAGAACCATCGCCAGCCTTGCTGCAGTGGTCACGGAGAAGCAAGTCCTCCAAAACTCGGCCTCCAACCGAGCTGTCAAGCGAAAGCTGAGCCAGAAGGCGCGAGTCAAGGGCCGCTCGTCGACCAACCTTGGTGCCCTGATCTTTCAGCTTTTGCCGATCACAGTGTTCCGCCCTATGCAAAAAGCCATCACTTGGCTTGTCTTTGTCAACTGCTTGATTGTGATCGACCATTTCTTCCGTCGCCTGTGGCTTCATATCAAACCCATCACCCGATCGATTTTGTTTGTCAGTCCCACTTTGATGTACGGCTGGGCCGGCGTCGATCCGATCTCTCCCGAAGCCAGCTCGATCTATGATGGCGCTGTACCGATCTTTTCCAGGAACAGCACCACCCCGCCCTCCCCATCGTTTACTGCTCACGCCGTCAAGGCCACAACTGCCGATAGTCTGGTACGAGTGACACAGCTTACGGGCGCTATTCTGGTGGCGCACCTCATTCTATGGATTGTCATGCCTTTGGTTGCGATCATTTTCAAGTGGATCGTTATCGGGCGATACAAAGCCGGAAGGTGAGTCAGTCTGCTGGTCAGCGGGATGACGGTCCATGAGAGTGTGCAGCACTGCCGTGAGAATGAACAGCACTGCTGAATGCCCAGCGTCACAGCCCCAATGCAATACTGACTCTGAGCCTCTATTATTGCGCCTCGGTACCATTGATGTGCCTGCGTTGCAGCTATCCGCTGTGGGGACAGTACTACATCCGCTGGTGGCTTGTCGACCAAGTGCTCCATCTGACGGGCCGCGGCGTATATGGATCCAGCCCGACCCTCCTCCGGAACTACTACCGTCTCCTTGGAGCCCGGATCGGACGAAATGCCACCGTCGACACCGCTACCAACATTGGCGAGTTTGATCTGATTGATATCGGCGACAACTGTATCCTGGAGACTGCGCGAGTCCGTGGCTTCTGCATGAAGACAGGCAGAATGGTCCTCGACAAAATCATGATTGGTAAGCCGCGATGGCCTTGTGCCCTTTGCCTAGCTGTGGTGGACATATTGGCCGGGACAGTGCTGTCTATCCGCTGTGTTCTAACAGACCCACTTGCACAGGCGACAATTCGGTACTGAACGTCAAGACGACAGTTGCCCCCGGCCATGTTGTCTCGCCGGGCACGGTCTTCCCTCCACTCGGCAGCTCCCACGAGCTCAAGGACACCTCGCCTCGCTTCAAATCCATCGCCCGGTCGCGCCTTCGCTCGCCGCACTTCCTGACCGTCCTGCTCGTCGGCTGGCCGATTGTCGTGATCCTGAACCTGATCGCCATGGTGCCGTGGATGGGAATGATCTATCTCCTGACGCGCGCGCCCTTTGTCACAACAGTCTCGTCGGAGCAGAGTGCCTTTGCCTTCCTCGTCAACTACTTTGCGTCGCCGTACCGCATCATTTACCACTTCCTCGCCCTCGCCGCTCGATCGATCGTCTCGCCCTTCATCTATCTATTCCTGTGCATCGCAGTCAAGCGCCTGCTGATTGGCAAGTTCAAGGCCGGACGACTCAGCAACACCAACTGGGATGCCTTCCGCCACTGGCTGTGCAAGAAGCTTTTTGCCGACGGCACTCTCTGCGGTGTCTACCATCTCATCGGCCGCCACTACGAGCTCACCAGCATGATCTACCGCGCTCTCGGCGCCAAGATCGGCAAGCGCATCTACTGGCCCGGCACATCCCTTCACCTCTACGAATTCGACCTGTTTGAGGTCGGCGACGACGTCGTCTTTGGCTCGCGCACGCATGTCATCTGCACCGACAGCGAGGAATCGGCCCACATCCGGATCGGCCCAGGCGCCATGATTGCGGACCGATGCGTGCTCCTGCCTGGCACAACTGTTGGACAGGAGTGTGTCATGGGATCGGGAGCGCTCTCCAAGCCCCACACCGAGTATCCCGCCGGCTCGGTCTGGATCGGCAGCCGAAACGGAAGTGCCGTGCTGTGGGACCAAGGCGACCCCAACAAGCTCTCGCACGATACAACCACACCCTTTGGCAAGGCTTTCTACAACCGCAAGGCCACCTTCCATGTGATCCCCATGTGGGCATGTGTGCTCTACAGCGTCGTCTGGGAGATCTTCCGGTCGATGTACTGGGGCCTCTCAATCATCGGAGCCATCTTGGTGGCAGATCAGTTCTACATTCAAGATATCGACACAAGCCCCATGCCGCAGGATGTTGCCGGCTATCTCATCATCATCGCCTCGGTCATGGCGATCTTTAGTGTCCAAGCCTTCGTGGCGCTGTGGATCGAGGTCGTGACCAAGTGGATTCTCTTTGGCCGCCGCAAGCCCGGATCGTACAACTGGGACCAGTCGTCGTACTGCCAGCGCTGGCAGATCCTGATCACCGTCAACACCCTGCGCGAGGAGCTCCTGAACTGTCTGCGTGGCTCATGGTACATTGTGGCGCACTTCCGAGCCCTGGGCTGCAAGATCGGCAGCCGGGTGTGTCTCTATCCGACCGGCGGCGACCCGATGATGACCGAGCCGGACCTGGTGCGCATCGGCGACGATGTCTGCATTGACGTTGCCAGTGTTGTCTGCCACATCAACAGCCGCGGCCAGTTCTCACTCAACCCGCTGGTCATCGGCGACGGCAGTGTTCTTCGCGCCGAGTCGCGGCTCCTCTCGGGTGCCGAGATGGAGGAGGACTCGACGCTGCTGGAGCACACCCTCGTGGTCAGCGGCGAGCTGGTCGAGAACGGCTCTGTCTGGCAGGGCTGGCCCGGCGCAAGTGTTGAGATGACTGAGGAGGACCAGCGTATGGCGACCGAAGTTGCGTCTCGCCGCCTCTCGATGGTCGAGGCTCAGGAGTTTGCCCGCAGGAACAGCATCAAGAGCATCAAGAGCATCCATCAACGCACCGGTTATGCCTCGGGCACATTCCAAAAATACTGAGCGCCGCTTATTCCTCCGAATCAAGATGAGCCGTGCTATTGCGAATCCCTCACTCGCTCCTTCCTCATATGCTAGGTTCCTTGGCGGCACCCATCCAACACAAAGACAAGACCACCTTTCGCCGTGTGGCCGGTGCGCTGTGGACAACTTTCATTCTCTTCATTTAGAATCCCATTTCCGGACATCATTCTCTTCCGCACACATGTCTTGTTCGCCACAGTACGAGCACACTGAAAACGAGACCACCTATTTTTGAGGCCGATGGCCATGGTTTTTTTCTAGACCCCCAGAATATATTCCCACATCTACTATTCTCAACAACGATCCACCCCACGGAAGCACAGCGAGGAGTATCCTTTCGATCTGGTGGACGTGGCTGATACCGTGAATCGATTGCAATGTCAACTCAGCCAGGAACATGGCCCCATTGTGGCCCCATGGTGCGGCTCCGTTGCGACAACACAGATCCAGCAGCTGGATCGGGAGATACTTGCTAGAGGGCAGCTTATCGTCTCGAACAAACATGCTCCTCTTTGCTGTCTGCTTTCTCCAGGGTCATATCGCGCTGGTTGGACAGCATCCACTCGTTCGCACTGCTTACACAGGCCGCCGTTGGTCAAGAGTTGCCAGCACTAGACTCCATGGGACGGTCACCCATGGGATAATTCCATCCGCTTGGTCGTACTATATGATCCGGGCAAGAAACAGAGACACTGTGGATGCGGGCAACCACCTGGCTGTGATTCGTGTATTTCTATCCATGATCCATCCGCCCCAAATGAAAATCTGAATTGCGCATCACCGACAGTCGTGGCCTCTGCAGATCGCATCGACACCGCAGTAAGCACTCAGCATCGTCGCAGCCATGGTGCGGCATTACAACCCGAGCTAGCTACAAGTGCTGGGTTTGCTGGGAGCGATCTGATCTGATCTCGTGCAATTCATCTCACAGTCATCACTACCTCAAAGATGCTTGGACTGCTGAAGATCTTGGCCGCCGTGCTATCGACTTGCGCCTTCATATCTGCAGTTGTCGCAAGCACTGCCAACGCGACGATCAGCATCGGCCTCACATACGCCCTCACAAATCCAGCCAGCTTTCCCGAAGGCCCGTATTTGGCCAACGCGATGCTACTTGCCATCAAAGAAATCAACCAGAACCCGGCTTTGCTTCCAAGTAGGTTATGCACCCGTCCGTTGCGCGGTGAGGAATGCATCAGCGATGCCTCTCGAGCAACAAACCGTGGCTTCGATGTCGCATCGCCAGCTCCACAAGCTGCCATATCGAGTTTCTCGGATTCACGCCATCTCGTCTGATTGCCGGCGAGCGCGTCCAGAGTTAGATTGATTGATGCTTCCTTCTCAATTCAAGATATCACGCTGCGGCTCGTCACCAGTGACTCGGGAGATGTCACAAGCCAAGGAATGTAAGCGCATTGCCACGATTATTGTGTTGGTTCGGCGATCGGCATGCTGGACTGACCCCTCCCATTCACCAATAGCGTGGGTCTGCAAAGTATGATCGCGAATGAAGGAATCGTGGCAGCCATAGGAGAGACACGCAGCGAGGTGAGTAGCAGCGAAGCGGGCTCATGGCTGCCGAACACGCCATCGGACTGGCAGGTCTCTGATAAAGTTGTTGTCGCTCTGCTGCTCTATCGTGCTGATTGATCGGCTCGGGTTCTATCGACTAAAAGCGTCCACTGCGTCTCTAGATAGCTCAGTACGAGGCCATGCTAGCTCAGCAGCATAAGGTATCCGTGACATACTGCATGCTGGAATTCAGACACACTCAAACTCACTGTTTTGCCATCGCTGTGGCTACAGGTTCTATTCGTCGGCATGCAAAACTCGGCCACGGCCCTGACCAACAAGACGGTATTCCCAGTAAGCATTCGGTGTCAACGCGCCTCTGCTCGCACACGAAATACTGATTGCGGCGGCGCTCTCATCAAATCTTTTGCACCTCCTTTGGAACCAATTGTCCAAACGTCGCCACGGCGCTCGTGACGCTGCGTTGCAAAATAGAACTTTATCGGCCTTGTTGAATCGGACAAATACAGCCTGGTGGTTTTCCTCAGTTACGTGGCTGCCATGAACTGGAAATCGGTACGAACATTCGACGGCTCGAATCTGGCCCTGCTTTCGTCAGAATCAACCCGCAGTAGACTCATTGGCATGATATACAGATAGCCATCGTCCATAGCCGCGACAGCCTTGGCGTTGGAGGTAATTTCCGCCTGTTGCACCCTCCGAATCGATGCATTTATGGCGGGAGCAAACTTACCGAACGAACGACACACGGATGTGCATTCGATTTCGACAACATACCACCCTCATATCCTTCCGATAGCCGCCGCAGATGCCGAAGCAATTGCAAATGCCCTCGGACTACGGATCGTCATCAATCAAGTATATACCACTGCGCTGCTTCTGCGTCAACTACAGCATGGGATACAGGGTGGCTCTTTGGCGAGGACGCTCGCTAATCTTGATTGTTATATGCAGGGCTTCTATGGAATCAACCGTGGACTCCCGAGCGACCTGATCATCCCGATCGAAAATATCCAGCGATCACGAGCAAAGATCATCATTTTGTGCGCCAACCTTCTCAACACCGCAGACATGTATTTCATGGCATATCTCCATGGGCTCGTGGGTCCGTCGTATTTCTGGGGCGTAAGTGTTCACCATGCCGCAGCTTCGTTTTCTGGGAATAGTGGCTGACATGGCGGACATACCAACGCCGCTGCTTCGCGAAACAAAACGTCGCCTCGGGCCACTTCAAAAGGCTGCGATTGTGACATTGATCTTGCACTTTGCTGTTTTAGGGGCTCAACCTTCCACTCTATGGACTTCGGGATCAAACTTGGTTCAACACAAGCCCACTTGGGCCTGTCCGTGGATATGGATTCAGTAATATATGCTCATTTCATGCATCCGTTCGATTTCGGCTCCACTAGAGTTTGAACTAAACCCTTCGATTGAACTGCACAGGCAGCCAGCACATTTCCCTGGGATCGCGGAGCACTCAGTTCACAAACACATGGAATTCGCTCGCACAGAGCGACCCCAACGACTACATCCCGCTGACTTGGCGCTCGTACGAATGGGCAATCAGGTGCGACTCCATTTCTGCAGTTCTTTGGACGTCCCCAACATTACGGTATCCCATAATTCAAACGCTAACACTCCACGTCTGGACTTCACGCCAAATATCGCCCACCAGGCTCTCATATGATGCCGTTTATCTGCTTGCCAAGGCTTGGGTATGGGTGATAGTTTCTCGCACGAGAATTCCATCAGAAACAACCAGCGACGTCCCTGTCAACAATTCTGATTTCGATCTTCACAGACCAAGCAAATGCTTAGCAACCCTGGCCGGGATCTCCCAACTCTGATCTCGGAGGACCCTTACTATCCCGTGAAATATGTGACCAATCTCACCTTCGACGGGGCTGCCGGGATACTGATATTCAACAAAAACAGCGAAATGGCGGTATGTATGTGTGCCCGTGTCCGCGGTATGGCCGGTGGTAGGGTCGTGGATCCGAGGCGCCTATCGATCGCCCCTTCCCTTTCGTAACATGTCGTTGTTGGTGGTATCGACATGTGCAACGGTCTCCACACAGCGTTCTGCCTTGGTACAGTCCTTCCAAAGCGTCGGGAGTGCCGGCCCCCAATTCCAGACGATGGGGGTGTTTGCCAACGGAGTCATCAATACGCAATGCAGCGGTTGCGCGTTTCTCAACAACAACGGCTCGTCATATGTAAGCATGCTCAAAATATCACCTTTGTTGCTGTGCGGTGTACGATTTCGATGATCTGGAATCGAAAACTCACCGTCGGTTGCGTTTTCCATAGATTCCATCCGACATCGAATACATCAGTATGATCCCCGACCGATGCACCGTCCCACCCCCAGCTATCCCTCGTATACCGTGTACTGACTGCTGTATCCGGTCGACACCGACAGACTGCAGCCCAGGCTGGGAGCCGTATATCCTAAGCACATATCAGCTGATATGCGTACCATGTCCAGAGAGTGAGTAGGCCGAACTGTCGGTTGACCGAGCTTGCTGCTGCACCGGACAGGCCATCTATGGTCCCCAGATGATGAGAGTGCGCACTAATACGCCATCTGGAACTTCTTTCCGCCGCAGACACATTCAACTACCAATACAATTCTACCTGTATACCGTGTCCCCTTGGGGCGAGCTGCACCGGCGGCCGCATATTTGTCCTCAAAGACTATTGGTACAACCCAAACTCAAGCAACTTGAACAGCTTCATCATGTACTGCGGCAGTGGCAATCGATGTGAGCATTCTGGAACGCCCTCTGTCAAATCGCTGGTGAAAATCATGAAATGGGCGATGCTGATGCTACAATTTGACACAGGCTGTCCAGGGGACTGCGACATCACCGCCAGTGATACGTGCAATCCACCATTTTATGGGGCGTGAGTGTACAGCGCCTACTTCCATGCAGATGATAATCAGGCTTCTGGCCACTCGGCTCACACACCGCTCTCGCCACACAGGCTGTGTGGAAACTGCCCCGATGGGCGCTACGAATGGAGCGGAACTTGTGTCGAGTGCGACGGCAGCCAAGCTGCCCGCATGGGATCGCTGATCTTCTTCTTGGTGCTGATACTTGTGGGCATACTGTACATCATTCCGCCGACGAGGGAATGCTTCTTTGTTGAACTGGTATGGCCAAATTAATGATTGCCACCGTCTGAGATATAGTGCTAGAGTGCCTACCCGATGCTTGTCGCTGGTGAGAGCGATGGGTAGACGAATGGCATGTGCTGCCACTCATCAACCAACTCACGAGTGCTACTTTGCTACTGTAGCTGCTGGTGTACCAAATCGCCCTCAAGTTCAATCTGGAGGGGAACGCCATCGTCACCAGCATCTTGACAGTCATCAACCTCAACAGCGACATCAATCAAAGCAGTGTCCAATGCATCCTCCCGTTATCGCCCTTCATGAAAATGGTTGCCAATTTCTTCATCCCGTTTTGCATGTTCATCTGCCAGCTCATATGGCTCCTGCTTGCAAGGCTGGCGATGCAGCTATCAAAACGGCACGTTCGTGTGCGCATCATACTCGATACGCTGACGGACTGGCTCCCGCATCTCAAAGACAATTTTGGGGCCACCACGGTGAACACCGCGTGGACGATTTTTCTGTTTTGCTACAACCCAGTCTATGACACAGGTATGGAAACGACTGTCTTGCCTCTACACACGCATGATATACCCGAGACGAGAGCCCATGGCGTGAACTTGGAATGCCCATACTGACCACAACGACGCACGCAGCCATCCGAATACTGTCATGCAGGCAGATATCGGACCAACTTTCTGTTGTTTGGGACTACCCGGCAGTGCAGGTAAGACAGAACCTAGCGAAAGATCATCCATAGCCCATGTTTCGCGTGCACTCCCAGCTTTCGGGCTGAGGCAGCTCGAGATGGCCAAGCCATTGGCTGTACTGTACTCATTTGCTACACAGCCTAGACTCCATCCGCTCCGGATACGAAGGGTTTTGAGGGGGTTGGAAGCGATTTGTGATGTGGCTGCAATGATGGATGAATTGTGTTTGGGTCGGACCGTTTCAATCACTCATCCAAATCCTTGCTGTTGCGACCCGGTGGTTATGACGACAATCTGGGCTGCCCCTTGGCCAGTGCTGGTCAGAGCAGCACACAATAGCAGGCATCGCGGCGCTGGTCATCTTGGCGGTGCTTGTGTTTGTGTTTCCGTTCATGATCTACAGGCACATGATCAAGCACCAGCGCAAGGGCCGAGTCGTCTCGGGAGAAGCCGTGCGACCAGAGCATCTCGACCCTCACGTCACGCTCTACATCTCCTATGCGCCAGAATACTACTGGTGGACACCCGTGGATCTGGTCGAGAGGATGCTCGTCAACGGCATTCCGATTCTTATCCGAGGCGCTGGAGGTATGAACGCTGCGGCAGAGACGCGGGCTGTGATTCGTCGCAAAGATACAGAGGGAAGTCATATCTGGCGCACCGGTGTCTCTGTTGACTCAAGATTCTCTCGCACCGGGAATGTCAGATTATGCGTCGATGACGTGTTTGATGGTCCTATTGTGGATGTTTCTGTTGCTGCGGTAAGTCAAGGAAGGGGGTACCGGGCAGCATTGATAGTGGACAACCACAATGCATGCTCTGGGTCGCCGACAAGCATCGCAACGATTTGCACGGCACCATGTATGCGTGTGCGAGTATGTGACCCGATCCATGTGCGAACTGTGTGGAGCAGGTGGCATGCGGGACTATCATCCGTCTCGGACGACACATCTCCCCAATCGACAATGAGCCTCGCTCTCACGCGGGGCCGTCTCGTATTGCTTGCCCTATCACTTCCCGAACCGAATCCATCACAATCTAGTGCCTTTGTCATGCCCTACGAATCGACCCTGGACAACTCGGTCCGAATTGTTGGATACACATCCTTGGTGGCGCTCGGAGCCTTTCGGATTCGGCCCCTGTTTCTGCTGCTGAGCTATCAGATCGAGATTCCCGTGGCATTCAATGAAGAGTTTGTGTGCTTGCTTCTACCGGTGATTGTCCTGCTGCCGGCCAAGCTCATTGCCTTCCTTGCTCCGACGATAAGGAGACGGCGGGGCATCAAGCGTCCCAATGCACCTGCGACGCCTTCAGATACAATAGCCAACTCTGAAGGGTCGTCGAGTGAGAAAAAGCTCTTGAGGGACTCGACCGCGCCGGGTGCTGATAAGGCGTGCGAAATCGAGACTATCGAGAAACCCTCGATGTGAGGCTGCTGCGATCTCTGCCAATGTGAGGTGCCAGCCGCCTTTGGTCATGGATCTTGAATATATACATGCTTCTACCGTCGTTCACGATTTACAAGAGCAAGTCGTCTCACTATTTACAACAGTAACAACAGTAGCAACAGCAAATTATCGGTAGCAAGGAGTGTAATGCGCCACATCCGCATGTCTCTGGTCGAGTTTCGTTCAGTCCCGCTTCTTGCGGCCGGTAGCCAGATGTGTCGATGGCGCCGACATGGAGGACAGCGCCAGGCCAGATGTCTGGGCAATCAGCGTGGTGCCGGACTCTGATCGACCGAGTCCTAGCCGTCCGTCTTCGGCTGGATCGGCGATGCCAGCGCTGCTCCGTCGCTTGCTTCCGGCGCCGCTGCCATGACCAGCTCCCGGGCTGTGTTTGCCAACCTCGACTACTTTGAGGAAGTTGCCAAAGGGAATGGCGCACAGAAGCATGTCGCTGCTGTGAGCAACGGCATCGACCCCGCTGATTTCAAAGACAGAGACGGGCATCGCAGCCTCGTCTGTGCATGTTGGAGCAGCAATCGGTGGGGTGGAATGGTGGTCGGCAAGCCCCACCACCGATGGCGGTGCCACATGGCCAAACAGCGAGGGGCCCGGCGTCCATGGGCCGTTGTCGGAGTGATACCGGCCGCCTTCATCGTCGCCTTCAGTCGAGTCACTTTGCGTTTGCGAATCCGAGTCGTAGATGTACGCGAGCGGCGATCCATCCTGCGGCACATGAGTCGCAACACGATCGTAGCTGTGCATCGACCATGTCGCAGACTGGGTATCGACCACAGACTGTCTCGGGATGGTGGTGGCAGGAACCAAGCCCTGCTCCTCCAGGACGGCGACAGCGACACCGAATCGAGGAGCTGAGTTTTTAGATGGATCGCGAGGATCAGCGAGGCTTGAAGCAGCGGCATGGCCATGACTGGGCTGCGCTGGAGACAGTGGCGATGGCTGGGCAGGTGGGTTCCAGAGCCACGAGAGCGGGTCGCTTGTCTGGCTCTCGGACGGACCAGGCGCAGGTGTTGTTCGCTCCCACGCCATCATGTTCTCGCCGTCAAAGTCGTCGAGCCCAACTGCGATGCGTTGAGTGACGATCGAGTCAAACTTGGATTGGACCACGCTGGGCTCGGGAGAGAGACTGGTCTGGAAGCGATCATGCAGATCCACCAGCCACATTTCCCAGACCCACAACTGGCGATCGTTTTGCGAGTCCTGGCTCGGCCGCGACTTGCGTGCGTTCCCAGAGGGGGCATATTCGTCGTCGGTGGCGTCCCAGACATAGCGTCCATCCCAGCTGCGTATGCTACTTTCCGAGACGGCCCGACGCTGGAATCCAAGCAGTTTGTCCGTGTCCACGATCCGAACAAATCCACAGCCGTTGACCTGTTCGTTGAGGATCAGCCGTGTCCGCACCACAGTGATCGCCGAGCCGGCGCTGTTGTGGGAGCGCGGTGCCTCGACCAGAGGGGTTGTATCTCTTCCGGGGTCGCCTTGAGCCGAGCGAGATCGGAGCACAACCTCAAAGAGACTCAGATTGTCGAATTGCGTTGCCACAGCCACAATCAAGCGCGATTCCTTCTGCACATGCAGATGCACTGCCGAGTCGAGCATGGTTTGGCTGGCCGTGTACACTTCGATCGACAAGACTCGACTGGAGCATTGGCGAGGTGCCTTGAGGCGGATTCCGTTGGCAGAGTCGGAGCGCAAGCAGCCAGAGAGCGGTGCAAGGCCTGGCGCAGTCGCGGGCTCGGCCTCCAGGACAAGCAGACACTCGCCAGTGGTACAGCTCCATATGCGGACTTGTCCCTTGGCGTCGCCGCTGAAAAGGACATTGAGATCAGCTTGGTGATTCAAATGGGTGATCTTGTCGGCGTGGCCACTAAAGGTTCGCTGGCCTATCGGGACGCCAGACCCCGGCCGTTCGTGCGCCTGAAACATCGAGTCCAGGGCTACGATGGAGCCGTCGGCCAGTCCGATGAATAATTGCAGGCCGGCGAGGCATGATCCAATGGTGGTTATCGGCACATGCCGCTGGATGTTGTGGAACCCGAAGTGCTCCGACGGGCGGGTGTAAACAAGGGTAAACAGGTCACCGTTAGAGAGGGCGATGCACAGCGCGCCTTCCCGGAGTGTGGGCCCAGCCGACAGGGGTTGTTCAGGCTTTTGAGGAACCGTGCTGTCCAAGACCGGCAAGTCAAAGAAGCAGTGAGCCGTGATCTTGTAGGCGCCGAGCATGATCTTGAAGAGACGCTGACGCTTCCAGTCAACTGTATCCCAGATGTCGATATGGCCATCATCAAGCACGACAATAACGAGTCGGTATTTCGGTTGGTGCTCAAGGGCGATGATGCGGGTGCCATAGTCTGTGCTGTACCGAGCCAAAGTGCGACACAGGCTCGAAGCCGATGGCGTCGATCGCAGCGGCCGCAGACTCAGCAAGTCGCAGTAGACCAGCTTTTCCAGGCGATTCCAGAGTACTTGCTGAAACCCGTGGCGCCCGGTCTCGGCATCGCCCTCGTCCTTGTAGATGAGTTTGGCGTTTGAAACGGGATACGGAAGCGAGGATTTGATCGTGGCGATGCGGATGCGATCGTAGAGGATCTTGGGCGGTGCGAGCGTGGGGTTTGCTGTGTGCGCAGGATCGCGACCGCCAGACCACAGCGATTCTGCAGCATCGGGCCAATCTCCGTCATGGTCATCGACAGGACTCACTTCTGGGCTGTACTGCCAAAATATAATGCTGGCCACCTTTTTCAAGCCAGCAAAGATGACTCGCTTGAGCACCCAGTCCAGGAATCCCGTCAAGCCGATACAGGCAAAGATGCTGACGAGCAGACTGACGACCAGGCCCACGATCAGAACCGGAGCGCGGAGGAACTTGATCACAGCGTCAAACGATGCCGCCGGGGTAGTTGCATTCGGCTCATGGTCCGCACGATTGATTTGCCCGTCGGGACCCGTGCTCGATGGACCAGCGGACCCCGAAGCAGTAGGGAGTGATGGCGGCCAAACAGATGGGCGATCTGATGCCGACAACGACTCTGCCGCTTGGCCGTACTCGTTCTCTGTGTTGGGATCATAGTGAACGACCGACGTTGCCTCGGGAAGGGGTGCAATGGGGCGTCCGACTTGGCGGCGGCTGCCATAGCTCTCGTAAAGACCGAATCCAAGACACAACATGATCAAAAATGTCTAGATAGCGAGCGGAGTCAAAGGGGAGCAGAGTCAGTGGCACAAAGCTGCTTCTCGTCACAGACCGAGGGCGAAAGTGGTCGCTGTTGGGCAGGTATGGACCAAAACACTCTCTCGGCACGATAGCCCCCAGTTGTATATCCAGACTCATTTGCAGTGACTGCTGCAGGACAGCACAAGAAGGTATCGAGTCGCAGACGAAGCACGATCTACAACGAACCAGCACAAGACTGCGGGGCAGATGCTTCCTCTGCCCTTCCTTGGCTTTCCCGTCGGCGGAATGAGCCGGGTTCTTCAATCGATAAAGGTCCGACAGCTGCAATTGGAAGTGCGTGGGAACGACCATGACGGGTCAGTGCCACATGACAACAGCATTGGCCTCGGCATGGGCATTGAATCTCAATCTCGGTCACAGTGCGCAATTTCATTGCGGGCATCAAAGCTGTGGCTTCCGGATGCGGTGTGGTCGTAGCGATCGACACTCGACCGCAAGGGCAGAATGCCATGATTGGATGATGTCCGTACCTCGAGGCGCCGGATATCGATCGATAGAATGGCGGTGAAAAACGTGATTTGGAGCAAAAAACCGATGACGACGGCGAGCGAAGCCACGAGACAGAACTCCTGTGCAAGGCGGAATAGCAGCCCGTCAGTCTAACGGCAAGCACTCGCGGATGGGCAAGATCGGGCAGGGCAGTCGAGGGCGAACATCGACATGACGGGCTTGCAGTCCAGAGCTCTGAGATGACGATAATCCCGATCATAGAGCCGGCTTCAGGATGGCGTGTCCAAGTGCTCTGATGGAGAGGGCATACCTGGAGGGCCGGGATGTCGATGAGTGATCCGCCGACCAGAAACAGCATCTGGTAGCCCATCGACAGCGCCATCTTGGAGCCGATTTGGCTCAGGCCAAGACCGACTCGCTTCTTGACGGGCAGGTCCATGGAGGTCTGGACGATGGCTTTGACGAGATTGAGGATGTTCTCGACACCGATGGCGATGATCAGGAAGGGCAGAATCTCGTACCACGGCACGAGCTGGTTCAACTGGTCAAAGCCCATCAGGATGCAGAGCCCAACGGCCATGAGCATCGACGCAACGACCATCAGGATGGCGCCGAATCCGATCCCGAACTTGGACTTGACCAGGTCGATCTTTTGCATCACCAGCGAAATGTAGACAAAGACGATGGCATAGCAGAGCAGCAGCACCACGGAGCTGGCTGAGGCGGACGAGGCTTGGTAGAGAACGAAGCGCCCAAGGTTCAGCAGCCACGAATCGGTTGGGCGGGTGTGCAGCTCATCCCAGGCTCGGTGCTCCTCGATCAGATGGACAAAGGGATTGGTCTTGTTGGTGGACGACAGCACCGGGTAGGAAAGATATATGATGAGGGCGAAGGAGAAAAGCAGCGTTGAGTAGGGCCTCGAGGCACAGACGAGTCCGTGGTGGTAGAAGAGCCTGTCGATCCTGGACCGGACGAGCCCCTCGGATGGCATGGCGAGACTGGTGAGGCGGAAGGACGAGCGGGAGGTCAGATCCAGCGGACGGCCGACGACGGGGCGGGTCGGCGGCAGCAAGGAGGTGTCGACGAACGAGGCTGGGAGGAGCCGCAGGAGGTCGGCGCAGGAGCAGATGAATCGGCTTGCGGTGCGATGGGCGCTCTGGACCTGATGCGGACAAGAGCCTGCGGGGGGGGGGACTTTGGTCCTCATGCGATGGACAACTCTGCGCCACAACCGGCCCAGTGCGCCGGATCCAGCCTGCCAGGCCCAGCGATCGCACGGCACTCGAACACCAGCTCAAAAGCGTCGCCCCGATTCACCAACGACGGCCGTTGATGGCCTTTAATGGCCGTTGATGTTGATATTCCGACGGGGACTGGTCTCGGCAAAGCCGGCAGCGTTTTCGTCGTGCCGAGGAACATCACCGAACAACGGAGGACGGCCGTGTGACGACTGTGCGACGCAAAGTGGACAGAGGTTGGACTCGCCATGCATGAAGCAGAAGCAGAAGCAGAAGTAGCTGTTTCGCACGATGATGGCATGGCGTGCTCCGATATGCAACGAAGCGGCGATGCGCCGTGCGAGGGGGGGGGCTTTGCTGGATACGAGATACATTTGCGCGCTCGATTCCAACATCATTACATGCCACGGAGGGGCATTTCCGCTACCGGCAGCGTCAAAGGCCGTTCAGATCCAAAAAAACAGAGAAGCAAAAAAGAAGAGTCGATCGGGACGACTGGGAAAGAGGCAAGGGACAGAGGAAGGGAGACGACCAGGGCGGCTGTGAACCGCACTTTATCGGTAAGTGACACCTTGGGCCCGGTACATGGACGAAAAGCGATACGCCCAATACCAGTTGCGCACAACATAGCGGATGGAATCAACGGCAGACACAATCGGGGCAAAGACGGAGCTTGCGGCAGCGCGGGAGGAGGCGGTGTGAGCACCAAGCAGCGCCCGTCTGAAATACGCCATCTGCGCCCGATAGTAGGGCGGCAGCAGTGCAAAGTTCAGCTTCCAGCACTCGCGATTATAAAGCATGTGTCGATCAAAGGAATCGTCCAGATAGATCTTGTAGAATCGCGAGAGCTCCTCGGGGGTGGCCGAGCGGTTGTGTTGTCGGAAGACTGGAAAGAGAAGCCAGAGTCAGAACCTTCATCGACATGAGAAATCCGCAATGGCAAGCGTGCATGTTTGGAGCTCATAACACGGCTGAATGATGAGCAGCGACACACAGCAAGGGAGCGCCGAGGCGGTACAGATAGATAGAATCCCGCTGCATTGCAATCCGCCATTTCAGCATCGACCCGCCAGCCAATCCAGCATCGAATTAAGCCGTCGATCCGGCTGCCGCCTGCCCATCGAGCAGTGACCCATCAGACGGCAGTCTATCCATCGAGCATAGACGCATCTGTATGCGCACCTTCGGTTTCGAATTCGGCCTTTCGCGCAATGAAGCTCTGGTTGTTGCCTGTCCAAAACGTGTGGTGGAAGTGTTGGGCATCCTTCAGAGCCTCGAGATAGGCGACTTCCTCCGGCAACAGAGCACTGCGGGACTCGGGCGTCTTCAGCTCAAGAAGCCGGATGTTGGAGGCAGGATGCGGCGACGAGACCATCAGGGACCGCGGGGTCGATGATGAGGAAGCCGACGAACCAGCCAGAAGCCGAGTCCAGGTGCGAGCGCGGGAAGCCATGCTGTGGAGAACTAGCCCTTAAGCAGGGTGGGCAACAATGGTGGACTTTGCAGCTTCTGAGGCCGAGGACAGCTTGGACCGGGAGGGAACGAGGAGGCCTTCGCGACGGAAGATGACGAGGTCGGCGGGTGGACAGCGACGATCGATTTGGCGACGATCGATTCAGCGACGATCGATGCAGCGACGAGGAAAAAAGACAAACCGAGCCGAGTCAGAACACAGATGGTGAGTCAGACCGTTCGAACCTGGCTGGAGTGCATCCGCATCACGTGTGCATGTCACGTGTGGAAGCGCCACGTGGGCTTCTGTGCGGGCAACAGCTGCACAGAACCGATTCTGTGTGACCGCCGCTGCCGCTGTATCTCGCACTGTCGCTGTATGCACCCGTGGACAGCCAGCGACTCGGCCACGCCTCCACCGAAACCCAAACACCAAACCCAAACACCGACTCCATTCAACAATGTACCGAGTCTGTTCAACAGCGCACCAGCTTGACAATACAGCCATGGGCACAGGCCGAAACACACGCACACAGCACAGGCCCCCGCCGCAGCGCAAAAGAAAGGAAGAGGAAAGGCGCCGCCACCCGCCCTGCACAGCCACGCGCGTCGTGGTCGCGTGCCTTCTGCCCTGCCGCGCCACAGCCGCGTCGTCTGCCCTCACGCGCCCAGCGCCTCCTCCCATAAATCCATGTCTTTCCCGCTCCCCTGTCCCAGGTCCGTCGTGTCCTTTGCGTCTTGGTCGCTCGTGGTCTGCAGCAGGATCGCTCAAACTCATCTCAATCCCATTCCCCGATCTCATTCCATCGCCATTCAGCCAGCACCCCACCTCTCATTTCCGCCGCCTTCGACATGATCTTCTCTAGCTCGACCCTCTCCACCCTCGGCCTGGTTCTCTGTGCCGCCACGACCGTCCTGGCCCGCGGCGGAAACGCCAATGTCGGTGCCGATGTCGCCGTCTCCGGCCAGAACCATGTGTCGTCCTCGGCCAACGGCGTTGGAGCCAAGGCTCCCAAGTCGAAGACCACTAAGGCTAAGACCACTAAGGCTAAGACCACCAAGACCAAGACCACCAAGACCAAGACCACCAAGACCAAGACTGTCAAGCCCACCACCACCACCATCACCCGGACCACTGCCACTTCGACTCCCACCACGGTATGACCTCTGCCCTGCGCTGCCTCTGCCAACCGTATCCTTGCCATTCGTTATTGTCGCCAGGGCTATCCATCCATTCTCATCACCTCATTCAACTGCCTGCTGCTCGAATCCCTTCTTGTCCAACTCCCACCTGCCAAACCCAGCCCCCGTCGCCTCCCGGCAGCTTCCTCATGACCCTCGACGAGTTCAAGTGCGCCTTCACCAAGCTTACCACCGACCAGATGGTCCAGGACCGCTGGACTGGTCTGCAGGCCGCCGTCGCCGGTACTTCCCTGGGATCCTCCCGCAGCGAACTCGCCATGTTCCTCGGAGAAATTGACCACGAGAGTGACGGTCTGACCGCTGTGGTGTAAGTCCTGCGCCTCTGTGCTCTCTCGCCCCAGATATCACTGGATGCGATCCATGGCCCATCAGCCTCGGTGCTCACACTCATTCTTCCATTGCCTCCCAGTGAGTACTGCGCTCTGCCGTCGGCCAAGAGCAGCTGCGTCACCAGTTACGATGGCCCTGCCTGGTGCAATGCTCCGGTCCCTGCTGGCAAGCACTACTACGGAAGGTAAGCCTCGCTGCGCGGCGCTTATCACCGGCACCATCCGGTCGGCTGGCAGACATGGAAGCCACCTGCTGGCTGTACACTCCCACTCATTCGACATCTTGTCTCTCTCCCGCTGCAGAGGCTTTATCCAGCTCTCGTGGTCCTGCAACTACCAGGCTGCTGGCAAGTCCATTGGCGTTGATCTGCTCAGCAACCCCGACCTTGTTGCCACCGACATCACCCTTGCCTGGAAGACGGCCGTCTGGTTCTGGTACGAAAACAACTGCGGAAAGGGCTCCTTTGCCGATGCCACCCGCGCCATCAACGGCCAGCTCGAATGCAACGGCGGTTCCGGTGCCGCGAACCAGGTCCTCCGCATCCAGCGCTACCAGGAAGTTCTCAAGTGCATGAGCATGACCGACAGCCGCCCCATGAGCTGCTAAAGTGCATCCGATTTCGATCTATCGGCCCCGGCCAAAGCAAAGCGCTTGCCACACCCACACCCACCAACCTTGGGGTTCAAATTAATTCCGCCTCGTTTCGAATGAATAGTCCTTCTCATGATCTCTATTTACCACCCTTTCGCTTCGCTATCACCGTCACTCCAGGCACTGGTTGCCTGGGCGGCGGTGCTTGCTCGTGCCGTGCAATATTCTCTCCCTCTCCCTCGCATAATCTCTTGGTGTCTGCGTTCATGTTTGCGAGCGAATTACAACGTTTCCAAAATGAAATGGGACACTCGGTCGTGGCCAGCTTTTGCCGTCCACTGCAAGGACGTGCTCCTACTTTCCATGGCGACACTCTCGTTGGGCTTCGGTCTTCGCCACGACCCATGCTATCGCCAGGTCGCTTCTTCCATTCGCGGTGCTGTCGTCCATCATCCATCTCGCATCCGGCGGTCGCGTGGGGCGCCAGGGCAAATCCCAATCGGCCCGTTTTCCCGCTTGGTCGGCTCGTGCCCAAGGACGTTTTCCGAATTCCACCTTTTTTTCTTCGTCGTCATCGCCATCGTCGTCAAGCCGGGCAGCTTGTCGCTCTCTGCGTGCATCCTGGCCATCGTCTGCTACCGCAGGCAAATGCCGCATTCGGGCCTCGTCCATCGTCCCAGTCTCTGCCTCTGATAGCCTGTTCTACCGCACCAACAGCTTTCGTCGGCCAGGCCAAGCGTCTGCCTCGTCTTTCGTTCAAGACCCGTCGCAGCACCCTTCTATTCGTCCCGCTTGCTCGTTGCTGCCATCCTTGCTGCCGTCCTGTCCGCAAGCGTCACTGGACTCGCCAGATTCACCATCCGCAGCGCAGCCATGAGCATCGTCGACATCGAGACCGGAATGTTTGGCAGCATCGCCGCCAGCCTGGTCTATCCGGCCGCCGCCATCCTGGCTCTCCTCTGGATCTACATGCAGATTGTCCGGTCGCCCGTGGTGCTCACCCATGCCCACGAGACGATCCACATCCCCATTGTTGACCCAGACACACACCGCATTCGCCGGATGCCCCTCTCCGAGTTTGTCAAGAAGCATTGTCCGGGGCTCTATGGACCCAAGGCCGTTTACCACCCAACCCTGTGGCTCAGCAACGGTCATCTGCAGACTATCTTCACGTCCTTCTACAACGACAAGATGAAGAACGCAAACTACTTCAACAATGGCTTCCGATACGAGAGGTAGGCAGGAGACAGAAAGCAGCCATGTGTGGTTCGATATGGAGCCTGTACCCGCCGCTCGTCGCGATGGTGGGCCTGTTATCAGTGCATCAGCAGATCCGCCAACATCAAGAGTGGTGCATCTGAGGAAAGAGCCATCGACAGGAGCATCGACAGGAGCGTCGGCAGGATTGGCAGAGGCGCCGGACAGTGCCGGGTCCGCAGTCTCATCGTCCCAACTCGCCATCGCATTTGTAGAGATCATCTCCAGCTCCCCGATGGCGGCAACATCGCCCTGGACTGGTGTCCGGGACCCAACCGACATCCCTTTGACGAAACTCCCATCGTCGTCATTCTCCACGGCCTCACTGGCGGCTCCCACGAATCCTACATCAAAGACCTGGTCCGCGAGGTCACGAAAGGGCCCCAGTACTATCGCTGCGTCGTCGTCAACTTCCGCGGCTGCGCTGGCACCAAACTCACCACGAGCCAGCTCTACTGCGCGGCCTATACCGGCGACATCAAGTTTGCGCTCGACTACATCCGACGCAAATGCCCAGAAAGCCCTCTGATTGGCATCGGGTTCTCGCTTGGTGCAAACATCATTCTAAAGGCAAGCATCCTCGCCTGTACTCGCGTGTCTGCTCTGGCCTGTGCGGCTGTATCGATTACTCCCGCCGAAGCAATCGCTCTTCCAGCTCATCCCATCGCCACGACACCGACTGACCAATCGTCCTGCAACGTCGATCGCAGGCCGTTGGAGAGATGGGCTCGGATTGTCCCTTCATTGCGGCCATCTCGGTTGGAAATCCCTACGACCTGCTCATCAGCAGCCGAGCGCTCCACCGCAGCTTGGTTGGAAAAATCTACTCGGCCGCCATGACGGTGTCGCTAAAGAGCCTTTTCCGCAGGTAAGCGCAGAGCTCTACCACCTGTCGGCGACTGCGAACAAGCGGTGAACTGTATTCGATAGCGTCGCCGTATTGGTGGTCGTCGCTCCTCCGGCTCGGTGCGCCGTCTCCATGCCGCCTTGTGTGATAGCACACCTCCAGTACCGCTCTTGTACTTGGTTTCACCCTGCTCATCTCCAATCTTCCCACATCGAAATCACGCCTCTGCCCTTCTCCCTCCCCCTTGTGGCTCTGCTTTGTACCGACAGTCACATCGATGCCATCAAAGACCAGGAGCTCATCGATCCGGACCATGTGCTTAAGGTATGGTCAGTGTCGTCATCTCGCAGTGGAGCAATGCCGCATGTGTGTGGAGTTGGAGTTACCGGCGTCACCAACATGCCAATGGATCAAGCACCACCCGGCGGCATGCCCTGGTATGATTCCGACAGACTTGGGATCATCACACTAACCGGCCATCTGCTGCGCTGTTTTCGTCTGACCTCTGCACGCAAATCATTCTTTTGGATGACCCTTTGGTCTGGGCGCGTCCTCAAATGCTGCCATCACCCTTGGTCTTCACTGCACTCTGCCCTCTCGCTGCGGCTCATGTGGACACAAACCAGGCTCGACGCATCACCGACTTTGACGACCGAGCGACCCGCATCGCCTTCCGCTATCGGACCGTCGACGAATACTACCGACTGGGCTCCTCTGCCCCGCACATCCCCAATGTCCGAGTGCCACTGCTCTGTCTGCATGCCATCGACGACCCCATCGCCCACAAAGAAGCCCTCCCTTACCACGAAATCCGCAGCAATCCGTATGCCATCCTGGCAACCACACAGCAGGGCGGCCACCTCGGATGGTGGTCGGGGAACTTCACCATCAAGCGGTGGTTCCCAGGACCGGTGCACGAGTTCATCACGGCCATGTTCGAGGTGAGTGCACATGGCACGGTCGTGCCAGCCAGACTGGCAGTTGCTCCAGAGACTCCGAGACGCTCATCCTGCCGCCATGTTTTTTCTTGGTTGCTCGTTGCTTCATGACCGCACTTGTTGCACGATCTGAAACTTTCGCTGGGATGTCGCTCTCACCGTCTCCCTTTCTCGTTCATCCAGACCTACCTCAGCCTCCCACCGGATCTCCAAAAGACCTTTGCGACGCCGATCGGCTTGAGTGCGCCCCTGGTCCCGAGCCGAGCGATACTGCCGTTCTCAACCCCGATCGACCCGCACATCATCCACAAGGAGATCCATGCCACGTCCTTTGGCGAGTCTGACAACGATCTGAGCGATTCGGAAGTTGAGCTCGAGAGCGTCCCTGACCCCAACACCCACACCCACACCAACAACAACACCGACGGCACTGCAACCCCTGTCCCAGACCCGACATCGGCTGGTGCGTCTCGGTCACATCCCACACAGCCCGCACAACCTGTACCGGCAAGTCAGCTTCTTCGACCGACCCCGGCCCTGCACCGCGCCGTCTCACGGCAGTCCAGCGCCACACACATCTATGCCCTCTTCCTCATCAAGAAGCTGGTGGAGACGATCCGCTACAAGGGCATCGTCGTGGTGCTGCTGAGTTGGTTCTTTGGCTACTACATGGGCAAGTCTCGAAGGCTACTCAACTGAGCTCATACACACAAGCACACGCGCGCACACACCTGGCCGCTACGTTTGTGGCTCGACCAGAACCGGGCCCGGGTCAACACAACTCCGCGAGATGGTGGCGGCTTCCGGGGCAAGGCTCGAGGAAGAAACGCCCCACAAGAAACCCAAGAGAATGCCCGTCGGCAGCCTCGTCCCCATTCCCCTCGTCCCCGATTACCGCCTCCAGCTCCATCCCTCCCCTCCTCCCGCATCACTACATTCGCTCAACCAAGAGTAATATACACATGCATGTGTGTATACATGTGTATACATGTGTATACTGCCAGAATCTGTGGCTGCGAATTCAACCGACGAGCGCAGTTGATGAGAGTAGACATTTCTGGGACAGCGGCTTGTGTCTCCCACTCAGAAACGAGAATGCGACCTTCTGGCTGAACTGCTTTCGTTAATGGATGCAAAACACGTCTTGCACTGGCCCGAATGGGCTGAAGGAGCACAATCCAATCGACCTCGGCCACCACCCAAACCCTTCACATAGACGATTATCATTATCCGTACGACCACAGCGACTGAATGCCAGTGGACTTTTTGCACGCACATCACCCAGTGATCTGGTCTGCTGCTCTTGCAAGAGGATTATGGATTCTTTTGCTTTGTTCCCGTTGGAATGGGGGGGGTAGTATTCAGGTACAATTACGAGAGAGCAGTACAAAGAGCTTATATGCAAACGGCAGAGGGAGGCGGAGGGAGAAAACAGGGCGGCGGGTTATTTGGGATGTCGATCCGACACCCCCCACAGAGGCATCATCAACGAGAGACATCAAATGGAACATCATTGGCGAGAAATCACAAGACATCCGCAGAAGAGCTGGGCAGTATCAACAGAGGACATCATAGAAGATCAACGAACGGCATCGTATCATACAATATCGACGAGAGGCATAGATAGTCAACCAGAATTACGGGCTGCCTCATTCAGGGAGGGCGGGGAAGGCGAGGGGAGAGTAGCCAGAGTTGCGACTGTGTGAGAAGAGCGGTCTCGATGGTAGCAGTCTTTTGGGTCGGCGAATCTTGGAAGAGAAAAGGTGGCCAAGAGGTACAAGCCTTGCCTTGGACAGGAGGCGACGGCTGGCGCTTAGCAACCCAGCTTGGGGCAGCCGAACTGAGTGCCATAGCGGTCGTTGGTCACACCGGCGATTTGCAGAATGGCCTGGAAGAGACCGCCGATGCCCTCGCCGGCAATCATGCCCGAGGCAACGGCCCAGCCCATGACTTCCCAGGACTTTGGTGCGCGGCGCTCCCAGACGACGGCAACGATGGAGCCAATGACCATGGCAGTCGAGTAGTGGGTCGAGGTCAGGACAAAGGAGATGCCGATAGCGCTCATGTTGGGGACAAAGATGCGGTACTTTTGAGGGAGGTAGTGCTTGCCGACGGTGACGAGGATCGCAAAGAGACCCAGGCCGATGGAGCTCCAGCCCGAGCTGGCCGGGATGGGAGCCTTGGTGGTGTCTGTAAGGGCGACGGTAATGGCGTTCCAGGCACTGACCGAGGGCAGGTCAAAGATGCACTTTTGGTCCAGGTTCATGATGCAGGGGTAGGCCGTGGCAAAGACGAGGAAGACGCCGAGCGAAGTAAAGACGCCGACGATGGAGCCGAGGATCTGGGCGTGGAACTGCGAGCGGGGCGAGGCACGCAGGATGTGGCCGGTCTTGAGATCGCCGACCATGTCGCAGGACTGGTGGGCGGCCGAGGCGGCGAGCGAGCCAGCAACCAAGTTGAGGCGCTGGGCCTCAGCAACGGGGACGTTGGCGGCCTTGCTAACACCGGCAAAGATGAACTGGGAGGTCTTGGCAATGGCGCCGGTGGGGTTGACATCGGTAGCGCCGGTCGACTCGATGGCGACAAAAGCAAAGATGAAGGCCACAATGATCGACAGGAGGGTCTCGCCGACGCCGACATGGAAGAAGACGCTGAGGAAGACAATCGCCATGACGACCGAGATGGTGAGGCCGACGATCCACTGCCAGGTGGGGACCTGCTCCTCGGGCGGGACGGGATCCTCCGAGGTGGTGCCGGCGGCAGCACTGGCATCGGCCTTCTTGAAGCGGGCAGCAATCGTCACGATGGCAGCCTTGATGCCGCGGTAGATCGTCTTGCCGTTCATGCCCATCTCGGCAAAGGAGGCGCACACCATGATCATCACACCGGGCCAGAGCAGCCAGTAGCGCGGCATCGGGGCCTTGGCGGAGAAGTAGTTGATGATGTTGGGGTCAGCCTTGTTGATGGAGCCGGCGCACTCTTTGGCTGCGACCAGGACGGGGCCGATGAAGCCGTAGGCCAGGAAGGTGCCGAGCCACATGGAGCCCGCGGCGTTGGGGCCCATGAGCATGCCACCGCCGATCATGGCCGGAGTCCAGCCGAGGTACCACTTCCAGTTCTCAAGCTGCTGGGCACCCTTGACGCCGGCACTGTAGAGCCAGGCAAAGATGTGCCACTCCTGCACGAGACCGGGGACAAAGTAGCCAACCATGGTCCAGGCCATAGCGGCGGCAAAGGTGATGATCAGGGCCTTGGATTTTGTCTTGGCGACGAGGGCAGCCTCCTTGCCGCCGGTGTGGAGCGACTTGATGGTGACGGCCGAGGCAGTGGGGGTCGGGAAGACCAGCTGGCGCTGGATAACAAAGTACTTGCGCAGCGGAATCGCAAAGAAAAGACCAAAGCCGGCGCAGGAGACGGTCAAGGCAAGAAGGCGGCCAATATCGGCATGGATATCGGGCGAGCCGTCGGGCTTCATCGAGAGGAGCTTGAGGTTGTAGAGCGAGGGAACGGATGTGATGAACAGAGCCAGACCACCGGCAGCGGTGGCTGCCGTCTGGACGGTGCAGTTCTCACGCGGACCAAAGTGGCCGCCACCGCCGAGGAACCTGGGAGCATAGGTCGACCAAGGCTTGAGAATAGAGAAGCCGAGAATGGAGCCGATGAGGGCGGCGCCAAAGGTAAAGCCAGTCTGTGGGGAGGCGGTGGTGGTGGTGTCCGTGCGGCATGTTAGTGCTGTGTGCGGGGCTCAGCCGACAAGAGATGCATCGACACAAGCAAACTCGGCCGTCATGCTGCCACTTGGTGCAGGCACGCCCAGACGTTGTCGAACGAGAGACGTACCTTCAAGCCCAGGTACAGGTTGGAAGCACAGACGATGGAGCCCAGGATGACGCCGACAATGATGGCGCGGAAGGTGAGCTGCTGCTCGTCGTGGTGGAACTCTTCTTCGACGACATCGGGATGGGTGCGCTCAAACGAGTCGCGCTCCTTCTTTTCTCGAAGCACCTCGCCGGTGTCGAGGGGGATCTGGGAATCGGCCATGGGTCGCGACGAGATTGGCAGAGGATGTGAAGAAGAGACAGACGCAGACCGACGACGGGTGCGATCTGGGTGGTGAGGTGTGGGAACCAAGCCCGGGTTGGGGCCGCGGCCGCGGGTTTTATACTTGGTCCTCGACACATGTCAATCCAAGGTGCTCCCGGGCCGGGCTGTGGAGCCGCTTGGACAGTGCTGCTTGAGCGATCGCGCTCAGGGCTCCAGCAACAGCAGAGTTACGCTCACGTCTTGGCTGCCTTGCGAGCCGCCGTCCGATGACCGGGCTGGCGAGGGGGTTGGTTGCTGGGCCCCCTATGCACAGCGCCGACCCGAGGGGTGGACACGGCGGTTGTGCGCCGTGGGCTTGCGGGCTGGCAAAGGGGGGCTTGCGGATAGGCAAGAGGGCGGCATGGGGCTGCTGTACGGGGCTCCCGATAGAGTTAAGGTTGCAGGACCGACCTGTATGATGCAGACAAGGCCCAGACAAGGCCCAGTGCGGGAACGGCTCCAGCCCGCGGGCCGACGCCTTTGTTCTGCATCCCCGGTCTGGTGAGCAAATCACCAGAAAACCAGCCCGCCGCCAAAACGGATAAGCCCGGTCCGCATTCGCATTCGCATTCGCATTCGGAGAGCAACACTCGATGGTGTCTGCAGCCGCTCTTCCCCCGCTGACGACACGCCATCGCCCAAGGAGATTGCGATCCACCTGCCGAACGAGAACCAGTGCGTGTGGTGGATGAGTGCCATCGAGAGATGGACTGAGGTGGACCCGCGGACGGTCTGGCGACCCATGCCCTGTCTGGCGCACTGATCTGTGCAACTCCGGGATATTGCTGTACATGTACATCAATGTACATCAGTGTACATCAATGTGCCCGGGTGGACACCAGTGTGCGTTGTGGTGTCCGTGTCAGTGCGACGCTGCAATGGGCAGTGCGCATTGCTGTGCGTGTTGTGGGATATGTGCCCAGGTGATCTATGCCTTGCTGAATTGGCAGTGGTCTTCTTAAGCACTGGCACACCAAGCTCGCCGCTCACCCCATTGGCTTGGCCATCAAGCCCACGGACCCATGGACCGCCGCCCGAGTTTGCCATCGACATGTGGCCTGCGTTTCCCCCTCCGGCCGAGCCTCCAGCCCACGGCCCCATCTCGCCATGCCAGTCGCCCCCGTTTCTCCATGTCCATCGAGCCGCCAGCCCTGTCCAACCATGTCTCGGCTGCATCCGCAAACGGTTCTGAGTGGCTCCAGGTGGCTCGGGGCGGCTCCGGGTGGCCCCAGGCGGCTCGCGATCGGCCCCCTCAGATGCAGTCACATGAACCCAGTCAAAGTTGGTGGGCTCATCGCAAAAACTCTGTATTTTCAATTCCACCACCAGCAGCACCAGCAGCACCAGCAGCACCACCAGCACCACCAGCACCACCTGCAGCAGCAACTCAAACCCTACTGCCAGCCAGAACCCATGGCGCGGCTGTGCCGACTCCTCCTTGGCCAGCGCAGTCCCTATGGCACCCGATTCTACACAGCGCCACCGCGGCATCGCAGCGCAGCAGCATCTATCGAGAGCGTCTTCTTCGAGCATTGTGGGAAACAGATGGATTGCGAGTTGATAGCAAGGCCAATGTGAGATATTTTGAGGCGGCAAACGCTGGGTGTCCCGCTTTCATTGCATTGACTGAGTGCAATCTATCGCACACTGCATGTACAATTGAAATGGGACAGCGTCCTGTTTTTTTCTGAACGCAGTGTATCAAGCCCAGAAACAAATGGCCCTTCGCAGCAAAATAATCACGGTATCCGGTCGGTTTTTTGCAGACTTTGATGTACGATGCAAGAGCCTTCAGCCTGTCGCGCGCAGCCAGAGTCAGCTCGATCTGCTGATTCAGTAGCCAGTCCACAGCCGCGGATTCCAAGTTCAAGACTCGGTGCTGGCCCGTGAATATCAAAAGCTCGATAATGATATGGGCCGAGAGATCCTCTCGCATAGAGTCCAACACCGTTCTGAGGACGCAATGCTCGGACGAGGATAGTGTCTTCAGACCAAAGATGTGCAGAAACAACTGATCCAGCGAATGGCGATCCGAGCGGTGGTGCTGCTTACAGCTCCTCAGGAGGCATCTTGCGTGTGGGAGGAGGCTGGATACCCACGGAGCCGCGGGCCACATAGCGTGGCTTGCCGATGCGGCGACTTGATACGATGATTTTGGTATCATGATATCGATGCCATGACCGCAATACCAGGGCCGCGATGCCATTATTGTGATGCCATGACTGGGATGTCGGCCAGGTCCCGTGGAGCTCGCTGTCACCCTTGCCGGCACCGAGAGACCCATGAGCCCAGCCGACAGGTCAAACGTCACCCAGAAGCATCCAGACACGAGATAGCACCAACTGTGGATCGCACAGCATCGGATACAGATCGGATGCAGATCGGATAACACCGAGGAGCAACTCCGGCCCGGCGCTCGATCGGCAGCGGTCGATCCAGTGCGGCTCCGACACGGAACTGAGTGTCTGGCAGTCACATGACCCATGTTCTCAATCGCCTCTTGGACTGCAATCTTGAAACCGCAATCCGAGCCTCGTCCTCGACCACCGGCCGCAGATCACCGCCCCAGCTGTCCACCGTCGCCCCCTCCCCTGCACCATGATGCCAGCAGGCCCCAGCCAGGATGCCCTCTTGTATGCTCGGGCTGCAAGCCATCTTCAGCTGGCCCTCGCCGAGCGCAACAGGCAGACCTGGGCCACTGGCGGTGCCGAGTCCGGCCCTCAGCAGAACCCGGCTTTGATCCGCCAGCATGTCGAGCACGCCCTTCGCTGTCTGTATGCCATCCTGGCCCAGTCGTTCTCTCGGCCTCTTGATGGCATTGGAGCTGCAGTCTTGGGTGCACCTACCGGCGAGCGCCACAGCGAGGAGGCCGTCTCCACTACAACCCCACAGATCCAGGTCAGGACCCGAATCCTGCTGGCCAAGACGCTGCTTGAATACACCCAGAACCTCGACGAGGCTCTCGACCACCTGCACAAAGCCGTCAGCATCTCCAAGAAGGTAACCGTCGACTGATGGATCGGGAGGCCACGTCCGCCGAGCAGGCCCGGCATCCCTTGTGTGGTTATGAGATCATTCTGACAGTTCGCTCACCGGGCTCTCAGATGGACTTGCGCCCCATGGAGTTTTCTGCAAGAGATCTCCAGTACCAGATTGTGATGTTCGGAAAGGGGAATTCCGGCGCCGCAAAGAGCATTCTCAAGTCCTTGCTAGACGACTCGCTCCGGTAAGCCGCATCTGCATAATGCTGATCAAATCGGTGCTGTCAACGCTTCCTTTGAATGCCGTCCCTTTCGGCTTGCAATGTCGTCCAGGAAGTGTACTCAGCGATCTGCACCCAGCTGACTCATTGGGCACTGACATGTCATGCGTTGTCCAGCCTGGGCTATATGAAGCAATTCTACTCCACCACTATACAGCTTGCCAACCATTGTATCAAAGTCGACGATCCTGTCGGATGCACCGCCGCTCTCTCACACGGCATAGAAATCGCACAGAGTCGAGCGGACCATCAAGTGCAGGCAGGTTTTGGGCTCCTTGTCGACCGTGCGGGACAGCCTTTCGCTCGGATTGATCGCAAGCCCGCAGCAATCCATCACATGCTTCCTTGGCTCATGCTCAATCCTGCAGGCGCTCTTGGTTATCCTCAAAATCCAAGCAACGCTGCTACTCTCTGGATATATGCCGCAGCGGGCCGACGAGCTGCCGGTACAGTGCATCTCAGAGATTCTTACAGAAGCCAACGTGAGCGTCTTCGAGCCCAGGGTCGTAATGGCCTTGCTCTGCCTCGAGACCCTCTTGCTTCTGCACAGCGAGCAAACCAAGCTGGCGCTCAGTGTTCTGGCCAAGCTGCACAAATTCCTCGACTCGGCACTGCGGGCGGTGCGCGACGGCACCGGCACCAGCATTTGGAACGAAGCCATCCTGGAGATCCCACTGCGTACGAATGGCCCGGAACCGACCGAGAGCCTCAAAGTCCATTTTGTGGACTTTGCCCGAATGAAGGTGCTAGTCTACGCCTTGTCCGGAATAGTTTCCAAGCTGCTGGATCCAGGCCGAGCCAGGCAGCTCCTCCTCGAGGCACACAAGACCGTCAATAGTAAGTGCGGTATAAGCAGAACCATGCCTGTATAGTCTCGGACCTGTCCATCCACCGCTTCGCCACACGTTGTGCATCTTAGTGCTTCTGATGCTGCTGCTAAACATCGAATGTCTCATGTCCGCTTGTTGTTGGACTGTACCCAGAGGAGCTGTCATCCCAGCCCAGAACTACCTGCAGCCACGGCGCGCTGTCAGAACACCTGTCATGGCTGATGCTTTCCGAGGGAATCATTCTGCAAAACCTCACCGAGATCAGCCTCCATCGCTGCGAGTTCTCTGAAGCGTACCGGGTAAGTAAATTCAAAGTGCCGGTGAGATCAAAGCAGTCCTGTTGCCAGACGGCCAGATGGCCAGATGGCCAGCGCGACACCATGCTACTTGAGCAATCGGGGCATGCGAGGCCTTGCTTCTGGCCTGAACATCAACTCTGAAATTCCCGTGGCCCGTAGAATCTCAAGGCTGTCTCGAACTGGGCAAAGTTATTTCCAGTGCTGTCAGAGCCATTCCACGGCATGATATGCCTGTACTGGGCCATGTTCTACCAGTCCATCGAGTATACCGGCGAAGCGCTGAAATGGTATCAAAGCATCGCAACGGCGATGGGAAACGTCCAAGACGATGTCGTCTTTGCCGCCAAAGTGAATCATGCCATGATTCTGCTTTGCAGAGGCGACATGCGCGAGCAGGTATGCTCCGATTGCGGTCGTTGATGCTCAATTGGGCAATAGACAATGCTAAATGATCAATCCACACTCACACTCGCACTCACTCTCAACGGCTGTTGATACTGAAGGTAGCCGATGTACTATATCAATTGGAGTGCCTTCCGAACTTGACCGGCATGCAGCGGTCTATGCTAAGCTTAGCAAAATCGCTCCTGGACATCCAGGAAACCCAAACACAGAAAGCAAAGTAAGCTGACACGTTTACCCCAAGTGGCATTGGTCTCCTGCGGCATAATCAAGGCCGGTTGGAGATATGCGGGATCGTTGCATGATTACGCGAGCTCTGGTGGATGTTTTGCGGACCATCTTTCATCATCTGGGATGGTACTCGGTCAGACAATGTCCTTGTGCTGATCGATGGTCTTTCGGATGCCTGTTGAATGGTGCTTTGTGTTACTGGTCAAATCCAACAATCTAACAAACAATACTTGTCGGAACGATCCCACAATCCACCCAACCTTCTCGCTCGATCCGTGCCCAGAGTCCATCTGTTCGAAGCTCTCAAGATCTCGGAGCAGCTGTGCTCGTCTCAAGTCAAGTCGATGAGCCTTGCTTTTCTCGGCCACGTATTCATCGATACCGAGCCCCAGCAATCAGAACGCATGTTCAGGATGGCATATAACCTTACACAGAAAGCACAATCCAAGGGAATGATACCACACTGCGGGAAAATGTGGTGCGTGCTGAGTGAGAGGCTAATGGCCCAGCCAGCACTCTCTGCAGCCGATGTGAAATCCAGGGCCGACAAGCTGCAGATGGAGGGCCAGCAGTATCGGGCAGAGATCGAATCAATCCAAGCCACACTCGTCAGGGAGCGTGAGAGCGCCCCTGCCGGATGAGCCCGGCAGGCGCAAGCCAACAAACGACAACGACCCAGATCTTGCACTCCACCAATGACTGGACCCACAAAGCACTCAGCACAGCTGTGTATACCAATTTTTGTCAATACAGCATGTTCGAAACGAAACGGGACAGTGTGCCCTGAGCATCCCTTGCAGTGATAAGGAGGACCCAGTGGGCAGGCCACGGAACTGCGCTCCTGTCTCGAGTTGTTGGCTTTGGGAGCGTAGTCCTGAAGGCATCTGGCGGATCTTCGGCGGCAACTGTCGACTGCCGTTGATGCCGCGATGTCGGGGTGTGGTGCGTGCATTCGGCCCACTGGACGGCTCATGGTCTCTCGGCATCGAGATGGCCAGATCGCCTTGATCGTCCTGATCGTCTCAAGCGATCCTCATGAAAGCGTCACGGCGCTGCGCAACAAGATCCGTCAAGATCCGACTGCGCGGTTCCTGACTTGGCTGTCCCATTGCTCCCAGATCAGCCCCAAAGCCCACAGCACCGCAAGGAAGGCGAGCGGCCATAAGCCCGTCGATCTCGATAGGAGCTCCTCAGCAAGTCACCCAGGGCCACACCTCTTGGCATATCCGATCATGGCTTCCGTTGATAAAGTCGCTCAGCCAGACGTGGCCGATGCTCCCTTGGACTTTGGATTCCCGTTCGCTCCCTGGCCGATCCAGACGGACTTTATGCAGGCGTTAGTTTCATTCTGCTTCGTGGAGCGATGGATCTCAGTGGGATCTCGAGGGTGCCGATATTTGCTCGTGGCCGGTTGGATTGCTGGTCCCACCGAGCTCTGTCGGTTGCTCCGGCTGCAATCGCTGGTGCTCGCCTTACCTTTGCCGCCCTCCCCTCCCCTCATCCTTTGCACCTTCAAGCCTCTACAAATCGCTGCGAGACAAAAAGGTGGCAGTATTCGAGAGTCCAACTGGAACGGTACGCAGCACACATCCACAGTCAGTGCAGAGGACAACAAGAAACCGCAATGTGTCGATGTCATTCCTGACCATCCGCTTGTTCCTCTCAACACACAATCGTGCGCTGGCATCCAGGGCAAGTCGCTGAGCATGATATGCGGCTCGCTCAAGTGGCTCAAGGACTACCAGGATCGCTCCGAGGAAGAACAGCTTGCGGATCTCCTCGCCAATATCCCGGCCGACAAAGATTCGACAGGTACGCAGCCTGGCTGTTCAGAGACTGCTGGCTCAAGCGCTCCTTGCCGCTATCGTATGTCTGTATTGTTGCGCTGGCTCCCTCTGACGCCCTGCTGGTTAGAACCGGACTGGGTCCAAGAGCACGTTCGAAAGAGGCAGGTTGATGAAGCCAGGACAATGCTTGCCGAGAAGCGAGCACGGCGGACCGCAAGGCAGCAACGACTCGAGGAACTCCGGAGAGAGGAGGATCTGCCCGACAAACGGCGCAAGGTTCAGGTACTGTCCGGGAGAATCCTTGGAGCAACGAAATGTCGAGCGAAGATGATGCTGATCCTGGCACCTCGCATTGGCACCTCGCATTGGCCGCAATCGGCTGTATCGACATAACCCTCGTCTAGCGATTCGACAAGCCGACGATCGATCTGTTGAAGGAAGAGGATGAGTTCCTGCTGGCCAATTACGACAGCGACGAAGAACTTGGAACTTCGGATGCTGCCGCACGAGTGAAGAAGTGAGTTTGTCGTCCTGATCATGACGTCTGCGTCTGCCACCCTCCTCCGCCCTGCTGCTCACACATCACACCCGATGGCCGACAAGGCTTCAGAAAGAATACAACAAGATATTTGGCGAACCGAACCCGCCAAGCGATGGTGTAGAAGACGGAGACGAAGATGATGACGATATCAAGATATATTATTGCAGTCGCACGGTATACAAATCGCCAGCACGCAGCCTATAGAAACGTACACTCACCTCGTGTGCATGCCAAACCGTTTCGCAAAGCAAAACCTGACACCTCCCGATGCCTTGCGCATCTGTTTAGCATTCACAACTGAGCCAGTTTGTCAAGGAACTTCAAAAGACAGGGTACTCGACTTCAGTTCGATCGATCTCGCTGGGTTCGCGAAAGAACATGTGCATTCATTCTCGAGTCAGTCAGATCAAATCGCTTGGCCAAATGAACGACAGTTGCTTAGATCTGCAAAAAAAGAAAGGCAAGGATAACGAAGGAGGATGTCCACACCTTCCGGGGACAAGCGAGCGAAAGCGCATGCAGAACTATGTGGATCGCGCGCAGGTATCTACGATGCTATCGCAACGACGGCTGTTTTGCGTATGAACAGCGCCGTCGTTCTAGTCGCCTCGCTGACTTCCCGCGCCGATGTAGGCATCGATCAGGGATATTGAGGACCTTGTCGAGCTGGGCCGGAGGACCAACATTTGTCCCTATTATGGTGCTCGCGAGGCTGCCAAAACGGCCGAGGTACGTCGAGCAGACATCGACGGCAAGCTCTATCCCGTTTCCGATGACTCACCAATCCACTCCGTCAGATCGTCACTGTGCCCTACAACCTCGTCCTGCAAAGGAGCGCCCGCGAATCCTCCGGTATTCGTCTCAAGGGCAACGTCGTTATATTTGGTAAGGACGCTGCACCGCTCTCGGCCGCGATGCATGTGTGTCTATGGCTCACTCAGACATCCGCCGCATACCCAGATGAAGCACACAACATTATCGACACCATCACAGCGATCCACAGCTCGATAGTTATGAAGAGCCAGGTGGGCATTCGAGTGGATTGAGGATCCACTGATACAGCACCGTATCGGCAGTGTATGCGTATATCCCAGCCAAAGTCTGTCATCTCGTCTTGCCTCACCGAGATGGACATCGACGCAGCGCTAACACCTGCAATATATGGTAGATCGAGAGCGCGGAGACCCAGTTGACAAAGTACTATGAGAAGTACAAGACGCGGCTCTTGGGCGGCAATGCCGTCTATATCAAGCAAATATTGAGCCTACTCAGTGCGCTGCAGAAGCCGTTTCATTCAAGCACCAGCGAAAAAGGTGAGAGGCTCGAAGGATTGCTGCAAACCGCCAATCGCTTCTGAATGGACAAGACGCTGGAGTGCACAGAAGGCATAAAAGGCCTGTGTATTCATGTGCGCAATGCTCTGCGGCCTATGCATCCACAGCACATGTGGCCCAAACAGCAAACGAGTTTGTCCACGAACTCGGTATCGATCACCTCAACCTTTACAAGCTGGAAGTATTCATGAAGCGCAGCCGACTCACTCAAAAGGTAAGCGCAAGCGCTATGCCTGCATCCGCAGGATGATTCAGCCGAACCGTGTCCAATGTAGTGGCTCCATTCGAACCATTTCAGTACGCTTATGTCTGTCATGTGTTATTTCGGCACTAGCTCAATGGGTTCATTGAGAAGCATGAGCAGTCTGGCGCGCAAGCGACTCCAGGTCGGTGTTTCTCAGGATGGGCAGTCGAGCTCCGCTGAAATCGCCAATGCAGCTCGTTTGTGGCGAAACGGGTGTATGATCTTTGGGATTGTGACTGCGCTAACTCGGACGACAGATGCCCCAGGCACTTATGTATCCAGACACACGCCGGCTCTGCAGCAGATCGAGTCCTTCATCTTCTCTCTCAAGAACGCTACTGCTGATGGCCGCATCGTCATGACGCGCGACTGTAGGTTGAATCTGCCTCCCTCGCGAATCCCGGCCGCGAGCTGAGGGGTTTCGGGTGCCGTTGAATGCCTCTGAGTCGGTTGGCTCATACTCGATTCGTCGCTTCCAGAGCGTCTCTAAGTATGTTCGCCCAGTAGCCATGCTGACATCACGAAACCCCACATTCATCATCAGCATTTCCTTCGTATCGATACATGCTGCTGAATCCTGCAAATCACTTCCGCGACATTGTATCCGATGCCCGCTCCGTCATCTTGGCGGGCGGTACGATGGAGCCGGTAAGAAGATTCTGGGCATCGAGCAATGTGAATCGGATGGCCAGTCTTCGACGACGCCTGATATTCTACCCCTGAGCCGATCATTGAGCCGATCATTGAGCCGAGACTCGATAGTGAACCTGTTTTGCCAGCGCAAGGAACGGTCACTCGCATACCTTCCCATTGCAAGAATCGCCAAGTAACCGATTTGTATTCGTTGATACACCCAGGTTTCTGAATTCCTGACCCAGTTGTTCCCGGACCTCCCATGTAATCGGTTCCAGCGCTTTAGCTGTGGCCACATCGTGCCGAAAACTTCAATTCTTACGGTGGCATGCGACAGAGGCCCCACTGGGATCGAGTTCAAGTTCGATTATGCAAGCCGGGGCAGCGCTGAAATGGTATGAACCCAATCTAAGAATATCACTAGATTCAGCGACATATCTTGTTTGCCCCCAGAGACTTGGTCACATTATCGACGTCAAAGGCTCTCAAGGGCTGGCTGCTTGTAACCGATCAGAGTGCTGAACCTGTGCAACCCCGCCAGATCGGCGAACTTGGAAACGCCATCGTCAACTTTGCCGGTATCGTTCCTGGTGGCATTGTGGTATTTTTTGCCAGCTACTCGTTCCTCGATACCGTCGTCAATGTCTGGAGAAGTTGCGGAATCCTGCAGAGGCTTGAAGCAAAGAAAGAGGTATTGGCTTGTGTAGTTGCCGCATTGGTTTTGCGTACTGTTGCCGCTGAATCGTGTATCCGGTTGGTCGAGAAGAGTGTCCAAGCCAGCATCATGCCTCGTCATGAGTATGGGAGCGGCTCCTCCGTTGGCAATAGACCCGTTCTTACCCCGATCTCAGATCTTCACAGAGCCCAAGACTACAAGCGAGGTTGACCAAACTCTTCGGAAGTATGCGGATGCGATTCGTTCGTCTTGGCAGGGCGATGCCTTGGCGCAGGTAAAGATGCGTCATTGGCTGGCGTATGATGCTCTTGCTTCGCATTCTTGTTTCTGCTTCTGATCCAGAGCACTGCATGTGACGTCTGGTCTCCAGAAAAGCACAAGAAACGGCGCCATCTTGCTCGCCGTCGTTGGAGGCAAAATGAGCGAGGGGATCAATTTCTCCGACGATATGGGGAGGTAAGACGATAAACCGAGCAGCGCGGTTTCATGGAGTCGGCGAGAGCCATGCCGAGGTGGCTCGCGCAAATCGCATCAATATTGCAGAGGCGGGCGGGGCGGCAGAAGCTGTTGAACGAGACCTGAGTCGAATTGACTTTCCGATGAATACTGTCCACAGAGCGGTTGTTATGGTTGGTTTGCCGTTCGCCAATATGACATCGATAGACTTGAAGGAGAAGATGCGATACATCAACGACACAGCAAAGGGCGATGGCTCCGTCGGCGCAAATCAAAATGTAAGTGTCGATCCGACGGCTCCCATATTGCCCCGGCTTCCGTATCTGATGGCGATTCTAACTCTAAGCTTTAGTCCCCCTCTCCGGGGACGGTGTACTACGAAAACCTGTGCATGAAGGCCGTCAACCAGTCCATCGGTGAGTCTGTTGGACCCTCGCGACTGCCGCGCTGGCGGGTAACGATGAACCCACGTTGAGACTAGCACTGATACTGCATCGTGACAGGCCGTGCGATCCGCCACAAGGACGATTTCGCCTGTGTACTGCTGCTGGACAAGCGATACTCCACCCGTCGAATTCAAGAAAAGCTCCCAGGGTGGATCCGAAATGCAGGAGTTGTTCATGCTCCAGAGTTCAAGCTGAGTTTTGGCCCCGTATCCAAGGTGAGTGTGCATCCTGTGGTGTGAAAGATCTCATACCGCCGGTCTCTTGCAACGGGGGTGGACAGAAACAGCAATACTTGGAAGTACATAACGTTGGGTCAATGGCACCTGATTGATTCCACCAACATCTCCAGTTCTTTAGGGACAGAGCGCACCCAAAGAGAAACGAGGCGCTCTGATCCAAGTCAGGGTTGTCACTCTTCCTCGATCCGAATACACGCTCATTCATCGCCCACCATGGCCTGATAGCGTGTCCAAAGGGACTGGCATCGTGATTGCATTGAGAATCCATCATGGGAAGCGAGGGAAGGATATGGATCGAGCCCATGAGACGAAAGTTTGCTCAGGATTTCGAGCAGATCCACGACCACCAGAGTGGCCATGTCCCAGAACACGTCGAGCGACTTGCTCGACGCGACTGTCTTGACATCGAGAACCACGGAGTTGTCCAGATGATCAAGGGCATGCTGTATTTCAATATTGCTCCCAAACCAACAACAAACTGTGGCTGGCATGCGAATGAAGTACAAATGGGCACAATCCCCGGTGCGTTCCGAGCATGCTGTGGGAGGGCGAGGTAGACACCTGGAAGCATCGGGCAATGTCACGCAACACCTAGGAATGCCGACCAGCCGTCCCATATGCAGGACATCATACAAGCGACGCTGCCTCACATCTCTTCCAGCTTTGGAGACCCTGGGTTGGTCAACGATCAGATACTTGCTCGCAGATGCGCGCCCTTGGCCACCTTTTCGAGCTCCTCAAACTCGCCGGTGTCCACACACATAGAACGGAAAACTCCTCCTGGACTTTGCATCAGCTCGTAGGGCGCCCCATATTCAACAACGGCCCCCTGGCCCAAAACCAAAACGCGATCATAGTCGACGATCGTGCGAATCCTGTTTATCGGTGTAGGGAAGGTTAGACGGACGAGTGAGCCTTTCACAACTCTCGGGGACTGGATATCTAGTTGACAAGATTGCGGGACGGAACAGCGTGCATCTTCTGCCCATGAGTTGCTCTCCCCTCAAGTTAGCCGTGTGAACAGTCCTACCTGTGAGCAATGCATAATACCGTTGAGCTGTGGGGGAAAATCCGTATTATTAGAGCAAAGTTTTTGGCGACAACAGTGTCGCAGAGATGCTCACTAGAGACGAGAGCCAGGCAACTCGCAAACAAATGCATACTCTGAAAACTCGGGTCCGCGGATAGTTTCCTGGATGAAATTATCGGTTTCGGTGTCGACAGATGCGGTTGCTGGAGATGCCGTGAGCCAAGTCAGTCGCCTCCACTCTGGCTACGACACCTGATCCAACACAGCCAGCCAAGCAAGCCCGCAGAACAGAGCGGGATGAATATGTCTCGGGAATGTCGTAGACGTCGTTGAGCCTCGACTGACTCACCTTCATCCAACACAATAATCGATGAACGCTTCAGCAGCACTCGGGCCAGCACCAAGAGCTGTAGAGCCAAGAATCCAACGCGAAGCAGATAAGCCATCGCACGCGTGATATCGATAATCAACTGAAGCTGGATAGCGGACCATAGCAGCATGCTCACCTGTCGTTGTCCCACACTCAGGTTGCGGCCGCCCTCGGCAACTGCAAAGTTGAGCGAAAATCCCGAGCGAGCAGCCGAGCCGTCACCACGGGGACCGGAGGATCCCTCGGAGTCAATGACGCTGGGAGGCGCCTCCCCTTCCTTCCGTTGAAGGGTCTGCAGAAATCGCACACGTCGGAGAGACTCCCACAGGTCATCTTCGACGTGCTCGTCGAACGGGTCAAGATTGGAGCGAACGGTGCCGCTGAAGAGCACGGGCTCTTGTGGAATGATGGTCATCTTCCGACGCAGGTCCGAGAGCCCAAGGGTCGAAATGTCGACACCATCGATCAGAATCGTGCCGGCTTCGCATTCGAGCATTCGAAAGAGAGAGAGGGCTAGGGTCGACTTGCCCGAGCCCGTCCGCCCTGCGGATCAAGGAGTCGGTGATCAGGGTCTGAGATTACAAACATTGCCACAGAGTGTTCTCGCCAGAACCTACACCGCGGCAGTCAAGCCAGATCGGACCGAAGGCCTACCGACGATCGCGATTCGGCTCTTCTCTCCAAAGTCAACCGTGATGCCGCGGAGAGCCAGTGGCAGCTCCGGAGAGTACTTGACTTTGACATCTTGAAAGCGGATATGGCCTCGAGCTGGCCAGTTGGAAGGAAGAGGGCTGGTGGAAGCCGCCGCACTTTCTTGCTCGATTGAAAGATACTCGTGGACTCTCTCGACGGAATTCATGCTCTACCGTAGCACAGGGTCCCAGAGAGCGACTGGAATGCTTAGTATGCTGGCACAGTCGTTTAGCCGGCTTTCGTGTATACAACCAGCGCCGTTACCGGACCTTACCAGCTCCATTTGGGTGTGAGATCCGACCAAGTACGACAGATTATCGGCGATCGTGGAGGCCCAGCTTAAACTGAGTCCGGCAAGTCCGGCACCAATAAGGTCCCGTGACCAAATGATGGATGCTCCCGCGAAGAGAACAACCAAACCGGTGATCATGCCGAGTCGCATGGCAAACCAGCGGTTGGATGTCCAGAGCATGCGTTCGGCGCCTAGGGATGATGATATGAGTGCCAAAGCGTGCGCAGGATCAGACGTGAGTGACCTTGGATGGACAAAAAAGTTGTCCAATGACTTGAAGGACGGGCACATCACAAAGCATGATAAATAGCATGGCAGCCGATCGAATAACCGTGTGATGTCCCCCTTGCGTGTCATATCGCTGCCACTTGGCAAACACATACGATGCATCTGATCGATCCGAGCCATATGCTCCTGCATAAAACGATCCTCATGTCCAAAGGCACGGATTGTGACAGCACCACTTGGGGATAAGCGAACAAGAGTGGATATCAGTCGCGTTGACTATCCTGCACCCTGGTTGATCGAGAGGTCAATCAACCCGGAGACATCGATGCGATACTGAGTCAGAGCACATACGTCAGACACTCGCTGAAGGAGCTGTAGATGGGACTGCGTGAGCTGCTATGGAGACGCTTGAGTTGTCTACTCGTGCGAAGAAAGTAGACTGCGAGTCGATAGTAGATCCACGCTTTGCAACGAAACAAAAAGGCACCATCAATAAGACGAACAGGAGCCGCTCTGCGGATGTATCATTCCCATAGCGCGATCAAACAAGCTCGTCGCATCCACCGAGACGCCACCCTTATTGAACACCCTCCGGATGGGCTTACCAATAAACGGAATGGACACCAGGAACACGGGAGTAATGGACCCGATAACTGCGATGATCATGCAGGCACTTGCCGCAATGCCAAGAAAGTTGGTGCAGGCATGCAAGACCTCCCGATCGATCGAAGCCATATCCTTGGACAGGCGATTGGATATTCGTCCGAGCGGCGTGGTATCTTCCAGATGGCAGTCGAATGAGTAGGGTTATGAGCGGGTGATGCCAACAGTCTATATCAGGAGCTACAGCGAGCCCAAGCTTTGCAGCAAAACAGCTTTAAGGCTCACCAAACCATCGAACTGGCATGGACAGCCCGTGTTCGTGTCGGTTCGCGTCGGGCAAGGGAGTCGTTGATAAAACACCACAACTGTTAGTACGTGAAAGCTGTACTCGCTGAGAAAACGGTGCATCATCGAGACAACACGACAGCATCAACCATTGGTGGCTCCCAGGACAAGCGGCAGCAGCAGCCACCAGAGCCGGCAAAGGTGCGAGGAACAATCAGACCGGTCGTATCCACCACTCGGCGGCCGGAATGAAATTCGGCAGTGTGGGGGGGGGGCGAACGTACTTGGGGCGTGCAAGACTCGAGCAATCAGCTTCTGGTGAAGTGCCTTGGAGGCACGGTAGCTTGAATAGGAAGTAAAGGCATAGAGACCAATGATCGAGAGAATCACCCCCAGCTTCAAAAGAACATAGACAGAAAGGTAGTACCAAATGTCGATGGTGGTCTCCGCAGTCGGCTCAGAGGGTTTCCCGATGGCCGCAGCGGCAGTAACAGACCAATGAACTGCCGCAATCCGAGCCAGGAGCGATGGATGAGCTCCGTAAGCGTCCGACCATACTTTGAGCCAGTAATCGCTCCAAACTTGGAAGCCACGCTCGAAAGCAAGCCCGAGGAGGTAGACCACGACCACGGCGGCCCCTCCGCATGCTTGAAGGAAGAACGCATAGATCTCGAGCTTGACCGAGCCTGTTTGTATAGTCTCATCGCTCACGAGCTTGCTGGTCTGGTCGGCATATCGAGGTGCGTGGTTCGGCGCATCCGTTGCAGCCACCGAAACATCACAAGAGCTTGGACCCGTCTCGTCACCGGAAAATGAGACTGCCTCAAGCCGATCGATGGCGAGAATTCTCTCAATATCGGGAAGTTTGAGAACATTGGACACGGTGTCTGCGGCTAGGACCTGGCCCTGACTCATCACAACCAGTCGGTCCGTCTTGGGAAGCGCCAGGTTGACGGCGTGGGTGACTAGAATCCGAGTTCGATCTTGCAGAAAGTCGACAATGCATTCCTCAAACAGGTGCCGCGCCGTTGGGGCATCGACTGCCGAAAGCGGATCATCCAACAGAATAACTCTGGCAAAAGAATAGGCCGCTCGAGCCAAAGAGATGCGCTGCTTCTGTCCGCCAGATAGGTTGATGCCCTTCTCGCCCACTTCAGTCATGTCACCGGCCTCCAAGATATCCAAATCCTTGACGAGACAGCAGGCGTGCAGAACTCGAGCATACCTACAAACAAGTGCGGTGAGACAAAGCTGATTACGTACGAGGAGCGAAGGAAAAATAGCATAGGTTCAACATACCGATCGGGATCATAGTGCTGCCCAAATAGAATGTTGTCTCGAATAGTGGCATTTAAAAGCCATGCCATTTGAGCAACAAGGGCAATCTGGCCACAGTGGTTTGGACTGTACAGATCCATCAAGTGGTACTCGCCGTGGATGCATTTGAGCTCACCCAACAACGCACTGATCAGGGACGATTTGCCAGCGCCAGTGGATCCACATATGGTGGTGAGCTTGCGGTGCGGGAAAGTCAGGCTAACGTTTCTCAGCCTGAACGATGGACCCTCGTCTTGCTTTTGATGCACCTGTTGCTTTTGTTGGATTCCCGAGACCCTCGTCGCGAGAAGAGGTGTGGTTTCATCCGAGCGCTCGGCAGCCGCAAAATCGGATGCTTCTCTTGAGGAGCTTCGACCATTCTTCTCTTCATCAGTATGACACCACTCGAACGAAGCTTCGCTGAACTCGGGGGAGGAGCTTGAGCGAATGTGCGATTCATGAAGCGAGTAGCGCTCGAGTTCGGGCTCGCTCAAGTATGCTTCTATACGACGAACCGAGACGAGGAGGGACAGAATCTACAGATAACTGCGTGAGCACAAGCAAGGAAGAGAATAAAGCAAATGCAGTCTGGCGGAGCGACGCATCCGATGCCCCACGACATGCGTACCTGAGCAATTCGATCGGGAAAGGCAGTCAGCGGCCAGTTGAGCAACCCGAACAGAGCCAGGCAGGTAAACGCTGTTTTGGCTACAGGATCGATGACCGGATGAGTCGAGCTTGGGTCATTTTTTAGGCCCACCAGCCCTAGTCCGCACTTCGGTAGCTGTACAGATTGACAGCGCTAGCATGCCTTTGCAGGCCATTGCACACATATCGGCGGTGAAGCCACGCACAGCAAGTACAGCATCACATCGGTGCACACTGCTAGGCTTGCGCCGATCAGTGAACCCGAGTACCCACCATCAAGCTCTCTTCCGGAGAACACAGTGAAGGTAAAGAACGTCGCAATTGCCACTAAAATCGGGACCAGATTCCAGAGTATCACCGAGAAGCCATTCAAGACCGTTGACTTGATCAGACAGGCTAACTCCTTGTCCCGCGCTTTGCCGATCTTTTTGAGGAACTGAGGCTCCCAAGCAAAGAACTTGATGATGCGAATGGCCTGAAGCGTCTCGACAGTAGAGGCGTTACGCTGATCTGTAGCCTCCATAAGACTTTCGTAGCTACAAGGTCCAAGTGACATCATACGAGGTTAATGTGAACGTCACATTTGATCGGCGAACAGTCGTTTGCCACAGGTCGTGCTTCAGCCAGGCCGAGACGCATGAAGCCTGTCGAGATTCATATGAACAGATCTACGGTCTGTCTCGTCACAACTCTGAGCAAGTCGACGACCGCCGGCATGCGCTCTTGGCTTAAGGGATGCATGGTATATACAAACTAACGCAATGAAGCTGAAGCGGTGGTGTGGGCTGCAGTACATACCAGCGATTCATGTAGCGTGAGAGAATCGATGTCATCGGCATGCTAAAGATCATGATAGCGATGCCAGCAAAGGCAGACCATCCCAAAAAGGAATACAGCGACACGATAGTGATGATGATTTGGGTCGGGCAGGTGAGGGCAAACATGAATGCTGGTAAAGAAAACCGAGTAGATGGACGTATCCGGGTCAGAGCGGGGATAGAGCCATGCAGCTGTCGGCGGCGGCGCTTTAGCAGCAGCGCAGGCACTCGCCCAAAAGCAATTCACGAGGTTGATTCACAGTATACCATTTGATGCATTGGCGACGTTCTCGGTGTCGATGGACATGAGCGAGATGATCTTGCCAGAGGAGCCGTCATTGTCCTTGGAGTTGGAGTTGGAGGATTTGAACGACTGGACGTGCCTTAGAGACTTTGAGAAGATTTCGGCAATAAGCACCGAGCGAACCTCGTATTGAATGACTGATGCCGTGTAATATATCTGGATTCACGATCGCAAATGAAAGGGACAATAGACAATGATGAGTGTGCGAGGAGAGTCGCTTGAATCCAACACCACGACGAAAGGGGACGCTCCTCAGCTGCCATGCTTATGAGGACGATTGCCAGTCTCACCGACCTGGCCGTCCGAAACGGCGTAGAGCACACTCAAAATCCAGGATAAAACAACATAGAACAATCCAACAGTGACAGGGCGACCGCTGGGGTTCTGGATGTAGTCCATGATGTGGTAGAGACAGAAAGGGCCATTGAAGGTCAAAGCAACTTCGACGAACCCGCAGAGGAGCTGGAAGAGGATGTTCCGGAACTCCATGGCAAACAGTTGGGTGGCGAGATGCTCGTAGCGTGGCTTGAATTCCTCCGTGAAACGCTTGGTGGAGTTTTGGGCTTGGGTGGATGCAATCAGCTCGTAAAAGTCATCCTTGGTGAGCGGATATACGGATCCGCGCTTGATGATGTTGCCCATCCACGAAAACGACAGTATTTCGAATAGATCGGCATCGTCTTCGGGAGGCGGAACAATCTATGCAGGCAATCAGAGATATGGAAACAGATTAGCATTTGACACGGAACCTGGACGATTGTGGATCTAGCAACGGGAGCAAGGCCCTTCGCGCGAATGATATCGATCGAATGGGGCCAAGCGGGTCGAGGAGTGGCCAATGGCGTACCCCTGTTCGGTTGGGGCCGCGCAGAATATGTTCTCGCTGGAGGGACACTTCTTGAGAGTGCCGGAACCTCATCAGAAACTCCGAGAGGGCCACAGCGAGCGAAAGAGCAAGGTCGAAAGCGATCCAGGAGGGGACGGCCTTGCCGTCCGAAAGCAAGACATGAATATTGAGCAGAAGCAGCGCCGTCGAGAAGACAGCAAGGATCTGCACCGGACTGACAATCGAGAGACGGTGGGAAGTTGCCCTGGGAAGGCGAATCAACGAGATCCATGCAAGGATCTTGGGGATTCGAGGAACAAGAAGCAGTGAGATACGGCGGCATATGGATACGGCGGCGAGACAATTGTGGCCGCAGCCGATCTGCAACCTTGTCAAGCCAGCGTCCAAAACGAAGAGATGCGTACCCAAGAGAGAATCCACATTGCGGCGGAGAGTTGATCGAGCATATGGGACGACCGGGGATCGATGAGCATAAATCGCCAAATCGCCGACACGACAAGCGCTACGACGCTGCCCATCGCAACGAATCGAGGCAGAGAATCAAAGGCGACCAGTACGCCCCGGAATCCACCGTCCAAAGTCTGTCGGTGGGAGCGTCGACGAGAGCCGAGGTGGGAAATGGCCACATCGAGGCCGAACACCAGCAGGGGGAGCTGTTGGAGGATAGCAAGAGTATAGCTGACGGAGCTCATTGGCTCGGCGGAATCGAGCCAGAAGGGGACGGAGGGTCGGGAAACCTGGGCCCGAATACGTAGGACCAACGAATCAAAGACTGGGCTCGACAGTCAGCTTGGTCAGAAGGCGCCAGGTCAGGGACAAGATGAGTGCAGCCAGGAAGGGTGGCCAGCGAGGGGGTGGCCTTGGAGATGCAGGCCGAAGATACAAGCCCTTGGTGTTTGGCAATGGTGGCGCAGGCGGCCTGTGTTCCAAGAAACCCAACATCGGGGTCGGTGTGCAGCAACGACATGGAGAGTCAGCCTCGAAGCATGGAGGGCTCAGGGACACAATCTGGAAGCCATCACCTTGCGAATGTTGCATGGCTCTGCGGCACGGAATGGGTAATTGCGTTGCTGGCATGAATTGAGAAGGAATATGGAAACGACACATATTTCCCAACTCCAGAATATAGTGCTTGGCACAAGAAACACATCAGCTCGATGCTGAAGGCCGGATCTTGAAGAATATCCATCGCCCCATACTGGGAGCCAGCCAGACGGCCGATACCGAGTTCCACATCACAAGGAGTTGCTCCACCGCGCGACGATGACAACGGATCCCGTCGAGGGTGCGGGATCGAGTGGGCGGGATCGAGTGGGCGGGATCGAGTGGGCGGGATCGAGTGGGGAGTCAAATCCAGTGCATATCCAGTGCATACCCAGTACATATCCAGTACATATCCAGTGCATATCCAGTGCATATCCAGTGTATATCCAGTGCATATCCAAGTCGAGCCCCCACACCGGCAGCCATGGTGCTGGCCTCCGATGCTGCTGGGAGGTTGCATTTGCATCTGATGGCGCTGCGCCAGTCGCACTGCTCCCGTTACAGGCCGTGTGTCTGAATGACAAAGGGATCGACACTGATTGTCGCAGACGGTGAGAGACATCGACGACACAAACGGCGGTGTTGACAAAGGATTCGCAATAGATGCAACAGACAGACGCATCAGACAGACGCAGCAGATAGACGTAGAGCCGAACAACACCTTCGGGGTCAACCACGAAGACGGCAATGGCAATGACAATGGCAATGGCAGTTGCAGACCGGGCCAGAACAACAGAAGCGATGCGGAGGAAAACAAAAGCAAATGCCGCCTCCCGGGATCGAACCGGGTGCCTTAAGATCTTCAGTCTTACGCTCTCCCAGATGAGCTAAGGCGGCTTAGCATCGCCGTAATCCAGATGACACTCACGAAACCACATCAACCATCATACCAAACACGTCACATCAAGGCAACATGCCAAACAAACCATATTAAAGCCGTCATCAATCACGACGGAGCCATAGGTATGATACACACCGCACACCGCACACCGCACACTGCACACTGCACACTGCACACTGCACACTGCACACTGCACACTGCACACTACACACTGCACACCGCACACGGTGCAGCGATGAGGCCAATCGATATGCGGGCACTCTGGCATTGGCCCGAGGACGCCAATGTGATTTGGAATCTATGATCTGAACCAATGCGGCGCGCGGCTCGACATTCCCGGCCCGAAGCCATAGACAAACCGAGGCACAGAGGCACATCGAGACACACCAAGTCACAGAGGCACACCAAAGCCCAGAAGCACCCTGAGCGCATACCTCAAACGGTGGCGGATGTATTGGGCACAGAGACAGCTCGGACAGCAGCTGTCGTCCACATCACATCCCTCCAAAACTTTTGACCACGAGCGAAAGAAAACAAAGAAAGGAAGAGAAAGAAAGGTCGTGGCCACCACACAGAATCAAAAGGCAACAAGCCACCACAATCACAGACATTGAACATTTGTGCGAGCACAATCAGAGGACAAGAGTGATTCGGCAGGTGTTGGAGGCAAAGGGCCGTTGAGGGAAACTCGACAGTGCGGGCTCCCCCTCCAGCGCAAAATCGGATTCAAGATTGGATTCAAGATTGGATTCAAGATTGGTCTCAAGATTGGTCTCAAGATTGGATTCAAGGCTTCAAAGGTGAAATGGAGTTGTCGAGGAAATGGAGTTGTCGAGGAAATGGAGTTGTCGAGGAAATCGAGCCTTGGCGGCTCAGGCGCATTCAAAGCGTTGGCCGAGAGCAGACCGATGGATGCCGCAACAAAGATGTTCGGCCCCTTCTGGAGCTGTCTTCACAGGAACTGCCGTCACAAATGGCGTGAGATGGCACTTGAGGCTCAGACGGCACCCTCGCAGCGCCACGAAACGTGAACTCTATCGCAATCAGGGGCCGGTGACTTACTTGAACACTGCCTTTGGCGTGACCGCGGCTCCCACGGTTCCCATGAGCCATCACTTTCTCCCACGGGCACTGCGGCTTCCCTTCGAGGATGAGTCGCTGTTATCACAGCCGCGGATGCTGCAGCTTGGGATCGATGATCTACCCGAGTTTGAATCCCAGCCGGCATTAGTTCGACCAGAATTATATGCATCGGGCGGACAGGAAGAGCCATTGGAATAGCCCTGGGCAAAGCCGGCTGAATAGCCATTTGTGTAGGCCTTGGTGTAGCCGTTCTGGTAGCTCTTTTTGGTCCCGTTGGAGGATCCGCCGCCGTACATTTCCATTTTCGACAGTTGAGAGGCTGGAGCGTCAATGAAGGACAGAGATGCCAGGTGGTCAGTGGGGTCGGCGTGATATTGCTCAAAGCTTGTGCAAACGGGAGCTGTGATGCATCAACAGCCGACAGGCGAGTCGGCGAACCAGCGATGGCTCACCAGAGACGAGATGAGGAACTTGGGTGTTGGTAGGATTGTTCCTGGGAACCAAGAGCCTCGGATGCCGATGGCAGGCTTAAATAGGGATCAGAGATGAAGATGATGCAGGTGACTGATCACGAGAAGCTCAGCGGCGCGACCGAGGAAGCTTCGAAACAGAGGCAGGGTCGGGATGCAGATATTGATGTGTTGATGTGTTGATGTGTTGATGTGTTGGTGTGCTGATGTGCTGATGTGCTGATGTGTTGATGTTTTCTGACGGCGGAAGGGTGTCCGGAAGTGGTGTGCATAATTACAGACAGTCCAACACAGCCTCTCGGCAGCCACATTATCACTGAGGCCCCCTGCCTCAAAGAAGAAACCAAGGAAGCGAGATTCAAGAGAAACAAAGAGATTGGCACTGCCGCTCTCCAGAAACGAGGCTGACCCCGGCCACCAAGCTCCCTGGCCAAAATCAACAGTCCACAAGGCCGGTCGACTTGACAGCCGCGACAACAGAGCGACTGGATGTTCGGGGCGATGACCCCGGATGCGGACGGACTCAGCTGCTGGAGCCTGGCCTCGGGGCAATGTCCCATGGACAGAGTACGGAGAGCACGGGGACAAGGTGTGCCTCTGTAGCCTCTATATCCCAACCCCATCGAAGAGGACGGGCTCATGGAAGCAATCCAGTTGATCGAGAGGAACGCATCCTGACTCGGTGCTCATGCCATCTCGATGAGGGAGGACCTTTGTATCCGCCGTTGGGTTGCAGGTGGACACTTTATTCAGACGGACACAATTCAGATGAACACAGTGCTCAGGTAGGTGGACACATCGAAACCCCCAATCCCCAATCCCCAATCTAGTCCAATCCAATCCAATCCAATCACGATCAGCAGCCAGACGTACGATTCGAGACCCAATCATGATTGGATTTGCATCAGGCTGCACACGACATAATCGGGTTTGTCCAGAGGCAGTGGAGATTGTATGTTCAACAGTCGCAGACAAAGGCGTTGCGACATCGTGGTGCTGCGGTACATCGGTGTTGCGCCATCGCAGTATGGTGGTCTATTGGCGCTGTGGTGTTTCGGCGTTGCGGTCGCTGGGCATCGATGAACTGAATTCGACAAGAGGAGAGCCACGGGAGGGCTGAAGCACAGAGGCGGCGAGCGACGGACCAACGAAGGGTAGAGGAAGAATCGACAAGGATCAACGGGGATCAACGAAAGACCAACGAAGGGTAGAGGAAGAATTGACAAGGATTAACGGGGATCAACGGTGATGATACCAGATAAAGAAATGGGCGGCGATGGTGAGAACGACGGCGTTGACAATAACGTGCGATTGCAGCCACATTGGCAAAGGACTTGCACCAGCGGCAGCAGACAGCGGGCAGAGCAGACAGACGCAGTGCCGAAGAACACCTCTGGAACCAACTACGACGATGACGATAACGATAACGATAACGATAACGATAACGATAACGATAACGATAACGATAGCGATAACGATGGCAATGGCAGTTGCAGATCGGGCCAGAACAACAGAAGCGATGCGGAGGAAAACGAAAAGTAAATGCCGCCTCCCGGGATCGAACCGGGTGCCTTAAGATCTTCAGTCTTACGCTCTCCCAGATGAGCTAAGGCGGCTTAGCATCGTCGTAATCCAGATACCACCCACGACACCACATCAAGGCACGACACCAGACACGCTTCATCAAGGCAACATGCCAACAAACCATATTAAAGGCACGATCGATCTCGCCGAGCCGCGGACACGATCGACCACAACGCAGCGCAGCGCAATGGAGCCACGGCTGGCCACCGCTGACGCTTGGCAGCATCCGGGCGTGACGGCAACGGGAGCCGAGAGCGGTGGAGCAAAAGGGCTTCTCCGGGAATCGAACCCGGGACCACTCGCACCCTAAGCGAGTATGCTACCACTGTACCAAGAAGCCAGAGAGAGACGCTGCTGCGATGTTGGGTCGCTGCAGCCCCACCGACGCCGGCAGGACTCGAACCTGCGCAGGCAAAGCCTACTTGATTTCTAGTCAAGCTCCATAACCGCTCGGACACGGCGTCTGTTGATGGCGATATTTGCAGCGCCATAGTGTGCGCAACTGGGCGGCTGGGGAGTGTGATTCCTTGGAGGGGTCATTGTCCGATTGCTGCACCGCTGCCCGGGCCTCATCCTCGCTGCACAATCCATATCCTCTGCATATTTCACATTCTCTGCGTTACAAATACCCTCTGCGCAATTGATATCCTCCCGATTGCCGGTACGAGCCCCATCGCCTCAACCCGCAAACGCCAATGCTCGTTATATTGTGGCCTTCGCTTCGCTTCGTTTCTGACCCATGCTTCGTACTGTGTCAGCACAGACCGAATCACCCGCTCTTATCCTGTCCTCTCTTCACTCGGAACACTTCAGCAGTAAATCTCCCCTTCTCTCCATACTCGGTCAGTCGCGATGAACACTCGTTCCCCGAATCGATCGACGCCTCCCCCATATATCGAAAGCCGTTTTCTCATGCATCCGCCCGAATCCCATCGATAACATCCGCCCGATCTCCCGCGCTCTCCCTGCGCTCTCTTTCTCTGTTGCTTCCGTCACCCCAGCGTCTTCATCGTTCCCTGGCTGCGCCTTTCTTGGTATCCCCACGTGGACACGGAACCGTTCTGTGCCGTGGTGGAGCGCTGATTTCTTGGCGCCTCCTTCGCTTAAAAGTGCTGCTGTCCGCTCATGATCGGCCGTCTCCCCGCCAAGTCGCCCTCCTTTTTCCCAACCCGGCGCCAGCCTCCTTCGTTCATAAATTCCTCACTGCATCCTTGATTCTCCGTCGCCGTTTCGGCACCAGCAGACCTTATCCACCTCTGTCCCTCGCCTCCACATCTTCACTGCCCAAGATGGCACCCATTGCGGTCAAAGTCCGCTTCCAATCCTCCCTGCGCCGATTCAACATCAGTCCAGATGCTCATCTTTTGTCCTTTGCGGATCTTGAGTCCGAGGTTCGTACCCTTTATATCGGCATCCTTTCCTTCTGTGCTATGGAGCCTTCTCTAAATGCAAGGCCTCTCTCCGACCTTTGCTCGATTCATCTCGTGCTCGGCATCCCCCGCACCCTCGAGCCAGCCGCTTGATCGTCGATATGCTGCTTGGCCCTTTAGGTGGCCCTTCGTCGATACCGTCGCCCTCACATCTGCGTCTTTCATCCGTAGATTCGCACGCTACACTGGATCAGTGTGCCTATCATCGTTACTTATCAAGACGAAGATGGTGACGAAATCTCCTTCGACACCGATTCCGAGCTGCGGGATCTACTTGCTCAACTTAAGCGAACCGGCTCGTCCACCCTGCGTCTGAATATTGCTGTTAATGAGAGTGTCGTCAGCGCCGCACCCTCTCTGCTTTCCCCTGTGCCCTCCAATGTGCAGTCCCCCACTCCTTCCTCGCTGCTGGACCGCCCAGGCGAAACGGCCTTTCCCATCGAAGTTCCTCGTGCCAGCATTGCTGGGTCTGAGCCAGACCCTCTTGCTCAGTCCCTGTCGCAGAACCCAGAGAAGCAGCACTCCAATGGCCGCAGTGAGTCGACCCCTCACGGTACGTCCGCATCGACCCCCGGCTTCGCTCTTCATGATCCCAGTGTCCTCGAACACCATCCGACTTGGCTTCGTCCATCCATGGTTTCTTGTGGTCCTTCCGCGCCACCGTTCCTGCCACCAACGGCCCTGACCCCATGTCCACGTTCCACAGATTTCATGTCCATGGCCGCGAGCTCAATGCATGACGACTGGCAGGAAGTCGGGGGCTCCGAGCTCGACGACAAGATCCTGGGGAGTTTCATTTACTCCCCCAGGGTTGCGGTAGGTATCGTGTATGTTGCCGTGCCCCCCGCGACCCCAGGTGGCTCTGCCCAGCGCTCTTGCTGCTTGCTAACCTTCGTCTCCCATCCCCCCAGCCCCTCGATGTCGTTGGCGAGCCATCACAGATTCCAAGTAACCCATTCACCTCCGGCCCGCCCTTGACCGAGTCGGTGCTCTCGGAACCTCCCATCGCATCCGAGGCGAAGCCAAGCGCAAGTTCATTCAATCCCTTTGACAGTCATGTCCAAGTGAACATACCGGCAACCATACGCCGCTATCCAGCTGTCTTCTCTGATGACGAGTACTCAAGTGTCTCGTCCGCAGCCTCTCCGCGCATAGGTACTATCCGCTATCCGACTCTGCCCCTGGCCGGCTCCACTGGCCACGACGCAGACGACTCAGCCTCAGACAGCTTTTCACAAGCCATCGAAACTACGCCCCCTGCCGGTCCTTCCGAGCCTGCAGTGGCCTTCACACCCCTTGCCTACGGCAAGCCTCCGAGCTCGGCTCCATCCAAGTCACGCATGACCGCGAGTGAAATAGCGCAGGTCAAAGCCGCCGAGCAAGTCGATGTTCTGATGCAGGACATCAACGACCTCGAATCCGAAGCTCCAGGGGATGCCTCCGTCAGCGAACAAGCCCTTGGCTCCAACACTGCGGCCGCGCCACCTCTCCCCAGCTCCGTGCCAGCCATTCCGAAGAGACCTTCCATTACCGATCTCGGGGCAAACTTCAAGATTCTCACCGAGAATCTAAACGCAATTTGCAGCCAGCATCCAGAGCTGTCGGCACAGGCAAATGTGCTGATAGAGCAGGTGAGATATCGCAAACACAGCCCAGAGCAAGGAGACTGCCCTTTCATTTAGCGGATTGTCGACCGTGTAGTGCCTGAAGGCCGTTTTACTCGAGTCGTCTGTCCCTATCACAATGGCTTGGTGGCTTCCCCCCCCCCAAATCGGGTCGATTCGATACTCGTCGTGACGGTGGTTTGGCGATTGCCTCGTTGGACAAGCTGCTTACATCGTTGGTTCGATTTGTACATACCTATTGTTGTTCCGCCAGACTCGATTCGTGGTTCATTCCAACCTTTTTAATCTCTCTGACCAGATCGTCGGCGTGATCAACAAGCAAGTCAGCGAGACTCGAGCTGAGATTCTCCAGCGAGTCGGATCTTTCGATAGCCAGTCCCAGATTGCGTCTCAAGCGCACGCTATGGCAGAGACAGCCAGGCTTGCTTCGGAGCAGGCACGGATCCAAGCTCTGGAGATGGCCCAGCGGGCCAGCGAGTCGGCCCTCCATGCCCACCAAGCCATCTCCGAGGCCCTCAACCAGGCCCGTAAGGTTTACCAAGACGCCCAGGTGGCCTTGCGCGAGCAGCGCATCAAGCAGAAAGAGGAGGAGGCCCAGCGTGCCCAGAGCGATGCGGGCAGCGTGCCGATTCATATCATCCCTGGATTGGTGGACACTCCCTCCGGAAGCGCCTCTGACGCACGGGTGACGCCGGGTATGGCATGTAACCCACATCTTTACTCGGCCGATCCCACCGCTCAGCTTTCGCTCAAGCAGCAGCAACAACAACAGCCGCAACCACAGCAGCAGCCACATACTCAAGTGCCCACAGCGGGCAGGCCTCATAACGATTCTGGCGCCGGTGCTTCCCACGAGCCCTCATGCCCTGCACCGCCCCACCGACGACCAGTTCGACAGAGCTCACTCCTATCCGAACCCATCGTTGCGCCTCGATTCCAATATCCGGGCCCATCTACCGACAGCTTGACAACAAGCAACTCCTCGATCTTGCAGCCTGCCCGGACCGACGTCTTCGATGAAACTACGCCGACACTGTGGTCCAACTCGCCCTTCCACACCCCCACGCCACCACATCCGCTGTCGACCGACGATACCAACAAGCGCGTTAATGCGCTTGTGGATATGGGCTTTACCGATCGCGAGCTCAACCACGACCTGGTCGTACAGTATGGAGGCGACTTGGGCAAGTGCGTCGAGCTATTGACCGAGATGATGTCCTGAGCAATGGGGTCGTGTGTGTGATGGTTGGGGCTTCCGTCGTTCCAAAGTCGCTGTCGCTTTGGAATAGCCCCGCCTTTGACGTTGTCTCCAACTCATGCTTAGGCCCTGTCTTTTCCGGCAACCTGTTTTGTGCGTCCGTCCTGCTGCTCGATCATACCTCATCTTATTCTTTATTCCCTGTAGTGTAGTAGTCTCCTCACCCCCCCCTTCTGTTGTCGGGAATTGTCCCTTGTTTGTATTTGCGATCTCGGCTCGCTTGACGAAAGTATATGATGCCAGCCGTTGTATCGCTGTTCCGATGATATGGCGCGGTGCTCTCGTCATTCGAGCCCTCGCCTATCTGAAACAGCGTTCTAAGCGTCCGGGACTCAAGTGAATAGCTATATTGGCAAGTGGGAAGGCTCTGGCCGAGCCAGGTCCAAACGACATGCGGGGTGCATGGCAAAGACGATGCAGGTGGGGAAGGGGGGGGGCGATACTGCCATTCCAGAGAAGAGACGAAAGAAAACGAAGGCGAGCAGCCGCGGGGTCCGGGCTTCGAGCAAGGTGGATGTGGTCGCGCGGATGATCTAATGGGTCAGCCATCCAGAGGAGAAAAGTGCTATTTGAGATTCTTCAAAAATTCATCGAGCTCGAGGTCTTCATACTGCTTCTCGTCCCAAAGATTCTCGAGTCCCTCGACAATCTCTTTCGCAGTCATCTTGCCCTCCTTCTTCTTGGCGCCGCGGCCCTGATCGAGTGCCCCGCCGCCACCAACATCACCACCCGCGCCACCATCGAGACTGAACAGATCCAGGATCTGGTCCGTGTCCATGCTTCGCAGCCCAGAGTTGTCCTGGTTGATGACGGAGGAGGCAATATTGAGCTTGAACTTTTGCAGACTGGCACCGCGGAGACGGCGGAATACCACGCAGGCGAGTGAATCGTGATTCGAGACAACAGGGCCGATGGAGGGGGAGCGTTAATGTCTGTGCCGAATGCAGGGGCCTTCGTTGCTGTGCTGGCAAATGGCACTACCAACAATCCATTGAAGCCCATGATTCCGCGGCACTCGATATGCATCCGGGCTGTCCCTCTCACGGATCCACAACAACATCCACAGAGGTCAGCGCTCGCTGTCGCCCTCTCGACTGATGCCGCCTGCATATGCTTACCCCATAATTTTCTCCTCGAGCGTTCCTCGTGTGATGAGGCGATAGACATTAACAACTCGCTTCTGGCCGATACGATGAGCACGATCCATGGCCTGCAAATCCTTCATGGGGTTCCAATCGTGCTCCACAAAGATAACCGTGTCCGCTCCGGTCAAATTCAGTCCCAGTCCGCCGACGTGTGTTGTCAGTAGCAGCACATCAATCGAGGGGTCCTCGTTGAAGGTTTTGACGATCGAGTGCCGTTTGAGGGCGTCGGTCGTGCCATCCAGCCGCATGTACGTCACGGACGGCATCATCTGCTTGAACAAGTCGTTTTCAATAATGTCGAGCATGGGTCTGAGCTGCACAAAGATGAGCGCTCGATGCGGTGCCGTGGTCGTGGTGGCCGCCTCGGCGCCCGGCTCGCCTCCGGAGGAGTCACCAATGCCACAGTCGAGCAGGATCTGCTTCAGCGCCTCGAGTTTTGGCGCATTCTTGACATCTCGGGCCGCCGACGGATCGGCAGCCATGATGGCCTTGTATTTTGGATGCGATGGATTCAGCACCAGGGCAGGATGGTTGCATAGCTTGCGCAGGTATTGAAGTGCCTGGAAGATATGCTGGCCCTTCTCCTTTGTCTCGGTCTTGGCGCCGCTTCCGCCGGGTGCTCCCAAGGGGCCGGCAATGTCGGTCTCGATCTCGTTCTTGGTATGGGACTGGGCAAATTCTTCATACAGCACCTTCTGCAGCGGCGAGAGCTCACAGTAGTAGTCCTGGATAATCTTTGGCGGGAGATCGTCCAGGACGTTTTCTTTCATGCGACGGAGCAGGAAGGGCAGCGCCTGTCTGTGCAGGGCTTCCATGGCCAGAGCGCCTGCCTCTTGCTCACGCGACGATGATTTTGCATCGCGCGAGGCCAAGATGGGCTTACCAAAGCGCTCGTTAAACTGCCTCTCGGTGCCCAGGAAGCCAGGCATCAAAAAATCAAAGAGCGACCAGAGCTCCAGCACGTTGTTTTGAATCGGGGTGCCCGATAGGATCAGGCGCTTCATGGCCTTGATGGTCTTGACCGCCTTGGTCAGCTTTGTTTTGCCATTTTTGATGACGTGCCCCTCGTCCAAGATGCAGTAGTTCCAGTGGAAGACATTGATTTCGTCAATGTCGTTGCGTAGGATATCGTACGACATGACGATGGCATCGTGCTTGAGGAACTGTCCACGCAGCCTTTGAAGCAATGAAGCACCACGACCGTGAGTGTGAGTATGCGTGAGTGTGAGTATGCGTGAGTGCGAGTATGCGTGAGTATGTGTGTCCGCTGCAACGACGCCGAGAAAACAGGCAATTACGGAGACTGGTGCCCTGGTGCCCCACGAACTTGCAAACCCCACCTCTGTCGATCTGCAGGGCCGCCGGTGTAGATCATTGACCGCAAAAACGGTGCAAACTGGAGGATTTCGTGATACCAATGGCCGGTCAAGGTCGGAGGACAAACGATGAGCGATGGGCAGTGGCGGGTATCCAGGCTGGGGCTTTTGGTATGCTTTTCGGAGCGGATGTGATGATCCGAGGCAAGTATGCATATGGTCTGGAGGGTCTTGCCGAGGCCCATATCTGTCGACAATCAATGGAGGAAACAGGTGTACATCATATGTTATGAATCAGGAAGGGGCAGTTGGGGGCGGGCACGGTGGAGAGCCGGGGGGTTGCATGATGACTTGTCTCGAGCGATGGTGTGGGAATACTGAGCCTGCTCCAGCCAAAACGCCACTCAAGCCATGCTTTCGAGTGCTTACCATCACAAAGGATGCCATGCAGTTGGTATCGATTCAAAAAGGCCAGCCAGTTCACGCCCTCTTTTTGATAGGGTCTCAGATCCGCCTTGATGACGACAGGGAGCTCAAACGACTCCATTCTCTCCGTGCCGACGAGCTGGCCCAGGAACCGCCGCTCCTCTGTCTTTTGTTTGATGAGTTCCTGTGAGAATCCAGGCGGGTCTGGGACGCCACTCTCGAGGGGAATCAATTTGACAAGCTGGGCAAAGATGTTGGTGCTGATGAAGCGCACGCTCTCATCGGGATCGGACATGCGGCCGAGAATGGGAACGATCAGGAAGATTATGTACGACAGAATCGTGACATCGAGATCCTGAACAATGTGGAAGATGGCCTCAGCAGCTCCTTGCCGATAGTGCGTATTGATCGAGTCGCTGAGCAGCGGAATGACTTGCGAAATGATGGCGTGCATGGTATCGACTGTGAGGGTCTTGGCCAGCGCTCCCAAGGTTCGCGAGGCCATGTTGCGGACGAGGGCGGACTCGGCGTGAAGGCAGGTGCAGATCGGCGACAGTAGCGTCTCGAACATGGGGTAGTAGTGCTGGTGAATATGCGGGGCAAGGACAGCCGAGATGTAGAGTCCGTCGATGACTTCCTGGGTAAAGTCTTCCGATTCCTTGAGGCGATGCAGTGGGCTGACGTCCGTCGCGCTCGGATCAGATTGGTTCTTGAACTCGAGCAATGCTTTGGATGCCACTTCCCATAGCTTGGGTACATCGTCAAAGACACGGTCCTGAAACCGGAGGCAGATGTCGCTCACGGCTATTTCGGCGCCTCGACGCACAATCTGCCGAGCCTTGCGTGCAGCGTCTTCCGGGCTCATATTCGCTGGCAGCGCCGCGGCTGCATCGGCCAGCACAGCGCCCGAGTCATCGGAGGAGCCGGTTGCTGCTGTCTTTTTACGCCCGCCGGACGATTTTGGCTTGTCGGCGGCATGTATCTTGCTTGGAGTTGGATTGGCTTCCTTTTTAGAGGTCTCAAGGCGACGGAGTGTCCAAATCCCCGTCGGTTCTTCCAGAATGCTCCTGATGTCCCAGACAACATCGGTATCAGAGCACAGAAACCCGGCCAGGTTCTTGACGACCTTGTCGTTGATCGCCGCCGGTCGCTGCAGCGCCACGTTCATTTGAATCATTCGGCTGACGCCTTCGGCCGACCGCTTCTGGATTTGCTCGTTCGTCTCGAACTTGATGGCATTCATGAGGCTTCGGATCACGGGGTTGATCTTTGGCGGTAGTCTGCCCAGCCGCACAGAGGCCGAAGACATGCATGCATGAACTCGCACCTCCCACTTCCTCTGAACTTCGTTGTAGTTTTCGATGGCGTAGTTCAGGCGCGCGCGCCTCTCTGCAATTACGGCTCCGAGCTCGTTCCTGCCAGCGGGTCCCACAAGTTGGAAAAATTGATCGTATACCTCGCCAGCAATTTGCTGGGCAACCAGAATGTTGAACTGAGGGCCGAACAGACTTGTTGGCCGACCAGTCTCGACCGGGGAGAAAGGTAGCGGCGGAAGCGGTGGAACGCCCTGGACGCCGGCGTCTGTGAAAGTCGATAGTAGCGTCTGGGATTCGTGGAAGACCCGGTTGAGTGGCGAGTTGAGTTCGCGGTAAAAGGTGACAACGGCTCCAGAATCGGCAGCAATCAAGATGTTTGTCATGACATCCCACAGCTGCCCAGCCAATGGCACGGCATCGACCATAAAGTGCCCCTGAGGATCGATCGTGCAGGGTGGTGGGTGGACGCATTCCCAGCGCCCAGCCCACTCTTCGGCAACAACATTGGCAAAGATGCGGTGCGTAGCCCAGCCGCTGTTGAGATAGCTGGTGAGAAGCTCCTTGACTCTGCCGTGGATGGTGTCGGTGCCGTGTTGGATCAGAGAGTGAATCATGACGCCAAGGGCCTTGGAGGAAGCCAGCCGCCCGCGGATGATGTCGTCGATGCTAATCACAGTGAGATCCTGGTTGACCATGACCTTATCGTGGACGGCAATTTGCGAGTCGGTTGTGACAGAGGTCTTGGCTCCTGCTCCTCGCCGGGTCAAGGACAGCGTGGCATCGGTAGGAACGTAGAAAAACGCATTGGTATCAAAAGCGGTGCCCATTGGAGTCATAATGAGGCCGAGCCAGGATGGCAAGAACTGGAAAGGTACATCGATGCCGGCGACTGCATCCGGCTTGCTCGATTTGGAGTAGAGTGCATCGTTCAGGTCCCAGAGCCTTTCCCAAGTGGAGAGGGTCAGGTTGATGATCTCGGGTCGTTCCTCGATAAGGAAGTTTTGAAACAAAAGCCGGAAGAGCTCGATCTTGATCCAGCTACTCTCAGAGCCCAGGGTCAGGTCCGGCTCGGCCCGACGCAGGATGGCGAGATTCATCTCCAGTAAAGTCATGACTGTCTTGAGGACGGCTATGCGAACGGATGTAATGGCGTGGCGAAAAAAGCGGTACAGGCGTGGCACAAGCTTGGAGAGCGAGAAAGATGGGGTTGACTGGATATACGCCGAAACTTTGGGCATTTGAATCAGTTGCGATAGGAGGTCCATGACAAATCCTGTTGCCGAGGTGAGGTCATCCAAGTCCAAGAGACAGTCCCAAAGCGTCAAAATAATTGAATCGAAGATTCTGGGTATCGGCAAAAGCTCAATGAGCAGGTCTGTGATCGGGAGCAGGGCTGAGGACGATACGGCACGAACGTCATCGTCGCTGTCCTTGAGTCTGTAGGGCGAGGAATGGGCGTCCATTATCGAGTTTCGGATGGGTGCAGGCGAAAATGTGTGCAACACAATAAGTTTCCACAACGCACGACGAGGAGTCATGGGCGCCAATAACCAGGAGGAAGGAAAAAGGACATCGAGTTAACACCAATGATCACCGCATGGAGCGGCCGCTTTGAAGCACGAGTCATGGGAACTGATGGGCGATCGCAGAGTGGAATCCGTAGCTTGCGCTTTAAGACACGGACTCGCATCGATTACCTACTACTCTGGAGCATTCACGATACTCACCCGTTGATGATGGCAGTAAAGACACCCGAGTCCACACCTTCCTCCGATGAGACAATCACATTGCCCACGAGATCCTTTCGTAGGGCCATCCAGTACTTGAGGCCAATCAAGCCAGCATGTCGTACCTCCCACCGGCCCCCGCCGCGTGAGCCCTTGGGCCGATCGGTAGCGGAGGCCGTGTCGACATCCGCCAGGTTAGTGCTGCCTTCGATGAGCTTGAGCAGGCCCTGGTTCAGAACCTTGAGGCAAGTCTCATTGTCGCACCAGCGTAGCAGTGCGCCCAGAGTTTGCGCGCAGGTTTCCCGGACAGGAGTGACGATCTGATCGCTGATGAAGTCAGCAAAGCGGTCAAGAGCCAGGACACACAGCAGCCGACAGGCCACGTCCTCAAGCCAATTCAAATGGCGCTGAGCGTTAATAGCCTCGGAGAGGCCGACGAGTTTGCCAGCCCCGGACCCGTGGTTCTTGATGATTTCACGCAGACCGATCGCGGCACCGTGGCGGACTTCCCAGGTGGGAGAGAACAGATCCAGCAAAAGTTGTTCGCAGAGACCCTCGAAGGGCCACTCGTCCACAGAGCCATCAATAGCGGAGGCATCGGAGTTGCTCTTGTGTTCAACGACATGAGCGTTTGGGTCAAGTCCGAGGGAGGACGAGTCTGCGTCGCTCTCGATCTTGACTTTGGCGCCAACGGGCGATGCAGCGGAATCGCCAGCACAAGTATCGTTGAGTTTGCGCCGTTTCATGGAAGACGAGGACGATAGATCGGTCATGCGCACACTGAGGCGCCAGAGGTAAGGTTTGCACATGAGATACGGTATAGACGAGACACGAAATGAGATATGAGGCATTGCACGGGATCGGACATGTCTGATCGGGTGCGATGTGCGATGTGCGATGTGCGATGTGCGATGTGCGATGTGCGATGTGCGATGTGCGATGTGCGATGTGCGATGTGCGATGTGCGATGTGCGATGTGCGATGTGCGATGTGCGATGTGCGATGTGCGATGCTTGTCCACCACTGGGATGCATATCTGCATAGCCATGCTGGAAGGAAGGATTGTGATACGTACACTTCCTTGCTCTTATCCTTGGCGGCCAGCTTGGCTTTCCGTTTGAGGCGGTTGCGCTCTCGAGCACTCAGACCCTCCATATTGATCTCATCCTCGGGGGCACCTTCGTCCTTAATGGACGGTGTCGATCTAGATCAGATATCATCGATAGGACAGTTGGATGAGTACCGAACGAAGCTGTGCAAATCGATCGTCCTTAATCGCCACAGAGCACTCATTCAGAAGATGCCTACGCTTTGGCCCGGGCCTTGATCGAGTTTTCGATAATCAGCTGCGCCTGCTGCTTCTTTGACGACTTGTCCGTGTTGGGTGCAGACGACGCCATATCCGCTTCAGTGAAAAAATCAACTGGATGTCGCAGGGAGGAGTCAAATGGAGTAAATAATCGATTCCCCGACGCGCCGTTTGTGGTAAATGAGCGAGGAGACCAGTGAGTCGGGATTACAAGTCATCACAGCTGCAGGATCGGAGATATCCTCATCAGCATCAAGCGGGCGACATGCAAAAAATCGGGATAACAGGTTCCCGAAGATGAAAGTACAATATCTTTGGCGATCTAATGCGGACAGGGTGAGTTGCGGGAAACAGGGCGATATCACTGGTATAGAAAAGGGAGGAGAGCAACTTTACCATCCATGAACTCGGTGCCGAGACCAAGTCGTTCCCTCAGCTGCTTCTTTTGCAGAGCAATACGCTCCTTGGGATCCAGCTTTGAATAATCAAAATCGAACTCGGTCCCGGCACTCGACAGCAAGGGCGCGCCATTCTTGAGAACAACGTCGATGTCGAAAGAGGAGAATGAGAGAAGGTCGTCGAGGTGATGGTCGTCGCTGGGTTTGGATGCCGAGTCGGCCTCGGTTGTGGATGGGTCCCACTGTGGGACATTTTTAGCAATGGCATCGATGGCGAGGCCGGCAGCAATGCGCGTTTCCCAAGTTTTGCTGCGAAGGTGAACAAGAATCTAGGGCCATTCGACAGAGCATGGCAAGTTTCAGGGAGTGCCGAATGGCAACGACGGCAAGGTAAGAGTGGGATGGTGAGCAGTAGAAGCGGATACTATTATGGAGCCGATCACAGTGGCATCTCTAATAATGGAGCGCCGATGGACACTGGAGAACAAAGATGCAAGGGCCAAACCCACGGGATAGTAGCAATCGTCACGGGAAGACAACGATAGCCAGAGCATGCCTTACCCGCGCCAAGAGGTAGTAGAGCTTTTGCGGGTTCTCTTTCTGGACCTGGCCGAGCTGTTGTGCAGCAGTCTGCCGCACCGAGTGAGTCGAGCCCGTGTCCAGGAGCAAGACAAGACGGTCGAGCCTGCAGAGAAGGGGGGGGAATACCGATGGGGTCGTAAGCCGTGGCTCGGAGCTGGCCGAACACGAATGGAACCACTGACTTCATCCTCAGAGAGATCTGGAGCCGAAGATAACGGCAAACGGCAATCACAGCGTGGAAGCAGAAATGCCCAGGCAGCCTAGGCGAGGAAGTCTTTCAGGCAGCGACCACGTCCTCCATCCAGGCGTAGTTCATGATGAGCAGGGGCCGACGACTGCAGCGATAACGAGCACTGAAGGCACGGCATCCACACGGGAGGGAAAAAAATTGCCGTGACAGCCCGAGGAAGAAACGAACCTGGTGGCCATGGCCGGCAGCGATCAGTGAGCCGTGTGTGTGTGTGCGCGGGGGGCAGAGCGTGGTTGGCTGGCCGAACAGGATGCTTTTATATGAGCGTGCGCGGGTTCCGTGCGGTCACCAGCAACGCGGGTTCTGTGCGAAGCGCGGCGAGAGGACAGCGAGAGGGCAGCGAGCGGCAAAGAGCAGTTTGTGTGATGCGCGGATGCACGTGGAGACAGCGAGAAGGGGGCGAGGGGAGTGCGAGGGGAGTGCGAGAGACACAGCGAGGACAAAGCGAAAGGCGGGACTGATCGGCTGTTTGTGCACAGGCAGCCACGATTCATTTGCGGAAACAGCCATGGATGGCCGGCCAAGACGTAGCCGGCCGGGGTGACGGATCGACAAGATCAAATCAAGCTCGACTCAGTTCCCGTCAGCGATGGCCCCCGGGCGATATGTCCATTCTGTAAGATCAGCGAAGAAATCGGCGGAGTTCGATGCACACCGTCGGGAGGTTTGATGAGCGAGCAGTAGCATCAGCACGGCCACAATATAACGAGCATTGGCGTTTGCGGGTTGAGGCGATGGGGCTCGTACCGGCAATCGGGAGGATATCAATTGCGCAGAGGGTATTTGTAACGCAGAGAATGTGAAATATGCAGAGGATATGGATTGTGCAGCGAGGATGAGGCCCGGGCAGCGGTGCAGCAATCGGACAATGACCCCTCCAAGGAATCACACTCCCCAGCCGCCCAGTTGCGCACACTATGGCGCTGCAAATATCGCCATCAACAGACGCCGTGTCCGAGCGGTTATGGAGCTTGACTAGAAATCAAGTAGGCTTTGCCTGCGCAGGTTCGAGTCCTGCCGGCGTCGGTGGGGCTGCAGCGACCCAACATCGCAGCAGCGTCTCTCTCTGGCTTCTTGGTACAGTGGTAGCATACTCGCTTAGGGTGCGAGTGGTCCCGGGTTCGATTCCCGGAGAAGCCCTTTTGCTCCACCGCTCTCGGCTCCCGTTGCCGTCACGCCCGGATGCTGCCAAGCGTCAGCGGTGGCCAGCCGTGGCTCCATTGCGCTGCGCTGCGTTGTGGTCGATCGTGTCCGCGGCTCGGCGAGATCGATCGTGCCTTTAATATGGTTTGTTGGCATGTTGCCTTGATGAAGCGTGTCTGGTGTCGTGCCTTGATGTGGTGTCGTGGGTGGTATCTGGATTACGACGATGCTAAGCCGCCTTAGCTCATCTGGGAGAGCGTAAGACTGAAGATCTTAAGGCACCCGGTTCGATCCCGGGAGGCGGCATTTACTTTTCGTTTTCCTCCGCATCGCTTCTGTTGTTCTGGCCCGATCTGCAACTGCCATTGCCATCGTTATCGCTATCGTTATCGTTATCGTTATCGTTATCGTTATCGTTATCGTTATCGTTATCGTCATCGTCGTAGTTGGTTCCAGAGGTGTTCTTCGGCACTGCGTCTGTCTGCTCTGCCCGCTGTCTGCTGCCGCTGGTGCAAGTCCTTTGCCAATGTGGCTGCAATCGCACGTTATTGTCAACGCCGTCGTTCTCACCATCGCCGCCCATTTCTTTATCTGGTATCATCACCGTTGATCCCCGTTAATCCTTGTCAATTCTTCCTCTACCCTTCGTTGGTCTTTCGTTGATCCCCGTTGATCCTTGTCGATTCTTCCTCTACCCTTCGTTGGTCCGTCGCTCGCCGCCTCTGTGCTTCAGCCCTCCCGTGGCTCTCCTCTTGTCGAATTCAGTTCATCGATGCCCAGCGACCGCAACGCCGAAACACCACAGCGCCAATAGACCACCATACTGCGATGGCGCAACACCGATGTACCGCAGCACCACGATGTCGCAACGCCTTTGTCTGCGACTGTTGAACATACAATCTCCACTGCCTCTGGACAAACCCGATTATGTCGTGTGCAGCCTGATGCAAATCCAATCATGATTGGGTCTCGAATCGTACGTCTGGCTGCTGATCGTGATTGGATTGGATTGGATTGGACTAGATTGGGGATTGGGGATTGGGGGTTTCGATGTGTCCACCTACCTGAGCACTGTGTTCATCTGAATTGTGTCCGTCTGAATAAAGTGTCCACCTGCAACCCAACGGCGGATACAAAGGTCCTCCCTCATCGAGATGGCATGAGCACCGAGTCAGGATGCGTTCCTCTCGATCAACTGGATTGCTTCCATGAGCCCGTCCTCTTCGATGGGGTTGGGATATAGAGGCTACAGAGGCACACCTTGTCCCCGTGCTCTCCGTACTCTGTCCATGGGACATTGCCCCGAGGCCAGGCTCCAGCAGCTGAGTCCGTCCGCATCCGGGGTCATCGCCCCGAACATCCAGTCGCTCTGTTGTCGCGGCTGTCAAGTCGACCGGCCTTGTGGACTGTTGATTTTGGCCAGGGAGCTTGGTGGCCGGGGTCAGCCTCGTTTCTGGAGAGCGGCAGTGCCAATCTCTTTGTTTCTCTTGAATCTCGCTTCCTTGGTTTCTTCTTTGAGGCAGGGGGCCTCAGTGATAATGTGGCTGCCGAGAGGCTGTGTTGGACTGTCTGTAATTATGCACACCACTTCCGGACACCCTTCCGCCGTCAGAAAACATCAACACATCAGCACATCAGCACATCAGCACACCAACACATCAACACATCAACACATCAACACATCAATATCTGCATCCCGACCCTGCCTCTGTTTCGAAGCTTCCTCGGTCGCGCCGCTGAGCTTCTCGTGATCAGTCACCTGCATCATCTTCATCTCTGATCCCTATTTAAGCCTGCCATCGGCATCCGAGGCTCTTGGTTCCCAGGAACAATCCTACCAACACCCAAGTTCCTCATCTCGTCTCTGGTGAGCCATCGCTGGTTCGCCGACTCGCCTGTCGGCTGTTGATGCATCACAGCTCCCGTTTGCACAAGCTTTGAGCAATATCACGCCGACCCCACTGACCACCTGGCATCTCTGTCCTTCATTGACGCTCCAGCCTCTCAACTGTCGAAAATGGAAATGTACGGCGGCGGATCCTCCAACGGGACCAAAAAGAGCTACCAGAACGGCTACACCAAGGCCTACACAAATGGCTATTCAGCCGGCTTTGCCCAGGGCTATTCCAATGGCTCTTCCTGTCCGCCCGATGCATATAATTCTGGTCGAACTAATGCCGGCTGGGATTCAAACTCGGGTAGATCATCGATCCCAAGCTGCAGCATCCGCGGCTGTGATAACAGCGACTCATCCTCGAAGGGAAGCCGCAGTGCCCGTGGGAGAAAGTGATGGCTCATGGGAACCGTGGGAGCCGCGGTCACGCCAAAGGCAGTGTTCAAGTAAGTCACCGGCCCCTGATTGCGATAGAGTTCACGTTTCGTGGCGCTGCGAGGGTGCCGTCTGAGCCTCAAGTGCCATCTCACGCCATTTGTGACGGCAGTTCCTGTGAAGACAGCTCCAGAAGGGGCCGAACATCTTTGTTGCGGCATCCATCGGTCTGCTCTCGGCCAACGCTTTGAATGCGCCTGAGCCGCCAAGGCTCGATTTCCTCGACAACTCCATTTCCTCGACAACTCCATTTCCTCGACAACTCCATTTCACCTTTGAAGCCTTGAATCCAATCTTGAGACCAATCTTGAGACCAATCTTGAATCCAATCTTGAATCCAATCTTGAATCCGATTTTGCGCTGGAGGGGGAGCCCGCACTGTCGAGTTTCCCTCAACGGCCCTTTGCCTCCAACACCTGCCGAATCACTCTTGTCCTCTGATTGTGCTCGCACAAATGTTCAATGTCTGTGATTGTGGTGGCTTGTTGCCTTTTGATTCTGTGTGGTGGCCACGACCTTTCTTTCTCTTCCTTTCTTTGTTTTCTTTCGCTCGTGGTCAAAAGTTTTGGAGGGATGTGATGTGGACGACAGCTGCTGTCCGAGCTGTCTCTGTGCCCAATACATCCGCCACCGTTTGAGGTATGCGCTCAGGGTGCTTCTGGGCTTTGGTGTGCCTCTGTGACTTGGTGTGTCTCGATGTGCCTCTGTGCCTCGGTTTGTCTATGGCTTCGGGCCGGGAATGTCGAGCCGCGCGCCGCATTGGTTCAGATCATAGATTCCAAATCACATTGGCGTCCTCGGGCCAATGCCAGAGTGCCCGCATATCGATTGGCCTCATCGCTGCACCGTGTGCGGTGTGCAGTGTGTAGTGTGCAGTGTGCAGTGTGCAGTGTGCAGTGTGCAGTGTGCAGTGTGCAGTGTGCGGTGTGCGGTGTGCGGTGTGTATCATACCTATGGCTCCGTCGTGATTGATGACGGCTTTAATATGGTTTGTTTGGCATGTTGCCTTGATGTGACGTGTTTGGTATGATGGTTGATGTGGTTTCGTGAGTGTCATCTGGATTACGGCGATGCTAAGCCGCCTTAGCTCATCTGGGAGAGCGTAAGACTGAAGATCTTAAGGCACCCGGTTCGATCCCGGGAGGCGGCATTTGCTTTTGTTTTCCTCCGCATCGCTTCTGTTGTTCTGGCCCGGTCTGCAACTGCCATTGCCATTGTCATTGCCATTGCCGTCTTCGTGGTTGACCCCGAAGGTGTTGTTCGGCTCTACGTCTATCTGCTGCGTCTGTCTGATGCGTCTGTCTGTTGCATCTATTGCGAATCCTTTGTCAACACCGCCGTTTGTGTCGTCGATGTCTCTCACCGTCTGCGACAATCAGTGTCGATCCCTTTGTCATTCAGACACACGGCCTGTAACGGGAGCAGTGCGACTGGCGCAGCGCCATCAGATGCAAATGCAACCTCCCAGCAGCATCGGAGGCCAGCACCATGGCTGCCGGTGTGGGGGCTCGACTTGGATATGCACTGGATATACACTGGGTATGCACTGGATATACACTGGATATGCACTGGATATGCACTGGATATGTACTGGATATGTACTGGGTATGCACTGAATATGCACTGGATTTGCTTCCCCACTCGATCCCGCCCACTCGATCCCGCCCACTCGATCCCGCCCACTCGATCCCGCACCCTCGACGGGATCCGTTGTCATCGTCGCGCGGTGGAGCATCCCTTGTGATGGAACAAGATTCTTATTGACTTATCGTAAGATATCGAGCAAATGGACGAGTGTGGCTAATGAAGTGATTGCGAGATATACCAAAGCATCGGATAACATCAAGCGTCGCCAACGCTCGTTCTTCCACAAATTTGTATATCGGCAACCCCCCCTCCCTTTGGTGAGTGTTCCTGGGTTCCTCGCGCATCAAAGCGTCACCGACCGGATTCAGAGCTGCGACAACACTTCAGAACCCAGCCACATGGGAATTCATATTCCTGATACTGGAGCTCGTCCCGTCTCAGTTCCTGATCCTGTTTTCCAAGCATATTATCCAAACGAAGCAGGGACAGGGTTCGAACTCCCGGAGCTAACAGTCTATTTCAGTTCAAGTCAGTGCTTAGATGATGTGTCTGACGCGAAACACCGACAATGTCAGGCCAAAGATGAAAGTGCGGGTGCTTGTCGTAAGGTGTGCTTGTGTGATGTTGGATGTGGCATGGTGGGTCTACGGTGTGAATTTGGAATGTTACTTGGTCACGGACGAGAGCATGGCCGCCTCGTTGCGCAATGGATGACAACCGAGCCCCGCTAGGATGACTTTACTGCCTCAGCCACGATTGACACAAGGCTCTCGCCTTTCTGACGGATCTGCGAAGGACCGAGTGTCAATGTTGATCGGGATGAACCTCTGGACGAGCTTGGGGCACGACTCTGGGTTACATTCTCGAGAATGCGCTCTGTTTTGTTGCCCTTGTTTAGATTCTCGCTGATGAGCCACTCGCAGTAGTTTTGGATGTGGTTTCGCAGGGTCGCCAGGGTCTCAGCCTTCAGATTCGAGCCGAGGGCAATGCCGAGCCATCCATCCAGGTAGATCTTGCCGCTGTTGCCCATCTCGAATTTGGGTGTCGTTTGGTACTCGGTGCGGGTCAGAAGCAGGAGCGCCAGTGGTTCGGCCTTGACGGTATTACGCATCAACACCATGTCGTCGACTTGATGGCGCTCTTGGTAGCAAACCAGTCGAGCCGGCAGGGGTTTGGTCTCCATTATGTCGTTGGCAGTGTCGCCGCCATCGTCCAAGTCCTGCAGGTCCGAGACCGAATCATCATCATCGTCATCGATATCGAGGACGTCGTTCGTGTCAAGCGTCCGGACCGTGGACTGACCCTCTCGGAAGCCGGCTGCGCCGTATGCAGTCGATTGTGCGGTCTGTTTGCTTTGTGGCGGCTCGGTGCGCCGAGCTGCAGTCCCACTCGAGGATCCATCATCGCTGGATCGCCACTTGAGCACGCTGCCTGAGGGCATACGCATCTTTTCAAAGGCACGACCGCGATAGACGTCGCGATCCATGACCTCAGCAACGTTGGGGAAGAGACTGCTGCCCAGCACAGCGCGGACCAGCCCCATGTTGTCGCTGTTGATATTGACATCTTTTCCGCCGGTTTGCCCGATGGGAATCTGCCCTGGCGACCAGGAACTGCTCCTGCGCACGATACCCGAGTCCTCGAGCGCCTTGAGAAGCTGAATGCGTGTCTTTTTCATCGTCTGAAGGCTCACGAGATGCAAGTAGTTGCTGTAGGCAAACTCGGATCCTCGGCGCTCTTGTTCGGCTTCAAGGAACATGTTGAAGGCATTCAGGGCCGCCACCTGGTCGCTCTCGGAGCCTCGCGCAAAGTTGCGGAAGATATGTTTGCGGGCCTGCTCCTTCTCGGCGGGATGGATCGAGTAGATTCCGCGGCCGGTTTCGATGATCGCTGCGATCGTCAGAATCGGGTCGAGGCAGCGGAAAATGGCTCCGTGAACCACCATTTTTCCGATCCAGGGATCGACGGGCATATCGCAAAGCAGCAGCCCGAGCGAGGTGAGGTCTTCGTTGGCCGACAGGGCCCCGAGGAGTTTGAGCTCGGCGATGGCCGTATTGATGTTGCGTCGCGGAGGTGGCTCGGGGGCACATTCTAAGATGCGTGCGATTGGCTCGGAAAACCCGAGTGCCTTAATCTTCAAACAAGTTGACTGCAAATCAACACGCAGCATCTCGGGCGAGATGGAGGCCTGTAGACTCTCCTTTTGTCGTCGTGAAGCCAGTGAGTAGTAGAATCCGCTTTGACATCTTCCAGCGCGTCCCTTTCTCTGCAAGTGAGGTACGTGTCAGTTTGCATTCTAGCACTTTCACACTGTCCAGCGCGACACAATCGATCCCAGCCACTTCTGTACTCTCACGACAGCCCATCTCCCCTATGACCGCTCGTGAATGCTGCATCACAGAATTCCAAAACGTGTTGGAGTACGCACCTGCTTGACGTTAGACTGGCTACACCATACGGGGTTGAGTGATGTGATCCGTCGCTGGGGATCGTAGATGTTGATACGAGCCTTGGCCGAGTCGATCACAAAGACCACATCATTGATCTTGAAACCGGAGCGTGACAGTATTTCATGAGTGGATAACACCGGATTGTGGTTGGGCAGAGTGTGTATATATAGCGCAAAGTCAGTAAAAGAGCCATAAAGCCATGGGTATACACCTGGGTGCCTGGGTGCCTGTGTATCTGGCACCCTTCTCTCTTTTATGTCTGAAGTTGGCCGCATGCGCGGGAGAAGCAAACTGCAGTGCCAAAGTGTGAGGACGTCTCGGGGATCGATAGTTGCTGCCAAACGATGCAGCACAATCAGGTAGCGCCCCCAAAGCGAGCAGATGCATCATGGACGAACCGTGATCGAGGTCTCGGCAATGTTGGTACTCAGGATGATCTTGCGCGTGCCCTGAGGCGGGCGAACAAAGACATCCCGCTGAGCCGACGGCGGCATCGACGAGTGCAGGGTATGTATCCGAAATTTGTCTGGGTTGTTGAAGCCAAGACGGTAGGCATCCCGCTTGAGCAGATTGTTTACAGCGTCGATCTCACTCCACCCAGGCAAGAACACCAAGATGGCGCCTTCCTCGCCACGAGAGCAGATGTGGCAGATAAGAGACTCCACCAACTCGACGGGGAGGTCGGGCTCGTTATGATGGCTCCGGGTTGGGCGGTAGCTTGAGTTGAAGGCTACATCAATATAGTGATGGGTGGACTTTGCCTTGAGGGCGGAGGAATAGGGCGATCGCTCGATCATGTCCACAACATCTTCGAGCGAGTGTTCTGTGACGGGGAAGACACGGCCAGGGATACTCAGGACAGGCGGATGGCGATGGGCGCCGTTGACAAGGCCGAATCCCTTGAAATACTCCTGGAAGAGCACCGTGTCTGCCGTGGCAGACATTAGAATCAACTTCAAATCCGACCGACGATTCAACAAGTTTCTCAGAATGATCAGGAGGATATCGGTGTTCTGTCAGAAGGAGGGCAGCAGGGTCAGGTTAGATTCACGGTCATAGGAGGTCCGATGCAGGGGCGCAATCAGCAACGCCAGCTCCATTATGGACGGCCTGCACAGGCCAGTGATCTAGAACTTGTGGTAGCCGCTCTCTTCACGCCTAAGGAGCCGATTCATTGCGTATGCTGGTGCTGGGCCTCAAAGGACGAGTGGACTGTTGCCCAAACACTGCCTCGCCTGAACAGGAACAGCTGTGGCCGCCATACCAGATCTCGCTCGTGTACTTCGTCCAAGATGATGTGGCTAATGCCGTCCAGGGAAGGATTGGTCTGGATGCGGCGGAGAAGGATGCCGGATGTGCAAAACACTGATGGACATGATTTGGTGAGGGATCGGTGACATTGGCGCAGGTGACATCCAAGCAACGGGAGACGGTGGGAGTCAGTTCGTGCCTCGGATCGATGCGCAAGCTATGGGTATGCGAGACGCAGAGCTGGCTCTGGTATACGTACCGAGTTGTCCAACCTTGGGATTAGATGTCGGCCGAACCTCGTCGAAACGCACTTGATAGCCGACAGCGCTGCGACGGCCCAGCGTCTCACCACGCTCCTCCGCGACTCGCTGGGCCACCGAAATGGCAGCAATGCGTCTGGGTTGTGTACAGACGATGCTCGGCGCGCGGCCAGCTGCGCTTTGGTTGGAGGACAGCCGCTGCTTCTCGGCAAAGTGCTGGAGGATATACTGCGGAATCTGTGTGGTTTTGCCGGCGCCGGTCTCGGCTGCGATGATTGTAACGGGGTTGCTCTCGATCGAGGCAATGATTTGTTGGTACTGCGGTGCAATGGGCAACGTCGAGGCCTGTACAGCGTCCGGAACGGGAATCTCGATCGGCAGGATGGGCTTTGCGAGCGGGCGGGCTGGCTCATTGTCTTCCCAGGCCTGGGAGGCTCCAAAGCTCAGGCCACTCGAGCTCGACTGGGTCGTGGGCAGTGCCGACACAAACGTCTTGCTATCGATACTGCGTAAAAACTCTTGTGCCTGCTTGGCCAGGTCATCGGGCAGATCGGCGACAATGGGGTTGTCGAGCATATCCTGCAGCCGCTTCTTGAAGGGGATGCTGTGGATGCTGAAGGCCTCGGGGACCACCGAGGGCGTTGCATCCAGAATGCGGGCGGCCAGATCGCGGTATGCAAGGCGCAGCGCTTCGCCCTTTTGTCGGTGGGTTGCCACGGCGTGGACTTGCGAAATCGACAGCTCGCCAAGGGAATGCTGTGGGAGCAGCATCTGCACGCCCCACAGGAATGAGCCCTTCTCGATGTGAATGTGGTGGTACGTGGGCTCGGGCACAGGCTGCTTGGTCCGCCCGCAGTAAAACTCGACAAACTTCTTTTCCACAAACTCGTTCGGGTTCGGCGGCAGGACCAGCGAGGCGTCGCGGACAGGGGGCCTGGTCTCAAAGTAGATGCGGTGCTCGGGCTTGCGCTCATGGCGACCCTTGGATCGACCCGAGCGGGACGGGTCGCCGTGTTGTCGGGGATGCCCACCCGATCGGGAAGGGCTCGGGCTCGGGCTATGGGCTTGCAGATGATGCGTGAGCTTGCGCCCAGTCTTGGTCTGGAGATCGGCTGAATCGGCGAGGCTCTCGATGTAGCGCGAGGCTTTCTGCAAAACCAACGAACGAGCCAGCTTCTTGTTTCGGGCAGCAACCTCGATGAGGACGGGGCTCTTTTGCCGAACTGGGAGCCGGAGCAAGCCAACAAACTCGCCGTTGGGCTTGTTGGGATGTGGGCGGTTCACGATCTCGACCTTGGGGCTGCTTCCGAAGAGAGCATAGTAGGTCTGCACGACAGCCCGGCTCTTGGCGAGTCCATCGCTCTCGGCAGAAACCGACTGCGACGGGGACGGCGACGGAGAGGAAGTTGAGGGCGAGGACGGGGGCTCGCGCGGATTACGGTTGCGGGATGCCTTGGAGCGAGCGTTGCTGGCCTTTGGGGGCGGATTGCTTCTCTTGGTGGGCTCGGGTTCGGGTTCGGGCTCGGGCTCAGGCTCAACTGGAGACTCTAGAGACGGTCGCTGCCGAGCACGGGCCATATCAGTCCCACCTGTATGTAGCTGTTGCGACTGCATGTAGACGGCCGGGTTGGGATGCGGCGTGGCTCCATACGGATAGGCATAGTGATAGGCGTGCTGGTGGAAGCCCGGTTGCATCGGGGTGGGGCTAGGTGAGTGGGACCGGAACGATTCGTATGATGCAGCATATGAAGCCGGAGGGCGATAGGCATACATCGAGTTGGGGTGGTAGTAGGCTCCGGCTGGATAGCTTTGCTGCTGCTGCTGCTGCTGCTGCTGCTGCTGCTGGAAGTAATATTCCGAGGCCTGGGGAGGCAGCGGCGACGGACCGCCGCGGGCAGGATGCTCGGGAGGCTGGGAATGGGCATCGTCGGTGACGTGCTGAGGATATGGAGACGAGCTCCGAAAGTCATACGGGGTGGGGCTGTAGTAGCGCCGGTAGGGCTGGTCGCTCATGGTACGAGATTCAACGAGCCTTGCGGATTGCAAACGAAGCAGGTCGCGCAAAGAAGGCAGACGGCTGATGACGGAGCAGGTGCGACAGAGTTTCCAGGAGTGGAGAACGGAGGCAATGGCCATGAATGCGTGTTATCCAATCGTGGCGGCTAGGAGCGACACTGTTGTCAAGTCTCTGTCGGAATGTGCCCGCGAGCCGCCCAAGGAAACAAAGCGATGTTGATTAGAGAGCGATCTCTGCTCGGTCAGATGCCCGGCCCGGATGTGCTTGGGTTCTCAGCAACCATATCAGCGAAATTGTCAGCCAAGGCACCACAGCCTGCTGGCCGAAAGCGATGGACCAGCGAGCGAGCCCATGCCTGCCCTTGCTACTGCCCAAGACTCATGGAGTGGTCTTGGCTACTGTCGAGCAGCTCCAGGCCAGACGTTGGGTGCTGCCGGCATCGCTCTCCGCTTGTCACGAGGAGCCGCTCCCGCTCATGCAGGAAAGATCTGGCAGCGGCGGCAGCCCTGGCATGACACAGCACCAAATGCGACGGCAGCGGCGGCGGCAGAGCGAAAGCGCACCTGGTATTGCTCGCTCAGACGTTCGATCGACTCGATCATCAAGTTGCAGACATCCAGCCGAGGCAACGGCGCTCGATTGCTGGCGGAGGAGGGTGTGGGCGGTGGTGACGGCTCCGAAAAGAAAAAATCCAGAAGCTGCGCGATCACGTGGATCGCGTTGGTCCTGGACATGGACTCAACAACCACACCACGCCAGCGACAGCCCAGGGAAGGGAAGGGAAGGGAAGGGAAGGCAAGGGAAGGGAAGGCAAGGGAGAAACAGGGCTGCCGGAGCACCCTGCAGCGCACACTCTCGGCGACGTCAAGGTGCAAGGACACGGTGGAGATCTGTGGACGATGGGGGGCTGCCCAGCCCGGTGGCCTGCAGTTCAGCAACTTTCATTTCGGAGGCGCTGGCGGCTGGTCGTTACAGGCTGGACCACAGCCATTGCTGGCTCTGCTCCTCCATGAAGGGGCTGCAAGTGTGTCCCACGCCCGGCTCAACGATCCATTTGAGTCTGCCGGTGGCGGCATCGTCGGCCAAGACCGCCACACCTTCTTCCTGCGGTCCGGCTCGAGTATAGACCTTGGACCGGAGCTCCTGCACGAATCCCTGGCTGCAGCTGCTCGGCACGAGCTTGTCGTCACCGCCGTGGAGCAGGAGCAAGCTTCGGCCCTTGAACTGCAATGGCAAATGCACCGGATCGTGGCGACGGAGGCTCTCAACAAAGACGGGCTGCCTCGTAATGCTCGGGCGGGATCGGTGTCTTGGACCGCTTGGCTCGGTAGTTCATGAGGCTGCTGTAGTCGCCGCACCCAATAATGCTGATACCGATCTTGATGCGTTCATCTTGAGGGGAGTGCGAGAGAGCGAGTGGAATGGAGAAGAGCAAGCCGAGGAGGAGCAGTTGCTATAGTTAGACGCGGATCGGTCATCATCGCGGCTGGCTGTCGGAGGCGGTCCTCAGGATGGCTGGACGGTGATCAGGGCGATGGCTGGGCGATGACTGGGCGATGACTGGACGATGACTGGACGATGGCTGGGCTCGGCTCACCTTTGGCCATGGCAAGGAGGGTCGAGTGACCGCCGAGACTAACACCGACGACGATCCAACGCCAGATGGCCCCCGTCTCGGGCGGCAGGAAGAACGGAAGGACGTCGATGAGATAGGAGAGGTCGCAGGCGGTGCCGTATTGGATCGCCCACATATCGTAGCAGTGCCGGTCGTTGCCGGCCTTCCAGGATTCATTCTGCAGGTCGCTCAGGAGCCGCGAGCCGTGGTTGCGTTGCTCGACGGCGACGGCGATGACGTGGTGGTTGCCACTCTGGCGACCTGACTCGGCGCTGTGGCTATTGTTGCTGCCGAAGGGGTCCTGGCATAGTCGCATGCAGAACTTGAAGTATTTGTTTGGGGAGGCTAGTGAGACAGGGATAGGAAGCCCAGGCGTCAGCGATTTGCCCATGGCTGAGATGCAGGAGCATGTGGATGTGGATGTGGATTCGAAGATAGCAGGCCATCCATCCTGATAGGGATCTACTTGTGCCCAATGTGTTGATTCTATCGATACAGCAACCAGCGCAACAGGCTTGATTTGTCGAGGCACATTGTCTTGGTCAGGAACTTACATTTGCGACCATGAGCAAAGAAACAGACGCTCACGGACGGAAAGTCGCCGACCCGATGCTTGGCCCGGAGCTGATCCAAGCCAAAGACGAAAAGCTTGAGGCCGCCAACAATGAGGACCTCGGGCTCGGGCTCGGGTTCGGGTTCGGGCTGGTTGGTTGCGTTGGCAGCGGTGGTTCTGGTGTCGGCGGCTAGACTGCGGTCCTGGGCACCAGTTTGGATGTCCAGGTCGCTGGTACTGCTCTGCTGGGAGTTCATGCAAGCGATCGAGGGCCAGGTGGTCGATTGAGGGAATGCACCACGGCGGTGGATCGGCGCTGCGGGTCTGTTGATCTAAGATCACTGCTCGCGATGGATGAGCGACATCGGAGATTTCTGGATGGCCGGAACGAGGGACCGGTCTCCTGCTGTGCCGGCCCACACACACACCCAGGCTTCATCGAAGGGCCTGGGGATGCAAACCAAGGCTGCGTATGCCAGCCGCCTTCATGTTCTCATGAGCGAGAAGGAGGGGGGAAAGATGGAGGAGCGAATGCACGCAACAGATATGCCGACGGATCCAGCGCGCTGTGAAATGGAGATTGCGATGGGTGTGTATTCAGGCAAAAAAAAGTAACAATGTTGACCAATATCAATACCCAGGATGCCCCCGATGCTGTAAATATCTGGTGCGAGCGCCATCGATCCAATGAACCACACGGTTGGGTGGATGGGGAATGCGGGCACGGAAGGAGCAGCCATCCACCACGAGAGATCGATAGGTTAGTGCGACAGCCAAGGGAGATCCCTCTTCTTGGACACAAGCATCTAGCTCTGCGCAGATGTGCGGCGGGATGGGACGGGGTCGGATGGGATGGAACGGAATGTATAAGGCTGCTCGACTTACACATATAGATGCTGCTGTCGCTGGATTGGGCCGAGACAGAATCCAATGGCGAGCACGACGCCCGAGTCTGCGAACGTCAGCGTTCCCGCATCATCTTCACCTCCGCCTCCGCCAAGACGATAGGGATCACTTTCTCTGGATGGCCTTGGTCAGGTACATTTTGGCCAGCCCCGGGCCCGAGAACTGGTTGATCTGTTTGCAGTAGGTGTCGATCTGGTTGGTGATGATGAGCGACTCGAGGCGGCTGGGCTCCGAGGCCTGGATCTTTTGGAGCGAAAGCGGGTTGGCGGTGGCTGCCAGATCCTCCTCCGAGTAGATGGCGTCGGCTCCCGATGCCAGACGCGCGGCGTTCTCTTGCCGTTTCTTCTGGACGGCCTGGTTGGCTCGCTGCTGCTCCTTTTGGAAGTTTCGGTGCCAGGCGTGCCATCTCCACTGCTCCTGGCCATACTCCTCCACGGTCTCGCCGAGGTATTCGAGATGCTTCTCCAGGTAGTTTTCGAGGCCAAGCTCCAGGTTATCGGCGTTGGGGGTCAAGGACGAGTGCGCGGCCGGGATGCGCGAGCGGAAGGAGGAGGCGGGCGACTGCAGGGCGTGCGAGAGGGACGGCGAGGGAAGGGCGGCTTCGTCGAGCTGCCGGAGGAGCGCGTTCAAAAGATGCGAGTTTCGGATCTCGATCGGCAGGGTCTCAAAGACGGACGAGGGCGTGATGTGGTTCTTGGCCAGGGTCTCCATGGTGAACTTTTGCTCCTTGTAGATCTCCATGAAGGCGTCGGTGAGTCGCATGGCACGCAGCGAAAGGTTGCCCTGCGAGGTGCGGGTGGGGTCGTAGATGATGACGACGGACTGGGCAAAGGCACGCTGGTAGCTGAGCTGCGACTCGATCAGGTTCTGGTTCCAGAAGGAGCCCATCGAGGTCGACTGGTACCAGCCGACGGTGTTGGCGTCGTAGTTGAGTTTTCGGAGGCATCGCAGCATCTTGAGCTGGTAATCGGAGCTGTCGGTGTCGGGCTGGGTGTTCTCGCCGCCGCGGTGCTCGTGGTCGTCGCCGCCGTCCTCCTTCTGGTTGATGGTGTAGGGGAACGAGTTGGTGACCTCGAGGGTGCCGGCAATGTCGATGCCGAGGAGCTGGCCAACGGCTGGGACGGGGTAGTTGTCCCGGGTGTGCTTGACGATCTTGAGGATGGTGAGGGGATCAAGCTGGACGGTCTTCAGGGGAACGGACTCGACCTGCCATTCTTCCAGACCCTCGAGATTGACTCTCTCTTGGGCGAGTTCGGCAGTGGAGATCACTTTGGCCATGATGCAGAGACGGGAGGAGGAGGGTTGTGAGAGCTTGGTGTGGGGAGAAGGGATGCTCAGCGGTGTCCTTTGGCGAGCGGCTCTTGGCGAAATCGAGCTTGTCCGGCTGGCTGATCCGAGCAGTCCAGAGCAATCGTTGGGCGACGACGGGCCTGACCTTGCGTTTCTGGCGGGTTTTCTTGCTCCCCAGACGCTCGAAAAAAACGACAAAAAAAGTTAGACCGTGGCGCAGCGCGATCGACCCGACTGCAGCCGGATCCAGCCGAGGCCGAGGGAACACGTGAGGACCAGATTCTGGTGGGGCTTTGTGGAACAGCTCGAGGAAATCGGTGCGGCATGCTGGAACGACGACAGATGCATCGTCTCTCTCGGGCTGATCGGAATGGCTGGCTGCTGGGAGCGACTGGCCGATCGGAATGGCTGGCTGCTGGGAGCGACTGGCCGATCGGAATGGCTGGCTGCCGGCCATGGCAGACTCGGCAGGGGCGCACTTTGGACCAACCACAGCAGTTTGGGTATGAATCCCCCATTTCCAAGAGGGCTGATCTTCCCGGACGCAGCTTACCGAGACAATAGGCGCCGTTGCCCTCCGCCCCGATGCTGGCAGCTTTGATTCGGGCATCGGGTGAATTTCCGCTGGTGCTGACGGAACCGCATAGCTTTCGCTAATGTTCGGGCACTGACTGAATGGAGTCGATGTGCTGGCCAGACCACCATGGCCGACAGCAGCGGCTGTCCGGGCTGACACCGATTCACTGTCCTCCGTTCATGATCCAGTCGGACCACCGTCGCGAGTCCCTCAAGTCAGCGCCCGCCCAGCCGGATGGGGGCAGGCGGCGGGCGAACAAGCAAGGCCGACCCAGCCAGGTATTCCCGCAGCAGATGATTCGCCACGATATGGGGTGCCGCTCAAGACCGGCCCTTCTGCTGCCATTACTGGCCCTGACAACCCAACGATCCGACGACTGTATCGGCAGACACCCTGCTTTCGAGCAGACGCGCCAGCGACAGCCCGCCCAAAAGCGCACGATCGCAGGCCGGGGGCAGAGCTGGCCAGCGGAAGGACGAGATCGAGCGGGAGGACGGGGCCGAGCGGGCATCCCGAGAAGCAAGGCTGGGGGAACTTGGGGAGAGGACATCAAGACCGGGTGAGCTCGAGTTGACGTTTTGGCTCTGGTCCATCGGCAAGGGGTCCGCGAAATAGTCAATCGGATCCAGTTCCAGGAGCGAATTGAGTCTGCGGCTGCCGAAATGGCAATTCAGTATAAGGCCAGCATACATTGCAGGGGATCTGAGCCATCGAGGGACGATTGGGGGGGGGATCATCGGGGCCCCAAGTGGCCCGAACGGCCAGGGCCAAGGAGCCTTGCGGAAGGATAGGGGCCTGCTCGATCTCGCGCCCTTGGCCCGGGAGACTTGCGGGGGAGGGTGACAAGATGCAGCATCTCCCGCCATGAGAATGCGAGCGTGAGAAGTCGGATGAAAGCGAGGATATCAGTGCCATTTGACGGTGATGGCATCTGAAAGTATCAAGTCGAGCCAGCACTTGTAGCTGGAAGCTCGCGCAGTGTTGATCTCATGGCTCGAGGTGCATCTAGCTGATGTCAGGGCGAGAATGGTGCCCAATGGCCTTGTAGTGATGATATGTTGGAGAAGGACATGTATAACCATGGTCATATCCCCTCCCTCAAGTGATCGCCTTTCATTGCTCACACGCCGAACGGTGGCCGTCTGGGTCTGTCGCTTGCATGCGGATTCATCGCTTGGCTTCCTCGAGATCACCCCAAGATCACTCCAAGATCACCCCAAGATCACCCCAAGATCACCTCGAGAGCCCAATCCGACACACAGACGGGACGGCGGCGGTGGACGAGGCACCAGGCGGACAAGAAATCCCAGCCGGAGGGAAATCTCGTCAGAGCAACAAGCGCACCGGACAATCCGGCGGAACCTGTGCTTGGATCTTAACGGAGGCTTGCCGTGCTTATCCCGCTCAAGGTCCGAAGGAGGAGGGGGCGCCGGAGCAGGTCGGCCGGTGTCGACTGCTCGGCGGCTGTCCACCGAGCCATGAATCCGCCTACTCTTGTGGCTGCGACGGCGCTGTCCAGTCCGTTGGACAAGGCCGATCGATGTTTGGCCGTGCTGATCGACGCACAGCGAGATACGGCGACGTTGATCGAAAGGAAGGTGGATACCGGGTGGCATGATCAATCGATCGTAACAGTGGATCGATCGTAACAGTCGACTGGTTGCAACAGTACGGCTGATCGCTTCATGGCTCTGGCAGAGGGCCCCAACCCGCCCTCCGTCTCCTCCTCCAGTGCCGCCTTCCTCCGCCCAGCGACGGTCACTTCTCAGCACGCGGCTTCCGGTGCTGGCTCCCGTCGGTCTGCTGGTGTTTCCAGGCGGAGACATACGGGCTGGGCTGTCTGTCTCCTTTGGGCGGTGTGGACGTTGCGGACGATGGCACGGCAGCCACACCAATCGGGGCCATTCAGACCCCCCCTGCTCCTGCTCCGTGCCAGGACAGACAGCGCCCAGAGGATGACGGGGACCACTTGCGCGGGCCGGTTGTTGTTGCTGCCGACGGCTATCGGTGTTACTGCTTTGGCTCGCCGAGTCGGCCGTTGCTGTCTGACGACTCGGTCCACTCGGCTGATAGAGACCCCCCCCCTCTGATTTAAAGTCCTGTCCATCCGCTCCTGGCAGAGCCCAGATCTAACTTCTTTCTGGGGGGAACCGCCGCTTTGCTGATCCTGTCGGTCCACCCGCCTCGTCGCTCTGATCTGGATCCGCGGACCTGCCACTGTCCTCTTGGGCTGCCCCATACAACTGCCACCGCTGTCGCTGTTGGCGAGCTCATTTGCCCCACCTGCATTGGAACCCATTTATCGCCCATCGAAATCATTATCACCCATTCAACCATTATCACCCCATCGAAATCATCATCACCCATTGAAACATCGCTTGTGCCGAACACTCCACCCGCAGCGACCCAGTGCTTTCCCCCTCCGCACTCTGATCCGGTGCGCTCGGTCTTGTCTCGCCTCCCCCGTGTCTGCTCTGGCACCCGCCGAATCCGCCCGCTATATCAGCGCTTCCTCAACCAGCCGTGGCATCGCTTCCCTTGTCTTGTTTCCCTTCCCATTTGCCTGGCCGCCTGCTCGCCTTCTATTCTCCCTGGCTTCGCGTCTTGCTGTCTTTGCGTTCGCACTTGGTCTCTCCCCATCCAGTCTTGCTTGCGCTTCCCTATCCCCGAGTCATCCTCGAGTCATCCTCGAGTCATTTCCAGCCTCGAGCACCATCTGCCCCGCCATCGCCGCTCCAGCAGATCCCCAGACAACTTCACCCAAAAGAAATGCCCAAATCCGTGACAGAAAAAGCCACCATCGTCACAGAGGCCTATGGCTCCCCAAGGAACGTCAAGGCGACGGCCCGCAAATACGGTATCCAGCCCCAGCACATCCGTCGCTGGTCTCGCCAGCTGCACAGAAAGTTTGGAGATACCCAGACGCTACCCTTCCCGATACCCGGATCGAAGCCCCCATGCTCGCCGCCCGACTCGTCGCTGTCGTCCTATCCGAGCCCTGCACATGGCATTACCGACTTGGCTCCCGTCCAGAAGCGGAGCCCCTCGCTCGAGTCGCTCGAATGCCTTCCCAAGGTCCATCCGCAGATCCCCCGCCTGGTATTCTCGCAGCACTCGCCCCCTCGGCCTTCGGTCGCTTCGTCGGTGCATGTCCAGCCCAACTCAAGGACTTGGTGCCCTTCCAGCTGGTCGGAAGCCAACGTCCGTGTTGCAGCATGCGGCCCACATTTTGCTCCTTCAGCGCATGTTGCTCCTTCGGCACACACTGCCCATCCGGCGCATGTTGCTCCTCCCGCACATTCTGCCCATTCTATCCCCCCGGCGCACCCCACCCACGCCGGTCCTCTGACGCCCTCCCCTCCCCCCATCAACACCAATCCAACCATGCATGCCTCCCAGGCACAGCACGCCATCTCTGAGACTCCGCTGGTATCGGCCCCGGGAACCGCTCCTCTGCAGGCGCCGCATGCCCCCCTCCACACTGCTTCCAACCATCCGCACGGATCTGTTTCGGCAATGGTTCATCGCCCTTACAATTACATTTGGCCGGCCCAGCCGCAACGAGCCTCAGCCTACTCGGCTGGGATCCCGTCGTCGCAGCGGTCTGTTTCTCCGCAGCCCACCTATCACTATCGCCCTCGAACTGCCTATGGCGACGTGAGCTCTCCTCCCGAGGCCGCCTCCATCCAGTACCCGTTCTTCTCGGCATCCTCGGAGAGTCCCCGAAACGAAAGCATCCGGACAAGCGCCTCTCATCCAGCGGCTTTTGCTGCACAGCCGCCATTGGACTCGTTTAGCTACCAAAACGTGTACACCTCGTCTCCGCATGCTCGCGGCTACCCTTTCGCTCACGAGCAAACCTTCGCCCGTGAGTGGCCTTACGATCGCGAGCGTTGTCATCCGGGCCTGCCGCCCCCCACGATCAAGTCCGAGCAGAACCTTGCCTCGTCGCTGGACAGCCTGAGCTCGGTGCCATCCGATACCATGCCCTCGTCGTCGCTGTCCATCGCTTCCACGGATCCGTTCATGATGATGCCCAAGCCTTTTGCCGTTCCAACCCCTCGCAACAGCGCATTCTCGCAGACCGTCCCAGCAACAATCGCGCTTGCCTCTGCCGCCATTGCTGCCACGGCACACAATCCCTCGACGCTGCCGTACTTGACGCATGCGGACCAGCTGCAGCACAATCGACAATTACCGCCCTTCAGCAGCTTCCCAAGGACAATGGCCCGCAGCCCGTCACTCCTGACACAGACTTAGCTGCGGCAGCAGAGAGAGCAAAGCTTGTGTTTGTTGTGTTTGTGTTTGTGTATATACTTGAGCATGATTTCTCGCCGCTTCTCACGCTTTTCGGTGTATCCTTTTCCATCCTTCACTCTTCTCCTTCAATTCATACTGCTCTTGTCCACCCCTCCCAACCTTCACTCGCTCCCTCTGACTGACGGCCAACCTGATTTTACATATCACCACACTCTTGGAGTATCCGCCTCACTGTGCACGGTTTAGTGACCGAATGCGACGCTCTCAACCCCGCTGAGGCCCTTGCGAGAGCAAACAGGCGTGCGGACTGCAACTGTCTCTTGCATCGTCCTACATTTCTCACGCACACACACATCCATATTGACATTCGCATGTGTACTTGATGTGATCATACGCTCTGCATTCTCCCAGCCTCCCCTCTCCTCACTCGGACATCCTGCACACCCACCCTGTTTCCTCACTTGTTCTGACGGACGCATCTCCGTTGCCCTGGGTTATTGGGAATTGCTACTTCTTATACTCTCATTACTATTCAAATCGCCTTTTATGTCTATCTCCTGCCGTTTCTCTTTTCCCTTCTGCGTTCAAATTGTGGTCGGCCCTGACAAGCTACAGCAAGACGAGACGGGCGGGAGGCAGAGAGTACCACACCTTGTATTTATGGGCCAGTTCGCTCATATTTTCCAAGCCCATGAATACACATGTTCATTCGTCACTGAACTGATCCATCTGCGCTGTGAAATGGGAGGTGTGGTATTGACTCGAAAGAGAAACGAGCGACCACATGGTGCTCTGCAGTATTTTCGATAATCCCATAATCACCGATACCATCACCTCCGTCCGCCATCGCCATTGCAGCCAACCCAGCCGCCCTGGGCAGAATCGTCATACGTCCCTCCGGCCGCTCGCAGGCCAGACAGGCATTCGCGCTTCTTTGGTTGGAAAGCAGGGGCGGCGAGATTGCGGCCCAGTTTGGAGGTGGAGCCGGGCGGAGTGTGGAGCGAATGGGAGGAAAGGGGAGTGAGACGGAGGTGGAGGCAGGAGGCGGGCAGGCGGGGGGGGGTAAAGGCTCGATTCGGGCCTCAGGATCAGGCCCAAGCCCAGAGTTTTGCCGAGCCAGAGAGGGGAGAAACGTATCAAGGGATAGCTGCGGCGGAGGCAGTGACGACAATGTCGGCGGCTATGGTAGCAGCAGCGGCGCGCAAAAGCGGCGGATTTCGTCTCAGCATTGTTTCCGGCGCCGGGATCAGATTCGTTGTGATCGCATGCCCCCCAACCTCTCCCCCTCCCCCCCATCTCTCTAACCCATGGTCATGCACAGATGCTGCTCGTGATTGCGGCTCATGACCGGCTCATGATCTCGACCATGACTCATGGTGACAGGGCGCGTGCCGGATCCCGATGCCAGCCTGCCCGCAGCGTCCTCATGCGACTGCACATGCATCCTCATGCGGCTGCTTGTGTTTTCTCATGTGACAACTTGTGCTCTCCCATGCGACTGCTCCAGAGGCTCGCGCTCGTTTATTTCACCCAAGGGTCTGTCGATGCCCCCCTCCCGCCAGAGCCACTCTCACCACCTCCGGCATCTACGACCCCATTGCCAGAGTTGGTCATCGGGTCCCTTTGAAGCAGTGCTGCTTCATTTCGAGCCGGCCAGTTCTCTCCCCAATCTCTCCCTCCCTCCGTCTGCTCCGCTCATACTCGTAACCGTCAGCTCCGCAGCGCACCACTTCACTCCGCTCCACTCCACTTTCGCTTCGGATCCGGATTCAAACACCGAAGCAGGTGAAGGGTGAGAAAGGATGGAACCAAAGCAAGCTTGGGCAGGGCAAGATCGGTGTCGGAGACAAACGGAGAACATCGGGTGGGCGGATGGATAGACGGAGGACTGAAAGCAGCGACGGGCTGCCCCCCCCTCTCTGTCATCTCCCCTCCACCAGTCCCCCCCCCTCGCCTCCGGCCTTGCCATCTGCCCTTTTCCTCCCCACGGATGAAAGCGGCTTTTGGATCAGGACAAGACAGCGCGGCGGCAAAAAAACGAATCGACGTGAAATGACGCCAATGACGCCAGGGATCACTCCGTCGGGGACACCTGTTTCCCACAAGATCGAGGTGCTATGATCGACTGAATGATGTGACAGATCGTGAAAAATCGTCATGGATCGATGCGCTCTGAAATGTACTGCTTGATTTGTCGTCATGAAACCCATACGCGCGGCAGTAGAGGAAAGTGGGGAAGAGAAGCCGCGATGCCGCCCGGGTTGATCTCGTTGGCTTGTCCTGGACCGCCACATGGCCCGTTCCGCTCTGTCAGAATGCCGCAAGGAGCGCCAAGCAGTGCGACTGTTCGTTTCGCTCTGGGAGCACACCCCCCCCCGTCCGTCAACACCTCCAGTCCATGGCCGCTGATCGGGACCGGCATAGTGTATTGAATATATCGACAGGGCGTGCTTTACAAGTCTATTACGGGAAGTGAGAGAGAGGCAAAGAAAAGACAGGGCCCGTCGGAAAACCGACAAAGTGGAGACAACCAAAACACTGCCATCTATTCAGTGCGCGCTTGAGGAGAGGGAAACGAAAGAGAGAGGAGAGAGGGGAGAGAGGAGAGAGGAGAGAGCAAGGGATGGGAGTAAGTCTAGTGGTAGAACAGGCAGTATCGTTGTGGAGGACGCTGTGTGGGAAGAATCAGTGCTGGGGCATTGACAAGGATGGCCAAAACATAGGACTGAGTCACGAAAGCATTATGCTTGGAAGGAGCGGGTGGGATCGGCAATGTTCGAGAGGGGAAGGCGTTTGAGCATGGAAGGCGAGAGTGTGTGCGGGGATCGAAACCCGAAACTCGAACTCGAAACTCGAGGATCGAAGCTCGAGGATCGAAGCTCGAGATTCAAGGCCCTGGAGTTGAGAGTATTTTTTTTTGGTGTTCGTGTTTCAAAAAGCTCAAAGAGGCCCACAGACATGACAGGGAAACGATATGATGGAAACAGGGACTTTGACGCAGTCGATGCCCCAGCCAGGGCCTTACGAGCTTGCTGTAAACCGGCTCAGTTACCGTCGTCTACTTTTGGACGGGATCCGAGTCAATCGAGGGCGCTGCAGAGGGTACGCTTCGGATGTGAACGTATGCCGGGGCCGGGCGGGACGGATCCCGCGACAGGAACTGGAGGGCGTTCGAGACATTCGAGGCCACATGTGCGGCCGAGGCAGAGACGTGTCGTCGGAGTGTGGTCAGAGTCGCTATCGGCGCCGACCCAGACGCAGGTGTGTTGGGCTGGGGCAGCGGTGGGTGGATCTCGGCAAGGGCCACGCCCTCATCTGGGCCGCCCGCCGGCTTGGGGCTCGTCCGGCTACCGATGATGATCGAGTCGAGGGAATCCGCCGGCCCCACTCCTTCGGTTTCTTCCGGCGGCTTGTTGGGGGTGATCACCACGACCCCGGGCTCATCGAGGTTTTCCTGCGGCTGCGCCTCGCCCGGCGGCTCGGCCGTTAACCGAGTCAGGGCGCTCATCTTGGTAAGTTTCAGACTGTACTGGAACAGCAGGGCCACGCCGCCGACGATCACCAGGAAGCCGCAGATGATGCTGATCGAGCTGATCGGGTCGGTCACCTGGAAGCCAAAAAGGATGATCGAGGCTACCAAGGTCGCGGTCGTGAAGAAAACATAGTACACGGGCGTCACGATCGCGGTCGAAAACAGATTCAGGGCTTTGTTTAGGTAGTTGATTTGGACGCATATCGTGAAGGCTATGAAGGCAATTAGGAGGTACAGGGGCCACCGCAGGAACTGGTTGTCGTCTGTCCAATGCGCAGCAGTGTAGACCAGCGCAGCTCCGAATCCTGAACGAGCAACGGCGAGGAGATGGGTGAGATGGGGGCTGTTGACGGCGGGAGGGGGGGGGAAAGTACTGGGAATTTTGCATCCGAGGGTAATGGCGCAGCTGGTGGCTGTCGATTAGACAGCTTGGACACGACTGCAAGCGAGGCCGGGTGCGCCCACCGAGGCACGGAGGCCAATTACATTTACCACCCCTGAAATCGGGAGGGAGGGAAAGGGTTCACCAACCTTGGCAGCTCAGCACCAGGAACGAGCCAACGAACGAGCAGATGGAAATGTAGACGATCGGATGCTTGTCGCCGTACTTGGGCGCCAGGATGAATATTAGGTACAGGATCGCACCTGTACACAGGACACTGTATACGATAAACCCTGGATGCAAAGCGACCAGACCGCGGAGAGCAAATGCAAGTATGAGAAAGAGACATCGATGGCCACCGGGGGTCAAGGGCATTGTCCGCGGGAACTCGGCGCGCAACGGTCCAAGCAACGAGAGGCCGGATCGCGGGTGGTGGAGAGAGACAGAGAGAGAGAGAGAGAGAGAGAGAGAGAGAGCGCCCTGCAGCATCCTCCCTACCTGGCCGCAAAACGTATCCAAAAAAGTCATCGACGCCCTTGGTCGTGTTCGATTTGGGTGCGTGCAAGACGATGATGGTAGCGCCAACGACGCACTGCGCACAGCCGATCTTGCCCGAGAAATTCAGGCGCTCCTTCAGGAAGATGGATGACAGGATGGCGCTGCAAGCAAAGCAAGCGAGTGGGTGTGGGAACAGAGAGTTAGCGGCCTGGAGCACAGCGCATCCGGGGACAGCCATCCAACAAGAGCGGAACAAGGCTAAAAACGAACTGAGAGCGAGTCTGATGGCCAGATAAACCCGAGCTGCCCATCGACGTGTTCAGAGGGGCGCAATCCGAGCGGCAGCATCGAAAGCCACGAGCAAAGCCACGTAAGACTCGCTATTCGACAGCGACTGGGGGTCGAGCAATTTACCTGATCACCACGCTCAGCGCACCCAGCGGGGTGACCATGATGGCGGGTGTGAACGCATAGGCACCGAAATTTGCAACCTCGCCGAGCCCCACTGGATGGCCGGTCGGTTGCATGAGCGAGGAGGGACGGGGTCGGAGGTGAGTGGAGGGTCAAACGAGACGGGTTGGTAAAGAAATGGAAGCAGAGACGGGTTTAACAAATGGGCTCTGGCAGACAACCGAAATCGGAGGCATCACGAGTTGATGCGGATAGAGCAATCAAATCGCACGGCAAGCAAGTCGAGGAAATGCGCGTTATCCAGATAAGCGGGGACAGGGCAGTCGTCCACATCGATACTCGGACGACAAAGCCAAAAGTCAAAGGAGAGAAAAGAAGGACACTCACTTAAAATCATGCCCGTCCACCACATTCCGTTTTTCAGATAGGCATGGCCTACGCCAGCCTCGTGGCCGAGGGCGTTGGTGTCGAGGAGTCCCTTCTTCTTGAAGATGAAACTGCTGCCGATGAAGAGCCCCGAGGTCAGGGCGAGGATGATGCCCACGGCGGTATACCACGACGGCTGATTTGCTGTGACGTCGGTTGTGATCGTGTCGTTTGTGGCAGTTAGATAGAACGGCCGTAAGGCGCCAAAGTGGGAGAGGGTTACGACGGACATGGTAGACCAGATGCTCTAGCACGCTTGATTCGGAAAGGTTGCTGCGGTGGGTTTCTTTCTTGTTGGCGAGACTGTTTCTTCTGCTCTATTCTGCTGGTGCTCCCGATGAGTTCTTGTGGGAGAGGGGAGGGTGGGAAGGAGCGTGCGGCGAGGGCCGGACGCGAGCAGTGGCGATCAGAACGATGGGAATGTGAGGGATTCCTGATGGACGAAAGATCACTTGCGTTAGATCGAGGACACGGAATAGACGGGTTTGGGCCGAGTAAAGGGTGATATAAATTCAATCAGAAAGCGAATCGCGATGGGAGGGGAAATGGATTGAGATGGCCAGTTGTGGTGATGCCAGCTCCGGCCCGGCTGCGAAGCGACGTGGAATGAGGGCAAGGCAACCAGCCGGAAGGAGCAGGATAGCGGGCAGAGGCAGAAGATGAAGAAGATGAAGAAAGGCAGAGGGCGGGGACGAGCTAGGTATGGATACATCCAAGGGCTACGAATCTCGGGGAGGAGGAGGGAAGGAAGGAGGCGGGTCGCGGTTGGGCACCGGACTCTTCAGAGATATACGGTACGGTGGCGATACGGTACTGACTCTGAATGTCCCCTGAGCGAGCATAGCCAAATACACGCCGAAGCCGGGGGCAGCCCACGTCCCGACCGATGCCAACCGATAGACGCAAAGGGATGCAGTAGATGCACGGTGACGACCGAGACCATTGCAATTCGTCGCGGAGAAAAAGGACAAAACCAAATGAGAGGGGGCTCACCGATACAATCAAGGCTTTGGGCAGCAGAGGTGGTGGTGCTGCCGAGCCAGAAAAAGGTGGTTGTGGGGGAGTGTGATGGAGAGCAACGGAGAAAGGGAGGAGACGGGCCTGGAGCAAATGGACAGGCAGGCAGAGGCAGAAACCGCAAGACTGAACAGGAACAGAGCAACGGCGGCGGCGGCGGCGGGGCCGGGAGTGCCCATCAACAGGCAGAGTGTGTCCGAGTTAGACAGCAACTCGCCCTCCTCTCACATCATACAGGCGCCATGTTGGGGGGCCTCCCTCTGTACTTACAGCAATCACGGCTGGATTTTGCGAGCCTTTTTTTTTTTTGGAGGGAAAAGCACCTCTTGATTCTGTTTGGATGTACAGGCTATACGATGGCCTGGACCTAGTAAAGGATCGTGTCGGAAGTGTATCCAACCCGCCAGCCAGGATCCTCGAGACCAACCCAGGAAGGGACTGTGATCACGCAAGGACGGGCGACACAGGAAGACGGAGTCAGGAGCGACGGAGGAAGCGAGCACGTCGGGCTGCAGCAGTGCAGCGACGGGACCAAGGCAGCTCGTGAGGGGAGGTGAGGGGAGGGGACGACGGCGACCAGGAGCAGGAATGCTGCGACAGCCTTGGAGGAGCCAGCCAAGGTTCGGGAGGCAGCGAGATTAAAAATCGCCAAGACAAAGGAAAAAACGGGCTGGGACGGCGGCGTCCGAGCGCAGGCGGTGTTGAGGCGATCGAGACGGGGGGAGCAGGAAGAAGAGTCGGCAGGGACAGGCCGAGGGAGGGAGGGAGGGAGGGAGGGAGAGGACGGGGCGGCAGATGCCTCTGGAGACGGATGTCCTTGGGCGGTGTTGGTCCTGCAGCGCAGGAAACAGGACGAGGATCGGCACAGGCGAACCGTTTCCAGTTCGAGCGAGGATGAGGCCGGGCCGAGAACGCCGCAACGACCAGCGAGACGCAGGCGAGGCCGCGCGAATGCCGGCAGCAGACGAGGGCGATTTCCCATTGGGACAGTGGCCGTCGGCCGAGCGATGAGAGGCGCTTGTGTGCTTGTTGGACAGAGCCGCCGTCCAAAAGCAGTCGGCTGCGTGCAGATGCTGCTGCCGAGTGGCCTTGTGGGGGTGTTCTGCTGAGGGCTGAGCCTGTTAGTGTGGGTGGTGGTTTTGCGGCCGGCAGAGGACGGGGACAGCCATGGGCCGTTGCCGGTGTGCTGGCCGGCCAACAGACATGTCCCGACCCAAGACAACGGCGTGCGACGATCGGCCGGGACAGCGCGTGGGATGTGCGTGCTGGGCAGCGCTGGTGCAACAAGGGCAGCAAGGCGATGGGGACCCGTTGCCTTGGCGATACGGGACAGCGAGATGCCGAAAATGCAGCGGATGCGACTGGTGCAACAGGCAGGCAAGCAAGACGATACGGGACTCAGAGGGCGGGCCGGCAATTCGCATGCCGACTGTCTGCAATGCCTGGGGACGCTCTTCACATGCAACCTTGACAATGAACGCGTGGGATCAAGAAGGACCCGTGGGATGATTCAGAGACCAGCACCCGTTTCATGCGGACTGACGACCGAGCAGAGGCAGTCGATCCGAGGAGTGGGCAATTCCGCCGGCAACTGAACTGGACCGAGGCCAAGACAGTCCGAGGCAGTGCAGTCGCAAACCGCGGGCCGATCTCAAGGAAAGAAAAGCTGTATTTTGTTTGAGCGCCGTTGACAACGAGCAATCATGTCGAATACACGGACCAGAGCAGAAACAACGGGCCTGGGAAGGAGAGGGGCGTCGAAGAGTCAGTGGTAACGACTTTGTCGGGAAGGATCAGATCAAGTCTTGGAAGAGAAAGAACGACAGACAGACAGACAGACAGAGGCATGGACAGACGGACGCATGGACAGACTGACAGAACGAGGGGAGAAGTAGAAGCGCGAGCAGAGCCATCATCGGCAGGCAGCGCGGGCCGGGAGTGCAGCCGATCTGCCGGATGATAGACGGGAAGAGTCATAGATGATATGCCAAAGGACGACGAGGGGAGTGGCGGCGCAGAGAGAACTGTACAAGGTTGCGGGAGGCCATCCGCCCCAAGCGCTTGCTTTCCTCCAAACGGAGGGCAGAAAGGCCATAAATAACAGAGACCCCGGCGCAGGAGGGGGGGCATGAAGCACACTGGTCAATGCTCGACACAGCCGAGGCAGGTCGGCGAAAGAACAGGGCCGGGAGGATTGATAGAGCAACGGAGGTGGACTTTGACCAGTGTCGACAACATGTCCTCGACCCATGCGAGCGCACACGGCTTGGTGCCCCCCCCCGCTAGATTCTGCCGAGTTTGCCATGGAGCGAAGCTTGGCCCAGAAGCATCGCAATCTCCTGGCTGCGGTCGATCGTCTTCTTGGACTTGCTGCTCTTCGAGACGCTGTCGGACCGGCCAAGCTCGCTGCCGGATCCGCGGCCGACCGTCTGCGCCGACGGATTGGCGTCGCTCAGGCTCTGCAGGAGCTTCTTGCGTCGCTGTATCGAGCCCTTGAGCAGCGGCGAGGGCGGATGGAAGTTGTACGACTGGTCGTTGCCGCTGCCGCTGCCGCTGCCACTACCGCTGCTTCCGTTGCTGACAGCCGAATAGGAGCTGCTGCCGACAGCACTGCCGCTGCCACTGCCGCCACGGCCGATGCTGACCTCCATCAGGGCATTGGTGACCTTGGTCAGCGTTGGCGAAATGTACTTTGGCGGCGGCGACTTTGGCGGAGACATGGGCGGGATCGGAGAGAGCACGACGCTCGAGCGATCGTACACGGGCCGGCTGCCGTCGCGCTTCGAGTCCGACACGACGCTGGGAGCCGCCGAGATCGGCATCGGCGGCAGCATTCCAAACATGCCCGTGAGGGTAAAAGTCGAGCCCGAAAACAGCCCAAAGGTTCGTTTGTTGGTCGGGGTGGCCGAGCGGGGGCCCGAAGGCGGTGTCGGCGTCGCGCTGCCGCGGCCATCCTGCTCCGGCGACGCAGAGTGCGGTCGAGTCGATCGCTTCAGATTCGATCCGTGGATCTGCAGGCCAGAGTCCAAGACAGCCCCAGAGAGGCGCTGGTATTGCGACGACCGGTCGTGTGGGGGCGACGTTCCGGGCGCCGGCGACGACGACATTTTCCGATTCCAGACACCGCTGCCGTTGCTGTGGTAGTGGAGCGGGCTTGACGGAATCGGCTGCCCTCCGTACGAGCCGACATAGCTGTTGACGGCCGACTGGCCGTCCGATCCGGTGTTGCAGTACGACAGGAGCGAGGGATCCAGCGAGCCCTTGCGCTGCGGCTCGACCGGGCGGTCGGAAATCGAGGCAGCATTGCTGCGAGTCTTGGCCACGGCAGGTGGATTGGAGTACGTGGGCGTGATGGGAGGAGGAGCGTCCTGGGGCTGCGATGATGAGAAGCTCTTTGACTTGCCCCTCGGGTTGTAGGCTGCCTGGGATGGCGGGTACTGTTTGGCGGACCAGTACAAGAAAGTTGATGGTGGAGAGCAGACGAGTAGAGTGTGCGAAACAAGAGTATAACCGATTTCCCAGGCGATCGTCGGCAAGGTAGACACAGTGGCAGTAAAACGCAGTATCGAGACGTTCCGTGCGGCAATATGATGTGCCATGCCGTGGAACGATGAGAGACGCGCCGGCATTGAGAGGTAGCAAGTAGGTATTCGTTGGGACAGGACAGGGCAGGGCAGGGCAGGGCAGGACAGGACAGGACAGGACAGGACAGGACAGGACAGGACAGGACAGGACAGGACAGGACAGGACAGGACAGGACAGGACAGAGCGACGAGAGCAGTAATAGTTAGCACCGGGGAGCGAGGGAGAGTCGAATCAAGTGGTGCGAGCAGACACGGTGCAAGAGCGACAAGAGCGACAAGAGCGACAAGAGATCCAGCTCCGGCGAGTCATGTACCTGGAAGGGAGCAGCATCGCCCTCGCCCTCGCCTTCGCGGGCAGACTTTGGCTTGGCCTCGACCGGGGTCGTGGGGGTCATGGTGGTCTTGAAGACCTGGGCGTTGACAATGGTAGCGGTTTGCAGATTGAGGGGAGGCCGCGAGCCCATGGATTTGGATCGCTGCGGCTTGACCGACTCGGTTATGGTTGGGCGGCGGGTGATGGCGGTGCCGCGGGTGATGGGAGTCTCTTCGCTCGGAGGCAGGGCAGTGACGGGCTTTGCCTGGTGCGAGATACAAAAACAGCCACGATTGTCAGAGCACTGATGCAGGGAGGATCGAAGTCCCCGGTGGGACGGACGAGTTGCAACGATGCGATGCAACATGTACAACCAACAGCAGAGGCACAAGTCAAGTGAAGAGGCCGTGAACATCCAGCTCGCCGTCGCGGCGCCGACCTCGCCCAACAGCCCTGCCCTGCCGACCTCGCCCAACGCAGTCCTGTCCTGTTCTGCCGACTCACCCAGAGCCTGGCCACCGAGTGGATGTACTTGTAAAACTCCTCATATTCGGTATTGTGGAGATGGAGCTTGTAGTCGACGCAGGACAGAAACTCAAACTCCAGAGTGTTGAGCGTTTCGACTGGCAGCTTTGTGATCTTGGCCCAGGTCGAGTTGGCATAGACGTTGTCGGCCAGACACTTTTGCGACGTCATCAGCGCGATGCAAAAGAGGTAGCCCTCCGAGCCTGGCGACGAGGCGTATTCGCTCAGCTCGACGATGCGCGCAATCAGCTTCAGAGCCGCAACGACCATGGGCAGCGGAATGGCCTTGGAGGTCGCCTTGAGGGCCCGATGGATGAGCTGCAGTGAGCAGTAGAACGAGTCTCGGAACTCGCTGTACTTGGGATCGGTCGTAAAGGGGGCCGACAGTCGCTGGGAGAAGGGGAGATCCCGAGGAAGCCGGTCGAGGAATAGGTAGACGATGGTGCACACGAACTCGGAGAACTGCAGCTCCTGGGTCTCGATGGGCACGGTGGCAGCAGCCGCGGCCGCAGCCGGGTCGGCAGACGAGCCTGATGCTGGGAAGCCAGCGAGACCGGCGCCATCGTCATTTGAAGCGGCCGAGGGGTTGTGGGTATGGGATGTGGATTCAGACTGGAATTTCTTGAGATCATTGATCGAGGTCGAGTACAGCGAGGCAGTGGTGGCCGTGGTTGCGGCAGAGAGCAGAGGCGACGAGCCGGACGATGTCAACGAGTGTTTCGAAGTGTGAGGCTGGATCGGGGCCGGGTGCTTGTGGGCTGGCCGAGGCGACGATTGCTGAACAGTCATCATGCTGGGCAGCTGTGGCCGAGGGGATAGAGTCAAAGGCAGGGAGCAGAAAGAAAGCCGAGAGAGCTCTCGGGTTGGACTTGATGCAATCCGCTACCAGAGGGCAGGGCAGGGCAGGGCAGAGTGGAAGAGAGGCACGGATAGATGGATGCCACAGGCAGCGAGCCGGTCTGGACAAAGACAGGAAAGAGAGCCGTGGCAGCAGCGACCAAGTCGAGTCGATGGGTCTGAAGGGGCCGGGCAGGTAGCCTAAGAGCTTGAGGTTGGCTGGGGTTGGGTTGGCGGATCGACAAGCGAAAGCGAGCTGCAATTGGCACTGACCAGCGGATGAAGATGGCGGCCGGTGCAGAGAGGGGAGGGAAAGGGCTCAGTCAAGAGCAGGAGGGAAGGGGAGAAAGAGAAAGGGCTCTTATAAAGGTACAGGTCGAGAAGGAGAAAGAGAGGAAGTGGATCAGATGGCTGCGGGTAGGATCAGAAGGTCAACGACGGGGGACGATCCGGCGCCAGAAGGAGAGGTGATGCGGGAGCAGGAGGACGGGGTGCTGATGCAGGAAACGGAGATCATGGAATGGGATCGCAGCGAGGGCGACGGGAAGAAGGACGGCAGCGGCTGATGCTGTCGAGACCACCGGAGCGAGGGCGATTCGCAGGTGGGCCGCGGTAACAAGAAGGCCCCGGCGACGAGCAAGCAGGGAGGCGCACGAGCACGCAGGACGGCTGGCGGCGGCGGCGGCTGGGAGACTGCAAGATGGAATCCAAGAGGAGAATCCCGACGACGAGCTGGGAGTGGCCGTGGCGATAGCGAGCCTTGCTGTCGAGGACGGGGGCAAGCAGACGACCGGGCTGGGGGATTGGGTCGATGGCGGCCGAGAGGGCGATGGAGGCAAAGCGGCAGCAGATGGCCGGCTCGTGCAGGCGAAGAGACAGGCGGAACTCGGATGGGAACGGCGACGGGAACGGCAGCAGGAATGGGAGTGGGATGTCAAAGGCGAATGAGATGCGACGAGGGGGGGGGCAAAGGAGAGACCGTGTGCAACCCGAGGACAAATGACCACCGGGTGTATGCGGCGACAAGAGACCGGGCGACCTGGGAACGAAGCCGCGGACGACGGCGGATGCTGATGTCGCAGTGGTGTGCGAATATCACAAGTGGTGTGTGCAAATATCACAAGTGGTGTATGGGAATATCGCAAGCGGTGTATGGGAATATCGCAAGCGGTGTATGGGAATATCGCAAGTGGTGTATGTGAATATCGCAAGTGGTGTATGGGAATATCGCACGTAATAATGCAGCGGAACGCAAGCGGTGAGCAAGTGCCGCACTTTCACCCGTGTTTGCCTCACAGTCCCACTCGACGCTGCGCAACATCTCCAGAACGGCCCCTTGACCAGCACCAGCAGGGCAGCAGGCGCGCAAATGAAGGCCGCGCCGCAGGTCATCTGCCCTGGCCGATCGCACCACCCAAGGGCATCGCCCGGCCGATTACGGGTGGCGCTCTCGAGGCCTTGTGTGCAGATGCTGGCGAACGACAAGGCGGGCGCCAGCAGCGCTGTCGGTGTCGGCGTCGATGTCGGCAGCGGGCAGCATCGATACAGACCAAGGCGGGGCGTCTGCTGCTGAGCGGGTCAGAGGGGCTGGTGGGACTGCCCAGCAGAGCGCCGCAGAACCACAGCCTGAGCATTCACGGCCTGAGCATTCACGGCCTCAACACCCACAACTCGAGCATTCAACTCGGACTGCTCAGTCCGCAGTGCAACCTCCGTGCGACATCCATGTGACACGGTCGCGCACATCCTGCAGGATCCGCCCACAGACACTGTGTCGTTGCGCGTCACCAATGTCGCACACACGCGCTCGGCGTCAAGGCTGTGCGCCGGAATCCAGCCATGTGTCCCTCGGCGCGTCGCGCTTTGGTCCATCCTGCCGCCACCGGTGCTCTCTGGCCAAGGTCCATGGGCACAGGAGCCATTGGCGGCAGCAGAGCCCCACACACCAGCGATGCTGTGGGAGAGCGAGTCCGATATCGCTGTCGCCATCTGCTCAGACGCACTCGGCCGATGAGATACCGAGGAAGCGACCTGGCCAGCTCGCCCGTTCTGGGGCGAGCGAATGATGTGATCGACGCTTCTCAGTGCCCCCACAAAGCTTCCTCGCTCACAAGGATCTCGCGTTGGCGCCACCGGCACACCGCCGCGCCAGCCAGTCCTTCCGGAATCTTGAGCACCCGCCTGGGGCCGATCGAATGGCCGCCCCAATTTGATCCGGTGTGCCTGCTGGTGGCACACGCGGTTGTCCGCGGCGGCCAAGGTGGGAGAGCAACGAACCCCTTGCCATTGTCATCTGGGCGTGACGATTCCGCCACAGCCCCGTCCAGGCTCTTGCGGGCGATGGGGCTTTGGCCACACCCGGGTTCGTAGCCAGATGGTGCGGGGTGCATACGTGACGGCCGTGGACCCGAAACTCATCCGTTGTCCCGACATCGGCCCAGCCCGCCACCGTTGCTGGGCGGCAGAGGGGGTTCGCAGACAAATGAAGAGGGACATCGACACAGAATTCATGAAATCGACTCGGGGCCTGGGGGTCCGGCGGCGGAAGAGATTGAGTTGCCGGGGCTCTATCGTCGTTGGCCTCCGTGGTCGAAATTGCTTCGACTGTGCATTCACCCCCGTAGCTGTGCGCCGTCCGTGACGATCTGTGACGATCACTTTCCAAATCGTCAGGGAAGATGACAGACACTGGAATGGATAGGTGTGCCCGAACCACAGATGCGACAACCATCATCCGAAGATCGAGTCCCATCGTCGATATGACTACACTGGGCTGCAGAAGGCAATCCCAGTGCAGTCTGGGAAGTTCGCTGTCTTGTCACGGTCAGTCTCAGCAAATCAATCGTGTTCACATCAGAAGACTCAGACAGGACTTGACCAAAGACCAACATCATGGAAGCGAAGGGAGCGGATCAATCGAGTGATCCGCCGTTTATAGATGAAAAGAAAGGAAATGAAAGAAGAGACTCAAGCAGAAAGGAAGAGGAAAGAAACGACCTGATCAATCTATTGCTGAATCACCATCCGCTGATCAATTGCGGCCGGTGCGGGTGAAGATGCTGACTTCGGGATACTCGTCGTCCTTCAGCTCGCTCGATGGCTGGATGGGGTTGGGAAGGAAGCGAGCATGGTTCAAGTAGCTGAGACACTTCTTGGCGATCAGCACAGTCGAGGGACATGGCGTTGGGTAGATCGAGCGGGTGTTGGCGTTGTCGATCTTGATGGACATGTCCATCATCATGTACATGAGCGGGAACAGGGCATTTTGGTCCAGCGAGGGGTTGGAAGAAAGGATGTACTTGAACTTTTCACGAGTTTCAAAGAGGACGGGCCAGCCAAAGGAGTTGACGATCTCGAACAGCTTGGTCTCAGTGAGGGCACTTTGGGAGGGAGGGGTGTACGCACGGCGTGAGTTAGTGAGTGAGTGAGTGAGTAATCAGAGTCGGAATCCACCATCGACACCATACCATATCACACCACATCACATCACACAGTCCTCACCTGTGCTCCGAGTCGCTGATGTGGAACACAAACTTGGACAGGGACTCCTCCGAGCCGGCAATCTCGGCAACCACCTTGGCGACATGGTCGACGGGATCCATGGTCAGGGTGACGGGAGTGGCATACGACGGAGCAACACCAAGCTGGATGCATCCCTTGACATATCGCCAGATGTAGTCATCAGAGTTGGACACTGGAGCAATGGAGGGTGTGAAGGTGTCAGTTGGTGTCAGTTGGTGGATGAGTGGCACTTGACAATCGAGACTATCGATTCATGGCCAGTCCATGGGACGATTGAGACATCTCCATCTCACCACACCACATCACACCACACCACATCACACCACATCACACCACACTCAACTCACCTCCGTACTTGCTGTCGCCGGCAATGACGGCTGGGCGGATGATTGTCACTGGCACTCCCCTCGATCGTGCCTTGTTGACCAGCTGCTCAGAGACCCACTTGGTCTGCGAATAGCCGCCAGAGATGTTCCAGGCCGAGTAGATCTTCTCCTCGAGCGGCTTGTCTGACTTCTTGGCCATCGGGATCGTGCCGATGGTCGAGATGTAGTGCAGCGGCTTCAGGTGGTGGGTTGTGGCCAGTCTCAGGGCCGTTGCCGTGCTGAGGACATTGGGTCCCCTGAGTCTGTCATAGTCAAATAGCCAGTGGACCTCGGCGCCGTTGTGAACAATCATGTCGGTCTCCTCGCTGATCTCCTTCCATCGCTCGTCCGAGAGTCCCCACTTGTCCTTCGACAGATCGCCGCACAGTCCGATGAATCGGTCGCGCACATCGTACCGCGGATCGCCAGCCTTTCTCGATGCAATCACCAACTTGGAGGCATTGGTGAATATACGAGTGAACGCCAGCTGTTCGTTCTGGGCTCGCACGAGGCAGTAGATCTTGGCCCGAGGGAACTTGTGGGCCAGCTCAAAGACCAGGAAGGCACCGAGGAAGCCAGTGGCACCGGTCAGGACGATGCCGCGAGGGTCCTTGGGATAGACAAACGGAGGAAGACCCTCGGCCGTCACACTCGCATCGTCGAGCTTGGCGGCCTCGGCAGCCAGATCAACAGTCGGAGGAATGAGGGGCTTGTCGTCGAGGATGTCGACGACCAACTGGGCGACATCGAGCGGTGTCATTCCGTTCGACAGCAAGATCATCGGTGAGATCTCAACATCCAGCTCGTCCTTGATGGCGAGGGCCAGACGACCGACACTCAGCGAGTCAAAGCCGACGCCGCCGATGTAGTAGTTGCGGCCGTCGAGGGCGGGGTTGTCGAGGATCTGGCTGCCGAGCGCCGAGATCTTGACGGCCGTGCGGGACAGGGGAGTATTGGCGATGTCAAGGGTCGGATAGATAACCGGCTCGCCAAAGTACTTGGCATTCTCGGCGAAACGCCTGAGCTTCTTGAGGTCGCGCTTGCCCGAGTCATTGAAGGGGAGCTGGTGTAGTTGGAAGACGTTGTGGATCGGGAACTTGGCGACGTTCTCGAGGGTAAATAGCTCCTCGATACGACGGATCATCTCGTTGGGGGTTACTTTGAAGCCCGATCCATGTCGAACGACGTAGAGCATCACGATCTGCTTCTCGGTGGTTTGGACAAAGGTGCAGTCTTTGATGGTATCAGGCATGTGCTTGTAAACCAACTCCTCGAGGGCGTTGAGGTCGACATAGACGCCGTTGACCTTGATCTTCTGGTCGAATCTGGAGTGATGGTGTGAAGTGAGGGAATGGATGGCGTGAGTACCCGGGATACAGGAGTGGGATGTGTCCTCGGGATGCCAGATGTGCATTCGCCATCAATGAGATGCGACACCCAGCCATCGACTCACCTTCCAACCACAGTGAACTCTTTCTCGCCAACCATCTCGACCCAGTCCATGGTGCAGACACGGGGCGAGCCATCCTCGAGGAAGCCGAACGAGGCGAGCTTGTCGTTTGGATCGGCATTGACAAAGCTCGGGTGATCCTTGATGGGATGATCCTTGTCGACGGCAAAGCCAAGCACACCGCTCTTGGAGACCTTCTGGTCGACAATGTTGCCTTCTTCGTCAAAGAGGATACAGCGCACACCGGGCTTCACGAGTCTGTAAACCAGCTTGTCCGGAATCATGGTGACGCTGGCCGGATAGTTGAGAAAAGAAGCTGCTCCAAGGAGGGCGGACTGGCGTTGGAAGGAGAAGTGTGAGAATGTGACACATGTGCATCCTACTATTGTCGACTGCATTCTCCATTTGTGGCTTCTTACCTCACTAGATGCGTAGAAGATCTGGATATCGGCCTTTGGAAACATTCGCCTCACATTTTGGACGACACTCGGCGGCACGAGCTCAGAGCCCATACCGATCCTCCGTGCCTTTTCCCACTTGACATCAGGATTCTGAGCCCGAGCCACACTCATGATCATCTTCATGAACGAAGGGGTCTGTGCGGATACGAACCCCAAAACACACTGATGAGTGGCGATCCCCTGGTTGGAAACACACTCTCTACCGCATACCAACCTGATATAGGAACAGCACTCCGTCATCCAGGATGCGAACAATACTCTTGACTTTGTCGACGGTATTGGGTGTCGGTTGTGGCAGCCAAACCGATCCCTTGAGATTCAGGGCGCACAAAAAGGCGTGAAGAGCTGCAAGGAATGACGGAAGCTGCCATATCCGCGGCGATCAGTTGTGAAACCTGTCCTGCCAGGTTACCGAATACTGTTGTCCGTTTGTGCGACTCTAAGCTTACTGATCATACCTGACAAATCGTAAGACTGCAGTATGGGATTCCAATCGCGCCTCGTCCAATCATTCCACTCTTATGGGATAGCTTATATCTGTGCCGTATGAATATGGCACATGGTGTTATCACTGCCCAGGACTCATGCTGCGAGGCAAGCTGACGATAACACCAGATCTCTTACGTCTTTGGGATGCCTGTTTGATTGATCGCAGGTTAGCATCATTGGGACACAGCAGTTCAAATGTGGCATTGATTATAATCCACCACCGCCATCCACTGCTTCCATCCTCGCCCTTTGTCATTGAGCAACTTTGTAATTGGAACTTTGCTTATAGCCGTCAGTTCCGCACATCCACATCTCTTCTCTCGTACCTGTCGTTCCAGAGGTGCACTGGAAGCTGACAAACTCATCGAGAGGCGCACAGACTTCGAGGGACGGGGATGGAACGTCGTCCAACACCGGGAAGGTGGCAGCATCGACCAGGGTCACGCCTTCGGTGCGGCCGGGCTTGGTGTGGTGGTGGAGGATGTACTTGATCGCATACCTGCACCAGTTGTCGGTTTAAATGCCGTGGCTGGATCTGAGAGCAGCTCGGAAGGGCAGCTGGCTCCGCTCTAATGCCAGAAACCAGATTGTTCAACTTCACGACAGCACGACAGGGACGCACCTCTCGCACAGAGCCTTGCGGGCAGTAGGAGGCAGGTTGAGGGCAAAGTTGAGTGTTTTCCTGGATGAGGATCAAAGGACAGGTGAGACTCCATTCTGGTCACGGAATGTGTCAGAACAGATGGATACACCGCACCAACGCAACAGATACTCACTTGCCCAGGATCCACACGGCGAACGAGTAGATCACCCAGCTGGCTTCGGCCTCGCAGAAGGTGCCGATGGCCTCGTGGCCGTCGTCGTTCCAGCCAGGGAGAGCCTTGAGGGCCTGGGCGATGGAATAGGCTTGCCTCCACACCTGGAGATAGCTGAGTCGCTCCGAGTCGCCGTTCTCGTAAGTGTTAATCAAGAGGGCATCGGGCTCGTCGCGGGCCATATTGACAAGACACTCGACGGGATTGAGCCAGGGACCAAAGGGATCGGGCGGAGGAGGGAACTTTGGCTGCTGGAAAACAGGGGTCTGGGTTTGGGTCTGGGTTTGTGTGTCAGCAGATTGGGCGACGACATCCTGGGCCTGCTGGGAGACATCTCGGTCGTCGACCGGGTCTGAGGACCCTCCGAAACAACAGGAGATGGCCCTGAGCATGGCGGAGAGGCGATGGAGTCGAAAGGACGAAGGTGTCGAAGCGGAGGAAGGAGTGCAGAGAGGAGAAACGTCGCTCGAGCACCCGTCAGGCCAGGGGAGACAGCGTTTTCTCCTCTGCGCCGCGTGCTGCTGGCTGGTGCCAACCTGTGCTTCGTTGGTTACTGCTCACTCAGTAGAGATCGATTCGTCCCCATGGCGGCGCGCATGCACAAATTTGACAGATCCTGCGTCTCGCTTGCATCCAGTAGACCAAAATGGAAACCAGCACAGCCCCAGCCAACCTTGCAACAAGAGCCAACTGCACACCATCAGGATTCTGGTCTGGCCCAGACAGCCAGGGACAGCCTGAAGTCGGGGCCATCGCTGCTGACCCACATCCGTTCCAGTTTGCACAATGCAAAGCAGCCATCCCTGACACCCAGGCGCGTGCTGACGTTCCCACGAGGATTCCAATGTGCAGACATGTCGGGTGCGATGAACTTGGGTCTGGGAGCGTGGTCCGAGCCACGGAGCAAAACCAAAAACAAATGCCGCCTCCCGGGATCGAACCGGGTGCCTTAAGATCTTCAGTCTTACGCTCTCCCAGATGAGCTAAGGCGGCCAAAGGGCTTCTCCGGGAATCGAACCCGGGACCACTCGCACCCTAAGCGAGTATGCTACCACTGTACCAAGAAGCCAGAGAGAGACGCTGCTGCGATGTTGGGTCGTTGCAGCCCACCGACGCCGGCAGGACTCGAACCTGCGCAGGCAAAGCCTACTTGATTTCTAGTCAAGCTCCATAACCGCTCGGACACGGCGTCTGTTGATGGCGATATTTGCAGCGCCATAGTGTGCGCAACTGGGTGACTGGGAGTGTGATTACTTGGAGGGGTCATTGTCCGATTGCTGCACCGCTGCCCGGGCCTCACCCTCACTGCGCAATCAATATCCTCTGTATCACAGATTCAGTCCACGCTTCTCATTCGCTGCCGTTTTGCTCATCCACATTGCATTCATGCCAACTGAATCGACCGACAACTCCTCTCCACATCTATTTTCTCAAGCGAACATCAGATACTTGACTGCGATTTACCCATTTGCACCACTCCAGTGCAGCACAATACTCGCTCCAACGAGCATTCCACCATAAGCGAAGCCGGCTGCAGAAAAGTGGCGCGCCACCGACGGCCAGAATCCTGAGTAGACATAGCTGTATCCCGGACTTCCCAGCCATCTCACAGCCAACGACATTCCAATCAGCTCCGTAACCAGCCAGCTGACGATGGTAGTGGCGACTAATCCGATCCATATCCCGGCAGACGGAGCAAACATTGGACATAGGTGATGTGATTCTCCGCATGATATGGCCTGAGTGCCAGTGGTCCATACCAAGGCCGTTGCGTTAGTTTCACTCAGCAAGCTCAGCCGATTGCCAATGGATATAGTTGCCGCAGATCCACAGGTATTCCAGAGGTGTTGTGCACCAATAGGGACGAAAATTACACTCAGCAGACTCAGCCATTCTGGAATACGCCGTCTGACAGGGTCTGTGCCCACCATGAAGAAGAGTACCGATAGTGCACCAACCGTCACCCCAGCCATTGCTGAACGACTTACCGATAAACATCCAGACTAATCTGTCAAGTTCATCAGTGCCAAGATCCAGAGAGGATACAAGCTCGCAATCATATCAGTTCCCTGGGAAATAGGTTGAAGTCACAATTGGTTCTCGGCCCGGGCAACTGGGATGTGTCCAGGCTATTTTGCTATCCAACCATGTACTCAAATGTCGATATCCAGGCTGGAGGCTCTGCCCCAACCGAATGCCGTGCAACACGTCCGATAAAACATCGTTCTCTCGATTGTCATTCTCAAGATCTGTCCGCTGCGTCGCAAAGTGAAGCCCTCCACCATTGCCTGTTGCGTTCACTGCCATTGAGACTCGCCCGTTTCCTCCCAACATTCCGGCCTGACCATCAAAAGCAGTCAATTGGACTTACAATCAAAATTGGCCGAATATTGGACTTTTTCAGATACTTAACAAATGGCGGAATCAGGCCGACTTTCTCCATCAACTTGAGACCGAGATTTGTGCGAGCGAGCACTATGCACCGATGTAAAGGAGCTGGTCAGGCGATGTGCAGCCACTGCTTTCACTCGCTTCAGCGACACATGTCCGACGTTCATCCGGCGCCGCCCCTTTCTCACCCTCCAAAACCACGGTCATGAATACGTTGAGGAGATAGGCTTGCAGTGATTGAGACATGGACGCCAACCGGAGCATCATATCGATTCCCTGCATAGCAGTGCCAACAGCGGTTATCGACGCTGCTGCGGCGCGGAGCTTCGGCCCCACTCTCGCACGTCGGACTTACCGCAAATCCGGCTGTCACAAAGGCGCACACATGAGCCTGTTGCTGCGGTGTCCATAGTTCATCTGCAGTCGCAATTCGAGTCGCTGCGGTTGCGACGGACTCCCTTCCTTTGTTCTCCGAGTCGAGGGTACACCTCTCCTCTGGGACCATCAAGAGCCCTATCCCATTCAGCCCGGACTGGGAATGCTGCCCGGCAAGAGCAATAAGGTGCGAGTCCACTAGTGCAAAGGAACTCTCGAGGATCCACAGCGCCAAGATACTGCACATGCTCAGCATGGTCGGAACAATCATGTAGCTGATCTCGACTGCGGTAGGGCTCTTGGCAACGACCACGGCCCACTTCAGGAGAGCCCAGAATCCGACTCCAAAGATGCAGGAGAGCGTTATGAAACAAATAAAGTATCCCGCCAGCAAAGGTTGTGTCAAGACGCAGAATGTTCGGAACGAAATCCGTCGCGGGACAAGACAGAGACCAAAGAGGGTGCAAAATGCGACAAAGACGAGCGATATCGACTCTTGAAGGATGGTTGAGGGTGCCTCGAGAACCAAGGGGGTCAGCATTGACGCCAACGAGCCGAAAGCAAACACGGCGGAGATGCGCCAGGAATATAGACAGTGGATATTTTGGAGAACCTGCGAGGTGCTGCAAGCCAAGTCGGCAGGAGCATGAGTGGAAGCACAGTACTTTGGCGACGCAGGAGATGTGTCAACACGGGTACTCGGTGCGAGCCGATCGAGACCCAGTGCCACGCTGACCCCGTTGTGGTTTGATGGTGTTCATACCAGGTGAAGGTGAAAATACAGATGACTGACAGCAGAACGTTGTATGCAACCCTCTCACTGAGATCGCAGATCGCTTGCGGCGGCTGGCTTGCACATTCTGGAACCCAGTCTCGGAAGAATGACCAAGGCACAAAATATATGATTTGAAGGGCAAGGCCCACTGTACATGGGGCGATGCATAGCCCGAGCTGCTGCAGATCGCCGAGACTGCACCGGATGTCCAAGAGAGTCGCCCATTGGGTTGAGCGAGGGCCGGGGTCGGTTTCATCAATCTCTTTGGTTGCGCTCTCCTTTTTCAGTGCTGGTGAGTCCGGTCGAGTCTGTGGAATCGCTCTGCTCGGCTCGAAGGCTCCGATGGTGCTCCGACTTGGCCGAGCGAGTCGCGCGACTGTGATAAGACGGTCGTCGCGAGGATTTTCGGCATCGTTCGCAAGCTGGGATATCAACCAGACAGCGTCGAAGGGAGTTGAGATCCTAGACCGAGCAATGCAGCTCGGACCCAATATTGGCGACTCGCATCCATCGAGTGCGCTCCCGCACTGAGTCGTGGGGGGGGGGAGGCTTTACGTACAGGGATGACGTTCCCGCTTGGCCAAGCTCCAATCAAGACACATCGTACCCCAAACGAACCGAGTCACTCCAACACGCGGGAGGCAGACCCGTGATGATGAAAACGATGACACGTTGTGTGCTAGGAGCACATATATTCGCAGGCTTGGTTATTGTGGCGCCGTCGAGATTGCTCGATGGGCGCCTTTGCTCTCTGCTTCTCGATCCTGCTGACACAAACCAGGGCAATTACGCCGGCCAGTCCATCCGGGGCACTCGGGTATTCACCGGACAGACCACGCGGGCACCGTTCAGGCCCTCTAAGCAACGACATTTCCAGCAGCGTCGACCTTCTTGAACTTGGCAGGTCGTTCGCCAACACCACCGTAGCCATCAAAGACAATACCGCAGACGATCTGGGAAAGCGTTTCGGTCTCGTCGCGGGTCTCGGCTTCAGCATAAACGCGAACAATGTCTTCGGTTCCCGAGGGTCTACCGATAAACAGCAGCCGAGGGTGAGAGAGATGCGAATCAGCGAGAGGCGACCATGTCGTCCAATACCAGCTTTGGTGCGGCAGCGTTATGTATTTGCTCGAGGGTGCTGTTCGGTTTCTGGCCGTACCTGACAAAGCATCGTCCCTTGTTGAACTTTTGGACCTGCTGGTTGATTTTGTCCTGCAGACCCAGGGGCTCGGCGAGCTCGGTGTCGGCATTGATGGGCTTGAAGATGCTGCGCTGGGCCACCAGGACCTTCTCCTGGCGAGAGGGGAGGTCGGCATATGCCTTGTCCCAGCCGGACAGCGACAGCTGCTTGACAGTCAGGATGGCCTCGACCATCAGCAGGTCCGAAGTAGCATCACCGACGCTCTGGTTGATCAGATCGGCCAGAGCGCGCAGGATCTCGAGAGCACGGTGTTCTTCGGGCGTGGATCTGGGTGTCGCAAGGAGCGTCAGCAATCTCGAGCATCAGCCGGGCCAGTGGACCAAGCTGGCTGCCTCGGTGCAATCCGAACCGATGCATCAATACACAACAGAATGCTGGATCATGTCGGCCACGAATGTGGCAAGTCGCTCCGAAGCAGTGGACCGGCAGCGGCACGTACCCCTGGGTGGTCTTGAAGGCGTGAGTGGCCTCCTTGCTGAACAGCACAGTGCCGTGGCCATTGGCCTCAAAGTAGACACCGACATCAAAGTGCTCAGCGGCGTGGTGCAGATGCTTGACACCAGTCTGGGTAAACACCACAGGAACTTGCTGTTGTGGAGATACAATACGCGTCAGTCAATGGGGCAATGTCGTCTCTGTTCTTTTGGCGACTGCAATTCTGTCGATCCAAACCTACCAGGGTGTTCTTGACATAGGAGGTGGAGCTGCCGTTGGCATAGGCGGTCTGAACCAGGCCGACGTGGAGAGGGGCCTTGGTGCCGTCGGGCTTGTGGATCTGGACCTTGGCGATACGGACCTGCTCCATGATAAAGCCAGCAGCCAGGGTGGCAATCTTGTCGCCATCCAGGAGCTTGAAGGTTCCGTCTAGCAGAATCGGTTCGAGATGTGAGTCAGCGTGTCGCGCTAAGCAGATACATATGTGCCTCGATGCAGACTCATATGCCTCGACGCCGATACATAGGCATGGGAAAGCAACGCCACGTACTGTCGTCAATGTAGTAGTAAACTAGGCGATCGGCGTCGCCGTCAAACGAAGCGGCTCTCTGTCCAGGAGCCAGATCCAGACCCTCGGGCTTTGTCTGGTAAAGCTTGACAAAGTCGGCACCGCACTATCGATACAAAATTGACGAGCACACAGTTAAAAATCACGGCCGACAGTCGGTGCGGTGGCGGACGGAGGTGAGTCGGTCCAGCAGTTGCTCGCACCTTGCTGTTCAGCTTGCCCTTGGAATGGATGTCGTCGTTGACAATGTGGACAGAGAGATGCTCAGAGCCGATGGTCTCGAGGAACTTTTTGAAGGCCGGAGCGCCAATGCCGTTGGCGGCATCGAGGTGCAGCGTGGACAGGCGAGGAAGACCGGCCTTTGGAAGTTGAAGACGCATACAGCCAGGATCAAGGTTAGCGAGGATGAGCCCTGTTCGTCAGGCGGCGCAGTGCATGAAGCTGCAGGGAAACATAGCCACTTGCCGTGATGGTCTTGAAGGCAGCGGCAAGCTTGTCGTTGTAGCCCTCCTCGGTGGGAACACCGTAGGCGTCGGGGGTGCCCTGGGTGTTGAGGCAGCGGGTAATGTAGTGGAGATGAGGGGTGGTCTTGAAGCCATAGTCGACAATCGATCCACCGAGGGCAGCGACACCGTCCTTGACGGCAGCCACCAGAGCCTCGCCGCTGGGGCTAGCAGAGGTAACGAAAGCCGCGAAGGCTGGATCGTCAGCGAGGGACATGCGTCATTGACGACAACAAAAGCTCACCGAGGAAGCGACGGTGGCGGCGGGGAACAACAGCATCGTTCTCGGGTAGGATGATACGGGATGAAGCGGCCAGCACACGATCCGACCACGGGCTTACCGGGTGTCGCGAGCACAGACGACGTTGGCCTTGGTGGAGAGCTTGCCAAAATCGATCTGCTCGGCAGCAATGATTTCGTTGATGGCCTGAACCAGATCGGCCTCGGTCGCGGCATTGGCGAGGCGGGTGGCGTAGCCCTCCCAGGATTGCAGAAGCATTTCGCCGAGGGGCTCGACGAGCTTGATGCCGTTGTCCTGTGGTGTCAATGGCCGACAGGCAAGGACCGGATGGGTCGGTCAGCTCATCGACGGGACGAGGTACTTGACGGCGATCGGGGAGCGGCATTTGATCCAGGCCGCTCGATCCGCTGCTCCACACATAGGAGCGGCATCCCAAACAACCAAACCACTGCAGAGAAGGCAGACAACACCATTTCTATGCAGCATTACCTGCTCGGGGTTGTGCGAGGCCGTGATCATGGCGCCGATGACCTTGCCGCCGAGCTTCTTGGAGCGGAGGACGGCGAGAATGCCGACGCGGAACATGACCGAGTCGAGAAGCTCAGCCCTGGACGTACAGAGCGGAGGAGACAGGAAGTAGATATGGTGAGCGATCTGCCGGGACGTCAATGGCTCCCGGTCACCGCAGCAAGCCGCCGCCCACCACCAACCGGGGTTTGGGATGGAGGGAGAGCCGATGGCCACGGCCGACAGAGACACTCACTTCATGCGGAAGCCAGCGGTTCCGTAGACAAAGTTGGCATTGTGGGGTCGCGGGTGCTTGAGCGAGAGCGAGGAGACGAGGGCAGGATCGAAGGACATTGTGGGCAGATCTGCAGGCTTGGCCAAGAGGCGTTCTGGGGGCGAGGGCGGGGGAAGATGGGGGAGAGGACCGTCGCGACGAGGCGGGCGGCTTTTGAACGGCGGTGGCAATCCGCTCGCAGCCAAATCGAGCCAGATCCAGCCAGCCCGCCGGCCAATCACGCCGCTCCGCTTGAAGCGCACCGCCACAGATGGCTGGGTGGCGGTGCACGCGTCATCCGGCCACAGCGCGGCTATCCCGAAACGGCCACAATCTGGCTGTCCTGGGATAGCCACGGCGTGGCCGCCCCGCCCAGCCAAACACCCGCTTGTCCATCGCGCTCGCCTGCTCGGCTGCTCGCCTGCTCGGCTGCTCGCCTTCGATCCAGAACGGATCGCTTGCCCGCATGGAGGAGTCGGTGCTCTACGAAGACTCGCCGCTGGCTCTCTACCTGGCAGGTAAGCTCTCGTGGACGTCCTTTTGTCCTGGTCGGCCGTCGGCCAGCCCTCGTCGCAGTCCAAGAGGGCTCATGTCTGTTGACTCTGTTGCAGAGCTGGATGCCCATGAAGAGGCTGTCGCTCCCGAACCGCCTTGCTCCAGCCCAGCGCCTCCGTCTGCATCTGGCTCCGGAAAGACACATCCTTCCAGAAGCTCCTTTGGCGCCGTTGCTCGCGTGCTGGCTCGGCGATCGCTTGATGTAGGCATCTTTGCCGACCACCTGGTGCACATCCAACGCAATTGGCCACCCGATCCACCCCTCACACTGCGCCTACTTTGCTCGACGACTTTGCCAGCCCTATCTGCCGATATTCGACAGCGTGTTCCATGGTCTCAATGCCCAAAGAGAGTTCATCGCTTTGCGGGCTCAGCTCTTCCTGATCCATCAAGTGAACGACCGCCCCATGCGCCTTGACGACATTGGCGAATCGCCATCCCGCAGCCCGATCCCAGCCACAGTCGACCTCCTGGGATATCTTGGGTTGCCATCAAGCCTGTCGCTCATTGGACTCGGTACCCTGACCGCAGTGGGCCTCGTTTGCTTCAGGCGGTTTGGCATGCAGCTGGACCCGAGTGTGCACATTCTTGTCCATGTCGCGGCATCGCTTAGCTGGGCTGGATCAGCGACGGCATTGCTTTCCGAGTACCGGAGCCTCAAGCAGGCAAGTCGCATACCCAACCAGTCTGCCGCACCTCGTCACCCATCTTGGCCACAGTTGCCCTTGTAGCTGGCAAATCGCTGACGAGCTGCTGGCTATATGGCTTCCATACAGGATCTGGTCGATTCAACTGTGGCCTTGCAGGACGCAGCCGAGCTCGTGGAGACACTGATTCGCTCCACGAACGAGATTGACTCTACAATTGCCAGGGCCATCCGAGCGATACAGGAAATCGAGCTGGTCTCGCGGGGCTATCACATGTAAGCCGTCCAAATCTCCTCGCTTGCCAATCAGCAAAGTCATGCGGGGGTATCCGCATCTGCGAGAGTTCTGGACTGTCGAAGCCGAGTGTGTGCCCATGGTTCGTTCTTGATCCGTTCCAGCCATGGCGTGACATGTTTTAACTGATGTCGATCCGTTTCCATGACTGGCCGTGGGATCTGCAGCACCGCTCCCCAGCTCGCACCCATCTCGCGTATCGAGCAATCGTTGCCCTCCAAGCGCTGCCAGCTGCTGCGAGAGGCAATCTTCTCTGTCTGTCGGGCTGCTCGCGTGCTCTGGGTCGATTTTCAGGACTCGATATCTGCTCTGGCTGTTGCCCAGCCGTCTCAACAGGATCTTGAAGCGCTGGGTCATCCTCGTCCAGGTGATCAAGGGACAGAGAGCTCTACCAATCCATTTTCGCTGGAGGAGCTCAAAGCAGAGCACCGCGCCCTGAAGAGCCAGAGAATCGCTGCCCTCCAGCGTCTCGTGTGTTGTCGGGCACTTGCTGTTGAGACTGCTCGTCAGTTCCCGCTTTCGGATACCGGGGCTACCTCGGACTGGCTCAAGATATGCGGTGCGCTCAAGGCGCTGTGCTCCAAGACCCAGGATCTATCGCACGCCCTTGAGAGAGTTCACTCAATCGAAACTCGTAAGTACGCCGGCGACCGCGAGCAATGCCTCTGCATATGGGATTCCACCAAGTATGGGCAAGACCCATCTTTCCCCAAAGGCACCTCAAGTGTGCGTGCCATCGAGCCCAGGTGCTGGGTACGGGAGGCTCGGCCGCTCATGCATACCAATGGGTTGTTCTGCCCTGCCACTGATTTGGCTCGATGCGCCGGGTTTGCCTCGATCTCCGCAGAGATTCATGCCGGTCCCTCCAGCGGACAAGTCGAGACAGAGAGCGGACTTGCGCCGTCGAATCATCCACGAGTACACTCCTTCATCCAAAGGCTGTCCTCGTTGGGTCGCCATCTGCAACTCATGAAAGTCAAGCTAGTGGTCGTCAGCCACGACATCAAAGGTAGTCCACTTGAACCCGACAAGCCCCAGCCGCAGCAATCCGTCACGAGTTCCCTGATGCATTACCACTACCACCGTTGGTTCTTCCAGGCCACACTCCAGGAAGCCCCGTTGACCAGAATATGGAGCTATTTTCCACCCTCTCGATCGATCTCGCCAACATTCAGCACGAGCTCGAGTCGGCTCGCGCTGCCCTAAGCGATCTTTCCTCAGAAGTGCCGCCGGGCGGTCGAGACAACCAGACACTTGACGAGGAGGAGCCATCCCCGAGCTGGCGGCTGACCCTGCAGCGACAGACACTCGTCCAAGTGCAGAGGATTTTGGATACTCACGTCGATGATACACTGCACGAGGAGGATTTACTGTTCGAGAACGTGTTTGAAAGCTTTGACGACGATGCTGTCGATGCCGACGACGGTGCCGACAGCGCATCAAAGAAGGTATGCCACCAAATCATCGCTACAGAGCCGCTGCCACTTCTCTGGCGCACCGGCTCGAGCTGGCATTCATTGACCGGCCTTGCCACAACCACAGGAGAAACTCTCGCGTGCCGATAGAATCGCTCTCCAGCGACAAGCACGAGCAAAACAGGTACAGCTGGGCGAGGTTGCTGCGCGACGGGATCGGGAGTCGTGTCGTTCAAATCAGCAGCAATGGCGGTGCTGCGTACACTCGCTAAACATGATTTCCAGCGACGACCTGCCGTGCGCATAGGACTGACAATCCTTCGCTTTGGCCATATATCCAGGAGGCGCAAAAGGAGCAGAAACGGGCACGAGAGCAAATGGTCATGGAGCTGAAGAACGTTCTGTTGCGACGGCCGGCGAAAACACCAATATCCAACCGCCCGGCTCAACGTGAACGCAGCGAACGCAGCGACGTCACCTCCTCTGTCGCTCCGGTCCAGCAAGTCACGCCAAGTTCTGGGCTTCGTGCTGAAGGTCTTGACGGCTCGGCTCACGGTGCCGATGTCAGCTCGACACATGGTTCCCCTATTTTGCATCCACGCGCTGGATCAGACCAAGACCCCTCCCAACAACGTCCGACATCAAGCGAATATCAAGACACCTATCGCAGTTCACTCGCGGACATGCTCGCGGCTCTGCGAACCGGGGGCACCGAGCTGCGTGCGATCGGCAGCGACGACGACGACGACAACGATACCGACATGGTCGGCAAGGACAGCGAAAACAGCGGTCGAGCGACCGAGATCGGTGATGATGGCGAAAAGGACTACGGCCCTGAGACGACCAGTGGCCTTGCGGAACCAGATCAAGCCGATGAATCCGCTCCTCACGAACAAATGCGTGGGTCTCGCGATCAAGTCTATGACCCCCTCACGCACGGTCTTCCTGACCACGATGCTTCGCGCCCTCCAGCCCAGAGCCGAGTCCAAGAATCAGTCCGGCCACCAAGACGCCCTGGTGAGAGACTTTCGACCAAGGAACGGCTCTCGAAGGCCCTTGAGTTCCGGCGCAGAGTCCCAGGAGAGCCACTTGATGGAGATCGCAGCGCGGCATCGGTGTAGAACCCGGTGAGCTTTGTCCACCTTGGCCGTCGACGTAGCTCTGCCTCCATTGGTGTGCACCAAGATGCGTGCTGACAGCATACAGTCGATCCACGATTTACACACCATCATCAGCGACTGCTGCGCATTGTTCTTTGAGAAGGCTTATATTTTGGATCGCTGGGAGGTTCGCATCTTGCTCTCGCTTCCGCATGCTTTGATTCCTGGCGAGCCAAGTTAGAGCCTTCTGAGCCCCTGTTGTTCTATCCTCCCCCCCCCCAACGTGCCGGATGCTCAGAAGATCAGAAATATGTGTAGCACTGAATCATTATTTCGAGCGGGTTCACTGCTGCTGTTGTTGTTGATGTTGTTGCTACTGAATCGTGGCCACATGTTTGAAAAAAAGGGTGTCGCTGCAGCGTCACGGGCCACCGGACCGGCCTTGGCGATAACAATCGATCCTGGCGATTCTCTAGTTCTTCATTTGTCTCAAAACAAGCTGGCGGTAGACGCCTTCGCTGCCTTCCTGCTCGCCAAGCTCCATGAGCTCCTTGTGCGTTCCGCTCTCGGCGACCGTGCCGTCCTTGATGACAACGATCTTGTCGGCATTCACGACGGTGCTCAAGCGATGAGCGATCACGACCACGGTGCGGCCCACCATCGCGCGATCGATGGCTTCCTGAACCAGACGCTCGGACTGGATTGCCGACAAACAGAACGTGGCTCCAGGTTAGCGACGGCGGAGGAGAGTACGGGCTCAACAAACCCGAGGGCACTTCGCGATCGGCGTTTGCAATCGATCAGCATGCTGTACCACTTGGCTAACAGCACGCGGTGCAATGCGCATGATGCCATCGGCAAGCGAGAAAAGTAGCGCCGACAAGTTCAAGCAGCCCCTCCCCCAGCGACTCGATTCCCACCTCAGTGTCCAGGGCGCTTGTGGCTTCGTCAAGTAGGAGGATCTTGGGGTTGAGCAGGAACGCACGCGCCAGTGCGATGCGCTGCTTTTGGCCGCCGGAAAGTCTGGAGGGAAGCAGAGCAGCGGCGGAGAAAGTGAGCGGCGGCCCGGAATGCCTGCTGGCAAAAGTTCCCACTTTTGCAAGAGGGAGGAGGGGTGCATTGCCAAGAGCAAATACAAATAAGGACCCGACTGACTGATATCAATAAATCTTACCTCAGGCCGCGCTCACCAACAGTGGTGGCGTATCCATCAGGAAACAGCGTGATGAAGTCGTGGGCGTTGGCTTGCTTCGCGGCGCTGACGATCTCGTCTTCAGTGGGAGGGCGGTTGCGGTTTTGCCATCCGTACATGATGTTGTCGCGGATGCTTCCGGAGAAGAGCACTAACCAGGGTATCCAGAACAGCGGAGCATCGGAGGGACGCAAAATCCCATGGAGAACAAGGACGAGCTGGGTTCAGCAGGGCGGAGGCGTACAGACGAGGATAGCCCTCGATCTAAGGTACGGAGCCTCTTGTTTGAGCCAAGCCAGCTGTACCCCGGCGCTCATTGTGTCCGCACTCACCAGGCTCTTGGCTGACATAGCCTATGACGCTGCGGTACCACTTGAGGTCCACGAGCTTCAGGTCGCTCATCTGGTCAAGGAGAATCTGCCCAGAGTTGCAATCGTAGAAGCGCAGGATCAAGCTCATCACAGTCGATTTGCCCTGCCCACTGGGCCCAACTAGAGCCAGCACCTTGCCGGGCTCGATCGACAGCGAGAATCCCTTGAGAACCTGGGCATCCTTGCGGGCCGGGTACTGCCATCAGGGGAATGTGCAAGGTCGCGCAGACACCGTTGAACGTCAGTATGGCAGTCATGGCAGACAACGCATGCGGCACCGGGCCATCTTTGTTCATCCCAACGAGGATGCTTGTCGCAAGGACTCACCGTGAAGCACACGTTTTTGAAGTCGATTCGGCCGCTGAAGCGCGAGAGTGAGATGCCTCCTTCACTTGGAATGGCAGGCACGCGATCGAGGATCTGGAAAATGCGCTGGCTGGCTCCGATGGCCTGCATGAAGTCGCCAAAGAGACCCGAAATGACACTGAAGGACATTGCCAAGGTGAGGGTGTAGAGGAGCTGGTGGCAAAGAAGGAAACATGCGGCGAGTCAGTAAAGCACCAGAGTCAAGTGCTGTCCAAAACGCCAGGCAGCGGCGGTGCATTTGCCATGGGATCAGTGCGGGCCCATTCACCCGCCCCCGCTGTCAGAACGATGCATACAAACGAGGTCAGGAGTCCGCCGGTGATCTCGCCCGACATGACCATGACGCCTCCGTAGTAAAGCACGATAGCGATGACGCCTTGGGGAAGGAGTCCGATCAGTCCTGTGAACACGGCCTGTTTTGCAAGATTGAATACGCACGCGGTTAGACCACCACCACTGCCGTTTAGACAGCGAGTGCGTGTTCGATAGCTATTGCGTGTTCGATAGCGAGTGCGTGTTCGATAACGAGTGCGTGTTCGATGGCTATTGCCGGTTTGACAGCTCGTGCCAAGGGTGTCTCTCTCTGGCATCCGCGTCTGACATATCTGCACCCATACCTGTCCAAAGGTAATTTGAACTCCCACGCGATGGGTCTCTTCGACAGCCTCGCTGTACCGACGAGACTCGCTGGTCTCCTTGGCAAAAGAACGGACGATCCGGATCTGGCTGATGACCTATTCGTTCAGGCGATCGAATGGCAAGTGTCGAGTCAGCGATACACGCAATCGAGATACACACCCAGTACTCATTGAAACCCTCGCCGCGGCCGTGTCGTTCAAGATGACAGCGCCGATACCTCTTGAGCGATGGATCCAGTGAGCGCGAGTTTGTCCTGGAACTTTTCCTGTATATCGCCAATATAGTCTCCGTAGAACCGAGCCCCGATGGCTACGACTGGGACGACTGTTTTTGGGCGAAGCATGGTTTCGTTAAATGTCTAGACAGTAACGAGCACCAGGCTCGAACATTCATAAGTCGGTCCGAGCAGCTACGCAACGCGCCAGCACACGGTCGCTTACTTGCGAGCATGATCAGGGTCAGCTTCCAACTGAGGGTAAACAGAATAATCATCGAGCCGACGGCCTGGACGAGGAACCGGACCAACATCGAGATGTTGACCGTGAGCCCGTTCTGGAGACACTGTGTGTCGTTGGCGAGGCGAGTGGTAAGCTCGCCCGTGTCCGATTCGTCAAAGTAGGCGATTTCCTGGGCGATGATGGCGTTAAAAGTTTGGATACGCAGGGACTTGACAATCCTGTAGCCGATGAGGGTGAAGTAGTATGCGCGAATAAAGCCCGCAATGGCGCCGACGACAAAGACGATGACGAGCTCGAGCATGATGCGATTCAAATCCGAGCCGCCACGGGAGACGGTGTCCACAACCTGGAGGAGAAACGAAGGCGTGGCAGCTGTCAAGACGAGGAACAACATGGCAGCGGGAGGTGCGATGGTGATTTCGACTTGGCCGACCAGCAGAAACGTCGACGGTGAGTGTATTCGTGATCAAGACCGCAGCTGCGTTTCGACACAAAGCACGCACCCGTCCAAAGTAGTCGGGAATGAGGAGCGAGGTGCCGCTGTTGATCAAGAGGTTGATGAGCGCCCAGATCATGAGTCCCTGCGTGGTGTCGAGTGTTGGGAGGTGAGGGTGGTCAGCTCGGACGCGACTTTGCCGTCATCGGAGTGCTCATCTATCGCCGCCCGAGTGGCATCGCTCAGATGCCCCGACAGACTTACCATGTCCGGGTACAGCAACCGACCCAGGCGCTTCCACGGAATGCTCTTGGCCGGAGCCGTGTTGGTCTCGAGGGTGATCTGGCCGGATGGCTCGCTGACGCGCGGCGTCACAAGGGCATAACGCAGGCTCAGGAACAACGAGGTCAGGGTGTGGACGACAAAGAGCGAGATGAAGGTGGTGGCCCAGACGAGCGGAAAGTCGATCACTTCCGGGTCTGAGATGACCCGCCACCACTTGAATGCTGCATAGAGGGTGAACAGCGTCAGGATGGTGCCCGTGGCGATCTTGCGGACTCTGAGGGGCGCCTGCACGAGGCTGGCAGCGGCGATGAGGATGGCGGCCTTGGCGAGCGACAAGACGGGAATGTCCAGGATGGTTTCGGAAAAAGCACGGCCTTCCAGGAACAAGCTCCATGCGTGAGAGACGTAGACGGCAAAGTTGCCGGGATTGAAATCGCCGTCGCGCAAGGAGGTCTGGAGGAAGAGCAGGAGCCAGAGCAGCACGGGCTCCGAGAAGATGAGGATGTGCAGAGAGTCGAACATGGCGTGGGAGAGCCGATGGCGAGTCGATAGTGAGATGGAGAGCCGAGAGAGAGCCGATGGAGTAATAGCAACGGCGCTCTGCAGTGGCAGACGAGACAATCACAGGGGTGCTCAGAGACTACGGCCGGGACTGCGATCGCCGCGATCGCCGCGATGGCTGCTATTTGAATGCAGCCCGGGGCGGCGCCCCGCCCGCACGGCAGAGTGGGATTGGGATGGGATTGGCGGCCGCCGATATCGGACCTGCGGAGATCCTTGGCGCTGGGGCCGCAGAACATGCCCGCAGAGCATGCCCGCAGAACATGCCGACGGCAGTCCTTGGCATCGGGCCGTTGCTGGTGGAACAAGCATACGATGGTTCCGAGATGTTCTTTGGGGCGCTGCCAAGAAACCTGCATTGCATTAGCATTGCATTTGCCCTTGCATTTGCCCTTGCAGCAGTGACACCCCCTGAACCCGTCCTGGTTTTGCCTTGGAGATCAAGTCGCCGCCATCGGGCCGGCCCGCTCGGCAGGCGGCTTTTCTCTGGGACCATCCACGTCCGCAAGGTGCATGAATGAGCCTGAAACCTGCTCTCCGCCGGCTCGTTGGGACGCTCCCTAACCAACTCGGGCCTGCCCGCTATCCGCTTGTCCCCGCTGCTGCCGCTGCTCTCCGGACCAGATCCGCTTTCCTTCTTCCTCACACATCGCGCTTCCATTCCTCGGCAATGTCTGGCGACGAAAGGTGAGTCGACCAGCGATCGTTCAGGCGTGCAGCCAGACGCAGCGTGCTCTGGCCAGAATAATCATAGCCGCCGAGCACATCGGGCAGCTGTGATCCTTGGCTGCTTCCTCGACAGGGATCATCCCAGCCGAGATCTTTCCCAAGAGTCGCCTGTAGATTGCGTGGGGGAGAGTCGCAGACCTGGGCCAGCCAAAACATGCCACGCTGTCCGTTGGCCGGTCTTGGCAGCCGCTCTCCAGGCTCGGTGTGGAGCCGATGAACCGATGGGGCCGCTAATCGTCGGGCCTTGATTTAGTGACGAAAAGCGACGAATCCGCATCTACACCCGCACCGGCGACAAGGGCACCTCTGCGCTCTATACGGGCGAGCGCCGTCCCAAGGACGACCAGATCTTTGAGGCCCTTGGCACGACCGATGAGCTGACAAGCCATCTGGGGTGAGGGTCTCGGCTGCTGCTTATGCTTCGATGGTCGAGGAGCAGACCTGCCAAACTGGGTTCGGACCAAACAGCGGCGGCTGACTAGATGCTCGCTTACCCGCTGTTTCCCAGCTTGGCCCATCATTTTTGCGTCAAGACCGACAACGGGCTTGCAGACAAGCTTGTCAAGGTGAGCACTCGGAACCAGGAGCCGTGCGGCATCCATCCAGTCCCAGAGGATGCCGAGCGAGCCTTCCGTTCTGGCCCAGGGCACTAGGCACCCAGCACTGCGATAACCATTGCACACTCAGATGCTGACTCTCGCATCATCGGGCGAACGTGCATCTGCCGAGCATAGATCCAGTGCCTGTTGCAAGATATTGGTTCCAACATCGCGACCCCGAGGTCGAAGGCATCCGAGTTCAAGCTGTGTAAGCCATGAGGAGCAGCCATGACGCATGATCGAGGGAGGTTGTTGAGAGACAGGCATGAGCTGGTCGAATGACGACGAGTCTACCCACGGCACCGAAGACTGCGGAGGTATAGCGCCCCGATTGCTCAGAGACTAAGCGCTGCGGCTGTTTCCCCCCTCCGTTGTCTACCTCCATTTTTTCTGACAGCCAAGACGTCGTTTGACGTCAACGGCGAATTGGTCAAGGAGCTCGAGTCCTGGATCGATCAGCTCGATAACTCGCTGGAGCCTCTGACCCAGTTTATTCTGCCGGTATGTGCTTCATCTCTGATTTCTCATTGCCGGATGTTTCGCCATCCAAGAGTTGCTCCTTCGCTGACGATATACTTCATCTGTATGAAATGCCATTCTTTGGTGATGGACTGTATCCACGCCTGCCTCTCGTTCCCCCCCGGAAACCGCTGGCGTCGCCACGATCGCACACTGATTTGACGAATGCCCGCATCCGTTGCCTCTGACTACCAAGTCTGGAGGCGAAGCCGCCTGCCATCTCCAAATCGCTCGCAGTGTGTGCCGCCGAGCCGAGCGCCGAGTCGTCCCGCTGGTCGAGCAAGGCATCGCCGATGCCAGCTGCGCAAAGTATCTCAACCGCCTCTCTGACTTTTTGTTCACCGCCGGCCGCTTTGCTGCCAAGCACGACGGCGCCACCGAGACCATCTACAAGAGCATGACGAGCTTCCAGGCGGCCAAGTAATAACCCAAACTTGGGTCCTCGTGTGTTTGGATCTGGAACGGGTTGCATGGCTCCCGCAATTCCAGTTCACCTCGACAAATTGACCGAAATACATCCATGATAGGCCGTCAGCGATGCGACTGTGTGATGGCGGCGGGAGAGCTTCAGATCCGAGGTGCCCACCAGCGATATGGGTGGATCTGGGATGGCGAGAGAGAGGAGCAGCGATGAGCAAAAAACCAAAACAAAAATACCGTGACAGTGGTGGGGTTCGAACCCACGCGTCCGGAGACATTGGTGCCTAAAACCAACCGAGTAACCACTTTCGTACACTGCCGACGATGGGGCAGAAAATTTTGACAATATGAGCTCAACTGGCTGGCAGCACACGTGACCCGGACTGTGCGAACGACGATGTTTGTTCGATCGGATTCGGTGTGATGTCCCGATCCGCACATGTGCTTGTGCATGTCCCCAACACCCCGCTGCCATCTGGCGGTGCTCTGGGACGAGAATATGAGAAATCTCAGCGCCAGGGTGTCGCCGATCACGATTCATTGGGCATCACGGGACGACAAACACTGCGAGCATGAACATTCACAGTCCAAGTGGGACGATGGGCATGCTCGCCAACGATCAAATGCGAGTGAGGTGCGGCAAGAACAAGGGGGAGGGGCGCTACGAAACAAACGCAGTTCCAAACAGAGCAAATAAAGTCAGCATCAATAGATAAATGGTAGAGCAAAGGGCAGCGGCGGCGATAGGTGGGGGAGTAGAAGGGGAGAGGCGAAGGGATAGAGAAAGGAAAGGAAATCAAGGACCAGAGAAAACAGCGGAGCTCCATCGTAGCATCGGGGGGGGGACAAGCAGAGTGTGTACAGGAAAGTGAGGGATGAGTGTGCTGGGCATGTGATGTGGAGCAAACGTGTGCGTGCGGCGGGATCGAGAATGCACATGAAGTGGGCTCGGCTGCCGCTCTAGTTGGTGGCCTCGAAGACGGGGACGCCCTGGGACACCGAGGCCGGGACAATCAGACGGCCGCCCATCAGAGCCTCTGACAGAAGCATGCGCTCCTCAAAGATGTGCTGCTTCTTGATACCCGTGGAGGGGGCGGCGGAGAAGTCGCGGCCGGCATAGCGCACCAGGCGTCCGCCACGGAAGGACTTGGCCTCGCCCTCCTTGAGCTCGCGGGCGTTGGTCAGACCTCCGGCGACGCGCTGGGAGTCGAAGCGGTCGACCCAATCGCGGCCCTTTGTTTTGGGTTTCGAGGTCACAGCATGGGCAGGAGACACGGTGACGGGTTGAGGCGAGTCCGCAGAGGTAGAGCCGCCAAAGATGCGGGAGAACAGCGAGCGGTTGTCGGTCGGCGGGTGGGATTCAGCAGAGGGCGAGGGGGAAGGAGATACCTGCATTAGTGATGCATTTGATGGTGGCGACCGTCGAGTTTGATAGTGCGTGGGGTAATCAGACGATTGTCACTATGGTGCATCTGTTGGGCACTCGCAGCCGACAGGCGACCATCTGTGCAGCCCAACTCTGCTCGAGCACGCAACACAGATGCCCAGGCCGACACAAGCACCGTCCAAGATCATCGGCCCCGGAACCGGTGGGCTCAACTTACCAGGTCGCTCTTGTACCAGTCGGTCTCACGGATGGCAGTCTCGAGTCTGGGCTCAACAAAGGTCCAGGAGCCGCTGTTGGCAGCCTCCTCCTGGCACCAAACAATCTCCTTGAGCGACGATCCGTACGAATCGACGACCGCCTTGACCTCCCAGAAGGGGAAGGGCGAGAGCTGCTCCAAACGGACGATGGCAATGTCGCGGAGGTTGTTCATGGCACGGGTCTTGAAGAGCTGGTAGTAGACCTGGCCAGAGCAGAAGATGATGGTCTTGATCTGGTTGGGGGGCAGCAGCGTGAAGCTGTCGCTCTTGACGGTGCCGGTGGCGACTCTCTCAACCTGAGGCGGGTACTGGGCGTCCGAAACGAGGGCAAGGGGAACACGGGGCTCGACGTTGTTGCCAGAAGCAACAAACGGCTCGCTCTGCTGGGCGTTGGCGTTATCAAGGTCGACGAGAGGGTTAGGGTGTAGGACCTCGGGAATGACACGCTGGAATCGAGTACCAGGGCCCATCTCCTCGATCGAAGACTTGGCCAGGGGGTGGCGGAGGAGAGCCTTGGAGGCAAAGACGATGAGCTGGAAGGGACAAGGTGTCGAATGTTAGTGCCAGGGAGACGATGCCGACGAGAGCGGCCTTTGCAAGGCAGCAGACTGGACCAAGGGTGGGCTATGGGTGCTTACCGGCTTGCGGAACTCGCGATGGACCTGGCGACGGAGCACGTGGAAGTAGTTACTGGGAACAGTGGGGTAGACAACCTGCATGTTGCAGTCCTGATGCTGGCGCGAGTAGCTGCCCTTGGTGATGCCGTGGCGGTCGGGCATCTTGTAGGGATCTTCGTCGATGAGCTGCAGGTAGCGCTCGATGCGGGCAGATGAGTGTTCGGGGCCTTGTCCATCGTAGCCGTGCGGCAGCAGCATGGTCAGGCCGGTGCGCTGGGAGCAGGAAGGCAGCAGTTGTCAGTCCCCAGGACGCTAAGTGGGGCACGGCCGAGGCAGAGGCAAACACGTCCCAAGACTAGGATACCAACCTGGAGCCACTTTTGCTCGCCAGAAGAAATGAACTGATCGATGATGCACTGGGCGTTGTTGGCAAAGTCACCGAACTGGGCCTCCCAGAGGATGAGCTGGTTGGCCTTGGCCATCGAGTAGCCAAGCTCGAAGCCGAGAGTGCCGAACTCGGAGAGCGACGAGTTGCAGACGGTGAAGTGGCTTTGAGTGGACACGGTTTTTCCGTCAGCCAGATTGTTAAGAGGCACGTGCAGATAGGTTTCCTGGAGAGAAGCGATGATTAGTCAGGCAGATGAGTGCGGGTGCGTGGAAGTGCATGCGAGCATGTCGGGGTGCAGTGGGATGTGGCACAGAAGGCGAGTTTGATTGGATTGGGGGGGGGATCGAGATCGAGGTGCTTACGTTGTTTTGGTCGTGCAGCAGGGCGTGACGCTGAGAGAAGGTGCCACGCTCCACATCCTGGCCAGAGAGACGGACGTGGTTGCCCTCGGCGAGGAGCGAGCCAAAGGCCATGCTCTCGGCGGTAGCCCAGTCGATGCCCTCGCCCTCGATAACACTCTTCTCACGCTGCTTCAGAATCTTGGCAAGGTTCGAATGAGGTGTAAAGTCCGAGGGGTAGGAGGCCGCAGCGGTTCCGATAAACTTGAGTATCTCATAGTCCAGACCAGTGGCCTTGGAGGGAACGGTCTCGGCGGCAAGCTCGGCGGGAGCCTTCATTCCTGTTACAGCGGCAGCGGCACGATGTCAGCACGCCAGCACGCCAGCACGCCGGCACGATACAAACACCCTACACACAATTGTGCTCCAACTGGGGGGAGGGATCGCCAGCGCGCATATTCCTGCACATCTATGTGATCCGTGCTCTGCTTCGCGGGGGTTTACCTGGCCAAGCGGAAGAGACCCACTCCTGGCTTTTGGGCTGGTAGGTCTTGCTGGCGGTGTAGTTGTCCTCGAGAATGTCCCAGACGCGGGTCTTCATGGCATCAACAACCTCCTGAGTGATGGAGCCCTCGGCGATCAGCTCGCGGCTGTACTTGGAGATGACAGGCTCCATCTTGGCGATTTTCTGAGGGGCACCGGCAAGTCGGAGATCAGAATAAACAGATCCAGAGCTAGAGAGGGAAGCCGGCGTGTCTGTCCAGGGCGACCTGGAGTTGAGCACCTCCTTGCAATCGGACTCTGGGGCCCGCTCTGGACGATGGCCACGCAGGACAGAGCACTACACACGCACCTGGTACATCAGAGGCTGGGTGAATTGGGGCTGGTCGACTTCGTTGTGGCCGTGTTTGCGGTAGCAGACAATGTCAATGACAACGTCCTTCTTGAAGGTGGCACGCCAGTCGGCAGCAAGTTCCATGGCATAGACAACAGCCTCGACGTCGTCGCCGTTGACGTGGATGATGGGGGCAGCCACAGTCTTGGCCACGTCAGAGCAGTAAGGAGTGGAGCGGGCGAAGCGGGGATCCGTGGTGAAGCCGATCTGGTTGTTGACAATGATGTGGATGGAGCCGCCGATCGAGTAGGCGGGCAGATCCGAGAATCCGAGGGTCTCGTAGACGACGCCCTGGGCAGCAAAGGAGGCATCACCGTGGAGGAGAACAGCCAGCGACTTGGAGCGCTCGGCCTCATCGTCCTCATAAAACTGAGTGGCACGGACCTTTCCGTGGACAACGGGGTTGACGGCCTCCAGATGCGAGGGGTTGGCCACGAGCGACAGCTCGACCATCCGGCCGGAGGGCGTGGGGCGGGTGTATCTCTGAAGCCATCGAAAAAATGGGGAGTGGTCATCAGTATGCAGCCTCGTGTGGGTCAGGCCAACTTGTGTACCAGGCCAGAGTACTGTCTGCTCGTTGGATATGACGACGCTGCTTACCATGCCAAGATGGTACTTGACATCACCGGAGCCCTCGACGTGGTTTCCGCCAGAGCCGGCAAACTCGCAAAAGATGGACTGGTTGGGCTTGCGGACGACGTTGGACAGGACGTTCAGACGGCCACGATGGGGCATGCCCATGACGACGCTGTTGACGCCGTTCTCGACGGCGCGGTCAATCAGGGCCTTCATGCCAGGAATGAGCGACTCGCAGCCCTCGAGACCGAATCGCTTCTCGCTGGGGTACTTGGTGGCGACAAAGTGCTCAAAGTTGTGGGACCACATCAGACGGTCGAGGATGACTTGCTTGCGCTCCTTGGAATACGTGTATCGGTTGGGGACCTCGAATCGCTGGCGCAGCCAATCGCACTGAGTGCGATCGGAGATGTGGCCATACTCGATGGCAATGGTCGAGGCTGCCGAGATGGGGTGCCGAGATGGGGTGCCCACGACGTTGGGAAAGTCATCACGGAATGGAAGGCAGCATCAGTGCGCAGGAACATTGTCCCACAGGAGCGGGCCCGGTGCCGATCGGAGCGACACGATTGGGTGCACGGGCAGATACAGGACTCGCCGCATGCGCAAGCTATTGCTTCAGCCAAGCCAGCTGAGGCATCCGACACCAAGCGATCCTCGGCTGTATCAGACATCATCACACAAGACAAGGCCGGACGGTGCTGGTGACATACCATAAGTAGCTTTGAGAGCATCAATGATCTGGCGGAGGGTCATCTTCTTGCGCTCGCTGGTGATGAAGCGGGGCAGGATACCAGAGCCTGTCGAGAGAGGAGCGAGGTGTTATGAAGATAAGCTCGTTAGGAGGCAGAAAGGGGGGGGGCAAATCCGAGGTGCGAGACCACTGGTGGTATCGACGAGCAGGCATATGCAGAGGGGGGGGGAGTTGAGACTGACCCAGGAAGAATTCGCGATCCAGGTCCTTCTCAGTGAAGCCATAGGTGCTGTAGTCGAGCTCGGGGGCGTGCTGCTGGGTTTGTCCGATTTCGAGAGGGTCGAGATTGGCGAGGTGGTGGCCACGAATCTGCAAATCACGGCGTTGTCAAGGTAGCCGTGACCAAGAATATCGATCAGTATGCGGGCTCGGACGGAACAGAGGCCGCGGCGATGGTTATGGATACAGCGCCAGCTTGTAGCACTGGCGGGACACAGAGAGGCGATGGCAGAGGGCATGCAGCACAGGGCATCCCGGTGGGCCACCGACATCGCCAGCGCGCGACAGCTGGCCCCGGCGTGTCCGGACCAGGCCGGGAGGAGCAACAGCAGGGACAGACCGCGTCCGTCCTGCCCAGCCAAGGCATTACCTGATAGGCGCGAACGAGCAGCTGGACCTTCATGTGGTCCATGATTTCGTCCTGGGGAACGTTGCCAAACTCGGAGCCGCTATGCAGCGAAGCGGTGCCGTCGGTGCCAAGGATGTCGGTGCTCGATCCAGAGCCCGGGATGATGTTGGGCGGGGCAATGAAGGCGGGGAGGCCAGCACCAGACTCCTTGAGGTTCTTGAAGTAGACCTGCCAGGACAGGTGGACCGACTTTGGATCTTGCAGCCAGGCGCCGTACATCTCCTCGATATATGAGGCGGAGGATCCGTTCAAGAAAGTGTCGCTTTGGGAAAGCTGAGCAGCGGCTGTTGAGGTGTGGAAGGCCATGGCGGCGACGGGACGGTGGAGCGAGGCCAAGGTGGCATTGCGGAGGGTCGAGGGCTTGCGAAGCGGGGAGCGGACGCCCTGGCGCAGCTGCGCGATGGCAAACTTCGATAGAGAAGACATGGGAGGGGGGGATGCTCTATGGGAAGGAATAAATAGAGGATGGGGAGAAGGGTCGATGGCCAGAAGGGCTGGGAAGGCGCCGGCAGACAACAGGGAGATAAAGGCCGATCGCTCTGGGACGATCTGCGGTGGCCGTCTGCGTTTTTGCATTTGCGCGACGGCTTATGTAAGCAGCCGGCGAGACGAGAGCGCGGCGAGAGCGTGGCGGGAGCGTGCTTCTCGCTGCGAGTGCTGCGCAGCGTGTCTCGACACATCCACAGCCAAACGCCTCCACAGACACAGCCGCAGACACGGCCGCAGACACGCGCCACCGCGGGTTTGCCTGCGTCCTCTGTGTGCTCTCGCTGGGCCCGCGCGCTCCTCGCTTGCCCACATTCGGCAGCTGGTTGCCTGTTTTGGCGGTCGCCACCGAGAGCAGCCGAGAGCAGCCCGAGGACATGCAGCGAGAGGCCGGGTTGCACACACACACGCGCATGCGGCCGCGACGCTGATTGGCCCGAGAAGCGGCTGCGCTCTGACACTGCCATCCGTCCTGGTCCGCCAGACGATGACGCCACCACCACGAGCACAGCGACGACACATCGCAGGCACCTCCCCCACCACACAACTGCCAGGCCATCCCGGTCACGGTGTGGGCTGACCCGTACTTCTTCTGCCACGGTCAGAAGGGAGTACTGCCCTCAGATGTCGCCGACAGCTTGCGCATGTGTATTCGATCGGATCCTTCTGCGGCTGGGCAAAGATGCGCGTTTCCGGACAGCACCATTTCCCACGTCGGTGCTGATCGATCGCAATCGCTGGTCGCAGCAAGCCTCTGTCCATCACACCTTCTCTCCCACGCCAAGCCTCTTCCTGCTGGAGTGGGAATTGACAGCGCCTTGGCCGCAGAACATCTGCCGACACTGCATAGTGCCGCTTACTTCTTCTTGCCCTTGGATTTCTTGCTCTTGCCCACGACGACAAACTTGTTGCCTGTGTCAAAGCCTTCGAGGTTGGCTGGGCCACCAAGAGTCACGCCCTGGTTGTTGGCGCTCACGCCAACGGTGTTCCAGCCGGCGGAATCGGCAAGGGCGCCGCTCGCCTGCTCGATCTTGCGGCGTCTCTGAAACTCCTCGGCAAACTTGCGGGGGTCGATTGCGGTGAGTCCACCGAGGGTGTCGTCGCAGATCGAGACCACGGTGGCCGTCTCGTTGGTCGGAATGGAGAGGAGGATCTGGACAAAGTCCTCCACTGCAGTTGATTTGGCGCAAGTGTCGTGAGTGTGGTTCGTGTGCACCATTGCAGCAAGCGTGGTGACATTATCGTCGTTTCCGGCGTCGAGTGATGGAGGTTGCGACAGCAGTTTCGATGGACACAGGATTGCATGGCATCAGAGAGAGCATCATCCGGCGGCGAGTACAAGTGGGGGAATCGGTAGAGCGATGCGTCAGAATGCTAGTCTCAAGGAAACGAGACAACGGATGGCGCCATCGGTGATCGCCTGGCGACATGAATGCAACACCCAGCGCATCTCGTTCGATAACCACGACTCACCGTTGACGCCGGCAGTGGTGCTGCTGTCGAGAGGACGGAGAGCCGAGCGACACCACTGCAAGAATTCATTCTTGTTGTTGCGGGGGCCTGTGCTGGCCGGAGCAACTTGGGAGGGGCTGGTCTTGGGAACCTGCACCGATGAGGCTATCTTGGTGGCCACGGACACAGTGGCGGCAGGGGCCGTGTTGGATCTGTGTCGAGGTTACCCAAGAGCAGGATGATCAGTACATCGGATCGCAAGGCCGTAGGCAGTGATGGAAATACACCCTGTCCAGACGCAGTGTTGGTCTGGCAAGGATCGGCTCTGAATCTTACCGGGTGATCGGGGAGGCCTTAACTCCGACGACATTCCAGCCCTTGGTGTCACTTGAGGCAGGGCTGCTGGTGTTGGAAGCTGCGGTCGCTGGCTTGACGCTGGCGGCCAGGGTGGCGGGGCTGGCGACCTTTGGGAACGGAACGGTTTTGGCAGCAGCGGCAGCACCACCCCAGGCAACGCCGCTCGAGGCTACGGTGGTGGTCGTTGTGGTGGTAGTCGCACTGAAGATGGAGGTGGTGGTGGTGCCTGCGGCAGCTGTGGCGGTGTATCGTCTGCCGAGACTCTGCTCGCCGCTCTGGCTCTTGCGCTCCATCTCGCGCTGGCGCTCTTGCTCTTCTTCCTGCATGATGTCTGCAAGGGTCTTGGACTGCTTGGCGGCGCTGGAGACAGACCGGGGGACAACGCCCCAGCCCTTGCCACCGGAGGTGTTAGAAGCGCCAAAGATACTCTGGTAGGCCTGTTCCTGTTGCTCCTGGTACTGCAGCTGTTGTGCTTGCTGGATGATCATCTGCTCGGCAAGGCGAGCCTGCTCACGGGCGCGCGCTTCGTGCTCCTGCTGCTCCTTTTCCTGGATCTCCTTCAACGACAGCTTGGGCTTCTCAGCTGTCGCCCAGGCAAGAGGGGCGCTGGCCTTGGCCTGAGGCTCACGCTGGCGCTCCTCGCGCTCCTTGGTTTCGCGCTGCTTCTGCTGGGCAAGGCGCTCCTCGAGTTCCTTCTTGTGCAGGGCCTCTTGTTCCTGGATGATCTGACGGAGATCGACAGCAGGGGTGGTTTGGGCAGCAGGCGATGCCGGCGCGGGACTGGCGGGGGCAGCGTTCGGGGAGAGTGGCGACGAGGCGTTGAGCTGCATCGATGCTTTCTTGGCGAGACGCTCCTCCTTCTTTTTCTTGGACTTGGAGATGGGTGCGGTCGGGACAGGGGCCGGGGCCGGGATGGCGACTTCGGGGGCCTCGCCCTGGATCGACTTGGCAGGTGACTTGGAGCGGTTGCGCTTGACTAGGCTGGAAGAACGAGATCGGGGCTTTGCAGTCTCCTGGACAACAACGGGCTCTGGCTCTGTCTCGAGTTCGTGCTCGGGCTCGTACTCATCCTCGTGCCCACGCTCGTGCTGTTCGAATACCACCGGCTCCTCAGGAGCGGCTTCGTCGATTTGAGAAGCGGCGGCCTCCTCTTGGGTGGCTTCAGGCTCGGCAGGCTCGGCAGGCTCGGCAGGCCCGGGAGCAACTTGCGCCGCAAACCTCTGTTGAATGGGTCCCGCCGGAACCGGGGGCTGAATAGGCTCAGCAAAGGATGGGTTGACGGGCGCAGTGGGCTTTGGCTCTGGAGCAGCAGAGGGCACGGGCTCGCGGGTCTCGTTGTAGAACTGCTGAGGGGTATTTGCAAAGTGGCTCTGGAGCGGATGACCGCCCGCGACACCAAGATGGAGATACGAGTTGGCATCGGCTCGGCCGCCGGGCCACAAAGGATTGAGCGCGGCAGATGGGTCGGCCCATCCGTAGCCTGTGTTGATGGGGATGCTGTCATTCGGGTTGCCAAAGAGCGGGTAGCGGCCGCCCATGCCCGTTGCAGCGGCTCCGTAGGGCATGCCTCCCATCAGGGCCGAGGGCCCACGATATCCACCATAGGACCCGTATCCAGGGTCGTTGACGAGCGGGTTGAAGGGATCGGCGCCCGCACCGTAGGGCTGATATTGCTGGCGCAGCATCTGCTGCTGGCGCGACATGTGGAAGAGTCGCTCGGCCTCCTCAAGCTCGACAAAGAACGGGGCTTCATGGCCATAGACCTGGATGATCGTCGAGAGGAGTTCCCAGCCATGGTCGGTAACACGCTTGACAGGCAGATGAAGGTCGAAGTATCCGCCGCGGTACCAGGTGTGCATCTCCATGACGGAAAACGGGCCTGCAAGGGGCGGTGGAGCGGTGAGACTTGGAACACAGACATGATCATCGAGCTGATCTCGATCCTGATGGCTGGCAGTCAGCCTGAGCGCACACCCGCACTACCGACTTCTCCATGCACTGTTTCTCTCGGAGGGAAGGCTGATGTTGTCCATCCGCTCGCCAGCCGCATGTTCTTCGTCGCCGACAACCGCAGCATTGCCACTTACCCTGGACGTTTCCGTTGGGATCCTTGTATTGCCAGGCCGTCGGGGCAAAGGTTGCGGCAACGACGGGAGGCGTGAGAGATGCGGGCGGCTCTGGCTTGGATCCAACTGAGCGAGGGCTGTTAACGGCCGAGTTGCCCAGCACAGGCGTGTGCCGAGATTCAAGCGTGAGGCTCGACGTAAAGCTGGCGCTGATACCACCGGGATCGGGCCCCACAGCGACGGCAGGGCTCCCGGCCGCACCCAGTCCTGGATCTGCAGCGGCACCGGCTCCTGGGGTCGTGCCAGCCCAGGATGGCTGGAGCAAGTTCAAATAATTGGCCGGAGCCGGTGCCGGGGCCGGAGCCGGAGTCGAAGCTGCAGCGAGTCTGTCGGCCTCGGGCTTGGCTCCTTTGATCCAGGGCTGGTCAAACAGATTGGCATACTTGGAAGCCGGTTGGCTCTGGGTGGGGTTCCAGAGATCTGGCATTCGTCTGTTGGCAGCAAGATTCTGCGAACCGGGCCCGGCCGCATTGGGATCCAAGTCCTCGGGATCGGCAAAGAGAGGCTTGCCGTCCGGTCTGGATTCTTCGGACACACCGTGCCCAGCTGCCTTGCCGGGAGAGGTGCTTATTTTGGCCAAGAACGTCCCGGCACCATGTGCAGCCGACTGGGACTGCGTGGGAGAAGGGTTCAGAGCCGTTAGATACATTCATTCTCAGTGGGACTGCAGAAGGCGGAATTGTGATCCGAGCAAGGCATATGCATGCCAACGATCGGCATGGGCGGCAGCAGTCGGGATCGTCGCTCGCCATAGGGCTGCACAGTTTGCTTACCGCAGCGTCTGGGCCCTTGCCAAAGACTCCGTCGGCGCTAAAGTTGCCGATGCCTCGAGGGGTGTCCCACATGTCTTCTGCAGCTACGGCTCGGCCATCGTCGGCAATGGTAGCAGAGCGCGTGTTTCCTAGAGTCAACCAAAGTCGGTGCATTCCCGAGACAACCATGAAAAAGCCGTGCAGAAACCGTGCAGAAGCCGATCGTCACCCGGATCGTGCGAGATTTGCATCGATGCAGTGGAATTAGCGATGGTCTGGGCTTAGCCCCGGAAAGAATGGACTCTGATCCACCACAGATACAGCCGATCTGCGACAGCTCGCTCGTGTTGGTCCTAGTCCGGCGGGTTGCATTCGTCCACCACGCTGCAACACCGGGCTCGCACTTACGACGGGGTCCGGCCGACGAGGGCCCGTTGAGGGAGCCGTGGCGAACGGGTCTGGTGCCTCCGTCCTTTGGGTCACTGCGAGGATGAGTGAGGCGCCTGACTTCGCTGTTGATGGATGGCAACGACAAGAGCTGGCATCCACAAGTGCAAGAAGAGCGATTAGCGAGCGAAGTGAGGTTGGGCGGCGATCGGCAGGAGCAGAACGCAGTGACCGACAGAAGGCAGTGTGTGCACCGCACACCAAGCCGACTCGCCGTCGCTCCACCCATCCCGCCACCACCTGCCCGTCGCAAGCAGCAGCAATTCAACACGACGGCGAGTCCGTCGGAGCAGTTTTTCGCAGGCTCGAAAGCCCCGCAGACGGACGGCGGCAGCGGGTCAGCCAGAAGCTCACACCCCGATCGCCCTTGCCAAGGGAGGGACGGGCGGCGGATGCGGTGGTGACAAACCTTTTTCTCCTGATCGCTCAAAGGAATCGAGTCCAGCGGAGCGAGGGCCTCGGCCGAGGTGATGGTGTCATACTGTTCGAACGAGTCTGGGATGGGGGCAACTGGATTGAACAACCCGATGATAAGCTCGCGGGAGTAGCGCAGCTTATTCACGTCGCTCTGCTCCCAGTCGTCTGGCTCTGGCTTTGCGTCCAGAGCAGCGGATCTGGGAGGGTTGTGGGAGGCTCCCCAGGCCCCTCCCCCGCCCGCCTGGGCAGGGATGGAGCCGAGTCGGCCTCCGTCCAAGGGAGTAGTTTTACGCATCCTACACAGCGTTGTTGTGGAGCAAGGGAAGGCATGAGGAGAGGAGCAATGCCGATCTGGACAAGACATCCGGAGATACACGGTGGCTGAGACGTAAAGACGAGTGCGCTCAACTGGTGGCTCAGCTCTACTGAGCCACCACACAGGTCGTCGAGCATCTTCGGGACATGGAGCAGAGATCGGCGGGCGATCGAGAAAGGGTATCACTCAAGGCGAGTCTGGCCGACCGACTCCGTCCGGCCATCCGCCGGCTTCCAGACAACGACACCAAGCGCCTCGAGCCAGGGAGCCAGAGGCACGTTGACTCGCCCGGGAGAGGGGAGAAAGAAAGAGAGAGTTGCGAAGACATCGCAGGGATTCGGAGCCGATTCCAGGAGGGGAGCGGGTTGCTCAACGCAGGCAGATGGATGTGCTGGGTCCGATGTTTCACGGCCGATCGGCCTGCACTCGTTTTGCAGTATTGGCCATGTACAAACACAGGGGCGCGACAGGACCGAGCACACACAACCAAAGAGAGGATCCAGGACAGCGCATCGCCAGATGAATAGATGTGGGAAGGAGGCAGGGGCGGTGGATCAAGGGCAGATGGAGGAGATTTGATCGAAAGCACACGCTGATCGACGACCAGGCGAGCGCTCCAGCAGCACAGACGTACCATTCGGGACCAAAGTTGAGACCAGACATTTCGGAATTGCGACTGGGGGGAAGACTGGCGGGGAGATCGACAGCAGGTGCGAGCGGCGGCTGATATCGCGGGACAGCTGGAGGAGCCTCTGGCAGCGGGACTGGAGCGGCACCAACGGGGGTAATTGCAGATTTTGCAACGGAGGAGCGAAAGCCAAGAAGGAGCGGCGCTGGCAAATCATGGGACGGCGGCTGCGCACAGACGTGGCGCAGGTGGTGGCAGCGCAGCGCCGCCGAGAAAATGCAAGTCGAAAGAGAGGCGAACGACTGATACCCCCGAGTTGGGAATGCCGATATCCGAGCCGAATGCCGATATCGAAGTCGGGAATGCCGATATCCGAGTCGACGATGCTGTCGATGCCCCTGGTGCCCGGCAGAGATACGTAGCAATGAGTGCACAGTATTGGGCATACTGCGAGCGACGATGTGCTTTCCCCCAGATCGACTCTCAGATCGACTCTCAGATCGACTCTCAGATCGACTCTCAGATCGGCTCTCAGATCAACTCTCAGATCGCACTGTCTCAGATCGCACTGTCCCTCGCTCAACTCTGCAACGACGTTCGCTCTCGCGGACATCAGCTCTCCCATCCCTCCCGGACCGACGGCGTCCCCGCTCTGCTCGCCGAGCCGGGCTCTCGGGAATGCCGTCGGCTGGAACCGGCGCTGTTCCGGCGCAAGCCCGCAGCGAGCACCGAGAGCCGCCCTCGCTCCGTCCTCGCCCCGCCCTCGCCCCGTCCTCGCGCCTCCCGTTTTGCTTTTTTGCGGTTTCCGAGATCGAACAGCCATCGGTTCGCTCCAGACCTCCTCTCATAAGAGCCCGTCTCAGCCGCTGCCTCGGCCTTGGATCACATCTCATCTGCCCACCCCCACCGTCTCTGCCCGTCGGCCCACCGTCTCTTCCACGACCATGTCTGCCACTCGCATGCTTTCCTCCCTGAGCCTCCGCGCCTCGGGTACGTGCCCTCTGCCGATCGCGAACAGGCCCGTTTGCGTCATCGTCGGTTTGGCATTCCGTTGCATCGACCACAGCTCCATCCAACCCCCATCCAGCCTCGTCTTGCCTGGACCGTCCAGCCCGTGCAGCCGCTTCTGCGCTTCTGCCTTGGCTGCTTTCTTTGATTGTACACCTGTCTCGGACAGCACACATCCCTGCCCTCTTCCAAGCTGATGCGCTCGCTTGGTTTTGGTGCCTGCGGGCTGTCTGTCAAATGTGCAATCCTTGTGTATATTCCCTGTCTCTTCGACAACGGCTCGTTGTATTCGACTGTGGCTGCTCTGACTCGGCTGTACCATGTACATCTCCCACACTGCGCATCGCCGCTCCAGCTCGACGCTCCTTTGCCGTCAAGGCTGGAAACGGTCTCTACGATGAGACTGTCAACAACCTGCTCATCAACAAGAACACCAAGGTCATCTGCCAGGGCTTGACTGGAAAGCAGGTAATTTGGCAGATGCATGCTGCGTGACTTTGCCTTGGTCGCAATGGGTCCGCCATCCACCGCCTGGCTTCGGATCGCGATCCCAACCAACATCAATCGAGGATGCCGTTCCTTGGCGTGCAATACCACCGGCACCCTCTGTTCCTCAACCCGCGGCACCAACCTCCATCGCTACTTCCAGGGCACCTTCCACTCAAAACAGGCCATCGAGTACGGCACCAACATGGTCGGCGGTGTTTCTCCCAAGAAGGCTGGCCAGACCCACCTTGGTCTCCCCATCTTCGCCTCTGTTCGCGACGTAAGCAATCTCCTATCTTTGCGTCGCTACTCCCGTGTGTTCATCCACCCGCTGTACACCGGATGGGTCATGGCGGTGCTCGCACTGATGTCGCTGCTGACACCCCTCGCCCCTATAGGCTGTTGAGCAGGTCAAGCCCGATGCCTCTGTTATCTATGTTCCTCCCCCCGGTGCTGCCAAGGCCATCATCGAGGCCATTGAGGCCGAGGTCCCTCTCGTCGTTGCCATCACCGAGGGTATTCCCCAGCAGGACATGGTCCGCGTAAGTATTGCGCCGCCCCAAGCACACTTCTTGCTCTGGCTCTGGCTCTGGCTCTGGCTCTGGCTCTGGCTCTGGCTCTGGCTCTGGCTCTGGCTCTGGCTCTGGCTCTGGCTCTGGCTCTGGCTCTGGCTCTGGCTCTGGCTCTGGCTCTGGCTCTGGCACTACCTTCCACTGTCAGGTCGTCGCGTGCCCCCATTAATCGCCATCTGTTGTCTCGGATGATCCCAATCGATCCACAGGTCATGAAAGTCCTGAAGACCCAGAACAAGACCCGCCTCATTGGACCCAACTGCCCCGGTATCATCAAGCCCGGAGAGTGCAAGATCGGCATCATGCCCGGCCACATCCACCTGCCCGGCAAGATCGGTACGTCCCTGTCCAACCGGCATCCGCTCGCCAAACCCAACAATGTGCCTCGTTGTCCTGTCAGAAGCAGGCCGGTCGGAAATGAACCCCGTGCCTTTAGTCCCACTCCACTCACGCACACTCTTCTTGTTTGTGGGCAGGTATCGTCTCCCGCTCCGGCACCCTCACCTACGAGGCTGTCGGCCAGACCACCGCTGTTGGACTCGGCCAGTCCCTCTGCATCGGCATTGGTGGCGATCCCTTCAACGGCACCAACTTCATCGACTCGCTCACCGCCTTCCTGAACGACGATGCTACCGAAGGCATCATCCTGATCGGTGAGATCGGTGGCTCTGCCGAGGAGGAGGCTGCCGAGTTCCTGAAGCAGTACAACCTGACCCGCGAGCAGCCCAAGCCCGTTGTGTCGTTCATTGCCGGCCGCACTGCCCCTCCCGGCCGTCGTATGGGCCACGCCGGTGCCATCATTGCTGGTGGCAAGGGCAAGGCCGAGGACAAGGTTGCTGCCCTCGAATCCGCCGGTGTCATCGTTTCTGCTTCTCCCGCCAAGCTCGGTGTCTTCATGAAGGAGGTACGTGCCTGTCCGGTTACCGAGCCGCGCATCTCCAGTCTCTCTGCTCTCTGATTGCTTGCATTGGCCCATCCATCCATCTCCTTCCCATCAAATAGCTAACTCATGCGCCATTGCCGTTCCCGTTCACAGGCCATGGAGAAGCTGGGCCGCGCCTAAATCCTCTGAATAAACTCCGTCATATACACCCGTGCCGCACCTCACCCACTACTTCTCCCTCGTACTGCGTGTGCGGGACACCCTTGGTCAAGCTTCCATGGGCTCGACCGACCGGGCTCGCCCACCTCCTCCCACCTTTTCCTCGACTTGTCTTCACTGTACTTGTTTTGTTTCTCCATCCCCAAACCCTTTCCTCCTTTCTCACTACTCTCGCCCACTTCCTCCAGCGCTCGCCCTCTTGCTCTTCACTGTCAAACGCAGCCGCTCTTGGAGTACAGCCCGCATCTGTTGTCTCATCTGATTTGTATCGAGAACCGTTGTTTGTTGTGGTTGCTGCTGTTGTTGTTGCTGTTGTTGGTTCTCTGGTACTCCACCTGAAGGAGCTTGGTGGATGTCAATACAGGCTCGTGTCCTTAGCCGAGAGAGGAGCAATTCGGGGGGGGGATATTGAGGAGCCTGGCCCGCGGGTTAGATCAAGACATTGACTTCGAGTTCACGATCGCTCGTCCGCCTCTTCTGAGACATGTATACCACCGCCTACCCACTCCGCGCTGAAACGAGCCGTGTTTGCCGTTATGGACAAAGCCGCTTCAGAAGCAATCAAACCCAGTCAAAAGGACTGGTTGCTATCATGTTTATTTCTTTCGTTCGTTCGTTTATTCATTTTTTTCATGTTTGCCATTTGTTCAGGTGAAGGGTGGAGTTATTGTCCAGGGAGTAAGGTGCGGAAGGTACAATGAGGACGGGCGCAGGGAGGAAGGAAGGAGGGAGGAGGAGATAACGCTGAATAACAGAGACGAGAACAAGAGCGAGCCAAGAGTGGAATCAAAGAGACACACAACGCAAAACAACACAACACACAATGAGAGAGGAGATGGATGGCGCGCGGCGACGACCGTTTGCGGCTGGGTGGGATCATTCAGGACCACCTAACGACTGACTGGCTCGCTGGCTGACTGGGCTGGAGCGCAGGACTGAGCTGAAGTGTAGGAGTGGGCTGGAGGGGCCAGCTGTCCAGATTATCGGTATCCATTGAAGAACGGATGGACCATCGCCTCCTGCGCCGTCAGGCGTTCTGCGTGGTCATAGCGGACAAGGCGATCGATCAGATCCAAAGCCAGGTCGGTGGCCCACTGTTCGTTGGTCTCGTTGATGAAGGAAGACCATGGCCGCTTCGGGTAGGTGACGGGGCAGTTGACGATCATGTCGTAGGCCTCTGGGTTGAGGTGTGATTCCATCTCGTAGCGCTTGACGTAAGCCTTGAGGTCGGCAGTGCCCAGGAATTCGTGCAGGACTCGGAGCTGGTCCGGATCGTCGCTGCCGACAAACATAAAGTGCTTGCCAAAGACGAGCGCGGCCAAGGTCAAGCCATAGGCCCACATGTCCAGCGAGTAGTCGTAGCGTCTGAAGCCCAGCAGCAGCTCCGGGCCCTTGAGGTATCGCGAGCCAACGTGAACCGAGTACTTTTGACCGGGCAGGTAAAAGTCAGAGACACCAAAGTCGATCAGGCGGAGGGTGCGCGACTGCCGCTCGAGCAGCAAATTCTGCGGCTTGATGTCCCGGTGCATAACGCCGCGCGAGTGCACATAGTCCAGCGACAGGAGCAGCTGGTACATGTAGTGCTGGATCTCTCCATCTTTCAGGGAGCGGGCAAATTCGGTCCAGTTGGTTTCGTTGAGGGTCTCAAAGACGAGGCAGGATTCGTTGCCGGGTGGCATCTGGAAGGCACCGATATAGTCGATGATGTTGGGGCCGCCCTTCAGGTGGCGGAGGATGAAGATCTCGCGCTTGACCTTGACGTCCTTGCCGGCCTTGAAGACCTTGATGGCGACTTCGCGGTCGGGGTCTTCGAGGTCGATGGCTTTGTAGACGTTGCAGAACTTGCCCGAGCCGATCTCCATGCCGAGGCTGAATCGGTGCGAGGGACTAGGGTACAGCGATTGTTCGCACAAGCAAAGGGAAAGAAATCCAAGAAAATATCGCAAACGAATGCGTGAGCGAGTGGATGGATGCGTGAGCGAATGGATGGATGCGTGAGCGAATGGATGGATGATAATTGGACGAGACCGATGGAAAGAGCACCTCCGACAAGTGTTGCCCCGAATCAAGATCAAAATAGGAGCATACTTACACCCAAGCAACCTGGCTCCTTTCCCAGTCTGTGACGGACCGCGGCTGGCCAAGGAGGGCCCGCGGATATGCCCTCGCGACCGAGCCCTTGGGCAGGCGCATGCTCTTGGCTGTTGGATCGCCTGAGGAAAAGATGCTCATGAGCTTGCTCAGGATGATCGAGTGCTTCTTCTTGGGATCCAGGTTGCTCTGCGCGGGTGGCTGTGCGTTCGCAGCGACGCCGTCGTTCAGACTGATCATCGAGGCTCGTGTGGCAAGATCAGTGACGGCAGAATCGACCGCTGCTGTCTTGGGAGGCTGAAGCTGTGGGCCGACTGGCGGAACGCTCTGCTCGTTGTTGGAGATCTTGACCATCGGGCTAAAATCGTCAACGTGGATGACCTCGTTCTCGACGGCGTACATGGCTTGGCCAAGAGACTGAAGGAAGGCCGTGATGTCAGACTCTTCCAGCCCGGCGACGTGGGGGAGATCCGGGTCGGTGGTGTCAACCACCGGCTGCGAGAAGTCAATGTCTAGCGACTGAGCAAGCGAGTCGAGACGCTTGATCATATCTGCGACCAAGGTACGATTGTTAGGATATCGTCGATTCCTTTTAGGGACCATACATGAGGGCAAGCGCAATAGTTCTGCCGTGCTCTTACTGCAATCGATGCCAAATGGAGCTCGCCTCTCCCCTCCCCTTATCCTTGCGCTCTGGGCACCACCAATTGCTTTCATCGAGCCATACACAACTCACCTTCGTCATAGATCGAGTTGATACGCTTGTTGTGGATGTCGGACGAGAACTCATCGAGGGAGTAGTGGTCGTAGCTGCGCTTGCCTGTCTGTGCCGCGACTTCGTCCTCGGCGTTTATGTAATCTTCAAAGTTGAAATCGGTCTCGCCAAAGAAAACCGAGGGGAACTCGGTGGTGAGCGAGGGAAGTGCCTCGTTGATGTTTATACTGGTGTCAAAGGCCGAAAGCGGGCTCAGCAGGCCTGGCTCGGATAGAGAGATGGAGCGGACAGCGAGCAAGGGGAGAGGTTAGTCCCGATCGAATGGCGTTTCCGGCGACCGAGGGCGATGGTATGAAGCGAAACGCCATTGACAACAACGAGGCAGTACAAGCAGCGGCCATGATGCCTCGTCCTCCTCTCGCTCTCTACGCTCGATCGAGACTCACCCGAAGTATCGCCGTTGGTGGTGTTACCGAGAGACGCTGGCGAAGGTGGAATATACGAGTTGGCGAGCTGCTCGCTCGAGACCCGCAGATTCCCAGGCAGATCCGAGGCCGAGACCGAGGCAAATGAGTCGTCGGGATTCGGCGAGATGGCCTTACGGACAGGGCGGGCAATAGGCCGGACCGAGTACAGAGACGGGTCGGATGTCTCGTGCAGTTTTTCGTGCTTCTTGAGATCTTGGGGTCGCTTGAAGGCCCTGCGGCAAATCTGTCGAAGGAGACAGGGGTTGTCGACGGAAGCAGGCGAGCACGGAGCAGAATGAGCCATCAAGCGACGACAGCGACAGCGACAGCTCGCAGCACAACCAGCTACCGTTGGCGGCTGCCATGAAAGAAACCAGAGGAGAAGCATTCGCAAGATAACTTACACTGCAAACATGGGGTTTGAGAGGCACATGCACACGGATGTGGGAGGTGATGTGGTCTCGCTTGGTAGTTTTGTGGTCGCAGCCGTCCCAGTGGCAGTCCAGACACAGGTTGTTGGTGGCTTTTCGGCCAACGTGAAGGGCCGTCAAGTGCTCATAGAGAGCCTCGGGGTCGAGAAAGACGGCAGAGCATGGGCCTGGCGAGGCCCACTTGCACGGATAGGACTCATACGCCGAGAGAGGGCTGGAGGAAGGCGAATCGGCCGACATGGCGAGCAGCGGACAGGGAGGGGAGCCGGGGGAGATGGGCGATGTCGGGGAAGATAGATGGACGATGTCGGGGGAAGATGGACGATGCCGAGGGAGATGGACGAGGAAAGTGCAGACCTGCGGACTGGCAGACGGGAGGGGCCGATCGGGTTGAGGGGACAGCAGCAAATATATCACCCAGTGCCAAGCTTGGTGTCTCCTGGGCAAGGTGGCACAGACGAGGGCGAGGCGAGGGCGAGACGAGACGCCAAGACTGCGTCTTGGCACGCACGGAGGTGCAGCGGGCTGAGGATTGATGCCGGATGCGGATGGATATCGATGGATATCGATGGATGGGGTGGATGGGGATAGATATCGATGGATGTAGATGGATGTAGATGGATGTAGATGGATGTAGATGGATGTAGATGGATGTAGATGGATGTAGATGGATGTGGACTCGATATGCTGAATGCGGATGTGCAGTTGTTGCCTGGGCCGGCTCTGGCCAGGGGTGGATATGGCAAATCCAAGGATGGATATGGCAAAACCAAGGGTGGATACGGCAAAACCAAAAGCCGAGTGGCCATTCCCCAGAGTCGTTTGGCACCGATATCGGTCGCCACGATATCCCATTCGATCCCGTTTGACATCTCCAACTCTATTCACAGCCAGTGCCCGGCCAGGGTTCCCCCCCCCCCTGCATGGCAGCTCCGTCGCCTGTCCTCGATCATAGTCTGGCCCTGCGGCCTGCCCGGAGGCCATAGGTCAATCGTTCTTCGGCTGCGGGCACCTTCCCTCAGCAGGCCCGGCACTGCCCGCTCTGCTTGCCGAGCGGCTGCCGCTGAAATCGCGAGTTTGTCGCTCTCTTCCCATCGCTCTCTTTCATGGGCACCATTTGTTGAGACCCTCCCTCCCTTCGTCGGCAATATCATCCGTCTACTCTGCGTCTGCCTGGTCCATCGTCCGGTCGCCCCTCCAAATTGCCCTCCATGCTGCACAGCGAGCCCACCCGCCCCAGCGTGTTTCTCACCGAGACCCGCATCCCGGCCGGGACAAGCGACCAGGCCCAGCTGCCCTTTCAGCGTCCCAGGGCGGCCTTTGAGGATATCCAGGCTCCGCTTCGTGATGGTGCATCCACGCCGGAGCACCCTGCCTCCGAGCCCGACTTGACCTCGGCGCTGCTTCCCTCCAGTCTCGGGAATGGCATCCAACGGGCCCCAGAGACCCTGGGCTCGCCGCTGCTGTACTGGCTCAACTCGCAGTCGACGATCCCACGCCTCAAGTTCGAGCCCGTGAACTTCCTCCTGACCAAGATCCAAGCACATCAGTTGGCTGCCTGCCCGACGCCTTCGCCATTCCAGCTCTCCTATCGCTTGATCCCGGGACCGGAAAATTTACTGGTCCGGGCAACTCTGGCTGCCCATGTACGTGTCCCAGCTCTGGACGGGACCGCTCGCGCTCCTGGCTTGAATGTCTGCTGATTTTGGCGACACTGGGGCTTCTCACGAGTACCTTCGTTAACCAATGCGTCTTCCCCACTCGCCGTGCCGCCAATTGATCAGGGATTCCGAGAGGCCTTTTCGACACATACCAACTACAATCTGATCTGGGCTGCCGGTCGCGTTGAGCCCCATCTGATCCGGTCACTCAACAGGTAGTACCATAGTATATTTCTACCCACGATTTGGAGTAGAATCGAGCTGAAGGTGCTTTGCATTCTATCGGCTCTGCTTTTCGACCCTGTCGCTTACGGAGCCCTGTCCTCCTGGCTCAAGGTACCAGAAGATCAACCGCTTCCCGCGTTCAAATGAGATCACACGAAAGGATAAGCTTCACGCCAACATCTTTCGAATGAAGCAGGCATTCAGCCATCGAGTAAGGCTTCTCGACCGAGGAACCATGGATTGCCATCGCTTCTCGATACCACATCTTCCTTGTCACGTTGCTGCATCCACCCGGTTACATTCCATTGACACCGTTCCATACGCACGCCGTCCAGAGCTTCGAGTTCATGCTGCCGACGTTTCTACTGCCACTAGAATACGAGCTCTTTTATCGAGAGTATCTGCGGGCAGGTGGTAAGTGGGGCGGGAGTCTCCAGTTGCGGCGGCCGACAGAGCCCATCCTTGCTTCACGGCCGTGCAGGTTGCCCATGCATCGGAAGCTAGATTGACGGAGCGAGTACCAACTCTGCTGTCGCTGTTTCTCACCCGCTATTCCAGGACGATGGCAGTGTCGCATATTTGGGTCAAGCTCTCCGCAAGTCTCGATCGAAGTCGAGTCGCTGTCGGAGATTCCAAAGATCAATTCGGCCGAGGAGCGGGTCATCATGCAAAAGTGAGTGCTGTCGTTCCAGGGGTCATCGTGGAGACCGCTGCGGAAAATATCGAGGCGACCATAGTGGAATTGTTGCGAAAACCATTGTGGAGATCATCGTCGCGCAGAATCGCTCGTCCCTCTTCTTGTGGCGGCAAAACTCAATGACTACCGCAGCTTGCACGTCCCTCTGTGTTGCTGGGGCTCCGGAGCTGATTGACCCTGTCTCGCGGCCTTGGTACATAATTATTCTCCCAGAGCCCTGGACAACCCGCTCCTGATCGATGGATACCGATTCACGCTTCAGATCTACCTGGCTATAACATCCATATCCCCGCTGCGAGTATACATCTATGAGGAGGGCTGTGCCGTATTCGAGGCTGAACGGTGAGTTTTGATGGGCAGACAGCGGGCAACATAGTGTGGCAGAGTGCATTCGGCCAAACCGACAGCGATGGCTTCATTGTGCTTACTCGGTGCACGACACAGTTATGAGGCTCTTGGATCAAAGCTCAGCAAACACGCCTCCGCCCAAAAGTTTGGCCATCAGCCCCCCACACCAAACCAAAAATGGTATTATCCGATTCTGACAGCACTTGCCATAGCACCTACCAATCTCTCGGTCGAACCTACTGAGTCTTTGTCCGCCATCAATTCGCGCATATCCAGGTCGCTGAACCAGCTCCTGTCACTCTTGAGCTCAAAATACGGCTCCGAGATGGTCGAACTCATGATGGCAAAGATCAAGGACCTTTCTGTCAAGATGGCGATCTCAGCCGAGCCTCCAATGGCCGTCGCCGCCAACATGTTTGTCCCGCACAGGTCCGTTGCACCGCAACCCAAATCGTGCCAACGTTTTTGCATTGCGACAGGACTGACGCTCCTATATCTCCACCATGACGCAGCGGCTGTTGCTTTGAGCTGTTTGTTCTCGATCTGGTTATCGACGAGAACCTTAGTCCTTGGCTCGTCGAAGTTCACTCTGCAGCCGGACTCGAGTGCGAGTGCGATGCCGACTTTCGACTCAAGGTAAGTCAGAGCACCAATGGCGTCGGTGAAACAATCTGCCAGCACATAGTCTCTACACGGAAACAAAATCATTTTCGATCCCATCTCTGGGATGCAGTGCTCTCTATATGCGTGCATCCGCGAGCTATTGGTGTGGCTGCTTCAGTCCCGTACCGGCGATAGCGTACCCGTTTCAGCCGATAGCATCCGACCATCATGCATACAGATGGCTAAGTGGCCGCTTGCGTCACTGGCTATGCGACTGTGGATTCTCGCAGGCGCCTATCCTGGCAGATCTCCTCACGATGGTTGGCCTGGTTCCCTACGTCAAAGCCGGGAAAGGCAAGAGAGAACTGTATGTTGCCATCTCGCAGGGGCACACCATTCGTTCCTTACCAGGTCCACGCAACGTCGCCCTCATTGGCTGCTTTGCCGCCTACACGAGACATTGACGCCAGTCGCATCGCCAACATCGTTCTGGCTCGCCGATGGATATACGCGGCACCTCTTGTAGGAACGTCAAACCGTACAAGCCCAACGTTCCGCTTCAAGTCAAGTGTGAGAAGAAGGCAGTCGCTTGGGATACAGATACCAGCGTCAACGACGAGAGTCTAACACCCGACCAGAAGAAAATGATCAAGTAATGCCATGGCGACACTCGTTTCTACCGACGCTACAGACGGATGCCGCATGGGTCTCCTAACGGAGGGGACGGTGCTTGGTCGTGCTGGTTAATGAACCGATGGGATCTATTCTCGTATCCAGGTCTGCCAAGGAAGAGAACTCGCGGTCCGGGGGGTTTATCCGTGTGTTTCCGGCGGAGAACAGCAGCCATCTGTACTTTCATTTCTTCTCGAAGGGCTCTCCAAATCACACGCTGCTGCTCGGGTGAGTCTTGACGATAGAAAGAGGAGGGAGTCTGGTTCTGTTTTGTTCCTGCAAAGACTCCAACGCACTCAAATAATTTGGCGTCACTGGACCGAGCATCCTCGCCGTGTCGGCTGAGCCCCGCACTCACGGCCGATGGAAACTCGGCAATACTTCTCTCATCGCCATAAGCTTGTTTGGCAAATCTGCCCTCAAATCCAAGAGATTCACCAACCACTCATTCGAAGAGGCAGTGACTGGAAACATGACTTTTCGCATCCCGCATGGGCAGACGTGTCGACAGCGGGTGGTTTCTCCGCCATGGGCACCCGCAGACGCCAGGGAGATGTCCATGTCGCTGGGGTCCAGAGAACCCGAGTCAGACGCCCCTATCGCTCGCAAGGCTGAGGATGAGCTGGCGGTGGTGGATCTGAGCGACGAGGAAAACTCGGCTGTCGACAGTGGCGCATCCCTCGCCGCATTTCGGAAGGCACGGGGTATGATTCCACAGGCTTCTGTCGCCGCGAGTCTGGCTCGGTTGGATTCGCAGTCAGAGATATGAAGAGCACGTCCGATACAAGGCAGTTAATCAGGAGGATTGGGGCACACCTCCTCTCTTGCGTTGTTTGATCCGATATCTGCAGAGTATCAAAGCATTGTCGAGTCCATCTCCAACGGGGCTAAGCACACCGACGACCTGATGGAAAAGCTGGCAGCGCGCGATGCGTTCGTGGTGTTCCTGGAGAGCATTCTGAACCGGCTGCATACTTTTTACAACCAAACCGGTAAGATACGCCGTCAATGGGTGGAGAGGCAGTTCGCCAAGCGCACCTTCAAGCTTGCATCGCGAATCAAGCCCAACACTCATCATCACATGCCCGACTGTTCAAACTTTGACGCAACTTGTGCTCAGACGACATGGCAACTCAGGACGCAGAGCGAGTCTATAAGGTACTGGAACCCTGCCTTGGCCTTGGTATCGCTGTGACTTCTCCGGTCAGGTCGCCGATGCACTTGTGTGAGGATGCGATGCCTTCGCATTACTTGTTCGTCGGTTTACGCCTTCTTGCTGTAACAACCGTCGTCGCCTGGATCTCGCCATCAGGAAATGGAAGTTGTTCACAAGTTCCTGGAGCAAGCGGGCGGACTGAAGCCAAAGTGGGTACACGACAGCATTACTGCGCTGCCCTACGTCTTGAAGGACAGACAGACACTGAACTGAACTGAACTGAGTCGGGTCTGCACCCAGGAGTGAAAGCGAAGCACAAGACAGCGACACGGAAGACTCTCTGTCAATCACCGACAGACTGGAGAGCTTCATCAAGGAATACAAGAAGCAAACCGAAGCCATCAAGGTGCGGCTGTCCTGGCTGTCCTGGCTGTCCTGGATGTCGTGGATGTCGTGGATGTCTTGGATATCTTGGCTGTCCTGGCTGTCCTGGCCTCATCGCGTGTTCCTCGGTTATGAGGACTCGGTGCACTTGATTAGCGTCTTGCAATAGTGCTTGCTTTCGGTGCGGCATTGCCTCTTTGATATGCACCAATACTAACGGAGGGCGTCGATGCAGAAAGGGGAGATTATGGTCAAGTCCAGCACATCAACACCGGCCAACAGCGCGTGTTCGTCCGAGCCTGCCAGCGGAATGACATCCGCACGGTCAAGCCGGCCTTCCTCTGCCCGACCCAGTCGGCCGTCATCGGCCTCTCGCTCAGGGGCTTCAGGGCAAGCCCGCACCGCAGCCTCGCTTCGAATCCACCACGCCGCCAGCACCGAAGGAATGCACTCGGAGGCGTACACTTCGGCTCTCTATGCTGTCACCGAGAAGGATCTGGAGGACTTGTTTCGCAAGTAAGCTTCGAATGCTTGTATTAGCAGCTTCTGAAACCAGCGCACCCACGTCACTCGGCAGAACAGGAGTGTAACTGAGGGTGCCTTTCTACTATGGCGCTGGAATGAGCAGAATTCCATCCTCGCGGAGCTCCACACCGACGATCGCGACCAAACGCACCACATCCGAGATTTCAAGTAAGCAGTCGCATCGCACGCTTGTCTTGCAAAGGCGTGGACTGACGGCTATTCGCCGGCCCACTGATTGGCAGGCAAGGACGTGGTGGAGTTCCGGGCCAAGATGCTCGCAAAGTCAGGCGTGGCTTCCAAGCCATCCAGCCCGAGCTCCGTTGCCTCATCGTCGTCCAGCAGCGCAAGAGCCGGTGTCAAAGGACCAGTGAAGGGCAGACCCCCAGCGCCGGCCCCAACACCCGTCGGATCCGCGGAGCCGCAGTCGACATACATCAAACCTGGCCATCCAACTTCGGCTTTCTCGTCCTTTGGTTTCGCCACCGTCACCGGCCCCAAAAGCAGTCCCTCCTATCGGGACACGCTCATGGCCAAAGCCGCCAGCCGGAAGGCACGAAACCCGGAGCGCAAGGTCGATGATGGCTCGAAATCCAAGCTCAGGTATCGTTTTGTGAGGGAACTTATGTTGGCGTTGAAAAGTCAATATCATCCATTTGCATGGAGAGTCTTCAAACCAACGACCTGATTTTGTCGAGCATTTATCGGCGGCGCCTTGTTGCGTATACACTGGATGTATGCTGGAGCTGAACCATACCTTGTCGTCTCTCGAATGCTCGCTCGATCACACAGCGCCAACGACCATCCTGGACTTCGGATCGAGGTCAGTGCTCGCAGAGCTGTTGGAGCCAGTGTGATCCAAATTCCGGCTGGCCTCCCCCCCAACAGTGAAACATACTCACTATTGATATATCCCCCACTCCAGGGCTCAACTTTGATGGCCAAGAATGCAATGCAGCGAATATTCAATTGAGCTGGCTACTCACTAGCGATACGTGCGTAATGCCTCAGCGGCATATTTCACGCGACATTCCTATCAAGCGACCTCGGCCCAGATCGATGCATCCTGGGAGCGAAACGATGATGGCCGATTTTGAGGCTGGCCAACGACAGAGCGGTCTACTCGCGCAATACACTCACACAGCAGTTCCACACGACGCAGAGCAGTTCCACATGACACATAGCACTTCCGTGTTGTCAAAGACAGAATCACGATGTGTGACTCGGCGATCGCCCACAGGGCTTGACGGATGCGTCCAAGATCGCGCTATCACAGAGACTGTCCTCTGAGACATGTCATGGCAACGATGGGGTGTATTTACTCTTCTCGGAGGAGTCCAAGTGAGGCTACCGAAGTGCTTGGTGGATCTCATTGTGTGGATCTCGCTCTGTACCTTCCTTTCCCGCTGCTCTCTTATGCTTGATCGCCATCTTGGTCGTGATCGTGCTCATCCGGCTCAAACTCTCCTTCCTGATCGAGAGCCTTCTGCACCAGCTGCTGTATTTCGTTCTGGCCAGCTTGGCTCTCGAGATAGTCGTTCACATCGAGCTCTGACTGCTCGTCTCCATCGGCCTTTGGAGCACCTGGCTTTGCGGTCTTGGGCGACTCGGCGTCAAGCAAGTCCGTGGCATGCCTCAACACCAGACCGACTTCTTTTGCCAGTCCGTCGGAGTCGCCAGAGCCAATGGTCTCTTCAGCGCGGTTGGATGCTTGGATCTCGCTTTCCTTTGGGCTCACTACCTCGGGCGTATCTGGGACGGTATTCGGCGCCTCCTTGCTCTCCGTCAGAGCGCCGGTGCTGGTCGCTGCATTTGGCGGTTGCTGGGACTGCGACGTCTCATCTTGGTACGGATTCTCTTCTTTGCCCTTTGGCACTTCGCAGATGGCACTAAGCTTCCAGAGTTGATGCTTGGACAAAAAGACGCGTGTGAGCAGCCAGTGCTCCAGCGACAAATTGCCACTGCCGATACGATGCAGGTCCTTTGCAGCTGCAGGGAGCGTAATTTCGGGCGTAGGGATCTTCTGGGTCTTGCCTGCAGGCTTCTTGACCGCTGCCGCTGCCGCAGCGTTGATGCGGACCTGGTCTTGGAATTCCTGGTCGGGCGAGCCCTTGCCAAGACAAAGTTCGAGAGTCTGCGCGAGTTTGGCGAGTTCAGCTCGGGTGTCGATGCTATCGGGCTTGACTTGTGCCTGGTCCGTCAGAGCCAGGAGCCTCGTCGCTTCATCACGGAAGTAGCCAAGGCAAGGCACGACAGTGATCACGCCCCCGCCGGCGTAGTGATGGAGCAGGATTTCATCCACAAGCTGGATGTGGTCTTTCGGCGTGCGTGCTTCCAGCAGGCCTTCGAGGTGCTTGAACACTTCGAGTGTCTTGGGGCTGACGCTTGCCCAGGCCGTCGCGAGTCGCTGAACCTCAGGCGATTTGAGGGCCCTCCACAGCGCCTGCGAGCCCGCGAGGTCTCGATAGACATAGAACAGGACAAACACGGCGTTGATGATGTGCTGGATGGCACTGGCCCAGCCGACCTGTGCTTTGGGAGGCTGGCCCTTCTCGGGGGCTGCCAGAATGGCATGGATGGCGACGTGCTCCAGGAATCGGGCATAGTCAGCGCAGCCCTTGGCTTCGGGTGACGATAGAACGGCAATCGGGTCGGTCGTGTTTTGCGGAATGAGCTTGGCGAGCAAGTCGACGTTGGTCAGGACGATCTGCTTGGCCAGCTCGCTGCTTGTCCACAGCTCCAGCGGCGCGATGGCTACCTGGCGATAGATGCTCTGGATGCTCTCGAGCTTGGACTGATAGATCTGCACGTCCTCAAGCAGCTTCCGCAGGACCTGCGGCAATGGATGGCAAGGGCGACGCCGTTAACAGTGCTCGACGATATCGTGTGGATCGTCCGCAGCTCGAGTCCACGGGCTGCCAATTGTGATGCCGATCTGAGCAAGACCCCAGGCACTGCAAAAAACGACTCATTATCGCCCAACGCACCGACAAAGACGCCGCTTCGCCATTGCTCCGCGCGGCATTCCATTCGGCGACGGCATTCCGGTGCAGGGCCGAGTACTGGGCGGCTTGCAGCGACAGCTTGGAGACAGGAATCACAGGAAGCTCGGCAACGTTGGATCTGCGCTCGTTGTGAACACTGCGCTTGAACGACTGGTCCGAGACCAATGTTTGGCCAACCGGAAGGCGGTTCTGCGTCGCATCTTTGGGCTCGGGTGTTTGCACAGCAGCGACATCCAACGAGCGGACACGAGCACGGACAATCTCCTCGGCACGTTGAAGGAACAGATGTGCCTCGCGGAAGGCATCCAGGATATCTTGGGGCAAGTTCGCGATCTCTGCGGGATGAGAGAGGAGCGAGGGTGATGGAAATGGCGATGGTTGTTGTGATGGTGATGGTTGTAGCAGTAGTGAGCGGTCGCTGCAGTCGATTATCGCAGCAACGGCAACCGAAGACGGATTGAATCGGCTCACCGACCCTGGTTGTTCCACTCGATGCCCCTGGCGATCTTGACGAGGTTCTCGTTTGTTGCCTTGAGATAAGTGTGGTATGATTCCTGTTACGGACATGAGTGAGACAGGCATTCGCACCAGAGCGAGACGACAGTTGTGCATGGGTGCGGGTGTCCAAATCTCCTGGTGGGCCAGAACATGCCTTGTATCGCTCGCTAGCGAAGAGAGCCGCAGCCTCTTCCTGGAAGGCGTTGCTGCTGGATCGACCCTCGGACATGGCGTGGAGTGGTCTGATGCAGCACAGGAGCGAGCGGGCTCGGATGGAGGACTTGGGCGGAGGGCTCGGCTGGTGCAGGCCGGAGGCGGGCAGATGGGAACCTGAGCCGGGGATGAGCGTTGGCCAGGGCTCGCCCTCCATGACACCCGCCCAGCCATCGACACAACTCTTGCCGGCTCTGCCCTGTTGTCCCTGACCGACATCGGCGCCGCACCGGCTTCGACACCCATCCCTACAACCGCCAGCACCCCGGCCTCGGCCTCGGCCTGTCCTTGCTGGCCCGCGATGAGCATCTCGCATGTCGACGCCTCTCTGCCGTCGCTCCAGGCTGTTCTGCCGCTGGTGCCGCCGGATCAGCCCACAGCGACGGTGACATCGGTCTCACTGCATGCGAATCGCATCGAGTTTATTGACCCGGTGGTGCTTGCCAAGTTCCCAAACCTCGTCCTCCTCGACCTCTCGAGCAACCAGGTATTTGGCTTGATCTGGGCTGTTTGCAGCCTCCTCCACAAGCGCATCGGTTCATACACTCGACAATGAGATCAGGGCTGAACGTGATCCATGTGGTTACGAATCCGCCGTTCGAATGCAGATCAAGAAGATGCAGGGCCTCGAGTGTTTGGGCAAGCTGCAGGAGCTGAATCTCTCCAACAACAAGGTATGCGCAAGCCAGACGGCCATGCAACCAGCTTGGATCGTGAACAACAAGCATTCGAGCGAGTTCCCAGAATCTGCGTGCCGTATGAATGACCCTGCACTCCTTCCGCCGGCATCACATCGCTCGATGACACAGATCGATGTCCTGGAGGGCCTGAGGAGCCTCGTCTCTCTGCGACGCCTCTTGCTGTCCTTCAATAACATACGCCATTTGGACGGATTTGTCGAGCTGCACGGAGATCAGTACTCGCTGCAATCACTGGATCTGTCTGGAAACAAGATCGAGTCGATAGGCGAGCTGCGATACCTCGCTGGATGCAATGTACGTCGACACTAGTGTCTTGAGCCACATGGACCATCGTTCAGAGGGTTACTTGCAGCACTCAAGCCAGACTCGCTCTTGCAAGCACGGATGCTGGCTGATACTATGACATTCTGCACTCAGAAGCTCAGGTTCCTGTCGCTCCGGAGCGACCCAGCCATATCACAAAAAGCCAATCCGGTCTGCCGGCTGCCCGAGCTCACGGCGAGCTTTGTATTTAGCCTCCTCCCTCAGCTCATCTCATTGGACGGGAAGGATATGTTCGGAAACTTGACTGAGGGTACGACGGCCGGGTCTGTTGTCGGGTCTGCTGTCGGGTCTGCTGTCGGATCTGCTGTCGGATCTGCTGGCACTCACTCAGAGGGCGCTCATGCAGCAGCACTCACCGTTCTGAACCATTTGGCCGCAGAGCTTCAGCCACTATATGGGTTCGAGGATATTTTGGACTTGGCCAGTGCAGGCTTGCCTCAGACGCGGTATGGTGTCGGCCAGCAGCGAGAGGACTCGGGTTGCTACTAGTCGGCAAACCGAATCGGCTGACAAGCTGCATAACATTGCAAGACAATGCGGGGCCGCCATGTCAATGCAACATTGGCTCAGTGGTCCTGTTTTGATATGCTGCTTAATCCGCCGCTTGATCGTTTTTTTGGCCGTGGGATTATGCAGCTTGTCGAAACCTTCCAGGCGCAAGGACCAGCCACGATATACTCGCTCCACAGCCCGCCGACCCGCCTATCCACCGATCGAGGCATCGCCGAACGCTGGTTTGCCAAGAGGCGTCCTGTATCGACTCGGCGAGACAGAGAAGCGGCTCTCCGAGCCACCTGCCCCTGACAGCACTGCCCAGCAAAAGTCTGACGCACAAATCGAGAGAATCGAGCGGCTGGAAGAACAGACTGCCAAACTTCTCCAAAGCGTCACTCGCTCAGATCCAGTCCCTGCCTCGTTCCTTCCCAAAGCCAGCGCTCTCGAAGCAAACCGCATCAGCCAGCTCGAGTCTCAGATGGCGCAGATGATTGACCTCTTCACCAAGCGGCAGCTGTTTGACGAAGAGCAGCGTCTCATGATCCACGAGCAGCGGATGCGACAATCCACATGGCTCGCCCGTCCTGTCGGTAAACAGGTGCGTATCAAGCCATTCGGCCACAGGCAAACTTTGACCAACCGAACCAGTTGCCTGATTGCCTGATTGCCTGATTGCCTGATTGCCTGATTGCCTGATTGCCTGATTGCCTGATTGCCTCATAGACACATGCTCAGACTCATATTCAACCCTAGACCCAGACCGAGCCGCAGAACCTCTCCGCATTGCATCTGTTCGAAGATGAAGATGTAGCCGACGATCTTGATTCGATGTGAGTTTGTGGACAAATCAGTGCCTACTGCACACTATTACAGCTGAGACCTGCGCTGCCACCAAGCTCGGTATTTGTCTGAGTGGCGAGACAACACCTTCCGTGACGCCTGCTGGCCTCGACTGAGATGACTCCTCTCCGGCCATCAGTCCCAGCAACGACATGCCCAATGTTCGGGATGCCCGTGTACCATCGAACTCGCGCTCCAGTACCAAGCCCTCGGTGCGCAAAGTTAGAAAGAAGCGCGAACCAGCCTCTCATGGACTCAACGGGTATGGCTTGCGATCCCACGGTCGACTTGGATCTGTACCAATCTTGCGCTGCTGCATGCAGCTTCGTTTACCGCCCTTTGTCCTCAACTATGCTGCTTCTAATGCCAGGACCGACACGCTGGCAGACCAGAGCGACGCCGACCAGACTTTGATCTCCAAGACCGCGAATTCCCGCCTCATCGCTGAGCTGGAAGCCGAAGAAGCCAAACTACGAGAGCGGGATCAAGCTCAGCAAGAAGAAATTGCTCTCCTGAAGCAGCAGCTTGAGCAAGCACAGGAGCAATCTGCGACGGTCATGGACGAAGCGACGCTGTCGAAACAAAAGGTACTGCGCGTCGAGGACCGATATTGCAGCATGATCAAAGTGCCCGTGCTGCTGGCTTATCGACTGCAACGAATTACTGCAAGCAGGTTGCTGATTTAGAGATTCAGCTAAGTCTATGCAATGCAAAGCTCTCCGAGTGTCAAGATGAGCTCGAAACAGCCAAATGCACCAGTCAAAAACACCAGGACAATATCAGGCAACTTGAGCAACTCACTCGCGAACTGACGGAGCAGTCCCAAGCCCAGACAAAGCACTTGAGCGGGCTGGAGAAAATGAATGAAGAGCGCGGTCTAGAGTCGAAGCGAATGACTGAGGAGGCGAAAGAGCACCGGGCTGAGATTGGCAGCTTGAAGGTATTTGTGTGAGCGTGTATGATGCTGTGGGGGATCGTGTCTCGCACGGTGGCTATCGAGAGTCGATCGAACGATAGAGCCTTTAACACCAAATCGCTGACTCGCGCCGACACGTTTAGAGCCAGCTGGCTGGCGCCATGTCGCATGCTGCCCAGCTCGAGGACGAAAAGTCAATGCTGAGCCTCAAGTTCTTGAAGGACAGAGAGCAGACCAAGATCAAACTCGCCGAGGTACTCCTAGTTGATGGCTGTTGAGTATGTAGTAGACACTGGAGGTGTCGTCCGCTGGGAGATCTTCAGAGCACACGTCCGTGTGAATTGACAAGATTCACTGGACATGGCATCGCAGTATCGCCGAGAGAACGAGATATACAAGGGAACCATCAAGCAGCTTCAGAAGGATCTACAAGCATCGTACGACACGATCCGGCTGCGCGATCAAGACAATCACCAGCGAATGCAGGAATATATCAGGTAAGCCTCGAGGCTGCGGTTGATGTGATATGCAGCAGGGACAAGCCGGCAGCTTCGCTGTTCATACCAATCTTTGTCCCTCTCTCTGCTCTTGCGACTCAGGACGAGCGCAGTGGATATTAACGCTATGATCCGAGAGTCGACCGAGAGCATGCTCAAGAAACATCAATCCCAGAACGAGGAGCTTGAGAGGGCCTTACGAACAAGCAGGCACACCTATGACGAAGCAAAGGGTAGATTTGAGCGCGAGCTCGACGGTGGGTCCCGAATGAATCGAGTCACAGCCAACGTCTTTGCTTTCATAGAAACAGCCGTGCCTGAGTCATGAATCAATAACCAAGCTAACCAGACGATCCTCGTACCGGACGGAGACAGCCGAAAGGCAGGCATGCTCCAAGCTCAGGCTCGAGTACCAGCAGCTGCAGCTTCGATTCGCTGAGGAGCAAAAGGTATCTGGTGTAGGTGTGCAGCCTCAATTTGCTGTTGGCTTTCCGGATTCTCATGCATACCTTGATATCAGGCTGCAGCATCCCTGCGGGACAAGGAACGAGAGCTCGGAGATATTGTCAAACAAATGAGTGTCGCCCTGAAAGACCACAAGTCACAGATTGACGAACTTCGCGCTCATAACAGCGCGTCCCTGGATCTACTCGAGGTAACTCCTGAATCGCCGGTGCTGACAGCCAGGGGACAAAGCCCTGATATATCGGTTCGATGACCGTACACCTGCTGAACCCAGGAAAAAACCCAGGAATACGAGCGGAGAATCAAGATGCTGCAAGAAACGGAGGGCGAAACGGGCAGGCGACTTCGGGACTCACAAAGCCGCGTCCGAGAGTTGGAGGACCAAGTTCGGCAGCTCGAGAATAGCCGCGCTGAACGGCAGCTGGCTTCCGACGAAGCGTCCAGGAGGGTACGTATCGCACTTCCAAAGCACATGCGTGGTGATCTGCAGATTGACAGAGACAGCCAATTCTGACGAATAGCAATGGCGTGTATAGCTGGCCCACGAAGCGAGCGAGTTGAAGCAGACGCTCAGCAAACTGGAGACAGAGCGAAAGCAGCTCCTCGAGAGGACTGACTCGGCAGAACAGGCGCTTCGAGTCAAGAACAAGATGCTTGACGACCAAAATGACACCATACGCAAGCTGAAACAGAACCTCGACAACAAGGTGGGGACGGGCTGAGAGCCCATGACTTGCGACAAAGATGGATGCTACATCTCGCCACTCACACGTTCTGTTGAATCGCTTGACCGCCGCCAGAGCCGCGAGCATCAAGCGCTGCTAGCTGATGTTGCCAGTCGGGAGCAGGCATTCACGCAGGCCATCGAAGAAGAGCGCAGCGTGAGCCAGACACTCAAAGAAGAGGTAGCCATCGCAGTCGCCTCCTAACGTGTGAATATGCTCCGGGATTCAGATTGACTGAGCAGCAATGTATCCTCACCGACAGATGGATGCCCATGAACAGTTCATTGAAGATCTGCAGAACGCGAGTATCGCACTGAAGAGCGAGCGCGATGCTCTGCGAAAGGAAGTGGCAGAAATGTCGCGGCGCCTGAAAGAGCGCAACGAAAGCATCGAGCTGATCGAGCGGGAAGTAAGCATTGCGGGCGGAGACGATGTGTGACTAGAGGAGATTCTCAACCAGTGACATCATCGGCGCTTGCTGAGTATGAGGACACTGTCTTGTTCTATCGGCATGTTGCTGATTCGAGTCATCGGCCTGCAGGTTGAGAAGGTCAAGCACACTTTCCACGCCAAACAGGAGAGCCTCATTGTGGACAAGAACGAGGCCCTAGCGGCCAAGGCAAATGCAATAGCCGAGATGAGCCAGCAGCTGGCCACACAAGAATCCCTTCTGGCCAGTCTGGAGCGGGAAAAGTCCACGTTGATGGACCGGATCGCAAGGCTCCAGCTTGATGTCGGCGAACAGGTGAGACTGCATTGATTTGACACATGAGTCCAAGTTCCAGTGGTGAGTCTAATGCGGTGGCGGATGTCACTTACAGCGCGAACGACACGAGGCAGAAATGGCCGCTCTACGAAGCGAGGTCACGGAGCAGAAACAGCGGATGGACGAGAAACTCACCCGAATGAAGAGCATGCTTGCGTCGATCGAATAGCCACGTTGGGGACACCAAGGCATCGGAGCAGTCCACGAATGAGATCACTGTTCTAACAGAGCTACTGCAAAGCCATGGCGTGCGTGGGGCTGATAACGGCTCTGCAGCGTACTCGACAAGATACAATACAACGCTTCTTACTGACACACATATGGAATGGGAGATGAAAGGGATGCAGCACGGAGCATGACAAACGAGCGTCCCCAGCCGATGGCTCAAACAGGGCCGATCACGACTCTGTCGCCCGCATGGACAGCCCACACGGACTGTATGCATGTTTGAGATGCCCCCGCTTCTGTGGATGCAGGATGCCTTGCGAGCGCAAAGGCGCTTTCCGTGAAATGAACCCGCGGGCCAGTGCTGGCGCCTTTTCTCTCGTGCACTCTTGTCGGCATCTTATCGCCTTCGGGGCAGCCCTCTGACATTTCATAAGAAAAACGCATCGCACGCAATGTCCGACGTCGACTCTGAGCTTGACGCAAAGGAAGAAGGGCCCACCATCGGAGTATGCCTCTGATATCGCATGGCACTGCCTGTCGGCCGGGCAGCGTCAAGGACGCGACTGGATGCCAGATAATGCCCTACTCACGTATATCAATGCGGTCTGGCCCGCAGGTGTACGAAGGCGAGCGCAACGAGCAGACTGAGCGACACGGAAAGGGCAAGAACCAGTTTCCAAATGGCGATATCTACGAAGGGCTGTATGGCAACGGCAAGCGCAACGGATACGGCACGTATCGATGGAAGTCTGGAACGCGTTACGTCGGCGAATACCAAGATAATATGCGCGAGGGCAACGGATTCTTCATCTATCCGGACGGAAGCAAATACAAAGGCGAATTCCAGCAGAACAAACGACAGGGACAGGGCACATATCTCTATGCGAACAACGATGTGTACCAGGGCGGCTGGGAGAACGATAAAAAACACGGCTTTGGTAAGTTGGCTTGAGACGCCGTTGCTGAAGCAGTGGGCGAGAGCAAATCGATGCCACTGAAGCCGACGCTCGATGCTATCGGAGTCTGTGCTCGATGCCGCCAGGGTTTGTGCTCGAGCCACTGACATTTGAGTTTGCTGCCACAATCGCTCTGGGCCGGTCCAGGCACCTACATCTACGCATCGACGGGGAGCAAGGTATGCGCACAATCACTGCAGCCCGAGTTGGCGGTGGTAGCGTTGCAGGGCGCCTTGACCATTCGCTGATATTGTCATCACTCACCGGGCGCCAGAAAAAGGGAACGTGGGTCAACGGGGAGTTCCATGGAAAGGGAGAAATCATCCACCACGACCACAAAATCATCGGCAATTTCACCCACGGGATTGCTGACCTTCCGGCCAAGATCATGTTCATGAACAATCCCTACTACATCAAAGAAGTCAAGGAACACAAGCTTCTGAACCAAGAGCCTCTGCCGCCAGCCGGGGAAGTGCCTTCTTCGGCCCAGTAGCGCCCGCGTCCCCGATCAGTGATGAGCATGAGGCATCCGTGTGTTTGGTGAATACAAGTCTCTGGGTCGATCGACGACAGCTTTTGTTCATTTGTTTCATTCTTATATCCATGCACATTGGCGAGACTTCTTGACGGGAGCAATTGACCCACCAGCACCGCCCTTGGTGCAGTCCCCAACAGAAGGGTTATCTTGGGACGCCGTGACTATGGCTCCCACCGGTCCACCCTCCTTGCAGTGATTGAACCGCCCAAGGCAATCATACTATTGGCTGCGCTGGCACTGCGCTATTGCAGCCTGACGGGCGAGACGCCCCTTCTGCATCGAGGGCATGCCATCGAGATATCCAAACTTGTTAGTCAAGCTCACCATGACGGTACTAAATACAGCATGCTGACGAATAAATGGAACACATCGTCTCATTCGGACAAACTCGGCGTAGTCGGATCATATCGCACACCCGGTCAAGTGGGCCAAGTCATTTCCCTGTGTGAGGGAGATGCATGGAGTGAGTGAGCACGATGGGGACCAACGAGCCGTTGTAGATACAGCCACTGCAGGTCAGAGCAAAAGACATAACTGGGAAGACGCAGGGCAAAGAGCAATATCGCTGGTTTGGGTGCAGATCGAGGCCGTCCAGCCAGATCGATCGACATCAACCGACCCACAAGCCATCCGCGTGTGAAGGTGTCTCGTTTCAAATCAGTTCGCTGCAATCCGTTGAGAAATAGCAGCCCACCGCAACAGCTGGATGCGGCCCCTGAGCAACAATGGGCCGCTTGATCCGCTGATTGATCTCAGCAGCAACTGCCCTCACTCGGCGCTTGAGAAAGCCACAGTCTACACTTGGTCCACCATACCACCTCGCCTCCCAAGCGCTTGCACGCTCGCTTCACTACTGTTCTCTTGACTCTACCATCAGTCTCGGCTCCGCTGCTCCAGCTTCTGCGACTCGGCTGCAGCACCGCTGCTCCCACACCCACGATGGCCTCAGTGTTCAAGAACACCAACAGCAAGCTCCACATGTCTGTTGGCAGCTTGCCCTCGGCGAGCTCCAACAAAATATCGAGCCTGGCTCGATCTGTATCGTCCAACGAACTGAGCGAGCTTGCGATGCTTGGTGCCCAGCTCCATCCGCTGCCCAACCCACAAGCCCTGGCGAGCAAAGGCACGATGCCTGCAGCTCCGTCTCCGGGTCCACGTCGGAAATCTCTCGATACTCACTCGGTGACTCGCTCGCCATCATCGTTTGCCTTTCGCGGCCTGGGTAGTGCGAGCTCTCTGTCTCGGCTGCCGCCTCCGGCCCGCAAGGGCATATCCAACAGCGCCGGAACTTTGACTTCACAAAAGAGTGGCGTGAGCACACAGAAGGGAGGCGTCGACGGACCGCTCAAGGAGGTTGAGAAGCACGGATTCTCGGGGCTCTGGAACCATCCGGTGACGAGGTGGATATGGATCTCCACAACGAGCTTTGGGCAGCCGGTGCTTGCGATAGTAGGCATGATGAAAGGACTAACTGCTGGCACTGACTCTTTGCAGATGCTACTTTCTGATGTACTTGATGGCCCATGATCTCCAGAGCTTCTTTGTATGACCCTCCATTCCCCTGTTCGCCATGGCTCTGAATCGATGCTATCTGCAGGACACCGATGGCGGATGGGCTGGGCCAGGGAAAGACCAGTCTGCGCTCGTTAGCTCGATTCGCACGCTCGGGGCGCACCTGCCCTTCGACCCATCTCCTCGCTCATATCGCTGATTACTGCTTCTATCCCAATCGGTATCCCTGCGTTGCTCGATCGAAACCACCGCCATCACGACTCTGGACGGATGTCGACGTGCAGCTCTTGCGGCTGGAGGCACAGGACTATCGAGCACTGTATCACTCGCTGCATGCATCCTATCGCAAGAGCACAGCGCTTCGAATATTCAACTCATATTTATCGGCACACGCCGTCCTGCCGCTGCGATGGGGAAGCAAATGGGAACCGACCTTCCGGAAAGTCCTCACAACGATCAAATCCAATCTGGACGCAGTCGATATCACCCTCTACGACGAGCTTGGCTACCTGACCCTGCAGGTGCTGGAGGACATCTACGACGGCGCTTTCCCCTGCGACGATGTGCTCTTGCTGGCTGGACTCGCATCCGAAAAGGACATTACCGTAATATCCAAGCTCAACGACCAATCCGATGCTCCATTCAAGGATGCTCCTGCGTTCGAGCGCAGTGCATTCTATCAGGCTATGTGCACCGATTTGTGTATGTGTTTCTGCACAGCAGCCAGGCGTCCATCAACACCCATCGTTTGATTCTCAGCGCCGCATCCATCCGCTCCTCATTTTTTCCCTATGAGCAACACTGACTTACGCCCGTCCTCCACAACCACATCTGTGCAGGTGGAACAAGACATCTGACCACCGCCCAGTACAACCGCGCTGGGGAGAGGATCATGGACATGCCTGTCAACTACTTCTCGGACCCCGAGGTCGTCAACCGGATCATCCAAATGCTCGAGAGCATGGAGGTGGACTGCCACAACTTTCGAAACCGCGGGGTCCACCGAACGGGCAGCATCGGAAAGGTGAGGATCCTATTGCCACGCTGCATCGCTCGGCAATTCCAGCCAGGTTGATCAAGGCTCGCTGCTGCTGACTAACTTGCGCGAGGACAGCAATCGGGTTCCAAGTCTAAATCGCCTGGCCAGACGTCCAGCAAGTCCACAGCAATTATCGAGGAAGAAACACCGCCGCAGTCCTCGTATCCAAGCAAGACGTCCTCGAAGCGTAGTTCCTCGGTATGATCGCACCCCCCGAGCCCTCGCATCGGTGGTCAGCGAGCTTGGCGGTTTGGAAAGGAGACGGCCTTCTGTGGGGCTGTATAGGTTCTTTATGATCTTATATTGCGGCCCGGGTTGGTTGCTTCGAGGGCTGAGTCTCATGCGTAGGAGCACGCAGTTGTTTCGAGTGACTCATGCACACACTCTCGGTTCGCCGCACCAACGACACGAACGACACGAACGACTCGATGACACGAACCACACGAACGACTCGACGACTCAACTTGCGCAATATCATCCCGCGGCTGGGGCTGTGTCAATCCGGACTGGGCTCTCGGCTGCACCACCCGTGCTGTCCGAATCGGCGCAAGCAGCAACCAGCGGGAGGGTCGGGTTACTCTCTGCAGTTGCAGAAGATCATGGACACAGCACATGCTTTTATCCAACAATCTAGCCACGACAAGCGCTTCTGCGAGGCTTGTTTTCTCAGACTCTCTGCTCCCTCCGAAGAGCAGCCCCAGGCTCCGACTATGTACCAGTGTCAATGTGAGTCACACGCACGCGGCTGGCCCACCAAGTCGGCACATGGGCTGATGCGCATCCGTCCTGTCCCTCTGGTCTCGCCTTGTTTGTCCTGTCGGCGTGGCCCGTCTGACCAACCTGGTCCGTTTGCCATTAAGCCTGTGGGATCATATGCCACAAGACATGTCGGAACAAGATAGGGATGCCATGCATCAAGAAGGTTGACGTCGAGGAAGACGACGCAAACGAGGTAACCATTCGGGTGTGCGTGGCGCTTCAAAGTTGAGTCAGAAAGGAGCAAGGGCATGTGGCTCGCATTGGCCAAGGAATCGGGGCCGGGATTGCTCACGCTTGGCACGCATTCATTCACGATTTGCATATAATCCGCTGCGTCTCTGGTCTGGCCCTCGGATTTGTCGGCCGTGCCCCTATGAGCAGATGCACTCGGAGAAGGTCCGGAAGCTGACTGAAAAAATCCAGGCAATACAGAAGGAGGTCGACATCGAAATGAAGATCCAGGACGGGCTAGACAAGATGAATCGAGCAAAGACCGCGCTATCTCCGTCCAAGAAGAAGTCGACCTCGTCGTCTGAGCCTGAGCTTACTGTCCAGGCAGAGAACTCAAACAAGAAACTCGAGGTTCTCAAGCACGAGCTCCAGAAGTGCAGGCTTCAACTTGCGGCGCTGACGGCCGCGGTCACACCGACCTCGAACTACAACAAGTCTCTCGGCAGCATCGATAAGCTCCAGAGCAGCGACGAGCCGGACACATCAAATGTAAAGGCAAGTACGAGCACCGCCCCACCCCTCGTCGACATCGAGAGAGCGCCTGAGGCACTTGGACTGACCATGTGTCCTTATGCTGGAGCAGGATTCAATCAACAACCTGGATGAGATTCAGAAAGGCGAGGTCATCAAGCTTACGTCGGTTGACTCCCAGTCCAAGACCGAGTCCACAAAGGCGTTCTTTATCACTCCACAGATGACGTGCCGCGACTTGATTGTTTCGGCTATATCCAAATTCATGCTTCCTGGATTCGAGGAGGAGTACCAGGTGTTCTACCCCTCTGAATACGGAGGTCGGTAGACCGCTGTGCTGAGACCTCGATATACGTCGCCATTGCAACGGCGACACCTCGGCTTTGCCCGCACTGCACTGCGATTGTCATTATTACGAGCCACTGACACACTGACATGGTGCATTGCCCCCGCTTGGCTCGTGCAGACGTGCCCCTTCGCGGAGAAGACCACCCGTTGTCTCTCGGCACAACCCTGACGGTCAGCAACTTCAAGCTGGCAAAAAAGTTTGACTCGAGCCGACGGATGGTAAGGCTACGCAGCATGTGAAGCTGTGGATCTGGTTGCCATTTCAGTGTCACCCATCGATTGTGTCTGCGCTCCCCTGATCCACAGTCGAGCCAAAAGACCGAGTCTCCGGTGATCAGCAGCCATGAGGAACTCAATGAACAGCGAAAACAGATGGCCGTCGTCATGGAGATATGCGACACAGAAACGGCCTATTTTTCTGATCTAAGCAATCTGGTGGAGGTGGGTGAGACTGTGCAGCCGGGCAGGAGGGTGGACTGCAGTGTCGTGTGCAACGCTTGTCCCGAATCGCCTGTCTCGTTTGCAGCATGCTTGCTGATTTCGGTGGCGGTGCAGATCTTCATGAAGCCTCTTCTCAAGATCGGGCCAAACTATGAACCGGACGTCAGCATGATCTTTTCCAACATCCAGACGCTTTTGGCCACCCACGGAGACATATCCAAGAGGCTCAATCAGAAGCGCGACGAGTTGGTTGGAAACCTGACGATGGAAATGCTCGGCATATTCAAGGATAAGCTGGGCGAGTTTGATCAGTATGTGACATACTGCTCCAACCAGCACACAGCGCGGAGGCATCTCGCTAAAATGCGGCAGGATGTCAAGTTCAACTCGACTCTGCTGGTAAGCACAATCCGACAGTCCTTCGGAGACGCAAACCTCAGTGTCGGCAGTGCCATTTCACTTTGGAAGTGATCTCCTCTGGCCGCCTGCATCGATGGCAACACAGCGGCTCACTCGGCCCTTTGCTTCCAGATGTGCGAGGCCAACCCAAAGCTGCATAAACTTGCCCTGACCGATCTATTGGTGAAGCCTCTCCACCGAATCACACGGTATCCGCTGCTGTTCAAGCGGCTCCTCTCTCACACCGCCAAAGTTGCGCCCGAATACGAAATCACAAACAAGTTCATCACCGACTTGGACGCCAAGATCCAGCAAGTCAACGATGAGATCCACCTCAAGGAGGCCGCCTATCGCATCAACTACATTGACGAGAACATCGAGTTTCCGAGCGGGATCGAGGTCGGTCGCAGCAGCCGTGACAAACAGACATCCATGATTACAGCCTTGATTGTGGTGTAGGCACCGGCGGGCATCTTCCGACTCTGTCGCTTACTTGCTGCTCTGTCCGTTCTGCCCTGCCAGAAATTCAAGCTTGCAGATGCCGAGCGCGAACTGATATCAGAAAAGACCTTCACGCTGCTCAAGAAGAACACGGCTGTGTCATACGATATCATCGTCATGCTGTTTTCGGACCTGGTACTCTTGACCAAGCCGAAGAAGGGCGATCAGTTTGTTCTCCTCAAGCCACCGATCCCGTTCGAGGCGGCAGTCTTCCTCGACAAAACCGAGGGCTCCGAAGGTGAGTTGTGCAGCCACCCCAGTTGTTCGCGGCATGCCGAGCATGGCAGACCCTGCCACCATGCTCCTGGCCGATCGCTCGATGGCTCTTTGCGTCGTGGCTCGCTGCTTTATTCGATGGCAATGTACAATCCCTCGCTCTGAATCGTGACGCCAACAGATCCTGACTATATCCGATGGCACCGCAACATCGCAGGCCGCAGCCACATCTTCCAGATCATCCATCTGCAGCAGGAGGTCTATACCCTCGAGGCCTTCTCAGCATTCGACAAGAACTCGTGGCTGGGCGAGGCCGAGCGATTGCGGTCGTTGTTCTGCTGTGCACACCTCGGCCAAGAACGTGCAGTCCTCCAGCCCCCGCTCGAAGCATATACCCAGACCTCTTTTGCCGACGATGCCCTGGAGTTGCTGCCCTCTCCGTTGCCAAGCCCGCGGAAGAAGCCCAGCCCGAGCAAGCTCGCAGGGGAAATGGTACTGGCGTTTTCAGACCACGACGTCTCGCCAAACGCCCCCGCCGCGGTTGTCGAGCTTGCCCATGCCGAGCGCATCTCGGCGTGTCGTTCGTTCGACAGCCTGAGCGTGCACTCTCAGGAGGCCCAAGAGCCCGGAACCAAGCGCACGTCCTCGGCCGGATGGGGACAGATGTTCAAGGGCGTCAAGAGCTCGGACACCAGCAAAGACATGGCCCGGAGCCTGGATTCGCGCGGCGTCATCGGCAGCTGGTCTCTCACCCCAACCGATCGGGAACGCAAGCGCAACTCGTCGCAAACGCCCTCGATCCCTGGGGCAGGGACGCCGCCGACACCAAAGAAGGAGAGCAATCGCTCGGACCGCAAGGGCAGCGCACGGGCTGCGAATCCATGAGCCCGCCATGATCGTGGGACGTCGATGCACCGTAGTTGGTTGGGAGTCGCATCCTCAAATGAACGTAGAAAGCAATAATAGCCACATTCTGAGCCATGTACCCGTGAGTCGGCAGGTGCTGACTTGCCCTGGCAAAGGGCTAGCACGACATGGCCGGCAGTTTCGTTTTTGGCTTGAAAAGCTGTGTATTTTGGGCGGGTACTCTTTGCTGATACATGCTGGTGCATGGGTCAGTCAACGCTGGTACCGATACCCGAGACAGCTTCGCCGGTCGCATGTCCGTCGAATCATCGCAGCTGCGGCTCGATCGCGAACTTGGTGGCCCAGGAACCAAGCAAGTTGGCACCTTGCAAACCCCGGTCACTCGATACCGACACGGCTGCCGGTGTCGGTGACTATTCAGTTCATTATGGATGCTGTTCTGAAGCTCGCAGTTGGCAGTCCATCAGTGCATACGTGGTTTGAATGCGAAGAGCAGAGCTTGGCCGTCAATCTGGGATCGGGATCGTCGGGTTCTGTTGTTGGGGTTTGGGCTCGGTTCGGTGGATGCCCAACCCACGCTGCGTTGAGGCTCAGGCAGCCATGACTGAGGTTGGGATCTGGAAGGTGGACTCGGGATCGTCATCCTCTCGCTGGAATTCGTCGGGGTCGTAGATGACTCTGGAAGCGATGGGGGCGCAGTCGATTGGGGCCGCAAAGTGAGCGGGTGGTCGTCGTTGCAGGAGCCTCCAGTTCACGATGACCACTAGGCTCGGGTGCCACGGATTCAGCAAACTCAGTGTGCACAAGCCAACAAACCTGATGATGAGCGAGCAGCTCGGACATCGGCCAATTTCTTCACCATCGTAAATCTCGTCCTGGAGCGACAGGGTTCCAGAAGGGCGCTTAGAACAGGCGACAGGCGAGCAGCGTCGCCGGACGAATGGGAAGGGACGGACTGGGGCACGATTACGGAGAAGCTGTCTTTACCAGTGTGATCTGGAACTTGTCGCCACAGGGACAGGGATAGAAGTAGGTCTTGGACTCATCGTCAAAGTCCATGTCCTCGATTTCGATCTGGGCCAGCGCAGAGAAAGCCATGTGAGCACCGAGGCTCCACACAGGACACTCCAATTCCGGACACTGCAGCCAACGCACTGCATGCAGCCCGCTGCGATTACCTCGTCGTAAAAGCTGGTCATGGCGCCGTCCGTTCGGTGAGCGTCCTGATGGATGCGGGGCGGATGCGAGGCGGATGCAAGTCCAGGTCCCAGAACCACCGCCGAACCTGCCAGCCGTTTTTTGTGTTGGTCGCACAAGCGTGACCTCCGACCCGCACTCGACCCGCACTCGACCCGCACTCGACCCGCACTCGACCCGCACTCGATCAGGCAGCGCGCACGTGATGCCTTCGGAGCGGGCTGGGCTTCGCTGATGCATCATCTCCTTCCCTGCCCGTTCCGCACCGTCCCCAGCGAGCGAGCAACCAGAATCAATGTCGGACCCAAGCCCATGGCCGGCGCCGGATCAGGACGACCAGGATGCTGTCTACGAGAACGATGACTGCAAGGTCCTGACACAAGCCTGGATCAACGAACGATGTGCGCCCGAGCTCCTCCCGTTCGAAACCCAGGTCGTCGCCAACCTGACGGAGATGATCGAGGCGCAGGTGGGGAAAATGTCTGGGCCAAATGCCCGCCAGCGATCTGACTGCAACCTGGATCCGCTACCACGTACCTGTTTCCGGATCATTCAGTGCCAAAGACTGCCGCTCGCGGAGCCGTCGTGCGCTGGGCCATTCCCTGTCGTGCGAGTACGAGTGCGATTGCACCGCCGGATCACCCTGCTTAATCTGCGGCAGCATTCGCTGCAATGCATGATCCCATCCTGATTCATCCGCGGCTGCCTACTGGTGCGCACAGACCGAGTGCATCAGCGCTTTCAACGATGCCGAACGAACTTTTGAGGATACATTTGCCAACATGATGCTGGAGCAGGAGCTCGAGCGAATCAAATTCGTCATCAAATCGTATCTGCGGACGCGGCTCAGGAAGGTCAGTCGCAAGCAAGCCAGGCTTGAGGATCGCATGCGCTTACCCGATGCGCACGTTTGGCCGAAGGAACGGTGGTGGTCCGACGATCGCGCAATGCTGAGTGCTTTCCTCCTCTCCCATATCGATTAAGGATCACTAGATCCAGGAACACACATTTTTCATCCTGAACGAGGCCGAATACAGCAGCCGGCTGTCGCCAAAGGAGCTTGAGTTTGCACAGAGGTGGGGCTCGCAAGCTCAACGGGATCGATTGGCGGACACGACATGCTGCTTTCGTTCAAAGCCGATGGACTGATACAGAACGACTCGTTGGACAGATTCCAGGCGCTCCGGGATCACTGTTGCGAGCAGTCCTTCCTGAATACCCTGCCCCGGTCGTACCAGAAGCCGGAGGAGCGAGGTGAGAGCCAAAGCATGCAAATCTCCAGCGCCATCGTTGAAGAAAGCGATCCTATAATGCCACAAGGCGTCGAGCCCATGTTGTGGCTGAGGTGTCGCTCCAGCGAGATGATATTGACACGATCATCTCCATTCCGCAGCGACGGCACCAGACATGAATGAGGCAATCTTTTGTCGGATACGCGAGGATATCGGCGAGTTCCAGCTGATCGACAGGTACGAGTAGGTGCTTCGTCGATCGCGGCGATATGGGCGATTGTCTGCTGTATGGACTCCAGGACAATGGAAGGGGCATTCTCTTGGGGCAGTTTGTTTCCTGTTCTGAGTGAGTCCCCCACCACTTATTGTGATTCCTGGCATATGTACCCTCTCCATGCTCATACAGTCTTGAGACGATCGAACTACGGAAGGATGACCTGTACATTCTGCCATACCAAGCCATTCGAGAGCTGCTGAGGCGAAACCTTGTGGATCTCATCTAACCCAGACAGACAAGACTCACTGCTCGTGCACGTCTCGTCGCTGCCCAAGAAGCTGGTACAACTCCACCCAGGCAACTCGCACCCAGGCACTGGAATCGCTTGCGAGCAGTGGCGATTATGGCGCTCTGCAGCGATGAGCTTAGATTTGCGTCTGGGTGACCACGAATGGTGCATGAACCATCGCAGCAATGCTGGGATCTCTGAAGCGACCGATCGACACGAATACAGGATGACGCAACGCTTTTCTTGGAAAAGGGTTATTGTTCGCCGGGCTCGGTCCGCGATCGAGCGACCCAGAGACCCGTCTGCAACTGCCCAAGGATGCCAGCTCCCTGCGCGGTGGACTCGGACTAAGGCGACGATTGTGCACTCAGGGTGTGGCCGCCCACTCGGTGCGATAGCGTTTGAGGTCAAAGCTCGCATCCTGGAGCCGCTCACGCATGATCCTGGTGAGCACCTTGCTCTTGTACCTTTCCCAGTGCTTCTTGTCGATGGTGGAAAGATAAGTGCTCAGTGTTTGATCCTCTGTCCAGTTCCAGTACTCGGTCGAAGCCACGCTGCCGCTGAGTTCCTCGCGGGCACTATGAATCTGCAGGCACCCAAGCTTGCACTCGGTGATGGAGCGCACAGATATGCTGGACTTGGTTTCGCGGGCCGTGTTCATGACGATCGGGGCCTCGCCAAAGTAGTCGAGCTCCCGAAGGAGTCCGAGACGCACGAGGATGGTCGAGCCGTCATCCATGTGCAGCGACTTGAGGACCTCGCAGGTGCCCTTGATAATGAAGTGCACGTATGTGATGATCTGGTTCTCGCTGAGGATAAACTGGCCCTTGTCGCAGCCTCGGATGACCATGATGCTGGCGAGAAAGTGCAGGCGCTCAGACGTGAGTGTAGATAGGGTGCCGACTCGACGAAGGAACAGGACGTTTTCGTGGTACTGGAACTTGTGTGCGAATCTGGAAGGAAAATGGAAGTCCGAAAGGGGTGAATGTGTCAGAGCCCGATGCACCACCCGCTCTTGATCGGCATCGGGCGCATGTGGTTCGGTCGCCGTCGAGCGCTGTCAGCATCTCGGCCGGCCTGAGCCATATACCCCGACTCTGACCCGCGGCAGACTTGCCTGACAACTCGGTTGTAGTCGATTTTCTCGACCTTGAGTAGCATGCAGGAGCCAGCTGTCACGGCAGTGCCGCTGCGTGGGACCTCGTTCAGGAGCGCGAGCTCCCCAAAGCCGTCGCCGGCCTCGATAGTGGCAACGAGGATGTTTGCGTTTGTGCTGGAGTTGCTTGTCCAGATATTGACCTTGCCGGTCAGTACGACGTACCAGCAGGTACCGATGTCGCCCTGCGAGAAGATCACCTTGTTGTGGCCGCACTCTACCAGGGTGGCGACGGTGCACAGCTCCTTCAGCACTTGCGAAGATATGTTTTTGAAGGCCCGCTGGGCACGCAGGTAGGCGAATATGTGCTGGACATCCTTGCGCGATCGCCGCTCCCTCTTCCTCAACAAGTCGATGGTGTGGTCCAGCACTCGGCTGCCTCGGTCTGGTTGCTCCCCGGGACGCAAGGAGCCGGTGCTCAGCTTCAGCTTTGAATTGCTTCTGTCCGAGTCATCGCCGTAGTCCTCGTGAGAAGCTCGCGGCGTCTTGAGAGCGCCTTTGCTGGGTGTCGAGTCGGACCCATGGCGGATCTCAGTGACTGCGATGGTGGGGATGTCGATGTGGGCGACATGATCCCTCTTCCCGGAGTACCGAGTGAGATGCAAGGACTTGAGTCGCTTATCAAAGTTTGCATTGCGTGTGTGCGAACGGCTGATGATGCCATTGATGGTCTCGGCCACAATCGAGGGCAGCGACTCGTCCGAGGCATCGTTGCTGCTTCGCTGTCGAGGCTTTGCCGAGCCAGCCGAGCGAGTGTGCGAGTCAGGATGCGCATTTAAATGATGCGAGAGGTGGATGGGTCTGGCAGAGCTGCTCTCGCCGAGGATTGTGGACTTGCGTCGCTGCTTGGATGCTGTTGCGATCGTCGGCATCTGATGGGGCTTGGGTTTGGGCTGGTCCGGGGTCACGGATACGAGGAAGCCCTTCTTTTTCCGCTCGGCAGCAACCCTATGCAGATCTTGGAGATAGGACTGTCGCCGGAAGGTGCGACTGGTTTCCTCGGCTTCGGCCTGGGTGATGAAGCAGCTCTCGAGATTGTCCATGAAGACATCGTGGGTGAAGCTGTCTGCGACGTCCGGCTCCTGGTCCATGAGCAAGGAAAGGGGAACGTCCTTGTCCCAGAGCCGACTGGAAATCTTGCAGAGCTTATTGACGTCGACCTTGGCCGCGGCAAAGTACTGCGAGTAGGTGGTGCTTGGCCGCTCCTCTGCGTCGGGGCTCTCGTGCGGGTCGTCTCTGACAAGGCGTGGCTGCTGGCGGGAGACCAGTGCCCGCCGAGTCGTCGATGATATGGCCCCCGGGGTCTTTGGCGGGATACCCGCTGGGGCATTGAAGGGCTCGAGCTCGTCCAGCGCGAGCTTTTCGCACGGGTAGATCCACCCGCATCGTGAGTAGACCGAGTCGGGCACACTATTCCAAGTTGCGGCAAGCTTGCGGATATCGACGTGGGCGGCCATGTTCGACGAGCGGCATTCAGATCGATGGATCAGATCGCCGCACCAGCTGGGAGGAGGAGTGGCAGCCAGCGAACACTGCAGCTCGCTTCCCTCTTGACTGGCCCACAGCGAGGCATCGGCATCGGCATCGGCTTGCGTGGGAAGCGGAGTCGGACATATGTGTGCGGCAGCGCCACTCCAATCACAGACTCGATGTGCTTGGTGTACTTGGGCGCCGGCCATGCATGACACCGCTGTCGGTCTCGACCCACAGCACCGACCCACAGCATCGACCCATAGTCGATCTGTCCCATCGATCTGTCCCATCGATTCGTTATCGATCCATCGTAGATCTGTATCGGCGAACCACCGCGCCGATGCCGAACACCGCCGCGCCACATGTCCCCCGTGCAACGCTGTGCGACAGCGACGCGCCGCGGCCGTTGTGTCGCCGAACGGCTCTTTTGGGCTTTGGTCTCCATGCAAACGGCCGTTTGTTCTTTCGCCGTTTCCCTTCCGCCCATCTGCTGGCTTTGGCTTGCCCGTTCTGCTCGGCAAGTTTGCTGGCTCTGCCCAACCCGTCTGCCTCTGCACCCACCCGCGGCCCGTCCGAACCGTCTCGAACCGTCTTGAGCGTCCCATTCGCCCCAGCCTGTCCCAGACGCACATCTCGTCCAAGCTCCGATAGCCCGTTTTGCCTGACTCACCAGGATCCCCAGCAACGCAAGCCCCTCGCCCAGCCGTGGAAATTTGATTGCAATGTGTACGTCCTGCGACACGGCTCCCCTCCACTCCGAGCCAGATGTGTCGGGGTGGCTGCGCTGCAGCAAACTTCATGCCCGTTTGTCTGTCGAGACCCCGTGGTCGGACTGTTCGTCGATTTCTGGGCGGACCGGTGCACTAATCCATCCATCGAGATGCTGACTGGAGCTGCTTTCCTCCTTCCTTCATTGCTGCGGCCGCGCGGTTCTCCAGCCGACGATTGCTCGATTCTGGAGCAGTGGGTCCCTCAGATCCCCTGCTGCTCCATCTCCAAGAATACCACCAACATGCTGTGCAGCCCCAGCAACGGCCGGGTCGTGAGTCTGTATGTCTCTGTCTTGTTTGCTGACTGTGCCTCGTTGATGTGATATTGGAGCCGTTCTGCTTGCTTGCTTGTTCGTTTGGTCTACCCTGCTCCTTCGGAGATGTGCAGTGGGCCGCTCTGTGCTCTGGCTCCGGGGGTTCATGTCGTCCTTTGGTGCCCTGGCTAAGCCGATTCTGTTTTGGTACCTGCATCCGGTCGACTGGAAAACCCCCAGCAACTTCATCCAAGACTCCCGACTCAACGGGACCTCGATCCCCTCGCAGATTGGAAACCTCAAGGCTCTGCAGTTTCTGTTCGTATCTGTCCTGCCGAGGGTGTTGGTTAGGCTGGATCCAGGGGCAGGCAGCTTGATGCCGTATGCCTATTGGGGGTCGCTGTGGTCGCCAGTCCTAATCCTCGAACAACCCCCGTTTCGTCCCTCGGATTCGTTCAACTGCCCTTCTTCCTCACCGGCTCTCCTCACCGGCTCTCCTCACCGGCTCTCCTCAGCGTCCTCCGCCACAACAACTTGGTCGGAAGCATCCCCTCGTCGCTCGGTTCGCTGATCAGTCTGATCGAGTTGTACGTAGACTCGAAACGCATCGCTCTTAAGCCACCTGTCCGACAGTCTTATCCTGGTCGGGGACCTCGACCGCAGTGCCTCGGGCAGTGCCTCAGACCCCGTCGCACCACGAAGGCCGATATCACCGCCAGCCCGCTCTTGCGCCGCGCATGCCGCTGACTCTTTCCTATCAACTCCCTCGTGTTCAAAGAGAACTCTATGAGAACAATCTCTCGGGCAACATCCCGGCCGAGCTCGGCTTTCTCATCAATCTCAAGTCTCTGTATGTCGTTTATTGCTCGCGCACCACTGGGAGGATGTCAAATTGCCTTGCCATTGCAAGACCAGCATTTGCCAAAGTGACGTCCCGACTTTGCTCGCTGCTAACATCGTGGACATCGACACCCGCTGTTTGCCCCTGTCCAGGACCTTGTCCTCGAATGTGCTCACTGGCTCGATTCCCAACGAGATTTCGTACCTGACGAGCCTTGGCTCTCTGTAAGTCCTCACCCTCTGCCATGCGCCGATGACGTTGCAATTCTGAACAGGGCCTTTGTATGACGGGCTCGCAGGAGAGTTGCCCAAATTGACAGTGTTCGTTTCCACAGGAACTTGGCGGACAACCAGCTCAGTGGCTCGATCCCGCCTCACCTTGGCAACATGACCAGCCTCGAGCTCTTGTGAGTGGCTGCTTAATGCCCGTTCCATTCCGGCCGGCGCATCCGACTCGTTTCTGGTGGTGACACGATCAGCCCGTTCCCGCGAAGCGATGTAGTCGCCATCTATCGTTTTTACCTTCGTCGATATACGGCCTGGGACTGCAACTCACGTCCCTTTAACGAATGGCCGACTCTTTGGTCGTTGGCTCATTCTTCATTCACAGGTGGCTCCAAGACAACATGCTGACCGGAACCATACCTTCCGAGCTCCAGAGCCTCAACAGCCTGCAGTCCATGTGAGTCTGCGAGTCATTTTGCAACTCGGCGTGTCATGAGTATCCACAGCACACCGATGTTTGTTGCGACTGACTATTGTATCGCTGCTCCGCGCCGACGACGGGCCAACACTTGACCTCCACCAGCGAGCTCCAGAACAACAACCTCTCGGGCGTTATCGATCTTGATCTGCGATCGTCGCCCCACCTGACCGACTTGTACGTGGACAATCCAATCGGACCCGCTGCTTGTCCATCGCACGGGTCTTTTGCTCTGCCAAGCCACAGACTCACATTTGGCGAGCTTGGTGGCCCGGCGCACTAACGATGTGCTTTGTCTTGGCTGCCTTTCGATAGCAATGTCCAAAACACCGGGCTCACCGGCGTCGTCCGCATCTATGGCACCTGCCCGTCCAAGTTCAGCGGACAGCTCGGAGGCGTTGCGTGCATCAATGACGGCCGAACCATCATGGCTCCCGCCAGTGCTCCGGTCGGCGCCACTGTCACCCTCTCCACCACGGCTTTTGTTCTTGGTGGCCTGACGCTGGTGGGACTGGCGGCGCTGGGCCTGATCTGGTACAAGAAGCGCGATCGCAGCGGCTTCACGCCGGCCAGAGGACGGAATCGCTTGGTGCTCAACGCTGGTGGCAAATACGAGATCCAGAACGATGAACAGGAGCTCAGCACCATCGCAACCTCTTCGACCACTTCAAAGATCCCTCCCAGCTCCGAGGGCAGATTCTAGTCAGCTTGCAAGAGCCACCAGCGCCCCAATCCATGGAAGCCCATGTGCTGCTTTGGAATGAAGGAGGCAACACAAAGCCTCGAGCGGCCTTGTCGTCTCAGTTTGTTTCTATTCGATAGATGCCAGTGATGGAGACCTGCAAAGGGGCGCTCCTCCGATCGACTGCTGTCCAATTCCTCTATTTTTTTCATTTTGTTTTTACAGTTCACGCAATACGAAACGGAACACTCCGTTTTTGAGTCATTTTCTTTTGGGTCCTGAATACACTCCCACCATGACCAAATAACGTGCTAGTCTCCCTGGCCTGCTACCGCTGCTACTGCTACTGCTGGATATTGCCTCACATCTTATTCGGTGAGCTGGAGGAGAGTTATGGATATACAAAGCATTGTATTCTTACATCCACCGCTTTGGCCGACAGATGCACCACGCAGTCGGATTACGATGTTGGATGGAGCCCCCCCCCTGCTCCTCCAAGTGCCCATTCTCCTCCTCATAGCCAGCCTATCGAACATAGAACGCCCTGAACCGCTTTGAGCCCTGCCGAGAACCAGCACCGCTGCCACCTCGCCTGGAGTTGCCTGGCGGAGGACGCTTTCCCAGTGCGCGACCCCCATCGTAGTCGCCACCGTGATTGCTGCCGTCGTCATCATCGTCGTCATGTGGATCGTTATGAGGCGGATCTTTGGGACGCCGTCCGCGGCTACTCTTGGGTTCTGCTTGTAGCGGGCTCCAGACAAGACACCCCCGAGCTCCGCCGCCAGAATATAGCGTCTGCGGTGGCGGCGACAGCGTGAGACGACGGCGTGAACTCGCCCTCTGCGTGCATCACAGATAATCAACCAGCCCGCTCCTCTCGAACTGACCTGGCTCTTCTCTCGCAAAGCAATGCACCGAATGTGATCCGGAGCGCGATCCAGCAGCTGGACCGTTTCTCCGCTAAACAGATTGGCGACAAGAATCGAGCGGTCGTTGTTTGGGAAGAAAAGATACGGAAGCGACTGGTGGATGCTCGATACGATTGCAGGGAGGACGTTGGTCTTTGTCTTGTTTTGGATGGACTCATATCGGGTCTGCAGAGTGTTTGGTCACAGAGAAGAGGCGTGGAAGACGATTTAGAACAGGGCCCAGCATGCAACCACATCGACTAACGAAGCCGAGTCGCGACAATCACGACACTGTGCCAGTCCTTTGCACCTTCGGCCAGAGTTCAAAGGCCCCCATCATGCGAAAACTATGCCAACAAACCTTCGTCCTCCGTCCGGTCCATTGATCCCACAGACGAATCTCAGAGTCGAGACCGCAGCTGAGCAGATGCAGGCCATCGGAAGTGAAAACCAAGCCATTAACGGAGGCATTGTGGGCCGTGGCACCTTCGCTTCCTGCAAGAGCAAATGTGCCGGATGAGAATCGGGGGGAGGAGAATGATCAAAATATCAGCGCCTGGGTACGATTTGTTCAAGTGCACTACTGTTTGCGATCGTCCTTGCGTCAGTGCCCGAGCTCCAGCTGTGCGTTGAAACATCGCCACACTCTTGCCAGCGGAGTCGGCGCACACCTTCGTTGCGCTGGTCCAGATTCTTCAGGAACGCATTGCCCTTGCGGACATCCCACAGCTTGATCGTTTTGTCGGCACTGCACAGCGATTCTCGGATATCAGCCATCGACCGGAGTTCGCATTTGTCTCTCATCATCAAGCTGCAGCAACGATATGACAAAAGATGGAAGGCCATCGTACCTTCCTGAGGCAAGTAGGAATTCGTTGCGTGGGGACCACTGGACCGCAAAGATGTTGCCGCTGTGGCCTGGATACGCAGTCACAGATGTATGACTGCCGTGAGTACTTGGGGACACTCAACTCGCCGGTGCTGCTCGTCACCCAACGCACCGACCTCGCAAGGTGTGCGATGCGGCTCCTGTTCGCATGTCACAGAGACGGATGTCGGGACAGGCGCCGCCGGCTGGGCGACGGCGACGGCGACGGCGACGGTGATGGTGACGGTGACGGTGACGGTGATGGTGATGGTGATGGTGATGGTGATGGTGATGGTGATGGTGATGGTGATGGTGATGGTGATGGTGATGGTGATGGTGATGGTGATGGTGATGGTGATGGTGATGGTGATGGTGATGGTGATGGTGATGGTGATGGTGATGGTGATGGTGATGGTGATGGTGATGGTGATGGTGATGGTGATGGTGATGGTGATGGTGATGGTGATGGTGATGGTGATGGTGATGGTGATGGTGATGGTGATGGTGAATGAAGGGGGCGACGGTGGTGTGAGAAAACGAGAAAATCGAGCCGACTGTGCATACAAGCGTGTGCGAATGTGCCGGCGCTGTCAACGCCTATGCGGTGCCACCGTTCAGGGGGGATGGACCTACTTGCGATGAGTGAATGGGATATTCCGATGGAGCTGAGTGAGTGGCAATAGATTGGATGCCCGAGTGAAAATGTGCATGCAGCCTGGAAGCAGGTTGGTGGAGTTTGAGCCAGGCAAACGCCGTCGACCAAGGCAGCCGATTAGTGAGATGGCGGACGCTCCAGTCGATGCGGGACAGCTTCGAGCGAAGCGGTCTGGCGGATTGATACAGAAATGGGAGTGGATCCAGAGGAGCATTGTTTTGAGAACAGACCTGCATTGCATTGGTGTCCCAGACCCGAGTTTGGCCGTCGGTGGATGAGGTCGTGAAGATGCCCGTGTCGAGCGGATACCACAACACATTCGCGATGGCCGAGTCGTGGCCGCCCTGTGCTCTGGTTTGCAAACGAGCCGAATTGTCAAAGACCAACGGCCATCCATCCGTCCGATCGAGACGGAGGCATTGGGACTCGACGGGACTCGACGGGGACTCGCTGCCTCACCTTTCTACGGAGAGCAGCGAATCCAGCACTTGGTCACTGCCAAACATCGAGTCCTTGTCGTCCGGAGCTTGGTCAAGATCATAGATAAACAGCGATCCATCGGTCGATCCGGCGAGGAGACTGACGAGGTCGAATGCACCCGATCCAGGGTCAGCTTCGGCAACACATTGGCTCAGGCCAACTTGCGATATTTGCAGGACCAGCAGACAACTACGTAGCAGCAATGCCAACATGTATACCGCAGCAGCATGTATCTGAAAACCCAGCGGTACCACAGCGATCGCAGACATGTCTCGCCAGGTTTCTCAGGTGCGATCCAGCCCCGCGCGGAACTCACAATCGTTCATCGGTCCGTTCGATGGACAGCGATGACAACACGGCATTGTGTACCACACTCAGCGCCAGATATGGGTTGAAGCGCAGCGACTGGAGCTGGCGGTCAAAGTAATCGGACTTGAGCTTGCTGAATCTCCTGTCGGCAGGGATGGTGTGGGCGAGCCGCAGGGCGTTCATCGTGGATGGGGAAGAGCAGGGGATCGGTCTGGCACGAAGCGAAGGCGGTTGAGATGGTGCGAGGGCGAGCCAGGGCGGATGCCACGTGATGTGTGTGTGTGCATTCATCGCCGCTCGCCATGAACACACAGCGAGAAGACACTCGACAGAGACTGCTCGCACGGCCAGAGTCGTCGGTCGGTCTGTTTGGACAGTTGAACAGTTGAATTGTTGGACAGTTGGATAGTTGGATAGTTGGACAGTTGGACAGTTGGATAGTCGACGACCAGCCGACGGCAGCGTTACTGGGACAGGATCCAAATGTTCTTTGCGCTGCCAACCAGAACAGGGTGTCCTGTTTGGGTGTGCTGCATTTCGCCACAGCCCGTTGCCTTCATTTGCTTGGACCCGCATCTCCTTCCTGGCCCACACCACGCCAGCGTCCGCCTGCATCTCCCTCGCTGGCCCCTCCATCCCGTCACCAGCGAAGGAAGAGGTCAGCACTTCCCCGTACATCTGCGCCGCTCTGTGCCTCCATCGTCTGCGGGTCTCTGCTCATCTGTCTCTCGACCTCCTCATTGCCCACCAGGCGCCGCCAGAATGGATCCGACTTTGTCCAATGCAGCCGACATCGTCGACCTTGTGTATGCCACCGTCTGGACGGTCATCTTTACCCTCGCAGCCCTGCTTGTTCTGTCTTACCTGGTTGGCGAGGCCATCCGGTCTGCCTGTCGCCCAGCCAAGGCCGGCTCGCTGCTGCTGATCCTTTTTGCTGCAGTTGGTATGGATGCGAGCGAGAATGTGGAGGCTCCCCAGATGTCGCTCCTGCTTGAGGAGCGTTGCTGACCTGCTGTGCTCTGGCTGGGCTCCAACATCGTCGGCATCGCCGTTGTCGTCGCCGCCATCTCATTCTCATTCTCACTTTTGCTCTGCACATGTCTGGCTCGCAACGCAACCAACTTTTATCGGACAACCCCAGTGCGAGCTGTCGTCCCGCTGAGGCCCACGACCATCCCCGACATTGTCGCAACCAACGTCTTTTACTCTCTGTATCCGCTCTTCTTTTCTCAAATCAGTCTTCTCATCGTCGTGTGGTAGGTTCGGTCGGGCACTTGGTGGCCCTCGAGCACGTCGTCCCGGCGAAAAGTCTACGCTCTGGCGCCGATATCAAACACCGGTCCTGACTGGTGTCCCTCTGCCAGGATGGACTGGTTGCTCTATTTCCAGACCTCGCCAGCCGTCGGCCGCCAGCGGACCGTCTTCTGGCGACGAATCGGCCTTATCGCCGTCATCCTGGCATATTTCGCTGCGGCATGTGTGCTGGGGCAGTACAGTCTTGCGAGCGACATACCCGTTGTCGACGTCAAGTTCATATACTACAGCCTCGGGCTCTCGGTGCGTACGGAAGCGGTCTCGCCTGCCAGCATGCGTCGGATTTGGCAACATGTGCCGATGTGTCTCTGGCTCTTACCCTCGCTGTATTCGGACCAGGTCTTTCTCCTCCCTCTCTACATGAACTATGGCCTCAAGGTCCGGAGAGCACTTCGCAAGGCCCTGGCCGCCGGCAACCCGCATCCCTACGGCAAAGCGAATCTTGAGCACGACATATGCAAGGCATGTAGATCAATGTTGTGCTGATGAATGAACTTTGGCATCCCCCCCCCTCTCGATCGTCCGATTTATCCCTGCGCCTTTCTTGGTACCCTTGGCCGGAGCTGTGGTGGTCCTGTGTCCATGCTCACCGAGTCTTCGTTGTTTGATTCCCGACTTGCGGCCGGTCTTGTCAACGCTGTGCATTGAACCTTCACTCGATGTCGTGGAATCCTGTGGACTGGCGCACGACTTGGGATGCACCCACTGACGCTATGCGGACATTCTGCGATTGTGTGGACTGCCATCGTATGGACTGCCACCGTATGGACTCTATCGTATGGACGCACAGCTCACGATCTTGATATGGCTGCCGTGCTTGAGTGTGCTGGCGGGACTGGCGCTCAAGATGATCGACCTTGGTGTCATTCAGGACAGCGACATTGTTGGCTCCACGATTGGCCGAATCGCCTGGAGACTCGTCGAGTTCTTGTACATAGTCATCACCTCGGCCACGCTCGTGGATCGCGAGGTAATGGTCCCATCGCTATCCCGTACCCTCAATCGCTGTCCATGGAGCTGTGGTTACCTTTGCTAACCGTCCAATTCCTCTGAACTCCATGGTGGGCTGTTTCCCAGGTTTACCTGGCACCGGCGGAGCAGACAAGAGACTGCTCGCCTTTGTTTCTGGATCCCGAATGGAAGTCGGCTTTCCCCCACACAACCGAGCTCGTCGAGCCCGCGGGAGTCAGGGCAGCGGTTGCGTCGGCAGCCAACTCACCGCACGGCTCCAACAACGCCATCCTGGCCGGAATCTATCGATACACCGCCTTTCTGCGGCTGACACCGTCGCCCTCGCCATCCGGCAATCTAGGAGCGACGTCGCATCCATCGCATCCATCGACACCGACGCTGCCAGAGGGCGCCGGCGAGAACGACGATGACAGCCAGTCGTCTCACCACTACTCCACCGCCTATGGCGCAAATGTTGAAAAGGAGGACCTGTGCAAGCCCACTCTCGTTCTGGAGCCCAAATCCAAGGTGGCGCTTCGATAGAGGTGCGAAACGGCAGCGGTGTTCTCACTCGCCCCAAGGACCCTGCAACTGCAGATTGCTTTGGACACCCTGCTCTCCTCGACAGCGGACGCATCTGACTCTGTGGCAGTCGCAGATATCTCTTGGCCTGTTCTTGGACACGACCATGCTTGAGTTCGCACGCTCTACTGGCACCGCCGCCCCTCCGCCTGTATATACTCCATGCGCAAGAGCGGCATAATGGACGTGTGTCGAAACAGGCCATCACAGACCATCACAGACCATCACAGGCCGTCACAGGCCGTTTCTCGTCCGCTTTGCCCGTTGCTACCTCCAGTTTGTCTTCTCGTTTCCTTTTTCCCCGGCTTCCTTTCTTTTCTCCGATCCACCCTGTCTGCCGCTTGGCTCGGTTGCAGCTAGCTCGTTTATTATTCCGCTCTTTATTCCACACTTCCCCGACGGCTGTCTTGAGGACTGTTCATGTGTCTATCTGTTTCTCGCTCCTTCCAGCAACAGCGGCGGGTTCCAAATCCCTCTATCCACGGCGTAATGACTGTCCTGCCCGAGTCGGTCTTTGACCACTCTGTGTCCGCACGGCTGCCAATACAGGCTCGCACCACATTCGCAAGAGCCAACGCCGCTGTGCTCTGGTCACATCCAACCCTGCTTGATAATCCAGTCGTAGAGCTTGCCACTCTTGTTGGCATCGATGCGACACACCCGATGAGCGTCCTTCTTCTTGAATGGGCCGCGGGTTTCGTATTCCAGAATGAGGGCCTTCTTGCCCTTGATGTACGTTCGGGGGTTGAGCGAGATGCTGGTGCAGAAGGCTACTTCGTCGGAAGACAGCTCGGCGAATCCCTCGGTCAGCTCGGTGATTTCGAAGGGAGCCCGGGCTGGAAGACGGCGTGAGAACCATCGGCGGCCATTGGGAGTGAGCGGTGAATGTTAGCAGAGTGGTCAATTCAGCGATGCGATATCGTCGAGTATCACTGCGCAAGAGGGGAGGGCGAATCGACCTGCAGGCATCTTGAGTCAACACAAGTACTTGGCAACCCGGTACTGACAGCAGCATCAGAGGGCTGTCCAGCGGCTAGCGACATGGACAACGCTTTGCTCTCTGTCATTTTCTCTCTTCCTCATCCACCCATCCTTCTCCCAGCGACAAACCTCGTGCGTTGCCCGGGCGTCCTCGCTGTCGACGACCGCCGCCACGAGTCTTTTCGGTCTCCTTCAAGATCATGTCGGCATCCTTGAGCTGGTCCTGTTCCCGCTGGACGGCCTCGAGCGCGCGCTTACGGTAGTCGAGGTTGTAGAGCAGGATGGCCGGGTTGTTGAGGAACTTTTCGTACACATCGAGCCGGACAATCTTGTTGCGTTCCTTGTCGGACAGCATCGACGACGGCACCGATCGCTTGGGCGAGAGCTGCTTGCGGCTGGTGTGGTTGAAGGGTGCATGCGACCGGCGGTAGTTCAAGTGCAGGTGGTCGTCGTGGGAATTGCTTGACTTGGATGGGCTTGGAGTACTGGCGGCTGTGGTCGGTGCAGATGTCGAGGGCGCCATCGCAGCGGAGCAGGCAAGTGGCAGCCGATGTGTGTGTGGAGGAAGGGAGGCGGAAGGAAGACGGCAGGCGAATAGGATGCTTGTGCAAAGAGGTATGATATCACGGATGTCGGTGCTGGGATAGTGGTCCAAGCGTCTGAGATGAACAAGCCAGGCGGGAGGGGCTTGTGCCTGGGTTTGGAGGTGGCAACGATGCACACTTTGAAGCATGCCACCGCCGCTCAGGCCGGGCAAGTGAAGAGCAATGGGGGTCGGTCGAGCCTCGTTCGCACACTAGCAGGCGGGAGAGGGGCTGAGCACATCTGTTGTAGATCGCTGGAGCAAATGTTTGCGGGTGCCAGGATCTCGCGGAAGCAGACCAGCCATCGTGGAGAGGGCAAGCCCAGCACCGAGTCGAGTCGGCTCAAACTCTGCAGACAGAGGGGCCGCACTCCTCCCCCCCCCCGACAACAGCGAGGCTGGCAAACATTTGCGCTCTGGTGGTCGGTCGAGCCAGTCGAGTACTTTCAGAGCCCGACAATCGATCGAATCAGCGGCGAAACCGGACTGGCAGTTGTCGAGTGCTGACAGTGTTCGGAATTGGCTGCCCATCTCCCCCCCCTTCCATGAGCGATGGACGGGTGTAGAATTGCAGATCAGGACTACTTTCGATCCACATGCAATATATTCCAGTCGGTTCCGTATTCCCGAAAATCGGCGGTCCCGAGAGCCTCGCCGCCCAAGCTCCACGCCTACCCCAACTCACTCGTCGAAACCAATGAGCCGTCTGCCCTGCGGTGTCAAGAGCGGCCGCCGCACCGGATTCAAGCTCCTGTGGCTGCGTGGAGGACCAAAGCTGCGAACAGGTACCGGATAGTGCGAGGTTGTCTGCAGATTCTTGAAAGCCTCGATGCGCTTCTGGAGATCCGTTTGCGAGGCCCGCTCGCGCGGCACCATGCAGACATAGAAGACCATGCGAGGGTTGCTGGGCATCGCTCGCAGGCTCTGGGGCAGCACCGAGCCGCCCTCATGGACGAGCCTGGAATCCCACAGGACCAGCGAGCCGGCAGCGGCCTGGACAAAAGTCTCGCGGCAGCCGCGGTTCAGGTGGAACTCGGGGTGATCGATAAAGACAAAGTCGTTGTCGTTCCGGAATGGGTATTGCTTGAAGTAGTCGTCGTAGTGGAGATGCGAGCTCTCGATGAGATGCAGCGACGAGTCGCCATGGTGCACATCATACAGGGTGACCAGACCCTGGATACACTGAAAGCCTGGCTTGGTGCGGCCTTGGTCGACATGGAGTCCTTTGCCTGGGACTCGGGTGGCTTCCTCGCCTTTGGCATCCTCCTGCATGTCGGTCGGGAGCGGCAGGTGCACCGACAGCCCATCGAACGAGCAGATGAGATCGGCCGGGGGCGTGGACCACAGGCGGGAGAAGGCCTGGACGACGTTGGGGTGCTGGCGGACGTCCCACAGCGACTGCAGGTGGCCGATATCGCCTCGGTGCAGCAGCATGTCTTTGAAGGGCTTGAGAATGCTGCGGTACTGAGACCAAGTGCTGGCATTTTCATGGTCGAACTCGTTGCGAGTGATGTGCTTGAGTCCCCTCCAGGTCTGGGCCCGCAGCGATTCGCATTCTTCGGGACTGAGGACGTTGGGGATGACGGCGATGCCAATGTCGGAGAGCTGCCTCATGGCGCCCTCGAGATCGACATCGTAGTTCTGGTAGATGCGACCGCCAGGGCTGGGGGTGACGATGGATACGGACGCCATGTTCATGACGTTTGGTCTGCTGTGGGGGGCGGGAAGATGGCAGCAAATGGTCATCGGCTATATATCAGAGCAATGCGGCGGCATGGGACAGCAGCACACATCCAGGGCGGCAATGTCTGGTGTCGGATGCGGGACAGCAAAGGCGCAGCCAAGCCAGGGCAGGGAATGACGGCGCATGCACAATGTGGAGACGACTCATGGATGACATGAAAACGACTCATGGACGATACGGAGGCGGCTCACGAAGCGGCCATCCACCCCCCCCCCACAAGATAGCACCGTCGCAGTGTCCAAGCAGATCGTCTCATGTGGATCGCCCTCGTATATTCAAGATCATGCTGCCCAAAACAGTAATGCTGGTGGTGGGATGATGAATCGAACAACGGCCGCTGAGATCGATGGATGAGCTTCGTATTGCGCGGCAGCGATTCCAGGAATCTCGGGGCGGCGTTGAGATTCTTCCTCTCTTTCTCCCGAAGAGCTGTAACAGCAGAGTGAGGTAAAGTGGAGGGGCCAGTGCAGCTGCAGTGAGGTTCTGGATTGGGCTGAGAAGGTGGATATTCCGTTCTTTTCTTTTTTTTGGATTTGGGAGAAGGAGAGGCAGGAGCAAGCGCATGAGAGCACATGAGAAACACGAGAGCAGAGGAAGTAAGAGAGGGAGAGAGGAAGAGAGGAAAGAGGAGCCGGAAAACAGGGAGGAATACGCGAGTGAGAAGCAGGCAAATTATGCCAGACGGGCAAACAGAGTGCAGGGCAGCCGGGGAGGCTTGCCACGGGAAGAGTACAACAGGATAATGATTAAATAGGCGAAAGGCGCAAGATTCGCGCACACACACTGAGCACAAGATGGAGGAGCAAGAGAGGGAGGGGGAGGCGAGTCCCAGACCACTCTGGCAGCCGGTTGCATCGCCCGAGCCAGCCGCCGGATTCAGTCAACGCCATTCGGTTGGCTGGGTTCAATTCAGACCAAAGTCCAGCTGGGCACGGGAGCTCAGCGGCGTCCAGTCCGAGCTGGTGGCGGGGATGTGATCTCGGGGCAGGTCAAAGGACCACTTGGGTCCGCTCGAGATGATCGGGTCCTGGTTGACCGGCGGCACATAGTCGAAGTCGTCTGGGCGGAAGGTCAGGCCGCCGAGGCCCATCGAGGCCGGGTTGGACGGTCGGCTCGAGTATCCGGGAGATCCGCTGACGGCGGCAGCGCCCATGATGATCGGAGCATCAGGAGCAAAGCCAATGTCGTGGCTGAACATGGACGACTGGTTCGCCTGGAAGACGCGCGAGAGCTCCTGCTGAAAGGCGAGCTCGCGGGGCAGCGGCTCGGGAGCCTGCAGACCGCTCGACGAGGCAGTCCACGAGAGCGCAGATCGAGAGTCAGAGTGGGGAGGCGACAGAGAGACGATGGGGCCGGGCACGGCAAAGGGCCGCTGGGAGGGCTGCGGCTGCTGCATGTGGCGCAGGTGAGGCGAGGTTCGCGGGGTGTTGGACTCAGAAAGCGTCAGGGGGGAGAGGCTATCGACGAGCGAGGACACGTCGCCGTCGACATAGGGATATCGGTTGGCCGCAGCGGGAGCGGGGATGCGGCCGCCCAGGAGGGGGTCCATCATGCTGTTGTTGCGGCGGTCGTGCACCTTGGAGACCTCCTGCAGAATATCGGCGCCTTCGTCCGGATCAAAGGCGACGCTCGGGTGCGCCGCCGAAGACATGGGCTGCCAGAGCCGGTCCTCGTTGCTGAGGCGGGAGTTCATGTACGAGGCAGATCGGCCCCAGGGCATGGTGGGCACAGGCGGGTTGTTGTGCTGGCCAAGCTCGATCGAGGACACCTTGCGCTGGTGGCCCCATCGCTGCATGACCTTCTGAGGCTCGCCACTGGGCAGAGGCGACTCCTTTCGGAAAGGCGGGTTCATGAACGACTGGTGCTCGACATCGGCGGCTGAGGCGCGGCGATGATGGCCCAGGTGCACGCTACGCTGGAAAGGCGCCGACAAGAACGACTGCTGGTAGGACTGGATGGGGGCTTGGTGGTTAGTGACAGAGGGAGGAGCGACAGAGAAGGGTGCGATGGTAGAGACGGCTGTTTTGGCGAGAAGGTCGTCCGAGTGGTCTGCGGCGTCGACGGCGGGCTTGACGGCATTCTTGGCGAAGCTCACGACAAGGTTGGTCTGGGCACGCAGGATGTTGCGCGCGGCGGCAGCGTTGCTGTCTTCGTCAAAGTAGGCGTAGCCGTACTTGCCATAAAAGTGGACGCTGAGGAATCTGTATGAACGGTGACAGAAGAGTCAGACTGTGACGACAGGCAGATGGATAGAGAACAACAAGCAATGCAACAAACGAAGTAACAGGCAATGCAACAAGCAATGCAACAAGCAAACGACGCAGAAAGCGAGACGCCGTGCATACCCGCTGAACACCTTAAAGATCTTGGTCATCTCCTCTTTGGAGTAGTTGGTCGGCAGATGGGTAATGTGCAGGGTGCAGCAGGTGATGGGATCGTCGTCGGGCTGTGGATAGGGCACTTCGTAGTTCTGCTTGGCCATGTCAAAGTTGACGATGCCGTTGGGGTAGGGTCTCGAGAGGGCGCTGGCGGCGCCTTCGGGAGACTCGAAGCGCACAAAGCAGTCTGGCGAGGCAGAGCAGTGGTGATGGTGGCGCGTGCCGACATGGGAGAGGCGATTGGAGAAGGGGCAAGTAATAGGACAGCGATGGGGTGATTAAAGGCCGAGTCGGTGGCAGACGAGGGAGGCGGTAGATGGACCGGTGGGGTCAAGCACATGCAAAGCCTGTGCCGGCGCAGCCAATGACGTGGAGGGCAAGACAGCCACGGCAAGACAGCCACGACGGGGGGGACAAGGGAGACGATGCGAATGCAGCAGCAGCCGAGGGCGGGCTCGTGGAGACAGATCGACCTGCAGCAGTCGACACAAACAGGCGACAGAGAGACTTACAGTGGTCGTAGAAGGCCATCAGCTTGAACTCGGGATAGGTTCGGAAATGGACAAAGAGATCGCCACGGTCGGTGATGCCTGGGCGGTAGGCCACATGGATGGTGTTGGTCATGGTCACGGGAGCAGCAGGAGGAGGCGACGAGGACGAGACCGACTGGGCTCTGTGGTGGCCTCGTGCGGGAGACTGTCGGCCGACGCTGACGGAGGAGGACGAGGGCAGGGTTGGGGTGGAGTGGTTTTGCTGCTGGTATAGTGATGGGGGAGACGACGCCTGCGGCTGCTGCGGTGTCTGCGAAGCCTGCGAAGGGAAGGTATAGTTGTCATAGATGGATCGCAGTTGCGGCTGCTGTTGCTGAGGCTGTTGGGTCTGGCTTTGGGGCTGGCTTTGGCTCTGCAGCGACTGGGGCTGGGCCTTCATCACCGAGATGAAATCGTGCGAGTGAGATCGAGCGTGCCGCAGAAGCATCGACGGGGTTCGATGGGGCAGCGGCTGCAGAGAGTCGTTTCCAGACTGGCTGGTGTGGGGCATTGTTGCGGGAGATGGGGGGTGCCTGGGAGTGGCTGGAGATGCCTGGAGGTGCGGTGGATGCGGGTGAGCACTTTGCGACTGGGAGATCCTTTGGGCTTGGAGCGATGCCGGCAATAGCGCCGCGGATTGGACAGGAGACTGGGCGGGAGTTGGAGGATCCGACGAGCTATGGACGAGACGGAGATCCTCCTGATAGGGTCGAGTAGACGGCGAGGGAGGGAGAGAGAGAAGGCGATGGGCACGGTCAGATGGGGGTAAAGTCGAGTTGTGAACACGGAGGCCAGAAGGTCGATGGACCGATGCGAAAAGGGAAAGGCTGAGCGGGGACCGAGACAGGCTTAAGTAGCAGGGCTGTGGGAGAACTCAAGAGAACTCAGAGGCTCGGGCGAGGTGACAAATAACAGACCGGGCCAGAAATAGCCCCAGCGAGAGCAGTGCGAGAGCGCAGCGAGGACCCGCGGCCACAGCAAGAGTGCGGCGCGCCAGCTGCAGAGTGGCTGCGCCGCGGGAGCGAGGTGCAGGCGAGGTGCGGGCGAGACGGGCGGATGCGGGTGGGAACTGTGTTCCGGAGCACACAGAGACAGCGCAGACACTGCTGCCGAGACAGGGTTGCCAACAAGCGCATCCCAACCAAGCGGCGTGATGCCGGCCAACAGAGCAAGGAGCAGCAGCACCAGCAGGCAGCCGGCAGTGCCAATCGACACACGCAGCCGGTGTTGTGCTGTTGTGCTGTTGTGCTGTCCTCCCCAGCACCAACAAGAACAACAACAACAACAGCAACGGCACTGCACAACGCGCCGAGACCCACGCCCTTGCCGCAGCCAACAAGCCGCGCCGCCCAAAGAAAAAAACGCTCCTCCTGCTGACGTAATCCGGAGGCGGCCAATGCTTGACGGCTGTGCGTCCGCGCCACAGCGGTGGCGGTCGCCGGGCGCGTTACGGGCCTGTTCCAAGAAAAGCCCTTGGCACGGGCCCTCTTGCCGGTAGATCTGCTTGGGGCTCGCCAGAGGCATTTTCCCGGAGGCGATTCCCAGCGAAGGACGCGGTGCTGTGCGGGTTGGTGGTCGATGAGAACCAGAGTACACCGGCATCTGGAACCGGCATGCGGGCGCCTGAATCGCGAGCCTCCAGTCTTCCTCCAGAGAGAAGCGGGTGCTTGGCGCATCGAGACGGAGCCGGTGCCGTGGCTGGCGCATCTGGCGGAGCGCCCAGTCCACGCAGCCGGCGTGGTCAGCACCGCACCCCGCCTTCGCACGGATCCCTTCTCCTTCACCTCCCCTGCAGGCGTCTGCGCCTCCGGTCTGCCTGTTGTCTCTGGCTCGCGTCCTGCATCCGCTCGGCCTCAAGTGGTTCGCCTGTGAGCGTCATCGCCTCCCCCTCCTTGGCGGTCCCTGTCCACACCCGCCCACCTGGTTCGCGCGTGACCAGTCTCGAGTGGAGCGCCGTTCTGGCCCGGGCCTGCGTTGCCACCACAATTTTGTGCGGGCTGTGTCTGTCCAGGGTGTCTGTCCAGGGTGTCTGTCCAGGGTGTCTCTGTCCCCCTCCCTTCCCAAAGAGGCAGCGTCGTTCGGTGTGATGGCCGACTCGCAGGATGTCTCAAGGCCCTCTTGGTCGCAATCAGCCCCCTGGGAACACACGCACCCGTGTATCGACATGGCGCAATGGCGTGTGCACAGAAAAGAGCAAACAGCGGAGGCAAATAATGCATGGTGGCTCTCTTTCATTTTGTAGCTGCTGCATTCGACCACCACCATCCGCCTTCCTGGCCGAGAGTTACGCTTATCTGGGTGGCGAGGCCCCTGATCGATAACCGGTTCCGCGGCAGAGGCCATCGATCTTGCATGGCCTCACTTGAACAGCTCCGAGGCCGGCGCCAAGTCTTGAGGATCGTGCACTTTCCTGGAGGCACTTGAGGTGTTGGAGAGGGTCCGTGACATGACCAGGCCTCCCACACCCATCGACGGGGACAGCGCCGCTGTCGGAGGCGAAGGGTGAGGATGAGGATGGTATGCCGCTCCAGGGACTCTCGCTGTGCCGTTGCTGGCAGCGGGAGCACCCGTCGCAAGCCCCGAGAGCTCGTCGAAAAAGTGAGTAGAGTTGCCCACCGCCGCCGCCGCCGCCGAAAGTTGGGGCGACCGTCCCGGGTGCGCCGCTGGACCGGCGATGGCCGGTGGCAGCGATGACGCCGTCGCAATGCTTGCCGAATGGTATGCTTGCGGGTGTCTGGGCAGACCAGATCCGCTACCGTACCCGCGGGTCATTGGCGGGGCGGATGCCAAATCGGTATGCAGATCGGCCGATGGCGACTGGTCCAGCAGCGGCTTGGTCGATTCCTGGGTGGAAACCGGAACGCCAGCTTCAATGTGCGGCAGCGGCTGGGCCGCCGAGAGAGCCGGTGACGGCTGAGACTGGTAGTCGATGGCCCGCAAGAGCCCGCTGGAGTTTGCGGCGTGGGATTCGTAGGCCAGCAACGCAGCCTCGTTTTCGAGATACATTGGATGGGATTCGTGGTGTCCGTCGACGTGATCGTGAGGATGGCCATGATCATGGCCGTGATTGTGATCATGGTCGTGGTCGTGGTCATGGCCGTGGTGGTGATCGTGATCGTGGTGGTGATCGTGATCGTGATCATGGTGTTCATGGTCATGGTCGTGGTCATGGTCATGGTCATGGTGATGATCGTGGTCGTGATGATCGTGGTCGTGGTGATCATGGCCGTGGTCGTGATCAGCGCCCGTCGGTTGAGCAGAGTGTTGGTGGTGCTCGCGCACATAGTCCCCAAGCATATGCTCCAAGCTATCCTTCTTGCCCGTTTGGCCGTGGAGCTGGATCCGATGCAGGAATCCATATCCAATGTCGCATCCAAGGCTACTTGCGCCCACCCCCCAGATGCCATTCAAGTTCAAAGTCAGTCTCTATCCATGGAGCCACAAGCGCAAGGATTTACTCCTGGATGCCACGGCGGTGCCGAAAGCGCGACGCCTGTTGCTCGTCCTTAATCGGCATTGACGTCGACACCGCCGTCTTGATATGAAATCAGCAGTCATGCTCGCACACACGTGCTTACCTGCCCGCCCCGTTGGGTCCTTTTGGAAATCACATGTGGGGCAGCGATCGCAGAGTCAGCATCGCCTTCCGGTCGCGCTTCGTCGGCACGAACCTGTGGCCCACCGGACTCAAAACACAGCATCGGCACCGTATCCTCTCAATCGCGTGCTCACCTTGAGTCGGCGCAAGAATAACCTCCCGGATCGAATCGAGCTCCGAGTTGTAAACGTACAGGCGCAAGGGGATGCCGAGATTCTTCTGGATCATCAGATACAAGTCATCCGGCTCGCGCAGGGTAAAGTGCGGTGTACCAATGATATAGTCCGTCTGGGCCTTGAGTCCGGCGACCTCAGCAGGCGAGTCAGGGTGGCTGCCAGCAAACCAGTCGTGTGGAGATCAGAATCGCCGGTTCATTCTATGCAGCTCTTCTGGTGCGATACCAGGAACAGCTTCATGAGTGCCTCAGTGCTCGAGCGCCGTACAGGCGCTGCGACAATCTCAAACGTTGCTCCCTGGGCGGCTTCGTCAACGAGAGAAGCCTTAGTCGCATCGATGTTCACTGAAATCCAACTTACATGTCCTGGAATGTGGTTGCGTTTTGGGAAATACGAAGGGACAACTATCAGGAGGTGCTGCTGCTGTGGACAATTTAGTCCAATCAGCGCATCTGCGACCGCCACGCACAATCGATACCACTGCACACCATTGCATGCTGCTGCACACTCTGATCCTCCCATACAGCCCGTCGTGGCGATCCAGCGAACTCAAGTCGCGTGGGCAACAGGCTAGATATTATGCGAGACAGCTGCTCTGAGCATGGTGCCGCATCGAGACCTTACCAAAACGTGCCACACATGATCCGCGATGCCTTCGAAATCACAAAACCTCAGGTGGCAGCCCACCAGGCCATCCTCCGGATACGACCACGTGTTGGAGGGCACAATCTTGACCTCTGTGAACAGCCGCCACAAACGAGCATCGGGGGTGAGCGAATGTTGGTTGCGCACAGAAACTCATGTCCCATAACAACCGCTCGCCAGCAGCCGTCATTCCGACACGGCCGCTGCATAGCTTCAGTCAAGTGGCGTGCTCCCCCCATTCTGCGCTTGCCCAAGGGCCCCAAATGCTGTGCCCAACACAAACCTCGGATCGAATGCAGCTTGCTGCTGTACACATCCAGGGAGACGGCCCTGCCCAGGCTCTGCGAAACCTGGCTCAACAGCGTTGGTCCTTCTGTGTCCTATGAATCGAAACAGGGAGTTTGCATCGCATCCGTATCGTTATTTGGAATTCGAGCGGTTCGCGAACCGCCCTCTCGGACAAAGTACCCGAACTCTAAACGGGAGCATCCTGGCCGGGACGTTGCGCGATCCAAGCTCCTGAACGAGACTGTGCATATCATCGACGACATAGGCTCCCGGTTGAGCTTACCAGTCGCCTGGCAATTGCCAATAGGCACCAAGAGACAGGCGGTGCATACCGAGCATGGAAGCAAAGCAGAAGTCCAGTACGGAGGATACCGAAGAAGGCACACAGGGAAGCGAGGAGAGCACAGGATCACAGAACAGTTAGGCACATCGTCCGGGCACATTGGCTCGCACATGCAGCGGCCCAGCTTGTGTGGTTCCACTCTGCGCTGGGGATCGCTCGACGGATGAACGTACTTTCCGTTGACACCCATAATAAAGTCAAAGTAGGGCTCCAGCCCGGCAATGTCGGCGGGGCTGCCTTCGACGACCTGCATGGCGAGAGGATGGTTCAGTCGGCCTCTCCGGGATGCGGCGAAGAGCCGGGTATCGGCGGTTGTGCGGGTGAAAGTACTGGCCATCATCGGTTGGTTGATCCGCCGTCACTGGCTGACATGGATCGCCCATGGCCGATACCATCGACACTATATTCCAGATAGGGACGAGACGGAGCTCAGTACCTTCAGCACATGGTATCCCCGGCTTGATCCTCCAAAAGTCGATTGGTTGTTGCCCCTGTCGCATGGGCGTCAAGAGCGCCGTGGCCAAGGGTCCCGCAATTCAGATGATTTTGATGCCGCCGGTTCGAGCAGTCGACGCATTCGTTTCCACCAGCGATCGTTGTGTGCAACCGATTAGCGGACAGGCAAGCGACCCTAAGCCATTCGCTCGGATAGGACCCAAGCTCAAGCTCAAGCTCAAGCTCAAGCCAAATCTATGTGGGTGCAGGTCCTTGTGCACGCACCGAGCTGCGTTGGTGCTGCCTGCGACGGACAACAGCACGCCGTTCATGCATCACACATCTGCGGCCTGAAACACCCAGCCGCGCGGCACTTACATTGTCGGCAGTTGGCACTCGGCAGTCGCCCAGGGGCTCGGGATCGGGAGGAGGTCTGTCGCGGCAGACGGAAGCAAGAGCGAGCGACAGGCCCAGCAACACTGACCCGCCAAAACAGGCAATGCCGGGATGACTGAGATCTGGCTGGAGCCGCCGGTTCGAGTCGGCCCTGACCCTTGCTGTTTGCTGGTTTGCTGGGCTGCTCTTGGCTCTGCTCCCATCAGCTCCACGTCGCCACGGCCAGGATCTGCATTCGCTCTGCTTCGCCGACCATGGACCGCAACCAAGCCATTGCCCAGTTTGTGTCTATCAACGGCTGCACACCCGAAGTTGGTAAATAGAACGCTGCGTTCGCTGCCAAAGGGACGACGGCCATTCACATCGGCTCTTTTTGCTCCGCGCATCTGGCTATCATGCCATCCGCTGGGATGGGGTGGCCTGGATCGGACCAGCGGATCGGACCAGCGGATGGCTCCGCGGATGGCTCGACACCAGAGGCAGCTCAGACGACTCGTGTGTCGATCGATACTGACCACTGCCTATCCGTGATCACTCGATGCGCTTTACCCCATCGTCTGGGCACCAACATTGTCCCAACCACGCTGCTGCTATTCGCTTCCGTTGCCCGTCGCCGTCGGCTTCTTGGCCGCCTCTTGGTCGACTCTTGGCCGCCTCTTGGTCGACTCTTGGCCGCCTCTACCAACGGAAATCTTTCCCAGCCGAGTTCTACCTCGATGCCAACCGCGATGATCTGAATGTACGCTGACCGATCAGACCCCATAGGACAGACATGCTTTGAACACGGCCAGACATCCACCCCGACAACCGAGGGACACTGTCCGAATGCTGCTCGCCGCCCTGCATTGTGCACGCCTGGAATCTGCTCATGATCAATCGCGAGGACTCTGTGGCTGACATGCTCTGACTGTCCTGCATCGTAGGCCGCCATGCTGGCATACCTCGAGAACCAGGACAACAATCAGCACGCTGCTGCGACCGCCTCGTCGTCTTCGTCGGCCCCGATTCCCCAGCCGGCTGCCTCTGCCTCTGCCTCTGCCCGATCCTCTGGACAGGAATTTTCGGCCAGGTAAACATCCACCATGCCGTGCATGATGGAGAGCACAATGCCGATCGAGCCATCGACCAGCGGTTGGTGAAACAGTCGCTCATAACCCCACATCGCCGCACCTCCTCTCCCATTCCCTATCTCAATAGCCAGAAAAAGTCTCGATCGGGTCCAAGCTCCAAGTTGAGAACCTTTTCTGATCTCAACCAGGACAGCAGCGAGGACGACGGCGATCGTGACGAGCTCCAAAACTACTTTGCCGGGGGTGAAAAATCGTGGGTATCCCAAGCACATCAACTCCCATCCTTCTTCCACAGCAAGAACCTTTGTGAATAATCAAAGCACGAGAGAATCGAGACGGACAGGCTGTCGCCGAGCAGCGATGGCTGTGACGTTTGCTGACACTTGTGCTTTGTCTCGATGCTTCGACGTCCATGGCTCGCAGTGGCGTCATGATGCAGGCTCCCTCGAAAAAAGCCAATAGGGAAGGCGCCGATTTGGTCGAAAACATCCTAAAAAAGGCCCAAGAGTACGAAACAGTCTCACGCAGAACGCTCTTTGGAAATGCATGGGATGTCTTTGCGGAAGTGTGCTCCCGACAGCCACCGTCTGTCCCACAAGTGCCGATCGAGAACTTACCTTTCCAATCCTTCGCTCCTCCACACACATTGCATGGAATGCCGCAGAGGCTCCGAGGCCATTGCCGAGCGCGAGCCAACTCCCCCCGAGCAGAGGAGCTTCTTTGGCGGAGCAGGTGGGTGTCGGTCCGCGGGCCCCCATTGAAGACTGGCGGTGTTGAGCGATTCCACGACGAGCACTTCTGACGCGCTGGTGCCCAAATTCCATCTGCCATGTCCAACCTACGCACTTGATATCTGCGCTCCCAGGCCACCGGCTCGGAACCGAAGCAGAGCCGGCGCCTACCGCGGGTCCTTCCGGCCTCCCTCGCCGAGCCGGCACCCCGCCCCAGAACCCCGCAATCAGCATGAAGCCGGTGGGTACAGTGGGTATGAAGTTGCTGTCGTCGTGTCTGTGGATGCTGCGAGGCAAACTGTCCGATACTTGATGCCATCGCCAACGACACTCGATTTAGCTGGTGCGAGGCATCGCTGCCTTTGGTTGGGTTTTGCTTGCGTGCCGCACTCTCTCGGTCACCGTTTGAAGCTGATCCGAGCGCCTGCACTCCCTCCCCCTTCTTCCCTCAGGTTGAGCGCAAAATCACCTTCTGGAAGGATGGCTTCAGCATTGACGATGGAGAGCTCAAATCCTACGATGATCCCGAGAACCAAGAGTTCCTGCGGGCGATTCAAAGCGGGTGAGTGGCGATCGGTCCTCTCACCCGAGCTGGAATTCGCATGCCCTGTGGCCCTGTGAGCCAGGTTGCCGCGGCGCTTTCAGGCAGCTCGCTGACCTTGTCTCGTTGTCTCTGAATGCTCAGTCGTGCCCCAACGTCATTCCTCAACGTTGCTTACGGACAGCCCGTCGAGCTCCGTGTGGCCGAGCGCCGCTCCGAGAACTATGCGCCTCCTCCCAAGAAGCCAACCCAAGCATTCAGTGGCGCCGGCCAGAGACTTGGAGGCGTGAGTTCGTCAGCGTCGGGCGAGGGCTTCCTCCCTGGCGGCTTCCCATCGGGGTCGGCGTCAGCAACTGCTGCAGCCGCCGGACCAGACCTGGTCGTGGACAACACTCAGCCCGTCACCAGCATCCAGCTCCGGCTTGCGGATGGAACACGGTAAGAACCACGATTCGAGGTGCAGGCGATGGCGTTATCAGCACGGGCCATCGATCCCGTCCTTGGGACTGGTTTGGTATGCCCCCTCAAATGCACTGACGAAACCGACCTGGCTGCTCTCGCCGGCTGACATCCTCTGCTTGGTCCTGCAGCTTGGTGTCCAAGTTCAACCACACGCACACGGTCGGCGATATCCGCGCCTTCATCAACCGGTGAGGATTGCTCGTTTCAGCGAGTGGCGGTGGTGTGCTTTGGTTGCCCATGTGTCAGCGGAGGAGGGAGGGTATCAGCGAGAGCGACCGGCATTATCAGGCTCGTGGGAACGAAGGAACCCGGTCACTTTGCGACACAGCCCGACGAATTACGGGTCGGTCCCTGAAGAACACCGCCTCCGTGCCCATTGTCCTGATTCGCGACTCGGTTCTCACGCTCCTGGCTATGGTGGCACATCCGCACTGCCGCCTCGGGCAACATGCAACCCATTCCCACGATTCCTGCTCTGGTGGCGCTGTCGTATGTGCGCTCCTCTGGCTCCTCAATTAGATCCCGGCCCGGCGAGGCTGCCCGCGGATATGTCTTGATGACGACCTTCCCGAACAAGCAGCTGACGGACGCAAGCGCAACCCTGAAGGACGCTGGTCTGCTCAACGCCGTCATTGTCCAGCGATACGCTTAGCCCTCGGTGGAGGTGGCTTGGCCTTGCATGACTCTGCTTTGCTTTGCTTTGCTTTGCTTGGGGGCGTGTCCCTGGCGGCCGGCTGCTGACAGACGAGCAACAGCTCCATCCAATACAGCGCTCCAGGGGGAGCAGCAGATCACGGCCAAGAGCGGCTGTATGAACCAACAGCAACAGCAACAGCGAGCGAACGTGCGAGCCGATGGGTGCGACTGGTCCGGCTCGGAGCTGAAACCAAGGGCAATTTGCCTGAATGGCCTGGGGCCAGGGTGCGCCGTCTGGCATCGGCCCGGCCAATCCAGAACCTTCAGAGAGCCGGTATCGCGGGTGGACAGCCTTGCCAAGCCGGTGAGACCCGGTGATCCGCTGGCGTGGCCTCTTTCTTTCCCCAAAGCCTGTGGGTTTCAAATCCGGTCATGAGACGAGGCACATTTTTTCTTTTGCGACCAGTCGCGCCAGGGCTGCCGCGAGGGTTTTGCCTCCCCCCCCCCCTGGCTGTTTGGGTGTTGCCTCCACCCCCTTGGCTCTGCTCGCTGGTGGGTGGCGGATGGTCCGGAGAAGAGGCATGGCCCCAGCGTACCCGAGGGAAACCGCAACAGAGAGAAGCTCGGCTGGCGGGTACATTCCGTCTGTCTATCTGTCTGTCTGTCTGGCCAGCCTCTCGGTCGACAGACAAGACGCAATATCCCGCCACCGCTGCTTGACCCCTTGGATACAAACGTCGGCGGACTGGCAGACACTCCAAACAAGCGGCTGTGCCTCGCTCTGGCGAAATCGCATGCCCCTCCCCTGTTGCTTCGGCTGCTTTTCCAGCGGCCGCTGCGGCGAGCAGCCAAAGCAAGCGGCCAGTGTGTTTGAATCAGTCTTACTCGCTGTCGTTTGGCCCGTCTGACAAATACACTGCAATGGGCACTGCGGCTCCTCGGTTCCTCCCTCCCCCTTGGCGGAGCAAATCGCATCGATTTCATTCGCCACCACACCCGTCTCGGCTTAATGCCATCGTGGGCGCATCCTCCACACGGGGCCAAGCCGTGGGCGGAAGGGGGAATTGGGTATCTTGGATACCACCGAGCGACCGAGGCGCCGGGACAAGCGCTGTCGGCCGGCATGCCCATCGCCTTGCCACCAGCCAATTACAAGCCGGTGATACCAGTGCGGCTGTAGATGAACTTTGCGGCGAGGCAATTGGACAGGCACCCGCACACGCCACCCGAACTGCATGCATGTCCGAGGGCGCTCTGCAGCACCAACTAGCGCAAAAAAAGCGCATATCCCCACCGTGGGGACACAGACGCTCAGTCGCGCGGCCTGATTGAAAACCAGAAACGCCAGGATCCAACTCGCCATTCCAAAGCCGGCCACGGACAGACAGACAGAGGACGGACGAGGACGAGGGCAGAAGAACGGTGTGATTTATTGCCAGGGACACCTAGTCATATTATCCAAAATTTGAGGCAGGGAGCGTCCAGAAAGCATGTCGACGGGGCAGTCGAGTCATCGAAAGCTGGCCCATGGCCTGCGATTGCGGTTGGTGCAGATTGATGGGGAAGGGGGACCCAGCGACTTCAGAGGCCACGGTGGCAAATCAAAATCGCCACCAACGAGTCCAGCGGGAAATTGTCAAATTGTAACCGCAGCCGGGATGGTTAAAACCACGCCAAGGCTCGAAATTCAAATATGCCAGGAGGGGAAGGAGAGTAAAGCGAGGCTCGGCATACATCTGGGCTTGTGCAATTCTTGGACGGGTTTGGGAAAGAGTTCACATGTCTTGAGTCGTCGGTTCACTCGCTATTTGGGGTCAAAGGCGCCCCTGTAAAGCTCGGGCTGTGGCTGCTGTTGACCAGACAGCCGTAGTCGGCACGCAAGCGGCCGATGATATTGCACCATGTGGTGTACTCGGCTTGGCTCATGTGCACCTTCCACTCGATCAGCTCCAGGAAGCCCCGTTCGTAGCGGTTGAGTATCTCTACGTCGCCAATGTTCAGCAAGGTGGACCAGGTCCGGTTCGAGTAGCGGTTGTCTTGGTGGTACTTTTGCGACACGATGAGCGAAACGGCAAAGATTGTATCGATGTGCAGCGACAAGACGTCTTTCAGCGAGCTTGATGGCCCCGCCGAGAGGCCGCGGGATGTCAGCGACTGCCGCGCAGTCTCGAATTTCGATGTGTTGAAGAACGAGATGATCAGAAGGGGAAGTGTGCAGCGGGTCCGGACAAGCAGCTTCTTCAGCCGCTGTGAGCGGACACAAAAGTTTTCTTGCCATGGCACCGAGCCAGGGTATGCCGACGGGTCCGATCCACAGGCATCGGCGAAGAGGTGCGAAAGCGAGTAGATGGTCAGCTCTGCCGGATCGACGACACTGACTGGCCGAGCGGATAACGATGGGATGGTCGAGAGCGTCGACAGCGGTGTCGGCGGCTGGCTTGCTGGCGGTATCCCGTGCATAGCAACCTGGCTCGACGACGGTGCCGAAGCGGGCTTGCGTCGTTTGCACGGCCGATGGCTGGCTTCTAGCTCTATCGGTGTCGTATGGGAATAAGAGGTGTGCGACTGATGCCGAAGTTTGGATGATATGGCCCGCATGGCGTCCCGGTCGATGACGACCGCCTCGAGCTCCAACCCCGGGCTGTTTGCCATGGACGGACGGCGACCGACTGAGCAGTCTCGAGGGCGCTTTAGAGACATGTCCCGGTGCTGAACAGGTAGAGCTACGTGATGCATCGGTAAGAACAGCTATCTGGGGGGGGGACTACACTGGGAAGGAAGCGAGGGAAGGAACAACGAAAGGGAGCCGAGCAACGAAAGAACAAGACGAACGAGAAAGGGATTGAGGGGGGGATTTAAGCCAAAAGACGAGGAGAGAAAGAAAGGGCGGAGGAATATTTTGCCCAAAAGGAGTTAGCGGTGGTGGTGGTGGTGGTGGGGTAGAAGACAATGACAGTGGATGCAAGAGGAGTGCGCGGAGAGTTGCCGTTGTCTGCCCTGTTGCACCTGCCGTCCAGCATCAACGTGCGGAGGGACGCCGGAGGGGGGGATGCAAGAAGAGCGCTTGCGTTGGAGCCGGAAGACAACAGGCCGGACAGGGCGACAGCGACGCTTTGCCTTGGGAGCAAGATGACGAAAGGGGCAGCTGGCCATCGAAGCGCTTTTTGTTTGGCAGACGCTCGTGGTGCTTGGCATGGTCTCAAGGTGATGGACACAGACACGGTCCAGGAAAGTATCGGCACTGGCTGTGCGAGCAAGGGCGGCAGAGCAGCCGGTGGTCGGCATCCCCGCAGCGGCCGACATTACCAGGGCGGTCTATCAGACAATGTCTGACAATCCGGCTGCCGAGGATACATCCCCGTCCTGGCGGGCACCTGTTCTTTGCCTGATCCGTCTGCCCAACGAGGGGACATGCGCTATCCGTCTCGTCCGCATCGCCTCTCACTGAATGCCGCCCAGGACTTGCCCCACACACGGCCCATCAAGGCCAACGACCAAAGCCCAAATCTCCAGCACAGCCCTCCCGATGCGGCGGTGTCGCCCATGTCTATGCCCGCCAGGCAGTTTCGAATCAAGTCGAGAAGCAGCTAGCTTTGTTGAAGCAGCCAAGGCGCGGTTGGCAGATGCAAACCATCCGCTGGAGGGACCCGCGAGCCAAGTTTTCAGAGAGGCCACATGGACTTGGGCAGCCGACGAGCCCGTCTGTGTTGTGCATGGTCGATGGGCAGGTGGCAGGACCTGCGAGCATGTCACAAGAACCATCGCCAAGGAAGGGAGATTGCCAAGCGTCAAAGGCGGGATCCGCCCAGGCCGCTGAAAACAGCCCGCCGTCGTTTCCGCGGGCCGATGCGATCGTCTGCGCATCAGCTTTCGGCCGCTTGTCAAATCACAATCAACCACGTTTCGTGCACGGCCCGGTTGCAGTGCACGGGCCCCTTGGTTGGTCGCCACCAGCTGAGCGTCGCTTTTCTCTGAGCGGATCGTCTTGCCAAGACTGCCGCAGAGGATCTCGTCGGCCCGGCTGCGATCAGCGAGGACTTTGCCCTGGCTCGGAGGAGCCAAGACGCGAGAAGAACATGGCTGCGTTGTCGACCACCGACGCCGGAAGGCCCATGAGCCGGGCAATATCGATGCCATGCGACTTGGTCATCACACCCGGGAGGACCTTGTACACAAGCGCAAACTTGCCGTTCTGCAGCACCGAGCAGCATCGAGAAGCATCGAGAAGCATGGAGAAGCATCGATCGGCAGGTCCGGTTAGCGGCGGAACGATGGGCGCCCCAGCGGTCCACATTCTCCGACCCACCTGGCCAAAGTGGATTCCGGTGTGGTAGAATCGCACATGCTCGAGCTGAATGCGGGTGCTGTCTGCGGATGGGCTTGACCCAGGCATCTCCAGTAGATTCGCCAGTTCGTGGTAGTGCGTTGCAAAAAGCGTCCGGCATCGCACACGGTCGTGGAGGTACTGGATGATGGCCATCGCCAGCGCAACACCGTCCTGTGACGAGGTTCCCCGTCCAACCTCATCCATGATCACCTGCAACGCTGTATGTCAGCTAGCCATCGGTATTTGCAAATGCGGCCGGTAGAGCAATGCGTACCAGACTCTGGGCCGTTGCATTGGCCAGGATCGAGGCCGTTTCCTCCATTTCGACCTATTGTCAAAAGTACTCCAGCGTCAATCGAGTGCGGCCGCAGATAGAGTGGAGCCAGCGATGGCTTGAGTTGTCTAGTGTGGGAGGGGGCATGTCAACTTTGCCTACCATAAAAGTCGAACGATTGCCACCAAGGTCATCCGATGAGCCGATTCGAGTAAAGATGCGGTCTGCAATGCCGATCAGGGCCGACTCGGCAGGGACAAAGCTGCCGATCTGGGCAAGAACCGAGAGGATGGCGCTGGCTCGCCCACAGCGTATGCCGTCAGCCGTCCAGCGTCTGGAGTGTCGGTGCAGCCCGCTCTGCGTGAAGTGATTCCAGGATTCTCACCATTGCCGGAGATATGTGGACTTTCCTCCCATATTGGGCTAGGCATTTCGTCCAAGTCGCCGCGTATTGTTCCGGGTGATGCAAGTGCGATGCAGAAACAAGCACAGCCATGAGTTACTCTGCACCTGAACCGACGCCGAGTGCTCTGCCAACAGCCCTGCGGCCCACCCGACGAGTGAAGGAGCACCAGCACACTTACCCCAGTGATCACCCATATGCTTTCGTTGGGATTGAGATTCGAGTCGTTCCTGACAAACTGGCACCCATCCGTGATCCACAATGTCAGCTTGCCGGAGGACAGTCGCCAGGCCATGCCTCCATGATGTATCATCCAGACAGACATAGGACCGAGCAAGAAAGCATCCCTTGCATATGAACATGCGTTTGGCCCACCTGGATTCCGCGCAGCTGTTGCATCCGCTCGACCGTGGGGTGTCTACCGCCTGTATTTGAGATAGTATGGCATCAAAAGCCGTTGGCTGCACTGCAGATCGTGCACTCTCGGGCATATCGCCCGATGACAGCTCGTTGAAGTATTGAATAAATGAAGAGAAATGCAGCTCCGTTCGTCCAACGGCAGCAAATACAAACCTACAATCCTGTGTACGGGTCTTATGCAACCGTTCCCAGCGAACCGATGGATCAAAACATGGAAAGACGAGGAGGATCATCAGCAGGCTCACGATCTGGTTCATGCATGGCCGACCCTCATGAGCGCCATCAACACCATGCGATACGTTACTCTGTCGTGATTTGTGGCCGAGTAAACTTGCGCTCGAGCGCGCAGTGAGCAAGAGCGGCGCTGACATCGATCTCTGCGACTGCGCTGGCGGCCTCCTTGATCAGAAACGACTCTACAATCAGCTGCAGGGGACGGAGGCCATATTGAGATGAAACCAGTAAGCTGTATGACACGGCCGGCCCCGTCTGCATCGAGGTGCGGTTGGCACTACATCGCCCACCGCAATTGTCCGATCTAGCGGCTCGATCCAATTGCTCGACGTGGTTTGATAGTGAACGCAGCAAGAGCCGCGACACACAGCCTCAAGGGATACACCCAATACCAACCCGGCGAACGGCATCCGCAAAGATGTCCTTTTGCAGAATCGAGATCTGCTCCGAGTTGAGCTGAATCAAATTGTATAGTTTGGTCCATTTCTGAAGCATCGGGATCGTTGGAGGACCAGAGGTTAGGGCGTATCTGTCACCCGGCGGGGTGCTTTCGCTCCGACGATAGACCAATCGGCCTTCAATCAAGCCGTGTGGAGACCAGGCCACCGATGTTGATGAAACAGCGAGCAGATCTGCGTTTCTCAACGCACACAGCCTCTTGCAATCAAAGGCAGGCGGGATCATCGCTGTGGCGCGACGCACCCGAACTCACCTCGCTCTGAAAGCGCGTCAGCTTTGAGTTTTTTTGCACGCTCAAGGGCTTCAGGTCCCTTGAGGCCTCAACCTTTTGGTTCAGAAGGGCTGCTGTCCGGAATTCGACGAGACAGCCGTGCTTTGGGTCGAAGCAAAGGTTTGCAGCATTGGCTGAGTGTGCGTGAGCAGGTGGTGGAAGGGTGTACATCGACATCGGGCAGGGTCGATTGTCGTGTAAATATACAAATCAGTTGACGTAAGTGACTCGCACATGCAGCGCTTTCGTCGCGGCAAAACCGAGCCTCACTTGCTTCAATTCGATTCGATGTGACGGTGGAGTCCGAGAGTGGTCATTCTCCGGCTCAGCGGGGAGGGACTCGGCGTGATAAAACGATCGCTGCGGCAACGTACCAGACCGAGGGCTCACATACTCCTTTGTCAGATCCTGTCGCAGAGCCTCGCTTCGCTGAATGAGCTCAGCTCGTTGTTCCAAGAGCCTGTCCAACTCATGGGCGAACCCCGCTCGAATAATCCGCGGCTGGTCGGTTGTGTCAATGTTCTCGACCAGGTAATCCTCGGAAACAAAGCCTTCGTACCTTTCGATCAGATCATCAAACAGGGGGATGGCCCTGGTCAGGCCAAGGAGCGATTGTCTGAGCTTTGGAGCCAATGCCTGACCCTGTGGAGACTCTGCGTAGTCCAGCAAGAGCTGTCGTAGATCGCGGGAGATCTTAAGGCTCTGTATGACATGGTGGAAGTCTGCTGGCCCGCCGCGGTTGAGGTGCAGTTTGGACAGGGCGCGTTCAATATCTTTGAAGGACTTGAGGGCGGTGCGCACATCGACAAGCAGGTGCGAGTTGGTGAAAAACACTTCGACCAGATTGAGCCGCCGCTCAATCTCCGGGACCGACGTCGAAGGAGCCTCTGGGATACGAGAGCGTGCATGGGTGAGACTCTAGCCACAGGGGCGGCGCCAAACCTGCAGACAAACTGCACCAGACACACGTTCGATACCGACTGATACGCTGGACAAGTAGTCGGGAGCCGACCGCCGTAACGGTTTCGTCGATTTCACTGAGCAGGCTGCCCTTGGTGAGCCCGGTTCGCTGAGTTTTTGTGAGTTCGAGCGAGGCATGCGTAACGGCGTCGATTGTCATGGTCTCCCCCAAGGCTGCATCCTTGCTTGGGTTGAAGAGCGACAGTGATCGCGTGGGATAGATGGCGGCTACGTGTCTCAGGAGTGCTCCAGCCGCTTGGATCTGTGGCTTGGTGAATTGGCCGAGCAGCTCCGAGACGTCCGTCGCTTCGTGAGCTGGATGGGACAGCGGGGTCACAGCATGCCGCTGGCGGGCCGTCCCGAGCTTGGCCATGTTGCTCTGGAGTAGTTTCACAAAGGTCGGATGGGCGGTTGCATGGGAAAACTCCTTTGACGGCTTTCGGGCGATCAGCGGGGTGATGCCGCTGCTCTCCCGTTGGATGTAGTCCTGAACGGCGACAGCGGCTGGATGGCCCTGGTCCACGAGCGATTTCTCGACGACAAATTCTCTGGGCTGGACCTTGACGAGGACAGACGGAAGCGAGCCGAGGGTTGAGCTGCCGACAAAGAATTCGCCCGTGGAGATGTCCAGCCACGCGAGGGCCAGCGGGCTCGAAGGTGACAGGTCATCGGGCTGCAGAACGAGCAGTGACATGAAGAAGTTGTTGTCCTTGCTCTCGAGCCAGTGTTCGTCCAGCATGGCTCCGGGAGTGGCTATCCGTGTGACAGCCCTGAGCTTGGTTTTCGTCCTTGACAGGCGGTCGTCATCCACCTGGTCGACGACGGCGACGGTCTTGCCGGCCTTGAGTAGACGCTCAAGATAGCGCAGAAGCTGCGAGACTGGGAAGCCCACAAACGGCACCTTCCCGTTCGCGACCCTGAGATCGCATATCTCGGCGACTTGCTGGAAATAATCGTACCCCGGAAGTTTGTAGACCTCATAGAATCCTCCGACTTGAACGAGGAGGATGTGGTCGGGATGCTTGCTTTGGATCTCGCGAATCTCGCCCATGAGGGGAGTGTCGTGAATATCGGGAAGGGTCGTGGGCTGGAGGGTGATGGCCTCTTCGGCATCGCGTAGCGAGAGGTCGATCGGGATCTTGATGTCGATGGGCTTGGAGGAAGCTCGTCGGGTTCTTGCTCTGACAGGCACAGGTGTCGGATCGGACAGGGCGATGGACACTGGCTGACTGACGCCTTTGCTCAATGGGGCAGAGGAGGAGCCGTCGATCGAGAGTGGATCTGGCGATGGCAACGGACTCTGGGGTTTCCCACTGCGGGTTCTCTTTGCTGTGGCGCTGGCGGTGTGGGATGAGTCGGATCGGAATTGCGTCTGCTGAAAGTTCGGTTGGATATGGAGCAGCGAAGCCGCGGCGACGTAGCTGTGGACGGACGCTGGCCGAGCGACAGCACACTGGCGGAGGCGGCTCAGAACCGACATTGCATATGCATGAAGCAGGACGGTGCGTGCGCGATGCGATGGACGGGGGCTGGACGGACTTGCGATGCAAATGCCGATGCAAATGCCGATGCCGATGCAAATGCCGATGCAGGACAGCGATGCAGGACAGCGATGCACCATGTCGGCGACGAGCGCGTGCGTGTGCGTGTGTGCGCTGTGTGTGTGTGCATCCCGGTCGAATGTGGATCGAGCCAGTCCGGATCGAGTGCACGGCCCGGGCGCGGTGTGTCGCCGTGCGACGCGCTCTGTGCGACGCGCTCTGTGCGACAGTGTCATACACGGACACATTTGCGCGACATTGGCCCTTGCTGTGGGCACACGGCGCCGTTGCTGTGTCGCTGTTGCCGCGTCCTTGTGCCGAAGCCCATTTTTTCGTCCCCCGGCCTGCCCGTCTTTCCCGCCGACGCTTGGCCAGGAGCGAGTTTGCCCTTTTCTCCCCAGGCTCTCCCGCATCTGCAACCCGCAAGTCGCCGCTGCCACCGCCGCAACAGACATGGTGGCCATCCACAACGCCGTCTCGCTCGTCGCCGTGCTTGCCGCGGCGAGCACCGTCCAAGCATCGCTCAGCGGACCCTACAGCGGCCAGGCCACCTGGTACGGCACAGGAGGTATGTCTTGGCCCCCAATGCATTTCGTCTGCAGTGCATTTCTTCTGCCGCTTGCGCGCCATGTCGCCGAACTGCCCAGGACCCTTGGCTCGATGCTGACCTGATGCTGTGCAGCCGGTGTTAGCGACGGAGCGTCCCCTCCCTGGCCCGGAACACCCGGTGCTTGCGGAAGCAACTTCCCGACCGACAAGTACTACTATGCGGCTCTGGTAAGGCGCTGTCCATGTCCTCGCCATGCCCCCCCCTGCACCAACAGCATCATCCGCCTCCCTCCCCCGGCCGACTGCGTCTTCTCTGTCCGTCCCTTCACTTACACCTTCTGCATGTGAGCACAGACCCACACCATGTGGGATGGCGGTGCCAACTGTGGCTACTGCGTGACGGTCCACGGCCCCAAAGGAAGGTAATGCAGCCGATCTCTCCCGTCCATCTCCGAGCCAGCACCATCAGTCGATTCGGCCCTCGATCGATCGGCGATCCAGCGTCCCCAGCGAGAGCGCTTGGCGAGCCTGATCGGCAGTTGGGCGTACACCTACCCACTCATCCATCGGGAAGACTGTGGCCTCACCACTGCCCTCATCTGATTTCGCCCCGATAGCGTCGAAGTTCCGATTGTCGATGAGTGCCCCGATGCCCAGGTGAGCACTCGCATCCCGAAGCATACTTCTCTTGCTCGGCACGGCGTGATGTGCCATCGGATCAGATGCTCGCTCCAATGCTTGTACTCTGCTATCTCTATCGACGTGCTCTCTCTGTCTTCCCAAACTCATCCCGATGCTCAATCTCTGCCATCCAGTGCACCTACGGCCATCTCGATCTTTCTCCCCAGGCTTTCTCCGAAATCGCCAGCCTGGGAGCCGGCATCGTCGACATCACCTGGTCGGTATCGAGCTGCTCGACCCACGGATGCACAGGATGCAAAAGCAGTCCGCCTCCCCCTCCCCCTCGCCCTCCTCCGCCGCCGCCTCCAAAGTCCACAACCACGACCACAACGACAAAGACCACCACTACTACCACCACCACCACCACCACCACCACCACTGCGAGCAGCAGCGCCGCTGCATCCAGCACCATCGTCTCGATCTCAGCCAACGCCACCCTGTCCTCCACGGTTGGCTCGGCTGCGTCCAGTGCCGCTTCCCAGCCCACGGGCTATGTTGTTCCGCCTCTGTTCCAGCGCAAGGCTTGCTATTCCAACTCGTCCTCTATGATTAGAAAGCGTGCGCTTGGCCAGACCCTGGTCGATCGTCGGGCAACAGACGAGCGCGGGACCTTGCGGTCCACATGGAATGGTCTCGCCAAGTGGCTCACTGGCTTCTAAAGCCCTGCAGTCATGATGCTCCCGCTTGCGGGACTACGTTCGTATGCCGGTACAAGTACAGATAGAGCGATATGGTGCCTCGGCTTTCTTTGCTTCCTCTCCTGCTTACCCCATGCTCTTGATGCTCCTCCACGAGCAAGCCCGTCCATCTGTGATGGCCGCGCAGTCTGTCGTTCCCTTCGTCCACGAAACATCCTCGTGGTGTCTGCTGTTGATTTCAATCGGTCTTTGCCACGCGCTAGTCTTGTGCTCCTACCAAGGCGTAATATATTTTGCTCATGAAATGGAACGATCTGCCTTTGGAGCTTTTCGGGTTGAGATGCAATCTGAGGAGGGGCTGCAGCTCGCCAAGTACTCCGAGCAACTCAAGGACCACACGAACAAACTGGTGCTTGAAAAGGTGCCCCGATTCAATCCGAGCATACCTCCAACCCACCCGAACAGTGCGCCAACCCACCCGAGCATACCTCCAACCCACCCGAACATACCTCCAACCCACCCGAACATACCTCCGACTCATTCAAACACAACACCCTGGCGGCTGCGCTTGCGCCCCGGCTGCGCGTCTCGGAACCGGGAGGGCTCGTCCTGGCTCGGCCACACACACACACACACCGCATCCGGTCTTGCCCCGCGCCGGTTCACTTGGACAGATCGCTCTGCGTTTTCGCACCTTTCTCTCCCCGATCGACCGCCGCCAGCGCCGTCCTGCGCTTGATCTGCATCCTGCTCTATCTATCTTCCCGCTTTGCTGCGCGGCTCTCTTATACTGCGTACAACTGCCTGGCATGGATCCCCGCCAGTGGGCCAATGACGCTCTGCACGAGCATGAGTCGGCGTCCGGAAGCCCCTCGGAGCCAGATCGGTCCGCCCAGCGCTCTGGCGGCGGCCCAGCACCCGAAGCCGCGGATGCAGCCGACACAGCGTATTCTTATACGCACGTGGATGCAAGTGGGTCTATCCAGACGATATCGGATGATGGCTTCGGGGCCGCGCTCTCCGACCCAAGCGGCTCAACCCTCCTTTCGGCCACCGTCCACTCTGATTCATTCGAGAGCCACAGCCACAGCCACAGCCGTGCCTATAATCCTTACGAGTCACCGCTCGAAATGGCCGATCGCCAGCACGAAGATCCAGTCTCTTTACTCTCCTCGGGCGACGCTCTCGACCAGCACGGGTTGCCTCTTGGCCCGTCCAACGATGACCAGGACCAGGACAGAGATCGGTCCGAAGATCGGTCCGGTGGCCATATCCCCGTCAGCGACGTGGATGCTCACCAAGCCTACGATCATGACATGGCCGATGGCGATCGGCTCAATGATCAGGGCGATGAGGACTATGCCGACTCGGAACGCCCTGATGACGAGATCTTGGTCGCTGACGGCGCGGAGGCTGACCCCGACCGCCCAGCCCCAAGCGGCGAGGCATACGAAGGCGATGATGCCATGCATGACTCGACTGCAGCAGAGGGCAGTGGCTTCGATCACAGCGACCAGCAAGAAGACTCGTCGTCTGAACAGCTCAAGTCAGGTATGAGATCTGCACTGCCTCAGTCGGCGGTCTGTCCGGCCAGTGCCGGTATCGCGCGCATACAGTGATGTGTATCTGCTCACCCATCTACTGCAATATTTCTCCGCCGGATATCACCTCTCTTGCCCCGACAGAGAGCCTGGTGCAGCCAGCATCCTCGCGCAAGGGCGAGGCCTCCCGAGTCGACAAGCTGGAGGAACTCTATGCCAAAGTGCAGGAGCATCCCTGGGGCACCGACTACTGGAGTGCGCTGGTGCTGGAAGCCAATCGGCGGCCGGACCCTGAGATTGTCCGCAAGGCCTACGAGGATATCTTGGTCCAGTTTCCTACCTCGGTAAGAGTAGGAGAGCTGCCAGGCAGCATCGCTGCTGCGAGGGATCCTTCCCGAGGAACCCTTGGCGGCAACACGGCGCCCATCCAAGACACAATGGTCCGCTCCAGATCGGATATCAGTGCACTAACAACAGGCTGTCCCCCTTCAGGCTCGCCACTGGATTTCATACGTCGAGTTTGAGCAAAAGCTGCAGTGTTTCGACAAGGTCGATGCAATTTTCACACGGTGTCTGCGATCTGTGGTCAACGTAGACCTGTGGAAGGTGTATCTGACGTACATCCGCAAGATCCACCCTGTGACCAATGTCTCTGTCGAAAAGCGGACCGAGAACCGGGCCACGATCACCAAGGCATACGAATTTGTCCTCCAGAACATTGGCATCGACAAGGAAAGCGGCTCGATCTGGAGCGACTATTTGAACTTTATCAAGAGTGGAGAGGTAAGAGCACAGCTGTGCGCGGAAGACGAGGGAAGCGGCGTGGAGGCGGGAGAGGGGGAGGTATTGTGCAAAACTTGGCGAGGTGCACATGGCGGGAACATGGGAAAATAAACTATGACCGTTGCATCGAAGTCATTGTGACGGCGGCGATCGAGGGCCTACCAGGATCCAAACTATCAGCACAGTCCGGAACGACTCGGCGGTGGCGACTGGCAGTCGGCAAAGCCAAGGGCCGAGAAGCAGCGAGGGATGTCTGGAGCAGGCTGTTGGGATGGCCTGTGCTATTATGGCTGTGCTGCAGTGCTTATGCTATTTTACTTTGCCGTCGAGCTGGCATGCGCTGCCATATCAATATGCTATGGACATTGGCACGCTCGGGCTGTGTCAGCGCTGTGCTTTATTGATGCACCTTGATGCTGGGCAACCGTGCATTACTGTCACTTATGTCTGGGATGTACTACCGCCATTTACGCTTGCGGTACTGACGACTGGGTGAACAACTGGATCACGCTGGAGTCACTCGCTGGACATCAAGTAGAGCAAGACGATAAAGCTGTGGCACATGGGATTTGACTGGATGGCACCGACCGGCTGTCTATGTGGCAATTCGAGCTCATCCATAGCATCCTTGGAATGCTTCTGCCGAAGCGGATCTGAACGAGCAAGGGGTGCACCGCTGTGGTGGGACGGCGACGCAACTTGTCGACTTGTATCAACATGCTAACGGTGTCGTCCTCTCTTGGCCACTGCGGAATGCGGACGGCGTACGCCCACTGGTACATTGAATCCATGAACACGTCCGGCGTAACTTTCTCTGGTTATTCCCGGGGATTGCTTGTATGAACCCTACGGCTCGAACAATCCGGGCTGGCCATCGTCGCCCGGCACTGCACACTTGATCAACCTCTGGCGCGCTCCGGGCTATTTCTGGGACAGACCAAGTCAACCTACGAAGAGCAACAGAAAATGGCTCAGCTCCGTGCCGTCTATCACCGCGTCATCGCCATTCCGATATCCAACATCGAAGCGATCTGGAAAGAGTACGATGTCTTTGAGAATGGGCTCAACAAGTTGATGGTAAGAATCGCTCCTCTCCTCACTTCTCCTCTCCTGGCCACCACACGAGCGAACATGACACCGACAGCAACGTTGCTTGCTCCGCTTCTGCCGGATGTTCTGCCGGATGTTCTGCCGGATGTTCTGCCGGATGTTCTGCCGGATGTTCTGCATCCGCGAGTGCGTCCAAGTCGAGCCAGCGGCGTTGACGAATCGTTCCCATCTGGATCTGCCCGCGCCACAGGCCAAGAAGTTCCTGAGCGAAAAGTCCCCGGGCTACATCACCGCGAGAGTCAATTACAAAAACCTGAAGAACCTGACCGAGTTTATCGACAAGCAAAAGACCTGGATGGCTGTTCCAACCCGCTGGACTGAGCGGGAATGCCGGATGGTGAGCCTTGTGCCGAACGCATCAGCACCACGCGAGAACGACCCTCTTTGGTGTCCACGGGGGCAGTTGCAGGCGTATGACTGACAATGCCTTGGGAATCAGGTTCAATCATGGCACAAGGTCATTCAGTGGGAAAAGTCCAACCCCTTGGCTCTGGAAGAGAAGAGCGCCGTTGTGGCCCGAGTGATGCATGCATACAAATGCGCTCTCCTGATGCTGAGGCTCTATCCGCAAGTCTGGTGAGTTCGCTCTCGATGTCCAGCAGCAGAGCTAGGACGGGCACCGGTTGCACCAGAGCACATCATGCGTCCAATCGCACTCACCTTCCATGTGTCGTGCCATGGACAGGCACGAAGCGGTGATGTACCTGGCCGAGGTTGGAAAGCCGGATGAATCCCTGGCCATGCTCAAGTCAGGACTTGAAGCCAATCCCAGGAGGTACGGCCCAACGCGGCGGTTTGGAGCAGCGGCGGGCAACGAGAACGGCTATGGCCTTGCACTTGCAAAGCACTCTACCCTATCACTCTGAACACGGGCTTGCGTGTGGTTATGGCGATACTCTTCGAGCCACACTCACTCTGTGCTTCCATAGTCTCCTTTTGTCGTTTGCCCTGGCCGAGTTTGAAGAGGCCGCCAAGAAGCCGTTTTCCGAGATTGCTCCGATCTTTGATTCGCTTGTTACCGAGTACGAGCGCGAGATCGAGCTAATCAATGCCAAGTACGATCAGGAACGCGAGCGCTTGCTCGGCATCGATCAGCCCACGGCCGCCGAGGAGGCCGAGTGGGATGGCGAGAAGCGAGAGCAGGAGCGCGCCAAGTTCAAGCAGCGTGAGGCAGCAGTCAGCCAGAAGCTCGATGAGGAGAAAGAGAGGCAGCTGGCTGAGGCCAAGGATGCGCTTGGATCGATCTGGATCACCTACATGAAGGTCGCCCGCCGTGTGGAGGTATGCATGATTCGAATAGCATCTAGGCAAGCAATGTCCAGAGTCTGTGATTGACCAAGGCCGGTTGGAGAGCAGCACGGTGTGGAATCACATGCCTCTTCTCGGACAGGGCTCTCTGTTTCTTACATCGGCCTGTTTTTATCAGAACATTCGTGCAGCTCGGGTGATCTTTGGGCGCGCCAGGAAGTCGAGTTGCACCTATCAAGTGTTTGTCGCTTCGGGTACGTCTCAATGGCTTGCATCAGACTGCTGCGGTGTGGGCTGTTGCGGTGTGCCGCTCGATTCACGCAGACAGTCTCGGAGAACGGGAGTCAATTCAGTCTGGCGAGGATGTACTTGTACCGGCTCGATGGCTGATCGAACATTCATGGACAGCGCTTATGGAGTATCATTGCAACAAGGACGCCACGGTTGCCGGCAAAGTTTTCGAACTCGGTCTCAAGCTCTTTGGTATGAACGAGGACGAGAGCTCCTTCAAATATCTCACCGCCTACTTTGACTTTCTAATCGGCATCAACGACGAGAACAGTGAGTATCATGCTACGCCAAGCGACGGACTCGATCGGCCACAGACTGTGAGTCGAAAGAGAGGTGAAGAGGCGATGGTGGATTTGATATGTGGTTTTGACTCGTTCCCTTGTCTCCTTGGGCAGATTTCCGTGCCTTGTGCGAGCGAGTCCTGGCCAACATCTCGCCCGAAAAGTCCAAGCCGATCTGGAACCGTCTGCTCGAGCACGAGCGCAATTACGGCGATCTGGTCAATGTGCGCAAAGTGGAGAAGCGCATCGCTGAGGTGTTCCCGGAGAGTATGTGCCATGCGCCGTCCTGTACAGTGCGGGAGAAAATGGACGCTGGGAATGGGGAAGGATCGGCCGCGTGGTTGGGATGTGAATCCGCTGCAAGATGATGGACTGACTCTTTGATCGGCAATCTGCACTGTTGCAAAGTGAGGATCGTGATGGCATCTCGCTGTCCATGGCTAATGCATGGACTCCGCTCCCCGATGTCTTAGGTGACCGGCCCTTGCTCGACAGTTTGTATGATCAAGCACAGCAGTGGTCGTACTCGGGTCTGCATCATATCGAAAGGGTAGAGCTCGGCTATCCCTCAATCAAGGCGCTGGTGGAAGGCGGCACGGTTCAGCCCAGCGCATCGGCCGCTACAGTCGCAACCAGTGGCTCAGGCACAACCGCACCAAAGTCCTCCAAGCAATCTTCGCGCAAGGATGGCGGATCCAGGACCAACGACTCGCGCTCCGGCAACGCCCCCGATGGCCATCACAAGCATGGCCCTTCGCACCACGGCCAGGGCGGATCCTCCGGCCATGGCTCGCAAGGACACTCGGGACGAGGATTCCAGCAGCAGAACCAGCCACCGAAATCCGCCATACCGCCAGCTCAACAACAACAGCCGTTCCTCCAAGCCCCGCACAGCTTTGAACAGCAGGGTCCGGCATTTTCCAAGCCGCCCGCGGCCGAGCGCGCCGCCGATCCAATCTCGTGGATGCTTTCTGTACTTCCGCCTCCAGCCCACTACAACGGTGAGGGAGAGCGGGAGTGCCGAGTCGCGGGGCCCAATCTGCGTACTCTCGTCCTGTGCCCCCTCCCCCCGCCACAAACCCACGGTCTCCACTGACGCCCTCAGGGGGTAATTTTTCTGCTGATTCTAGGCGTGATCCTGAAACCAGACGATCTCATCGACTGTCTGCGCAAGATCCAGATTCCGCTGCCAAACGCGCCTCCAGGCGGCGGCCCTCCTCCTTACCAAAGTGACATTGGCGCACCAGGTGGCGTCGGAGGGTTCTCGGGACGGCCTGGGGAACGCGGCTTCGGAAACCGAGGATACGACGACGGACCGCGTGGCGGACCTGGACGAGGCCGTGGCGGAGCAGGATGGGTAAAGTAACGAATGCCTTTCCTGGCTGTGCGACTGAGCAAGTGGACCGAGTCGATGGACCGAGTCGATGATTGAGCGAGCGGGTTGGACAAGCGGGTTGAGCTTCGTATATTTGGACTTGGCTAGGACCACGATGGCCCATCACACATGTTCCTGATTTGATCCATCTCTGAATCAGCAGCAGCAACAACAACAACAACAACAACAACCCCAAGCACAGCAACCACAGGGTGGTCGTCGAGGAGCCGGCATCAAGCGGAAGGGTGCGCAGGAATACGGCGGAAACGAAGACGATGACTTTGGAAGTAAGCACAGAGCTCGTCCCCTCTTGCTGTTGCAGATGGAGATACTCTCGTATGGAGTGGCGTTGAATCGCTGACTGGCCCATCCCATCCACACCCAATTGCTCTACAGGAGGCGGACACGCAAGCCGCCCTCCGCCAGACCACGACATCTATCGTGCTCGACAGATGCCCAAGCGATATCGGGACGAGCCGTAAGCGACATGTCTCGCGAACGACAGCAGGCCACAGAGCAGACATTGCGGCTCAGTGAGGGCACACGCCTTACACCCACAAGCCGTCCGGTCTCTACTACACTTTATTCAGAAAAAACGGGACAATATAGCCGTTTCCATGAACAGGTAGTATGTGCTGTGCTTGCGTCAAGCAAAGCCACAAGAAATAAAACAGATCACTTTGGCAGCCTCCGAGTGAAGACCACCGGTCGCTCTCCGGTCTCCACAATCGACCTGCATACTGTGATCATGTTGCGCGCCGCATTGACGTCGCGATTCCACACTGTCCGGCGGCTGGGATTCTTGCAGCTCCTGACAAAGTGGGAATTCGCAACCCTGGGCGCATCGAGTCCTTCCAACCGAACTGGCTCCAGGCACTTGGAGCACACTTGCGAGGTGTTGAACTCGTTCGTCGAGGCCACCTTGACGCTTCCATGATGGTGATTGGGACGGCGTCGGTGGTGCTCGAATTGCTCAAAGTACTGAGCAAATCGCTGCCTCCGAGGGCTGGATGCATAGCCTTTGCCCTGTCGCCATGATGCATTGCCAAAGGCGATGACCACATCCTTCTCCCTCGGGGCGTGCTTCAGGACGGCCTTGCACATCTTGTCGACGGCCACTTGGCGCCTCTTGTGGCCTGTGAATCGATGGTGACGGGCCTTCTTGCCAAGGTGGAAATCGAGCTGCACTCGCAGCTCCGGTCGCAGGACATGGGTGAGATGGACCTTGAAAGCCTCCGAGGACGACACCTTGGGCGAGGGGGTGGACGACATCCAGGTCTCGATGCTGAGTCGATACTTCATGATATTGTGCCACTTGGTGTTGAACGTATGGCCACACATGTGCTGATAGTGGCCATTGGAGAATGAGACCACCTCGTCTTGGTGGCCCGGTGCTTGGATGACCGCCGTGAAGATGGAGCCGACTCCAGGATCGATGCCAATCCAAGTGGTGCGGTTGGGGTCTGGGTCGCCGATGTGGGCCTGGATGCGCTGCTCGGAAGTCGGAGGAGGCTCGATGGTCTCGGTGTGATCGGTTCGAGGCACAAACTTGACGAGACCGATGGTGCATCCAATGCCATCGGTGCTGATCTCGTAGTTGAACAGCTTCTTGTTCACGTCCCGCTCTTGGAAGAGGGAACTACGCAGCTTGAAGCAACTGCGCCAGAGACGATCCTGGTTGTTGATGCCGTCATCACCTTCTTCCTTGAGCTTGTCCCGGGTGAGTCTAAGACGATGTTCGGTGTCAAGGAGTTGCCAGAGAGTGACGGTGTCAATCTTGACATACTTGGCCTTTGCAGTGCACAGAGGGACCATCGTGCACACGGCCGGAGGAGTGTCGACAGCGAGCTGCTTGAGTGCCCAGTTGATCCTGGATGCCAGCTTGTTGATCTTGGGCTTGGTGGTGCCGAGCTCAGACTTGGCCGTGGTGAACCTCTTGTCGTCGGAGGGAATGCCTTGGGTAGTGAGCTCGTCCAGCTTGGCCTGGCGCTGCAGTTCGGTGACTCGGAGGGCGGGCATGTCACAGTCGATCCACTTGTGGACATTGTCGACCATCTTGTCCCGGGCAAGGATTCTCACATGGTGTGAGAGGCGATGGAGGGCCCGGAAGCGGTCCTGGTCGCTGCTGTACCGAAACTCGTCCAGGACGTGGCCAAAGTCTGGATAGAGGAACTCGAGATCGGCCTTGGGTGGAGTCTGCCCTGGTTTCTCGAAGAGCTCGAGACAGGCCTCGATGGCTTCGTGCTTATGCTTGTTGGCTGGGAAGACGGCAGCGCAGAAGCGGCGAAGGAGTCGCCAGTAGGCCAGGTCGAGGTGGGTGGTGCAGTTGGTGGCATAGGCATTGACAGCCAGTGTGAGAAGCTGACTGTGAGCACCATCAGGCAGACGAGGGGCCGGAGACAGGTCTGCATGTCGAGTGGTCTGGTAGTCGCCAAAGGAAGCGACCAGATGCTCGTTGTATTTCTCGATGTCCCCGGTCGGGGAGAGGGCACCGTCCTGGACGATCTTAAAGCATTGGCGGATGAAAGCAGGGGTGGACTTGGAGATGACGGGGACGGGAAGATCCTGCTCGATGCACCGGAGGATGTGCAGGTTGAGCAGCCTGGATGCCTCGAACTGGATCTGGGTCATGGCCTCGACGGTGGCCTGGATCTTGTCGCGGAGAGCGGGATTGAGACAACAGCCATCCATCGTCTGCTTGAAGCAGCTGAACTGAGGGGCGGATGACCTTCCATCCACGAGTGGGACGACAGAACTCTTGAGGGGCCGGTATTTGGGACATTTGCTGGTGTTGCAACGTTCGTGATCGGTGCCATCGCACTGGCGACATCGCTTGCTGGTACTCGAGGAAGTAGATGGACCAGGCTCGGTGGGATCGACATCCATTGGATCTGCAGAAGCAGTGGTGGTGAGCGACGGAGCAACAGACGAACAAGCATGCGTGGGATCAGAATACGAACCAGAGACAGGCTCCGACTGTGACTTGGCTTTCTTGGGCCTGGGTGGCCGAGGCTGGCCATCACCGGTACCCTTGCGCTTCGGAGGCATGGGAACAGAGGATGCTGGATGCCTGCCAGTGGTACTGGTCAGAGCAGAGACGTTTCTTTATCGTACAATAGCGCGATGATCAGATCAAGGCGAGATGAGGGAAGAAAGCAGCAGGACGAAGGTGTGGCATTTATACCCGAGAGCAGGAGCCTGTTGGTGCGGACTGGTTGGGGAAGTGACCCTGTTCAAAAATCGCCGAGAGGTTCAAGCCAGGGATGTGAACGCGAAAATGGCGGCTTGATTGGAGGGAACTCAACCCCAGAAGCACCTCGCACACTCAATCAGCCGTGGGAAGACATCCGGAAGCACCCTCCGAACGGCAGACTCAAACAGTGCGACCATCCCGACCCTGAACCCCTCGGACGCATTCAGCGCTGCGGCCTTCCTGTACTGGTGCTTCACAATCCCAAAGAAGTTCTCGATGGGATTGAAGTCGGGCGAGGCAGGTGGGGTGAAGATCACTGACCATCCTCGGCGATCGATGCAGTCCAGGACAGCCATTGTCTTGTGCATGCTGACATTGTCCATCACAATCACAGAGTCGTCTGGGAAGCTCGCTCGCTCAAAGAACTCGACCATCGAGTGTGTCTTGAATGATGTGGGGATGTACATGCGATGCAGCACACCAGAGTGGTTGATGGCAAATGCAGCCGAGACAGACTTGTGTTTCATGTGATTGCGCTGACGGAGTGGGACGCCCTTCGGTGAGTATCCGTAGAGCGGAAAGGTGGTTCGTCTGATCCCTGTCTCGTCGACAAAAACGAATCGTCGTGGGTCGATGGAGCGGACCTGGTCCCTGAACTGTGCCACTCGCTCATCCAGTCGCTTGGACTTGTAGAGGTGTGTTGCTCTCTTGTGTGAGACCTGCTCGCTGGATGGCAGTGTGGCAGAGTGAGAGCGACACTTTCCTCTGGAGGATGGACTCGAGCTTGCATCGCAACACAGGACCAGTCTGGAACGGGTCCTGTTCAATCAGGGTGCAGATGACTGGACATGCCTGCTCGAAGAAAGTGGATCTGCGAGCTGGGACCCGGGATGGGTCATCCAGCTTGCATCCTCGGTGCCATCGATGGATGGTGCTCTTGGATACACTGAATATGGAGGCGACCTTACGCAGGCTATGGATGAGGGCGTAGCATCGCAATGCGGCGGTGCGAAAGTCGGATGTGTGGCGAATGGTCATGGCCAGCGCGCGATAACATTGGGTAACAAAATATTCGATGAATGGTCAAAAACCCGGGTGTCCCGTTTTATTGGATTGCCTGCAATCGCCGATAGCTCGCGGACCACGAGTAGCATCGAAACGGCCGCTCCTCGCGTTGGTTCCCCCCCCCATAACGCCGCACCATGGTTGTTGCTGGAGTTGCTTGAGAGAGCCTGTGGAGATTGTGCGCCTAAGCAACTTGCACCGCAAACCCAATACACCGAATTATCGACAGCGCAGCCCCGGGCTTTGGTTTGGTCGCGTGATGCTGGCAGGATCGGCGATTGAGTGTCCAGCGGATGCAATTCGTGTTCGGGCGCATGGCTCGTTCGATTGGACAGATGTGTGGCATGAATATCTGGGGCGTGAATATCTGGGGCATGAATGCGCACATCAACCGTATTCTGAAGCTGTCACTGGGCAGAATCCGTGACTCGCCAGCGATCCATCGCCCAAGACCTCGCTAATCGCCCAGCCACTCACCGGGACTCCGACCATCCCATTTACCGCCATATTTCCAGAACCGATCAACAAGCTCCTTATCACCGGTGTACGACTCGAGCGCCCACTCCGGCAGCTGTGTCTGGAAGTTCCAGCCGTCGCTCTCGTATCTCCAGCTGTGGAGATAGATCTGGAGTTGCTGTGGGATCGGATCCGAGCGTTTGTGGATGCAGTTGGAGCAGTAGTCGCGAAAGTCGCCCATGACCTGGCTGGGCTCGGCCACAGCGCTACTCCCGCCAGCAGTGCTCTCGCAAGGAGCATTGCTGGAGCTACACGAAGGAGCCGAGTCCGTTGGGCATGGGGTTGACGGAAAGACCTCTTGCTCCATCCTTGCGATAATAGCCTGCTTGGCCTCCTCGGCGATGCCGCCCTTGCCGATATCCTTGCCCCAGGCTTCGGAGCAGTACAGCGGGTCGTTGGCGATGGGAAAGCCAAGATACTGCAAATGAACGCGGATCTGATGTGTGCGGCCGGTGACGGGTTTGCCTAGAGGGTCGAGGGGCAGAACAGGTCAGAATGCCGGCAGATGGTGAAGTGTCTGCTGTCTCGGGCAAGCTCAAGCATCGGTGCGCTTGACACTCACACTCGACCACGCTCGTGAGACCGTTGTAGCTGAGCCTTCGGAAGTAAGTGGTGCAAGGCTTCCCATCTGGCGAGACAATGTTGAGGCCGAGCTTGTATGAAACCGTGAGAATGGGCTCATTGCAGATGAGATCGCCCCTGAGAGTAGAGCGGGAACAGAGGTCGTCAACTTGGTTGGAACAGTCGCTGCAAACGCAGAGGCAGCAGCCAGCACCGGGTGGCACGCCGCTGCTTACATGGGGAACTCTCCTTTGACTCGGCTGAGATAAGTCTTCCTGATGTTGCGCTCCATCATTTCGGTCATGAGAAGCTTGGACTTTTCCTTGGTGAGCGCAATCAAGGCGAGCCCGGAGGTCAATCGATCGAGCCGATTTGCCGCTGAATCGAGGGGCGACAGCGGTTGCGGCCGAGGTTGCAGTCGTGGTGATGGAAAGTATGTCGGGAGGAAAGGTGAGCTTGAAGCCAAATCAATGCAATGTGCCATACCGACGGCCTCGGTCTTGGCACATATGCCGATCAACTTACTGTAAAGGTTGCCGAACCCGTACTCGCTGCTCTGCAGTATACGGATCATCGAGTTGTGGTTGTATCGTCCTGTGGGATGAATCTGGATGTCCCCAGTTATGGCGCAGAGGAATATCGGCGAGAAGATGAATAGTCAAAGGACGCAGCGACAACAGGATGCCAGAGCCGTGTCTCGACATCAAGATCGCAACGGAGCATCTTGTCATGCGGCAGACTCAGAGCTACGTACTGGCAGCGAGCTCGGCTTGGAAACAACGAGCATTTCGTCATCTTGATGGACAATGTCGATCTTGTCGGCAGTCACAGGGGGCTCGTGGCGATGGACAAAGTGGATGATGACATCGCCGTTCTTGATGGGGTAGTCCAGCGAAACCGTCTTGCCGTTCACCTGGATCTTGCCCGAGGAGATGGCCCGGGTCTGGTCGGAATATCGAGCGCGGGACGACGGTCAGCGTCGACGGAGCAGCGATGCCGGCCGAATCCCATATGTCGTAGTGGTAATAGACTCGCCAGGCATACATAGTACTCTGGCGTTTCGTCTTGAAACTCCTTGACAAACACATCCATGATAGTGCGCCCGAACCATCGGCCCTTTGCGTATGACTTGTACTTGAAGTGATACGGCTCGACCTTCCGGAGACCTGGACCGTTGCGCACTCGGTAGACTCAGAAACGTGGAATTCTCGAGCAGCGATCCGAGGCAGCAGGAGACTAAGCCTGGGTCGAGTCGCCGCCGTAAATGCAGGTCGGTCATACCGTTTTCGATGGTGTATTTTGCGGGCTCGTCGATGTCGTCATCAGCCTTTGGAGGCCTGCCCTTCTTTTCCTTCTTTGGATCGCCTCGATTCTGGTCGCGAACATGGTCATGGACATCAGGGCGTCAGCAAATGCTTGAGCAGCATGGCCAACTCCAGAGCCAGGCCGGAACCGGGCGAATGCAGGCAGATCGGTTGCTGCGATGGTAATTGATCGCCCCAATCGAACTGCACGACGAAGAGATGACGCTGGGCCGTCTGACGGGCTGTCAAGCTCTACCTTTCGTGGTTGCTGGGTCTCGGCGACGATGGGGCCATCGGTATGAAGGCGTTTCTGGCGCACACATAGTGAGGCCATCGGATCAATACGGATGATCGGGAGCGACGGCGTGGTGGATGCAAAGCCTGGTGGATGCAAAGCCAGTCCGAACGACAGCAACGACAGCTCACCAGATCGGGCTCATCGGAAGCCGATTGCTCGCCGGGACGCTTTCTGGTCTCGCTGTGCTCGGTGGATGACATGGATGCGGGCCAAGAGTCGGCGATACAGATCCGAGGGACGGAGGCACCGGTCGAACGCAAGGAAATCTCAGAGATCAGGGAAGAGACGGGACGCAGCGCATGGAGAAGACAGCAGCTTCACAATGCTGTTGCACTTGCACTCGACCAGGACGCACCATGAGTCGACAGGGCCATGGCATTGCATCCATCCCATTCCCATGCAGACCAAGCCAAGGAACAACTGTTGCTGAGATGGAGGCACGATGCAGGCAAGCACGCCGAGACACAACTCATCGGGGACCCATATATCAGCAGCACATCAGCAGCACATCAGCACGCATATCAGCACGCATATCAGCAAGCACACCAGCAAGCACATCGGCAAGCACAACTACGTAGAAAGCACTTTATTGTGGGACCCAAAAGCGCAATTTCCCATAAATACACAGCTGATCGACTCGCACTTTAGGCCTGGGCCTCGCCATCCTTCTTGAAGATGTAGGTGAGACCACACTTGCCACAGTACTGGCGGTCGTGGTGCCAAGCCATGAAGACACCAGCACCGCAGGTCTCGGTGGGGCACTCACGGCGGAGGCGGGTGATGCGACCGTTGTCATCGACCTTGTAGTACTTGAGGATAGCCAACTTGACCTTCTTTCTCTTGTGCTTGATCTTCTTGGGAGTAGTGTAGGTCTTCTTCTTTCTCTTCTTGCCACCACCACGCAGACGAAGGACGAGGTGGAGGGTGGACTCCTTCTGGATGTTGTAGTCCGCGAGAGTACGGCCGTCCTCAAGCTGCTTGCCAGCAAAGATCAGGCGCTGCTGATCCGGGGGAATTCCTTCCTTGTCCTGGATCTTTTGCTTGACATTGTCGATGGTGTCGGAAGACTCCACCTCGAGGGTGATGGTCTTGCCCGTGAGGGTCTTGACAAAGATTTGCATTTTGTCCGCTGACTAGTTCTGTTGAGGACAAGGAGACAGGGAGAGAGTCTTAGCGCGCTGGGCAGGCAACTGTCGTCGGGAGAGGGAAGGGAAGGGAAGGGGGTTTCTCCACAGCGTGCCCAATAAAACGCTTGCACTCGTGTGGCCGGTGGTGGAGTCGAAGCTGGCTTGATTGCTTGGGTCCAGAATGGAGTTGACGATCCCTCCTCGTGCCGCTGGATGCGCTCGTCCCGGCTGCTCCCGCTGCATCGCACAGCCGTCGCCTCCGACAGATGGCATGGCGACCAAATACGGCGGAAATGGAGACGCCAACGCACCTACAAGAGGCTGGATCGGCGTTGTGCAGGAGGAGCAAGTGGTAACGAAGAAGATTGGCTTATTTCAGAGAGAAAAAAGCGTCATCACCTGGTTCGTCAACAGAAGCTCGTCAGATGAGAAAGAGAGCGGTCAAACAGGGATGGCGCCGGGCCGAGGATTAAATAGCGGGCGGCAGCAGGCAAGCGACTGTGTCTGTGCGCGCAGCTGGCGACGAGCAGTGCGGTCATGTGACCGTCCGCACGACAGAAAAAAACGGCCGCAAAGCCACATCGCACAGGGCGGGCGAGAAATATTCCGATTGGCGCGCAGCGCTTGCGCCTTGCCGTTGCGCCTTGCCGTTGCGCCTTTCCCCTTTCGCCTCGCTGTTGCGCCTTGCGCGGCTCGGTTCCCACGGCAACACACACACCCCAGTCACGTGCACAACTCCTCCCGGTTGCGCCCGCCCCGCCGCCCGTTGGGGCGTTGTCGTTTGAGCCGTCGGGGCTGGCTTTCGCCGTCCTTTTCGCCGACCTTTTCGCCATCCTTTCGCTGCCCTTCTCGTCGTCCTTTTGCTGTGCTTTTGCTGTCCCTTCGATCGCATCGCTCCGCCTTGCATTTGGCCCTGTCGCTCGCAAAGCCTCATCCATCCGCCAGATGCTCCATAGGAAGCGAGCCCTGCTCTCGTCCCAAGACTCGCCAATGCTGCCCTCGTCTCTGTCGACTCTGCCGACCCGGTCGGTGCCGTCGTCTGTGTCGTATCCTCGGCTGCGGCACGGCTCGCATCTCGACCTGGCGGCCTTGTCGCCGCTCCAGACCCTGCCCAACGAGGTCCTGACCTACATCCTGCTCTACGTCAACGACTGCTCCGACTGGGTTGCGGCCTCGGCCACATGCAAATCGCTCTACGTGTGCACCCGCCCACTTATCTACCGGGCGCCGCACTTTTTGTCGACGTTCTCATGGGCTCAGTTCCACATCTTGCTGGCCACCCACCCCGCCAAGCAGTACGGCAAGTTCGTCCAGGTGAGCCTTCTTAGCCCACGGCTGCTGTTGTTGCTGTTGCTGTTGTTGCTGCTGCTCATCCTATGGCCCGCTGCACACCACCGTCGGCGTTTCCACACATTCGCATCCTTTACTGACCCCGTGCCGCCCATCTGGCTTTTATTCTCGGCCCTCGACCCGCCCGGCGCCGATCCAAACACCAGGTCATTGATTTGTCGCTCAACTCCAAGCCCTCGATCGACTCCGTTCTCATCCCGGTGCTGCCGACTTCACTGGTAGTCAACAGCAACAATCTGTCATTGCTCCTCTACCGGAGCTATTTCGGAGCCTTCCGCTCTCGCAACTTTCGTCTCTCGAGCGTTTTCCAAGCCCCATCCCTCTTTCTGTCAAACAGCCCCAACGTCGCCAGCGGCAGCGCAATGTCTGCCCACGCCACCCCGATCATTCCTCACATCATGCCAAACATGTCGCTGCCCTCCAGCAGCACCGATCCAGGCTTTTTTGCCGACACGTCGCCTATCCTGGGACTTCACCCATACCCGCCCACGTATGCCTCCCATAGTCACACGGCCTTTGACGCCTTTGACTGGTCTGTACCCGTCGTGGACGCAGCGGAGCCTCCCGAAGTGCCTTTGTCGGCAGGCATCGACGGCGGAGTGCCCTTTGTCGAGCTCGAAGACAGCATCATCACGGTCCACACCTTTGGATCAGCCGTGTCGGATGTCGCACTGAAAGAACGAGACCGTCTCCTCAGCACCGTTGGCTCCCGGCAGTGCTCTCCGGTCGTAAAGGGAATCGAGGTGTCGGCATCCTCCCTTGTGCAGCTTGCCGAGAACTGCCCAAATCTCAAGGTGCTCCACCTCGGAGACTGCATCGTCTCCTCGGACGTCTACATTGTCGAGACCGGCGAATATCTCTCGGGCATCGCCTATCGCGTGCAGCCCTATCTCACTCAAATTGAGATCTCTCCCGCAGACGGGCTGCTCGCTGTCGCCGACAACTGCCCGCATTTGATCTCGATCGATCTCAGAGGCGCTCCCTGGGTCACCGAGAAGCTGGTGCGCTATCTTGTCCAGCGACTCAAGCAACTGCGGTGCCTCAACCTCGAGAGGTGCATGACTCTCCGCAAGTCCTGTGGTCGGCTGTACTTATTCAAGAAACACGACGACCTTGAAGCCGCAATCGAAAAGGCCTTCCCGAACTAGGTTGCCTCCCCTGAGCGCCTCTACCTGCACTTTTCGTCCGGCTGCCTCCCTCAGCTTCAGCCCCGACGCCAGCGTCTGGATGCAGCACTTCTCCGCGCTGGACAATCTGCGGCTCGCCCCGACCGCCCATCTGCACGTACTACCGACTCCTTGCTCCATAGCGACATGCATACCATGCTCAATAGCCACCACTCGCCCCTCTGCATTGCTCCGTTGTCATTTCACTCACCACTTCCCGCACTGACCTCACCCGTTCGCTTCCGTAGCTCCTGTTTGCTTACCATCATCACCGGTGCTGTGCCTCCTTCTATCGCCCGTTTCCCTTTTCTTCCGCCTCTGGTGGTGCGTGCCCCCCCCCTTTGCGCCTGGACTTGCTCCCGCCATGCACTCCCTCGTTGTCACACTGTTTTGGAACGCTTTTGCTTTTTCCTTTGCCTTGCCTCAGGCCTATATCTTGCACAGATATCCATATCTTGCACTTTTACCCTCCCTCTACCCCCCCTCACAACCATACACCAATTTCTTGATCCCGGAATCTTCTCTTTTCGCCGATTGTCTGGTCATGAGCTCTGCGAATCGAACCGGACCACGACAGTTTTGATGTACCTCACCTTGGCTGCCGCCCTCAGCAACTGTCTCTCGCTATACATCTCTTCCAAGAGAGAGCGGGACACCCTGTTCGTATCGGAATACAGTTTTTATGTATCTGAGTGTGAACGCCCGTTTGAGATCCAGAGCAGAAAGCATCCGTCGACCACGGCTAAAGCATCCTCCTTCGTGGTGCAGCTCCTATCGGCATAACACGGGAATGATGTCTGATCGCAGCCGCTTGTCGATGACTCCTCCCCCTTCGTGCTCATGCATGACATGATTGGCCTCTCCATCATTTTGAAATGGCGCCTGATTGTCTGGGCTGCTTGATCCATTTGGACGCTCCCCGTCCCAAACGTCCCCATCTCCATCGTGCATCGCTCTCGATCTTTCAAATCCCGGTATCTATCGCCTCGCTGTTGAATCCCAGATTGCCATGAAGCCCAGAGAAACCAAATCTGCGACACCTGTCCAGCCAAACACTTTTCGAACACACAGTGGCGATAAACCCAAAAAGTACGTTGGCACACGCCCAATGGCATGCTCGGTTGGCACGCCGCGCCATCCTTCGATGACGACTCGAGTCGACACCACTTTCTCACGGGCTGGAGAGGGGGGAGGGGAATGGAATGGATCTCGGTCGTGGACATCGACTTTAACACTGCCCTTGGACTCATTCTCGGACCTGCGTCTTGGATATCCTATTACAGGCTCACCGAAGTCGAGAAGCTTCAGCTGGACAATCAGCGCATGGAAGAGCGGCTCGCGGCCCTGCGCGACTCGTTGGCGAAGCAAAAGGAGAAGCGACAGTAGGTCCCGATTGCTGTCCTCTCCATCACAGATCCATTCTGCTCCTGCGCGGTAGTAGGCCGGACTGTTTGGGTCTCCCACCTCCCGCTATCACTGCCACGCTCAAACTCGTGTCTGCTGACTCCAATTCTTTGTATGTGGTGGTGGTGGTGGTGGTGGGGGGGAATGCAAGAGGACAAGAATCAACGTGGAGGGGCGGATTGCCGACTTCAGGGTCCTTGAAGAGCTATGCCCATGACGTGCTCGCGAAGAAGAATGCCAATCTGAAGAAGAAAAAGTTTCGCGGCGTGGGCGACGAAGGTAATAGGGGGGGGGAGCGAATCTCTCAGAGTGGTCGGCGGTGATCAGGGCAAACAACCATGCTGCCCCGCTTCTTCCTGGCTCACTTGGTGCTATGATCACTGAGTGTCTCTCCCTCCGCACTCCCCCCCCCCGCAAACATATACATACATACAAACATACATACTCGCATACATCTCGCCCAGCCGATCGACACAGCATCAAGCTCAAGGAGGCCCTCCAGCTCCAAGCCGAGAAGCCGCAGCGGCCGCCAAAGGCCGTTGTTCAGTCAGCAGGCCGGTCGCAGCAAGCCGAGGCACTGACCGGGACATCAAAGTCCATCTCGATCGCACCGGACATGGGCGAGCCCCACATGAACCCAGCGACCACAGGCAGAGCCCCGGATCCGCCGAGGGAGCCGGCACCAAGCGGGCCGCGCATGGTGAGTATCAAAGCGAGCACCCAATGGGTTTCCCACGCCCTGATTTGGTGCATAAATCAATCGGGGTGTGGAAGGAGGAGTGCCTCAAAGTAAGGGAAGAAGGGGGGGGGAGCAGAATTCGACTGAATATGGATCCTTGCCATCCATTGCCCTCCCACAGTGGCGAGCTTACTTGGTTACGCCTGGCCCGTCCGATGAACAAAGTGCTCCGACCCAGTCTATCGATCCAGGCTCGAGCCCGGCGCCGATTCCGCCGCAGCATGCCCAGCCAGCTCCATCCCACCGCCAACCCTCATTTCTCAATTCGCTCCAGTCGTGGCAGCAGCAGGCACATGCTCTACTCGCAGGAGAGCCCGAGACCCCATCTCCGATCGGGGCGGCACTCTCGGCCGAGCATATGGGTCCCAAGGCAGGGTTGGCCCAGGGCGGCGACAGCGACAACGGCGGGGGACTATTGCTCGAAGGGACCTATGACGAGCGAGCCTCTCGCGAAGATTTTCGAAAGGCCTTGGAGGAGTGGAGACAGGGCAGCAAAGGTGAGACCAGCTGGTACAGGTCGCAGCGATCGATAAGGAGGGAGTGGAGACAAGATTTGTTCATCTGCGCTGTAATTTCACTTGGCTTTGCGCTGTAATTTCACTTGGCTTTGCGCTGTAATTTCACTTGGCTTTGCGCTGTAGTCTCGCTTGGCTTGCTCCCTTCCCACCGCTAATGGAGTGCGGGCCTACATGGCTGATGTTTTGCCACAGAGACTCGTCCCACATCCGAGCCGGGAGAAAACGTATCATCCGACAGGCCAGAGTTCCAGTGCACCTCTCAGCAAACAGCCGCCACCGCCTCGTCCATCGAGGACCTCAAGCACAGACTCGAGTCCGTCTATCTGTCCAGCAGGTTCGTGCCCGGCAGCGACGCTGGTCACCAGCTCACAGGCCTCTCGTACTATGACCGAATCGTTCTCAAGACCCTTCGGCAGACTCAGAGCAACCAATCCACGGACACAGCGGGGATACAGACAATCTCGCCCCTGACTGAGGATGGAGGTGAGAATCGGTGCCATCGCAAACCTGTGGAGAGAAGGGGAACTGTGACTCCCGATCGGGATTGCTGACAATGAGGTGCCGTGCATCCGAAATGGATATGGGTATATCTATGGATGTGCCATTCCTGCATAGGTCCGCAAGGCCTGAAAGGCGGCAACGACGACCGAGATGAACACGGCCAAAGGACCAACAGCCACGTTTATGGCATCCTCACCGGTCGTCAAAGCAGTAAGGACGACAGCGGCGCTTATGTCTATGGCGACAACAGCATCCATGACGACGACGACGACGACGACGACGACGATGATGATGATGATGATGATGAAACTATACAACGACTGCTAGCATACCAGCCCAAGACGTTACCAGCAGCGAGGGAGTACATCGAAGTGGTGCAGGTCGAGGACGAGGAAGATATCGACAATGTTCCTGTCGTGAATCTGAGATTCGAGCGAGCGATCGTGCACGAGCCATGAGACGAGGCGCTGTGCTGGCCGGCTGAACGGCAGACAAGTCCTCGGGCATCGACATCGCCCCCCCACCGTTGCAGCAATAAAACCAGAGGCACGCTACGCTGTTAACCGACGGGACAACCAAGCTTCATGAATTCTATTGTCCCTTTGTGTATTTGTTGTAGTTGCCGGTTGAAATGGTCAAAAAAGCCAAAGTGAAGGGGAACACGAACACGGTGGGGTCGCCCAATGCCAAGGTGGGAGGAGGAGAGCGAAAGAGTGCAGCACAACGGCTCAAAAACAGAAGAGGAAAAGCAGCAAGAGGTGGGAAGGGAGGGAACGACTATATTAAGTACATCAGAGTCAAAAACCTGATCGTTAAGCCAGAGCTGGCAACAAAGGAAGGAAGCGTGGGAGGTTGTATAAAAGACTGCAGCATGGAGTGGATTTAACCCTTGAACCATTTCTTGCCGCCGGCATCTGCAACGACACAAGACGGAGGGACGAAAAGACAGCGAGATGGTAAAGAGCGAGAAAGGGAAAAATGATCGGGACGGTCTTGGAGTTGCTTGGCTTGGGGCGAGGGGCCACATCGCAAAGGAGCGGCCGTGACGAGGCTGCGAAGGAGCCTCTGCGATCAGACAGCATCAGAGCCATCGCAAGACTAGTTGATGATCTTCTTCCACATACCACCGCGGCCAGTCTCCAGTCGTCTTCTCTTGTCCTCCAACTCAGCGCGCTGCTTCTCGAGCTGCTCCTTCATCTCGCGGTGACGGGCGTAGAGCTAGTTGGTGCAGTAGGACGGACGGTTCAGGCCATGTGAGTGAGGATGTGCGATGTACGATGTGCGGTGTGCGATGTGCGATGTGCACAAATTGCTGAGGCTGCATCCGGATATCGGGCGGCGGGTAGCAGCAGGAAAGTTCAAAAAAAAAGTGCACGCGTGCTTACCTCGTCTTCTGACTGCTTCAGCTTCGATTCCTTCTCGGCGACCTTCTGCTGGAAGACAGCCTTCATCTCAGCCTCCATCTTGGCCATCTTGGCCTCGTGGGCCTGCTTCTCCTCCTCGAACTTGGACAGGGGGCTGAGTCAAAGGAGTATCGAGTTAGTAAGAAAGAGGAACAACAGTGCCAACGAGACCGAGAGCCGCCAACGAAGCAGTAGCGGACGCAAGGCACAACTCAGCGGCAGCGGCAGCCTCAAGATTGCAATCCAGTGTGCGGGTTCGCTCGCAGGCATCCTTACTTCTGGAGAGTCGCGGTTTCGTAGTCGCCATCGGCCAGCTTCTGGGTACGGTAGCTCTCGTAGAGCACCTCGTTGGTGTACTCCTTGAGCTCCTCCATGTGGGTGCGGACGAGCATCTGGCGGAGCTTGACAAAGTCGCAGTGGTCCTCGTTATCGACCTCAATGACACCCCAGGGGTACTTGCGTCCACGGACCTTCTTGCCGTTGACCTCGACCTCACGGTCGGAACCGACGACGGCGAAGGGAATGCGGGCAATGATGTCCCTGTTCTCCTGGAGAGTCTCGGGATCGTCGTTCTCATAGATCGGCGGCTGGTAGATCTGGATCTTGTTGTAGGCAATGTCCTCCAGGATCTGTACAGAGGGAGGGGCTGTCAACACAAGCCGACGCTCGGGGACGGACATCACCAGCAACGATCAACAGGCGAGACGCGGCGGTGCGTGGTACTTACTCGGATCTTGAAGGCCTTGATTTCGTCCTCGGTCAAGGTGTCAGACTTGGCAATGACAGGGATCAGGTTGACACGGTGAGCCAGTCGCTTCATGAACTCAATGTCAAGGGGCTTCAGGCTGAAGACAGAGACAGGGGTGTGAGTTTGGCAGGCGGCGACGTGCTTATCAGATAACGTGGGCACACACTCACTCACACCGCTCCTTATGAATGACGCGATGCAGGACATGGACTTACGAGTGGCCGGTGGGGGCAATGAAGTAGAGGCAGGCATGGACGCGAGTGTCGACGGTGCGCTTGCGGTTGACGCGGTTCTCCTGCTCGAGGTAGGCGTCGTATCGGCCCTCGATGTTGTCGAGGATGGGCTTCCAGCTCTCCTCGTTGTTGACAAAGTCACCAAAGCCGGGGGTGTCGATCACGGTGAGCTTGAGCTTGACACCGTTCTCCTCGATATCTGAGCCGAGGCGCGCGGATGATTAGGCCACGACGAGGACCAGGCCGATCGGATGCAAGCGGAGCAACGGTGTGCCCCAGCCAGGAGACAAGAGGGCAGACATGCACAGGCAGTCGAGCAGGATCGACACGATGGCGAGACTGAGCACACGGCCCATCGAAAGGAGACTGTGCTGGAGGATCAGGACTCACCAGCGCTGATGGTCTGGATCTCGACAGTCTTGGGAGTCTCGGTGGTCAGCTCGGCGGTCTCCTTGTTGGGGTACAGGGAGGTGTTGAAGATGGTGTTGACGAGGGTCGACTTTCCGAGGCCAGACTCGCCTGGAGGAGGGGAGCAAGACAATCTGTTAGCATCCTGTGTGGATCCGGGAGAAGCGGCACAGCCAGTCGGTGGGGCTGTCGTAGCAAAGGCCGCGCATCAGTTCGAACGAGGGTCCGTACCAACAACCATGAGGGTGAACTGGAAGCCCTTCTTGATAGACTTTCGGTGGACTTGGTTGGGCAGGTTGTGGAAGCCAACGAAGCCGTTGAGCTTCTTCTTGACAACAGAGGCCTAGACACACGGGGAAGGGAGCCAGTGCCGGACGGAGCGGGTGTGAGCTGATGGCGATCCGAAGCGTGCAGCGAGCGCCAAAGCCAAAGCGCATCATTGGTGTGGCCAAGGGCGCTTTCCTCCTCCACCACCGGCATCCGGAATGCTAGCTCGGTTGCAGCGCCACTGGGCAATGACGTTCTCGAGACGCCGTTGTTCCGATGTTGTATCGAGCAGTCCTCAGGGCAAGCGAGGGCCTCGCAGTCCGGCCAAGGAGGCACCGGCTCGCCCCCGAAAAATGGAAAAGGGAGCGGCCGGTGCTGCTACTGCTGCTGCTGAAGCCAGGCTGGACCGCAACTCGCACGGCGAAGCGGATGCTGATGCGTCCGGCAAACTTACAGTGGCGTCTACTTGTGGTGGCAAAGGATGGCGATTTGCGCAGGAGCACGGTCAGAGACGGAGACATGTCGCAGACGGTGGAGGACGGGTGGGTGGGCCACAGAACCGAGGCCAGAGTCGGGCGGGGGTGTGTGTCAGGAGAATCACGCAAGGCGGTAGATGGACACGAATCACGACGATGGCGATGGCGAAGACGGGCGAGACGCAGCAGCAGGAGAGGCGGCGAGGAGCACAAGAGCAGGGGCTTACCGGTCATGGTTGCGGCAGATCGGATGGAGGCGGCTGGGGCGGCAGCGGTGGGCGATGAAAGGCAAGAGGCAGCCGTGAGGAGAAAGCGAAGAAAAGCGGGCTTTTTGGAGACGGCGACGGCGAGCCGGGTCGAGAGTGTGTGTGTGTGCGGTTTGGGCGGCACTGCGGCTGTGGCGGGGACGCTGGGCGGCGGCGCGCCGCAGTGTGTGTGGGGGCAGACAAGCTGCGGGTGCGCGGTCTGTGCCGGCCGCTGCTGTCTGTGTGAGGGGCGCGCCCGTCTGTGTCCGTGTGCGCTGTCTATGTTTGGACAGCAGCGTGGTGCGCGGCCGACAGCTGGCAGCCGCACAGCCGTGTGTCGACTGTCGCTCAGCGCCCGTGTGTGCCGCGCCTCCCTGCGCGCGTCATGTCACACACGTGCAATGGCCGTTCCAAATTTGGTCGCTCCCTGTGTCGCCCCGCCCGCATTTGGAAATCCACCGCCGCAGCCGGATCGACTTGGATCGAGCCAGCGCACATGCACTCCAGCCGGCGCCGCCTGCGTGCGCGCCTGTGTGTGCGACGTCTGCACGACGTGCGCGGCCCGAGTTGGCGGGCGCGTTTGGGCGGCGAAAGCAGACGGTCACCTGCTGGCTGATCACCGCAACTGTCGATCACCGCAACTGCCAACCAGCACCCCGGCATCGGCAACAACCAGTCCATGGCATCGAAACCAGCACACAGGCACAGGCAGCGTCAGCGGCATCGAGCCGCCGCATCCGCCCCATCTGCTCCCACGCGCGACTATCCTGCTCATGAGGATACAGGTCTGTCGCATTCATGCCCATCCCAGGGCCTTGTTTCGTCCGATCCAGCACCATCGCATGCCCGGTCACACCTCCCTTTGCTCCAGCCCGCCCCTTGCACCACCCCGCCCCATTCCACAAGGCCGCCCTCCCGAAAGAAAAAAGGCGCTTGGATGTCGGCCCTGCCACAAGGGCACAACCTGGACCCACGCCTCCCCTGCTGCTCTGTCCGGCGTTCCCACGGGCCTTGTCGACCCTGTCGCTCTGCACAGCGGTCGTGTGCAGGGCACGAACCCTCCCTCCCTTGCAGAGCCAAGATTGCACGATCCGGCCTTGCCTCCCAACTCTGCCCATTCAGCCAGACAAGCCGCGTCGCCAGCCGGGTCTTGTTGCTTGCCTGGTCTTGTCTCCAGCCCCACCCTCCCCCGCTTGCTTGCTCGACGGGCTTGCGCTGAAAACCACCGTCGACCCCGGCCACGAGCATCCGCTATGACTTCTCGCTTGAATTTAGACCGATCGCATCCTCCCACCCGCCTCTGCTCCAGTTTCGTCGCCGCAGGCCAGGTTCCCTGTGCTCTGGATGCACCAGCTGCTGCAGAATGTCCTCCGGCAGCTCCATGGATCTTTACACGCTGCCCTTTGGCCTCAATCTCACTGACGCCAGCGGCCATGTCTCCCCCCAGAAGCTGCTCTACTACCCGGATGCCCCCGTCCCTCTCTCAAGCAGCATCGCCATCGCCTGGCTCGCTCTCTGCATCGCGGCCTTTGCTCTCTCATCGCTTCGCATCTTTCTCTGGATCCGCCAAGACCGCCTGCTGTGGAACCAGTTCCTTGACCATGAGCTTGAGTCTCCACCACCAAGCCTCAATCGCGTTGCGTCGCCCACGAAGCCGCCCTCATCCCGGGTTGTGAGAGGATCGGTCATTCTCGTCAGCGACAGTGCTGCTGACTTTCAGCAGCCAAGCGCAAGGTGGCGACCGCCTCCTGCCTCATCCCGGAGACCTGCCTTATCTGCATCGCAGGCGGCTGGGTTCCAAGACCCAACCGCTTCGGCTCACCTCAACTCTTCGTCATCCGGCCGGCCGTCGCGACCACGCCGCGAACGAAGAGCCCACACCGGCAGGGTCTCGATCGCCAAGAAGCCCTCCAAGGCATACTTGATGTCGCCGCTTGCTCCATCAGGCGGGTCCGCCAGCCGTCGTTCGTTCGCGCCCAAGCCAATCTTCAAGGACCGAGATTCGAGTCTCAATCGCCCAGGCAGTTCGTCTCAGCCCTCACAGTCGTCGATGCTCGCGGCCATGGCCAGCCGACACTATCATGCACGGCGCGGACAGTACTCTCGGCTCGAGGGCGATATGCTGTCCTCGGGCACCACCGTGGGTTCAGCAGCTACCCCGCCCCGCCGATTCATCAACCGGTCGCTGTAGTCCTGCATGACCGCCTGTGGGCCTTATGGAGCATCGGCCCTGTATCGCCTGACTCAATCCCTCACCTCGCCATTCCGCTCACGCACCTCAAACATAATCAGTCCGTAATGCAGCACATAATGCAGCATGGTCCTCAGTCTCGAGCCCGAGAATCGCTTGGTGATTGCACGCTCACTTAATAATCGCAGAGTGCCTTACTCCCTCCTTTTCCCCACAACCACCACCGCCTGTCGCTCCATCTGGCCATGGACGTCCGCACTTATCGCCGCGTGATACACGCCTAATTCGATATCATATGCATGTCCCGGATCTCAATATAGCCGTCCTAGTCGGTTGCATCGACACTCGTTCCAATGTGCGGGATCTGGAAGTACATGGACGGCGGGATTCTATTGCACAGCGCTCGATATCAAACTTTGCATGATCGTTCGTCCGGCTGTCTTCAAAATGCACCCGGACTGTATTCACATTGCGCTTGCCTGATGCAGCGGTGCCAGGTCGCGGAGTCAGCTATCTGCGTGGCGATTCAATCCGTCCGCATTCGTGGCTCGGCCGCCAGTGCCGTCGGTGGCTGTGCGTAAGGCGAATGCGATGCGCACTCAATGATTGCGTCCTCCATCGAGCATAGCCGGCCAGAACCAGGTTCCGAGTGGCTGTCGGCGTTTGATCCAGCAGCCACAGTTTCTGCTGACGACAGGGCGTTCATCCGCGATGGTCCCGCTGCGCCGATTGCATCGTCGGTGGCATCTTGGCCTCTCAGCTCCCCTGGTGCGGCAGATACAGAGCCGTGGTTTGTCCGCGAGGATTCTACTCCAGCCAGTGCTTGAATCGGCACCGTATCAAGCCCCTCTGTCGTCATCCATGAGGCAAACGTGGATCCGGTTCGATTTTGTCCGCTACCACCGCCGCTCGGCAGCGAGTGGGACTCGCATCTCCCACGGGACGAACCAAGGATCGAGTGTGGACGTGCTGGCACTCGGCTGGTTTGAGCGGCTGGTTCCACATCGACCAAACACAGTCGTGGAAACAAAGAAGGCAGTTGTGCATCCATATGGTTAGCAGATCACATCGACCATCAATACAGCCGTCGTTTCTATCTGTCAGCAGAGACAAGCTGGCGAAGGCGCGAGGTCTTGAGGTATCGCTGCTAAAGCTGAGCCCATGCGCTAGTACCCGCATACATCGAATGTGGCAAGCTGCTGTCGCATGTTCACACCTGGCTCTCTTATATGTGCACGAGCGACCGCCGTCTGTCGCCGGGATGGCAGCCCAAAGGCAGCTCGGAGGGCCTCTGTGCTTGGCGAGTCGTGTCCCAACTGAGCATCCTGCTTAAGCGCTGGGGATTCTTCGTTACTTGTTTTGCCTGAGCCAGATGATATGCCAGCCTCGGCCGATTTGCTGCCTTTGGATCCGGTGGTACCATCACCCCGGCCGTCGCGTGAGGGAAGGACGGCCAATGCTCCCCTGGTGCTGGCGGCGAGCATCTTCTGGCGATCGAGGCATCGTTTCTTCACGCTCTTCTCCAGATTCGATAGAGGCCCCTGGACTCGCCCGGAGGCGATGCGGAAAGCTGCAACTTGGAGACGAATCTTCATCTGCTCGAGCATCTGGATTTTGGGGGCCCGCGATTCGATCTGGGTGAGTTTGTGCTTGAGCGTTCCCGGTGGTGGGCCATGCATAGCAGCAACACACAGACATATGCCTTCTTGGCTTGCTCGAGCAATCAAACCTGGTGGACTCGGGGGCGCTGACGAGTGTGCTCAGCGACCGCTCTGTTCCAGTTTCTGAGGTGCTCTGGTTGTGATGCCTCGACGATGCTCCCCGGCAAGCCTGGGCTCGCCTCGACAGTCTGATCGACAGCCTGATCGATCTGCATCTGATCCTGCGTCATGATCGTCCGACTTGAACTTGGAGTGCTCGCTGCTTGAGGTTTGGGCTCTGTAGTTGCAGTCTTGGCAGAGCGATTGCTGGTTCAAGGACGAATTGCGACACAGCCAGACAAAGAAGAAGGCGCACCGACTCGAGCACACTTATCGAGTCCCCACAGATCCGCAGCTCTGATTCAGGAAGCGTCTGCGATCGAGACAGAGGCGGTGTCGGCGATAGAAAGGCCAGATGATATTCGCTACTCTGGCGCAGGCCCTATCCGCGATGCTCGAGCAATCGATATGCTGCTTCGTTGAACAATCGATATCCAAGATCCTGGAGCTGGAGCAATCCACGGAGCGACCAAGGCTTGCTTCTCACGTCCCCTCCCGAGTCCCCTGCCGACGCTGCAGAGGAAGAGAGGGAAAAAAGAGCGGCAGCCGCCGGGGGGAGCGACCGCCGGACAGAGGAGGCTGGACCGGCAGGGGCCAGCAGGGCGGGCTTTTTCGGCCGCAGAATCCAGGGGCGCGCGCCGATGCACAAGACAGGCCAGGGGGAGCGCCGTTGCACAGAGCGCAGTCATGTGTTTGTCACATGTCTGCGCCACGCCGGAGCCACAGAACCCCCGCACAGAACCGCAATGCGAAAAAAATTTTCGCTCTCCAAGCAGCATGATGCAGATCACCAAGGCACTCCAAGCGACCGCGGACTGGATCTGATCGACTCCCTGCCGACACACGACCAAGCCGAGCCGCACAAGCCGCACGAGCCGCCCATAGCCCCTGCGACATCTGTCTCCGAGCCTCGCCGCCGCTGCCCACATCCCGCGCATACGCATCCCTCGTCCGGCCCAACAGCAGCCATGCGCTTCCTCGTCTGGAAGAACCAAAAGGTCAAGCAGCTCTTCGATCCCAAGAAGCAGCTGATCCGCATGTCATGGGACAAGTACAACCTCTACAACCTTGCCCAGCGCACCAACCGCACCGACATCTCGCGAGGATCCGTCTACCAGCAGCGCTTCACCTGCAAGCGCGAGGTGCGATCGTATCACGGCAACGAGATCTGCGAGCGGCAATTCCTCGATCGGCACTTCAACACAAAGCTGCCCACCCAGCTGCTGACTCGCAAGGAGCGGGAACAGACCCCGCCCATCCAGGCGCTCATGTTTGCCGAGCTCGAGAGGAGACTCGACGTTGTCATCTTCAGGAGCCACTTTGCATCAAGTGACCTGCAGGCCCGATCGCACGTCGTCCGAGGCCACGTCAAGGTGAACGGCGTCAAGGTGCGTTTCGATCGATAGCGGGGCACTCGCAGCGATGAGGCGTGGTGTTGAGGGATCATGCAGTCGACTCGGAAAGCGCTATGGCGGCTTGGTCTCCAGGCATGGCTGATCCGAGGCACAACGCAGCGGCTTCGTGATCGTGCTCGATCCCGTCGGCTTTCCGGCCGCGGCTGGTTCCTGAGCGACACAGATGCACTGCTCCCGTTGGCCAGATGGCAACGAGAGGCTGTTCACCTCCATGGCACTGCTTACTGATGGCTGGAGTCAACATGTCCATCGCTGCGAGTCACGGTGTCGCGCATGGATTAAGTATCGCGGACGGCTGTATGCTGCACCGGTGCCCAACTCGACCGCCGTGTCCTGCTGCTTACCCCTGCTCCTCTGTTGCGCCAGTGCATTCATCCGTCGCGCCGGCTCGAGGATGGCGACATCGTCACTGTCTCTCCCTCCGTCGTGCCCACCCTCAAGGCAACCAACCCCGAGCAGCCCAACGAGCGCTCCTTTGCGCCCGTGCCCTTCATGGGACCCTTCATGTTCATCCCCGAGTACCTCGAGGTCGACTACAACACCTGCTCGACAGTCTTCCTCCGATCGCCGCTGCCACAACCCAACGCCGTCGAGATCCCGTCACCGCACCCTCCCCAGCTGCACCAGCTCGCCTTTGAGTGGTATGCCCGCCGATACCGTGCCAAGACCCGGGTTGCCGTCAAGGCTCCCCTGGTCATCAACGGAAAGACTGTCCGCTTGAAGCCCAAGTTTGACCGCATCATCCGACGGGAGCAGCAGCTGGAGGCCCAGAAGCGCGCCAGCCTCTCCGTTGCCCGTCGATCGGAGGATCACTGGCAGTCGCAACATGCCAAGCCAAAATCGACCCGAGCAAACCAACAGGCCAATGCGACTGAAACCAAGTCGCCAGCAGCCGAGACCTCTGCCGAGCGCTATTAGTAATATAGTCGACACAGTTCTGTCATTCCATTTGCAGCATGAGCATTTCCCTGTACATTTCTTTGTGCGATGGCGACGCGGCCGTGCTGCTGCTACTGCCGCGTCACTGGTCCAGATAAGCGCCTGGGCATTGAATCTAGAGGACGAGTCTATCCTGGGTGCCCTGTTGGTCGAGAGTGCGGGCGGTCAGAGCATACAATCAGCACATCCTGTCCTCTTGGCGCCTCTATACCAACATCACCCACAGTTCATCCGCGACAGGATATCGCTGTGTCTGTCGGTGCTTCGAGTGCCCAGCTCGCCAGCTTACCCCGCCGATCTCGTCCTTCTGGCCGCCAGTCGCTAGCAGTCGCTTGTTGTGTGCGAGCTTCAGAAGCAGCAGTTTCTTGACGTCGGCAAACATACCCAGTTGCTTGATGTTGGGCTCGTATTTTGCCTGCGAGATCAGTCCTCTGTGAGTTTAACACGATCGATGACCACCCAATATATATCGCCGCTACTCACCTTAATCTCCTTTTGCTGCTCTCGGAAGGACTTGCCGAGGTTCTCCTGCTCCATGATTCGCTTGTTGTAGAGGTCGCGGTAGGTCTTGAAACCGCGTGCCTTTTGCTGGGCTTCGATGGAGTCGTCGCCTCCAATGTACGCCTTCATTTCATGCATCACTGCGAAGGCCACGCAGCCACCAGGCAGCGTGAGCAAAGAAAGCATCAAGTCTTGTGCTAGTCCCACTGTTCTATTTCCAAAGGGACCCTCTCCCTGCCTACAGTCCCGCTGCCCAACCTACCTCGCTCCTGAGCGATTTCACAGATCTCAATCATGGTGTTGAGATAGTGCTCGCGGCTCTGATCATTCATGATGTCCTGGCGATACGACTTGACTTCCTGCTCGATCTGAGTGGTCTCTGAGGTCAGCCCCGCCATGGTGGAGTCGTAGATGCGCTTCTTTTCATGATACTCGGCCTCGAGATCCTGAACAGGCTGCCTGAGCTGGCGCAGCTGCTGGATCACCGGCGCAAGGAGCGATTTCTTGTCCTGAGTGCGAGTGCGTGGAGGAATGTGGGCGATATGAGATCCACGCGAGCGAGTTGGTGTGAAGCCACGAGAGCATGCTTTCTTGACCTCTCCTCTGCAGCTGCAAGCATTCGCATATTCCTTGCACCAATGCACCGCCTCCTCGTCTGTGATACGTACGTTGATGGTCTGGGTCAGCTTCTGGATGAGATTCGAGATCTCTTCCAAAGTCTTCCCTTTGGCCTCGTCAATCTCGCTCTTGCGTTCGGAAACCTGCCATGTCCAAGGAGCCAGCATTACTTCAAGAATGCGAATTCCAGCCCTTCCAGCAGAGCTGCTGCGCCGAGACCAGTCTCAAGTGCACATGGGTCTCCGGTGCCACTACCCACCTTCTCGAGCGTTTCCTGAGCGGCATGGAAGCCCGAGACGCCGCTCTGCTTCTCGAGAGCAGTCAAAGCCTCCTGCAGGGGCCGCTCTCGGATTTTCAGCAACTGTTTGTCGGGTGGGGAGAGTGAATTGTGTTATTGGATGCTGGGAGTAATAGGGCAATCGGGTATGATCTTTGATCGTGTGGCAGAGCAATATCGTTCGCATATTCCGGGACTGACCTCCTCGGTGCGCTGCAGGATCCCGTACTCGGCAGTCATTTCGGAGAGCTCCGCCTTCTTGCGCTTGTACACCATCGATTTGCCACGGAGCTCGCTGACATAGCGCTTGAACTCCTCGCCCTTGAGGATCTGTACAGCAGTAAGCCCAAGGTGTAGTCGTTGGTGGGTCTGTGAGACGATCTGTCTCTTTTCTTCCTGAGCAAGCAGTCCCGCCTTACCTTGGCACCTTGGACCCCTTTGGCCTGCTCTCGCTTCTTGGCAAGATCTGTCTGCAGCAGGTTGATCTCCTCACCCAGAGTTGCCAACTTTTGCGCAGTGCCTTCCTTTTTGCGGGATATGATCGCCGCTTGCTGTCGAAACAGTGCCAACTTGTCCTCTCCGTTGCTGTGGCCGTTCGCCAAAGGCATCCAGATGCAGTTTTCGGTGCCGGGTACAGTTTGTCAGACCGCCAGTTCCCGAGATACCCAGCGAATGGTCCGATGCAATGCAATCATCGCTGTCCATTCGTCCTAACCCATGCAAATCGCTGGTCTGTATCAAAAGCTTTGGCACAGTCCCTTCGATGTACTCACCTATTTTTGAGCAGTCGCTTCTCAGCCAGCTTTGCAATCTGCTCGTTGAGCTCCTTGATCTCGGCTTCGAGGGGACGCATGTCCGTCTCACTTACAACCGAATGCGACATCAGCTGCACAACTTCTGCGATCTGCTTCTTGGTCTCCTCGATTCCCTGCGATTCAAGAACAGAGTCATGTCAACGCGTCAACGCACCGGATGCTATCGATATCGATGAGGGCCCTTTGGATACTCCGGCTGGATTGAAGGCCCCATACCCCAGCCGACTCGGTTGCTCACCTTCGGTAAGTTCTCGGTGGCGAGATACTTGTTCATCTTGGTTTCCTCCTGCATCTTCCCAAATATCACATCGGCGCCAGCACCGCTGTACAAGGACTAGCCGCCAGCATGGAATGGTCCCAAACGTCAACAGCAGCATGACGGTCACCAAGCATATTCGAATCTACTCAGGGAACAGGTTATCTGCAAGCCGTGTGCATGGGACAGTGTTTTCCCTGCCAGTCTCACCTGGACTTCCTTGAGCTTCTGCTGCATCGCCTGGATCTTTTTCTCATGTATCGCAATCTGGGATTTCTGCTCCTTGATCCTGGCGACGAATCCAGCACGGATCAGTCGTGGTTCTCGATCCAATCGTCAGGCTCGTCGTCCACGATACGCTGCTTCTCCCGTGCAAGTGGACGTACTTGTCACTGATCGTGATCTCGGATTTCTGCTCCAGCCTCAGGTTCTTTGCGGCCTGGATCCAAGCCTCGTGGTTGGGCTGGTGGCAATCAGAGCGTCAGCACGCGCCCATCACATCGACGGATAATCACAGCGTCGCACTGCTGGCGCAATCTACTCACCACTTGCTCGACTTTCTTCCGGATCTTTGCAATCTTGCTGAGAACCTGCTGTTTCTCTTCCTCCATCTGCTGGATCTCGCGTTTCACAATTGCCGCATTGTTGCCTGAACGTGCGGACGCAAGGAATCAGGAATGTGCTGCCCATCCGATCGCCGATTGGAATGAAAGAATGCCCGAGCCCGAAGCGTATGGCTGCTTTTTCCGACATACCAGAGCTGCGAAGCCCATCGACATGCTTGTGGACTGCTTTGAATTGATCCTGCAGGCTTTCGACCTGAGTCACCAGGTCAACCACTGTTGCGCGATGCCGCTATGTGAGACAGAAATGTCCAGACACCAGACCCAGCCGGCGTTTGCCACAGGCTTGCTTCCCTCGACGCGCGAGACTTGCCTTCGTCCTGCATATACTCGGGCGGCACGTCCACGACAGCAAGGTACGGCGCGAGATATGCTCGCTTCTTGTGCGTTGCCAGGTCCTTGAGAAGAAAGTACAGAATATCCAGCAGGCACGGTCTGCTTCCCTCGACGATGTATTTGGAAAAGAGCTCGCTGTGGTCGCCATCCCGTCAGTAATCTGGCTCCGTTTTCGTGCCGACCGACCATGCCGTCCGTTGAATCGCGTCCAGGATCTGTCCTCGATGAGATGCTGGGACCAGGGGTCGCTCTGTCGCATATTCATTGGTGTTCCTTCGACTCCCCCGACAACACAAACGGCACTCCTTCTGCAGCTCGACACAGTGCATTCGCCCGGCCTTATCTACCCACCCGTCATATGCGTCCTTGAACTTGAGCAGCCGCAAGAACTCGCCGAAGCGATAGGCGGTATCTTCGGGCGGCTCCTTCCGGAGATCCACGCCGCGGTGCATCGAGTGTGGGTTGGCCTCGTCGATGTAGGCCATCACGTTGCTCGCGATCTGGACGAGCTGAACAGTGGGAACGTCGTCATGGAGGGCTATCGGCGTGCATGTGATGTTGAAGGGCGGCGCCGAAAGCTTTTCGGCAACGAGACGCAGGTCCGGCGGTGCGCTCATATCAGCGGAGCCTTCTCAGGAAACAGGGTGGCAGGGGTTGGCGGTGGAAAACCGAGGCGTCGTGGGATACGATAGCAGCGATGGCGATAGCAACGACGATGACTACAACCAGCCGAGAGCAACGTGTCGAGATAAGCGCCGCAAGCGAATGGATACAGATGAGCCGGAACGACTTGGGCAGCAAGTTCTATGGAGCTTCAGCCACTACAACCAAACTGAGATGAAGTTGGAGGGCCAAGCGCCGACACAGCTAGTTGAATCATCATTGGGCGGGCAGGCACAATTCGGGCTCGACGGGTGCCGGGCTCTGCATCCCCGATGGGAACACACAGCAAGTAGGCACCATCGCACCAATGCTTTGAATGCATGGCTTTGCCGATGATATCCGCGACCAGTATTGAGGTACCCGTTTACACTTTTCTCAGCCAAGGAATGGGCAGTCCATGCTCAAGAGCAGTGTGGTCTTTGAGAGTCTGCATCGAACAGGCCATTGTACAGTCATGGACAGCCCACGCCGTGCATCGGGTCAGCATCGAGGTAGTGATGGATGTCTATTTTGAATGATGAAGGGTGTGCATTTCCATTCGAAAAAATGCTACGAGGCAATGTACCCAGTTGTAATCTCTGCGAGCCGGCGAGGCTGGTTCGTTGGTGTATCGCTCGAGCATCATCCGATCCACCAGATACGATGAAATCATCGCCTCCAAACTTGTGCAAAGGGGCCCTGTGCCGCATACTTTACTGCTGGCTCTTTAGCTTTTGTATCACAACTGGATAAATGTTGGAGATGAGGATCTCGTGGACCTCGCGCTCGGCCTCATCGAAGCAATCCTCAGGGATCGTCTCCCCTTCGGTTTCAAACAATTTCGTGAGCTTCCGGCGCACTTCGTCGGTGAGATTCAGCTCGTATGTGGCCCCGGGCTTGACATAGTTTGTGTAGATCGTGTGCGCTTCCATCTGCCACGCCCGGACGTGCTCGGTGCTGGTTGAGTCAAGATGAACCTGGGTACTTGTCGGACTGCGGGACGAGCAGATTGTGCTGTGGGGCCGTTTTGCCTTCCGCCTGAGACGCTTCAGTGCAGTGACAAAGGATGTGTTCTCCATCGACAAGACTGCGGTGTGGTAAAGTCGTGAGTGAGCGAGGCGACATCCCTCATGCCGTTATCATAATGTACTTGGCAGCTGCAGGCAGTCGGTATGGCTCAGAGACATACGCTCGTAAGAAACCTGGACCATGAGCTCAAACAACTTTCTGTCCGTCATGCAGTCCATAAACCCGACTTCGCAATTACTGCAGCGTCTCTGCTGAGATCTCAGAGCCCTGATGGTCGGCATTGCCATGTTGATCCCCCAGATGATCAGCCCAGCTATGATTATCTGGGCGACCGTGGCACAAAATGGATGCAACTTGTCAGTTTCAGCAGCTTGGCCGGCTGTTTCGGCGACTTGGCTGGCTGCTTCAGCAGCTTGGCTGACCATCGCAGTCATCTTGGCCGTCGGTCCTGGCTAGTCCCACAATGAGGCAAATTACATCTGGCTTCAAATACCCACCCAGTTGATCTGCTGAAAGTATAACGTTGCGACTGGGGCTAGTTTAGCGACAACAGATCCCCATATCAATGACATGGCTGCTGATAGCATGAGTGCGACAGCCGATACAATGATCTCGAGTCGGATGGGATGGCTGATTTTGAGCTTGAACATCATCCACAACGCCAGCGGAAACAGGACGTAGGAGTAGACAAAGATGCTGACGAACCCCGGCAGGCTTGATCTGAGCAGCGCGCAGACTTCGAGCGTAGTCAGGTCTGGAGGTGCAGATGCGAGCATGTAGTACTGGAAGGGGATGAGGATCACATATGATATGACGATGATGGCAAGCGATGTCTTCCATGACGCCGCCTTCTTTGCCAATTCATTCAGGCTGGCGATGGAATGCATCGAGGTGCTGGAACTCAGGTTGTCCATGCAGTTTTGGTGTCCGAGATAGTTTACGTATGCCTTGGTGATCAGGCCTAGACTGCGGCCTAGTAGCGAACTCAGGAACCCTGTCTGATAGAGTTGGTGGACGGCGTGTCCGGCGGCGGTGGTATCTCGTGGTTAGCCATTAGCGGCTATGCGAGCTGGCACCAGGATGCTCTTGAATGACAGCACATACCAAGCTGGTGCTCATTATCCACACGACCACAATGCAGTTGATTTGCGGGAGGGCTATGATAGCCATCGTTGCTGAACCAGGACGCATTCGAGCAGTCAGCAGCCAGCGGCGCATCGCAGCCATGTGTTGGGCACTTTGCACCATCTGGCTCACAGACAATATGATAGATACATACCCATCATACCAATATACCCACAGGTTTCAGAAAGTAGAACCATGAATGGACCTCGCGACTTGATGTGGCAGTTATTCCTCAAGAGCACAAAGACTATCGTGCTGCGGTGACCGACGGCGCAGAGTCAGTCGTATGGGTCTGCGACCGACGCTGGGTTTGGTGCTAGACGCAGGTCCACAGCTGTCCACAAAGCCTCCCCGTAGCGCCGCTCGAATGACACCCCTTGTAATCAGGGTGCAGGCGGCTTCAAACTTACTTGACGATAAATATCACACTCAACACGACCATCAGTACTTGGTACACCAGCCGGATCTCGTCGAAGGTCGACATGCTGGACAAGTGGTTCTGCCAGGTGCTGCGACTGTTGGGCTCGCTGGTAAAGCAATGGATGCGGATCGAGAGGGCCCGCTCGGCAGATGAGGCGGCCTCGGTCAGGGGATTTGTGCCGGTAGCGTCACCTCCCCGAATCAGACGATGCAATATGTGTGCACATGAGCAGATGCACTCGCGATGACTGACTCGGACACTATGGCGGTGGTGCGAGTCTTGTGGGCATCGGCAACACCCCAGACGGCCCAGGCCATCAAAGCTTTGCGGAACTCAGCAGCCACGGAGAGCAGTCCCCGTGCCTTGGCCTGAAGCGATTTTTTCGTTCCAAGCAGCGACGGACGTGTTTAGTTCTCATCTGCACCGGCGATCCATCCCATCCGCCATGGACTCTGCGGTGCAGGGCACCCCCGAAGAGGACGCCGTCGTCTACACCATCTACGACCTGGGCGCCCTGCGGAGCCCATACGAGCCTGGGGCCCTCGACCGCCTCTCCAGCTCGCTGCTCTCGGATGCCTGCTTGATCACCGAGGGGTATATATGGCACAAGGATCGCTTCAACCTCGCCGTCTCAGTCTCTGGATCCGGTGAGGCTCGAATGGCATAGAGCACAGACACAGATATGACGGACGGACAGGCAGATAGACGGGATTCTGGAAAGCCCCGGCAATCCCAGTTGCCCAGGGCACAGCGCCGAGCCGATCCAACTCATCCACCACCCTCGATTCGCCTCCGACACAGAGATGCCGTCTCTCAGCGGACGCCAGAGGATCGGCGACTGTATAGACGACGAGTGGTTCGTTGTATATGTACTGCTGGAGCTGTCCAAGAAGTACCCCGATATTGCCGTCCGGTAAGCAGCGAGCAAGTCGATGCTGAAGCAGATCCGGCCATGTCTTCATTCCTCCTCCGCTGTGGTTCAGCGTCGGCTCAGCAACGGACTGCTGAGTTGGATCCCATTGATCGCTTTTGCCATTGGGGTTATACGTTGACGCTCTGCCTCTTGATGTGTGCTGCTCGAACGACGCTATATCGGGTCGCCACTCCAACCCACTTGCCCTCGACTCAGCGTCCAAGACACGGACGGCGAGTTCCTGCTGATCGAAGCGGCGATGGAGTTGCCGTCCTGGCTTGACCCCACCACTAGTCCGAACCGGGTAGGTCTCTTCTCAAGAAAATCATGCCGGAATGATTGCAAGAGCGAAAGCACGATGTGCGTGGAAAGCTAGCCAGACACGATGCCCCAACTCCCAGCCTTTCTCAAACTCGATCCTGTTCGCATCCCCAGACCTATATCCACCGCGGGAAGCTGCACATTGTGCCCAGAATACACAGCCATGGCCTCGGCGGAGACATCTCGCTGAGGGCCGGGCTCGCGGCTGTGGCAGACGAACAGATCCAGACACAGGCCAGTGTCTTGGTCGATAAGGCAATTTCGGCTCGAACTCAGAGGTAACGGTCGTATCTCTGCCTCCCAAATCCGATCGCAAGGAAAGCGACTGACCTGCTCGTTCTGGTATGTCGCAGATATCCTGCAAAGGCCGCGCGCAACACCCACCATGCATCATGCATTGTTCCGCTCAAGGTGGCCCATCTGCTGTATCATGAGCCACAACTGGTGTCAGCCGCCGTCGAAGCCTTTTACTTGCGAGACCCGATCAGCCTCAAGGCAAGTCGAGATGCAGTCCGTCGCAAATCAAGTGTTCGAGTGTGGATATGTATCCCGACAACTGACTCGGGTGCAGGGGTGTGCGCGACGGACTGCTCGGGAAGCGTTGATGTTGTAATCACACTTTGCGCTCCGACTTGACTCAGGCATGCCACAAGATGGAGACCTTCCCACCAGCCACCAACGTGCGGATGACGATAAAGTTCTCGCGGCTGCTCTATGCACAGCTGCTGAGCCAGCAGTTCTACCCACCCAAGCCGTTTCAGCTGCCGGCATCCTCCGACCCTTCCTTCAAAGCAGCGGACCTTGGAATGAAGCTGGTTCGTCTGAAACGCCCTAGACTGCATCGTACACGCAGTCACTTGTATTGAGGCCATTCCACGAGCCGGGCATCCATACTGAATTGCCAAATACAACACGCAGGCTTGTGGGCTCGAAATGATTTGCGCCGATCGAACAATGTGGACACCCGAAGACGATAAGGCCACAGTCTGTGTAAGTGATTCCGGATGGCTGTTTCGCCACTCACTGTTTCCAAATGTGGCGATTTATCTGGGCGATGCTGGTCGCCAAAATTGCGTACTCCAGATGGACTTGGCTGATGGATGGCTATTGATGATCTCTTACGGGGCCTGCAGAACTACCCTTTTGAACAAGACAAGGAATGGGCGGCGTTCCAATCGCGGTTGATCAAGATGGGATACTATCGGGTACAGAGCCAAGGATCTGATTGCTTGCAAGAAACACTTGATAGAATCAGGTTGTACATGGATGATGGAATATTGTCTCTTCGCTGCCGAGCCAATTCTAACATGCTGATGTGTGGGCAGACCGAAATCGCCGGATCAAAGCTGTTCAAGCACCTTGAGCAGACAGCCAAGGAGCAGTACCTGCTCTCCAAGGGCAATGATCTGTAAGCGACGAAAGCCGATAGATATGAGCACCAAAGGAACGGAACAGCGCTACAAACTAGTGCCTCTGGGATGAAACTTGAGTCTTACCATATTGATCTTGCATCCAGAGAAAACATCGACAATCCCGCGTCGCGAATCCGATATCTGCTCTCGCTACCGCAAGTGGAGCGCTCGCAACTGCCGAACGGGCCCGAGGACAGTGACGCGTGGATGTACATTGAGGACACTGAGCTTGATGACGTTTTCCAGCAAAGGGCGCAGGAGAATGTCAGGCCTGAAGAGGCTCTAGAGGCTTTGAATGATGACGACGAAAGCAGCAGCGACGGCTCTGACAGCGATGACGAGGTAAGGACCGCGGTGCCGCGTGACCAATGAAGCAGCTTGTGTTTGGAGCTGATCCCCATGGCTGCTGGCCTTGCTTTCAGAAAATTAACAGCGCCGATGTCAAGAAGCTCGAGACTTTGATCCAAAGCTTTGGAAAGTTCATGAAGACAAAGAGCGACCCTTCTGGCGCACTGTTTCCTCAGTAGGTCGAGATGGCTTGGATGGACAGGAGCAGATCATGGAGTGACACGACTGCGGCAGCGTCACGGTACCAGTACTTACGATAGCACTGGAACAGCGAAACGACCGATCACGAAGCCGGCGTGCCCATTCACTTTGACGAAAGCGAGTTTTTCAAATCGGTCGTGTCCATACTTGGTGAGCACAGGTGTGGGCGCGGACGGCGCTTGAGATCGGATGTGGTACCTATAGGAGGCACGCAAGTTCTGCCGAGATCCGCGATAGCCGAGACGAGATGCATCGGCGTGCCGGCACGTAGTGCAGGGTGCAGGGACGAGTGTTGCAGTAGTGGAACCGACGATGTGCCTCCATTCAGTGGTTACCTAGGCTCGTCGTCACCCGGCTCGGATAGAGTCCAGGGTGTACTCACGCCAGTTTGTCTCTTTCCACTCAGGAGATCCCGACGAAGCTACCGCCGAGAGTGACCAAGATGCGCGCCCGACGGCTCCGCTGAAAAAACGACAGGCCCGCCAAATCATCGTCGAACGGGACTCGGACGACGAGGACGACAGCGACGAGGAGCAAGAGGACGAGGACCTCCATTCCGATCCGGCACTCGCCGCTTCGATCGACGCGGAGATGAAGCAGTACATGGAGTCGATGGACCACGAGCTGCACCAAACAAAGCTAGGAAAGGACTTTGAGAAGCAAGCAACGACTGTGGTCGAAGCCGACGCCAATGACCAGCTGTCGGGATCCGCTGACGACGAAGAAGAGTTCAGACCCGTGGATCTGGATGTCAATTTGATCAAGAATCTGCTCATGTCCTTCGAGTCACAGCAAGGCCTTTCTGGTCCCGGAGGCTCCATCCTGTCCAGTCTCGGGATCACTCTGCCAAAGAACAAGGATACATGACGGCCCATGCCCACCCCACGAAGTTGTTCCAAGTTCTGCTATGCTATGCGGGGTCGATGGTCGATCGATGGTCGAGCTTGGCACCCGAATACAGAGCAGTTTCGCAACGCTGGCATACTCGGCTGCCGTTGTCCCGCACGCCCACTCTTGCCAATATGCCGGTCAGCGTCCATCATCAACGACCACATGGTATTTCAGGGTTTTAATGATAAGCCGTATTGCGATAGGCGATGTTGGGCAGACCGCCATGGGTATCAGACAATCGCTGGGTGGGAAACACGGCGGTCGATGACAACGATACATGGCAGCCAACGATACATGGCAACCAACGATACATGACAATGAGACGTTACAAAGGGAAATGCCAACGATCGGATCGGCTCAACAGCGCTTTGGAATCGATCCCCACGGTTTGGAAGACTGCTCGATTCCTGAACATGGCCCCGCGGAGGAGAAATGGCATCGGGGCTTGCTAGATCGACTCTGCGACAGCACTTTCAGGCTGTGCCCTGTTGGTTGGCGTGCTCACTAGCCCATTTTCGCTTTGGCTCCTCCATCCCGAAGCCTGGGTTGGGATTGGCGGTGGACACCAAGGCGAAATCATCAGTCCGACCAGCAAATTATCGCAAGACTTGAGCCTGTCAGTGCAGTGAATCGCACTTACCCTCGCTGTAGTTGCCCTTGAGCTTGAAGAGCTGCTTAAAGTGAGGTTTGCAGTAGTACTTTCCGTCCATTGCAGCGAGGTTGCCCAGCTTCAGGGTGTTATGGCAGTGCGCGCACTTGAGACAGGTTTTGTGGAAGACCTTGTTGTCGAGAGTGGTCTGCTCAAGCATATACACTGGAAGCACGCAGATGCAAGAGCAGCCAGTCAGTCCTGGCGAGCTGGCGATCGACAGAGGGTCGACACAAGCCAACTGTGCCGGTCATTGGCATGAGGGAGCGGTACGCAGTAGCCAACACCTACCTGTCTTCTGGCACACTTCGCACTTGTTGCCTCCGCGAGAAGGTGAGGCCGAGCCCGTATTCTGGGCAAGGCTCTTGACGACGACACCGGTCTGCGGAGAGATGTTGCTGAGCGACGAGCGTCGGGGCTCGTGGGCAGCGACCTGGGCATAGGAGAGGCGGCGACCCTCTTCAACCGGCTCGGCTGGCTGGCGAGACTGTGGAGACTCGGCGTCGGAAGCCGTGCTGTGGGGACTGACGGGAGACTTGCTGATATCGTCGGCGCTGTTGTCCAGGCTGGCACTGCCGGACTTTGCCTTGGGGGAGCCGCCGTGCTTGACAGCGTCGGGCTGGCTGGGCAGCCGGGGTGTTTGCGACGAGTGCTCGTTGGCATATTTTTTGATGCGGTCCTTGACCGGAACAAAGACATTGGAGACAGAGTCCTGCTTCTGGGTGGCCTGTGCCTGGACTGGAGCGTCTCGTGGAGCTGTCGCGAGGGACGGGGCTTTCTGGGGAAGAGAGAAGTTGGACTGGACTGGCTTGCTTCCAGGCTGGGCATTGCTTCCAGGCTGGGCATTGCCGAGCGACGAGAAGAACTCTAGACGGGCGCTGACAGCGGACATGACGGAGAGACCGTGTGAAGGAGCGCGGAGACGGATCAGGGGTTGGGTCGGGTCGGGTGGTGGCACCAATGTGCTCGCTGGGTGGGAACAGGGGTGGGAACAGGGGTGGGAACAGGGGTGGAAAGCGCACCAAACCACAAGGCGGGAGTGGGATCGAAGGAAGACGGGGTCAGACGAAGGTCAAGGATGGCGCCGACAGAAGAGCAGCAGGGGCGATGGGATTATAGGCCCGGCCGCTGCTTGCCGCAAGGAGCGGCTGCGGCCTGGAGCCGCACGGACACGACAGCGAACCCGTTTCCCAGGGCAGACATTCGGGAGTGAGGCTGCCTGTTTGGGTTGGCGTCTGTTTGTGGCCGTGCATGGCCAGCCACAAACACGGCCGAGCGAGGCTCGAGCCTGGTTCCATCCGGGCGAGACACCGGGCGAGGACACTGAGCGAGAGAGGACACGGTCGTTCCATTGAGCGAGCAGGCCACGCCGACAACCGTTTCCACAGCCCACCATGAAGATCCGCTGGCACACGATCCTGCCAACAGCCCATCGGCTGGCCCCCTGCCATGCCGGCGGCGCTGCTGCTGTTCCTGCGAGCCGCCTGCTGTGTCGCGGGTCTCTATTGACGAGGCCGCGCGCTGCGATGAATGCCGTGCATCGGGGTGAGTACTGCAGTGCCGAGGATATCTGGGCCGGTGCAGCCCGCTTGCGGCGCCGGCGGCGCTTTGGGTCGTTTGCAGCCGCCCTGGCACACTCCTGGACATGCAAGGATCCCTGCGGTGGGAGCGCCATGTGGCCGAGCATCCCGATCGCCGGTGCATCGGCAGCGGTTGCTGGGAACAAGATATTGGCCCCGACACTTGCACGCTGTCCAGGATCGCGCTGTTGTCTGCGTTGGCATTGCTTTCGCCCGTGTGCTCCGCTCCGACTCCTGCCCCTACACTTGCTCCTGCTCCTGCTCCTGCTCCTGCTCCTGCTCCTGCTCTTCCCCTGCCGCTCATGGCGCTCGTGGTGCTCTGCTGGCAGTGGTGCTCTTGCTCGAGTCCGCCTTGCCTGCTATCTCGTCCCGCCGGCTGCTGCTGGTTGCCGCGCCAGAAGGACCGCTCAGCCGATTTGCGTTTTGTCGTGCCGGTCCGGTGATCTGGCCGGGTGCTGCGCCACGCCCGCCACGCGATGACGTGTGCGATCTTATCGCTCATATATATCCCCGTCGCCTTTTGCCCTCCCTCTCTCCCCGTCATCTCCTGCAACCCGCCGCCTGCTGCTGCTCCTCCCACGTCCGTCCCGGCTGCCTATATGGTCTACCCGCTCGGCATCCCGTACACCACCCTGCCCCATCCAGTCTACAACTCCACCCTTGCAAACGCTCCTGCCCACGAGCCGAGCCCCCTCCCTGCCCCTCACCAGCCCAAGATGCCCTCCGACAACGCCGACATTGCCTCCCTGGGCAAGGACGCCCTCGAGCAGGCGCTGCTGCAGCAGGCCGATCTGATCAAGGGCATGAAGGCCCAGAAGCCCGCCCCCTCCAAGGAGGATCTGGCGCCCTTCGTCGAGCGGCTCCAGGCCCTCAAGGCTGCCCTCGCCAAGCTCGCCGAAGACACCGGCTCCAAATTCGATCGTGCTGTCCTCGAATCGCTGCTGATCAAGCGATTCTTCTATGCCCCCTCCTTCCAGATCTACGGTGGTATGTATCGGCTGCATGCCCTGTCGCTCGGGCACTCGGACGAGTGCGCTTCTCGCATGTGATCGGCGGCATTTCGTCGGCAACATGCCCTCCACGCTGCCTGCCGCCTCCCTCCCTGCCTCTCCAGATCGCTGATGCTCCTCCGTCCCGCACAGGCGTTGCTGGTCTCTATGACTACGGACCGCCCGGTGCCGCTCTGCAGAACAATATCCTGCAGCTTTGGCGCCAGCACTTTGTTCTCGAGGAGGATATGCTCGAGATCGAGTGCACCAACCTCACCCCCGAAGCCGTCTTCAAGACCTCTGGCCACGTCGACCGGTTCACGGACTGGATGGTCCGTGACGTCAAGACCGGAGACATCTTCCGTGCCGATCATCTTGTCAAGCAGATCCTCAAGGAGCGGCTGGAGGCCAACGATCGCCTCAAGCGTGGCGTCGTCCCGGACAAAAAGTCCAAGAAGCCTGCCGAGCCCCTGACCCCGGAGACCGTCAAGGAGTACGAAAACATCCTCGAGCAGCTCGACAACTACTCCGGCCCCGATCTGTGGAAGCTCATCAACGATCTCAACATGAAGGCCCCCGAGACCGGCAACGACCTCAGCGAGCCCGTTCAGTTCAATCTCATGTTCGGCACTCAGATCGGCCCCACCGGCAACAACCGTGGCTTCCTGCGCCCCGAGACTGCCCAGGGCCACTTTGTCAACTTCAAGAAGCTGCTCGAGTTCAACACCGACCAGATGCCCTTCGCCTCGGCCTCGATCGGCAAATCCTTCCGTAACGAGATCTCGCCCCGTGCCGGTCTGCTCCGTGTCCGTGAGTTCACCATGGCCGAGATCGAGCACTACGTCGACCCCACCAAGAAGGACCACCCGCGCTTCTCCGAGATCGAGCACATTGTCCTGCCCCTGTACTCGGCACACAACCAGATGAACGGCGGCGGTGTCATCCAGATGTCTGTCGGCGATGCTGTCCGCTCCGGCGTCATCAACAACGAAACCCTCGGTTATTTTGTCGCCCGCATCTACCTGTTCCTGACGCGGATCGGCATCAAGCCCGACAAGCTGCGCTTCCGTCAGCACATGTCGAACGAAATGGCCCACTATGCTTGCGACTGCTGGGACGCCGAAATCCTGAACAGCTTCGGCTGGATCGAGTGCGTTGGCTGTGCCGATCGCTCGGCCTATGACCTGACGGCGCACTCGAACCGCACCGGCGAGAGCCTGGTTGTCCGGGAACGGCTTCCTGAGCCCGTCACCGTCACTCGATGGACCCTGACTGTCAACAAGCCCAAGTTCGGTCCTGCCTTCAAGAAGAATGCCAAGTTTGTCCAGGGCTACTTTGACACGCTGATGGTGTCTGCCACCCACTGGAACGAACAGAAGCTCCAGGAACTCGATGTCCAGATCAAGGCCAACGGCGGGTATGTATAAGCAGGCCGATAGACAATATGACCTGTAGCGCTGATGCGGCCGGAGAAAGCTCGCTTGGAATGTTAACAGGATTTTCTTCTCTCATTCCGCACTCGCAGCTCTGCCACCATCACCGGCACGGACGGTAACCCGTACGTGATCACCACCGACCTGGTCACCATCCAGCAAGTGACCGAAACCACCCACGGTAGGCGCACTCCCTCCATGTTCTCTCCTCCTGCAGCTGCCACCATACACACCCTCGTGCACATCACGTCCCCACGCATACTCCTTAGATCCCATTTCAGAGACCCTCCGTCTCACCATGGGTCCCTCTGGGTCCATGGGTCAGTTGAAATGGCATGAGTCATTGGTATGCAAGAGCGCCAAATTTTGGACTTTCCGACGCCTCCGAACATGCGACACAGCGCTGGTGCTTGCCACCGATCGACGCTGTGTCGTCTAGATGCTTGGAGAACACCTTTTTTTGCACCATCCCTTTCCACTTGCGTGTTTGGGCCATTGCAATCACCCACCGCCATCTATCTCCTCTGGCTCTGCCTCCTCCATCGGCATCGGCATCGGCATCCGCATCTGCGTTGGCACTCACGCGCCTCCTGCTAACTTCTGTTCCCTATCCCAATGCAAAGTGCGCGAGTTCACTCCCAACGTCATCGAGCCTTCATTCGGTATCGGCCGCATTCTGTACTCGCTCATCGAGCACGTCTGGTGGACCCGTGAGAACGACGAGCAGCGCCATGTGCTCTCGTTCCCTCCCGTGATTGCCCCGACCAAGGCGCTTGTCCTGCCCATCAGCAAGAACGAAGAGTTTGTTCCCTTCCTCAAGGATATTGGTGAGAAATCGAGAGCCGCACATGCTTGCGGTGTGCTGCTGTATGCTCGTCGTCCTGCAATGCTCGTCGTCCGTCTCTCTTGAAGCCACCGACGCAGCTCTAACCGCGAGTGCATCTTTGTTCAGTGTCCTCCCTGAGACGACACGGTGTCTCCAGCAAGGTCGATGACTCTGCCCGTGCCATCGGCGCCCGCTACTCCCGCAACGACGAGTTGGGCACGCCGTTTGCCATCACAGTCGACTTCCAGACCATCAAGGACAAGACCGTCACTCTGAGAGAGCGCGATACGCTGAAGCAGATCCGCGAGTCCATCCCGACCGTCACCCAAGTCATCAGGGATCTTGTCGAAGAAACCACAACCTGGGAGCAGGTCCTGCAGCAGTACCCGGCCTTTGAGGGCCAGGAGATCTAGTGGCTTTCTCTCGTCTGTTGTCTGTAGCTCGGCGCTGTCGGCCCCGCCACTGCATGTCTGGATATCGCACAGGCCCGGTCCCCCACTCCCCTCCATTGCTGCGAGCTGTGTCCTGTTTTTTTTTGGAGCCCCTGTATATGTATCAATAAGAAGCCGATATCATTCCCCACATCCAATCCAAGCTCCCCGTTCAGGTCGTGCGGGTCGGTGGTTCCCCACTCCCGGATGGTGCGCTGTGGCAAAGCCCCTCAGCCAAACAGCGATCGATCCTTGATGTGGATGCTCTGGACGAGCCTGGTGAACTTGCCCATCACCTCCTCGACGGTGCCGGCACCGAGCAGCGATGCTGCCGCCGGGTCGCCGCTCCGTGCCCGGACTTGGTATTCACTGCGGAGGGCTCCGGCCGAACTGCTGGAGCTGCCCAGCTGGGTGGTGTGGTTGAAGGTGACGAGGAGGTCGGTGCCGACAGCAGGCAGCCGCACGAGGCAGAGGTAGATGTGAACCTGGTTGTAGGCATTGCTCGAGTGTTCCTTGAACTTGGCGATGCGCTGGATGCCATGGATGATGATGGCTTGGAACCCGTCGATGCCCATCGAGGCACTTGAGATCAAATGATGGGGCGGATCCATAGAGAGCAGAAAGGAAGGAAGAAGGGAGGGGCAAGATGAGAGTCGACCCTCTGCTGATTGCTCCATCGCTGGTATTCAAAGTCCTCGCCAATATATCCGTCCGCCCAAGGGCCCGTACCTGAGATTGGGCAGCTCAGAGTTGTTAATAGCCCGGATCGAGATCACCTGGCTAGCGTCAGTTGCAGAATTGTCGCTGGCGAGCTCCCAGAAGTGATAGCTACAGAAGTAAGTGTTGATGGTGAGTGGATGGAAGCCCTTCCCTGCGATCGAGCCAGCTGCGATTCCGAATTGCGGCGCTGTCGCTGATCTGAATAGACAGACAGACAGACAGACAGACAGACAAGCGGGAGGATGCAGCTCTCTCCTTCTGCCAGGCTCAGCATTGCAGGGAATGCCACATACTTTGCAGCTTCCAGGTCAGACTTGTCGGTCAGATAGTCCAGCAGCTCGACGATGATGCTCTGGTCCGTGTCGACATCCACATAGACCTCCTGGTGATCAGGGATTTCTCGCATAGTGCTGTCTCGTCGAATGGTTTGGGCACCGGCGATTGAAACGGCAACCACAGCAACAGCAGCAGTAGCAGCAGTGGAAACAACACGGTGCATATCGGTCCGTTAGCGACTCGGCCGACCACACGTTTCAATTTATCCAGAGACAGACAGACAGACACACAAGAGACCCGAAAGCAACACTGCAACCGAGTGCGTACCTGGCGTCGACAAACGAGTCGGGGATGTATGCGGTAATGGCTCCGCCGTAGAGGGCTCGCTCGTGGGCCTGGGCAGTCATGGTTGCGGCGTGTATCTGCAAGGCAAGGCAGCAAGACAGCAAGACAGCAAGACAGCAAGACAGCGGGACCTGGGGACGCAGGGTGGGGAATGCTGTTTTGAGGGAGGATGCAGATCAGCGGCCCAGGCGATCTGTGGCACAGCCGGAGGCGGAGCACATCCCGGTTTCTGGTTCGATGTCGCGGTTCCATGGAAGCGCCTCCCCCTGATCCCGCAAGACCCGCCGAGCCACTTGCAGCCCGCATCGCACAAGTGCCCTGGGTCACACACCCCGGCAGCGGACAATATCAATGTATGAGGACGAATGCCGCCAAGCTATGCGGCCGGCGGCAACAAACGGTACTGCTTGTTTGAGCATTTGGATAAGCGAGCAGGACTCACGCCCGAGGCGATCGCTGCTCATAATCGAAGGAAATCAAAAGCATGCCAAACAGCCACAGGACAGGACTGGGAGAGCAAAAGAGAGTGAATCTGTTCTGTCGGTGCACAAAAATGAAAAAAAAGAAGAGGTGAAAGTGCCGCTCACGCAGCAGACCTGCCGCCGGCGTCTCCGGGATATTATCGGTAGTTGGGCTGGTTGTAGTACTGGCCGCCTCCTCGTCCCGTCGGGGTGCCGGAGCGGGGAGGGGCATTGTCATAGGCGGCGTTTGCATACTGCGGGCCAGTGCTGCGGCCAGCCACGTGGTTCTGGTGGTCAACGTAGCCCTGGACAGGCGAGAGCGGGTTGTGTGAGCCCTGATGCGACAGCGGGGTCATGGCCCGCGCATGGGCGTTGTGATAGGGGTGGGCCGATGCGTTGTGGCGATCACCAGAGTCCATCGATCGGGGGCCGTAGCTCTGCTCGCTGTAGTACTCGTAGTCTTGGCCGGGCTGGCCATAGCCGGACTGAGATTGCAGCGGGTAGTTCTGGTGGTATGGGGCCTGATCGTTGCGATAGCCATAGTCGCTGCGATAGCCGCCAAAGTCGCTGTGGCCGGCGCCGGGGTAGCCACCGTTGTCGGAGGTGGTGTGGCCCTTCAGACGCAGAGCGTGGTTCTGCTCAATCTCCAGCAGGCCGGCCTTTCGGCTCTCCTCCGCACGCTTGCGGCTGCGCTTGCTCAGGAGCTCGTGGATTCTGACCGCGGGACGGAGAGACAGATTCCAGTGGTGCACACACAAGAGGGCGTTAGTCCCTTTGTACCGAGAGCCCTCGCGGTACGAATCTGATGTAACAACAAGCAGGCCGTGACAGAACGACATGAACCGCCATGGCTAAGGTTGCGGCAGAGCGTCAGCGTACCTCTTGTCGATCTTGTGGCAGCAGTACTCCTTCAGGTTGCCTTGGATGACGCCGTAGAGCGGGATATAGACAAAGATGGCAAGCAGCAGCGACAGGAATCCGACAATCCAAATTCCGACGGTGATGCACGAAAGGATGAACGAGACGGTCTGGAGCGAGCTTGGGAGTGGGTTCGCGGAGCCCGCGGGTCCAGCTTGGCGCTGTCCTGTGATGATCTGGGAGATGGCAACGAACACGATTTGCAGCTGATCGTACTGCGTCACGGTATTGTTTGCCGCGATGGCGTTTGAGTAGATCTGGATCAGGTTAACAATGTTACCAAAGTTGAGGAATTGGCGGGGAAATTCAGCGAGAATGAGGCGCTTCCATCCTATACAGCCGGGTCAACGAAAGATGGAGTGTGTTTGCCGTCGGCAGCGATATGTTAGTCACGGCAGCAGTGATGGGGCAGTTGCAGCTCGGGGCCTCGACGTCCAGGAGCTCTAGGGTTCTCATCCAGGCAGGGTTGTTTGCAAGAGAGACCCGACAGAACGCATTCCCTGTCTGGGCAGGCTTAGAGTGAACAATGGGACTCACCCTTGAAGGCAAAGAAGCAGTAGAACGCCAACACATCGACGACTTTCTTTGAGTTCTGGACTTGCCGGAAAAAGCAGTAGTGCGCATACGAACGCAGGCAATAGTAGCGATACGCAATAGGGCTGGTGAAGGAAAAGGAGATGTCGCCAGACTTGATGATGGCATTGGCCTTTCTCCAGTCCAGGCCGAGGAGGATAAAGGACAGACACACGCATCCCAGGATGATCCAGGGACGGTATCGGATCTGAATAAAGCTCATGAAGGAGGGTTGCGGACCACAGATGTTCAGTCCGGCAGCGCCACTCGGGCACGAGTTGTCCAAGGCTTGCTGGAAGACGTTGTTGACGATCAGAATGGTGACGATACCAATATCGGCCATCATCGTGAGGACTGACTTGAGGGTGAAGAGGAAGACGGTCATGTACCGCAGATGACTGAGGAAGGAGACGTCGACATACTCCTCGATGTCGATGTATTCGAACTTGTTCTCGGGATAGACCTCGCGCTTCCACCGGGGCTGCGACATGGTTGCAGGGCCAAGGTGCAGGAGCAGGAGATGGGCGGATGGGCTGCTGGGCTGCTGGACGAGCCGGTGAGAGTGCTGACGGACGGGGCCGTTCGAGGGCTACGGATGTGGTGGAGGAGATGCTTTCCGCTAGCCAAGCGCTGTCTCAAAGCAAACGGAGGATGCCTCGGGGACACTGGGAGAGCAGCGGGGCGACGGGACTTGGGTTGAGCGAACGGATGGGAGACGAAAGCAGCAGACGAAAGACGGACTGAGAAAGGAAGGGCCGAGGACGGCGAGGCGGCAGACGGGGGGCGAGACGGCTGGCGAGACGCCGGAGAGATGCTCTCGGCGAGAACAGTCGCGGCGACAAAGGCGCGCCGCGGCGCGATGACTCGGCGGAGGCGCGTGTGTGCGACATTGCGGCGGTGTGTCTGCTTGGCTGGCGGCTGCGACGGCCCAGTGCTGCTGTGTGCGCTCGGACAGCAGCGCGGTGCAACACAGCCACATGTGCGACACAGTCACAGCCAGGCCACACGCCGCCAAGCCACAGCGCAGCCGGCTGGATCTGGATCGAGCCGCGGGTCACGCGGACGGGTTGCACAAGGGGTGGTCCAGCAAGGCATATCCAGGGGTTGCCACTGGCCGGCGCCGCATCAGCCCAGTCCCAAGATAGAAGGAAGCAAGTTAAAGCAAACCCGGACACCGTTTCGAACGGGAGACCGGTACACCGGCGTGTTGCGAACAAGGCGGCGGATGCAGAGAGGGGCCTGTGCTATCCATCGCCCTGACCAGCCCAGCAGTCCAAATTTATGTCCCGGAGCCACAGCCTGCGAGCAGATGCACTCCGCACTGGCCGGCAGCACCCCAGGACCACCTCAAACAGTAGTACGACAGAGTAGCTTCCTCTGGTAATCACTGTATCGGTATTTGGGAGTCTGATCTGGTCTGGTCTGATCAGGCCTGGCTCAGTTCGCACGCAAGACCGAGACTGGCACTGGCTGTTCACCACAGGCCCACCGATGGCTCCGCTCCACAGCACGCTCCTTGCCAACATGACGCTCCTTGTCAGCAGCATGCGCCGCGGCCAGCTAGCTCCCCGTGACTCCTTGCCAATCCACGAGCCATTGTTCCAGAGCCAAAATGGCTTGATCGCGCCTCCACCGCCCTTGTAACATGGACAGGGGGGGAGACCGCCCTTGTGCTATCCCAAGAATAAGGATGTGTACCAATGCTCCAACGATTCGAAGTCATAGTACTGGTCTTACAATCGCATGGGAGGCGAAATGTCCTTATGTTCCAGCTCGCTTGCCGACTCGGCAAGCCGCCATCGAAATCTGGCCGCGCAAGTCGCTATTGAGCCGGGTGTGTCCTTTCTGATCGTCAACCCCATGTGGTGACCGGACGAAACCGAGCAAGCCTCGCGGCGCACATGTCTTCGCCACCTCTTTGCCATTGATCAGCATGCAGTTCATGGCTTGTGCATGTGTTACCGGTTATCGGATTCCATTCGAGACCATCGCGTTCTGTAGAATGTGTCGACAGCTCTTACTGCCACTCGGTTCCATAGCGCTTTGCATCGCCCGAGCGTCGTCGCTCTGCTCGAGAGCGCATGCACCACACACCATCAAAGAGCCGTCGCACATACGTCTCATCCTCATATCCACTGGTGCTCGCCTATCCGTTGGCATCGAGGTACCAAGTTATGCATAAAAGGCAGCCCTGCCCGCCGGTCCTCGTCTCCATCATCATTCTCATCGGCATCGCCTAATTGTCACGTCCTGTTTCCCACCGTTACTTTGTCAGCCACACCCTCCTCCTGCTACCTCCAACGCCCTTCATCCCACTTATTCCGTTTACCATTGCACCAATGATTTTCCGGCGCATCCAGCCCAAACCTCCCCAGCGTGCTCCATTCGCGTCCACCCACAGTGGACCATTGTCTCCCGAAGCATCGAGCCACCCCACCCTCGACGCCCCTCCCCCTTCCCCTTCCTCATCCGTCGAGTCTCGCGCCTGGGTACCAGCCCCTCATTGTACCCAGCAACATCCTACTGTTCCGGCTTGCCACCCCATCCCCGGCCTCACCGCGCTGCTGTCACCGTTCCCTGGCTCAGTTTTTTCGCCTCAGTCACAATGCGCGCTCGAGATTTGTATCTCCGAGCCTGCTTATCCCACTGGAATTGTCGACAACTACTCGACTCACTACCCAGGGACAACTCCGTTCTTGACTGATTCGTCGCTCGGTGCGCAAGGCGATTCAGCCAACTATGCGGATTCAACTCTGACTTTGCTGTACACACCCGGCTATCCAAATTGTGAGCACGAATCGGCTCCAACCCAGAATACTATTGCGAAGCCATCACCGTTTGATTTTCGGCCTCAGGTCGAGGCTCCTTGGAGTCGATCTGGGCCGGATGAATTCATGGATCGCAGCCTGGACATGGGCAATTCGTATCCGCTGCATGGCGCCAGTCCGGAGCCAGTCCACTCCTTTGGTTTCTGCTCGTCTGAATCAACAGCTTCCCTAGATGAAACCGCGGATCTTGAACGCATCGAATCAACAGGTCCAGGAAGCATCGGTCCAGACTCCCAAGAGCCAATGGAAGTTGTTTCGAGCCAAGACCCCTTGTCCATGTCGGATACAAGCGCCAACCCTTGCTTGGAAGCAGTCCGCAGCCATTCGGGACTCGACAACGTTTTCCTGTTCGAGTCCAGCTCCATTGAAGCCTCAAGAGAGTTGGGCTATGTGCCACTCGACGGTTCGTTCCCCCAAGAGGCGAATATGACTGCTCTTACTAGTTGCTTGACTCCTCATCCCACCGAGATGTTGTTTGGTTCTGCTGGCTCCGAGGCACAGCTTCTCTCCCCGACAGACGAACATCAGCAAGATGTGATCGAGGCAGCCACAGGATCTGCAGAGGCGAAACCCGGAGTTGCGCTCGCATCTGTGCCGGTGAAGAAGGGCCGAGCACGGAAGCCGCGTCCGGCCCAACAGCCCAAGGACACTGTCGAGCCTGTCATGCAAATCGTCGCAGCCCATCCCGATGGACCAGTCGAGCGCAAAAAGCCCGGCAGAAAGCGCCCCAAGAACATGAATCCAATTCCTCGCCCCTGCAACTGCTGGATCATATATTTGGGCTACTGGATGCCGCGGGTCAAGCAGTATATGATCCAAAACCCGCCCAAGGGCTTTGATCCCTCCAGGCTTAGCGGCCGAGATATCCTGCACGCTGTGACCAGGGAAGTGTCCCGGATGTGGAGAACAGAGCCGTGCGATGTCCAGAAAGACTGGCGGGCCGCTGCCAAACAGGTATTGAAGAATCATAAGGAGCTCCATAAGGAATACAAGTATTCTCCGCGCCGGAACCCCAAGCGCCGCAAGGTCAACAAACAAGCTCGCTCGGCCAGTGCATCCGATTGATACGAACGACGCCAGGCCAGCCATTGGGAATCTGTCGCACGGCGACGACCAAATCAAAATCAAAATCAAACTAACACACTGGGGGGGGGGCGAATAGGTGCAATACTCAATGGCCACAATACACGCCGCACCACTCAAATTACCGTTTTGCGGTGTTCGGGGTTGTCAATTAGGTGTCAGCCACTCTATCTGGGTGAACCGATTGTCGTGATCATCGGGTTCGGGAATACGGAGAGTGAGTGGATGCACACTTTCCCTTCCATATCGAGCGAATCGCGCTACCCAGTCAGCAGGACAAGAACATGGCTTAGAGCAGCAGGATGTTTTGATATTTTGCTCAGACCGAGCATCAGATCCCACTACAGCACCCCCGCTTCATCAATGCGGAAAGGTCTGCCCTGAAATCATCGCCCTTTGGGAGGAAGGAGTGTTGGTCAATCCTGGGGCATCCCTCTTTCTTCAAATGGCCCTGAGTCGACGATTCTCCTTCCAGACGTAAATACTGAACAATAGTGCAGCACTCAGCGTCGAGGCGCCCGAAAGGAACGAAGTCAAGTAAAACTGCGAGGGCAGACTCCAATACTTGAGGTGTGGGTGAGGAAATCAAGCGCAAGTTGACAAGTTGCCGTTGCCGAGACCATGATCAAATCGCAGTCGCAAGGCACGGGCGTCAGTAACTTATTCGCATCCATCGCTTGCCCGTCCCACAGCCATTGCCACAAGCTTCCCACCCTCGCCACCAAGCCAGTCCAGAACAGCACCGAGACGTACCACCGTAGCTGCAAACTGCAACAGATCAAACATGTTCTGCAACGAGCTTTGGGCTCCGTTCATCACACCACAGTCGGCCAAAGCGACCCTGAGACCAATCGACGAAGGGTTAGCTGCCTCCCGGACAACAGATGCAATCAGTGCAGCATTCACTAGTCTAAGCACGACCCGACTCTGCCGGCCTACAGCCTATACGAGCTACACTCACCCTTCCTGCATGATTTGGGTCTGAACCAGGTCAAAGGTCCACAAGCCGATCCGGGACAGAGCCGTGCCGCCGATCAACAAGCTGCCCACGACCACACTGTCAAAGCCCCACCAGTCCAGGACGAAGGAGGACAGAGCCACACCGATAAAGGCGGCCTGTGTCCAGATTGCCCAAAGACCGGTGTTGACGTTGCCGATCCGCTTGGCGATCACCGGCATCAGGAACGTTGCCAAGAGACCCATGATGACAGCAAGGCCGCGGCTGAGGGCCACCGTCACTGGAGCGTAGCCTTGCGACAGCATATAGGCCACCATGGTGGTGCCAAAGCTGAGGACGGTGAAGTAGAGCTGCGAGATGGCCAGGGACGACAGGAAGACGGGGTGGCGAATAAAGTAGATCCAATCGCCCAGCCAGCCCCGCTTCAGTGGAGCCGGGGCGAACGGAGCAGCGTCGTGGTCTTGGACAGCGCCATATCCGCCGGCTGCCTCTGGGCCAAAGTCGGGATTGGGAAGGATCGCAACGGACTCGTCGTCGATGGCGTTGCCTGGAGCATCGTCTTCGACGGGCTTTTGGATGAGCCCATACACATGCGAAACGAGGCTCCACTCGAGCGGAATCAGGGCAACGCCGATTGAGGCCACCACGAGCATCGTTTGCGGGACGAGTAGAAAGGTTGTGATGATACTGACTGCAAATGGAGCGGCAATCTTGCAGGTGAGGTCGACTCGCCGCAGCACCACATTGATGTCTGCATCCAGGATGGTGATCGTTAGCTACAGGGATGGCAAGCGGCGCCAAGAAGGAAGTGGTTCGATCGCCGGCATGTTCATGAAGCACCACAGATAGCGCAGCACTGGCCGATGCAATTCAGACAATGCATCATGGACCGGCTGCATCGACTCGGACGCAGATGGCCAACCAGCCCTACCTCGTTGGGTGCTCGGATCGGCGTGAGCAATCACGACGGCCCAGTCCTTCTCGATCGAAATGGTGTTGATGATGCTGGACCACTTCAGCAGGATGCCAAAGAGAATCGAGAGCCCATACAGAGCGTAGGTTTCGGTCGGGTGGGTTTCAGGGCCGTAGAACACCTGGATGGTCCACAGAGATAGAGCCGAGCCGGCAATCGCCAACTTTTGGCAGACCAGAGATGTGCGAAGAACTGCGACAACGTGCAGTTAGATCACCCGGACGCACCCCGACAATGCTCGCAAAGTCGCTGTCGTCCTCCATCCGCCGTGGGTATGGATCTGCAAAACGTCTGCGACCCACACAGCCGAGGCATGGAGATGACCGCAGAGGACCTATACTCCAGATCAAACAAGACGGACTTGCTCAAACAGCCGCGATTTGATCCACTCGAACGGGCCATACCAGTAATGCGCGAGTGGCTGTCGATGACTCTGCCGATGAAAACTCCACCGATGATTGCCGAGAGGGTGACGACAAGCCCATAGAGCGCCACCTCCAATAGCGACTCGGAAAAGATGGTGATGATGAACAAGCCTGAGTCGCCGCCGCCGATTCCAGGGGGGTGAGGGCACACGCAGCCAAAGACGCCGTCCAGGAACCAGAGTCGAAGGTGGCATTAGCGACAGAGCCTGGTTGCATGACAAGTGGCATTTCTGGGACCTGTTGCGGCCCAGATGGAGTGGAGCTGAAGATGGGTATCCAATGACCGACTGACTCACTGGTGGCAAACTCATCCATGCGGGATGACCACGAGGACGAAAAGAAGCTCTGAAGCGGAGATGGGGTAGAGAGGCTGGATGAATGCAGGCCCCGATATGCCGACGGGTCGATGGATCGATGGATCGATGAGTCGATGAGTCGATGAGTCGATGAGTCGATGAGTCAAGTGCCAGGTTCAGCGGAGCCCCAACATACCGTCGCAAGAGGCCACAGCGTCCGGGAGTGGTGCGGCATAGCGCAACGCGGGGATTTGGGTCAAGGAGGCAGAGGAAGAGTTGTGGCTAGCAATGGAGCAGCGCCTTGCAGAGGCAGGGGCGCAACGGAGCAGATGGAGGCCGATGAGAAGCTGGTCCAGAGCAACGATTTCGCCATCGGGATTGAGAAGCATTTGCTGGGCACCAAAGGCGATTTGTGGCACAACAAAAAAAGTGCTCAACAAATGAGAAGGTGGAGAAAGAGCGCCCAGCGGGAGAGCCCCAGCAGATCAGAGCGAGGCCGGCGACAACTGCCTCGGCTTTGCAACCGGGGACAGCCGGAGTGCGCCGGGGCTTCTGCCGCTGCATGCGGGGATCTTGACCAGCAGTAGTTCTTGTGCCAACCGTATTGGAGCAGCGATCACCCAGGAGCCGACGGGATGGGAGGGCGAACCCACCAAGGGAAGCCAAGATGGACCCCTGGTTGATCATCCAATGGCGGTCGCTGGCGTGGGATTTTTCACCATGCCCGCCGCAGTGGTTGCGGCCGATGCCTCTGGCGGTGGCCAGCGATGGCGGGCTGAATGATGATCACAATAGCGGGCTAAATGATGGTCACGATGACGAGCTGAGCGACTCCGGCTTCATCGGCCGCGGGCTCTGTGTCGGTCGACCAAGTCAGACCGTCCGATTGCGCCTGGCTCCGCCAGTGCTCCCTCGTTCCTGGAGAAAAGCACTATGATGAACGAGAAGTGACTTTGGGAAGCGGCTGGCGGCAACCTTGGGAGGCAGCCCCTCCAATCCCCTCCACCGCGCTGCCGCGCAATATGCGGGAGGGCCGATGAGCGGTTCGAGAGAGCGAAGGGGACGTGTTGGCGGTATGCCAGACCGAGCCCATGACAGGAAGGCGGGTGGACGGGGAGCTCGAGGGTCAATGACATGGCGGCGAGGGATAGGAGCCAAGCGGCCCAGAAGCACCACGAGATCTGTCTGTCTCTCTGCCTGTCTCTCCGTCTGTCCTTCCCGTTTCCTCGTCGTCGTCGCTGCATCTGCCTGGATGCATCGGGTGCATCGACCCGATGCACGGCGCCGTCGCCCGATGTCTGCTCGCTTTGCTCGACTGGACGCATCGGCTCACCCGGTTGCCCGATCGACAGCAGCGGCCGCATCGGTCCTGGCTGAGCGCCACGCACTTGAATTGCCATCAGATGGGCGCATGCTTTCGCCCAGCGGAGGCACCGACCCGCGCGAATCACAGCAGAAACGCCGACCCCAATGGCACACTGGCTGACTGCCCGGACTTTTTTTTCCGCACTGTGAGTGTGCTCCATGTGTCTGCCGGCGGACGTGGGCGCCGTCGCTCTTGCCGGCTCTCCCTGGAACTGTTGCCTATCACAGGCCGCTGCGGCCCAATTTGCATCAACGCCGCCTCTCGGTCTGGCTATATCTATCCGTGTATCGTCGGCCCGCGTATCGTCGATCTCGTCGCTGGGACTCGCTCGCGCGGCCGTTACGCCATCGAGCACTGTTATCCTGAAGCTACCATCGGCCCCACCCTCCTTCACCCCATTTCACCACCACCCTTTCCCTCGCCGTCGATTCATTTGCCCGTCCTTCGCTTGCCGTCACTTTTCGCGGCCCCTGCTGTGCTTGCTTTGTGGTCGGTCGATCTGTACTTTGTCGCTCCTGTCAGGAATGAAGATTGCCTTTCTTTTGAACGGTCCCGAGGACGGCTCCCAGTCGCTGGGTCAAGATCGCCCCCGGCACTTTCCTTCGAGGTCCGAGTCGTTCGTCTCCGACTCATCCTCCCTGTCGCGAACCTCGGCTCCTCTCTCGTCCTCCAGCACGGCTGCATATCATCCGCATCCGCCTCCTTCGATCCAACTTGACCGCTCTTACTACTCGGACACCACGCCGCGAAGGCTGGCACCAAAAAACCCGCGATCGAACTTGCAACCGGATCGCAGTCCCAGGTTGCTCTCTGGTAGACTCCTGTCCCGTGCCTCCTCACTAGAGCGCCGATTTGCCTGCACTCACTGCCCCTCTGCCTTCCGGCGCAAGCAAGAGCTGCAACGGCACCTTCGCTGTGTCCATGGCGACGAGACTCCTTGGGTCTGTCCCTGCTGTTTAAAGGGCTTTGGTCGAGTTGATGCTCTCCGAAGCCATTTTTCCTCCAAAAAATCCGCCACCACAGGTTGCCGCTTCAGCCTCGGCAGCCTTTCAATCCCGCACCTGGTGAATCTCTCGACCGTATCCAGGTCCTCGCCGCCGGCGTGACCGCCGTCCTCCTCGTTGCGCCGACCGATGCAAGTGACTGCTTACTTGGCCGCCGCTGTGACCAGCCCAGAGCCCAGAGCCCAGAGCCCAGAGCCCAGGGCCCAGGGCCCAGGGCCACGTTAATAATCTTGTTTCATAACCTGTTACTTGTCATTTTGTTGGCGATGCGAGTCGACTCCTCATACTCCTCACATTCCCCACATTCCTCACACTTCCACATTCTCCACGCTGCTCGTACTCCTCGCATTGCCCGTATTCGCCTTGCTGTTCCAACATTCAAATAAAGAAGCAATCGAGCCTTGGCCGCAGAGTTCAGTTCTTTCCGATTCAGTAAGCTGATGTGCTCAGCGTGCTGAAGAAAAAAATGGAACACATTGTCTCATTCGGGCAAACACGGTGTAGTTGGATTATATCACACACCCGCTCAAGCGGATCAAATCATATTCCTGTGTGAGGGAGATGCATGGAGTGAGTGGGCACGACGGGGACCAACGAGCCGCTGTAGATGCAGTCACTGCAGGTCAGTGCAAGAAGACATACCTGGTATGAGGGAGGAAGCCACAGGGCAAAGAGAAAAATCCCTGCAAGATCTCGGTGAGCGAATTTATAGGGTACCAGTCAAAGTCGTCCAACCCACACAGCCCACACAACCCACACAGTCCAGCAAGTCATCCGTGTGAAGGTGTCCCGTTTCAAAACAAGTTCGAGAAACAATGAGTTCTTCCTGTACTAGAGGCCGATGCGACATGGCACCGGAGGTATAATGCTGGCCGTGGAGATATTGGAGTCTTGGACAGTCTCGATGGACCAGACGCCAGGTGATTTGACTCACTCGGTCACTCTCGATCGAGTATATGATGTGATCCAGTTTCGGGGTGTTTTGTCCGAAAGAGGCGGTGTGCTCCGTTGGGCTTTCAACCAGCTGGATATTCGTCATTCCCGCCCCCCCCCAGCAAGCCCGAGACACTTTCCATCACCCGCTCCAACATCTCGACAGATGTTTGGGGAGCTACACCCTTCGGGTTGATCAGGGTCGCCACGACAAGGCAGGCGCCTGCATCGGTGGTTGGTCCGGATCTTTCGTTGACTCAGCGTTGCTGAAACTTGGGGACACTGTCAAAAGCCTCCAAACAGACAGCAACAAAGAGTGCCTGTGCCGGCGATGCCAGAAGAAACAAAGCCCCATCGAGCAACAGCAGTAAAGCGACGCCCAGAGTGACGCCCCTCCCCTCTCTTGTCGATAGTCGCGTCCACCATTACACGCTGCCACCTGCAGTTGAGATCCAAAGCATTACTCAACGTCGACCATGTTTACGATGGGATCGCAGTTGTTACGTTGCTTGTGCTGGCAGTCGTAGTAGTGGTAGTGGTGGCAGCAGTGACGGCGGTGGCTTTGCGTGCGTCCTCGCACCCAACGTCGTCAATCCGTGTGGATCGGCGACAATCCTGCGGATGCAGATATCTGGATGGCGCATGGATTGTCAACATCCCTGGTGATGGCAAGAGATCTATTACAAATAGAAGCCATATAAAGCGGCTGGCTCCTCCCCGTCCCCAACAGTGGAACTCATCTGTCATCCAAGAAGCTCTCCTCTCCAGTACCGAGCTGCATCGGTGCTCAAACACTCCAACACCCTCATCTTTCCGCTTTGTCCAACTGGCATAGTCGCACTGGCCATTCATATCCCTGCTCCCATAGGAGCCATCGCCATAGATACCGAGCGAACGAAAGAATGATCTACGCAATCAATAGGAGCAGCCACCCAGCTGTCTTTGTTGACCTCCGCCATGTCAGCCTGCACCATGAAGGCAGCGAGCTAGAGTTTCAAACCACCCTCCAAGTCAACATTATCAAGGCCGTGGACATGATTCGGACGGCACGGGTGCCATCTGACGACGACGAAGTCGATCTCCACACAGCCTACAACACCATCGTCAACAGCGGATTCTTCCACCAATTCCTTCGATGTCATCGAGGGCTGACCGCGGCTTGCCCAGCGATGCCGATCTCAAAGCCAGTTGCGCCGACCTTATCGTCGGTGCCAATCAGTCCAGGACTTCATTCAAGATCGCCGTGCGTTTCGACCCCTGTCCCTGTTCCTATCCCTATCCCTATTCATGTTCCTGTTCCTGTTCCTGTTCCTGTTCCTGTTCCTGTTCCTGTTCCTGTTCCTGTTCCTGTTCCTGTTCCTGTTCCTGTTCCTGTTCCTGTTCCTGTTCCTGTTTCTGTCCCTGTCTCGCCCTCTGCCACCGACACTACTGCCAGTTGTCCTCCTTCTGTTACTGCTGTTGCTGCTGTTCCACGAATCTGTCTGCCACCTCCATCACCACCACCACCACCACCACTACCGCCGTCACAAACGCTCGCCGCCCACGCCAATCTCAACTCGATCTCCTGTCTAGCCGCTCCTGGTCAAAGTCAAAACACCTTGGTACGATCGCCCAGGTCCGAGGAGAGTCTCCTGGACGTCCCCAGCACCACCGCGACCTCATCCTCCACCAGTACTCTCACGACCATCACCCACACGTCCTGTGGGAAACCAGGCATCCTCCGGTCCTCCCGGGTCGAGTCCGGGATCGAGAACAGCGAGCAAGCCATGCTTTCGTTCGAGGACGAGACGTCGAGCGAGCGCCGGCGCCGTGTGCGCTTGATCCGGCTGTGCCGAACCCCGATCGGATGTATGTTGGTTCGGTTGATGGATCGGCTCGAGGAAGCACGGAGACGGCTGGCGATCCGGTGGCTGTTACTGAAAGACCAGCTCAATCTCCAATAATAAGACAAATGCATCTCATCATGTTGTCTCGTACTGTATTATATCGCATTGTATGGCATCGTATTGAATAGAAATGTACGGCATCGTATAGAGTTGTATTGTGCCAAGGAGGAGGTGTGCTGACTGAGACGGTCACTCGTTGTTCTCATATCGATCTGCTCTTTGGATTGAATATTCATGAGTCCCACGCGCAGGCCACTCTTCCTCTGGCGATCAGTGTGGATGATGGATGCATGTGCGTGTATTCAGGGTCCAGAGTCCAGGAGGGAAATGGGAGTGTGCTGGGATGGAGATCAAAGAGGTAGGAGCGAAAGCAACAACAAGAGCAATAGCAATAATGATGGCAATAACAATGGTAGTGACAACGGCAATAATAACAACAGCAACAAGAAAAAAGATACAGCCAGGCGCTAGCGTCGGATGTCGGATTATTGGGCCGACCAAGGCTCGTCTCACAGCGAGAACATCGACGGCGCTCCGAGCCGGAAGCCTGCCGCCTGGGTCAGGGCTCCAAACAGACCGCCGTTGCTGCGAGCCGGGGCAGCCGAGGCCGAGATCGAGGACAGCAGCCCGCTTCCTCCCAGCAGCAAGCGGTTGCTGAAGGAAATCACGCGGATGCTGGTCTGCAGCATGCGGAAGATCTGCCAGACGAGATCGACGATTTGCTGAACGAGCTCGTTGACGATCGCAGTGATGTGCTCGAACCAGGTCTTTTCCTGCGACCGTTCGTGCAGCTTTTGGCGGTATGTGGCTTGGATGCTGCTCTCCAGGTGCTGGTAGTTGCGCTCCCAGATGGTCTTGGCGACAACGGCCGGCTCGGAGGGAACCAGGCGGTTGACAAAGCCCTCGAGCTCGTCAATGGCCGTGTTGGCGGCCGATTCGACCTCCTGCATGATCTGTGGCAGCGGCTTGCGACCGTTGATCTGGCTGGGGTGGTTGCCCGTGCGTCGCAGTCGCGATACAAAGCCCTCCCAGATAGTGTTGGCGGCGTCTGTGGCCATGTTGGCGACCATGGCCTCGGTGACGGTGGTCATGTTGAATCGAGTTCCGCCGTTCCGGACCTGGGCAAGCAGCTCATTGACAAGGTGGGCAATCATCTTGCCATCCATAGGCACGTTGCCAAGGGCAATGGGGGCGAGACGGTCGGCCAGCACGTCGCCCATGACCTCAATCGCCTGTTGGTGCATCGTCGGAACGCCCAGGGTGTGGAAGGGGATCTTTTGAAACTCCACATCGAACCGTTCCTTGATGAGCTGGCGGACCCGGTTGGTGATCTCGTCGCCCTCTTCCTCACAGAGCAGATCCTCAAGAAGCTCCTCTTCTTCAATCTCCTGGTTGATGGACATGTTCTCGACCAGGACGAGCGATCGGGGAATCTCGACGGCGTGGGTGGTTGTGACGTATCCCTGTAACGACGCAAGAGCGGTGTTGGCATGAGCATGCCTGCCAAGGGCGCTGGTCTGTGTGTCCATGGTAGCCCGTCCATGGTTGTCTGTCCATGGCTGTCTGTCCATGGTAGTCTGTCGACAGAACTCTGTCCGCGACCAGACACTCAGCATCACGCGGTGCAGACTGACCCCTTACCATGTTCATGATTTGCATGACGACATCCAGTCCGGCGGTGGTGAAGCATCCGCGCTCAAAGACGTAGATCCGATTGGCCAGGCGCGCGGCGAGAGCCACGACGAAGGGAATGGCGGTCTGGTTGTTGTTGCCGCCTCCCTCGCAGTCGAGAAACAGGACGGTGCCGTCCTTGCTGGGGTGCCGGAAGGCGAGCATGTCGATGCCGTGGGTGCACGGAACGTTTCCGGACTGGGACGGGAAGTAGACGCTGTTGTCGCCCGTAATGGCGGTGTGGATGCGAGAGGCCGTCGAGGACTTGCCGGAACGGCCATGTCCAACAAAGGCGGCAATGTAGACGGGGCTCTTGACCTGGCTCAGCAGACGCTGGGCTTCCTTTGTGATGCCAGTGGCAACATGCTGGATGGCGACCGAGCGGTTGGAGGACGAGACTTGCTGCTTTGAGACAAACTCGATGAGCGGAACTGGTTGCGGCAGCTCGTGGCGCGGGCCGCGCTGCGACGAGGAGAGCTGGTTCAGGGTGGCGAACATGCTGAGCGGGTGAGTGCGGCTGGGCTGGGCTGGGGCGTGTTGACGGGATGGGAAGTCTAGATGGTTGGGTCCGGATGGTTGGTCTAGATGGTTGGCCAAAAGAATGCAGCTGCGAAACTGCTGGTTGGGCTGATGGCGGGCGACCCAGAGGCCGAGTCGAATGGGGTGGCGGATGAGTGGTGTGGTGAAGGCGACAGCGACCGGATGGTATCGAGCGGCGGCGATCGTGTTGGGTGGTGGCGACGGGAATCAATCTCGGGCGGTTCGTGACGGGGGGGGTGGGACGATAAATATAGCGCCTGAGGGGGGTTCTCGCTGGGCTTCTCGGGCGGGCTCGCCAGGAGGAGAGACGCGGCGAGGTGCGGCGAGGTGCACGGCGAGAGACGACATGTGAATGTCGGTGCCGATCACACGTGCTGCACAACGTCTCGGGCGTTTTTGGGTGTGCTTTTTTTCCTTCAGGGCGATCGGCTCTCGGGCTTTTGCGCATGGCAAGGGGGGCTGGAAGGGATGCAGACAGCCGGCCCGTGGGTGCCGTTGAGTGCGGCCTGGCGATTGCCTGTTTGATGACGACACTGACCGGAGGCAGCGGACGGATAGGAGCGGATCGGGGGCGCAGGGCTCGTGCAAGCGGGCCAGGCAGACATGCTGTCTAGATATGACGTGGTGGTGGCTGGATGTGCATGAGCAACAGAGTTGGGCAGCCGACTCGATACGGTGTCGGCAACAGAGGCTGGTCTTGTTGGGTCAGAGCACGCAATCTCGCTGGGCGAGATCATTCCCGCGATACCACCGCTTCCGAGATTGCGCCGATCCGGATCGACAGCGAGCGGTCGTGGCGATGCCGGGGAGACTCGTGTGGCATGTGTCCCAAGGCCGCATCATGCAAACACGCAGCGGCCATACGTCCATGTTATTGCCATGCCATTTGTCGCGGCTCTGTTCGTGGTTCTCTGTTCATGGAGATTCCCATTCCCCCACTCCTTCCCCAAACAAAATCCGTCAATGCACAGTTTCGCTATAAATATATTGTAACAACACAGAAATGCGGGTGGGAGGCGTCAAGTATTACAGACATGGGGAAGCGAACGCAACACGATCAACGGTGAGGATGCAATTTCTGAGCCGTCAAGGAAAGGTGGGGAGAGGTCTAAGAATGGTTGAAGGCAGGGATATGAAAGAAATGGCCAAAGAACAGGCGCATGAGGAATGGGGGCGCTTAGAAGAAGAGGGCAGCGACGGCGGGGACGAGGGCGGCGGCAACAGCGGGGAGCATGCTGATCTTGGAGGCGTCGCTGGTGGAGCCGGCCGAGGGGGAGGAAGCGGCCGAGCTGGGCTTGGAGGGGGCGGGGGCAGCACCGGAGGTGGCAGGGGCAGGGACGGGAGCAGCGCCCGAGGGAGCGGGGGCGGGGACGGGGGCACCCGAGGTGTTGGCGGTGGCGGGGAGATCGCCGGCAGCAATGAGCCAGTAGGTGTCAGTGGCAATGAGCATGACGCTGTGGGTTGGAGAGAAAGAGAGGCAGGAGTCAACGAAACATGGTCGTGTTTGTTGTGGTTATGGTTGTGGTTGTGGATAGATCGGAATCGGCGGCGTTTGGCCGTGGTATCGACAGCGACACCCCGTTGTCTAACACGAAGAGGGATCTGATCGCAGCAGAGTCTGACAGGCCAACGATACTCACTGGCTGAAGTCGTAGAACGACTCGGGGATGTTGGGCTGGGAGGCACCGATGAAGGAGATGTTGCCGGGGTAGTTCTGGTTGGTGTAGTCACCGTAGATGGAGGTGGTGGAGAGAGGGAAGCCGGTGGTGCTGCTGGCGCTGGTGGAGCCCCAGAGTTGGCTGGGCAGGAGAAAGGAAAGAGCATGAGGGTGAGTCAGAGAGCTCAGCGGAGACAAGTGCAGCTCGCCCACCAGCCGCGCCAGGCGGTGCGGGAGGACTGGCAGAAGCCACGGCTAAGCATGTTGGCAAGAGTCAACGTCCCGAGGAGGACACCTGCCCCCCCCCCTGGGGAACATCAAGCACCGTTCAGGGGCGCGAGGAGCCGCCACCGATAGGGCTGCGAGAGATCACCGATAGCAACAACGTACATCATCTGGGAAGCAGCGGCAGAGGTCATGGAGACGTCGGTGAGCTGGACGGTGCAGCCATCGATGATGGTGAACTTTCCGGAGAAGGTGGTCTTGACGCCGGTCTTGGGGTTGGCAAAGGACTGCTGGACCAGGGGGACGCTGACGCTCTGGCCGGCGTAAGGGTAGTTGGTGGGGTTGCAGACGAGGGCAAGGGAGGAGGCAGCGAGGCCGAGGAAGGCAGCGACGGAGGCAGCGTTGACCATTTTGGAGGAGAGAGAGAGTGAAAGCAGCGAAGGGTTGGGCAAGCAAGGAGCGGCGGCAGGAAGATGAGGGCCGAGCCGGGGCGGGAGCGGACCTGGCTATTTAACGGGAGGCGGCCACGAGCAGGACAGCGCGAGCCCGAGGGCGACCAAGGCGGGGGGAGGACTCAGGGGCCAGTGGGAGGGAAGCTTCCGAGGACAAGCAAGCGCAAAAAGGAAAAAAGTCGAGCACAGGCCGCCCATTTCTTTCGAGCGACGCGCGGTGATTGGCCCGGCGAGGCCGCCTCCACCGATCCCGGCGGCAGCCGTGGCTGCAGCGGCCCGACTGTCGCAACGGCGGTGGGGGTGCTCGGACGCGCCTGGACGCGCTCGGATGCGTGGCGCGGCGGTGCGTGTGGATGAGCGGACAGCAACGCCCACAAACGCGGCCCCGTGGCCAGTGCGGCTGTGTGCCAGCGCGGATCGCACGCAAGCGCGCACAAACAAATGCCTTAAAAGGCAGCGGCGGCTCGATCGAAGTCCGCAGCAGAAGCGCCTGTCGAGTTGGGTTTCAGTTGTGCTGCAATCGCGGCGTGCCAGCCAGCGTCCCTTACATTGCGTTGTGCCGGCGGAGCGCGTCGGGGCGGCTCTGCGCTGCCTGGCCGAGCTGTGCAGGCGACACAGTCTCTGTCGATAGAGGCTGCTGCTGGTTCTGCTTCTGCTGCCGTTGATGCTGTCGCCGCTGCTGCCGCAAGACGCTTGTTCCCTGGGCGGGTCCAAGCCTGGCCGGGGCGGTGCTGGCAAACCAGGCGGACGGAACGGTCGCCCCGGCCGACCGAAAAGTAAGAATGCCTCGGGCTTCCACGATCGCACCGGCCTCTCCAGAACATCGCGACCGAATGTCCCAGCAGAGACCCAAGGAACAAACGGACGGACCGAGTCCTTCCTTTCCAGCAAGGCCGCAAGCGTCTGCCTCTGTCTGCACAAGAGCGCCCTCGCAATGCCCATGCCGGCAGCAAGGGCGGCGGCGTCGACGTCGTGCAGCGCAGCCCTGCCTTGCACGCGCCTGTCCTTGGGCCGGCTCTCCGCACCAGGCAACCCGGCGTTCTTCTTGTTGGTCGGTGGGACTTTTGCTGGCGTGCCCTCTGCAAGCCATCTTCCGCAGTGCATCTCCTTCCCCGCGGTGTGCCGCCCCTTCCCCACCACCCCCGCGGGATCCTCGCGGGATCTTTGTAGGATCCTCCACCACCCGGCCAGGAGTGTCCCCGGCGCTCTTCGCCTCGCCCTCGTCGTTGCTTGGCCCCCACCACCACCGCCCGCAGATGGCCGCCCGCTGCTCCGCATGTCCCCCGGTCCCGATAGCATGGATTCTGTGGCGCTGGACGACAGGCCGCTCCTGTTCTTCCAGCCCCACTGGCCCGGCTCCCGCTGCTTGCCGCAGGATGTCGCCAGAGCACCGAAGCATGGCCGCCGCGGACACCAAGGCGCATCAGGCACCTGAAACACTCGCTCTCTTGCCACGCAACGATTGTTCGTCCAGAACGATCGCGCCTGGACGCTGCCGCTCGTGTGCCTGTCCAGCTGTGCCGCAGCGCGGTCTTGTCCAGGCGGCCCTGTTCACGAGCGGCAGGACCCTGTCGCTCGGCTTGGGACGGGCTATCCGGACACTGGCTGCCACATGGAGCCCTGGAGCAAGCGGCGGCTCGCCCCTCATCCGCAGCTCTGTCTTGGGGATATACCCTTTGCTGATTGGGCCAAGCAGCAGATCGGGCTGTCTTCGGCGCCATCCCGCAGTGTGGGCTGGCCCAGACACAGGCTCAATCATGCCTTTTGACCAACCCCTGGCGACCAGCTGGTTCGGGCATGTGCTGCTCTGATCTGCACTGCACTGCACTGCATTGCAAGCGAGCCACCACCAGGGCCCTGATGGCCATGCAGCTTCTTCCTGCTCCGAGAGTGCAAGGGCTGCTCCTCCCCATCTTGGGAATCGCATGGGCCGCCGAATTCTCACGCTCATCCGCCGCGCTCCAAACGCTGTTCCGTCGCCCGACGCTACCTTTCTCCGAACGTCCCTCCAGCGTCAGGCCCTGTTCAGCCCCTCCCCCCGCTCTCAGCCCAGCCGCATATTGATTTCGTGGAGCGCCAGGCACCCCACATTGCTTTCCCACGCACCGATCGGAGTAACATCCTCCTGAGGAACCCCCTGACACGTCCCCACAGCGCCCCCCGCATCATGATCAGGAGACTCTCTCCGCTCGGCTGTGCCGATGCGATGGACACCCGTATCGCCCTCCGCTCCGTGACCCTGATCACAGGGTTCCTGATCATGCTGGTTTCGGGTGCTCTGTTTGCGTTTTCGTCCATCGGCGAGGATCTCGAGACTCGGTTCCAGTACACCTCGCAACAAGTCAACTTTATTTCGGCCTTTGGAAATGCCGCCCTGTATCTCTGCTATTTGGCAGTCGGCCCCATTTATGACGCCAGAGGCCCGGTCGTCACAATGGTAGGCCCCTGTCCGTTTTGCATTGCGTTGCATTGCTTTGTTTTGGCTTGCCTTGATTCCGCTCGGCTCCACCCCACCGGCCTACCACCCGTCCTTCTCTACTGCGTCAGCGCTCCTCATCCAGCTTGCGTCCGCCACGAATCGTCGTCGCGTCGCCGCCATTTGCATCTGAGACTCGGCTGCCCTCGCGACAGACCGCCGCAGGATCCCTGGATTGTCCCAAGGGGCAGCCCCGCAAAGCCCAGCCAGCGCCGATGGGGACAACCCAAAGTGAGGCGGAGACACATTGCCTCCGCCATGTCGTCGATCTGACTCACCCATCAGTGCTGACCTTCTCTGTCGCTCCGCCTCCGCCTGTTCCTGACACGCTCCCACAACCCATCCGCAACACGTAATCGACTCGGAATCGGTGTTTCGCACCGCTCGACCCGGAATCGCCGACTCGCCGACCCGCCGGCCCTGGGCGTAGATCGTGGGCGCAGTCACCTTTGGGGCCGGGTTCCTTTGCATGAGTCTGGCCTATGACGGCTCCATCACCGGCGGCGGTGCCGGATACGGTGCCATGGCGTTCTACTACTTTGTATGCGGCTTTGGATCGACGGCGGTGTAAGTGTGTGCCGGTGACTCAAACGGCGGCAGCGAGTGCCATCGATCCACAGACCCGGTGCTTTCGGGGTGGCACCTGGTTGTATAGCCGTCTGGTTGTCGTTATGCTCACCGCTCCAAACCCCACTCCGTCCTGACCGTCTCATTGCCACTGCCATCCTCACCACCAGATACATGGCTGCCCTCGCCGTCAACATGGCCAACTTTCCCATCACACTCGGCGGCATGATCAGCGGCAGTCTCGGGCTCGCCTACGCTCTCTCTGCGACACTGTACAGCCAGATCCGCGCCAGCTACTATGCCCAAGACGTCTCGGGCTATCTCCATTTCGTCACCGTCTCGGTCTTTGCTGTCAGCATCGCAGGCGCATTCTCGCTCTTCAAGGTGCCTCTGACAATGGCCGAGCAGGCCAGACCCAAAGGGCCCGAGAAGGTCCAGGTGGTTGTCGCAGACAAGTTCCACATCGGCTCGACCAACACAATCGATGAGCGGTCCCACATCATCCAGCCGAGGCTGTCCGCCACCAAGCAGGCGCCGTGGGGCTCCAAGCACCATCTCGGCGCCGACGACGAAGTGATGCACCTCGACCAAGAACCCGACAGCGAGGACGACGACGAGGACCAGGAGCCCTATGCCGCCCGCTTCAGCCGCACTCGGCCGCCCCCCACAGAGGCCATGACCGCTTCTCCCAAACGCGTCTCGGTCGCCAAACCAGGGCCGGCCCCTGAGGTCGAGGGCATGACCCCACTCGAGATCCTGAAATCGCCGCTCTTCCACATCTATGCAACAATCTGCATCTTCCAGCAGGGGCTGACCTACTACAGCAACGTCGCCACCATCGTCCAGGCTCTGCACCCCAACACCGACACCGCCTCCAGCATTGCCACGCACGTCACCATTCTCTCCATCGCCGGCTGCTTTGGTCGCCTGGGCTTTGGGGGCGGATCCGACGTGATGATCAAGTACCTCCGGCTGGACCGGTCTCTGCTGCTCCTGGTGGCCACCGTGATCCAATGGATTCCCCTGTTCATCCTAGGCTTTGGAGGAAACGTTAGCGACGGCGCCCTGATGCTATGCTCAGTCATGGTGGGCGTTGGATACGGAGCCTCGGGCTCGCTGTTCCCGGCACTGATCGTGAGTATCGATATCTATCTGGATAGATCTGCGGGTGTCTGTTGGCTGGGCCTGCTTCGAGGCTGGTGGGTTGCCAGCGACAGCCCAGAGGTCGAGGTTGTCGAGGGTGCTGCAAGTCTCAAGGCTGTGGAGAGTGATAAGTCCTTCCAGCAACCAAGGGCCATCGTCCTCCTCTGCAATCGAGCGGCTCACTGAACGGCACCATCGTCTTATCATCGCTTCACCGGACTCCTCCTGCTCTCTCACCCCGATCCCTCGCCAAAACGAAAAAAGGCGGACTTTTTCGGATTCAAGAGCTACGGCACAGCCAGCGCCTTCACCCTGATCGGATGCCCCGTCGGTATCTTCCTCTCCAACATGCTCTTTGGCTACTTCAACGACCGAGCTACTCAGCAAAACTGCTCTGGATCAGCCTGCTATCAGAGCGCCTTTATCGTCTTTGTGGGTCTGCAAGCCGTAACGGTGCTGCTGTCGTGCGCGCTATATTGGAAGCGAGGCCGGGATAAACGAAGGGCTCTCGGGCTGGTGCATCCGATGTGAGGAGGGGGCGGTGGATGGGCCCCGATCGCTGATAGCAGTTGCGTTGACGAACGATTCCATGCCTCGGCCGGATGCCGATCGAGTCTTGCCAGGGTGTATATATGGAGTATCACCAGGGCAGGAAGTCTCGGGCATGGATGAATTGCTCAAAGTACTTGGCGAACCAGAGTCTCCGTGGGTCGGATGCATATCGCTTCCCTTGCTTCCAGGGGGCATTCGCAAACAGTCCTGGCTCAAATCGGAGTGTCCCGTTTCACTTTGGCAACGCTGTATTTATTTCAAATGAATCGAAACGGGGGGGGGGCGCCTACGATACAACCCAAAGCTGCAAAGATAGTAAGAACAAGAGAGTGGGGGGGGGAGAAAAGACGAAACACTGGACAGAAGAGGGAAGATGGTCGGGTTCAAGCGGGGAGGAAAGGGTGCGGTGGCGAGATATGTATACAGGATGAAATCAATCACACAGGTCGACAGAATGTGTGCTGAGGGGCCCGAGATCTGGCGCCAAAGACTGGTTCGCAAAATGCAAGCCAGTGCCATGTCAGCTTCGACGGACAGGGTCGTTACCACACAGCCGGTGCGAATATATATATATAGGCGCAAAGGGAGAGGGGGGGAGGACGAGGATCTGCTGGTCGAGGCCGGCCATCTGAGATCCACCAGAGTCGCGTAAGGACGGCAGCTATGGAACAGATGGACAGACAGGAACAAGCAGGTGGAGTAAAGGACGAAGGGATGGGGGGAAATGGCAACACATATTGGACAGGAAGGAAAGAAGCCAGGGGTTAGGAATAAAGGGAAGGCGAGAAGTCGTTGGAAATAGAGAGGCACATCAAAGTCTTTACAGGGCGAGCATGAATGGGATGGATATCGAAGGGGAGGGCAAGAGCGGGAGCCGAAGGGATGGAAGGATGGAATGGAATGGAGAATGGTCTCTCGCCTTCCATTTATTTCGGCACCAAGACATCAACAAAGTTCTGCATGGTGATCTTGCCGTCGTTGTTTCTGTCGGCAGCCTTGATCATGTCGTTGACCTCGTCCTTTGTCAACTTCTCGCCGACGCTGGTGAGGATGTGGACGAGCTGGTTGACGTTGATGTAGCCCAGGTTCTCCTTGTCAAAGACCTTGAAGGCCGCCTCGACATCACGCTTCATGTTGCTGGCATCGCGGGGCGAGGCCATGAGAGGGAGGAAGTCGGAAAAGTCGATCTGGGTCTTGCCCTTGGCCTGGAAGTTGGCCTTGATTTGGTTGAGCTCGGCCTGGGTGGGGTTCTGGCCGAGGGCACGCATGACGGTGCCGACTTCGTTGATGTCCAGCTGGCCATCAGAGTCCTTGTCAAAGAGGTTGAAGGCTTCTCGGTACTCGTCGGTCGACATGGCGAATGTGCTGGCTTTTGGGTGGGGCGGCGGCGGCTGGGTGGGAACGGGGGGAGGAGGAGGATCTCTGGGGACTGGCGAATGGGTCGAGACTTGCAGGGAGCCGATGGAGAGATGGAGAGCAGGGGAGAGCCGGGGGGGCGAGGGGCCGCAAAAAGAAGGCCAGCGAAGCGCGGCGAGGACGAGGAGCTGGCGAGAAGCCAGCGAGAGGGTGGCGCCAGCGGGCGAGACAGCGGCGAGACAGCGGCGAGACGACACAGTGGGCGAGAGCCGGCGAGGGCCGTGCGAGGCGCAGGCTCGGTGCAGCGAGAGCGGCCCCCAAGCGAGAGCGCATCCAGAGCGAGAGCGTCGCGCTTGGCCTTGCGCCCACAGGCGCGGCTGCCAAATAAGGCAATCACGTGGCTGCTGAAACAGGAAGTTGGCCGACACTTTTGGACGACACCGCCACCCGGCTCGGGGCTTGGATGCTGCGCGACGGGCAAGCATGTGACACGGGCCAAAACGATGAGCAATGTGCAATGTGCAATGTGCAATGTGCAATGTGCAATGTGCAATGTGCAGTGTGCGATGGGAGCCGAGTGTTGTATTGCCGATGCAGGGCACCAGGGTCCTTCATCCCTCCAGTTCCAGCACTTCAGCAGCGGGATCTGTCGCCGATCAGCTGCTCGAAGGGCTTGATGCCCTGTCGTTGCTGCTCCTGCGCAACATGCTCGGTCTTTTCAAGGACACGGATCAAGTTGCCGCCCATGATGCCCGCGACTTGGTCCTCGGTAAAGTCGCGTCGCAGCAGCTCGGCGGCCAGGTGTGGGTACTGCAGGAGATGATCGCAGCGTCCAGGGGTTCCCGGTCAGCTCACCCATTCCTGATCAGATGCAAAAGTCTCTCGGCTGGAACTCAGGTCCATGAATGGCTGCTCGCCTCGCGCACATCCCGCCAACCCACACCAAACTACTACTATTAGTCAAGTACCCACCTTGGAGACATCCTCAAACCCGGTAGACACCACGTCGATGCCGTCGAAATCAGCTCCGATCCCAACGTACTGGGGGCCTGCAACCTTGGCAATGTACTCGATGTGGTCCACAATGTCGCTGAGTGACGCAACTCGAGAGCCGGTCACAAAGGTAGGGTACGAGTTGACCTGGTCGGACCGACGGTCGGGGAAGTGCTTCACATCAGTCTTGCGACCACTAAATCCACTGGAATACGGATATTGATGGGACGGGAAGGCTGCTTGCTCTTACCATCACAATGCCATCAAGTTCAGGAAGCAGTCGAAGGACCTCGTCGGGCTGGTGTGTCGCAGAGCAGTTCTCGTCAGATTCGCGGCGCCTTGGCGTATGGAAACGTACAACTACAGTCCCAGCTCTGTGTGCTCATCGGCGCCTACCACGTTGCGAGGATGCGGGTTCACTGCGTAGGCGCTGCTGTGGGAGAAGAAGAGGGGCGCCTTGGTGATGGCGGCCACCTGAAGCATGGTGTCCTTCGAGACATGGCTGTGCGAGGTGCACCACGGCGAGATGCAGATTCGAGATTCCCATAGCAAGGTCAGTTGTGCGAGCAGGGCCCCATAGTGAGATTGAAATAGCCGCGCTGGGCCTGACGCAGTCGAACGATGGTGCATATCTGGGCAACTACAGCTTGCTGCTGCGACTGTATCACGCTGGGGACTTGCCTGATGTCAACGAGCATACCGAGTCTGCCATATCAAGTGCATAGGCTGTATTTAGTGCGATTGTTCGCATAGCCGCGACAACAGGTGATAGGCGCATGTCGTTTCGGCTCTGCCAGCAAACGGCAAGACAGATCCTACCTGTTCATCTCCAGTACCACAATCCTTCCAAACTCGTTCAGCCCTCCGTGGACTGGAGCCACAGCACAGGAGTCGGCCCTATTTCCAGATGATGCCAAAGCCATCGGTCAGCAAATCATAAAGCCCTCAGAAGATTATGGCCAGTAGTGCATCACGGCGGGATATGTCTGAGCAAGCGTACGTTACAAACACAGCACAGGGCACCGGCGAGCTTGCTCTGAGGAGTGTGGAGTATCCACCCTCATGCGATCGCGAGTACCGCTCGAGTCGATCAGTCATGGGCTCTTTGGAGGTACTGACCATGGAGTGTTGCAGGTGTGAGTGAGCGTCATGTATCGGGCACCGAGCGCATACACATCGCGCAGGATATCCAGCGAGCTGTCGATCGAATGGCCGCCTTCAAGACCAATGAGCGACGAGATGCGCTTTGCAGCAAAGATCCGCTTGATATCGGCCGATCCATAGGCAATCTCGAAGGTCTGGATGGGACACAGCATCGGGCCATATGTGAAGTTTAGGGTTGACATCACCACTTGGCTCAGAGCCACAGCACACGGCGGGCGCATTGCTCACATTGCTGTTCTCTGTCGCAATGCGCTTGATCAGATCGATTTGCTCCTGCGGCAAAGAAGCCAAACGGGTTAGTCGCAACGAAGCGGGCTAGTCGCAGACAGGTACCAAACCGCTGCATTGGCAACTGATCCCTCGACCGTATGAGGCCCGTACCAGGGTCTGCAGGACAGAGTGAGAGGCATCGGAGCAGCGGGCCGGACAAGAAACGTAGGCGCTCCAGAACTGGACCGTGAGCCTGTGGACGACGATAAATCAAGGTAGCCAGTGAGTCTGGGCTTGATCTGGCCTTGTGCGATCTCGGTGCCCCAGGCAGCGCTTCATGAACATCGAGCCGCGGTCGTTCGGGGAAAGGACGACGGCAACGCTTGCCCGCATAACCAGGTCCTTCGCAATACCAGTCCACCTGGGAGCATCGGGTGCGGGTTGCGGTCCAGCTTCTATTCCATACACCCTTCAACTCACTTTCCTTGCTTCAAGCGATGGATGTCTGTAGGAAAATGTCAGCGCCTCTGCATCACATCTCATCTTTCTGCTACTTTGCCCTCTATGCCACTCCCGCTCCGTGTCTCGTTCGATCGAGACGATCAGCACTCGTTCGCGGTGCCCAGCCTTCACCCGCCCCCGGTTGCTGTGGCAGCAGTGTTCTGCTGGATGCATACCTGTGTTGAACTCTGGGATGTGGGTCATGTCCCAGTTGTTGACGCTGCCGTTGCGGGCGATGCGTACTCTCATTGGAAAGTCGTTGTGGCTGCCAGGGACAGGCGGCGGATTAGAACCGGATCAGTTGCTCCAATATTGGCAGAAGCAAGGCAGCTGCATCCTAACCAAGCTCGTCGAGGTCCTTACCCATCAGCCACAGGGACACGGTCAAGCAGTCTCAGCGCCCGCTCCAGATGGTCGGCGGGAAGGGGAGAAACCGGTTGGCGAGCGTCGCCGTGCCAGAAGAACACAAGCAGCAGTACGATCGGCAGGAGGGTCAGGGCCGTCCAGATCTTGAACAGGGGCAGCGAGCCGAGGCCGGAGGGCATTTTCGAGAATCACAGGTTTGGCTGGACGGATGGCGACGCCGGGGGGGGGTGAAGTCGAGAGCGACGACGGGAAAGAGGGCGAAGATGATGACGAAGACGGGAAGGAGGCGAATGGGAACAACATCCCGCGTGGGGGCGAACGATTGCGCGAGCATTCCCACGGCTGCTGATTCTGAGCATCGGTCGCATCCATGGGCAGGATTGGCGCTTGGGTTGGTTTGGGTTGGTTTGGGTTGGTTTGGGTTGGTTGCAGAAACAGATCCGCTTGGTCGGCGTGACCCCGTGCCTCTGCTGGGTCTTTCTTGCCCATCCTTCCCACGAGCCCACCGCCCTTCTCGTCCGCCATCGCCATCGCCATCGCCATCGCCATCGCCATCGCCATCGCCATCGCCATCGCCATCGCAAACCAGCGACCCGCACCATGGCCCCGGGGATCATCGAGCTGCACCAGCTCCTCATCCAACTCTCGCGCCGGTATCTCACCTTCTCGCTGCCCCAGAACCAGGTCGCCGCCGCCGCCACCTTCAGCACTGCCCTCTATGTCCTGCAGCGGCTGCCTTCGTCGCCGGCCGTGGCTTTCTGCGCCAGACATCTGTCCAGGGCGCTGGCCGTCATTGTTCTCGTCAAAGCCTATCTCTGCTCCTGGGACGTGGTCCTGAATGCGGGCGGCTCGCTGGACCAAGTCTTTCGCTTTCCTCTCGACCATCCGCTGGACTCTGCTCATCCGGCCCGCACGCTTCCGTCCTGGATCGGCCAGCAGGCCATCGAGTATTTTGCAGGTTAGTAAAGCTCGATCCCGGATCGGATCCTTTGCATCAACGCCGATTGTTCCATCGGATCCGCGATCATTACAGCTCACCGCAGAGTCCTTTCTCGGCATCCTCGACTGGCCCGTCGACCCGACTTGTCATGCACACGACACGATCGTCGCTCGCCAACCCAACTCGCCGTTCGTGGATCTTACGAATCTGTTCGCAAGTCGTCATCCTGTACCAAATTGCCGCTCAACTGCACGTCATTGGTCGAAATGCCCTGCGTCCTGAAAACCTGGCCTTCTCTGCCCTTCGCAAGAGCATCACCGTGCTGTTCTGGGCGACGTTCCTGCCGAGTGCCAAGCCCAACCACCTCCCTGCGATCCTGCTGCTGCAATTCGCCAACACCAGCACCGGCAGCCTGTTCTATCTGCTCCAGCCGCTGGGCCGCTACCCCGAGCGCTTTGTCCGGCTCCTCAACTGGGCTGCTCAACTTGCCCGCTTTGCGCATATGCTATGGTCCCTGTCGCCGTGGGGCCCCGAGTGGTACCCGCCGAGCCTTTGCCTGCTGTCCATCTTTTCCATCGGCAGCGCCATCATGCATCTCGTCCTCTTCCTCGGGTTCCTCTTTGGCGTCCTGACTCATCAAGGCCAAGTGCCCGAGAACCTGCAGGGGCTTGTTGCCCCGCCCCAGGCGGTGCTCACGGGCATTCCCGAGCTCAGACGCAAGACCCTCGACGCCGATGAAGAGGACGGCCTCTACAACGAGTTCCTCTCCGGCGACGGATTTGGCGACCACGGCGATCTCAGCGACGATCTCTGGGAAGAAAGCGATGGCGTCAATGACAACGAAGACCCAGACGATACCGACGACAGCGAAGACAGCGATGCTGACGAGGGACGCGATGGTCATGCCATCAGCGACGACGAGGACTTTGACGCCCACGACATCGGAGAACAGAATGATATGAATACCGCGCTGCTCGCCCATCGTGTACGCAACCACAGCAGGACAACCGATTCAGGTCTGGGCAGCGTTCATCAGTGGTTCCGGTCCTCGCAGCTGGAGCGCAGGTCTGACTTGCCTCACACCTCCAATTCGTGGTGGCCAGCGCCGCCCGCTGTCGATACCGATCTTGAGTCTGATGAAGTCAATGCCCTCATTACCGAGGCCTTCAGTCCGCTGGATCTGGCATCTCCCGCTTCTGATACCCAACATGAGGCGCCATCGTCAAGGAGCAGCAGCAGCATTACCGCGGCCACCGACGAAGCCCTGCAGCTGGCACCCATCAACGAAAGCTACATCTGCCCGGACCGAACTTACACTCGAGGCTTGCGTCGTCTCGTGCAGAAATCGCGTCTGGCTCTGCCAGCAGCCCCGAGCCGTCCCCTCATCCAGGGATCTGTTGTGCCGCCCGATCCTGCATCCTCGTCTTCGTCCAACAGCCTCGAGGTGTTTGTGGCCGCACTCAACAACCTGCAGTACCTCAACCCCATGGTTGACGATGTCATTCTGACTCGCAAGCTCCGGAGCCGCGCCGTGAACGAGTGGAACTGGAACTGCATCATCTGCCGTGACCGTATGCGGACGGTGATTCTGCTACCATGCAACCACCTGTGCATTTGCGAAGGTAGGCGAGCGCGATGACGTCCCTGTCGGCATGTTTTCCGTCGGGTCCGAATTTCGCGTCCCCTGGTTTGCCCCCTGGAATGAGGTGCATGATGCCGACTGAACCTACATCCACTCCTGCTTTAGACTGCCGTGCTGACATGGCTCAGCGCGGTCTATACCGCTGCCCGCTCGATAATCGAAAGATCGAAGGCACAATGAAGATATTTTGGTCGTGACCGAGCTGGTTGTTTGAAACGACGGCGCACAATTCAACCGGGCTGCTCCGCAAGTACATCGTGCCCAGTCTCGTCTCGATGGAGGATATGCCTCGCGCGTCCCGCTATATTCAACCACGACATGTCGTTGTGCGAATTGTGCAGGTGCCTTCGGAGACCGGATCCTGTCGCCGGCGCTGTAAATGCACTCTTTCGACCCGCACGGGTGCTGTTCATGGAAGCGACTGGCCATCCAAGATGCTGAATCGCACAGGCCACTCCGCGCAAGCTGCGTCAGGATGGCCGCGGTCGCAGCGATGCTACACCCCCGACTTTTTGGGGGCTCGCTTCATCTTGGACTTGCGCCGATAGGCAGACTTGTGCTTCCGCTTGAACTCGGAGGTCAGCTCTTGCTTGTTCGCTTCCCAGGCCTCGGTGATTTCCTCCCTGCAGGCGGCGTACGCCAAGTGTTAGCCACAAGCACTTATGCAAGAGCTTGCTCATATCACAGACCCATCGCCCTGCCCACTCTTGCCCCCGCGCTGAGTCGCGCTGCTGATCGTCAATATACGCATGCTCGTGTCGACAGATGCTCACATTGTGTGCTTGCGCATAAACGTGCGGTCCGCCTTGAACAACGACCTGCAATCGGAGTGGCGTGATCGAGCATTAGCTTGCGCATCGAGGAGATCTGGTCGAACGAGGACACCACGCCAGTATCCTTCCATACCGGTGTGCCAGCGTCGAGTCCTTCATGTGGAAGAAAAACATGGTCGAGCTGCCGAGCTTCTTGGCAATCTCGGCCTCGTCGACGACGTCCTCTGCAGCATCCTCTGTTGTCTTGGCGTGCGCGGCCTCTGCGGGCTGATCGGCGCTACCAAAGGTAAAGAACATCTTGTTGCCGCGCTCAGCGGGATCGGTCTCGAGCTTTGGCGGCTCGTCATCGTCTTCGCCTTGGAAGGAAAATAGACCACTACTGTCGCCCAGTACGAGCGCGCGCAGATTGGTGGTGGCGACGTACGAGAGAGGTGCTGCTGATGGCTCTGAGGCCTCCGCGCTCGCGGCGACAGTAGATTCGGTTTGTTCGGCCGTGGTCGGCGCAGCGGATCGGGATGCGTCGTCGTTCAGCGGAGATAAAGCTGCGTTGGGAGGGATGTCATTTGAAGTCTTGGTCTTGGTTGGAGAGACAGAGTCCGCAATGCCCTCCACACTCTCTTCATCCTCTTCTTCATCCTCTTCTTCATCCTCTTCTTCATCCTCTTCTTCATTCTCTTCATCATCTTCACCCTCTTCATCTTCCTCGACTTCCTCGTCTTCCTCGTCTTCCTCGTCGCCTACGTCATCCATGTTTTCGTCCTCGGCATCGTCGCCACCACCACCATCATCACCATCATCGTCGGCATTCAGCATGAAGCCCTCGCGGAGGCCAAGACCTCGTCTCTTGATGTTCTCGAGCATTTTCATCTCGGCCGCCTTGCCGCCGATGATCCTGGCATTTTCTGGCTTCCGTGTCCAGCTGTAGGTTTCCACGTCGCTTTCATCCTCATCTTCGCCATAGTATTTTGGCTTCTGGAAGGCACTGCTCGTTGAATGCAAGTTTAGGAGGATCAGCATGGATCTGACTCTCAGTACCTCGTTTCTCAAAGGTGCCGGTCTGCACGCCTGGATGATTGATAATGGCATGTGACTGAGACTGGCTCCATTCATCCATCCATCCATCCATCCGCACGGCGCATTGTCCTCACCTGGCTTCAGGATCGTGCGTTTCTCCAAACATGGACATCAAGACGTTTGAATAGGTTGATTTCTCCTTCACGATCTGCGTGTCGAGGTCGTCAAGGGTTGCTGTCTCTGCTCCATCGCTGAGGAGCCTACGCTTCTTGTCCTTTGTGATATGGGCCACTGGTTGGGGCTCAGGCTTCGACTCGGGATTCGCCTCGGGCATCTCCACATCCAAGTCGGCTGCCATGCTCCGCGCACTGATAGACCCGGACAAGCCGGTATGCTCGTCGTCATTGTTTCCAAAGAGCGACGCAATCTCGTGATTCACTTCAGCACGGCCTTTGCTTGGCTTTTGCTTGGGCGCAACAGCCTGGACAGCAGCCTGAACAGCAGCAGGCGTGGACTTTGCAGCCGGTGTTGATTTTGTGAGCTGGGACTTGATCGCTGTCCGGGAAGGCTCACGACGAATCTTCTCAAGTTCCTCGGGGGTCTTGTTGGCTGACCAATTCAAGGCACAGACCGGCGTATCCATCGCATCGGCGTCGAGCTTGACGAGATGATGCTTGAACTTGAGCGGGTCGATCGTAATCACCTAGTCCGAGCATCATTGTGTTGGTCCGTGTCAGCCAATCCAGGACCGGTGGAGGCATCGCTCCGAGCACAGCTCCGTCTCGATCTTCATTCGCTCTGATCTATCCCTCCATCTGCTCTTGCTCACCCGCTTGGTTCGATCGTGCTTCAGTTTGACGATAGCAATAGCCCGGCCGTATCGTGCTTTGCGCCAGTTCTTCCGCGTTCGCATGTTCTCGTCGGTCACCAGGGTCATGTCCTCGGCGTAGACGACAGGCCGTCGCTTAAGCTTCTTTCGACGGACCTTGATCACCTCGTCGTTCGAAAGCGGCTTTGTTGCGGCAGCCTCCTCCCACTCCCGCTTCAGGCGCTGCACGTATGTGGGCTTGGCTTCTTGAACCTTGAGCTTCATGCCCTTCCATTTCGAGTTGTTGTAGATATTGATGCCTGTGCGAGGTGGGGGGGGGAGTCGCAGCGATATGGGTAAGCAGGGGGATCTGGCAAGCATCCGCCGCTGCATCGTAGCAGGGCAGGATCCAGCCGGTCGAATCATCGCTGCTGCAATTTGAGGTCATCTTGTCGTGCTGCTGGCTGCTGACAACATAACATACATTTCTTGAGCTGCGCCGATGTGGTGTTGATCTGGATGTAGCGGAAATCCCTCGGGCCTGCAGCGTCCCGATACAGCAGCGAGTGCATTCAGGTTAAACTCTCGGTAGGTAACCGGCAAAAGCACGAGCGCCAGGGATTCGCCTGCCCTTCGAGCTCCCTTCCCAATGAAACGACAGCGAAGCTAGAAAGAGAGAAGCGAGGCCGTACCCATTCCGTTGTCATTTGGTACATCGACCGAGACGACCGCTCCGAACGACTTGAATCGCTCAGCAAGCTCGCGGCCGATCGAAGGATTATTGTCTGTCAAGCCGCCGATATAGAGTCGCTTGGGGCCGACGGGATCTTCTGCACAGGACGAGCAGACATCCATCCGCATACAAAAGGCATGGGCGCCGCAACGGCAGTTGGAAGGTCCGTGAGAGGAAAGCAGCCGGCGCATGGCATTAAGGAAGCAGAGTCAGTACGGGGAGAAAATACAACGGATGATGCTTCAGTCAGTTTGCCACGACGGCTCTGGTGATTTCGGTGTTGGGCGAGCAGCGGCTGTGGCCAGGCGTTTCGCAAGATCGACTCACCCTGGGCGGCCTTTTGGCCGTCGGTGCTGCTGCTGGCTGCTGCGCTCATTTCGAAATAGTCGGAAGCAGCGGCGGCCGGGTGTGCTGGTCGAGCGGCTGTGGGTATGGGGCGGTGGGCGACAGGCCAGGCCGGGATGTGGGATGCAGAGTTCCAGAGCCGACGACGATCGGATTGTGCGGCGCTCGGCAGCCCCGACCAAAAAAAGTTTCGAGACCAAGACCCGCGCCTCGGCCTCTGTCCCGACATTCGGCTGCGCACAGCATCTGCCTCCTGGAACTGGATGCGCATATCTCGGCGTGGCACCAAGTCGCAGCAGCGACAGTCCGGTGGATGGCCGTTGTGGACAATTAATGTGTGTATTCTCACCCAGACGAAGGCTACAAGAGCAGGGTGTCCCGTTTCGGGTTGTGGGCGCTGCATTCGGGAACCGAGGCTGGCTCGTTGGTATACAGTGCGAGCAGCAGCCGGGCTCAGTTGTCGATGGTTGCCTTGATGGCCTCGATCCAGGGCTGCACCTGCTTTGTCGGCTCCTCAAACACCCATGAGCGCTTGCCAACGGTCACCGTGAATGTCTTTTCAGTTCGCTGCTGCACTGTGGGCTGGGCGCCGAGGCTGATTTGGTCCTTGATGGCGCCGGTCTCGCCCTCGAGGATGATGATCTTGGCGGCCGTCAGGACGACCATGCGCCGCTTGCTGAAAAATGTTCTTCGCAGGATCAACGCGCCGCACTTGATGACCTGCTCCTGTGGCAAAAGCTCCGAGAGTCGCCAGAGCTTTCGGACGTTCCGCTCAACAAATTCGTAGCGCAGGCTCTGACTGCTTTGCTCTCGCGCTAGCGCGATGCCGGCATTCTGATCAGAGAGGCTTGTTCGTTCCGTCGCGAATCGACCTGGCACATAGACGGCGGCTGACTCAACCTCTGCCTGGCCCTGGACGATCTTGAGCGGATCTTGGTTTGTCGTGCCCGCCTCAGTCTCGAAGAGCGTTTCGCTTTGCGAGCTCTGAGCAAAGAGCGCTGGCCGAGACTTCACCAACAAGGGATCCACTGGGGCCAGGCGATCGGGCATCTTGACCAGGAGCTGCTGTGGCTGCTTCAGTCCGGCAGTCTTTTGAAAGGCTGCGGGAATCGTCGGCATCGTCGGCTCGGCCTCTGAAGCCGACTCATCGTCCGAGTAGGCATCTGCGTGGATAAACTCAGGTGTATCGCCGATCATGATCGAGCTGATGATGCGCGAGGCGATCTTGTCGAGCGTCTCGGAGTCTGGAGTGGCCACAGGCTGTGGTTGCAGCACAGGCGGTGTCTGCAGATGCAAGTCGACCCAGTCAAAGCCCTTGAAAAACTCGTGGGCCTTGATGTCCTCGAGAGTGTATCGTGTCTCCTGGTCGAGGACGAGGATCTTCTCGACAAGATCTTTGGCAACGGGATCAAACTCTGGCGGGAAGTTGTACTCGAGATTCTGGATCTTCTTGAAAGTGAGATACTCATTCGGGGCCTTGAACGGGGGTCGGCCGGCCAGCATCTGATAGAGAATACAGCCAACGGCCCAGACGTCGCATGGCCATGAAATTCCTTGGCTGGTGATGAGCTCTGGCGAGCAGTACTCGGGGGTGCCAACGAACGACCGCTTCCGTTCGGGCTTTGGGTTGCCGTCGTCTTCGGTCGGCTCTGTGTCGAGAATCTTGGCACAGCCAAAATCGGTGACCTGAAAGAGAAGGGACAGGAAGGGATGAGCAAATGCGGAGAGGCTCGAATCGGTCCGGGTGGCAGGGTGCGGATATCACGAAAGCGCATGAGAGGGACGTACCCGAATGTGTCCTTCCGAGTCCAGGACAATGTTCTGGGAGGGCAAGCAGCATGAGCCAAGGTCAGAGACGGATGCACATCCCACATTCCAAAGCAGGACAGGTCGGGCTGGCAGACACGGCACAAGTCATGAACACCGAGCCGGACGGATCGGACGACAAACTCCATCGCAGAAAAGGACGCACACAGCCATTGCCGCAAGCCTACCTCGGGCTTGAGATCCCGATGCAGCACGTTGGTCTTGTGCATGTACTCGACGGCGACGATGAGCTCGGCGAGATAAAACCGGGCGGCGTCGGTGTCAAAGTGGCGGACGCCCCGGATCAGGTGCAGCAGATCGCCTTTCTCGCAGTACTCGAGGACAAAGTACAGAAAGGTCGAGTCCTTGAATGTCGAGTGCAGGCGGACGATGAATGGGTGCTTGAGGATCTTGAGGGCCTGCTTCTCGATGTGGATATATCGGACCTTTCGGCTCCGGATGACCTTCTTCTGCTCGATTTCCTTGATCGCAACGGGCCTCCCGGAGATGAGCTCCTGGGCGTGGTAGACGGTGGAGAACGAGCCTTCGCCGATAACCTTGCCAAACTTGAAATCGCTGCGATGCACAGCACGGCCGCTGGGCGTTCGGGGCGACATGGGCGAGAGCGGGTTTGTGGGTCCGTAGAGCAGTGGCGGATGGATTGGGGTCGAGGGTGTTGCCGGCACAGCAGCAGCAGCAGCAGCAGCAGCAGACTGCGAGGGAGCAGACAGGGGCTCGTCCATGGTGACGGTGGGGTGCGTTTGGAGGCGAGGCGAGAGGGTGCGATTCGCTGTGCGGGCGGAGCAGCGACGCAGAAAGAAAGGAAGAGGAAGCGCAACGGGGACGAGACGGGCAGGCGACGATGCAGAAACGACGCAAAGGCGGATGAGGATGAGGATGCGGACGAGGATGTGGATGTGGATGTGGAAGCCCAGACACGGGCAAACGAGTCAGAGCGTGTGTGTGTGTGACAAGGAGGGGGATGGGGGCGTGGCGAAGCCGGCGCAATGCTCGGGCACCGACACGGACGACATTCGTTGCCCGGCTGCATCGGATTGCTCGACTGCATTGGATTGCTCGACTGCATTGCTCGGGTGGACTGATCCAAAGCATTGCTCCGATGGACTGATATGAAGGACTGATACGATGGACTGCTCCGACGCACTTGCTTCGTCATATTCGCCCCATTTGCACCGGCTGCAGTGCCATGATGCACAAGCCTGTCCGCGCTGCTCGCCCAAATCCAGACGCCCCGTCGCACAGCCCCTGGCGAACAAGGCCGGTGTCTCAAGAGCCAAAGGCTGCGCCAAGGCGGCGCTTGCTTCTCTGTCCTGGATGGATTGCTGGCGTGCTTGTCGCAGAATCGCCCACCCAGATGAGCCATGGCAGGGTTCTTTTCTGTGACCTGAATACACAGACCCACTCATTGCATTCATGGCCAAACACAGCACCCTCGATTTCCGCATCGCTGCACTGCGACCGGCGGTCTTCACTCGGAGGCTGCCAAAGTGATCTGTTCTATTTCTTATGGCATAGTTAGACGCACGCCATCGCATACTACGCCGACAAATGGGTTGTGGGCAGGTGTCCCATTTCCCCTGAATATAGTGTTGGAAAAAACAGTGGGAGACGGCGTCTCGTTCGGACAAAAACACGCCGTGGGAGGGGCCGTATCATGCACCCGACCGACAATTCCAGGCGCAGATCATGGCCGCGCCGAGTTGATTGAATCGACCCAGTCTGAAGCGCCGCCCGTGCGGTCGTCAAAGACCCACGCCTTCTTCTGCATCGTGATGGTGAATCTGCGTGCGTTCTTCAGTTCGATCGAAAACTCGTCCTTCAGCACAACCTCGTCTCGCACAGTTGCTTGCGCCGGATCGACAACGAGCAGCCGCTTGTTCGTCAGCACCAGCAGTCGGTGCTTTGAAAAAAATGTCTTTTTGCGAGTCACGAGCCCGTGCTTCAGAATCCGGTCGCCCGGGAACATCTCTCGGAGGTTCCATCGCTTCTGTGCACCCTTCTCGTTGTACTCAAAGACGACTTCGCCAGGAAGCCTCATCCCCTGATCCCGCGGGCTCATGTCTCGGGCGCCCATGTCTCGGGTACCCATGTCTGCGGACCACCGTGGGAGAGTCGCCATCGCCATGGCAGCGCGATCGTTGTAAAACTCGGATGCCAAAGCCGACGACGGGCTTGTTGTGGCCGACTCGATGCTGTAACTCGAGTCGCGGATGTCGCCCGAGGAGGCAATGTCCCTGGCAGAGTCTCCGACAGAGTATCCCAGCTTGTTCTTGGCCATAAATTGGGTCACTAGGGCGTCGCGGCTAAAGTCCATGGCGATGTTGTGCTCATTTCGTGAAAGCCGCCGGTTGGAGGGCGTTCCATAGAGATCGGGTGAGCTTGAGTCGCGACTATCGTTGCGGGACTTTGGGCTGTTCGTGCCAGAGTCTGTATCCTCGCCATTCGACTCTGCCTGCTTGATAATAGATTGCTTCCGAAGATCGACGTTGGCCGGAGGATTGTGCTCGGACTGGTTGCGATTGCCGGTCCTTCCGAGAGTCCCGGACATTCCATGGTTGTGCGAGACCATCGACTGTGTATCCGTCTCGCTGCAGTCGACAATGGTGGGGACCCCAATTGGATGAGGCCGATCATCGTCGCGATATAGGTTGAGATGAGTTTCGCTCAGGATGCTGCTTTCGTCGACACTTGCGTTGGCTTTCCGGCTCAGGGCTATCGGCTCGTGGAAAAATATGGGCATCACGTCGGATGCTTCAGCGTCAGGCCAGCCGGCTTCCGAATCCGAGTAGCCATCGTTATAGACACATTCGGCACCGCCCTGTTCAGCGACAGCCGTGGGGAGCCGCTGGGCGATTGCTTCCAGAGAGTCGAAATACACGGGCACCTCCCTCGGCAGCGGCACCGGCGGCGTCTGGAGATGGAGGTCCGTCCAATCGAACCCATCAAAGAAGGGATGTGCCTTGATTTGCGGAATCGTGTATCGCTCGTCAGCGTCCAGGGTCAAGATCAGCTGCACCAGATCTCTCGCAACTTCAGGAAAGTCGCTCGGAAAGCTGTACTCTAGGTTCTGAACCTTCTGGAGTGTCAAATACTCATTGGCACCCTTGAACGGCGGTCGTCCGGCCAGCATTTGATACAGCATGCATCCGATCGCCCATACGTCGCATGGCCACGCGATGGGTTGGTCCAGCAGCAGCTCGGGCGAGCAGTACTCGGACGTTCCCACAAACGATCGCTTTTTCTTCAGAGTGGAACCCTCCGGGTCGGCTGTTGGGTCGTTTTCTAGGATTTTGGCGCATCCAAAGTCGGTGATCTGCCAAGACGAGTCGATTCGTGGCCGGTCAGAACCATATCTTCGTCCTGACAGTGCCAGCACACGGTGCTGGACTATCAACAGCCGCGTAGATCACATTGGCGTGATTCTCGAATAGCTCAAGCACGGCACTCGCACGAGCTCTTCGTCCGTAGCGCCCTCACAGTCATATCCAACCGACCCTCCAACTGCATCGATTCAGCGGCGATGTGGATTGCCCCGGAATCATTCGACTTACTCGGATGTGACCCTTGCCATCCAGGACGATGTTCTGTCCATGCCACAGCGAATCCGATAAGTGCGATTGTCGAGGGCTCGCAAAGAGAATAGCGTGGAGTCGCGATGGCATCAACTCACCTCGGGCTTGAGGTCCCGATGCAGAATATTGCAGCTGTGGATGTACTCGACGGCGGTGACGATCTCGGCTGTGTAGAATCGGGCCGTGTCCATGTCAAAGACACCTACACTTTTGATAAACTGGAGCAGGTCGCCCTTCTCACCCAGCTCAAGCACAAAGTACAGGCTTTCGCGGTCCTTGAATGTGTAGTAAAGCCGAATGATGAACGGATGCTGTAGAATCTTGAGGGCCTGCTTCTCGACATAGACGTACCGGACCTTGTCGTACCGCACAACCCGGCTTATTTCGAGGATTTTGACGGCGTACTGCCGGTTGGTTGCTGGCTCGCGGCCATGGACGACTGTGGAAAACGAGCCTTCCCCCAAAATCTCACCCCATTCAAAGTCAGCACGGTTTCGCGGACGCAGAAGACTCTGCTCGTCGTCGGCGGACTGCTCTTCGGTATTGGCCCGAGGCCGGCCTTTGACTGAAGCGTCTGCCGGCAATGACGGCTCGGCGGATGGGCTCGAGTCTGGCTTGACGTCAGAGTCGCCCGTCGGAGCATGCGTATTATTCACCGAGGTGTCGATTGGTGCCACCTCCACTGCTTCTGCTTGCTCTGCCTGCTCTGCCTGCTTGTCTGCTCTGCCTGCTTTGTCTGCTCTGCCTGCTTTGTCTGCTCTGCCTGTTCGACCGCACGAGGAATATCCTCCTCGAGCGTGGCATCGACAGGGGCCGGGCTTGGTGGGGCATCCAGGGTCGCCTCGGGAGGCTGTGCTGCAACGAGCGGCTCCGAATGCATTTGCTGCAGCGACGGGAGGGCGGATGGAGGCGGTTCAGGCGGCTGCGGGTTCGGGTTCGGGTTCGGCAAACAGTGCGGTGCGAGCGATGGCGACGATGAGTCCAGTGCGGGCGGATGTGGAGACGCACCGATCGGGAAGGGGAGAACGTCTCGCCGAACGCAACCAGACCTGTTGGATTGTGGGCACCGGCCTGGACCAATGGCAGCCGGGTGGCGGACCAGCACGCCGATCGCTTTGGCTGGCGACGGCACAATCAGGCCAACCAGCTGTGGACTCGCTTCGATGCTGCATATTGATCGGGCGTCGGCAAGCAGCCCTCCTTGGCAGGGCAGAGGTGTCGCATGCCATTCTGCAGACAATGGGGGTCCCGTTTCTTTCTGGACCGACTGTGTCTGCGACTTGACGTCATCTGCAGGTCGTCCACTATATATTCATCCAATCTACTCCCATCCGCTGTTAACTGTCGGCGCAGGATCGTTCCCGTCCGAGACAAATGCCTGCCAGCCTCCTTCCTCGGCGCCGCTCTGTGCTGGGCCCTCATACACACCCCAGCCCGTCGTTATCGCTTCGGTCTGGCCTTGGATACCGCTGCCGTCGGCTGGGACATCTCCCAAAGCCTCGGACCCCCATCCAGGCGCCGGCCAGGGCGCTGCCGAGGGCTGCCACGTCCGATTGGCGATATCGGCCGTCTTCCAGTCCGCCATGGCTGGGCCTGGATCACGCTTCTCCCGTGGGGGCTCTGGAATGCTCTCATCGTCCGATTCGGCGGTGTCCGAGTCCGAGGCCGGGGCTTCGAGAGAGTGCAACCATGTCACCGGCGGCGCCAGGAACCTCGAGCGGACCCAGGTTCTTCTCAGCGAATCTTCTACGTGGCTACCCAGGTCCGAGCTTGGCGAATCTGTTTCATAGAGCTCAAAGAGATCCCTGCCGAGGTCGGTGCGAAGAGCATCCACCAGCGTGGCAATGTGCTTGCAGTGTTGTCGCACCTTCAGGACCGACCACAGTTGACCGAGCGAGAGATTGATTGTGCTGCCGGATGCATCGATTTCTGGCTCAGTGGACAGCGGCGAACGTGACAGGTGAGCCCACGTTATATCGTTGTGGTGCAGATCCGTGGCTTCCTGTTTGATGAGATCCAGCAGCTCGCTTCCAGATAGGGCCGGCTCATCAAAAAATGGATACCCGATGGATTCGAAAAGTATATGCGAGTGAATCGGGCTCGTCGCAACCACAATGTTGGTGTCTGGATCGGCCTGAGGAGCATCGGCTGGCTCTGCTGGTTCGGTGGAGGGAAGATTGGAAAGGCTGGTGACAGTGTCGCTTGCTAATTCGACGCTCGGCTTGCTCGACGAGCTCGTCCCCGGAGGGCTGCACTGCAAGGGTGCAGCAAGAGTCGTGCTGGCACTCTCATTGGGAGCAGCTGTAGTGTCGACCGGCGCGATCGCAGCTGGATCGGGTTCGTTGCGCTGGAATATCGCCACTTGGGTGCAAAAGCCAATGTCGGTAAGAGTTTTTTCGTCGTTGTACCAGTAACCGACTCCGGTGAAGCTCACAGCGTAGCCGTAGTCGAGCGCAATACTTTGTGCCCTGGAATATCGTTGCTGCGTTAGCCAAAGACCCAAGGGGGGAGGGCGCGCTCGGGCGTATCGACTCTCCTGCATGCAGTCATGCTGTTGCTTATCGCATACCAGGTTTCAAACTCTCGGCGGGTCCACTCGAATCGGTGGTCGTCGTTCCGCAACGTTGCGTGTGGGGTTCCATAGTTCAGATTTGGGAAAAAGACGTTGAACTCGGCATTCGGGGTGGTGACGATCACAAGCCGAGGTTGGTATCGACCAAAAACGATTTCCGGGTAGGCCTCGAGCACAGGGGGATCCAGGTGCTCGATGCTGCAGGCAGAGCATGTGCATGTTGGCATGCGGGGTGAGTCTGGGATATCTTGCCGCTACATTCAACCAGCTCCGACAGCAAGGCTCCATATCGCATTCAGTCGTATCGCCCCCTCTGGCCACCCGAAGTCGATCGAACACGGCGTTCTATGATGGCCGGTCCACTTACACCTCCAACGAGACGAGGGCATCGTGTCCCGTCAGTCGCGAGTCAAAGCGGTCCACAGAGCCCAGATAGAGGTCCAGCACGATCGGCAGCTCCCTCAGGAACCGAAAGTCGTTGTCGGTTGGATAGCAGGTTTCGCAAGCGCTGTAGAGCGACTCTTCCGAAATGTCGAGACCGATCAGCCGGTCAAACTGGGTCGAGTTGAGGAGGATTTCGAGCAGGGCACCTTCGCCACATCCATAGTCGACGACCTAGATATTGGCGATGGCGGCGGTTGCGGTTGCGGTTGCGGTTGCGGTTGCGGTTGCGGCCAAGCGAGCGAGCGAAGATGCGTGAGCACCAGGGCGAGCTTATTCCTCTGCTGGCTGCCAAACACTGCTCGCATGCTCGGCGCACCCATCCGAGTGGCTGATTTGGAGATGAGCGTTGCGTGGAGCAACCAAATCAGACGGATCGACTCGCTGTAGGGGTCGCTTCTGCCCGTAGGCAGCTGCAGGATTTGCTGTTGCTACCAATCCGCGGCCCCGGTATGCCGCTGCCAGCCAGCACCGTCTCCTCACCGATTGCACGTTGTGGGCAGCGAGCAGGCTCGAGACAAGAGACCGCCGCTGTCTCCACAGAGGCGGATCGAATCGAATGTGATCGATGTCGTCCGAGTCGCGGGCGAGAGTATCCGGCGTGTGGGTCATTGCAGGTTGATCGCGGCGGAACAGCTCGGGACAGGCGTCAATTGCGCGGCCGAGCCAATATCTGCGTCTCGCTGCGCGTCCTCGCCGGGTCCCTCGCTCCCTCGGCGAGAGTGGCCGAGATATCTGCAAAACCTGCATGGGAGGCCGAGTCGGGGTGATGTCTTTGAGATCAAACATCTCTCTGCTCACAGACGCCTGTGCTGCGTGGGCCCGCTGCGTCTGCTGCCTCTTGCTGCACCGAGATATCTGAATTTCCAGTTCCTTGCCAACCGATCGCCTTATCCCAGCCCGCTGAGGACGCTGCAGCCTATACCGTACGTGCATCCGATGACCCGTGCTCGTTGCTGTCCCTCCGGCTCTGGCAACCTTCCGGCTCCCTGACATTGCCGTCTCTCTCGTCCGTCCGTCCGTCGTCTGTCCTCTGTCCTCTGTCGTCCAACCGCCATTGCGCTGGACGGTCAACATATTCAAATAACAACAGATTTTACTGCCTGTTTGGTCGGGGACCTTGATACCACACGACAAAGATTGATGAGCTCGCAAGGCCGTCGATCGTCTGGTCGCAAGCACCCGCATCCCAAAGGCTCCAACGCAAACTCAGGCACCAACCCCAGTAGCGGCCAAGGCTCCACCACCGCTGGCTATCATCCGGACCAAGGCGATAGCCACTCTTCGAATCCGAGAGCCGGCGGAAGCTCGTCAGGCCCTCACAACGGGAGTAGCGGCGGAGGAAGTGGAGGTGGGAGCGGGGGCGGCCCAGGATCCCGAAGAGGCGGACGAAGAAACGGTGGGGGCTATGCCCACAGCAGCTCGTCAAGTCAGTACGGGGGATCCCAGGATGGTGGTGGTGGAGGAGCAGCTTCCAAGCTCGATCGCATCCAATCGCTGTTTTCACGCATCGTCCGCTCGAACGATGATGCCAACGGCTCCAAGCGCTTGGCTATCGCCGCCCAAATCATCACGATTGCGAAATCATGCACAACCACCCAGGATTTGGCCAACGGCATGAAGATCCTTCATTCGTCAACGGGCGAGTCGTTCCACGTTGTCTTTGAGGACCCGAGGTACAGAGACGGCTACAGCCCGTAGCTCACCGCCCCTGCCTCTCGGTGTTGGGGAGCAGATCCATCGCGACAAGTGCGATACTGCCATGGCTTCGATTCACTCCCTGACATATCTTGCGATTAACAAAATGGACGGATGTGCCTGGTGATTTTCCAGACTCTCGACGGAGCTCAAGCAAGCCTTTGCAACTGCTATCGCGACCATCGGAGCTTGCATTCCCCTTCAGTCTGAATCCCACCCATTCATCAAGTGGCTATTCGAGCACCTTCTCTCTGTCCCAGCGTTGACTCGGGGCCACAGCCTGGATCTGGCCGAGAAACGAGAGTACGAACTCAAGAGCTGGCTTCTAGTCATCTTACAGGAGGTACCGCAAGCGCACTCTGCATGGTCGGGTGGACTGCTTCGGCTCGGCGTCGACAGCGTGGCCGAAAGAGGCACCGTGCTCAGTCCTTGCGTTGAAAAGTAACATTTCCTGTCATGATAACAGCTGATTGATCCACGCTCGCAAGTCCCCAAGACCTACCAATCCCATGTGATGCGAAGGATTCTCTTGGATGTCCAGCAGTTCATGGACTCCATGAGCACCGGCCAATATCTGACTAAGCTGCTCGAGATCCTGCTGATTGTGTCGGAGCACTACCACGACAACTTTGCCTCGTCGTTCGATGTGAGCTCGCCTCGCCTCTGATTGTGTTGGGCATCACTGCGATCCACCGATCGCACTCGCGTTACTGATTTGCCAAATGTCGATCCAGGAATTTCTCGATTTGTTGGTTGGCTGGTCCATTGATCCTGCACTTCCACCGGAGATCTCACAGCTAGTATCTGGTAGGCAAGGGCGCTGCAACCTTTATTGGGCCGATGGCCCACCGTTGTTATCGCCCAAATGAGTGACCAAGATGGAGTCGAAGCCAACTATTAAACCGCTGGCCTGTGCTTCCACCAGAGTTTTTCCGTAGAGTCTGGCCATTCTGGATCGTTCGAATTGAAAGCGCCATGAACTTTATGCAGCAGATCCTGAGCGACATTGCAAGCCATACGAATCAATTGTTGGAGCCTCAGTCCGAGCCCACTTATATGCTGGATGGTGGTCTCAATACCAATTGCAAACCCATTCCCGAGACCGTGCTGCCGTTCCTCAGGTGGGCTTTTGCTATCCGTGCCGTACCTTGATTGACAATAGAGGGGTGAGACGCGAGACGGAAATGGGTTTGTCTGGATCGGCTCGCTCACCCTCGCGCCCTTTCCTTTCCTTTCCTTTCCTTTCCTTTCCTTTCCATACCCACACCATACAGAACTTTCCAGTCAATCCTGCAAGCCCTCAGCTTTGCTACCTTTCCCGTTGTCAACAAGGAGACCCAGTTCGATCTGAGCTCGTCTCTGTATTATCAAGACTACGAGCACACTGTTGAAGTGGCACTGGATTTGATCTACAATGTTGGCGCCGAGTACGGAGATCGTCGTTGGCTGAAGCAGGGCGTTGAGCTCATCAAGTTTATGAGTACAGCGATGGTGGGCCCACTGTTCCGCCCTTTTCAAACCCGTGCCCTCAAGTTTATGTTTTTGGAGATGGACTGGTTTATATCGCAAGAGGAAGCACGGCTCGGGCTTGTGTCGATGACCCCCAAGCCCGTCTTCGATGGTCCCTTGGACTCTCGGACGATCGAAGAGTGGCTCGGGCAGCTGGAGGAGGTAGGCGTCCAACCAGCCACTCACTTTGTTTGGCCATGTGGATACACCGCAGTGCATTACAGTGCTGTGAGCCGCATCGAATTGCAATGTCGTGCTCCTCGTTCTGCTCGGTCCCACGCTCGACTACCAGCGTCTGCTGTCAACGCAGCGTTGTGCTCAGCCACATTGTGGCACATATACTGACTCATGTCTGGGCTTGACTGACTGCAGCTTATCGACATATGGTCGCCCAACCTGGACGCCAATCTTCTCTGGTTCTTTACGCGACCGCTCACTTCACCTCTTTTGAACCGGATTCGAATCCGATGCTGCATGAATGCCAGCATGATGAAATCACTGTTGAGGCTCTCCAAGATTGTTATTTCCGTGTTTGGCAAGCATCCATACGCAACCAACATATCTCAGGCCTACGATCCAGACCCCGCTCCTGAGGAGCTTATCAGCGAGTTCCTGTGTATTGCATCGATCATGCGGGACGACTCCCAGACCCATTCGTTGCCTGACCCCTATCGCGACGCAGCTGATATCTGGAGCGTAGGCGTTCCTGCGGATGTCGAAGCCTCCCTTTGGAAGATTGAGCATTCCGGCCTACTTGCCTTGCTTATTTTCGACCTCTCGCTTGTTATGGAGGCCGTCAAGTGGGAGATTCACGGGATTTCCAAGAAATCGATCATGGATCTTTTGTTTGTCTCGCTCGATGGATGGATTCGGGCTGAAGCCGACCATCCTGGCTCGCCACTATGGACAAAGGCTGTTTCGTCGATATTCCGTGCTTTAGGAGAGACCGTCAAAAGGTAGGCCTCTTGTGGCTTGTAGATTGGCACTATTACTTCGTATCTATGCTGTGATTCGATCTTGACATCTCCTGGCAGAGGCACTTGCTGATTTTTCTGCGTCCTTTAGCCAGCGATTTTTGCTGACGGCCATGAAACTGCCTTCGGGCGAGCTCAAACTGATTCTCGACGATAAGCCGATGCCATTCATTCAGCTTGTTCGAGATGCCATCGCAGCCTTTGGCAAGCGCCAGTCGGAAATTACCATGACGGCCGTGGGGCTCTTGCTTGACCTGATGAAGGAGCTATGCAAGTTCCCTGGATTTGAAAGGAATCCGAGCACACAAACGGAAACGAATCGTCTTTGCCTGCTCCTTTGGCAAAGCATTGAGTTGATCATGCCGTTGATAGGTTCGTAGCGCTTCAAGCCTTCACACCTCACACCTCACACCTCACACCTCACACCTCACACCTCACACCTCACACCTCACACCTTACACCTCACACCTCACACCCCACGCTCGCAGACACCGAACGCGACCCAGAGAAGCGCCTCAAGATCGGCAGCATGGTGTTGCTCTATGTCGAGCAGTTTCAAAGCCCTTGGTTCGATGCCGTTCTGGAGCCCCTGGGTATCGGCACTCAGTACCGGCGCCAGACTTTTGTTCGCCCTGTGCTGAACCATATCAAAGATAGCGATCCTCACGTCCGTGGAACCTTCCTGAAGCTATTGGCTCGGCTGAGCCCGTCGATCCCGGCTTCGGATCTGATCCTGTATGGCCAAATGCCAAGCAAATTCCAGGCGTTCAAGGTGAGTGCTTGGGACGCGCTTTCCGGCTATATATGAGTCCGTATCTCGTATATTCACCAGTGCTGTTGGGCAAGCTCATATACTTACTTCAATTCTCGCTGCTCCTCCACAGCGAAAGGTGATGGGAACAGCCCATTCGGGTGTGTTTCGATCGCAACACTTTTCGGTCGTAGTTTCGTACTTGGGCATGGCCACGCACCTGCAGCCCTCAAAAGATGCAGACCAAACCCCGGCTCTGCTCTCGATCGATCCTTCGGGCTCCCTCAGCGATTGGCTCATCAAGCTGTTCCAGTCGTGTAACAACGACGAGATAGCGCGCCAGTATCCTCAAGCCTCTCTTGGTATGGTCTGCGATACCGTGGGTCTCCGAGTGAAAGACTATGGAGTGGCTCCCGTTTGCAACTTGCCTACTTATCCTCATACTCTGCATACCTCATAGACTCCTCGACTTTTGTTGAGGCAATCAGCTCGGACGACAACCTCATGTTTTGGGCGCTGTGGGAAGCGGCGCGCTACTGTATACTTGCCAGATTGCGCACATCTTTTGGCGGACCGAAGCAGGTAATCATCGCGAGCCTATGTCCCTGCAAATGTACAAGTGATTTGAGTAAATCCGGCTGGTGTGCGACGGGCTCTCGATTTGTGGGCTCTCGACTGACAGTAACCTTGTGCCACATTCGTAGACGTTCGAGGCCATTGAGTTTTCTCTGCAAAACGTCCACAAGGCTACTCACGAGTGGATAAAGTTGTCCGATACGGAGCACGGCGAAAGGTACCTGTGCCCAATTATGCCATGTGCTGGAATGGTGTAGTCATTCATGCTAATGATCCAGATTGCCTCAATCCCTTGGTGCCGCTCTGTGCCTCGTCGACACCCACCGTAACCACTTTGGGCGACCGCGGCGCGTAACTCACACCACCGCTTCCTCGACGCTTTGTTTCCTCCAGAGCAATGGATCAGCTGAAACTTGCGCGCCACTTGCTGCAGTTTATCGATCTGCTTGAATTGCAAATCGAGAATGCAATTGCTGGCACGTCCAGTCAGCGACTGCCACCAGCGCCGAAAGCCTCGATTGCTTTCTTCTCGGCAAACCGCAAAGTGTGCCACGATTGGTTTGCTCGCATCCGCAAGAGTGTCGTGGCGCTAGGGCAGTATCTGGGCTCATCTGAACTTGTCATTCGGCACTCGAGTCTGGTAAGTAAAGCCGCCAGCACCCACTTTCCCAGTGGTTCTCATGCACCCGTCCCTCGATGTCCATGGCCCTATTCGCTCGAACCCAAGCGAGAGCCACCGTCCATAGCGCTGCACCTGCACATCGGTGCTCACTCTTCGATCGTCAATCATCACAGCTTCTCACCGACCGGATGGGACTTTTGCGGCGAGGCAATGTCCGAGATCTGGATGCCTGGAGTAGCGACGTTTCTACCAGAATCGTGCATCTGGCGCTTGCCATGTCCAAGCTCACGGATCCAGATCCCATTGTGGGTCTTGTCCAATGGTCGCGAAAGGTCACCTACGTTCCCGTGGACGTCACTCCCAAAAGGACCAAGGAGCCCGACATGAGTAAGCCACGAACGAAACGAGATACATCGCTGGGACCCTATCCGTACCTGCCTTGGAATTCTGCTCCTACACCCATCTGAGCAGCCTCTAGCGGTACTAACACAGCATTTTTGGCACGGAACACTGCGCAGAGCGCTTGATTCTGGCCAAGAAGCCCACGGACGCGGTCGAGTCTGGAAGCGAGCCCGCAGGAGATGCGTTCGTGCCTGTCACGGGCACGGTCAAGATTGATGTGGCCTGGATCGAGGCACTGGGCTGCATTTCCGATGCGCGCTTCGAAACTGCGATTGAATTGCTCCGTGCCCGTCTCAAGATGATGATTCAAAAGGGTGATCTGCCAAGCTACCACCATGAAATATCTGTGCTGATCAAGCAGGTCTGTATCGACGCCATCTACCGGATTGCTCGCAAGTGCTCTGGCAGCAGGCGAGATATGACCCGCCAAAGCCTTGACAAACGATGCTATGGCTACTGGGAACTGAAATTGGATTTGTGGCTCGCCAAAACCGCCACCAACATTCCCTTGTGATTTAGATTACAAACTGCTACGTTGCCCTCGCCGATTACGAGTCAATGAAGCAGTGGCTGCCAATTTTGAAGGAGTGGCGGTCTGAATATGTCGGCACTGAACTGGCCTCCACATTCGACACTGGATACGCCACCGAATACCTTCGCAGCTGGTGGCAACTTGGTCGTGGCGATGCACCACGTGTATCCCAGTCGCGGTTGTCGTCTGCAGAGGTCCCAACTCCTGTGGAGCTCCTTCATGGCGGCCTAGTCAAGGGCACTTTCAACTGGGCTGCGAGGCAGCAAACCGACGCACTACTGCTGCTCCACGGCGCTAGTTCGGACGACAGTTTAGTTTCGTCGGTATTAGGCCTTATCGACTCAGCGGAGAAGCGAGTGCTGGCGGCGCTGCAACTCGTTGACCTGGAGTCGCCCGAGCAGCTTTCATCGGCGTTCTTGGAACTGCAAGCTATAGGCGCACTTCGAGAGATGTTGGGCGGCTGCTTGGGCTACTCGACCGACCTTGTGGCACACAGCGAGTCGTCTCATCTCAGCAACCTCAACCGCCTCGGCTCCCTGATCCATTTCGCCCAGTCTCACCACTTGGACTGTGCCAAAGGATGCACAGATGTGGTCTTGAAGATTGCCAAAGTTGCCCGGAAGTCCGAATGCCACGCGCTTTCGATCAAAACCCTGAGGCGACTGGAGAAACTGGATGCCGGAATGCACATCGATCAGTTCGATTGGATTTACCAAAAGGCCAAGACGCACTTTGAATGCGGCCAAGTTGACGAGTTCCTCGGATCGCTCGCCAAGCTGGCAACTTGGGCCGCCTCTGCCAATGTCGATACAGCTTCAAAGGCCCCATCAATCTTGTCCAAGGCACTGCTCTACCTGTCCCAGAGGACACGCAGTATCGACCTCGAAAGTGAGGTGTCCTCGCGATTGGTAGAGAATCTGGTGGTCATCTGTGCCTCCCCCGAAATATCGCAGAAAGCCGGAGACTTGACAACGGGGGCTGAGCACGCTCACTATCGCTTTGCTGAGTATCTCGCGACCCAGAGTTTGATCCGCGCAAAAGACACAAATCCGGCATCTGCCAAGGTCTGGTTCGCTTACTCCTCGTACTGCTATCGCTTGGGACGAAAGCTTACTGAAGAGGTGACAGCGGCACACAACAAGCAATTCGTGTTCCTCGAAGACGAATTCAAATGCATTCTTGCCCACACTGCCGGCGGCGATGAGCCCGTCGATACCAGCACCATGCGTCAGGTTCTAGCCGAGATCTTTTTGAAAGACGTCGAGAAAAGTGGCATGACTGGTGGTAGCGCTGGCTTGGATGTTGCTCAGGCAATCGAAACACGCCTTCGGCAAGCATTCCCATCCATAGACGATAGTGGCGTTCGCGCGGTCATCGGAATTGTGCTGGGCATATACAAGCGAATCCTGGACCACTACGAGAATGCCGTCGTGGGTTACTTTACGTATCTGCGTCTCAACCACGATGCGGACTCTAAAACCTGCCCCGACGATGAGGTATGAATGGATACCACCACATGACTATCAGTGCTGCCATTGCTGCCATTGTGCTTCTGCCTGCATATCCAGAGTTGGCGCCATGCGTGCCGACTGCTGGGGGGGGGGTTCTTCATACGACTGACGAGGTGCTTGGAACCCAGCAGGTGCTACACAGCGGGGCGGATGCCGCGGGTACCTCAACAAACGAGTACAATGTGATCGTTGCGGCACTTCGAATTCTTCGGCTGTTTGTCAAATTTGGCGCAGCTCTCGAGCCCGTATTCCGCCAAGGCTTTGCCGATAGTCCCACGGCTCCCTGGGAGAGCGTCACTCCCCAGCTGTTTTCTCGCCTGCGTCACCCTGAGCATTTGGTGCGTTCGCTCATCACAGATGTGCTTTGCCGCATCGGCCGCGATTCCCCTCACCTTGTCATCTACCATGCTGTCGTTGGGTCGCTGCTGGCGATTCGCGAGTCTTCGGCAGCGGACTCGAGCTTCATCGCAATCGTCTCGTCTCTGCGAAAAAACGGGCTGTCGACGCTGGTTTCCCAGGTCGAGCGGATGGTCAGCGAGCTGCAGCGCATCACGGTACTGTGGGAAGAAACCTGGCTCCATCGCTTGGATCAAATGCAAAGCGACATTGCCAAGCGCCTTCAGCGGTACGAGAATGAGCTCCACAGGATCACACACAACAAGGCGGCCTCGGGCAGAAGCCGAGAAACCGCTCTGCGGGATGCCTATAACATCATCATGAACCCCATCTTTGTGGAGCTGGACCATCTGGGCAGCAGCACCATCCATGCGGCGGCCTCGACGGACCACGAACGACTGTTTCAGCAGCTCTACAAGGATGAGATTGACCGGGCTTTGATGCTGATTAAAGCGCCTAGTGATGTAGAGAAGCCCCAAGAGGCCTGGACACTATTCAAGAAGGTGGGTAGCACGCCTGGCCTTCCCTGCTGCCGCGTTTGACCCAGGTTGTCCCAGCTCGACCCAGCTCGACCCAGCTTGTCCCAGCTCGACCCCCTCCTCCATATGATGCAGGGCTGATCCATATCGCCGCACAACCCGATCTGCGCTAACGGCATCGTCAAACACGACCAGGTTCACGCAAAACTCGGATCCGAGCTTCACCGATTCCGGGCACTCAAAATGCATTCGATCAGTCCGCTACTGGCTGGACGACAGGGATCCATGATCCCCATCCCTGGCATCCCGATTCATGGAGAGCTGATTACAATCGAGCGCATCCTCGAGGATGTACAGGTGCTCAATACCAAGACCAAGCCCAAGAAGATCACCATGGTTGGCTCGAACGGACAGTACTACACGTATCTCCTGAAAGGCCACGAGGATCTGCATCTCGACGAACGCGTCCAGCAGTTGCTCACCATCACGAACCAGATGCTGCGTCACGATAACGACTCCAAGCGGCGTCGTCTGCATGCCCGCGGCTATTCCGTGATTCCTTTTGGCCACCAACACGGAATGATCCAGTGGGTCCAGAATGTCATGCCCGTCTTTGCCATCTACAAGGGATGGTTCCAGCGCGACCACGTGGCCACCATGCTCCAGAATAACCAGCAACCCGATGCCGATTACAAGTTTCCGACGACGCATGGGCTTTATGGCGAAAGGGTCCGGGTGGCCTTGAGAAAGTACAAACTCCCAAGAAACGCCCCAAGAGGCTCGTGGCCGCGCTCGCTGCATCGCGATGTCTTCAAAAAGCTTAACAGCGAGTCGTCGTCGATGGCCCTCTCGCGCGAGCTGTGGTGCTCGTCCAGCTCTCCGGCCGAGTGGTGGACGAAAACAAACAGCTATGCCCGGTCACTGGCCGTCATGTCCATTGTGGGCTATCTCATTGGCTTGGGCGATCGCCATCTCGACAATATTCTCTTTGATCCATCAAGCGGAGATGTCCTGCACATCGACTACAACGTGTGTTTTGAAAAGGGAAGGAAGCTGCGAATCCCCGAAACAGTGCCCTTCCGCCTAACACAGAACTTTCTATCGGCCCTGGGCATCACCGGCATCGAGGGCACCTTCCGCATTGCCTGCGAACACACCATGCAGGTGATGCGCCGCAACAAGGAAATCATTCTGACGCTGCTCGAAGCCTTTGTTTACGATCCTTTGGTGGACTGGACCAGCAATCTCTCGGACAGTGTGCGCAAGCGCGTTCTGGAAGTCAATGTCCACATTGGCCTGATTGTCTTGCGCCTAGGTATTGATCGTGTGCTTTGGAGCTGGGTGGGTTCGGACGGCCACAGGCGGCTCTGCGGTCGAGCTAACCTCTCGGACTCGATCCTTTGTATTCATTAGCCGAGCTCAAGCCAGCACTTGACAAAGACGAGCGACAGATGATGACGACAGTGAGGGACATCCAACGTAACCTTGAGGGCTTTATCCGACGGCTGAACCATCGCGACGATGTCACGGAAAAGATTGAGGCGTATCGGCAGGAGTTGCGCCTGTCGTGGAGCCCTGACCAGCAACAGGCTGATGAGAACGAGACCGCAGCCGAGCTTGCTCATCAACTCGAGATGTACCGCGATTGGAAGGCCCGTCATGAAGCAGCGATGATGAACCATGAGGTAGGTATCACGACCACACAGAGCAGGGGCCAGCGATATGGACCACTGGTCTTCTGTTATCGGTTTTAGCCTGGGGAGAGGGACGTCGCTTGATACCTCCGTCTGACTCTGCGGCTTGCGTCGTATATACTCAGGCGCTCGACTTCCAAGATCTGCTAGAGCACTGCACCGCATTTGCGATTATTCCATTCTGGTCGGATCAAGGGTCAACAGATGTTGAAGGACTTGATCCGAATCAATTCAATGAACTCTCTGCACTCCAAGATCAGCAAATCAGTCTTGTTACGGACCTCACGGAAGCTATGCAGGATATTGCGGGACACTGGAATGCCTATCAAGAACTCGTGGAAACGATTCGTGACCACTTGCTCAAGCAAGATTGGTTCAGGCTCCTCGCGTCTGAGCTGGAAGCCACCTTGACAGGCTCGGCGGGCACGTCCATGCTCTTGACTACAAAGTACGAAGACACCGTGGGAGAATCCTCTCATATTGTCTACACACGTCGAGCCACGCTGGAGACAACAATGAAGACGAGTCTGAGGGACGCCATCGCGTCGGTGGATACGCTGGCTGATCGCCTGACAGTCCTTGGCAGGGAGAGCGACACCCTCAAAGAGACCGCCTCGGAGGATCTCCATGGCTACCTGCAATCACATCCGATGGAGGTGTTCAAGAAAAAGTTTCAATGCGGATCGGTCCTTGGACTTTGCGACCTGTCCTTCATGCTCCACTCTCAACTGGCGCAGTCGAGTGGATACATGGAGAAGGGCGCCTTGTCAGGCCTGAAGCTGTCATCGATCGTCACAGACTTGAACGACACATTTGTTGATGTGATGGGCAAGTATGTCTACCGCCCACAAGGGGCACAAACCGGTTTCCTCGTCGCACACATGATCACGGTGTTTGGATCCAAAATCCGCGGTATGTCTCAGAGCACTGGTTAGCTCTTTGCTGCATGGTTTAGTTCGGTGGTCTCGACTGGGACTGCTCACAAAATGAGCCCGAGCTTGGTGCGCACCGTATGATGGTTTACACGCACTCTTCTTGCTCTTGCTCTTGCTCTTGCTCTTGCTCTTGCTCTTGCTCTTGCTCTTGCTCTTGCTCTTGCTCTTGCTCTTGCTCTTGCTCTTGCTCTTGCTCTTGCTCTTGCTCTTGCTCTTGCTCTTGCTCTTGCTCTTGCTCTTGCTCTTGCTCTTGCTCTTGCTCTTGCTCTTGCTCTTGCTCTTGCTCTTGCTCTTGCTCTTGCTCTTGCTCTTGTCCTCACCCTTCGTCTGTTTGCTTCGCCAGATCTCAACATGCAGTATAGCTTGGACTTGATTTTGGGCGACGACTCAATCGAGCTTCTCGAGACACTACGGAATGCCATGAGTAGCGCTGAAGCGTTCATTCATGGATTCACAAGCACGTTCATGACTTCCGTGCTCGAGTTCATTGCATTAAATTACACAAAATGCCCCTCCATCGTCAATCAGTTTCTTGGCTTTTCGTCCAAGCTGCCAAACGGGTCGCTGCCAAGCGGATCGGATCTCGATCGCTGGAAGCAGCTGGTACGTGTATCTCGAATGCCGTCTGCAGCCAAGTCCAGTCACGGTGCATGCACGAACTGCCAAGTCTGGACAGATGGCCGCTCTTTGATTTACCATTGATCTATACCCCATTTGGACCCATATCCGCGAGTAGATTGCGCAGTTCAGGAATCAAGGTATCAGTAGCAAGTCTTTGGAGCTCCGTGAGCTGATGGGGCTGTGCGCCGCGGCCTTCCAACCGATGGAAGATGCTGTCGCTGCGTTGGCCGCAGCCGACCTGCTCGTCCCGGAATCGCTTGCGATCGAGCTCAGCATATACAAAGTCAAAGTAAGCGTCCAGCAAACGAGCTGTATCCACCCATCTGGCCTCAGTAGATGCTAACGGTGGCTGATGACGGAATATGCAGGCCGTGGCAGCCATTTTCAAGAACTCGTACGACTACTATCGCTCATTCGAATACGATGTCGATGACCCCTCGCACGAGTGCATCCGGGCCATCAACTTCGAAGAGGTCATGGAGCAGGACGACTTTGAAGAGTCGGTGGCGGCGCTCAAAAAGTATCTTGGCTTCTTCTGCCGGGATGTGGTCCTGAAAGCGTTGCTGAAACTATGCGGACGGATTCTCAAGAGTATGACTGGCGAGCCTGGATCATCTCCTGCCATCGAGCTCGAAACCAAGACAGGAATCCCTGTCATAGACCACGCGCGCGGCGTGGCGTACACATGGATGAAGGAAAGCGGAGAAGACTCTCAGGACCAGCACTATCTGATCGGCCTTGTCGGCGAGACTCTCAAGGGTCATATGAAGGCCATTTTGAACGAGCACGGCACTCGGAGGCTCGGTGGTCTTGAAGAGCGAGTGCACATGCACCGGCTTGCCCTTCCACGCTATCAGCACCTCCATCAGAATATCTTGATGCGACACACAAGGGACGGGCAATCTTTGCCCGAGTCGCATGGATCGGAGGTGAGATCCGGCATTTGCCAAGTTGCCTCTTCGAACTCTCTGTGTGTTCTAACAATACCATGCACTTGCGCTCCTCTCTACCATAGCTTATCAGGCTGCTTGCTGCTGATCGCGCAGTCTTGCAGCGCTTGGTAACAGCCCTCGAAACGTTCGGAAAGCACGCCTTGGCTCACGAGCGCTGCGTGTTATCCAGGCTTCAAGAGGCAGCGCATCCTGACGAATCCCAGCTCGAACATCGCATAGAATCTCGACAAAGAGCCATTACCGAGACCACTGAGATGGTAAGGTGCTTGCGGCATTCGAGTCCGGTACAACTCATACACCTCTGTGGTGCTGACTGACGTTGTCATGCAGATTCAGAGCCTGTGCGACAAGATCGGCGCCGTTGTCCATTTTGAGGCTGCCCGCACCATCGACCTGAACTTCAAGGGCCAGTACGACAAAATCGTGGACCTGGTGCACCGACTGGCAACACTTGAGAGCCGCAGAAACGGAACATGGAAAGATGCTATCGAGGCACAAATCGAGTCGATGGCCAAGTCTCTCGACCAGTGCGATGTATGAGGCTAAGCCAGTTTGCTGCTGCTCTGGTCGATGCATCGCCCGTGGTTTGTCTGATCCGTGCACATGAGAAATCCTCTCACCCGCAACGCTTCCATTTTACACCCAGACCGCGATGATGGCGCAGGCTATTGTCCATGACGCCATGCTACTCAAGACCACTTTCACGACCTGCCAGCAGTCGCTCGGAGTCGTACAGAGCATCCTGGATGGCCTTGCCAAGGAGGCAGCTGATTTATCGGTCGCCTCGAAGCTTGCACAAGATATCTCTGTAAGCAGTGCACAGCACATCAGCAGCAACATATTGCTTTGGAGAAGCGAGATGCGACCGTTATCGTGCCCATCACTGAGCCGCATCCTTTATCGTGCTCGTCGCTGACCTGCATTCTTCATCCTGTCATTCACTGACTTGGCTCCTCCTCCCATCTATCTCCAGGCCTTCCGATTGGCCCTCGACAGCACTGCGACATCCATCAAAAAGTATCTTGCCAGAGTCGAGCAAATGGGAGGCGAATTGACCATTGGGTCCCTTAATGGCTTGGTACGTAGCCGATCGACAGAGTGCTGTAGATAGCGCGATCCGATCTGGGATTGTAACCGTGACCGCCCATGTCACTTCAGGCATCGGCATTCAGTACCATTCGTCAGCTGGCGAGCAATCTGTATCGTCTCCTCCGACTCTTCAAAACCATGAGCACACTCGAAACCAAAGTGAAATATGAAGCCGACCCGTCCCAGCCCCTGTTCGATGTCGATGCTCCGGAACAGCATCACGACTTTCGAGCCAACGGAGACATGGATCAGCTCAATCCCGGACTGCCTGAGGGGGAAGTGCTGAGCCAGGCCGACAGCGACGGAAGCCTGGAAATGGGCGAAGCAGATGAGCATGACAACGACAACGACAACGACAGCGATGACGACAGCCCGGTCGCCTTTATAGAAGCCAACGAAGTGATTCCTGTGTACAAAGGTATGGTGCAGCGTCTCTGTGTGGGATCTGTGGCCCATACGGCAACCTGGGCATCGAGGGAATGTAGCCCAGTATCCTTTGAAGTCACAGCCAAGCGTGTCATTGACTTGCGAATCTCGTAAACCAACAGCTCAAGCTAGAAATGCCTATGCAGTGAACGTGCTCCGTCGAGTTCGCGCAAAGTTGGATGGCATCGAGGGCGAGTACAGCAAAATGGACGTTTCGGAGCACGTCAATCTCATCGTCCAGCAAGCCACCAACGTCGACAACCTCGCGCTCATGTACGAGGGATGGATGGGATGGATATAGCCCGAAACCGTCTACCGGTGATATCTCCGTTGCCCGTTGTCCACTGCCTCTGTGCTGGCTGGAGCGATCGTCAGAAATCACCCTCGCCTGTTTGAGTCAAGACCACTCATCGAGTCTTCCGAGTCATACTCCTCGATCGAGCACGACGGCACCACCCTTGCGCCTCAATCCAACAAATACTCTTGGCATATCCGCCCACATTCCGTGGCTGGCAGTCGAGTCGTTGCGCAATCGCCCTCCCTGGTGATCCCCAGATCCATCTGGGTCTTGAGTATCAAGACCCTCAAAGTCGCTATGTGGGATCGTGGCGTTGTTCTCTGTGCTGATTCCTGCCTGTAGTCTCCCTGGCGCTGTTGCCGGATAGAGTGGCTGCCAAATCTCTGCTTGGTGTCAAAGCCCACCCCGGTGTCTGACCAGTGCAGCAAGGACACATCTCTGCTTATCCTGGCTTGAGCCATCCGACGATGCCACATTGTCGCAAAGCATGAGGGGGTTGCCCTCTCGCCCCCTCACCCACCCTCGTTCGCCATTTTTTCTTTTACTTCCACTGCTAAGGTTTTCTTCTTCGAATTTCCAAATGTTGTCGGCTTCGTTTTGAGCTCTGTTGGTTAAAGTGGTGATCATGGCTTCCACTGGATCGCCACCATCGCTGTTCCGTTTGGTTGATCCGGCGCCACCGCTCTGGTTTCTACCTGTTGACGGATGTCCCCCTCCAAATCCACCCTCTGTGAATGCTCAATACAATCCTTTTACACCCTTGAACAGTCAAATTCGCACCATCCAATCTATTTCGATATTGATAGCCAATTAGTCATCTTGCTCCACTCACATCGCCAACAAGGCGTTATGCTGCTGACAGTGTTTGGGCATTCTTGGTTTTGCTTTTGCGCTTCGGCTTCGGTTCTGCGACGTCGTGGGTGCTGGATTTGGACTTGGTCGTTGCAGTGAGCTCTGACAGGACGGCGACATCATCCTTATCACCGTCGGGGTTGTTGGACTTGCCAGCCGATTTCTTCTTCTTCTTCTTCTTTGATACCGGAGCATCCCCGGTCGAGGTATGGCCTGCATTGCCATCACTGGCTTTTCCACCACTGCTGTTGCTGGCATCGCTCTCCGAGGGTCTCTTTGATTTACGAGATGAGTCATCGATAGCATCTTGTTGATCGTTTTGGCAAGGCACCACGACAGCGTGGGTACTGTCGACAGAGCTGTCTGCAGCAGAGCTGGGACCAGGAGACGAACTGGGATTTGTAATGTGTTTGTCATCTCGTCTTTGTCGAAGCTTGTCGTTGGTATAGTGCTCTTTCATGAGCTTGTGGAATCCGCTCTTGATCTTTGGTCGTGATGGAAGTTCATCTAACGAGGGAATCCGTGCGGGCGGATGTACGAGCTTGCTGAAGAGGCGTGTCGGTAAGACTGCATCTAATCCGGCAGCGGCTACTGTCTCGTTGTCGATACCGGACAGGCCCGTATCCCAATCGTAGCCCTCATTGAGTTGCGGACTCAATGCAAGTAATTCGCGAGCAAGCTGTTGCCGACTCGGGTTGGTAAAGCCAAGCGATGCGGCCACATTGGTCAGATCCAGTGTGCTGGTAATCTGGATATATGTCCCGAGGGAACAGTCAATACAAGCTGCCGTCTGCCCAGCGACACTCGCCATGGACACTGATGCTTTCCATACGAGCCTGCCGCTGAATCAACCCACTTTTCAGATGAGGACTGGCCACCAGCTCGAGAGCCATACCGAGATCCCAAAGTGACTCTGCAGAATGCCTGCGACACTGGCGAGATTTGTTCCGACTTTGGTGACGTGGATTCCTTGCATAAACGACTTTAGCCGTGGAAACGATCGCATCTGGGTCTTGTCCATTTGCACGAGCACAGCAAAGCTCTCGGTGAACCCAAGTTGCAGAAGCGCGGGTGGCTCGGATGGTGGGCGGACTCCCTGCTGGAAGGTGACCGAGGCGACGGGGAAAGCAAAGTTGAGGATCGTGGGCCGCGAGCCGTGCTGTATGATCTTTTCGAGGACAAAGTTGGCCTGCTTCGGAGGTACGAGAAACACCGTCAGCTCCGGCGTCTCGATCCTGGGCTTGATGCCGATATCAGCAAGACTGGTGACGATCGAGCCGAGGACGCTTCGAACATCGATGGGGATGGGCGCGACGACATCTGTCTCTTGGCCAGAGAGATCCGTTGTGGGGGGCATGCTCTTGACGACACAAATGGGTGGATGGACTTGTGATCAGATCTTGGAGCCAGAAGACGGAGATTTGGTCCAGATCACTTTGGAATCGACTTTTGGCCAGACGCGCAGCAGTGAGAACGAGAGAGAGAGAGAGAGAGAGAGAGAGAGAGAGAGAGAGAGAGAGAGAGAGAGAGAGAGAGAGAGAGAGAGAGAGAGAGATGTGGTTTGATCGCCAGAGTCTTTCGTGTTTGCTCCTTCGTGCACATCCAGATCGCAGCACCAAGCAAATGCCGAAATCCGCCAAGAGCAGCGCTGTCAAGTGGATAGCCAGTGATACAGTCTCCCTGGACGATAGCCAACAGGTCCTTCCCAAGATCGAGGAGGATCTTCGGCTCCTCGGCATCGAGCCGCTTTCCGTCGATCCCCACATTTACATCGTCGACAAAAGCGGCGAAGCATCGCAAATTATCGATGTGATCGTGGGCTATCTCGGCATCGATTCCATCCGGATCCTCGGATTCGATACTGAAACCAAGATTCGGCGGGTGGGCGCACAGGACTCGAGCCGTGACAAAACCTCGACCATCCAGATCGCATTCTCCGAGTCAATCGCCGTGGTGTTCCAGGTCCGCATGACAATGCCTGCTCCCGTCGTCCCTCAGGAGGCGACCATGCAACCTCCAGCGGCCAAAGATCCAGGCGGCCATCTGATCATATGATATCGGTTGCCTATACCGCGCTACCGCCGTGACTAACGTGCTCGATGTCCCCCTTCAACATTACCCGCTGTTGCAGATCTTTCGGATGTGCTGGGAACGAGATCCCACAAACAAATTGTTTCGAAAGCGGCTACCCGATGGATCGTTTGAGATGCGACCAAGCTTTTGCTTCAGCCACACCAATATTCCTCAAAACCTCAAAGGGCTGCTGGAAAACAACGCCATCGTCAAAACCGGCGTCAGCGCCTCAAAGGATGCCGAAACGCTCCTCGCACATTACAACATCAAGGTAGGCCTGCATCATCACTTCGGTCTCTGGAGACCTGAATGCCGGCCTTTCGGACACTTTGTGTATGTGCTTGTCAGAATCCAGCCCGAAACCGCACCGCTCGCCACTAACGCCTGGGCTGACTGGCCATACAGGTATCGAATCTTGTCGACTTGGATGTTGCCGTCAAGCCCTTTCGCCTTCCTCGGAGCTCACTTGGAGCACTGGCATACATGTACTGCGATGGCGCTATCTTGGACAAATCTAACTCGAACTTACTCTCCAACTGGGACGCGCCTCCATCCGAGCTGACCCTGGAATGCATCCGATACGCCGCGGAGGACGCCATGTATGGACTGCGAATCTACAATCGCCTCTTTCGATTACCGTGTTCCTCCGGATCGCCGCCAGCATCGCATGCGGCGCGAATGTCGGGCATCAAACGAGGGCAACAGGAGACTGTAGCGCGGCAGGACCCTGATTCAGGCTCCTTGAAGAAGCGGAAGAAGGCCAAATCGTCGCAATAAGTCATTGAACCGCCCGGTGGAATCGTGCCGTCAATGAGATGGACCAGCACTCCAGATGACCGTGGCCTCAGCTGGTCCGTCCTCAAACGATGCGCCCTGTACTGGCTGTGTTTTCATTCATCAGTATGGCAAATCGCCAGGAACCTGATAGAGAGGTGTCTATGTTGGCTCCAAGGAGCCCCCAGGAGCATTTCTGGATAATGATCATACTCATATAGCACTCATGGTGTAGGTGAAAGTACTGAAGCCCATTTCGTGGCAATTTATAGATATTATTGTTACTACCGATCCACAGTCAATGCAGAAAAAAGCGGACAGTGTCCCTTGTCTCTGGCATCAGAGGCCTGAAGCCTGATGAACTTCCGTTGGCCCCAACGGCGACTGTTTCTGGTCCTGGTTGGCAATCTCTTGGGTTTCATTGGTTTGGGAGGCATGGTCTTGAATACACTCAGTCGGTCGCTTGTGGCTCACCAACTCCATCCAGCACAGCCTGGATACACTTCAACAGACCCACGCACATCACTCTGCATCCAGTGGCGGGGGAACTGCTTTGAGCCTCATCACGGGAGTGAATGCTGGGATTGAATGTCTTGGCTGATGAGCGAAGCAGCATTGCCATTCCCATGGATCCGCTCAGCCACAGTACCTTCAGTGCAACACTCAAGCTCGCATCTGAGATGACGAGGGAGGGTGCAGAACAGAAAACGAGTGGACCAGATGGTCATGACGTTTCTGCGTCTATGGGCTCACATGACTGCCATTCGGTTGTGTCACCAAGCCCACTTCCACTTTTGGCTTTCGATCCTGGATCAGCCACCCAGTCCAACTCGGTTTGCTTTCTCCCATCGCTCAACTCATCGCATACGATGCCGTCTGCCGCTGGTAGCGAGCCGTTCCAGTGCCCCACGCACGGGCCCAAGCATGCCTTCTTCCTCTCGCATCGGCGCTCATCCGACGAGCAGATTGCCCAAGACCTCAAGCGCCTCCTGGCTTCGGTCGGCCAGCGTCGCCATGGCGAGCCCATCTCGGTCTTTCTCGACTCGGACTGTCTCGACGGAACAGCTGGCGTGTCCACCGATGCTCTTCCCGGCAGCGCCGTTGCCGTCCTGCTCGTCAGCAAGTCGTCCATGAACGGCATGAAGGAACTCGCCGACCAGGGCGAGCCCGACAGCGTCGTCGACGAGATTAGGACAGCCCTGGATCTCAAGGATGCCAAGCCAGACCTGCCTGTCCTGCCGCTGTGCATTGCGACTCTGGAGGATGTGGGTATCCATCTGGACGACCTGGCATCATGCCATCATCGGACATGATCTGATATGCAGGGCCCATATCGGATGCCACTCGCTCACTCACTCACTCACTCACTCACTCACTCACTCGCTCGCTCGCTCGCTCTCGCAGGGTGGCTACATTGACTTCAAGCCGTATATGATGTCCTTCCCCAGCGACCCCAAGTTTGCCTCGCTCAAGCACACCATCGACCGCATGAACCAGATCCAGATGTACGGCTTCCGCCCCGACCAGCCCCACAAGCGTCTCTACCGTCTGCTCACCCTCTTCAGCCCCATCTTCTCCAACCCCGGTCTCCGCGACGCCATCCCCACAAAGTACTATGTCGACAACCTGTTCCTCGGCGACATGGGCCATCTGGACTCGCTCCTTCGTCAGGTCACCCTGACTGGTCGCGCCGTCGTCTCGGGCATGGGCGGCATGGGCAAGTCCGTCCTGGCCCGCCAGTTCCTCCAGTTCATGATGGGCACTCTTGCCGTCAGCAACGACGGCGAACTCGACGGCTTCAAGCTCGAAACTGTCGGCATCAAGCCGCAGTACAGCCGCATCTACTGGGTCAACTGCGCGACCGAATCGACGGCCCTCGACAGCCTGGTCGACATCTTTCCGCACATCAAGCCCGGCGAGATCAAGCAGCATGCCTCTCGGATCCTCTCCCAGAGCCGCGAGTATCTCCTGGTCCTCGACAATGTGGACGACATGGCCGTGGTCGACTCGGTGTTTGAGCACTCTGTCGCGGCCGGATTCAGCGGCGACGTCGTTGTGACGACCCGGTTGTCGGCTCTCGACGAAGGACCCTTCCTCACGGCCCTCGGGGCCAAGCTTGACGACTTCCAGCAGGCTCCACTCCGCCTCGAGTCGTGGAAGAGCGAGACAGCCTTTGACTACATCCTGGCGACATCGCCAATGATTGCCGAGAAGGTGGGCACCGACCAGGACCGAGCAACGCTCCGAAAGCTCATGGACCGGATCAACGGATATCCGCTTGTGATCCAGACGGTGCGGATCTATGCCGAATGCAACGACACGCCGATCGACGAGATCGAGGCGCAGTTTGCCCAGGCACTCGAGGAGCAGGATGGCGAAGACGAGACCCGGTCGTCGCTCAAGGTGATCGTGGATCTGTCGATGAGCACGCTGCTGAAGAAGGGTGCAGTGGGAGTCGAGGCATGTCGGCTGTTTGGGGCGATCAGCCTGCTGGCGTCAGACGACATTCCTCTCGAGCTGATCACAGCGATTGCGCAGAAGATGGAGCTCTCGGCCGATGGTGAGTGAGTGACGGCAGAGTTGTGCGAGGGATGTGGGCGAATATGCTTGACGGCGTGGATGAATGGCAAGCGAATGCCCAGGCGATGAGTAACTGGCGATGAATGCACAAACGCACGAATGACTGATGGTGACTGACGACCCATATCTCTGTCCAGCTGCCCATCTCGTCAAGATGGTGTGCGAGAGTGGTCTGCTCCGGCCCGGGCCCGACGAGCAGTACTACACGCACTTGTTGACGCAGAGAGTCGCCCACGAGTGGGTTGTCGAACATGGCGAGCTCGAAGCGCACGAGATTGAGCACGATGTCGGCACTGTTCTCGTCACACAATCGGATCATCACCGGAGTATCAAGTATTTGACTCTCGGAAAACACATTGAAGTCTTTGTCGAAGGCAGAATCCCCGAGTCATACTCATCAGCTTTACATCCTCGGCTGGAGCGGACTCTGGGAGAGGTTTCGGCTGCTCGTGCCAACTATCCAAAAGCTAAAGCCATACTTGAGTCCTGCTTGCGGAGGTCCATACTGTTTTATGAGACCCGAAACCATTTTGACGTATCGGTGACCTTGGTCTCCCTTGGAAAGCTTGCCTTATCTCAAGGTCGCCTGGCCGACTCCATCAAATACTTTCACGACAGCCTTGCTGTTTTGGAAGCCGTCTTTGGATCTCAAGAGTGCCCAGAGTCTGTGGATACACTCTTGTTTCTCGGAAACGCATACTGCGCCGTCGGCCAACTTGATCAAGCGGCCTCAGCCTATCAGAAAGGGCTGGCAATCCTCCGGGGAGGCTTTGGAACAAGCAGCAGTCCCGTGATTTCGTATCTCCTATCAGGACTCGGCACCATTGCCATGATGCAGGGTCGTCTCGAAGAAGCATTGCAGTATCTTCAGGAGGCAGCAAGCATATCCGCGCTCTCGCATGGCGATCCACACCATATTGATGTCGCAAAGGGCCTCGCCGCTATCGGAAAAGTTCTCCTCAAACTGGGACACTCCAACGATGCTATTCAATACATCCAAGAGTCGCTCGCGATCGCCCAGAATTATCATGGATCCGAGAAGCACCAATTTGCTGCGGATGCTCTGCTCATACTTGGCGAAGCAACCCTATATATCGGCATGCCCCAAGATGCTCTCCGACACTTCCAAGAGTCCCTGAGCCTGTTGGAGAGTATTTATGGCACAAAACAGCACCCGAATGTCGTCGAGGCTCTCTTATCGGTGTGCGAGATATACATCTCGACGGACCGCCATGACTTGGCACTAGTGTATCTGCACGAAGCCCTCGAGCTCTCTGTCCGTGTGTTTGAAACAAGGGAGCATCCTATAGTCTCGAAGATTCTCATGAAATTCGCAGCCATCATGGCACACCGCGGACATCTGGACGAAGCTACGCGGTACCTTGACGAATCCATGGACATCACCCTCAAGGTTTACGGAACGGCGCAACACCAAGACGCCAATGCAATCCTGTCTTTGATGAGCCAAGTTTCATACATGAAGGGAAACTTTGACGAAGCAAACACAGCCATTTGCAGTACCTTGGATATCTCAATGAAGGTATTGAAATCGGACAAGACGCTGGAAGCAGCGGTAGCAATTCAGAAAATCGGCTGGATCAAGGGAATCAAAGGGAACCCGTACAATGCCCTCAAGCACTTTGCCGAGTCCATCGACATTCTTGTTGGAATTTATGGAAGTCGAGAGCATCCCATGATCGCCGCGACGTTGACAAACATGGCGATCATTCAAAGCACTCTTGGTCAATATGACTGCGCACACGATCATGTTGAAGAGGCCCTCTCGATCCTCAAGAAGGTGTACAATACTAAAAATCACCCAGCGATTGCCGAAACGCTCAAGCTCCTGGCCATGGAATCGCTTTTCCACAGCAGGCTTGACGAAGCTTCGATGTACTTTGACCAAGCGCTCGAGATCCTGATTGCGGTGTTTGGCCAACGGGAGCACATCCAGGTAGCCAGTTTACTCATGGAAATCGGTCAGCTTCGCTTCCAACAAGGCCGCTCTGAAGAATCGGAAGCATTGTTCCGCGAAGCGTACGTCATATCGACCACATCCCTAGACTCGATAGCCCATCCGACAGTAGCCACAATCTTGGGTGCCCTTGGTGCTATCAAATGGAGCCAAGGTCACTTTGATGAAGCCGAAAAATACTTGCAAGAATCATACGACATCCTTGCGCATTTGTACCCAAACCGAGTGCATATTGGCTTTCAAGAAGTCCTGTGCGGGCTTGGGCAGATCGACAGCAGCTGTGGCCGATATCCAGAAGCGCTGGGTCGATTCCACGAGGCACTCGATGTCGCAGAAAAGGCGCTTGGCACACGCGATCACCCTATTGTCGGCTCGATCTTGGGTCAAATCAGCTCTATCGAAGCCGAGCTCGGGCTGTATGCCGAGGCCTCCGAACATCTCCATCAGTCAAGCGAGATCTTTTGCAAGGTTTTTGGTGGGGAGAGACATATTTTCATTGCCATCAACAATATGATGCTGGGACGAATCATGACGATCAAAGGTCAACCTGACGATGCCCTGTCGTGCTACGATAGATCCATCAATATGTTTGTGGACTTGCTAGGAGGCCGAGAGAACCTGGAAGTTGCGCGCAATCTGGTCCAGATGTCCGAGGTATACAAGATCAAGAGCCAGTTCAGTCAAGCCCAAAATGCTTTGGAGGATGCTATAGCGATACTGGTGAAAATCTACGGCAGTCGCCAGCACCAATACGTTGCGCAAGCGTTGATGGTGTACGGAGAGGTGCTCGCGATGCGGTTCCAACTCCGCGAAGCCCTCGAGTGTTTCCAAGAAGCGATGGACATTGCAGTCAAAGTCCTTGGATCCAAAGAACACCCCATCGTGGCTCAAGCTCTTGGAGAGATTGCATTTCTCAAATGCTTTAGTGGACAGCATAGCGAATCGATCCAGTATTTCCAGGATACAGTCGAAATCTTGGTTAAGGTGTTTGGGACGCGCAAACACCCAGCTGTCACCAAGACCCTTGTTGGGCTTTCGTCTGCCTTGGTACTCGAGGGCAAGGTCAGCGAAGCCGCAGTCTCCTTCCAGGAAGCGCTTGATATAATGACTGAAGTATTTGCAAGTCAAGACCACCCAGCCATTTTGATTGCACATGTCAATATCGCCAGCAGTTACCGCTCCATCTGCCGCTACAAGGAAGCCCTGGAACACCTGAACCAGAGCTTGGAGATGTCAATCCGTTTGCACGGGTCGATCAACAACAGCATGTCAATGAGCGTTTTGGTCAACATTGGCAACTTGCATCAATTCCAGGGAAAAGTTGATGATGCTGCCAAGTATTACTTTGAAGCCCTGGATGCCTCTAAGCAAGTCGGTGGCTCAAAGGAGACCCATGGCACCGCCGCCATCCTAAACCAGATTGGTGAATTGCACATATCGTCTGGCCGACTCACCGAGGCACTGGCGTATCTGGAGGAGTCCCTCGAAGTCATGACTCGAGTCGAAGGTACCCGCAGCCATCCAATGGTCGCGGCGGCGTTGATCGGAATCGCCCGAATCCTGATGCTCAGCGGGCAGCCGGAAGAGTCAAAGAAGCGGCTAGACGAAGCCATGGATATAGCAGTCCAAGCCGCCGGGACGCGGGAAGACTTTGTCGTTGCCCAGTGCCTTACAAACCTTAGTCGGCTATCTAATGGGAGGAATCAGCCCAATATCGCTCGAAAGCAGCTGCAGGAGGCCTTGGAAATCACAGTGCGGCTGAGCAAAACTCGCATTCGACCCGATGTCGCCGGCATTCTCTGCGAGCTCGGTAGAACCGCCTGTATGCGTGGTCAATTCGCAGAGGCAACAAAATATCTCCGCGAGTGCATCGATACCCTGGCCCAGCTCTCAGGATCGACAAGCCACCCGGATATGATCCCTGTTTTTATGGCCATGGCGGAAGCATCACAACAACAAGGCCGAATAGACGAGGCCCTTCGGCACTACCAGCAAGCGATGCAGATCATCGAGTCCTCCTTCGACGCCTCGGCGAACGTCCATGCTGCCATCATATCCATATCTGTGGGCGCGATAGAGTTCCAGTTCCGGCGTCGATTCGAGGCAGCTCTGACGCATTTCCAAGATGCATTGCACATTTCCATCCGGGCTTTTGGTACTCAAGACAACATGATTGCATTGGATGCCTTGCAGAAGATTGGGGTCGTTCTCGCAACACAAGGTCAGCAGCCCAGGGCACTCGAGTACATGAAACAAGCTGTCGACACGGCCGAGCGAGTCTTTGGTACCCGAAACCACATGCAGATCGCAATCATTCTCCGTGGGATGGGTGAAGCAGCACAGTTTTGCGGTCGGCTGGACGATGCGATTGAATATCATCAGGAATGCATGGACATTATGATCAGGCAACTGGGCAGCTCGGCGCATCCCATGGTCACCCAATCAGCAATGGCTGTCCAGATGCTGACGCTTATGAAGCAGTCCGGCGGCTTCTCACCCCCAATGGCAAACTCTCGATCCTTCGGAGCTCTGCCGGCTTTCGATCCCAGGGCACAGCCCCCCATCATCCCACAGGCGGCATTGCAGTCCCTTCCAACCCAAGGCAGCTTTCCAGCGTCAAGCCAACCAGGTTGGCTGCGCTCCCCGCCCATGTCTCGTCAGCATCCGTCGTCCCCAGCAGCTCTCTCCCCTGGGGCACCACAGACGAGCCCGATCGTTGGTGACGGCCCACATATCGCCACGCCGGCTTCACCGCAAAGGGGTTACAGCATTCCACGGACACCACCAGCCACAGAAAATGGCTCCGACTCCAGCCAGGCCACCCCATCAGCATCTGCTCGCTCGCCGTCACCTGCACCTGTGGCATCGCCTCCGCCAACCCAAACCCCGACTCATTCACGACCGCCCACCGAGCACAATACCGATCCTGCGCTCAGCCAGCGACAGTCCTTCGCACGCACTCGAGGGCGACGCGACCAGGAAAACTGTGTCGTTTCGTAGTCTACATGATACTACAGTCTATCCAATAAATAACGGACACCCTTGATTTTGACCATTGAGCAACTATTTTGTAACCCAATGCCATCGCGCGCTGGCCATGACCATTCTGCGTTACGATGCCACCGAGAAGCAAGCGAAGGGATATGCATCCAGTTCCAGGAGACTCAGGTTTGCCAAGTACTTTGAGCAGTTCACCCACCACCAGAGACGACCACCAGACCGATCCGTCTCCAAGACCCATGTGTGCTCGGTGAACGAGTTCAACACATCCCAGGTATGCTCACATGCCGGGAAGCCAAGCGACTCGAGAAGGTCGAGCATCTTGATATCGAGATATCATGGAACTGTCCAGAGGATGGTGGATGCACCACACTCCCACATCGCCACAGGAGATCGACCGAGTGTATTCAAGACTGTGCTTCCCAAACCAACCAAAACCACTCGATTGCCAACCAGGACGGGAAACAATCGCACGGCTTGCCTGCTGGGGCCTACGGAAATTCGGCAGGCTGCAGGCCGCTGAAGCCAGGAAGTGGCTGTCCCGTTCTTTCTGGACCGACTGTACTATGGGAAAAACGAAATACAGCACGCTATCCTCAATTCGATGGTGGAATCGATCGCTGTTGTCTCCATCCTGGATGCAAATATGCATATCCCTGTGTGTCCAAGAGCACCGAGCCGGCATGGCAGAGTGATGGTATCAATCGAGTTGGCAACATAGCCACCACTCCCACAGCAAGGATCCCTCATGGAAGTCCATCCCGTATCCGAGTCCTCGTTGGTGTTGTGAAATTGTCGGCGACGACCGGCGGTAGAGGGCAATGGATGAGCCAGCCAAAGCCGACCGATAGAATAACCGAGAGGAGTCCGCCAAGCAGGTAAGATGTGCGCGCACGGCCCGGCGGCCGAACAACCCAGAGCCCCGCCTTCAGATATCTTTTCTGGCCGTGCAAGTTGTGAGTCGATGGTCGAGTCGGCTTGCAGATTCACGAGATGATCCGATCGCCACGAGATCGCTTCCGCTTCTGTCTGGAGGAAATATCCAGCAGATCCACATCCCAGCTCAGTTGCGGCTCTCGCTCGCCCCCAGTTTCGGACTGAACCATGGACAAAAGCCCCCGAAGGACCGGCCGTTGGGCAGGAGGTGGAGAAAGCTCAGCAGCGTAGATTTCTCGGCACCATTCGGCGATGGCTTGTGCCAGCATCCTTGCTAGCGGCAGCTCCATGTTGAGGCTGTGGTTGCCTCCGTCGATGACGATCAGGTCGATGTTTTGCTTGTGAGCGATGGCCGGATCGAGCATCTCGATCGGGCACAGTTTATCCTTGGATCCGACGACAACCAGGGCTCGAGCCTGTGAGTTCAGCAGCAAGGACAGGCGGCCGTCCTCGTCGTCGACTTGCTCTTTTGTGCCATCGTCCTTGGACGACAGGATCGGAAAGGATATGAGCAGGGTACCCAGACATTGACCGCGGCTCTGTTCGCCCAGGATGCTTGCGATTCGGCTGCCGAAGCTCCGGCCAGCAAAGATCCAGGTCCGCACCGAAACGTCGGTTGTGGCCGCTTTGAGCAGCCGGCCCGCGTCCAGGGTGCAAAAGTCAACAACGTGACGGTAGGCTCTGGTCCGGCCGTGGATATTGCCGCAGTTGGTGAAGCGCAGGACCGGCAGGCCCTCTTCGGCAAGCACCTGCGCCAGCATGTCCAGATGCGGGGTTCGATGTGTCCCGACAGCGCCGTGGGTGAGGATGATGCCGATCGGGAAGGTCACATTGTGCCTGGACGCCGGAAGCAGCAGCTCGGCAGGGATCTCCTTCGCTGCAGAGGAGGGGATGTCGAAGGTGAAGTGCATGTCGAGATTTCGAGGGGCAAGAGAGCGATATGACGAGACGGCAAGAGAGCGATATGACGAGATGGATGAAGGCGTCACCAAGCAGCCCGGTGTGGCCACAGGCTTTCCTTTTTCGTCGGCCAGCAGATCGAAAGGATTGGAGCGCATGCGTGTACATTGTTTGTGCGACAAATAAAGGCAACACCAATCTGTGTCCTCCAATCGGCGTGCCTTCCGGGCTGCGCTTGGCCACCATCGTGACTTGGCCACCGCTCAGGCAACGCGTGCGAACGCGAAGCGGAGCGGCCAACAGATCTCGGTTGCGCCACCAAGGTCTTTCAAAGGACAGGCAATCCGCTCGCCGAGAAGACCGGCTCGCCCCTCCATCTCCCCTGCCCCTCTTCCTCCAGCAAGTCGATATGGCGGACGGTGAGCGACAAGCAGCGCGAGACATGCTGTTGGCAATGGAGCCCGTCCACTAACCCGTCCCCACGCACTAACCCATCCCCATGCACTAACCCGTACCGGCGACCTCCGACCGCCCGCTGTCAATCCAGGGCAAGATGAGTTCGATGCTTTCCTGGCCAAATACGGCCTCACACGCAACAAAGACACCCTGGTTGAGAATGAGATCGACTCTGTTGAGCTGGTAAGCCGTGGTGCATTTGTTCAGGGTTGTCTGAGCGCATAAACGCTTTACTGACTGTCGTCGCTGCTCAGGTGCTCGGCCTCACCAAGGATCTCATGACAGAAATGGGACTCAAGACAGGGGCGATCGTCAAAATCCAGAAAGCTCAGAGAGAATACGCCGTCCCCGAGTCGGGCCCAGGGTCGGCGGTCGGGAACTATTACCCTTTCTCAGACACCCAGACGATCACGTCCGCAGGCGACTATCCCGCTGGCTCTATTGTCGAGGAGCCTGTTGTGCCGGCGTGGGAGGGCGACCACCAATACAAAAAGGCCACCTTTGCAGACTCCTGGGTATGCACTGCTGGTTTCAAGCAACACGACGTCTTTATCAGGTAGGTCGATGATCGGACTGGGCAAGCTGTCACCAGGCCGAGATACCACTGGCCGCAGCACCGAGTCCCTACTGATGCGCTTTTCTTGGATGGCATCCAGCTACCGAGTCGCTTCGGAGGAGCTCGCGGCCGTGACGCTGCACTCGACCCTCGCCGCCCGCAAACGAGGTGACTCGCGCGAGTTTCATGTCTTCCTCGATAAGCGATGCCTGGTCAATGGCGAGAGCTGGGAAGAGGGTTTCCAGAACGGGCTCATCCATTCGAACGTAGTCGTCCTACTCTTATCGGAGAAAGCCCTGGAGAGAACAAAGACCGCGCACCTCCGTCCAGATAACATGTTCCTCGAGGTGAGCTCTGCGGGAAATCCTCACCGGCTTATCGCAGGCGCAGTGTCGACTGTTGTGCAAGCCAGAAGCCTCCTCTAACTTGAGGCTGCTCGATATGGCCTTCGTGCGTTCTTTATCCAGATCGAGCTGGCCTTGAAGAGAATGAAGGAGAGTGAAAATTCCTCCAGTCCTGTCGTTGTGCTGCCCATCTTCATCTGGTCCGAAGTCAAAGTCGGTGACGAGACGTTCAAGCGCCAGTTTATGCCCAACCCGAGAGATTTTCCTGAAGCCTATCCGCTGATCAAATCCGGACACAAGAAGCGAGATGCCGACGCGTTCACGATTCGGCAGGCCATCGAGGCCGTTTTGAAGCTGCAGGCCCTATTTGCCGCGGACACGGATGCTCTAACAAAGTAAGTCACTTGCAGAAGCAGCACTTTCGAGCGAATACTATGACTCTTTTGTCAGATGGTGGTGCCCGCATCACAACAAATATCGATCTCTCTAACTAACTCTCGCCCTCGCACTCCTTGTTTCGACCTCCCCCCCTCTCGCTTCCCACACAAGGCTGGCGCCCCACATCTTCCAGCTCGTGGCGAGAACCCAGGTGGCCTCCAAGAACAACTCACACTACTCCATCCAGAGATCGATTATCTTGACCGCCGCCGAGATCGCCAAGCTCAAATTCCTCCTGGATCCTATCGAATACGAGCAGGATGTCAAGTCGCTGGATGATGTGTACGTCGAAGGCACTCGGACGTGGCTCTTTAGTCAGGTTTCAGAGTGGGTTGATCAGATTCAAAACAACGACCGTGTCCTCTGGGTCAATGCCGTTGGTGGAGTTGGCAAGTCTGTTGCTGCTGCCCAGATTGCGCGCATTCTTCTCGAAAGCGATCAGCTAGTCACAGCACTGTTCATGAAGTATAACGACGTGCGCAGGAACAGCGCCAGAAGCATCTTGACGACAATCGCGTATGGGCTGTGTCGCTGGTATGCTCCCATCGGCCGCCGACTCCTTTCGTCTGGAGTCAAGAAGGAGGATCTTGACAAGATGAGTGTCCCCGATCTGTTCAAGAAACTGATTGAGGACCCTCTCGGAGCCCTCGACGAGTACCGACCGAGCGGCGCTATCGTGGTGATGGTCGACGGCCTGGACGAATGCCATCCGCGCAGCGAAGTTCTCCGTCTTCTCGCCTGGCGACTGACTCATCTCAAGAGCCATCTCGGAATCAAGCTGCTGCTTACCTCACGTCCCGAACAAGACATCAAAGAGTCCTTCCATGGTGTCCCTACCAAGACGATTGAGCCCTCCAGTGAAGACAACATCCGCGATCTGCAAATCTACATTCACTATAGGCTCAAAAAGTACCCTGGGCTTACCGAGGAGGACCGCAAGCAAGCGGCTGCGATCCTGCTTAGCGAAGGCAAGACATTCGTGTGGATCAACTTGATCCTCAACACCATCGAGCAGGAGCTCGAGGCAGCAGAGCCAAAGCGCACTAGCCTCTCCAAGGTCAAGGAGGTTAGCGATTCGTCCATGGACCTCAAGGGCCTGTACCAAAAGACATTCACCAAGATCTATCGCCAATCCCGCTTTAAAACCGAGCTGGTTACTGTTATCGCGGCACTTGCCACGGCCCAGTCTATCCTGACGCCTCGTATTATCGCGGACGTTTTCGGATTCGACCTGGATGTCGTGCGAGGCTGTCTCCAAAGCCTCGTGGTTGTGCTGGACCGCAGTGCCAATGGGCTTGTGTCCCAGGACGGCCAATCCAGCGACGACGCGGAAATCAAGTTCAACCACAAGTCCGTGGTTGATTACGTTCTCAGCGATGAGTCCGTTGATGAGCCGTTCCATGTCTCAAGTCGGTTCCATCTCTGGTTTGCTCGTGGCTGTCTCTCGGTGATTGTGCGGGAGGAGCCTGTCATCAACATCTGCGGCATCTATGCCTTCCACAACGACATCGCCGACCTTGAGAGCGTAGTCAACGACAAGATCTCGTCTTCGCTTCGATACAGTGTCGCCCACTGGATCTCCCACTTTGTGTGGTGTCTTGAGGAACAAACCCGCTCTGCTGCCAGTAGCGACTTGAACCAGGAACAGCTGTGGTCCGAGTACCAGACGAATGGCCTCGTCGACCCGGATCTGTCCTTGTCGCTGCTGTCGCGCTTGCTTTCCACGCATGTCTTCTTCTGGCTCGAGTGCGGATCACTCACTCGGGTCGTCAAGCAGATCATCAACCAGCTTACTGTCCTCCGAAGAGCACTCGCAACTGCCCCTGACAGCATCGTCGACAGCAACACCAAGACGCTTGTGTCAGACGCATATCGATTTGTGCGAGAGTTTGCCGATCCGATCATTGCGAGCGCGCCACAGGTGTACAACTCTGGATATGCATTCACGCCAAAGCAGACGCTGCTCTACAAGACGTATGCTGGCCGTCTCGAAGACGCAATCCCCTTCCTTGCCATCTCGGGCACCTCGGCTACCTGGGACCCATGCGTGATGACACTTGCAGGCCACAACGGAGGCGTGACCTCGGTTGCCGTGTCTCGGAACGGCTCAACCGTCGTGACCGGCTCGGGCGACAGCACAATCCGGGTCTGGGACTTTGCCACGGGACAGCATGACCAGACTCTCAGGGACCACACCAGCTACGTCAACTCCGTTGCCGTCTCGGCCGATGGCAAGCTCGCAGTCTCGGCTTCCTTTGACAACACCATCAAGGTCTGGGATGTTTTGACCGGCCAAGTCAGACACACTCTGAAGGAGCACACAAACTGGGTGCGCTCCGTGGCGCTTTCTCAGGACGAACAGACCATTGTCTCGGGATCAGACGACAACACCGTCAAGGTCTGGAGTGCTGTGACTGGGGAGATGCTGCACAGTCTCGAGGGCCACACCGGCCAGGTGATTTCGGTGGCGATCTCGCCCGACGGTACCACGATCATCTCTGGATCGTATGACCAGACGGTCAGGCTTTGGGACGCCGCCTCGGGTCAGTTAAAGCACACGCTCGAGGGGCACACCAACTCGGTGCGCTCCGTTGCCATCTCTCCGGACGGAAACACGGTCGTCTCTGGTGCTGACGACGCAACAGTCAAGATCTGGGATGCCGCCGGAGGTCAGCTGCAGCACACGATCAACGGACACAGCAAGCCTGTGTACTCAGTTGCGCTTTCGCTGGATGGAAAGCTGTTGGCGTCTGGCTCTAGCGATAGCACCATCAAATTATGGGAGCTCTCGTCCGGCCAGCTGAAGCAGACCCTTGAAGGGCACACCAACTGGGTGATTGCCCTGGCGTTTTCGTCCAGCGGCAAAACCCTCGTCTCCGGCTCAAGCGACAGAACCGCCAAGGTGTGGGAGTTTGCCGAGAACCTCGCCAAAGACGAGTCGAGTGGACACACCTCCTACGTGACATCCGTCTCTCTTTCGCCCGACGGCAAGACAATCCTGTCACGCGATCTGGATGACACCTCGATCACCTGGGACCTTTCCAACGGCAGCCTTGTGCGATCTCCCCAGCCATTTGTCCAGCTCGCTGCGGTCGACCCGACCAAGCCTGGCAATGATCCCTGGATCAACATCGAGGAGGCGCCATCGGCTCACTGGCTGCAGCACGGCGAGCACATCATCAAGGTTCCTGACTCGCTGTTCGTGTGGTACGATCGCGAAGTCAGCGCACTCGGCTCAGTCTACATGGTGCACCGCCGCCCGGTGATCATCAGCGTAAGTACAGCGCCCTGCCGTGGACTCGCTCATGAACCTCGTGCGTTTCTCGTCCTAAATATGTGCCTCTCTAACACGGAACAATGTGATTTGGCACCGCTCGATGCAGCCTATCTACCTCAACAGCCCTGCCACCCAATATTGGGTTGGATGCTACAACGACAGTTTCTGGGATGTGTACAGCGAAGACAACTTTGCCGATCCCAGCTACTTTGTTAGCATCGATCGCCGGGCCAAGGCATTCAGCGCATTCAAGCAGTCGGCTGAAAGCGGATTCGTCTCCTCGCAGTTCAACCTCGGCCTCTATTACGAAAATGGAATCGGCACCGAGGTCAACCTCGAGCAGGCACTCTATTGGTACAGCAAGGCGAGCGACCATGGACACCCCGAGTCCCAGCGAAGGCTGTTTGTGCTTTCGTCCACGAATGCCGTATCCAACAGTGCCGAAGCACAGTTCCTTCTCGGCCGATGCTTTGAGGAGGGCTTTGGTACCTCCGTCGACATCAAAGCGGCTTTGCATAGGTACCGCAATGCCAGTTCGCACGGACACGCACAAGCCAAGATTGCAATCTTCAAACTTGTTGCGCGGGCGGCGCAGGATGGCGCCACGACTCGCGTGCCATACCTCGGATGGTGCTATGAGCACGGAGCCGGTGTTCAGAAGGATGGCCAAGAGGCCTTCTGGGTATACAAATGTGGCGCCGAGGAAGAGGACGTCGAGTCGCTGTTCCAGCTGGCTCGCTGCTATGAGAAGGGCATCGGAACAACCATCCATCGCGAGAGGGCCATCGGCTTTTACCAAAAGGCTGCGAGCCACAAGCACGAGCAGGCCACGCAGGCTCTCAAGCGCCTCGATCCTACTGGATCGCGCCGCACCATGAGGAAGCTGGGAACCATGCTCAACTTGCTGCCGTCCAAGTGAGCCTTATGGCCTTGGCGCAAGCCGCAACACGCTGACCCCGGTCAGTCGTGGCCATTATACACTCGGACTCGGCGATTTGCTCTGACGACACCAGCCATGCTGTGCACTCTGTCTGTTGGCTTTGTCCGCCTACGTTTCTTTCAACTTTGTCTTTGCTTTTGTTACTTTTCTTCTCCAACGACAGCGCTCGCAATATCCTTGATTTCGCTCGTGTCTGTGCTTTGTCGAATCTTGAATACAGGAGATGTAGCTCCGTTGTATTGTCACGCCGCCGCCGCTGCTGCTGCCTGTCGTTGTTGCCGAGTTGTCATGGCTGAAACGCCCATGTATTTCGCTTGTCCACGGGCCTCACTGGTCGATACCCGTGAGGGGCCAACGTCATTGCACACCGTGTTGCGATGACTGTAGCAACAAGAGTAACTTGTCGGTCTGCCAGCATCATCGTCGCCGTCATTCTCTTGATCTCCCAGAAAGCGCGCTGGGATGAATAATGCAGGTGCGATCTCTGTTGTTATACTCCGCACATGCGTTATGAGATCGGTCAGAAACGGATTGGGAAGAAAGTAGAGGATTTGGCTATTCACATGCTCAAGCGAGCGGGCCAGCAGCCGAAAGGAGATGGCAGCGCGAGCGAGAGGATCGATGAGGACGAGTGGCGCTAAAGAACAGTGTAGGATGGAGGGTTGGATCAAGCCAAAGTTCACCAAAGCACAGGGACACGGCAAGAACAGATGGCATTCCTGTTGGTACGCGTCTGTCTTGTTCATGTGCGGTTGTGGGTCTCGGGAAGTCCCAGTTCAAGGGCGAGTGTAGCGACCAAGGAGCCAGGCCGCAACAATGAGCCCAGCAGCCACGGTGGTCTTCCAGTTGACATAGCGGCGAAGTAGCTGAGCAAGGCGAGCCCCAAAGCCAGGCACGCTGAGACTGCCGATGCGGTGCATAACCTTGGACGTGGAGGGGCTATCTTTCATAAAGGCAGCATATCGGAACTGCCAAACGTGCTCGAGCGCCATCGGTTGTCGTACGCACGCACGCATGTGGCTGAAGTTCTCAAAGCCATAGATGCCGCCATAGCGACCGAATCCAGATGCGCCGACGCCACCAAAAGGCAAGTTCTCGGCTGTGGTAGCAAGATGATGTCGGGTAAGATGTCGGTATTGTGACCAAAGTCCGCGGCGCGCATTGTCGCTGTCTCACCATATGCTGAAACGCATCGCATCACCCGAGCCTCCAGATAATGCTGCTGATTCCAGACACGTACCAAGGAAGTTCAGAAGCACTTCGTTGTGCATGAAGATGCCTGACGAGGTCTGGGCCAAGATGGACTCGGCCTGTTTGACATTTGGCGTAAAGACGTACAGCGCCAGCGGTTTATCCCTGAGTGTGCAACAGTGAGAACGCCAGTTAGGCCGACTGTCACAGAGCTATGTCGCAACAAAAGACAACGCCGGCGACACCCGCCCTGGGCTGCACACATTGGGCTATTACCTGGAGTTGATGTACTTGACGGCGTCGTTCCAGTCGTCGATCTCGATGATTGGCAACAGAGGGCCGAAGATTTCATCGGCCATGATGGGGTTGGAGGCGGGGTCAAGTCCGACATTTTCAATCAGGGTTGGGCCAATATAAAGGTCATCGGGATCCTGCTCGCCTCCATGAAGCAATCGTGAATCCGGATTCTTTTGGAGCTGCTGTGCCAGCACGGAGGTGAGACGATCGTACTGGCGCCTGTTGATGATGCGACCGAACGAGCCGCTGCTCTTGGGGTCCGAGGTGTGCAGATTCTTGATCGCCTTGACGAGGCATTCCTTGAAGCGGGCGGCAACAGGTCGCTCGACCAGAATGTAGTCTGGAGCGACGCAGACCTATCAAGGGCAGGATATTTGACCGACGGAAACAACGATTAGTATGCAATTCCAGCGATTGACAGACAACCAGCGCCACGATCGGCTCGATCGGCTCTGTCCATGGCGTGGGATCAAAAACGGCAACGACACAAGCCCAATACCGCCATAAATATGACCCACACCCACATTTGTCACTCCGTTGTGGCCATTCCACATTGCTATTTCTGTCGTCAGGGCACACGGTGCCGCTGCTATGGCAAGCCCGATGCGGCAGCAGCCATTTATGCGCAAGTCTCACGCCCTCTAGATCGCCTTCTAGATCGTCCCCTCATGACGCCATATATGTGACTGGCTGCTCACCTGGCCACAGTTGGTGGTTTTGCCCCAAATGATACGATTGGCGGCAATCTCAACATCTGCTTCGCTGGTGACAATCGCAGGAGACTTGCCACCGAGCTCGAGCGTAACAGGAGTGAGGTGCTTGGACGCTGCTGCCATAACGATTTTGCCGACGTGACCGTTGCCAGTGTATATAATATGATCAAACTTTTGCTCGAGCAGCTTTGTAGTCTCCTCGACGCCTCCGTTGATGACGGCAACAGCCTCCGGATCGAGGTACTGAGGCAGCAGGCGCGCCATCAGACGAGCGCAGTGCGAGCTGATTTCGGAGGGCTTGAGGATGATCGCGTTGCCGGCCGCTAGAGCCGAGACGATAGGAGACATGGACAGATTCCAGGGGCTGAGGCGGTCAAAGATGATCAGTTGCTGCGACGACGACGACGACGACCGTGGCCACGTCGTATGATGCAGCCATGCACGATCGGACCAAAGCACAGAGGACTCACAAGTTCCAGGGGGAGATCACCAGGACAACACCGAGGGGCTCAGGCACGACCTTGGTTGTCGCAGTCGAGAAAATGAAAGGGTTGCCCGGGTTTCCGGAGCGAGGCTTCATCCACTCATCAAGATTGCGGATGGCGATCGCAGCTGCATTGCGGCTGACCATGAGTTCAGAGAAAGTGGCCTCGTTTCTGTTTCGCTGGATGAGACAGCGCAGTGGAATTGGTGAGTGGCGGAGCGATACCACTTTGCGACTTGATTCGACTCGAGTTGCGACTTTGCTCTTCGGCGAGAAAGCCGCTCTTGACGATGGCTCGGCACTGTTGAGTATCCGGGAGCCACCATGACGATTGTGCCCTCGGTTCTGATGGCCTCGGTGCCCACGGAACAGCCGAGTCCAACCACCCAGCATTCGCCAAACAATACACAGCTGTCAACCAGCTCGGTTCAGCGAGCGTGCCTGTGGGTGTAGCCTACCTTCTTCAAATCCAAAGCAAGATTGTCCAAGATTTCGGCTTCGTTCTCTTCGATCAGCTTGTAGCAGCCGCGGAGCTGCTTCATGCGCCATTCCCTGGAGCGTGTGCGGCCGGAAGCAAAAGTTGCACGGACGCCGTTGACGATCTACAGATGCACACAGGAACACCGTCAGAGCCGCCATCAAGGACCCTCGCTGGGCAGAGGGAGCGACTGCAGACAAATCGGCGCAAAGCAGCCAAGGAGGAGGAGGGATACCGACAGCGGGAATCTGGGCGACTGGCGTGTAGAACTCCATGGCGTTGGGTGAAAGGCAGCGGAATACGACACAGGTGGTGGTGGAGGTGTTGCGAGAAAGATGGTGGTGGTGGTGGTGGTGGTGGTGTGGGGAAAGATGGAGGTGAGGCGGATGCTTTTGAGATGCGCTTGGGATGCAGCCAGGGTCGTCGCGGCGTTTGGAACAGCAAACAAGAGGCGTGCGTGGCGGAAGACCGGGTGCGGCCGCGCGCGCTGATTGGCCAGACAGGGGGCGGAAGAACGGCGAATATGCGTGGGTGTGGCGGTGGGCGCGCAGCAACACCACGTGGCTCGACTTTCACGTGCGCGTCTCTGGCCAGCACCAGCACGAGCGGTTTGTTTGCAGCGGATGTTTGCCGGCTGATGGCTGGCCTGGCCCAGTGGTGTTTGTCAGAAGCGGTGAACTGTATGGCTGGGCTATAATGGTTGGCCGAGGCTTGAATAGCTGATCGAGGTCTGCAGGTTCAGCTGGCCCGCCCACCTACGCGGCATCAGCCCCCTCTTCCCAACAAGCGGCCCCCAAGACTCCCTCTCTGCAACGAATCGTCTTGGATTCCGGCGGCTGCAAACCGCCATTCTGTCATTCGGGCTCGAGCTGAACCCCATCAAAGACACCGACAATCTGTGCGTCGCAGAGCATCGCTCGGCCCCTCGCCGTGATGTTGCTGCAGTACGAAAAGTTAGCGCACACGAGCGAGCGCAGGCGAGAGAGATACAGCGCTGCCAGGTCGGTCAGTTGGTAGCAGAACTGGAGGTTGACGCTGGCGAGCTCGCCGCCCGCACTCAAGCCGGCATCCAGAGCGTCTTCAAAGGCTCGGTCTGTGATGCGCCAGCAGTACGAAAAGTCCAGTAGCCGGATCTTTGGGCATCCCATCAAAACGGATCTGGCACCGGCATCGCCGATTTGGAAACATCCCACACAATCCAGATGGGTAAGGCGCGGGAGACTTGAGCCGATGTGGACCAGCGACCGATCCGTGACCATGTGGCATCCGACCATTATCAGGACACTGAGCGAGGAGCAGCGGGCCGAAACCGCGCTGATGCCAACGTCGCTGAGCTTGGATTTTGCGGTGAACGAGCTGATATCGAGGGTCTGCAGCAGCGGGCACGTATCGCTGATGAGAACCAGCGAAGCGTCGTCAAGCCCACCGATGTTTCCAAGGAGGAGGCGGCTGATTTGAGTCCCGGGTCGCCGCTGCGGAGGTATATTGGGCCCTGGCATGTGTCCAGGCGCTGGATTCAGTGGGTTCTGAGGCTGTTTCAGGATCGAGAGGAGAAGCGCTTTGATGCCAGTCCCCGTCACTTCGGATCCGGAAAGATTCACCGTTACTAGATTTTGGCAGTGCCGGCCAAAGTGCGTGAGGTGTCCGTCCGCGAAGTACGAGCCAGTTCCGTTGGCGTTCAGCGTTTGAACATGGCACCCGATCGTCGGAAGGAGCCACGCCAGCCTCGAGAGAGTTTTGGGAGTCGATTTGGCGTGCCGTGTTGACGAACAAATGAGTCGGTAGGGCAGACACACCGATTTCCACAGATCGGGCATGAGTCCCACTTGTCGCAGCTTCTTCGAGGTGCACAGGATGGCAAACCTGTCTTCGATGGGCAGGCGGCTCACGATATTGATGAGCACCTACGAGGGAGAGTTGGTGAAGTGGGATGGGATGGACCGGGATGAGATGGACCGGGATGAGAGGAGCAGTCCGCCATTAGATAGGCCATAGCGACCGAGCCAGCTGCAGTTTCACATATTTCCTCACGCTCGCGTCGCTATCGACTACCTCCAGCGGAAGATCGTCCAAATCGGCATCCTGGCGATCGTTCTTTGCCTCGCATGGCTCCGTGGCAGGCGAATCTTGGTCCGGCTCGTGTTGACCGGGTGCAACTACGAGCTCTTGATATCCGTTCACAGGGATCGTGTGCCCGGGCCGCATCGCCATGACAGCTGCCAGAGCTTTGTTCCGATCGGATGAAGGAGGGTCCCTCGAAAGTCTCGGCAGAGGTAGTTGGATGCGCTCTTAGTGCTCGTAGCCGCCAAGGATAGAGATTCGTCTGTAAGCGAGGTGTCGCCCTCTCGAGTCTGGCCTCTCGACCCTTGCGCATCGGATCGGCGTGGGAATCACAAGGCGCTGTCTGGGTCTTCCAGCACGAAATCCAGGACGTCGCTTCCAAGAAACAAAAATACCCTTTCCAGGCTGCAGCACAACTCGTCTCCTCTGTCTCCGAGCACTGAGGGGCATACCTTCTCACACAAAGAGCCAGTGTATTCATGAAATGCGAGCCAGCACCACATTCTCTACTTGGGCGGGCCGTAGGTGCCTTTCAGTTTGTCGGCCAGCATGGTGCGTCCCTTCAGATTGCGCACAATAAAATCACCAACGACGATACCAGCAACCTCACCAATGCCCTTTTCTTTGCCCATCGCCACAAGCCCGATGAAGCCGCTTTGCTTGGGCATCGGGTCGTTCTTGGGAACAAAGCGCTTGGTCGAAGCCAGGCGATCATTGATCACAGCCAGGAGGTTGGAGGCGACAGCGTCGCTCTGCTTACCAGCGATAAAGGACAGCTTCAGAGTGTCTGCATCGGCAGCATCGCCCAACGCAAAGATGTTGTCGTGGCCAAGCACCTGGAAAGCGTCGTTGACCCTGATGAGACTACGGTCGGTGATAGCTTCGGCGAGATGCCCTTGCTTGAGAGGCTGGGTGTTTGGCTGTGCTCCAAAGCACGAAAACGCAACGTCGGCGCTGAACTGGTGCGTGCCCGATGCAGTGCGGTATGTCTTAGACCCAGTCGCATAAGAGATCTTGGAGCCGTCGCTGGCGACAAGCTTCTCATCAAGGACGAGCTCGACACCAAGCTGCAGGACCTTGTCGTGTAGACCCTTGCGGAAGGCCTCGGACGCTCCAGTGGTTTCCATAAGCTCCTTCTGTCCATGGACTAGGGTGACAGCCTTGTCGGGATAGACCGCTTTGATCTCTGTCGCAATTTCGATGCCAACGGGGCCACCACCGCCAACCAAGACCTTCGATGCAGCCTTGACATCCTCGATGGCCTGGCGAATCTGCCCGAGGAACGCCTCGCGGGCAAAGTAGGTGCTCTTGAAGGGGAAATCGTAGTTTGAGCCAAGAGCCAGGACGAGAAAGTCGTATTCGAGCTCGGTCTCGGCTGCATCCCATTGCTGTGCGGCAGCGCTGCCGTTCAGGGCCTCGGTTGTGGGTTTGTGGATGGCAATCTTGCCATCATCGACACGAGCAAGCCGGCCAAAGACAATCTTGCCCCGGGCGCCTCCGCCATACCAGCCCTTGCGGAAGACACCCGGCTCAGTCAGGGGGAAACAGATTTGGTCCAGGATCGAAGGATCGACCATAGCCCGGGGCACGGCAACGGAATGCAGGCCATAGTTACGATCCGAAACCAAGGTGATCGAGACCTGCGGACCAGCGCTCTTGAAGAGTGTTGAGGCGACGCCGAGGCCAGCATAACCTGCGCCGACGATGACAACCCTGATCGTTGGCTCAGACATTTCAGTGAAGATGCCGCAAATGGGAGTGCTGTGCTCTGCAGTCACGATAAGGGCCAGGCAGGGGCCGCGTCTCAAATACCCCGGATCTTGACGGCTTTCGGCCGAGGCCGGCGCCTGCAGTTTGTCATCCTGGTCCAAAGAAAGCGCCAGGGATCTGCTGCGTGAGGCTTGGCTCAACAGAGGAGCGCATTTGTCATCCTGGCAATTGTACTCCTGATTGGCGGCAATCCGGATGCTTGTGACCTTGACAACGTGCCTCTCGACACAATGCTTGGGCACAATCGGTCAGCGAAGGCGCAATCCCTGGGCTCCAGTGCAAGTTCCTCCCACGCTGGCCATGGCCATTCTGTGATGCAGAATCACGCCCTCATCCGTAGCCTGAGAAGGAGTGTATTCAGGATCGAGAATAAAGGAATCGTTGCCGCGGAACGGTGCCGGGACTATATTGCCGCTCTTCGTCGTGGGGGAACACCGGTCCGCTGTAGCGGGTCGACGTATTCGCCATCGCTGTCTTCCCAAGAACCGTGCCTGTCTGAACCGGCACCCCAGCCGGCAGATGCATCGCTGTCCCAGTCGTCCTCGCTCAGCGAGTCCATGCTCGACTCCCCATCGAAGCTGCCTTCGGAGCATATGGTGCTGCGGCGCCGCTTGCTCTGGTATACGATGCTCTTTCGTCGGCGAGGCCGCTTCCGACTGGCGGGCTGGCTGTCGTTGGAGCTGCTCGAAGATCGTGGCGACACATAACCAGCCTTACCAAACCAGCACCTTGAGTTGAGAGACGCTGGTCTGAGACCGCCTTTCTTGGCAGCCGCTGTTGGAGATGGGTGACGGCCAGGCAGCATCGCGAGCTCGTCATCATCATCGTCGTCGCTGTCGATGGCGTCGTCCAGGTCACCGGCATCAGGCCAGTCATTCGAGCTGGTGGACGACGCTCTGTGAGTTCGACATAGAGGCAAGTCCACAATCGGCAATATCACCTCGAGCATATCCGATTCTGGGCTCTCGAGCGGACTGCTTCGAGTCGACGGCCATTGCAGCTGCAGCTGCAGTGCACAGGGCTCTGGGGCATCGATCGGTGAAGAAGGAGCGGCGAGATACACAGACCTTGATTGCTCCTGCGATCGATATCGGCGGGCAAGAGGTGTGTCAAGATTTGGTAGCCGCTGTCCTGGCGATCTCAAACGTGGAGTAGGACTCTGGCTCGCGAGAATCGGATTGGGCCGGGTCATGGACTTTCGCCTGGGGGTGTGAATAAGGGACCAATGCTCTTCCTGTCGATCGTCCAGGTCGTCGTCGTCCGAGAGATAGCTTGAGCAGATGATTGAGTCGTCTGGGTAGAGCACGATGTCGTCGATGCTGTTGCACAGGTCCCTGTGAGCAAAGATTATGGTTTAGGAAGAGGAATAGCGGAGCAAAGTCCCACACCCGTGCGGCTCGGAGGCCACGGGATAAGCAATGAGCTGACGCCAACTTACCACGGTTTGATGCGCTCACCCTCCATGAACTTTTGGCACTCGATGAGCCGGCGCCTCGCCCATTCGACAGAGGGTGGACAGGTGCGCTTTCCACTTTCCGGGCTGGCGTCAGGGTTGATGGGGCTCTCATCTTTGGCATCTTCCTCAAGGACAGCGACCAGTCCTTGGAGCAGCCATTCTTTCAATCGCCATAGCCCACAGTGCGTTAGCCGATCCAGCAGCTTTCTCAGGCCTTCTTCGGGATACTCTAGTGTCCACTCGAGCACCGATGCAGCCTGGTGTATCGAATGAACTGCACCGCTCTCGGCCTTGGATCGGATCCAATGGTCCCAGTCAAGCACTATGTCATTGTACTCCGGAAGGCCCAGAAGGATGTGGTAGAGATACAAATTGACCCAGGTGGTGGTGTTGAGCTGAACCGGAACTTGATCCGGCCCGCATGCGACGATCCGGTGCAGCATGTGTAATTCAAGCCGGTCTGGTGCTGCCAAAGGGTGGGCCGAGAGTGCGCGAGCCTTTGCTCGCATCTGCCGCATTCCAAGGACCAGCTGCCGCGAAATCCAGTGCTCGGTCCTTGATAGATATGTCACGGAAACGATGGGATGGTCGCTGTCTTGCTCGAAAATGAACATCTCGATAGCTCGTGCCTCCAGAACAGTCGAGAGGTGCGGTGGCAGAGCCTCGACAAACTTGGCAAAGCCGGACTTGCGCGCCTGGGAGAGAGTCAGGATATTGACAAGACACGAGATGAACAGTCGGGGATGCTTTGAACAGAGGTGGTAGTGTCGGCCAAAGTCGTCGAGCGTTGTTGGTGGGGATATCAGCATGTGGTGTTCGATCAGACACATTTTCTTTGCAGAGCGATCGTCGTTGATTGTGTGGTGGGTATTCGGGTGGCAAATCAGCACAAAAAGTCAGCCAGGCCAGCGGGACCGAAACCCTACACGCCTGTGCATGTCCTCTGCAGGCCCTGGTCGACCTACCTGATATGTGCATCCATACTGGTGACAGATCTTGATCATGCCCTCGATTAGCTTGGGAAACGTCAGTCGCTCGATGCATATCTGCACGATGTGCTGGTATAATACGTATCTGGAGGATGGACAGAGCTGGTATGTGGGTATACACAGTGCAGGTCGAGTGCAGGTCGAGTACAGGTCGAGTTCAAGCCGAGTGCAGATCCACGCATCCAACTTTAGAATGTGTGCCTGTGCTCGGAAGGGCAGGCATTCCAAGCCTTGCATCGCCTGACCTTCTGGCCATCAGTCGCAATTTTCCGGCACACTTACCTCCGCAGAAACATCGGTACGGTGCTGTACCACGCTTCTTCGTCATATTCGTCGTCTTCGTTCACGTCAATTGCTCCCAACTTGCCCAGCTCGAAAGCCGCGCGCATCGCCAGGGAAGGGACTTGGGGCGACTCGCGCGGACGCCGGCACTTGGAATCAAGCTCCGGGTCGTCGATTTTCCATATGGTCAGCGTGATTTGTCCAAAGGTCTCCAGGAAATTGGTGCCGCATTTACGGAGAGGGCTTGGCAGAATCTGCGTCTCACCCGAGCCGCTGCCGTTGCCGCTGAGCAAGTCGCCCGAAACCGCCAGCCTCTCCGATGCAGCCAGTGATGCTCGGCTGTTGCTCCGCGCAAGGCGGGCGCGCTGGCTGTATGTGACCGTATGGCTCTGTTTCGGGAAGAACAGGCCGGAGTGGCTCTTGGATGGAACTTGACTCGCGCGCGACAGCTCTTCCTGCGAGCCGTTGATGCTGATGACCTTGCTGCGAACCTGCCGGAGCACCCGCTGGATCTTTTTGATTTCGTAGAATGGGTCCATGGCGTGCTGCACGATTGGGTACGACACCACGAGCTTGCTCGATCGTCGGGGGGGGGGAGGTCGGGGACGGCTGTTTGCAGAGCGAGGTGAGGATGGTATAAGTCTGCGGTGGTGCACTTGCGATTGTAGATGAGGGCAGCCCCGTTCGCAGGACCAGTTATAGTCAGGCTGTGTCGGATCAATATCGCCTGAATTGGTCAAGGGCGGCTGCATCCGGCTCCAGCCTATCCGCCCCCGCTTTCGTCGTGTTCTGTGCACGACTCGAAAAAATGGCAAAATCGAGCATTCGCAGGCTCCCGCACCCAAGAACAACCCCGCGGCAACCACCAAGCAGCCGGGCGATCCAACAGCCAGTCAAGCGGCACTGCAACTCCATCGTCGTGCAGTCCAGCGGACACGCCACTCTCCATAACTACCACCAGGCAACAGAATCTCGGCCAATTGCGCCATTTCAGTGCAGGAGCCAGATCCAGAGCCAGAGCCAGACCCAACATCCTATCCCCAAACCATCGAACATCGAGCATCATGTCCAAAGTGCCAAGCATCGGATCTGCCCCGCCCACTCGTTCGGCCAGAGCCAAATGCTGGGCTGCCCGAGATGACTACTTCAACTGCCTCGATCAGTCCAAGCTGTGGCTCCATGGCCTTGGTCCAACCAGCCACGAGGACATCCTCGCCGTGGACCCCATCGAGCTGAAATGCAAGACCGAGTCCGATCGGTCGCTATCGCGCGAGGAGCGATCGAGGCTGTTTGCCTGCAAAAAGTTCAAGGAGATATTCGACAAGGAATGCCTGCCGTCATGGGTAAGTCGGTGGGGGGGGGGAAGAGAAATTGATGAGCAGCTGCAAGTTGAGAAGGCGAGACCCCGACTCGGCTCTTGACTTCCGTGGCCAGCTGCGTCTCCCTAATCCGCTTTACAAAGCCTCTCCGATTCTAACGCCATCAATGCCTGTCCTCGGTATCGCTAGTCATCACACTTTAGTATGCTCCGGGTCAAGGATCTGCAAAAAGACTACATCATCGAAACCGTGGAGCAGTCGGAACGGGAGCGTGAAGCGAACGACGACGAGTTTTGGAAGAAGGTATCGGCCAAGCCTCAGTAGAAAGCGGCACCGTCGTGCGCTACCGGCGTAGAATAGGGCGCTCCGAATTGCTCGATTGCTCGGCCGGCTGGCTCGGCATTCAATACATTTGAGAGTGGCGACCCATAGAGCTGGGTGGGGTATAGGAGCAACCCAGGCTCCACAGCCGTCATCCACGGACGCTTAGATACATGATACAGGACGCTCGAATCGCATGCATGGCTCGAGATCGATGTGTGAGGGGGACTGGTCTGGGGCTGATCTGGAATGTCGGGGTGTCGTCGGTTCTGTGTCGGTTTCGGCTTTGACTCTCCAGTCGTCGCCTGGGTATGCTTCTGTCTGCGATCTCGCAAGCCGACAGAACCACTGCATCGAGCCTGCAGTTTCCTTCATTGAGACTGCTCCAGACCAGTATCGGAACGTCATGGCTCGAGCGGCAACGTCCACCCGGTACTTTGAAACGACAAAATCGCCCCTCGCCATTCGCGAGTCGCCGCTCGAGGGCCGTTTTGCAGTGGCCAAGATCAACATTGAGCCTGGAGATGCTGTGCTGAGCGCTCGGTGCTATGCGATCGGTAAAGGTCATCCTGAAGGGCTACGACAATGAATGCTCTGCGACCAGCTAGTTCTGCACCAAGATCAGCCAGCCTTGACGATGCTCTTGACACTGATGCGCTGCCTTGGCTTGCCCTCCAGCCCTGAATCACAACTGCCGCAAACAGGCCTGCCACAACTGCTACGGATTCACCCTCAAGACATCGCTGCCGATTGCGTGCTCGGGCTGCTCGTCAGTGTGGTACTGCTCCGAAACATGTCGGCGCCGTCGCTCGGCCTTCCACGATCTGGCCGAGTGCCGTTTCTTCCGAGAGATCCATCGACTTTCCCAGCCCGGTCTGTTCCGAAAGTGGACCAACGATGCCATCCGGGCACTGAAGCTGACCGATCCCGAGAAGAAAGAGTGCCTGGAGTACGAGTACAAGGACCTGCAGGATCTCGGCCGGTTAATGCTGAGCGCGCTGCTCCGAAAGTCGATGGAGGAGTCGGTCTTGCAGCTGAGGCACCAGGACTGGAGAGCTGCCTCGCCGCTCTGGGAGGACGTTATGGCTCTGGTCTCGAACGAGGAGAGGCTTGGGTCCGGAGAGCTTGCCCAGCTGCGATTCGTCCATCAACTCTTCTCGACGCTGCCGCCGCTGGCGAACACAGGTACGGCTTCCAAGTCCAAAAGATCGATGGCGCACTTGGGCATGGAGCCTGGATACCACAGAGTTTTTCCCAAACGCTCGTCCGGCGTTTCATTCTGGCTGGGGGATACTGTGGTCGCTCGCTTATTCGCTCGTTCGTTCGTTTGCTCATTCGTACGCTGACGTAGACCTTCTCCATCTTCCATTTCCCACCTCCTCGACAGTCCCGGAAGCCAAACTGTCTATCACTGCCGAGCACGGCTCATCCGATGTCTCGGAGCTGTCGCTCGATTCCAACTTTAGCCAGCTCTACCGGAGACACTTTCCGAGCGCCACAGACTTTATCCGATTCAACGGCATCCGGAAAAGCAACGCTTTCGGACTCTGGGACTCGGCCAACGAAGCGATCGGTCAGGCCATCTATCCGTTTGCATCGTACTTCAACCACTCGTGCGGACCTAATCTGCTCCTGGACCACGGGATGGCGGATGTCGACAAGGAGGCCGGCAAGACTGCCGAGACGAAACCTCAGTCCGGAGCCACCCGGAAGCCCGATGCCGAAAGTGGGGATGGTATCGACGACGAGACCGAGGCTGCCCTCGCCAGCGCACTCGCAGGAATATCGCTCGACTCAGATATTCAAGAAACGAACGGATCGATGCTCATCCCACTCAAGCTGCTCACCAAGATTGTGGAAAACGAGCCGGCGCTGCATTTCCGCGCACTGCATGCAATCACTGCCGGCACTCCCTTGACGCACTCTTACATCGATGTAACGCTCCAGAAAGCCGTCCGACAGGAGACGCTGCGAGACGAGTACCGGTTTACTTGCCTGTGCGAGCGCTGCTCTGCGCCGGGCTCGGATAACCCCGCAGTCCCAGACCCATACATTTCAAAGTACGTCTGCGTCGAGTGCGGCTTCCGCTTCGTCGAAGCAGAAGGCTGTCTGGAGTGTTGGGCACGAGGCAATACAGCGCGCTGAGAGACCGTGGGACTCATCGTCTCGTTCAGACAAACGCATACCGTGGTCGGCTCATATTCATACTCGGCCAAGAATGGCCAAGTATCCTGGCTAGTGCAGTCGATGCTGCAGGCGACTCTGATGCGGCCACCGTGAGATTATAGGAGAGGACTCTAGCCATGGTCCGGCGGCAAGGAACGATGCGCCACGAGTCAGTTGAGCAAGAGTATGTATTGTGAGCGATTGTGGATACAACTCTGGTTTGAAAAGCATAAAATGATAGAACGAAAGCCAAAGAATTGCTCTGATTGTCCAGGATCAGAGTGCAACAAGAGCACTCGGCACTCGGCACCTTGTCCAGTCGGTTTCTGGGCGGGGTTGGACCTGCTGGCACCAGTTAGCTAGGCAGGCACTCTGCGTGAACAGACTGAGGGAAAGTAAAAGGTTTGTGCACTGAACACAAAGCAGCATTGGCTGTAATAAATCTAGGCAGCGGTGCAGCGTTAATAAAGTGTTTGAAAGGAGAGCATCAGGACGAACGATGATCAATAGTGCATATGCTTCATAATGAAGATGATTGTGTTTCATGATGCAGATGTTTGCTTGTGTTGGATGGTGTAATTGTCCTTATGCTCACGAAGTAATCGATATGGAATGCGGATTGTTCTACAAAGCAAGAAATCGAATGAATGTCGCTTCTAATGCACTGAACGGCGTGTAGTCGATCGAGAGGCTGGTACTCACCGCAAACATACGTTCGGAGCCGGGACGCACCCTCTTATGACCATGTTATTTTCCACGGACAGCTTGTGCATTCGAGGTATCGTGATGGTCATCAGAGATGGGATGGTCAAAGTGCAGCGTGGACAAAAAGTCTTTGCGCTCACAGGACGCAAAGAAGAGGCATACAGTGCCTCCCACGGCGTAGACGGCGATGGCAATGTAAAAGACTGTCTGCCAAGCCGCCACACACGATGCGGACTCGGGGTAGGCGTTGACACAGCCGCCGGCCTGGGTCAGAGCGCCTTGGGTCAACGGAGCGGCGATGCCTGGGATGGTGGCGATGGTGTTGGAGACGGCTATGACCAAGCCGCCAACCTCGCCACCAATGTCAAGGGCCATGGGGAAGAATCCGGGGATGGCGGCTCCGGAGAGGGTGATGGCGCAGATGAAGAAGGCTGAGCCGGCGACAGTCGTCTTGGCCTGGGTGATTCCAACCATGCATAGTGCTGTTGGTATAAAGCAAGATGAGCCATACTAGTTATTGAGCAATCGTCAATGCGGTCCATGATGCACACGGTGAGATGCACTGCCGTCAAGAGCTCGGGCCTGCAGCAGGAGACGCTCGATTCTCGGCCAAGTCCAATGGGCCTTGCGCTTCCTTGCAACTTGGCCAGTGTCAGTGACTCACCTGGGCCAAAGAATCCGAGGCAAACCAAGAATTTACGAACGTTGGTGACGGAAAAGTACTTTTTCTTGATAACAGCATCCGCAGCGAGCGAAGAAACCATGAGGACAACCCACAGGAACACATAGGGCAGGAAGCCAAAGAGACTCGTGGTATCAGCATCAAGACCCAGGACGGTCGAGAGAAAGGTCGTGGCATAGCCCATCAGCAGATACATGGACCAGTTTGAGCAGAAATGGACACAGTAGAAGACCAGGCAGCTTGGGGTCCGTAGGAAGTGGGCATAGAGAGTGAAGATCTGTCCCCAGGAAAGGCTGGAGACGGGAGGGCGGTGTAGGCCATGGGTGTCGTGGTGGTTCTGCAGCATCTTTTGGCTTTCACTCGTGCGAGTGTGCGCGTGATCGTGATCATGATCATGGTCGCCGAGCGAGTGACCGATCTCAGGGTGGCCATTGCCATGGTGTTGGTGGGGATTGGAATCGTGACCAAGGTTGCTGACGTTGACGCCCGTGTGGACCGAGTTGGACCGGGTGGCCACGGGGTCGTGGTGCTCGTCGTGATCAATATGGCGAACGTGGGCATCGTTCGGGTTGGGGAAGGACTGGATACAGAAAATGTAGGTGACGAACCACACCAGGCCAAGGATACCCCAGACATAGTAGTCGCCACGCCAGCCACCGAGGTTGGCTCCGATCATGGTGGAGAGACCATTGACGCAGGCCGTTCCAATGTACATGCCGGAGTACTGGATGCCCGTGGCGATAGAATATGCTTCAGCCGGGATCCACTGGGCATAAAGCGCCGTGGTGCCGGGGATGGCAGCGCCCTGGAAGAGGCCAGTGACAATGCCTGATTGCGAGGAGAACGACAATTAGATTCACATCCATGGTGCAGGTGGTGCAGGTGGTGCAGGTGGTGCAGGTGGTGCAGGTGGTGCAGAATCTAAACTCACGGGTCACTATGAGGCCGGCATAGTTTTGTCCAAGGGATGGGATAATCAGGGTAAAGACTGAGGACATCAAGAGTCCAATGCCCAGGATCCACTTGGCTCCGTATCGCATGCAAAGGATTCCAATGACCTGAGATTGGGCAGAGATTGGTGAGAGAGCTGATAAATTGCTGGGGCAAACACTCTCAGCAGAGCCTATGCCCACTGCCAGCGCAGATTTCGCATTTGCCATGGCATGATACGCTACCACAGTTATGAGGCAACCCAAACAGACAGCAGCGACTTACGAGCTGGAAGATGATGTATCCGTAATAGTAAGCCGCGACATACTGAGCGATCTGGAGGCAGAATCATCGATAACCAAAGAGACCGATGGCAAATACGATATCGTTAGTATCCTTCCATGGCTCGGGGCAAGGGGTCGCAGCCAAAGAACCAAACGCGAATGGGTGGTGCCGCCGGTCGTTCCCACGAAGAAAACAGGCGCTCACCATGTTGAGGTTCCAGGGTGGGGAAGCTTGACCGGCCATGTCATGCTTGGTGACCGAGACCACATTTCTGTGAGTGTAGCCGGCAAAGAGAGCAAACATGGAGAAGAAGATGACAACAAAGAACTTTGGGATGTTGACCACCCAATAGGGCACTACTCCGGCAGCCATGGTCGAGACGGAAGCACAGAAAGCGGGAAGGAGCGGATTAAAGGGCCGAAAGGCTGCTCAACAAAAGGCAGGTGTCCGCAACGTGACAATAAAGCGGAGAGGGCTATCTCGAGGAGTCGGCTATCCGAGGCTGCGCGGTTGTAGGAGCAAGCCGGCCAAGGAGGTACCGGGCGAGGCTGAAAAACTGCCGAAGCAAGATGGTGGTGGTGCCCTGCTTCAAGAGCGTCCCTTGACTTTATACCCCTCCCATCTCGACGCTCAACAGCGATATATGTCAATCACCTGGGCGCTACGTCGGCAGGACGACGTCGTCTCCTGTTTATTGTCTGCGAGTGCGTCACAGTTGCTCATCGCGATCAGGGTATGTTCGATAAGTAGAAGCAGGCAAGGGGATGTGCTGGGCATCCGCCAAAACTCGCACTGGCCAGGGCCGATCAGCGACGTCGTAGGAGCTCGGGGAGGGGCCAAAGATATGATTCCCGAGCAGTCCAGATTGAGTGCGAGGAGCGAGTGGCCACTCAGAGGCTGTTGATATGACGAGAACGGCGGATATGACGAGCGCCGAGAGATATGACGAGCGCCCTCGGCCAGGATGCGTCAAGCCGATCGAGGCACAGACCCAGAGGACGACCACGACAATGGTGCGAAGGCTGATTGGCAGATCTGATCGGCAGCGAACTGAGGCGCGAGCTCACCAAACGGAGCAACACGCCGACGGGAACAGTAGCCGAGATTGCCTGATGCAGACGCAGAGGCCGGCGCGATGGTCGTGACGATGATGGTCTGCGACGATGGCGGTGGGCCTGCAGCAACCGCGGTTGTTCCCTGGCCATGACATTAATATAATCTTCATGTGATGGACCACCCGCAGATACACTGGCCCCGGCTGCTGTGTTGTCGCATGGTGGAGCATGAGACCAAGCAGGCGCGACCCGCGGCCTGGGACCAGATGCGCACGAGGCCTCAGGATGCGATCCAGCGTTATCCTTGCCATCGACCGCCCCACTCGGTCCTGATGTCGCTGATGTCGCTGATGTGGTTGGCCTCGATCGTTGTTGCGGTGGCTCATCTGCGATCTGTCCAGGGTCAAGCAGGCCTCGAATGGACCCGCACGCGACGCAGGCCAGCCAGCCACGTTGCGGCCAGCGAGAGAAAAAACACGCCCATTGCGGACGGCGGCGCGGGGCAGCGGCGCGCACAAACGCCCAGCGATCCCGGTGGCGATTCCTATTGGTGGGGAGACGCGTGGCGTGGGTGCGGGTGTGGGGGAGAGAGAGGGCCGGGGGCCGAGAGCGGGCGAGAGCAGCGCGAGAGCAGGGGCGAGACGGCGTCACGCGCAGTCAGAGTGAGCGCAGCCAACCGCCGACAGCGCACGCCAGCGCACACCGACACACCCGACCGAGAGCGAGGCCCCCTCTCGCCCCGGCCCTTGTCCCGGCGCCCGTCCAATCGCGCCCGTCCAACCGCGCCCGTGCGTGCCGGCAGGCAGTCCGGCAGGCAGTCCGGCAGGCAGTCCGGCAAGGCGTCCGGCAAGGCGCCCGGCCATGACCACCCCTCCTCCCGCGCCCTTCCCGCATTGCCCTGCCAAACGCCCAGGCCTTTGGACGGGGCACCGGCCGTCATAAATCTGCTGCTCCTGCTGCTGCTGTCGCTCTCGGTCGACTCCATCAGTCTCTTCCACGATCCTCTTCGCCGTCTGGCCTATCCAATCCGCCTGCTAGCCAGCAGCAATAGCAGCAATAGCATCAACTGCAACCAACCAACAGCAGCGCTGCTGTTTCCCCGCCTCTCAGGTACAGCTTCTTCACATGCCCGCTCCCGCTCCCGCTGCCGCCTCCGGTGCTGTCCTCGGAGATAGAGCTCTCCCCGTCTTCGATCGGCGCCGGCTCTCTGCAAGCGCTTATCGCCTGTCCGGTGCACCCCGGCAGGCCAGCGAGCCAGCGAGCCAGCAGCTCCAGCCGGCAAGCACCGGCCCGAGACCACACCCAGGCGGCTCTAATCTCCAGCCCCCGTCGCAACAGAGCGCTTTGCGCCCTGTGAGTCACTCCCGCGAGTTTTCTATCTTGATTGATCAGCTGGATCCGTGCTGGATCCGTGCTGGATCCGTGCTGGATGGCCGTTGTTGAATCGCTGCTAGTGGCCACTAGTTCCGCCAACAGTTGTGTTGAGTGTGGCAACCCGCACACACTTGGCCGGCTATAGCTTCTCCACCATTGCCCTGTGACCCGCCTGCACCATCCCCCTCCGGCTCTCTGTCGTTTCGCTCACCCTCGTGTGCCCTATATATTCCCGGTATCACTCCCGCCGTTCATGTCGCCCTCGCCCTCGGTCCTGGATGAAAATGCCATGTTGGGCCTCGCCTCCTGCCCTCGTCGACGTCCGATCGCTCGGCCGCCCAAAGTCCCCGCAAATCCTTCCTGTGCCATGACCCGCGAGTATCTGACGCTTCAGTCGCTCAACGACGACTGCTTGCTCCACATCCTCAAGTTTGTCGGAGGCACCAAGCTGGTGTCGCTGGCCAGGTAACGCTTCGGCCAACCGCATCGCATCCACGAGCCCGAACGGCGTTGCATGTCCGCCATGAAGCGGTGCAACCCAGCACAGCTGCCCAGCCCTGATCCCCCTGGTTGTCGCACCATCCACGGCCTCGCAGACTCTCTCGCCAGTTTCGTGCGCTCGTCAACCATCCCGACCTCTGGCGCCATATCAGAGTCAGCGGCTCCGTGCCCGTCGCCATCGCCTTCATGAACCATGCCCTTCTGCCTCGTGCATCAGCCATCCGATCGCTCTCGTTCGAAAAGTGAGTAACCCTCAAGCCGCACTTGATCCACTTGATTTGCGTTGGCTTTCCATCACACTCTGCCGCTTCCCGCTCTCCAACCCTGCCTCATCTCGCCGCCCACTCACAGCTTCTCCTTTCACTTTCCTCGGACTGCAGGATCACCTTTGTGTCATACACGCTGATTCCGGGATATGAGATCGAAAACACCTTCCACACCATGTTCTACCAGGTAAGACGGCGGCGCTGCTCGTCCACAACGCCACCGGCATAGCCTTCTCTGCTCACGCATTCCTGACGCCAACTGCTCTCTGTTCTCCCCGTCACAGGCGGTCGAGGGCCTGTTGCAAAAGTGCGGCAGCCAGCTCAACGAGCTCGTGGTCGCTGAAAACGGCGATACTGTCTTTGCGGACTCGCACTTTTTCTTCTCAAGCTTCGCCCAGCACTCGCACAGCCTCCGCAAGATTTCGCTGCTGAGCACCAAAAATAGCGCCTATGTCGACGACGGAACGCTGATGCTTTTGACGTCGTCGTGCGGCGGCGTGCAGCACTATCGTGATCTCCAGGGCGACGGACCCAGCATCAAGGTACGCCTCTGCAGCTCGCCGTATCAATGTCGCCATCGCAAACGAAACAAAGCGAGCTACCTCCGTTATAGCTCCCATCCCTCAGCTATAGCCTTGCTGACTGCTTTCCATCTTCTCCTTCCCGCTAGACCATGTCTCTGATTCTTGACGGGTGGCCGTCGCTCGAGAGCCTCGAGGTCAACACCAACACCCGCCACTGCCAAGAGTTTGCCGCCCATGTTGCCCAGTTTTCGGATCGCCTGCACCATCTGCGTATCTCGCACTTCGACGACTCTCTGATGTACAACGAGGGCGGCTGGCGCTACTCCTCGATCCGCCAGTCGATGAACTCGACCCGTGCGACCGAGCTCCTCGCCTATCCGCTCGGCCCGACTGGCCTGGAGGCGGTCTGCATCGGCCTCTCGAACCTGATATCCCTGGAGTCTCTGACCATCGACCTGCGCACGACCAAGCACGCGGACGGTCTCTACGTCGATCACATCGAGTCGCTCCTCCTGGCGGCCCCTCGCATCAAGTCGTTCACGTACATGGTCTCGTACAGCACATACTACAAGTCCGATGGCTCTCTGGGGCGGGCAGATTTTGACCCGCGGTCGCTTCGGAAGACCCCAGACAGCACCTGGGTGACCAACCAGTATCAGAATCGCATCGTGACCGGCTGCCCCAGTCACCGCCGCGGAGGAGCCCTGGCGCTTGTCCGGATCCTGGATAGGATTCGGGTGGCTGTGGAGTGCCGCGGCATCAAGGCGGTGCTGTCGTGGTCGGTCTGAGCTACTGGAGCCGCAAAGTCCCCTCCACCCACTTATCGGTGAATCGTTAGCTTCGGCCTGCGTGCTGGCTGGCACAGCGTTTGCTGACGCTCATGCTGCACTTTTACCACTTGCCTGCTTTCCCCTTTGTCTCCCACATTCTGTTTTTTGCTGTACCAGAAGTACCTCCGGGCCAAGCGCGATTGACTCTCTCTCTCATGCATTTTTCTTCCATGGCGGCCTCGGTGTTTACACCATAGCCTCGCCTTGCATTTCGTGGCCTCTGCCCGTATACCGATTCTCTCTGACTGTCCATCCCGACGCCCTTGCATGACCTTCATCGATATTCACTATCTTATTTGGAGTATTCTTTCCATGAGTGGTACCAAGTCGCCTCCGACTCTTTTTTTGGCTTTCCTTTCACACCTTGCCATCCTCATGGCTGCTTTCAAAAACAACAACAACAACAACCGCATCCAACATTTCATGCGCATCGCCAGCTCGCCATCGTCGCCGGCATCCCCCCCCCTCACATTTCCAGAAACTGCTTGCTCCGCCATCGCGGCCATAGATTGCGTCTTCCTCTTGAATATGATCTCGCTTTGAGCACACCACCCCAGGTCTCTCTCCCGTCCTCGCCTGCGTCGTCGCCCGTCCTCGTTCTCGGCGAGAGCGGGCTTCGCGCCCGCTCTCGGCCTTGTTGTTCATGGCAACCCGCCCAGCCAACCTCCTCATCTCCATCCACCCGTTGCTTCATCTCCACCGCCATCCTCAGCAGCAGCAGCAGCAGCAGCAGCAGCAGCAACTGCATTCAGCGTCTGTCGCCAACCGCCTGATTTAGGACTCTACTCCACACACACAAACACCTTTCCATCCAGACATGAGCTACCAGGTGCGCCTCAAAGCCTGTCCGAGCCAACGGCTCTTCGCGGCCGGGTGCAACCCGCCCACTGCTCCTCTCTCCCTGCCCTGGTTCTCCTGCTCGTTTGTTGGGCCCTGGGTCCTCGGGATGCCGAGATTGTCGTCAATGTCCATCCCGTGCGCGTCCCGTTGGGCTGCGAACCGATTCCTCCCGCTGCTCGTCCGTCATTTCTCCTGCATCTCGAGGAGAAAGAGGGCGATTCGTCAGTAACGATCGTGAGCATTATCTCCCCGGGGACGCCCTGGTCCAGGCCGTCGACCAAAAGAAGGATGACTTTCGCAAGTACCTGGAAAAGAACGGCATCATTGATGCCCTGACTAAAGGTTGGTCATGCCGACGAGAGAGAGAGAGAGAGAGAGAAAGGGAGTGGAGCAGGTGATAGTAACGAAGCCGACCACGACTTGGAGGATGCTTCATATTGGGTCCTGACGAAGACGAGAAAGCAGCCCACAAACTGCACTGGCGACATGCTGGGGATGCTCGGTTGTCCTCGGCCGTAGGGCATTCGCCTGTTGTCGATGCTCTTATCCCACCAAGCCTTTGGCGTTGCGCGCTGCCACTCCTCCAGCGCACTGACACCGCTCCTGCTTGTCTGTCTCAGTCCTGGTTGGACTCTACGAGGAGCCCGAGAAGCCAGAGAGCCCCATCGAGTAAGAACAACCATCGCCATTGATCCCCCACTCGCTCTCTTCATCGATGCCTCGCGTCCTCTCCCATCGCCCTCGGGAATCTCCACTCGGGACTCACAGGGTGAAGGGGAATGCCACCATCCGCACTCATCCTGCTGATTGACTCACTCGCTGCTGGATGTGCCCTGTGGGACAGCTTTATCAAGCAATTCCTCGGCGGGCCATCGGATGTCGATGTCGAGGCCCTGCGCGCCGAGAACGACGAGCTGAAGCGCAAGGTCGAGGAGCTGCAGCAGCGGCTCGACGAACTGACTGCACAGGTACGATGCAACACATTCGATCGCATGCCGGTGCGCGCTGTTGCTTCTTTTGCAGCAGAGGTACTCATCTTTGACCCAAACCCGTGTCTCGTTCGTGCCGTGGATACGCGGGGGGGGGGCGACAACCCAAAAGATCCCTCCTCAAGACCCGAATGCTGCGACAGGCGCCACTGCTCCGACCGACGCCCCGGCTTCTTAGACATGACTTTCTCTCATACACGCACACATGCCCATAAGGCGATTGTGTCGACAGAGCCACGGCACCAGAGCCCGGACAATCACCTTCCAGGCAGTCGTGAATATACTACGCTAGATCCGGTGTTGTGCGGGAACAGCGACATCAGACGTGCGATGCCAGCTTCAAGTGCACCTCGTCCGCCAGTCCCTCACGCTTGCGCTTGCTGGGCAGTTGCATCGGCATGTCGATTCCAGATTGCTGAGGCCCAAGCAGCACCACCACCACCACCACATCGTTCTCACAGGCAGACGGATTTTCCGCAACTGCGCAGCCGCCGCTTCTGTCCCGCCGCTTCGCACCGCCTGGGATTCTCGAGGCTGGCCGCTGTGGCATTGGATGCTGTTGCTCCGACATCGCCTCGGCTGATCAAGTTGCAGCAGCTTTCCGTACCCTCGGTTCTCTCCCAGCGACCACCAGTGGCACCAATATCACCAACAGCACCAACAGCACCAACAGCACCCGTGCGATCCAGGCCCAGCTCAGTTTGCCCAGGATGGACAACCAACTCTCCGAATACGAGCTCGAGCGCCTTCGGAACATCGAGAAGAACCAGGAGATCCTGCTCAAGCTCGGACTGGTCAGCGGGCCGACGTCCCTCGGCAGTGCTGCCTCGGCAACCCATGCGACGCCCGTCAAGCGCAAGCGGCCTTCCTCAAGCACACCCAAGCCCGCCACCGCCCCAGCGGTCCCGACCCGATTCTCGCTTCGCACTCGCGGCCACAAGCCAGCAGATGTGGAAGGGTCCAAGCTGCTGGCCAAGATCGAGCTCCAGGAGGCCAGCAGAGCACGGGCGTCTCGGGCTCGCCGAGCAGGGCGCATCAGCTTGATCGACGACGAGGACAGCGATCAAACACAGGACGACGACGATGCCGGCGGCGGCGAGAGTGATGCTCTTGCACGCAAGCGGCTGTTCCTGGGGTCCCTCAGCCGTCTTGATCACGGCATCGGGATGCCGCACCATCCTCGTAAGCACCCCAGCTCGTCGCAAGTGAGCGGAGATCGTGACGACGAAGTCACTGTCGTCGATTCGGAAAATGACAACGACGACGACGACAAAGCGGAGGACGGCGGCGCCGGGGTGCCCGATGCCAAGGACCTCGAGGAGTTTGACGAGATCCGGCGGCTCAAGGCTCAGTTCCCATACGTCAAGATCTGCAACGAGACCATCACGGCAGCCGAGTTCCACCCATCCAAGCACAAGCTCGTCCTGGCATGCGGCGATAAGTCTGGCACGCTCGCCTTCTGGGACGTCCAGGATGCGCTTGAGCAGAACGAAAAGCTCCGTGACCAAGAGGATGAGCTCACGCCAATCGTCTACCACTTCAAGCCGCACCGGTCGCCGATATCCAAGGTGGCCTACAAAGTCGGCGACAGCAAAAAGTTCTACACATCGTCGTACGATGGGTCGATCCGATGCATGGATGTGGAGGCGCAGGTGTTTGAAGAGGTAAGGCCGTCGGGATCGCTGCTGCTGCTGCTGCTGCTGCTGTGGTGGTGTGTGCGATCGAGAGGAGGCAGCAGGACATGAATGAGATATCCAATTCCGAGCGACTTGCATCCGAGCCGAGCAAGTCCGCTTGGCGGAAGCGTTGGTCATGCGCATTAACGGCCGGCCCGATGCTCCGCTCCACTATTGGACTCTAGGTGTGTGTCCATCCGACAGAAGAAGCGGTGACGTCCTTCGACTTTGGTCTTGATGCGGACGCTTGCTGGTTCACCTGCAGCTCTGGAAACGTCGGGCGGTTCGACCGACGAGAGCCGGGTGCTCCGACGCTCTATGCTTTCAGCGACAAGAAGCTCAACACGATCCATGTGTCGCCGCGGAACGCCAACCTGCTTCTGGTGAGCGGACTCGAGCGCACCCTCAAGATCTTCGATGCCCGTAAGCTCAGGCGCGGCTCGAAGGAGCCGGCAGAGGATCTGGTCGAGGCTCTCCAGGTGTTTGAGCACTCCAAGTCCGTCAACTCGGCGTACTGGGACCCGGCTGGGAATGACATTGTGTCGACATCTTTTGACGACACCCTGGGGCTGTGGAAGAATGCGAGCGACCCCGCCAAGTGCCACCGCATCACGATTCGACACGATAACAACACAGGTGAGCGGCGCGGCCCAAAGCCTTGCCGATTTGCGATCGCTCTGGTCGGATCGCGGAGCCAGGTGTCCGTGCGATACGGCTCTGTGGTCGATCTCCGTCGCGACACCATGGTTGATTGCATGAGCAGACGCAGACGCTCTTGCTGACGTACCGCTCTGCACTTGCTCCAGGACGATGGATCCAAAAGTTCAAGGCGACCTGGCGAGACGCCCCCGCACACAGCACAGGCCTCTTTTTCATCGGCAACATGAGCCGTGGGGTCGACGTCTACTCTGGACAGGCGGGGCGGCGGATTGCGTCGCTGTTTGATGCCGAGAACGTCACGGCGATCCCGGCGGTGAATACGTTTCATCCACATGCCACGCTGCTGGCGTCCGCAAGTGCGTCCGGAAAGGTCACGATCTGGAAGTAGCCTCCCTCTCTCAAACACAAACCAACACGGACGCCTGTGGAAGAGCCGGCGTGTCCCTCGTCACGCTGGACTTGGACAGGTGTCTGTGTGGATCGACAGGCTCGGTGGCCCGGCTCGCTCAGACACCAAAGGTCATGCGTTGGCGAACAGCAGACGCCGTGGCCCAGCGCAGCCCTGCCCCCGTGGACAGGTGGTTGCGGTGCGAACGAATGAATGCTGGTGGACGGTACCAGTAGATAGAGGCAGGCGCATGGTTCAACTCAATAGACGCGGACAGCACCGGTCCAGCAACACGAGCAGGGCGATTGGCGCGGCAGCGAGCAGCTCCATACGGGCTCCCGGACGCTGGCCTCGTCGGCACATTCGGTTACGACGACGGATGCTTGGCGCAATGTGCTTCGCCGGGTCAGATGGCCAGGAGGACGGCCCCATGGCTTCTAGGAAATGGTTGGTGGTTGGATCCTGCGGTCGGGTGACCCCGCCTGGTGCACCTGTGGCCTTGCATTTCACATGCCTCGCTGAGCCAACAGGGTCCACACGGCTGCGGCGCAAGTGCGGGAGGCGGCTGACTGGGAATGACTGAGGGCTGATTGGCAGCAGCAGAGAGCGGCTGCGTTGTCTGTCTCCTCGATGCGAGGATGACCTGCGTGGCCTGCATGGCCTGCATGATGGCCCGCATGGCCCGCGAATCACACCCTGTGCTGCCACCGAGCCAGCCAAGCAGCAAGCACAAAGGGGTTGCTGCGATGACCATTTCGATCGCCCCTGCGGCGCCGGGATGCGTCAGACCTTGCACAGGCCACTCCCCCCCCCACCACCATCGCTTTGGGGCGGGCCTGCCCTGATCTCCCGTGCATCGCATCGCCCCGCATCGCATCTGCCATCGTATCGCATCGATCGTCCCTCACCGTCGCATCCGCAGTGCATCCGCAGTGCACCCGCAGCGCATCCACAACCCATCTGCCGCCTCCGGCTCCCAGCCCACCAGCCCCGCCCCGCCCTGGCGCTTCCGCGGCGTGCCTTGTCTGGATGTGCCAACCGCGGCGGACCCGCCTTTTCTGATTGGCCCGATTACGTCAGCCAACGCCGCCCTCGTTTTCACGTGCTTGTATGACGCGGCACATACCCGCTTCCTTTATATGGCCGCTTCTTTCACCATCTCTCCCTGCCCTCGTCTGTCTCGATCTGCCCGCTGGCGAGGCCTATATTACCCGTTCCGGCGCTGCATTCCATAGCCCTTGCCTTCCTCGCAGCCGCCGTCCCGTCGCCCGATTCGCTCGATTCGCAGGGCTGCTTCGTCCTCGCCGTCTACCGGTCCCCACATCTCCGCTGCCGCTCCGTCTGTCGCCTCGCCCCTGCGTCTCGTCTGCAGACCCTTCCGAGAATGGCCAGCAACCGCATTGTCATCGGCAACTACGAATTGCATGAAACCATCGGAAACGGATCCTTTGGAAAAGTTAAATGTTCGTGGATCAGATATTACCTCCCTCCATGTCTCCAACCTCCCTCGCTCATTTGCTTGTGGTGCCGCCCTCCCTCCCTTCCCCATATCCGCGGCTGGCTACTTTGTTACTCCGAACCCCAGCGGGACTGGTTGCATCGGCGTGCATCGGCGTGCACTGGCATCCTCACAGCACTCTTTGGAGCCCGATAGGATGAGGCTCGATGGGCCCGCCCGTGCAGCGTCTCTGTGCCATATGGCTCGATTCGCCGGCGCGCCGTTCGACCGGTCCGGCTCCGGCCGTCGAACCCATCGCCAGGGCGTCGCTGTGGTCAAACGAGTCTGCAGCGCCCTTGACCACCGCCTCCTCGACGGCACCATCTCTCCCTCTCCCCCCCTCTCTCGGCGTCCTGCTGGCCCCAGCGCTTGCGACTATTGGAGCCTTGCGGTTTGGGAGACTTGGACAGCCAGCCGAGACCTTCCGCCTTCCGCCTTCCGCTTTCCACACTATTTGCTGCAGGGAGCTGCATTGTCCCGCTGATTCGCTGTACCGCGCGATGGCTTCGCTCAGTGTGATTGACGCTTCCCTCTCCTCTGATCTCTTCGGTGCAATACCCACCTGGCCATCCATCGAACTGGCTGGTGCCCAACATCCAGTGGCTGTCCACCAGTACACCGGCCACAATGTCGCCCTCAAAATCATCAATCGCCGCAAAATCGCCAACATGGATATGGTGGGCCGGATCAAGCGGGAGATTCTCTTTCTGCGGTTCCTGAGGCACCCGCACATTATTAAGTTGTAGGTGTCCGTCCTGCTGCATCTCGTCGTGACCATGGCCATAGCCCGTTCCTGCACCTCCCACTCGCTCCTTGGCAGCTCCATGCTTGCCTCGGAGATGAGCTGCCACGAGCTCAACTGCTGCTAATCCACTCATTTCCTCCGGCGATCTCTCTCGAACGGCTCGTCATAGATACGAGGTCATCACGACCCCGACCGACATTCTCATGGTGAGCAGCCCGCCCGATGATTGTACCATCCCGGATGTTCTCCTCCATCACTGCTGGCTCTCCCTCTGCGGCCGACCTCATCTCGCTGACTGCCGATGGTTGCCGTTTCTTTTGAAGGTCATGGAGTTTGCTGGAGGAGAGCTGTTCAAGTACATTGTTGAAAAGGGCCGCGTAAGTAGCTCCGAGCCTGCCGCTGTCGCTCACCGCCCATGCGGAGTGTGTTATGGACCCCTCGAGGGTAGCTCGGCTGTGCCCGTCTGTGCGGTGTGAGCTGCGTCCCGACTTCACTCCTGACGAGCCCATCGAACCACCACGATCAGCTCTCCGAAGACGAATCGCGGCGGTTCTTCCAGCAGCTCATCTCTGCGGTCGACTACTGCCATCGACACAACATTGTCCACCGGTAAGCCCCTTTCCTGCCCAGCACCCGCGTTCGTGGCCTTGACGATGCCTGCTGGCTTTTTCACTGACGCGTATTCTGATGCGTGTCCGCAGCGATCTCAAGCCGGAGAACCTGCTCCTGGATGAGTTCCACAACCTCAAAATTGCAGACTTTGGTCTGTCTAATATTATGGCCGACGGCGAATTCCTCAAGACCAGCTGTGGTATGTTTGGCGCATCCCATGGCTCGATCCTGATCGACCTGGTCGGGCTGCTGTCTCAAGCCAGTGCTCCCATAAACCGATTTGGCGCCATCAAATTGCGCTGACCCACGTCTCCGCTCGTCGCTGCTAGGCTCTCCCAACTACGCCGCCCCGGAAGTCATTAACGGAAAGTATGTACAAATGCTGCGACTACTGCCAAGAATGCTGTGGCGACACTATCTGCGCTCTTGGGCACCTGCTCACAATGCTTCCACTCTTCTGTTGCTTCCATTTTTAGATACTACGCTGGCCCAGAGGTTGATGTTTGGAGCTGCGGTGTCATCCTGTATGTGATGCTGTGCGGGCGGCTTCCCTTCGACGATGAAAATATACCCGCTCTGTTCCGGAAAATCAGCAGTAAGGATGATCCAATATCCGCTCCCTTGTCGCATCTCTGTGCCGTTGACTCGCATCCATGTGCTGATTTACCTCGACTGCCTGCAACCGCGATGCCCTTCCAGGCGGAGTCTTCTCGCTTCCAAACTCTCTGTCCAACGAAGCCAAGGCGCTCCTGCTTGCCATGCTTGTCGTCGAGCCCGGCAAGCGAATCACCATTCCCGAGATCCAAGAGCTCGCCTGGTACAAGAAAGATCTCCCAGAGTATCTCATCCCCTCACCCGAGAACGAGGACGACGAGCTGCACAATGTTGACGAGGCTCTCCTCAAGGAGTTGACAAAGGTGAGCAGCCAGTCGGTGTGGCCAAGGCAACCAAACCAAGCCGCATCTGGCTGCGGCGCGCCAGCAAGTGACCGGCGTGTGATTTCTTCTGCCTTTTTCTCTCTCGCTTGTTGCAACCATGGACTGACCTCATCGATTTGTGGCAACAGAAAATGGGATTCAACAGGATGACAATCTATCAAGCCCTGCAAGAAGTCGAGAACAACCAAATCAAAGTCACGTACCAGCTGCTGGCCGATCACAAGCGGGGTGAGTGAGCCTTTCGAGGGTGGTGTCCAGCCGTGTATGCCGCAGGCCCCCGTGAGCCTCCTTCTGCGGTCTTTCATTTCCAGGCTGCTGACCTGTTCGGCTTTGCATCCACAGGAAATCTCTCGCGGGCCAAGCCATCTGAGAGTTTTTTTTCGGGCATTTCGCCCTCCTGGAGCGGCAATCAGTCGACCATGCTCGATACTGCTGATCCTGGCGCCAGCCTTGCCCCCAGCAACATCAAGGTCCTGAGCTCCAGTCTGCCCAAAAGGCTGGAGACCCCTCCGCCGATGCCAGATCCTACAGCGGCACCAAACACCCCTGTCGGCACCATCACGGTACTATCGGCGGAGAAGAAGGCCATGGTCAAGAAGAAGACTCGGTCGCGCTGGCACTACGGCTTGCGCTCCAAGAGCGCGCCGTTGGACATTATGCTCGAGATCTACCGCGCTCTCAAGAGCGTTGGCATGGTAAGGCGACTTCTTGTCCAAGTCTGCTCTACTCATCGACAGGCCCAGTCTTGGGGTTGAGGCTAACACCGACATCGCTGCTGAAGGAGTGGAAACCCATCGATGCATACCACGTGCGCGCCCGCTGGACATACAAGGGCCAAACAGTCAAGCTGGATATCCAGATCTACAAGGTCGACCGCGGCAGCTACCTGGTGGACTTTAAGAACTCGACACCGTCCGTTATGGCGCCGGACTTCTCTTCCATGGGCCAGGGTACCTCGGCGCATCCCGACCGTAGCATGTCAACGCCGTCGCCCGAGGCGTTTGGATTCAGCGACATGTCCTTGGAGCTCAAGAACGGCATCTCATCGCCCATGAACATTCCCGGCAAGAACAACACCCGGCAACAGTCATGGGAAACGCCGTTGGCCACGCCTCCGCGCGAGACCTCGAGCCACAGTATGCTCTCCGGTAGCGCGCAGGGCGACTCCCGTCCCATGTCGATTCATGCCAATGACCTAGGTTTTGGCAAGGGCATGAGTATGGCCGGAAGCGCCTCCCGCAGTAGCGGCTCGCCTTTCCTGACGGGGCGCCAAACCCCGAGTTTCCGCCCTGGCCATGCCATCCATCACCGACAGGCCTCCCGCACCCACAACATGGACTTTGGCGGCCCGAGCAGCTACACCACCGACACCAGCGCCGCCAGCCAGCTCTCCGACTCGATGGCTGTCGGCAACAGGCACGCCAATTTCTCCTTCTTCCTGTTCTACGAAGCCTGCTCGCGGCTCATCACCGAGCTGACATTCAACGGCTGAACGATGGCCCACCCAGCAATCGCATGCCTGCCTGCCAAACATCCGATACCACACGCCTCCCTCGAAACTGATATGCAATTGAAGCTCTCCCCGTGCCTCTGACGCCGAGATTATCTCGACAACTCTTCCGCTTGTTCTGTCCTGCCCTCCATCTCAATCATCCTTGTATCACACTCACTTCTAATACTCTTTTGGGTCTGCTAATCTCTCATCCGCACCGCATTCGTCTCGGCTCTATTTTACTTGCCTTGAATTTATCTCCTTTCCTTGCCTAGTAACTTTTTTTTTCAACTCGACCTTTCCTCGTGCGCGGGCTTTCTCTTGTTTCCCGGTCTCGCGCGATGAGTCTCGATGCCTGGAGCAAGAACCCACTCGGTTTTGTGTCAGTTGTTTGCAAAGCCCCCCCCCCAAAAAAAAACGGCCCAGGGGCACAGCCCCCATGATGCGGGCCCATAGACATGTAGTTGCTTCTTGGCGACGCAGCTTATTGATCAGTGGAATCAATACAGTCTCCTTGGAGGAACGGTGCCATCCTGTCTCGGGTGCGGATGGGCTGTCGTTTGGGGCAATATGTTGAACGGACTGTCCACGTGCGCACCAGATGACACGTGATCCGATGTGTATCAAACCTGATTGATGGGCTGGTCCGGGCATCGCCGTCTCAGACTCGGTCCCAACATGGCTGGCAAGAAGGGCTCTTCGTCTAAATCTAGCAAGCCCAAGAACGGTAAGCCCGTTTGGCGCTTGCTCCCCCTCGACGATCGGTCCATCGATATATAATATTCTTTCAAATCACCAGACGGAGATGAGGGCGGCAAGTCCGGCAGCGGCAAGCTAAAGTCAGCCAACTCGGTCAAAGTGAGGCACATCTTGTGCGAGAAGCACTCCAAGGTAGGTGGCGGACCGAGGGACTCTCCCTGGGCTCTACCGACCGATGACCTCTCCGATCCGTGGCGGTCCGCGGCGATCCCCGAGCGTTTGCTTCCCGACAAAGCCCCCTGACCTCGGACCTCTGATCCGATCCAGTGCATGGAAGCTCTCGATAAGATCAAGGTCGATGGAATGCGATTCGACAAGGTAGGGCTTTCTATTCGCGGCAGTCGAGGCGGAACAGGCACCGATCGTCCGACCTTGACGAGTCTCCTTTCATCAGTATGATGGATGCCCCGCTCCGCTGAGCCAACGTCATCGACCGTGAAGATGTTGATTTCGGTGTTCCGTCTGCACAGGTTGCGGAGATTTACTCTGAAGACAAGGCCAAGGCAGGAGGATCGCTTGGCTGGATGGTGCGAGGATCCATGGTTGGTCCCTTCCAGGTAAGCGGGGATACCGATGGCTTCAAGGATGGTGCCCCAGTCTGCTCGGCGCGATGTCCGCAGATCTGAAGCCAGGGTCCCCACTCCCAACATCGCCTATATTACTGCCGCTCTGCGACTTCGGGACGTCGAAGCTGCAACCCGTCCAGCCCAAATGCAACCCCATGGATGCGATAGAGCTGCTACCTGCAAACTGCTGAACTCCCATACCCATACATATATGCACACAATGGAACACAGGACGCCGCCTTTGCTTTGACGCCCAGCACCTGCGATGCCCCCATCATCACCGATCCGCCAAGTAGGTTTCTCTGATCGTCGCTGCAGTGCGACGTGGCCCATATCGGCTCAAGCGATGGGGCAAGTGCACGGCGCACCACTTCTAACGCCCACTCGGCTCTCGCTCGACTGCTCCTCAGTCAAGACCAACTTTGGCTACCACATCATCATGGTGAGGACATGGATCAAGAGCGACAGAGAGCACAGGCAGCCTCGAGGACAGGAGGAGGGAAGTCGATGGAGAAGCTCACGCATATGCTGCTCTTGTGCGGACTTGTCGCCAGGTCGAGGACCGAAAGAACTGAGAAATTGGCTGCTTTGCCCTCTGTGGGCTCTAGTGTTCTGTCATTGTGTCTCGCCCATCGACTCGCACGGACGGAAATACAGCGATCTATGGCGCCGCTGCAGTCTGGATGACCAAAGCGATGATCAAAGCGATGATCAAAGCGGTGATCAAAGCGATGTGCTGGACTGACCTCATGCCGGCCGCGTCGCACAGCCCAAAACAGGCAAGACCTGTCCCACAGCCGCCGTTGGTGTTTTGGTTGGCCCGTCGCCCGGCTGGCGCTGGCCGTCCTCTTCACCTTCCATCGACTCGAGAGCGCACCCCTCGCAGCCAGCTAGTCTGCCGCCCAGCCCACCGCCCATCGCCGTCCCCGTCCACCCCCGTCTTGTCGATCCAAGACTCGTACCTGAGACCGTTCTGTAGCCGCCCTCTGCATCTTCCTGGACACACAGCACCCGCAACCGCAACCGCATCCCGCCCGTCGCCAGCCCACACCCCTGCACATCACAATGAGCTTCTTCAGGTAGGCCCATGATCCTGGTCCCCCTTTGACTCCCACCTCCCCCACGGATCCGCTGCTTTTCGTGCTCTTTCGATCAATCGATCAATCGTTTCTGCCAGAGCCCCGCAAGCCCGTGAGCTTGCCAGATGGCCAGTCACGCAGCCTACCACATCCGTTCGCCCTCGTCGGTGCTCGGCTTTTGGGCTCATGGCGCCGACAAGCTCATCCACAATTCACGGAGGTGGTGGATCTGCACTGCGACACGGCGCCTCTGTCGATGCACTGAGCGCTGCCGGATCGACATCTGGCTGCCAGAGTCGCTGCTGCTCCTCGCTGGTCCTTGCCTCGGGCGACGGTTTTTCTTCCCGCCACACATGCATCTGCCACAGCTCCAAAAGCCTTGCAATAGCTTCATCTTTCAAGGCAGCACCAACACATTTCCCGCAACCCCTGCTCCACAATCTCGTCCTTTGCACTCGCCCCCTTCCATTCCTTTGGTGGTCTTGTCCACTCGATCGGCTCGCCATGCCAACACTTGCATTGAGCTGGTTCTACCTTTCTCATTCGGACGAGTGCCGGTCTCAGCCTCGTCTGGATTACTCTGCGTGGAACCGCATCCTTTCCTCCCTCCTCCTCCCCACCTTCATCCTCCCAGTTTCAGGCCAGCCAGATGATCCCACCTGCCTCACGCTGGCCGACAATGACAGAAATAACGCAGGCGCATTGTTTTTGCCGTTGGATCCAAATCTGCCTCTCATACAATCCCTCTTCTCACAGCTATATGTCATCCATCTATGCAACCTTTGTCTCAAAAAACACATCTTCTTCTTCTGCCACCTCTACTTCTACTAAATCCTCGTCAACATCGTCCCGGTCGCTCTCTTCGGGACTCCGGCATCACAGTCGTCTCGGAGGCCGCGGCAAAGGTTCTCGGCCTAATGCCTCAAAGCCTCTGTTTCTGGAGCAGCCTTTTGTCAACGCCACGCTCGTGAACGGAAGCCTTCGGAAAGTCTGCAGCCTGCCTCGTTTCGTGGATTCCAATGAGTGGTACGTACAGGCTCGCCCCACCGCCATCGGATAGGCGAAGGGTATACTTGCCATGGCAGCAAGATTGGTTGGTTCCACCCGACAATCCAAACTAATCAAGAACATCACGCCTTCTCCACCCGCTGATCTTCGGCACCACCACAGGCTGGCAGTTAACAGTAAGCGTCCGACTGCTGCCATTCGCGCCCGAACCAGTGGAGCGCATCGACAGACGTTGCTGCTTGTCTGGATCCTGCTGTCATTGAAGCGCCCACCCGCGTGTGCCCAAAATCTCTGATACTGAATCATGTGTCTTCTAGCATTCGACTTCTTCATGCACACCAACTTTTTCTACGATGCTGTTGCCGAATTCTGCGACGAGGCCGGAGAGTGTGCTGTCATGAACGGTGGCCCGAGGTAAGCAGGACGCCGGCGATGCGCAAAGGGCTCGTCTGCTGGATCGCATGCACTCGATCGTTGGAGTGGTCGCCGCCGTGGACACTAACTGCGGCGTCCACTGGATCTACGCAGCTTCGAGTATACCTGGACGGATAGCCAGAGGCGAACAGTCAAGCTCTCGGCGCCGCAGTACGTGGACTCGGCCATGTCGTGGATCCAGACGGTGCTGTACGATGAGCAAATATTCCCAACCAAGGGAAGTAAGTACTCCAACAGGCTGTATACGAGACAAAGTCACGCATCCATAGGGCCTGGGAAAAGCTATCGGACGGGCAGAGTGAATCCTGGTCGTGGCGTTGCCTGCGGCTCATCCTGTGCACACCCACTCTTCCAGCAAACCCGTTCCCGAAGGATCTCCAGAACACCCTCCGAGCCATCTACAAGCATCTCTTCCGGATCTTTGCGCACATCTACCACTGCCACTACGACAAGATCCTCCACATGTCGGCCGAAGGCCATCTCAACACCCTCTTCGCACATGTGATCTGTTTCGGACGGGAGTTTGATCTCCTCGACAAGAAGGAGCTGTCGCCCATGAGCGAGTTTATCACGGAGCTGGAAAAGTCGGGTCGCATCTGATGGACGGACATGTCTTTGCTGTGTGGATCCCTCCCTCGAATGCACTTGCCCATCCATTGCAGCGATCACAACGAAGAAGCCTTTCTCGTTTCTGGATCCTGAATATACGCATGTTCATTCAGTACTCGTTCGTATGGGCTGTAACTCGCCCTGTAACTCGCGGGCCACGCGAGGCAGTGCCCATCGACAGCACACCGAGGAGCATCATCCACCGATAACGCACTGCTGCTCTGCATCCACTTGATCCCCAACGACAACCACAACGTCGGTCTCCTTGAATCCACTGTTGGCCATCATGTCGGGCGATTCACGGTGTGTATTCAGGATCCGCAGGAGCCACTACTTGCACTAAGAACCGGTTTCGATTTGGGCTGCTTCACTGGCACTGCCCGTACATTGCCTCCAGAGAGGAGTGTTCTTGCAAGGTGCGTGCTTGCCGCTGTGAGGGACGGAGGGTTGTGTTGCCCATCCTCCATGGGACAGCATCGAGCCAGTGCGTCTACAAGCTGAGCTGGGGAAGAGCTTGCTGGAGAATATCTTGCGCGGCAACGACCTCTTCGGCCTCCTGGTTCTCGGCCTGGAAGGAAGAGCGGCAGAGCCGGTGCGGCATGTGAGAATCCAGCCTGCCTCCTGATCGCTACGCACGCAATCCGCATATGACGCTTGCGCCTTCTCGGCGAGCTGGCATCCGTCCGTCCGCATCAGATTCGCAGCCCAGCAATGCAACAGCGTCCGAGAGAAGAAGCGCCGATCGCACCTGCAGCTTTTCCAGGAGAGACTCCAGCTCCTTGTAGGCAGCCTCCAGCCGCTTCTTGCTGTCGGGGATCATCACGGTGGTCTCCTGCAGGACTTCGGTCTGCTTGCGGATGTCGGCATCGTCGGCGCCGCTCTGCTTCAGCTTGTCGATGCGGTCCTGCTGCTTGGTCGACTCGAGGTGGTAGTATGAGAGCTCCTTATCCAATCTAGGCAAAGGCGAGCGAGTCAAAGCCGGGCGGATCAGGGCACTGAGGATGTTGCTGCAGCCGTGCAAGAGCAGGGCTTACCGCTTGACGACGCCGGTCTTGATTTTGAGATCACGGAGCGACATGGCTGGCTTGTTCTGTGGGCGAACGTTGGTGTCGGAAGATGAGGGTCGAGGCAGAAGGATCGAGGCAGAAGGATCGAGGCAGAAGGATCGAGGCATGTCCGCCACAGGGCGAATGCTGCGGCGTCTGGCTGGCTGGCTCCGAGCGGCCCTGGTTCCTCGTCCATCACCCCTGGGCAGATGCACCCAACACACCTGTTTGCGGTTCGCAAGCATTGCTTTCGCTTGATTACTGGTACGAGCTGACTGGCTGCGGGGCAATGTTGGGAGATCGATCTCCGTCAGAGCAGCAGATGGCGGCACCGGCCTTACGACAGGGCTCTGGAGCCGAGTTGGCGCTTTCCGGCCGATCCGGCGCCGATGCCCGCCATGAATCCGCCATCTCCAAGGGCCTGCGCTCGGCCAGTCTGCGACTTTGCAAGTGCGCTAATGACACTCGGCGGCATTTGCCTTGAATTATACGCCATAGACTGAGATCCTATTGCGTCGGAAGAAGCGAGCGGACGATCGAGTCCACGCCGCCAGAGCAAACCGACACGGCTAATGACAAACGCCGGCCTGCTCCTGGCAGTCGCTACCAGCGTCTACTTTGTATCGGCGATCTATTCCATCTGCATCTCCAAGTGGCTGCCGTATACCGGCATTTGGGTGAGCCGGGTATAGAGCTGGGTATAGAGCTGGGAGAGCAGTCCTTGCATGCATCACCATCGAACACTTGTTCGTCTCCACCCGAGTCCACATTCCTCATCCGCTTGCTGTGTCGATTTCAGGTCCTGGATTGGGTCAAGGACGATACCTACTACTGCCTGCTACTGCCGATCCTGGGGCCGGTGATGGTGTATTTTGTGTTCTTCAACTGGCTTGGGATGAAGTTCTTCAGGACAAACTAGTGCCCGATGAGTCCCCGGCGGCCATTCTTTGTTTCTTGATCCCTAATACACATGTGGTCGCCGAGTGTGTCTGGAGATGCTGCGTGCAGGTCCCTCATCGCCCATCAGGAACAACCTTGATATCCAGAGCCGCTGGTGCAAGAGTTTCCTGCGGGATCTGGGCTGGCGGCTCGACTTACAGCTGTCATTTGTGCCATGAGTTCATACCGGCAGAGAGGTCGGTGTGCAGTCGGTTTCGGAGCGCTTACAGGCAATCCAATAAAAACGGGACACCCAGGTTTTTGACCATTGATCGAATATTTTGTTACCCAATGTTATCGCGCGCTGGCCATGACCATTCGCCACACATCCGACTTTCGCACCGCCGCATTGCGATGCTACGCCCTCATCCATAGCCTGCGTAAGGTCGCCTCCATATTCAGTGTATCCGAGAGCACCATCCATCGATGGCACCGAGGATGCAAGCTGGATGACCCATCCCGGGTCCCAGCTCGCAGATCCACTTTCTTCGAGCAGGCATGTCCAGTCATTCGCACCCTGATTGAACAGGACCCGTTCCAGACTGGTCCTGTGCTGCGGTGCAAGCTCGAGTCCATCCTCCAGAGGAAAGTATCACTCTCACTCTGCCACACTTCCATCCACCGAGCAGGTCTCTCACACAAGAGGGCAACACACCTCTACAAGTCCAAGCGACTGGATGAGCGAGTGGCACAGTTCAGGGACCAGGCCCGCTCCATCGACCCACGACGATTCGTTTTTGTCGACGAGACAGGGATCAGGAGATCCATTTTCCCTCTTTACGGATACTCACCGAAGGGTGCTCCGCTTCGCCAGCGCAATCACATGAAACACAAGTCTGTCTCGGCTGCATTTGCAATCAACCACTGGTGTGCTGCATCGCATGTACATCCCCACATCATTCAAGACACACTCGATGGTCGAGTTCTTTGAGCGAGCGAGCTTCCCAGACGACTCTGTGGTTGTGATGGACAATGTCAGCATGCACAAGACAATGGCTGTCCTGGACTGCATCGAGCGCCGAGGATGGTCAGTGATCTTCACCCCACCTGCCTCACTCGACTTCAATCCCATCGAGAACTTCTTTGGGATTGTGAAGCACCAGTACAGGAAGGTGGCAGCGCTGAATGCGTCCGAGGGGTTCAAGATCGGGATGGTCACATTGTTCGAGTCTGCCGTTCGGAGGGTGCTTCCAGATGTCTTCCCACGGCTGATTGAGCGAGCGATGCGCTTCTGGGGTTGAGTTCCCTCCAATCAAGCCGCCATTCTCACGCTCACATCCCTGGCTTGAACCTCTCGGCGATTTTTGAACAGGTCACTTCCCCAACCAGCCCGCAAAGACGGGCTCCTGCTCTCGGGTATAAATGCCGCTCCTTCGTCCTGCTACTTTCTTCCCTCATCTCGCCTTGATCTGATCATCGCGCCATTGTACGATAAAAAAAGTCTCTGTTCTGACCAGTACCACTGGCAGGCACCCAGCATTCTCTGCCCCCATGCCTCTGAAGCGCAAGGGTACCGGTGATGGCCAGCCTCGGCCACCCAGGCCCAAGAAAGCCAAGTCACAGTCGGAGCCTGTCTCTGGTTCGTATTCTGATCTCACGCATGCTTGTTTCTCTGTTGCTCCGTCGCTCACCACCACTGCTTCTGCAGATCCAATGGATGTCGATCCCACCGAGCCTGGTCCATCTACTTCCTCGAGTACCGGCAAGCGATGTCCCAAGTGCGATGGCACCGATCACGAACGCTGCAACACCAACAAGTGTCCCAAATACCGGCCCCTCAAGAGCTCCGTCGTCCCACTCGTGGATGGAAGGTCATCCGCCCCTCAGTTCAGCTGCTTCAAGCAGACGATGGATGGCTGTTGTCTCAATCCCGCTCTCCGCGACAAGATCCAGGCCACCGTCGAGACCATGACCCAGATCCAGTTCGAGGCATCCAGGCTGCTCAACCTGCACATCCTCCGGTGCATCGAGCAGGATCTTCCCGTCCCTGTCATCTCCAGGGCCACCCCTGCTTTCATCCGCCAATGCTTCAAGATCGTCCAGGACGGTGCCCTCTCGACGGCCAGGGACACCAAGAAATACAACGAGCATCTGGTCGCTTCCTTTCGCGACTACCAGACCACTCGGCACGCAGACCTGCCTCCGGCCCCTCGTCTGCCTGATGGTGCTCACAGTCAGCTTCTCACACTGGCTGTCAATGCCTATGCCACCAACTGCACCACCCACCTCGACCTGGCCTACTGGCGACTCCTTCGCCGCTTCTGCGCTGCCGTCTTCCCAGCCAACAAGCACAAGCACGAAGCCATCGAGGCCTGTCTCGAGCTCTTCGAGAAACCAGGGCAGACTCCACCCAAGGCCGATCTCGAGTTCCTCTATCCAGACTTTGGCCACGTCCTGGACGAGTTTCGGTACAGCAACGACCAGGACCGCTTCCGGGCCCTCCATCGCCTCTCACACCATGTGGGAATCCTCGCCCGAGACAAGATGGTCGACAATGTCCACAAGTGGATCGACTGTGACATGCCCGCCCTCCGAGTCACCGAGCTGCAGCGCCAGGCCAAGCTGGACAGCCTCACTGCTCGAGGCATTCCCTCCGACGACAAGAGGTTCACCACGGCCAAGTCTGAGCTCGGCACCACCAAGTCCAAGATCAACAAGCTGGCATCCAGACTCAAGTGGTGCCTCAAGCAGCTCGCTCTCGACACTCCTCCGGCCGTGTGCACGATGGTCCCTCTGTGCACAGCCAAGGCCAAGTATGTCAAGATTGACACGGTCACTCTTTGGCAACTCCTGGGTCCAAAGAAGCGCCTTGGACTCACCCGGGACATGCTCAAGGAAGAAGGCGAGGACGGCATCAACAACCAGGATCGTCTCTGGCGCAGTTGCTTCAAGCTGCGTAGTTCCCTCTTCCAAGAGCGGGTCAGGGACAAGAAGCTGTTCAACTACGAGATCAGCACCGATGGCATTGGATGCACCATCGGTCTCGTCAAGTTTGTGCCTCGAACCGATCACACCGAGACCATCGAGCCTCCTCCGACTGCCGAGCAGCGCATCCAGGAGCACATTGGCGACCCAGACCCCGATCGCACCACTTGGATTGGCATCGATCCTGGAGTCGGCTCCGTCTTCACGGCGGTCATCCAAGCACCGGGCCACCAAGACGAGGTGGTCTCGTTCTCCAATGGCCACTACCAGCACATGTGTGGCCATACGTCCAACACCAGGTGGCACAACACCATGAAGTATCGACTCAGCATCGAGACCTGGATGTCAACCACCCCCTCGCCCAAGGTGTCGTCCTCGGAGGCCTTCAAGGTCCATCTCACCCATGTCCTGCGACCGGAGCTGCGAGTGCAGCTCGACTTCCACCTTGGCAAGAAGACTCGCCACCATCGATTCACGGGTCACAAGAGGCGCCAAGTGGCCGTCGACAGGATGTGCAAGGCCGTCCTGAAGCACGTCCCGATACGGACCGATGTGGTGATCGCCTTTGGCAATGCGTCATGGCGACAAGGCAAGGGCTATGCATCCAGCCCTCGGAGGCAGCGGTTTGCTCGGTACTTTGAGCAATTCGAGCACCACCGACGCCGTCCCAATCACCCTCACGGAAGCGTCAAGGTGGCCTCGACGAACGAGTTCAACACCTCGCAAGTGTGCTCCAAGTGCCTGGAGCCGGTTCGGTTGGAAGGACTCGATGCGCCTAGTGTTGCGAATTCCCACTTTGTCAGGAGCTGCAAGAATCCCAGCTGCCGGACAGTGTGGAATCGCGACGTCAATGCGGCGCGCATGATCGCAGTGTGCAGGTCGATTGTGGAGACCGGAGAGCGACCGGCGGTCTTCACTCGGAGGCTGCCAAAGTGATCTGTTTTATTTCTTGTGGCTTTGCTTGACGCAAGCACAGCACATACTACCTGTTCATGGAAACGGCTATATTGTCCCGTTTTTTTCTGAATAAAGTGTACAGCGGAAGCAAGGCACAAGCCGTTTTGGTCAGCATTTCAATTCAGCGATCGCCTCTGGCTCGCCTGCCCAGGCTCTTCCCTCGTCAGCCCTCGCTCCATCAAGACTCTCCTCCACCCGCCACCATCATGTCTGCCGTCTCGACCGCCGAACTCGAGCAAATCTTCAAGGACAAGCTCCAGGCCGAGCATGTGGTGCGTCTCCATCGGGCCCGAGGTCGCATGGCATTCCTCTGCCGAGTGACAGCCCGATTGCCGCCTGTCCTGCTTCTAAACGACACTTGTCGTTCAACAGAGCGTCGTCGACACATCCAACGGATGCGGACAGTGCTTCGAAGCCACCATCGTTTCGTCCCAGTTCGAAGGCAAAAGCTTGATCCAGCGTCACCGGTAAGATCGGCTGGCACTGCGTTCTGCTGCACTCGACGTCGATCCAAACAGCCGATCCCTCACCACGGAAATATGCCGTCTTCTCAGTCTGGTCAACGAGAGTGCCAAGGATGAAATCGCTCGCATCCATGCCTTCTCGCAGGTACGGCATCGTTCGCCCCCCCCCTTCTCGGGTCGATGGATCGCTGGACCTCCAGATCCTGCAGTCGGTGTCGGCTCACGCTAGCCCGCACTCTGCTCTGTCCTTAGAAAACCCTGACTCCAGCTCAGTGGGCCGAGAAGCAGAAGCAGCAGCAACAGTAGTTATCATCGATGTCGATCAACTGAATGATGGCCTTTGGAGTCTATGGCCGCTCTTCACCCGCGAGAGCACAATCGCAGAAGGCTATCTTGAACCGCAATCGGCCAGAGAAGTCGTGCAGTGCGCCCAATAAAACAAATCAAGATTTCTCCAAGATTGGCCGCTCCAGAATACTCGGAGGGTATATGCTGGACCAGCCGACCCTGTTTGGGGGCTCATCACTGCAATTGCGGCCGTGCTCAGGAGCAAGCTCTGCAGAGTCCGGCTATGGCAATGGCCTGTCGATATCAGCCAGAAACTCTCACAACATACCAAACGAGAATGCGACTGGGAGCGATGCAGGGTCGTATGAGATGGAAGTCGTGTTGGCATGGCTCATGCGGACATATCCATTGCTGAAACAGTACCAACTCGGGCGAGACAAATGGATCACAGCAATGCGCAACAGACAGAGGGGCATATTCAAAAGATTGAGAAATGCAGCTGTGCGGCCGAGTGGTATCCGGCAAGAGGCAGCCCGATCCCACCTATCTGAGGACCTCAGTGCATCCGGCATCTACCACGGCAGCGTCTTGACAGGGAACACTTTGCCCTTCCATGTGAGTTCCAAGTTCTCCCAGTCCATGCTTTCGCCAAAGATCCGCGAGACCACCGACGACCGGATCAGCGTCAGAGGCGGGTACTCGATCAACTCGCCTTCCTTCTGGAAGACGGTGTATAGCTCTGCTTTGGGCGATGGATGGTAGAGCCGACCCTGGTTGGAGAGATAGAGAACTGCAGGCTCGAAGGGGGACTCGAAGCTGCCTCCCCACTTGAGCTGGTCTCGCTCTGTGGGAGGGCAGCCAATCAGCCAACCATCGGGCATTTCGAAGTGAGGTTAGCCTCGTCCTCGGCCCATCTTGCAGCACGGCGGCTGCGCTGCGGCACCAACATACCCATGTCGATATCGTAAAACACAATTGGAGCTGGCAGCGGTGTCGATCGAAACCCAGTGTGAGCATCATCATGAGTGCGTCTTGGCACCAACGACACTGCTGGACAAGCGCACTCAGCACCGAACCGCCAGCAACTCACAGTCTTCGACCGTGACAAAGTTCATCTCTCGGCCGCAGGGACTGATAAAGGGATACTCCACGGTCTTGCCGTCGCGGTCCAAGCTGCGCTGGATGGTGTTGGGCTGGAGCCGCGCGTAGAAAAAGTTGAGAAACTCTCTGTTCTTGAAGCCTGTCCATGAGGGCCGCATCCGATACCGGCTGGTGAGTCAGACCGAGCAGGAGCGGCGGATAGCAGACAGCAGCAAACAGCAGATAACCCAGCGACTCGGTTTACATGTCGTAAAGTTCTTGTGGGTTATGTCTTCCAGGAACAGCTGGAGCAATATATTCGCGAGCGCGACGATAAGCATTGACGAGATGGAGATATCCGACCGCTGTTGGTTTGGTCGTCATTGCCATTGCAAGCAACGGGTTGATGTCCTCGGCCTCACTCTCCAAAAGCACTCGTACCTGGCCGTGGCAATCGACGTGATAGAAGTATTCCCGGTCCCACTTTTGCGGGGCGCTGGTGAGCAGCCGGCGAGTCGCCGCAACCGGGGCAGCGCGGCCGATGGCGACGAGGCTTCTGAGAGGCCCGAGATTGATGCGAACAGGCATGTCGGCTGAGAAGCAGTGGGTGTTCGACTAGAGCTTGGTTCTGCGGCGCACAGATCGAGGCTGGAGTGGTTGTGCTCTTGGGAGAGCGGACGACGGCGGCGAAGAGGGGTGTGGGTGCTGTTGCCCTCTCGGCCAGGGCAATAGTGTGTCCTGCCAGCAGCCCATGGCATCCTCTCGGCCAGCGCTTTCGCTCGCATCGCCCAGACCAAACGGATCCGCACGGAAGTCAAGCTCCGGCCAGTTGCGTCCCGATCACCGCTGCTCTCAAGACCAGCCCCGCTCCCCGCTCCGTCGGCGCCCTTTTCGACGCCGATCCGCACCGAGCCCATGTCGTCCGAGCCGCTCGATACAGCCGCCGAGGACCACATTCCGCGACATCGGCAGGCCGAAGTCCAGCGAGCCTTCCGGGCCCGGCAGCAGCACCGACGCAGCCAGCTCGAGTCCACCTCTCGGCTTTGCACCATCCGATCGCACCAGCTCGAAGAAGCCAGGTCGCGGCGGGCCGAACAGGAGTCGACCCTTGGCCGGCTCGGTCAGCAGCTCGACATGCAGGCCCGCGAGCGAGCCAGTTGGCAGGAAGAGAAGTTGCGTCTGGACGGATGGGCGAGCGAGCTCGAGACCTATAACCACCGCCTGGCTCTCCGGAACGACCTTGCCCGCAATCTCATCACCCATCTTGTGGAGAAGCTGCAGCAGATCGAGGAGTACCCCGGCAATCCATCGGGGCTGCTCCATGACGCTGCTGCGGATGACTCGGCCATCCGCCCGCTGCACTCTTCCATCCTGGAACTCAACGCACTGCTTTCTGGCGGCGATGCATCTGGGCCCCGCCTGCCTCTCCTGCTCGCGCTGCCGGATCTGGGGAGCTTTCTCGAGCAAAGCTGGGAGTCGTTCGACATTCAACGAGCATCGATCTATGGCATCTGTGATGCGCATGGGGAGCTTGTGTTGCCGGAACAATCCAATATTGAGATGCCCTGATATGCAATCCAGCCGTGTCTCCAATGTGGCAAATACATCGACTCGTAGGTCATTCATCACGACGGCCCCGGCCATTGTGTCGATTATGGGAGCTAGATTGCAGATTCCAAAACTTCAGCCAGGCCCATGCCACAGACAAGCCGGCTCGGACTGAATGCCATCCGCGGGGTAGACGAGCAAATGTGAAGCTCATCCCATCAGCCGAACGGCGAGCAGGCGATGGAAGCCGGTCGTATCGCTGCAGTGCTCAATCTCCCACTGACGAAAGTCGGCCGTGGATGGGCAGCAGATGAGACGGTGTGAGTGTCGATGGACAAGAACCATGAGTTTCGCATTTGACGGTCACCCTGCTCGGTACTCCAGCTGCGATTTGCCAGATCTATGGCTGGTGCAATCGCTTACCTCGAGCCACGGCGGACAGATGCTTTCCGACAGTTGCTTCGTGAATGTTGCCCATGTTTCATGGTCGCATGCCAGTTCTTCCTGGGACGGACTCACAGCCCCGACAGCGACAACCTTCGTTTGCGCCAGGATCTTGACGAGGCAGGTAGCCTGCTGGCCTGGGTCGGACATGTGCGTCTGGATCTGCGTCTGCACCCACTCCTGGCGAGCACGATGGGATGGATCTTGTATGTCGTGCCCGACAAAAGCGTCAAACAGAGCGCTGCCACGGGTGTCGTCGAGTCCGAGATAGAGAGCCAAGGCGGCGCTGAATCTGTCGCCATCTGCCACAATGCATCGTCCTTCGATGCCGTCGTCGATCTGGAACTCGACGGAGATCTCGGCGTCTTCCGCGAGCGCCATCTGCCCGATATCGGCGGGATCGGGCATCTCGTTGGCCATGCGGATCCTGATGTTTCCAGCGGCACCGATGCACTCTCGCCTCACAGTCGCAAAGCGGACCATTGAGCCGCAAACTTGGAGCTTCTCCGGAGGAGGTTTCGGGCCGTTGGACGGGATTCCGGTGGCAGGGCCATTCGAGACCCTCTCAATCGAATTACTAGGCGACTGGGCTGTGGGAGGCTTGCTAAGCGGTGGTGTAGTAGCCGGGGTGACGGGGCGCTTCGATGGCCCAGGACTTGAGTTGTCGACTGCGGCGGAGGGACGGCGTTTTCTCAGACCCGAAATGCGGTTTTGTGGAGCCATGTGGATTGTGGGGGTCGGCAGTTGACTCGGTTCCCGCGCCGCAGCTGTCGACATGGTATTGTTGCGTCCCAATACCAGCTCGACGGCTTCCTTGACTTCCTGAACTTTGCCTGGGTTCCTGACGAATGCGAGAGCAGATGGGCGACATAGTTCAATATCCATGTTCAAGGCGCAGCACGAGAGCCGGTGTCAACTGACGGGTGCTCGGGATCATGAACTATAGCGTCCGTTGAGATTACGTACTCGTTCATCCACTGTTCAAGCGCTTCACGCCGCTCGCTGGCAGGCCCGGATCTGAATGCAGTCGAGATTTCTGTCTCGCTGTTGCCACGAAGGCGGTGGCATCCACGTTGCTGCTGAAATGCGATGTACTCCAGATTCCTAAAGTGCACGATCCCCTTCAACTGAGGCCGGAGGGGAGTGTAAGTCAGAGATGCACGCCACTATGTGCCATCAGCAACATCGCCAACTTACCGATGACAGGGATTGATAGCCAAACATTTGAATCTCGCAGGGAGTGCCCTCGCGATCATAGCACATTATGAGGGTTTCGAGCTTTGGCGAGAAGTCTCCAAAGCCCACTGGCATCTGCTGGGACATGCCTGCTCGGGTAAATCGACATCAGTGATCACACAACGACAGCCAACGAGAAGGCATCCAAAAAGACAGCTTCAACTTACGCTCGACAACCAGAACCATGTCGACCTCGTCCCCGTGAGATTTGACCGCGAGTTCGGACGACCAGAAGAGCGAACGAGGCAGATAGGTCGATCTTGCCAGCCGTTCGGGTGTGGTTGGTCGTATCCGGCAGCTGATCTGACGAGAGGCTTTCAGCACCACCGATGTATTCTTGCATATCACTCGGTTTGGGCTGATGCACTGAATGTTGTATATCTGGTGAAATACGGACCAATTATCAGTGGAGGAAATGACTCCGTCAGGGCCCTCTCATCACAGGCGCGGAAAGGGCAAGACCAAGCCGCCAAGAGCAAAGACAGCGTCATGGCTGCCAACCTGGAGTCGAGTGCCCTCTGTGATTTCGGCAAGCTGATCCAGCGACGGAGTCCATATGGTCAGCATTGTCTCTGCAACTTCATCCGGGCTGGTGCCTTCGGGCGGGTAGTCGCAAATCCGGATGTTGACAAAGGATGTGACATTTCGCTGGAAGCAGAGGAATGATGAGAGCCAGTCGGTGCCACCAGCACTCGGTTTGTGATTTACCCTGCTATGCCTCCGGGAGTAGAGGATCGCACAGCGCGACTGTGCTCACCTCGCCGTGGTCGGGACCTTCGGAAAAGCCGAGAAGCGCATCGAACCGGCGGCGTCTCTCTCGGATGTCCATAGTCTGAGCTGGCGCAGTGGCGCCGTCTTGAGCCGAATGAAGCGGGGGCTCGTTCTCGTACCCGCCGCCAAATCGACGGAAAGAGCCATCGGCCGCCTTGCTTTGTTGCATCTATCGCATGGGACCAGTGATGCATCAGATGAAGCGAGAAGCCTAGAGCGCATGCAGATCGACGACAAAGCGCTCCGCGACTTACCTCCCAACGCCGCTGCTCGATATCCTCTTCTTTCTGATTTCGGATGATGTTTCGCCCACCGATCGATTTGTCGAGGTACAGAATCGGATAGACCCTGCAAACTACGACATCAACGCATCCAGCAGAGCCACCGTCGGCACTCAACGAGGCCAGGCCGCTGACAAACAATCTTTGGCGCTGCAGGCCGAGCTTTGCATCCCACGCGGCTCGACGGACGCTGTTTGCGTTTAGCTGCAACGACACCGCGCCATCCGTGTTCAGGATATCGGTACCAGCGCCAATCAGCTGGATAAATCATACAGTAGTTCACCAAGGACGGCAGAAGGTAAAGAGGTCAGTCGATAAGGGAGTCCTGAGCAACCCATGATGACAACAATAATGATGCGTTGGACAGCTGTCATTCCCGAGCAACCCGATGCACATGACCAACCTTGGCGTTCTGAACATGCAACTTGAGCCCCGTAAAGATCTTTTTATCTCGAAGCGCTTTGGCAAGGCACTGGTCCAGCTTGGCCATGATAAAGTACCATCCATCCGTCAACTCGATCTCGTCTGGGCGGAGACACAGTTTGGGAGAAAGGTGGGTCAGCTATGCGATTCTGTTGGCGCATCAATCGGTGGCTAAACTGCGATCGTTGCACACTGGCGGGATTACAGCACCGACGACGCCCAATACAAAAGATCACAGACTGTTTGGGGATATGATCGCATATTGCAGCTCCATACCGAGACCCAAATGTCGACCGGGAGTGAGCTCGGGCGACGCTCGCGAAACACAGAGCACCATGTGCGCTGATGCGGGATGATCCCGCTCGACAGCCAGCTTGAGGGCAGATCGATGGGCCATGTTGACTTCGCGCTGATACCTGCACAGGGCAATGTTCGTCAGGACCCGCACGACAGAGTTTCGGATGCAATGCCTGAACATGCATCAGCAACGGCTGCAGCGACAAAACCAACCGATAGAGCAGCTGCGAGACGACCATCTCGATATTCCAGTATGATTGTTGCAGGCGAGGCGACTGGCGGACCATGCAGGCAAGCTTCCACACAATCGAGCGGTAGTGGTTCATGACCCAATCCGTCGTGAGAAGCGAGGCCTGACAGCCACGCTTAATAAGCTCCTGCGTGATGGCCTCTGCATCGAGCGACTCTCCAGAGCAAGAAACAAACTTGTGCGTCTTGGACAGCACCGAGTTCATCCTCAGGATATCATCGGGTCTATAGCCGGGGCGAGAAGATCAGAGGCAGATCAACGTAATTATGCATTGGACGACAATGGTTGAGCGCGGGGACATACAGCGCCTGGCGACCGTCAATATTATCGAGCTTGACTTCTGTGAAACACTCCTTCCACGACTGGCGGGGGGCTGAATCTGCAGGAAGCGAATCGTCAGTGGCCGTGGCTGTAGCTACCGTTGCTGTGAGTTTGGTACCTACTTGACACATCGAATATCTGGGGAATTTCTTGCCGCTCACTACGCCGAGGGCTTTCGTATGATCTGGATGTCGGCGGGTTGGCCAGGTTGCGGGATCGGGCCGTCAACGGAGATTTAAAGGGTTTGTTCTGGCTGCCGATGGCTCGTGAGACAGGTGTTTTGGGCGTCGTGGGCAGAGCTTTCAGAGGATCGGAATGGTAGCCACCCAGGCGGAGCGGTGATCCAGCGGGCGCAAGTGAGGGGACCGGTGGTCGTGTTGCCGAGGCAGCGGCAGAAGGAGCGACTTTACGAGCCGTCGGCGTGCTGGGCATAGGCTTGCGATCTGTTTCGGCTGGGCTGCCTGAGCTCAGCAATGCTTCCGCTTGACGCAATGCTTCTCTCGATGGCGGCGGCAGCAATCTGCCTTTGGCGGTCGAGAATCCAGCTGAAGACATCGACGGCGTTGTGGCAGGGCGGGTTGGAGACTGGGACGGAGCCTGCGAGGCTGCCTTGTCATGAGTATACGCTCCCATTGATTCAGCCGCTGGATCGACGGAATCTTGAACATTTGATTTTGGTGCCATTCTGGTTGGGGTCTTGAATACCGGCCGGGATGTGCGAAGGGGAGTTTGGGGTGGCCCTTTACTTGGCAACTTGACTGGCTGCTCGGCGTGTGAATCGTCAGCATCCGCGAATATTCGTTGTGCCCGTTCTAGAGCCGCACCGGACAGTTTCGGGAAGTGCTTGCCAGAGGCAGTCATGAATGTTCCAGGTCCAGATGGTTCTTCGCAAATGGCGCCCTCCAGAAACTTGGCCGACAAGGTCGTATCTGGGTGGGAGAATACGGAGGAGCTGCTCGATGGGGGCTGTGGAGGACCAGTGCCTTGATTTTGCCGCTTTGGAGGACTGCGCAGCGTGTCAGTATCCGAAGAGTCTGAGAGGAGATCTCGGGCACGCTTCATGGACTCGGCTGAAGGGGTAGGAAGCGAGTGTCCTCTGGCTGTCTGGAATCCGGAGGTCGTGCGACTGCCGGTGGTTACCATTGCTGGCACGCTGGGAGTGTCTTCGGAGGCAAACCTGCTCGAGTGACTGTCGGTGGAGCCAGCGCCCGAGAGGAGGTTGTGGGCCATCGCGAGTGCCTGAGCCGAGGGCGGTGGGAGTGAGGACCCCCGCGCTGTTGTAAAGCCAATGCTCGGACCGCTCGAAGTTGGCCGATGCTGATCTGAATTATCCTCGACGTCTGTGGTAGTGGGACTGGCTGACGCTGGGATAGGGTGTTGAGGCTTGGCAGTTTCGTCGGCTGCCTCAACAGCGGAGCGATCGGCAGTAAAGGCACCACCGACCGATGGCGACTCTACAAGAGTTGTCTCGCTTTGAATCTCACTGACCGAGCTTTGGAAAGAGCCAAACGACTTTTCTGTACCGAGACGGGTTGGTCTAAAGGTCCCCAAGGTACTCTTGGTGGCCATCGGCGCCGAGGCGATGTCTGGAGGCAACGAGAGGGAACATGTGGTCTCTGAGACGGCATCTCCATCCAGATGGTCGGGGTCAGGGAGTCTCCCGACCAACGAGTCGGTGCAAGTTGGCAGAGTGTGCTCTGATTCTTCAAGTGACTCGAGAGGTGCTTGCTGCGGAGAAGATGCACTCAGTCGAGAGTCGGCAGTGGCCTCGACGCCCTGGGATGGCTTTGGGTCTTCACATGCCACATGTTCCAGGGAGCGTTGGTCCGGCTCTTCTCCCTCACAGCTGGAGAACCCGGTCGAGAGGCGCGGGAAACTGGCGTGAATAAAGCCAGTATCTAGATCCAGGCTGCCAAGTATCGGGCTCTCGCATCGTGCCGAGACGCTGGTTGACTCCGCACCACTGTTGGATATCTGCTGTTCTGCACAGTTGTCATCGCCCGGCATTGCTCTGTGGTCGTCCGGAGACGAAATCACAGCTGCTGGACCAGTTGACTTTGCATCGTCTCGGAAGCTGACGTCCGAGGCCTCTGGAGTTGAGAGCACCAGGTGCCTAGTTGGCGATGCCAAAATGGGGCTGCAATGGCAGTCGTGATGCCGGCCATCTGGCTTAGGCGATGGCGCCGATTCTTTCGGACTTTGTGGCGATTCGTCATAAAGTGAGTCGAGCGATGCGTCTCTCGATTCTGCCTCAGGGTACAAGGGCGATGAGACCAGGGCCGGGGAGGCGAGTATCGGACTGCCGTACTCGGTCCTGTCGTCCTTGCCGGCGTAATTGAGATCCGGGTCATCGTCAAGGTCTTCGTCTCGGTCATGAATGATGCCGCCCAGCAGAGGAGAATCAAGCGGATATTCTTGCCGACGCACATCAAGCTCGTTGTCTTCGACCAGCTGGGTGTCCTGAAATGCAATGAACGGCCTTAGTTTGCAATTCATCATGGCTTGGCTAGGTGCGGGCCGGCCGTTGCCAATGGGCGACAAGACTCACTCCGTAGTCACAATGCGCGGCCGATATAAAGCGGGGCGAGGTCTGGGAAGCGTCATTGTCGTCGCCGATCAGCGCGGGCGACGAGGTCCACAGCCCGGAGAGTTCGTTCTGGAGGCCGGTCCGGCGGGTCGGCGATGAGCTGGTGCGAGGTTGATCAGTGCTCGGGTCGGCTCGCAGTCGCTTTTCGGTGCGCATGACAGGGGTTCTCCGGGAGAATGCACGCCGCACACCCAGCGTCTTTGGTGGAGCTTTCGGGGTGCGTCGTGGGGGCGAGTGAGATTGGCTGGTCGACCGCTGAAGGGTCGACGGTCGCAGATGGCTCGATGCCACCATGTCTGTGCCTTGATGGAGATCAGGAGTCGAGGGTCGCTTGAGTCTGGTTGAGGGCGGGGAAACGGCCGACGCAAGCATACCTGGGAGATGCAGATGCGAGAAAAGCAGGAGACAAGATGCGGGTGCCGGTCGGCGGATCAGAACGATGCGAAACCGACAAGCAAGACGCAGTGCTTGGGTTGCGAAGCACAGGAGCCGCCGCAGCGAGGGTGTTGGTCCAGGAAACAGACCTCGGTCGCTGCTGGTGCCGCCGACAGGCCGGCTGTGCGACGGACGCAGACCGGGGCTTTGGAACGACCGACGGAGGACAGGCCCGCCGGGCGGCTGGCTGGGGGGCTCTCCGGGCATGATGGCGAGATCCAGGCCAGAGCAGGCCGCGGCAGAAGGACGATCTGGGCCAGAGGCCGCCAGGCAACTGCGCAGTGGCCGTCTGGCCGAGCCAAGGCCGCGTGGGCCAGGCCGGATGAGCCACGCGGCCAGACCACCCCCGGACATTGCTTTCCATCGGGTCGACGCAGGTCGTGCTGGGCTGCATATCGCTCCTCAAGCTCGTCTCGCGCTGATTGCCGCACGACTCGAAGCTGGTCCGCAAGAATCGATCGCCAGCCATGTCCTCCAAGACCGACACCATGCCATTTCTCGTGGACATCACATCCTCGCTGATTCACGGCCGCCCATCGTTCGAAACCGGCGAGACGCTGCTGCTGACCCAAGGTGGTGTGGGTCTCTACGATGGGTGAGCAGCTCCCCCTCAACTCTGGATGGCCACTGTCGGCTGAGCTCTGCAGCCGCTGCAAGAGACGTCGCCGCTGACCCCTGCTCTGCCGATTCGTCTGCGGCTCGATCTCCACAGAAAGCTCCGCCTCACCGATTTCGACGACGGGCTGGCCTATGTGACAACGCATCGCATCCTCTGGGTCCGCGAAGGCGTCCAAGAGCCCAAAGGCCTCGCTCTTGCCCTGTCCAGCGTCCTCTCGGCAGAACTGGATGTACGGAACACAAGTGCATCGGAGGAAATGGCTCTGTTTTTCTTGCACCGTGCTCGAAAGGGGACTGCTGCCTCGCTTCCATTCCATTGACTTTGTTTCCACCAGCCAGGATTCCTGACTCGGTCCCCCAAGATCGTCGTTCAACTGACTCAAATGACAAGAAACACATCAGGCGCTCTGGATCTCCATGAAAATCCACCCAAAAGCACAGTCATCTCGCCAAAGCTCACCACATCCCCGTCTGTCGCTCCATCGGCCGGCTTGTCGGGCAGAGGATGGATTTGTGACATTTGCGACCACACCAACGGGCCCAGCGACCTCTCCAAATGTGCTCTGTGTGGCGTTCCCAAGATCGAGCGAGCGAGCGCTGTCCTTCCGACCGATGCCCCCGCAACGAACCCGACACCATCCAGCGCCGCTGCGTACCTTTACCCTTCGTTGGACTCGATGCAGGAAGCAGGGACGGCTCCTATCGCAGACACATCCGACTTGCTGGCTTGCGAGATTTGTACTTTTCTCAATACCTCCGATTCCAGCAAATGCGACATGTGCGGCTCCCCGCTCTCCACAGTGGTGCTGCCATCCCCGGCTCCAAACGCATGCTCCGTCTGCACTTTTGCCAACCCGAGCAGCGAGCGTCAGTGCCAGATGTGCGGCTCCAGACTGCACGCAGAGGCTGCCGAGATGCAGTCGCCTACAAGCGCAGCCGCAGCACCTGGCGCTCTGCAGCCAAGCAACGGCCTGATCAAGTTGTCCTTTCGCAAAGGTGGATCCCGAGAATTCTATGGCCATATCAAGGACTCACTGTCACGGAAGGCGTGGGAGGTGAGTCGCCGAGGCCGGATCATGGGAGGGGCCGAGTCGCCAAGGATGGATCTGGGGCGATTGTTGTGCCTTGCCGCTGACCCGCAGGTGTTGTCCGGACACATCCAGAAACAGCAAGCATCCAATCCAACACCATCTCTGGGAACCAAGATCACCGCATCGAGTGTCGGCGGCATAAGTAAGCCCATCGATGTGCTTGCATTGGCATCGCTTGACGCCGTCCTGTGTCCATAGCTCCGAGCTGTGCATGGCTGTTGCGGTATGCGACTGGGGCTGTGATTAACCGCCGCCGCGATTTCAGCGGGCATCATCAAAAACGTCAACGAGTCCAAGCAAATCGTCGACGACTCCATGACCGAAGCCTTCCGTGACATGACCAGGCTTATGGAGAAGGCTGCGGCAATGGTGAGCCAGAGCTGTGCATGTGCTTGCTGGTGGCAACTCGCTGCGTCCTGTGATGTATGCTTCGACGCCTGTCCAGAAGCGACACGATCACTCACATTGGGGGCTTTGTAGGTTGAGCTGACAAAAGCCATCAGTGAACGGCTATCTTCTTCGTCTGGATTCATCGCTTCCGACGACAACGTCGATCTCGTTGCGTTCCGCAGCTATTTGGTCGATCTGGGCATTCAGAACCCTGTCACAAAGTAGGGCATGAGCACGTTTGATCGAGTCTTGGAGCATGGCCGGCTGGGGGGCTCTGGTTGAATCAGCACAGGACGATAAGGGGAGGCTGCGTTTCTTTCGCACGCTCATTGTTCAAACATCCCCTGTCATTGAAGAGACATTGTCGGCGACAGTTACATCAAGGAGCTGGCTTTCGAGATCGCGGGATTTTTGCAGAAGGTTCTGCCCAAGTACGGCGGCATGTTGTCGCTGGCAGATCTGTACTGCTTGTACAATCGCGCCCGTGGAGGGACAGGTCAGTCTTGGACGGTTCCGTTGGACGGCTCCGTTGGATGGCTCCGTTGGATGGCTCCGTTGGATGACAGCAGAGTGCCTTCCATGTATCAGGCCGAGCACTCGAAGGTACAGGCTGTGCTGAATGATCGTGTGTTAATGTGCTGGCTCTGACGAGTTTGTTTGCGATGCTGCTCAGCTCTGATATCTCCCGAAGACCTGAACAAGGCGTGCTCGTCGTTTGAAGCGCACTTGCTGCCCTTTGTCCTGCGAAAGTTTGACTCGGGTTTGCTGGCTGTGCATTCAAATATCCTTTTTCATGCGCGCGTTTGCCGACCGCCGACCATCGCCATCAATCTGCTGCATTCATTTGGTGGACATTGTTGCTGTCCTTGACTATCGTCGTCTATGGCGTCTGTTTCTCACGGCAGTTCACCGACAGGATGGGCGCCGAGCAAGTGCACCGCTGGATTCAAGAGTCCGCTCACGGACTCACAGCGACCGAGCTTGCCCTTAGACACGGAATGTCGCCGATCCTTGTCAAGGAGCAGCTATTGGTACGGCGAGTGCGGGTCTGTGCAATGGACGTTCTTGCGCTGGTCCGAGTGTCAAAGCGAGCATCTTGATTGTCGAGACGGGCTGCAACTGTTGCACTCAATGCTCAATCGCCCCCCCCCCATTCTCCAGGCGGCAGAAAAGCAAGGACTGGTATGCAGAGACGACACGATCGAAGGCATTCGGTTTTACAGCAACGTCTTTGCCACCCATCCGAGACTGTTCGTGCTGGGGTGACGGTCAATGCTAGAATATGAAATATATTGCGCCACTTTGGCTGACAGTCGGCTTGTTGCTCCGTGCATGCACAAGCCTGCAATTGTGCCGGCGCTGGGCAGTCTGTCGGTACAAAGACATGCCCACTGTCGCCCAGGGCTGTACTCGTGTTGCCCGGGGATCTACCGAGAGACTCGTGCTCACTTGTGTTTCTTGTTTTGCTTCTTGACACCCGCGGGTCCGCCCGAGCTCTGGCCTGGCAGCGTGACATCCTCGTTTCGCTGCGTGGCCTTGATGATGGTCTTGAACTGGCCCGCCATCTTGGTGGATTTGCGTCTGGAAGGAGGCTATAGTCAGCAAACGAGCACACGAGCAAGCGAACCGAGTGCCGGGACTCTCCTCCGCCATTCTGTTGTCTGTGTGGATTGGTCCGACAGCGGCAGCCAACTTACTTGTTGCCAACAATCTTGGAGTTGAGCGGGATGTATGCGAAGGGATCGGGCATGTTGGGTTTCTTGATGTCGCCCTTGGCTTTCTGCACAAGACAATCGCAGCCCCAACGCATCTCGGGTGAGCAAATCCACTTGGGAAAGAGTCTCGAGCCACGGCGATGTATGCGCACACACAAAACTAGCACACACCCATGACGTACCTTGGCCTTGTATTGTCGGCCCAGCATCTTGGCCACGGCAGCTTCCTGCCCACGCGAAGCTTCGATGCGTCCTCCAAAGCCTGGGAACTTGGCGCCAACGTCTCGCTCGTCGCCGTCGGCATCACCGTCGCGCTTCCGTTTGTTGGCCTTGAGGAACTTGATGCTGCCATTGGGCAGGCGCACAAAGGCAGCCTCGCCCGTCAGGGTCTCCTTGTAGTAGTCCTCGGCCTCGTTCTGGGCCTCGTCTGCACCCTTGGCGCCGGCGACATCGTCCTCATCGTCCTCATCCTCGATGATCATCCTGCCATCATCGCCCAGCGCGAACGATGCCTTGGCGGAGCCATCTTTAGCGGCGGTCTTCTTCTTGGTCGGCGCCGTCGTCACCTTGGAGACGACCTTGGAGTCCAAAAAGTCGATGATGTCGCCATCCTCGCGGATGCGGGTCTCGGCTGCCGCGCCGCGCTGGCTCGACTTGGACGATCCATCACGGAGGCGCTCGGGAAGATACTGCTCGAGGTCTTCGCCATCACTGTCGAGCTCACTCTCACTGCCATGGACGGCATCTTCGAAGGCCCTTTGGCTGCTCTGCGCAATCAGCTTCTTGGCTCGCTCGGCGGCTCGAGCCTTGGCGCCGGGGGCCGTCGGATCGTCGTCCTCGCTTTCATCAGCGCGCTCGAGGGCCTTCTTCTTCTTGAGCCGCTCGCGGCGCTTGCGGATGTTGACCAGGAGCTTGCGGTCTTGTTCAGGCACGAAGCCCTCGATGGCCTCGTATGAGAACCGTCGGACAAGTCGTTCAAAGATATGTCGGACCTTGGACTTGAAGTGCGACTTGTGGTCACGCGAGTGCGCCAGAATCGAGACGCAGATCTCCTCCAAATGATCCTCCAGCAGCTCTTGGCGAAGCGTGACGATCACAACCTTGACAAAACCAAGGACAGCCTTGACAATCTCCTTGGAGGGCGATGCCATGAAGTACAGGATCGTGGTGATGAGCTCCTTCACCAGCTCGTCAGCCATATGCTCTAGATTGCGGCCAGAACGAGGGCTGTTAGATATCGCCGTGGCCGTCTCTACAGCAGGCCGGGCTGACAGCATCGATTGTGGCCCTTGCCACAATCTCGACGGCGCATGTGCCCCACACTCGACAAAGCCGCGTACCGTGGAACTCGAAAACAACTCGCGACAAGCTCGAGATGGCAGCACTCTGCATATGAACGGTTGAGCCAGCAAGACCAGCGACAATCATCATAGTGTACTCGCGCAGGCTAACTTCCTGCTCAGAGCCCTCCATCTCGTCGTCGTCGTCATCGTCGTCATCCTCATCGTCATCGTCGTCGCCCTTGGAGGTCTCGAGCTGCTTGGAGAGGACAGTCATGTCCCACAGGCCTTTGACCTTGCCCTCTTCGCCGTAGATCATCATTTTCTTCCCCATGGCCACAAGACACTCAAAGGCCGTGTTCCGCGCGCGCTCGCTCGCTTCCTTGGTGGCCAGCATGACCTCCGACAGAACGACGGGCACAAACTGCAAGAGCAGCGACTTTTTCTTGGGCGGGATAGCGTCGGCCACCTTCATCAGACACTGGATGCGCGACTTTTTGGCACCCGAGGCCACAACCGAGAGGACATCCGGGTCGATCAGGTTCTCGATGAGGTCGTCCAGATCCAGCAGCTTGGGGTTGTGGGTGAGCACAGAGATGACATGGTCGAGGGCCTTGTAGGTCTTCTTTTGGAGAGTCGGGTCATCATCGCGCAGCTGGCCAGAGAGAACCTTGTAGAAGAGGGAGAGTGGCGTGTCCCCAGCTTGGCTCGGAGCGCTGCCATCCTTAACTTCGGGCAGGAACGGCAACAAGATGAGCAGCAGATCAAGCATGGCATAGTTGCGCAGCTGGACAATCTGCTTCTCCACGCCTTCGAGCGACTCCTGCTCGGTTTGGGACTGAAGCAGGGTCTTGACGAGGTTCAAGAAGTAGTTCTGGATGGCCTCGGCGTCGGCAATCTTCAAGAAGCTCTTGATGGCGATCTCGTAGTGCTGGTTCTCGCGCTCGTACAGGACCTGGAGATTCTGGCCCTTGGACTTGCTGCGGATCGACTCCAGGAACTCGGGCGGGACAGTGCTGTAGTTGTTGCAGAGCGTAGCAAGGAAGCGCGTCGAATATTCCTTCAGTCGATCGAGGCCACTGTTGATGCGGCTGGTGACGATAAAGTTCTCCGAGTCCGCGTGCTCGGACGACAGCTCAACAAAGCTGTCGATCAGTTGTCGCAAGGCGTTGCAAACGAGAGGGCGCATATCGGGTTCCGACGGAAGGTTGGGGAATAGCTCGGTGGGCTGAATCTGCAGGATACGGCCGAGGTGAGGACCGAGCAATGCAAAGGACTCGCCAAGGTCCTCGGGGACAGAGGCGCAGATGCCGCCGAGGAGGCCGAACGCCTGTGTTCCGAGAGTCTCGTAGAGCTTGGCCTCGAGGGCCTTGCGCGTTGCTCCACCCCACAGCTCCGAACTCCTGTCGAGCATGCGCTTGACAAGAGGCATGATCTCGGTGGCAAAGTACCGCAGCGAGTGGGGACCGAACGGCGTCGGGCTCGAGATCTTGGTTTCGGGAAGCGGCCGCTCGAGGCCTTCGAGCAGCAGAGCGAGCACGTATGGCCGGCGCGGCAGGTTCGGCCGATCGTTCTCGATATTGTGGGGTATGTAGGTGAGGAAGGTGTCGATGCCAATGGCCTGGCCAGCCATCTGCAATGCCGACTCGAGCTCCTTCTTGAACAGGAAGGACTCTCCGTAGCTGGGATCGTCGCGCAGAGTGACGATATCCTCGAGCAGTCCATGAACCAGCTCTGCGCTGTTGCGGCCGAGAGTCTTTGAGGAGTGCCAGTGTGCGTGGGAGGGGTAGAAAGCGATGGGCGACGAAGGTGAGCGAGTGGCTGCAGTCACACGGCAATCAACAGCATGATGAACCAAGCATGCAAGCCGCTGACTGCTTGCATGTGCCCAGCATCAAGCCTCCGATCGGCGTGAGGAGCGACATGATCACAAAACACCAGTCCGTGCAGTGCAATGGCTTACCACGAAAACAGCCTCGGCGATGGACAACACGGCGCCCCACGAGTCGTGGAAGCGCACGTTCTTGAAGGACTCGCGGATCATGTTGAGGATGCGGATGAGCGGCGGGAGCTCCGCGCTTCCCATGTCTGGGTCGAAGCTGGCGGCGTCGTCGACCATGTAGCCCACAAGCGAGTTCTGGATCATTGACACAAAGGCAGTGGCGGCGTTTTGGATGATGACTTGGCGATTGGACTCGCCAAAGACAGGAGCAAAGGTGGCCTCGAAAAAGTCCAGGACAAGCTTGGCGTATTGGTGCTGGGCGTACTTGTATTCAGCCGATGATGGATCGGCATCTTCCGACTCCAGCGTTTCCCGAACGAGCAGGGCGAGAGTCTGGAAGCCGCGCCCGAGTAAGTCGAACCAGGCAGGCGTCAAGCTCACGTCGTTCTGATAAGGGCGGACCTCCATGAGCTCGCGGATGACCGAATCCACAAGGGCAATGTCGAGCAGCGGGAAAGTCTCGCCGCTGTCGGCGGTGAAGAGAGATTCCATGGCCTGGAAGATCCACTGGGTCAAGATGGTGTTGCCCGAGCCCGAGGAGCGCACCGGGATGTGCAGGAGCAGTTGGCACAGGTTCTTGAGCTTGGACTTTGTCTTTTCATGGCGAGCCTGGAGCGACACCACAGGCAGCAGCATCTTGAGGAAAACGAGGATGTGCAGGACGTGGGTCTCCAGTGCCTTCTTCTCCTGCGAGGTCTTGGCGCTGCGGTACTCCTCGAGGTGTCGGGCACAGAAATCGATGGTGGGAATGGTGCCAGGGTGATGCAGAGCTGGCGGGGGAGGCCGCGACAGAACCCGGCGGAGGGCATCGTTGGCTCTTCGCCGCACCTTGGGACGGGAGTCCAGGCACAGGAACAGAAGCGACTTTAGCAGGCCCTTCGCTTCAGCCGAGGACCAGGTCGAAGATTCTTGGGCCACAAGTAGGAACTCGATGCATCCGATGAGCTGAACAAGCAAAGAGAGCACCGGGATGATGGTTTCATTTGAGCAACGTCGCCGGCGAGTACGATGCAACACACGCACAATGCTGATATGCAAATCTGCAGGACGCAAGCAGCCCTTACCGCTCGGACGAGAGGGGCGTGTTGTTGGTGCAGTTCCAGAGTTTCGGAGAGGGTTTTGGTGATATCGGCAAACTTGAGCTTCAGCACATTCGATGGGACTCTGCGGTCGGAGAGGGTTGTTTGCTTTGTGAGTACCATATATGCGCTCAGCGGCCATCAACTTGTGCCAGCCACTGTCTGCGCTGCTGAACTGACGATACTGACCTTGGGAACACAATCGATAGGAGATAGGTCACCGCAACTATGATGTTTTCCTTGCTGGCATCGCCGGCGGCTGCGGCACTCTGTTGCTCCAGAATGGTCATCTGCCAGGACGGAAGTGGCGAGCCGTAAGTATGGATGCGAAGAACAGAGGATTCCAGATATCGAAGCAGCCGCGGTATACGCCATAGTGACTTGAGAGCAGACGCTACCCACCAGAGCGCCAAAGTATGCGAGAGGTGAGAGACGCTCATTCTGCTCCTTGATGGTCTCCTCAACGGCGAGGAGGATGAATGCGGCCTGCCAAACGAGAAGCGGATGTAAATTTGTCGCCAAGCCGCCTGCCAGTTCCACGATACAAAACGAGTTCCCTGAGCATTCCAGAGCCGCGGACGAGCACACGGCAAGCACACGGCAAGCACAGGCCGCCGCTGTACCTGCTTCTGGTTTTCGAGGTTGGAGTTGGCCTGGGATCGGATCTTGACAAAGAGCTCGTTGCTCGCGAAATCGGTCTGAGAAGTGTCCGTGCCGTCGAGATGGCTGTCCATGTCTGAGTCTGCCATGGCGGGTGCGGTGTGCAGCGGAGGGGCGCCGTCGGATCGATGGGTGTTGGGTCAGCGCCGGCCTTGGACAGATGTTGCTGGTGCTGGTGCTGGTGCTGGTGCTGCTGGCGGGCACAAAAAAAAAAGCAATGGGATTTTCAAACTCAGCTGTGGCGTAGGCGCGGCAGCCCTAACCCTCGCACCGGTGCGCCTGTGTGCAAAAAAAGTGAAAACGCAGCACGGCGACACCCAAGCAAGTCTCGGTCAGGACCAGCTCGATCTGCTGCCGACCCCCGATCTGCACACAGCGTATCAGCCCGCCCCACGATCGAGCCCGGCATCTCGCTGCTGTAACGGTGTCTGAACACGCCCAGACCGCCTCAGCTGCCTCGCATCGACCTGCTACCGAACACTTGAAGCACACCAACCAAGATCACAGACCTGCCCAGTCAGCCAGACCAGTCATGATCTCCTCAGTCTCATCCAGGGTAAATACCCAGAGTCGAGCAGCAGCAGATCCCGAAAGACCAGCTCATCGCGCCCGTCAGACACGCATCATGGCTCGTAGGGAGATTGTGTGAACTGGATATAGGGTCTGAGGTGTGGATCCGGCGACACCCATGAAGCATTCGTTCCTCACCCATCCATTCTGATCTCCCCGGACATCTGGATCGCTGGATGTATAGGTCGGGTTCTGGACGGCGCGAGCCCTCTCCACGGCCCAGAGTAAGTCTCGAAGATGAATCCCGTGAATCGCCCGAATGGGCAGTGTGCCAAACGAGTGTCCCCGTTGGCGACATGCTGAACTCATCACCACCGACTTCCTCCTCGCATGGGATTCAGAATCTGCCTACATCGCCCAAGCCCCTTCGCTGTATTCGATCAGTCGATTAATGTCATCAGAAGCGACTAAAACGGAATCGCCGGCGACTGCCAAGGATAGTGCCGAGTCGGCCATTGGGGCATCGTCATCATCCAGCAAACAAGCCGAGACCGGGTCTGCCACTCAGTCACCAAAGGATGCTGTCGAAGGACAAATCGCTGAGGCACCAAAGGGTCGCCAGTCCCCAACGGCGCGCAGGAAGAACAAGTCCCTGCTGCCTGCTATCGATAACGTTGGTGAGTCGATGCGAGGAGTCTGGAGCGGCCAACGCACTCCGCTCATTGGCACCAAAGTACTTCAGTCAGTCAAGATCGGTGTATGGGCTTTGAAGCTATTTTCAGATGACGGGCTCTTGTAATCGAGGGTGCCACCTACTGGTCAATGCGTTCCAGCCTGGGTGTCTGATCTTGACAACTTGCCTCTTTGACACGATTGACCTTCTCTTTCAGGTCAAAATGCTTATGGATGGCAAAATATCTCACGTAAGAGGCCCTTCCACGTCGTGCGCCACACAGCATGCTCGAGTCTCACATTCATCTGTGTACTGAAGCCCTTGCTTTACTCCTCTGGAACGACAGTGCCCGAGCCCATCACAATACCGACTGTTGCCGAGCCTGAGGCAAAGCACAACGATCTGGTGTGCAAGCTCGAGTTCAGAGGATTCATGCCCGATCACCTTGACTTCGTCAGCTACTTTGCCCGATACTCGGCGCACGTTGCTGGTATCCCGTGTGATCCCGTCATCCATCTCAGGACAAACACCCAGCGATGGGCCGTCAACAAAGGTCCGTTTGTTCACGCCAAGACGAAGGAGCTCTTTGAGCGGAAGACCTACAAGCGCCTGCTGCAGCTCTACGACGCCTCGCCAGAGACCATTGAGCTGTTCGTGGACTACATCAACAAAAGCCTACCCGCGGGCGTGGACATGAAGGTGATTCACTACGAGTGGCAGAAGCTGGGCTTCGTCAGCGACTGGAAGCTGACTGCCCAGGAAGCCGAAGAGGTGCTCTTCCAGGACCGGGTTGCCGCCAAGAGCAACGAGCTCCTTGCGGAGATGATGAAGCAGAAGGGTGGACAAAAGAAGAGCCCGGCCAAAGTTGAGAGCTCTGGCAAGAATGCCGAGACCTCTGGCAAGAAGGCCAAGGCGTCCAAGTGAGCAATGCACATGATCAACCACGGCGAATGAGGCCGACACAGCTGCAATACAGAATCTGACATTGAAGAACACGCGCTGGTTGAGGGGTCAGTGCGAGCAGCTGGACAAACAGATACAGCCCGCCGACGCAACCTGGGGTGCGGGTGGAGCCTGGCAGGCCGGTTGTGGACTCGGGCGGATGCTGTCGACGGGTCCGAAGTGCGGGCGACACAGCAGCCGCCATCGTCAGGGTCCGTCCTGCCTGAATCCCTCGTCCGCCAAACAGGGCCGCCGGTGGCTGCTCCGAGCAGCATCGGCGGACGTGCCTGGGGGCCATGCTCGTGGGTGAGATTGAGCGGCGGGCTGCATGCAGCTCCATGGCGGACCTGGATGTGCAAAATCTTGCTCCTTGGCCAGCCTGTGTGGCTCACAGCACGTCACAGCCCCCACTTGTGTGAGATGAACGCAGCCCTATTGGCACAGCACACAGCCTTGTCGCCGCAACTTTGGATTGGGCTGCGAACCAGGCCTGCCCACAGCCGACCGTGGTGAGTCGAAGTGCATCAGAGGCGCTCCAGCCCACAGCAAGCTGCCAAAGACGCTGACTGTGGCGAAACGGAGCCGTGGCCAGGACCCCAGCCAGCCCCGCGGGTCATGGGGGCGGAGACCACAGCCCCAAGTCCCAGGAGCAGCAAGGCCAGAGCAGGGTGGCCATGCCCTTGCCCTGGCGATTTGCGCGCAGATGATGACGCTGGGCGACGCTGCGTCGAGGGAGAGTGCTGGGCTTTGGCCGCACCCGGGCAGAGCCCTCGCGGCCCTCAACTACAAAAGCTGTGGCCAAGTCCGCCGAGGCTCGCTCCCCATTTGCAGTCGTCAAACTTCCAAGTTTCAATAATCATTGTTCGTGCCTAGATCAGGCTGTCTCTGCTGCTCGTATCCAAGGCCAGCACCGCACTACAGCCAAACCCAACATGCCCGCCATTTCTTACGGCCCACCGCCATCGGTCGCCAGTGACATCCCGAGCGTTGTCGGCAACTGTGTCTCGAAGCGACACACGTTCCAAGACTACTCTCGCATTGCCGCTCCAGACCAAACCATTCCTCAGCGGAGGGGTGCCCCGCCGCTCATCGACTATACTGTTTACGATTGGACAATCGACTTTTCAAAGGACCTCGTAACGGTAGGATGCTGGGGTGCGAGCGGTTGTTGGCGCTATTCCACCGATCATGTGGCTTGCCGAGTCTCATTCGTTCCGCATACTGGCGGGTGGCTAACTATACTTTGCACCGATAGTTTGGCGGAACTGGAGGACTCATGCTTTCTTGCATGCCTGCCGACCCCTCCAAAAACCAGACCAGCGCCTGTAAGCTACTAGCACCAAGTGCCTGTACTCGACGGTGGGAGTGTATTGGGGCCGCTGTCCTTGGCCGATGGTGATGCGGATGGAGACGATGGCGGCGGTTCTCGCAGAATATCTCGCAGAATATCTCGCAGAATATCTCGCTACAAAGCCCGTTGGCCAAATTATGGCTTTGCTCGCACTAATCCTTGCATGCCTTCGCTCCATGCCGGATAACTCCCTGGCTGTGTGCTCAACAGCAAGTGCCCGGATTTCAACAACGCGCTACATGCTCTATGGCCGCATCACAGCCCGTATCAAAGCTGTCCAGCAGTCGGGCTTTGTGACATCGCTGATCACCATGTCCGACATCGGAGATGAGATTGACTGGGAACTGGTCAAGAACACGGCACAGACCAATGTATTTTACCACCAGTTTGAAGATCAGCCACCCTGGAACCTTACGACACTCGACCCCGAGTTCGGGAAGCACTTTGGAATGTTCAACGTGACCGGCGGCCGGCTCGACGACTGGCACATCTACACCATCGACTGGGGCCACGACAAGATCACGTAGGTTGGCCAAGAGGCGCAGGGGTTGCGCTCGGTCTGACTCCTTATTCCCACGCTCAGGCCACATGGGCATTACCGTTGTTGTGGCGGGGTCGTCGGACAGCCTTGCCTTATGCGTCTGGGCCTTCTTCGTGAGACTAACGGTTGACTTGCTTGCACATAGATGGTCCATCGATGGACTCGTCGTCAAGACCTTCACCAGGGCCGTCGACGGCATGAACTCGACACAAGTGCAGCAAGGAATGGTGCCTCTGTGGTACCCACAAACTCCATCGCTCGTACAATTCTCGCTCTGGGACGCCGGCGACAACCCATCAACCATGGACTGGTCGGGCGAAGCAGACTGGAGCAACCTCGATCCGGTATATGGACGGACCGCCATTTTCGAGTATATTGACATCCAGGTACAATCCCAACAAAGTCGATTCGTCTGTCATGCTACATGTAAAGCCATTTTCCATCGGGTCATCATGCCATCGAGCCAGCTTGATCTCGGACAGGCTATCGAGTGGAGACCTAATCTTTTAATCTGACTCTAGTGCTACAACGATCAAGATCAACCCGTCGACAGATGGCCGCCAAATACCCCGGACAATCGCAAAGGCAATGGCGTAGTTGATCCGCCGATGCTCGCCGATGGCTCCGTGATGGGCCAGTCCAATCCATCACTTGTTCCCAACACAAACACATCCAACCTGACCCCCGGAATGATAGCAAATGCCTCGGCACCAACGTTCAGAGACCCAAGTAAACTACCGCCTGGGTCGCGACCACCCGGAAGCGCTGCAAGTGCATCCATTAACTGGGACATGGCGATGTTCTGGATATACGGTTTCTTGATTCTGAGAGCAATCAAGTTACTGTCGTGACGCTGGAACTGCTGCTCACATATACACCGCGCACGGAATCGAAACAGGCCGCTCTGCTTTTGACGCCGATGCCACATATCTCTGCATCCTGAATACAGCCCATGTGCTCCGTTCAATATCGCCAAGTGCGCGGCACAGCCAGGAGCATATACCGAGCGTGCGGGTCGGCACCACTCGTGGCAATCGAGCAGTGGGATCCAAGAACACAATGCCAGAGACAAAGTGGTCATTACTGTCAGTCGCAGGCGACATCGGCGGGTGCAGTTGTAGTTGCAGTTGCAGGTCGGCAGTCACTCGTTGATGTATCACCCACGTCATGCTTATACAGTTAACCAGTAACCGGAAACGATAAACAGGAGCGATTGGGTCATCCATACATAATAGGAAAGGTAAGCGAAAGCGAGGAAGAGGAAAGGAGAGGGACTTGAGACATTATCAAGATTATGAAGCATCCAGAGTCTCCAATCCACATCGCCGTCATGCATCGGACATCAGTTGCGGCCAGTGCGGGTGACCACGCTGGTCTCGGGATACTTGATCTTGAAGGACGAAGACGGGTCCAGGGGATTACCCAAGAAGCGAACGTGGTGCAGATAGTTGAGACACTTCTCGACAACCTCCTCCAGCGAGGGACACGGCGCCGGGTAGATCGAGCGGGTGTTGGCGTTGTCGATCTTGAAGGACATGTCCATCATGATGTGCATGAGCGGGAACAGGGCGTTGCTCTCGACGGCGGGATGGGAGTGGAATGCCTCTTTGAACTGCTCGCGGGTCTCGAACAGGATCGGCCAGCCATGGTTCCTGACAATCTCAAACAGCCGGGTCTCGGAGAGGACACTGCGGTGGGAGTTGAGTGAGTGAGTGAGTGAGTGAGTGAGTGAGTGAGTGAGTGAGTGAGTGAGTGAGTGAGTGAGTGAGTGAGTGAGTGAGTGAGTGAGTGAGTGAGTGAGTGAGTAATCAGAGTCAGGATCCACCATCCACACCACAACATATCACACCATATCCACATCACACCATATCACACACTCCTCACCTGTGCTCCGAGTCGCTGATGTGGAACACAAACTTGGACAGGGACTCCTCAGAGCCGGCAATCTCGGCAACCACCTTGGCAATATGGTCGACGGGATCCATGGTCATCGTGACGAGAGTGGCGTGCGAGGGAGCAACACCAAGCTGGATGCATCCCTTGACATATCGCCAGATGTAGTCATCAGAGTTGGACACTGGGGCGATGAAGGGTGTGAAAGTGTCAGTTGGTGTCAGTTGGTAGTGAGTACCACTTGATAATCGAGACCATCGATTCATGGCCAGTTCATATGAGCGATTGAGACATCTCCACCACACCACACCACACCACACCACACCACACCACACCACACCACACCACACCACATCACATTCGACTCACCTCCGTACTGGCTGTCGCCGGCAATGACGGCTGGGCGAATGATCGTCGCAGGTACTCCCCTCGATCGTGCCTTGTTGACCAGCTGCTCAGAGACCCACTTGGTCTGGCCATACCCGCCAGAGATGTTCCAGGCCGAGTAGATCGTCTCCTCGAGCGGCTTGTCTGCCTTCTTGGCCATCGGGATCGTGCCGATGGTCGAGATGTAGTGCAGCGGCTTCAGGTGGTGGGTTGTGGCCAGTCTCAGGGCCGTCGCCGTACTGAGGACATTGGGTCCCTTGAGTCTGTCATAGTCAAACAGCCAGTGGACCTCGGCGCCGTTGTGGACAATCATGTCGGTCTCCTCGCTGATCTCCTTCCATCGCTCGTCCGAGAGTCCCCACTTGTCCTGCGACAGGTCGCCGCACAGTCCAACGAGTCGAGGCTTGAGGTTGTGGTCAAGGAAGGCTCTCTGGCTCGGATCGAGGACCAGCTTCTGAGCCGTGCTGATGATGCGCTCGACAGCCACCTGCTCGGTCGGGGCTCGGACCAGGCAGTAGATCTTGGCCCGAGGGAACTTGTGGGCCAGCTCAAAGACCAGGAAGGCACCGAGGAAGCCAGTGGCACCGGTCAGGACGATACCGCGAGGGTCCTTGGGATAGACAAACGGAGGAAGACCCTCGGCCGTCACACTCGCATCGTCGAGCTTGGCGGCCTCGGCAGCCAGATGGACGGTCGGGGGAATCATCGGTCTGTCGTCGAGGATGTCGACAACCAGCTGGGCGACATCAGTCGGTGTCATTCCGTTCGACAGCAAGATCAGAGGCGAGATCTCGACATTGAACTCGTCCTTGATGGCGAGGGCCAGACGACTGACACTCAGCGAGTCAAAGCCGACGCCGCCGATATAGTAGTTGCGGCCGTCGAGGGTGGGGTTGTCGATGATCTGGCTACCGATCTGGGATATCTTGGCGGCGGTGCGGGACAGGGGAGTGTTGGCGAGTTTCAAACGAGGGTACTCGACCGACTTGCCGAACTGATCGACATTCTCGGCGATGCGCCTGAGCTTCTTGAGGTCGCGCTTGCCCGAGTCGTTGAAGGGAAACTCGTCGAGCTCGAAGCAGTTGTGGATCGGGAACTTGGCGACGTTCGTCAGCGCAAACATGTCCTCGGTCAGCTGCAGAAGCTCGGCAGGAGTGGGGTTGACCTGAGAGCCGCTTCTGCGGACAAAGAGCATCACGATCTTCTTCTCGGAGGTCTGGATGAAGGCACAGTCCGAGATGATCTTGGACATGTTTTCGTTGGCCAGTTCCTCGAGGGCGTTGAGGTCGACATAGACGCCGTTGACCTTGATCTTCTGGTCGAATCTGGAGTGATGGTGTGAAGTGAGGGAATGGATGGCGTGAGTACTCCGGATACAGTAGTTGGATGTGTCGTCAGGATGCCAGATGTGCAGTCGCCATCAACGAGAGATGCAACACCCGGCCATCGACCTCACCTTCCAACCACAGTGAACTCTTTTTCGCCAACCATCTCGACCCAGTCCATGGTGCAGATTCGAGGTGAACCATCCTCGAGGAAGCCGAAGGGTGCGAGTTTGTCATTCGGATCGGCGTTGACAAAGTTGGGGTGGTTCTTGATGGGATGATCCTTGTCGACGGCAAAGACGAGTACACCACTCTTGGAGATACTCTGGTCGACAATATTGCCCTCCTCATCAAAGAGGAGGCATCTCACACCGGGTTTGACGAGCTTGTAATGCAACTTTCGCGGAACAACTTCACTGCTGGCTGGGAGGAGGAATATCGTGATTGCACCAATCAAAGCTGTCTGGAGCAAGAACAATTGATGAATTTAGTATCAAATCGTTGTGCTAACACGATAAGCAAGTACTTACCTCGCTGGAGACATAACCGGACATGATATCAGCGTTGGGGAATGTATTCTTAACCTGTGCGACCACGCTGACTGGAACGAGCTCCGAACCCAAGCCAATCTTTCTCGTCTTCGTCCACTTGACATTGGGATTCTGAGCCCGGGCCACGTTGATGATCAACTTCATGAACGAAGGCGTCTGTAAAGATGGATTAACGAAGGAGAATCCGTCAGCGCTGGGATGAAGGAGCATGTCAATGGGGTTTACGACTTACCATAAGTAAGTACCATAAACCATCATCGAGCATTTTGATGATGCTCTTGACTTTGCCAACGGTGTTGGGTGTGGGTTCTGGCATCCAAACCGATCCCTTAAGGCTCAAGGCGCAAAGCATCCAGCCTAGGGTTGCAGTAAACGAAGGTGCCTGATCGCCATTTCGTGTTAGCTCCCAATATATGGATGACTCCCCTCTGTTGCTTCGAATCGTGTGACTTACCTGGCACAGCCCGGAACTCACATACTTGAGCCCCAGCACAGCTCGGCCAGTGATTGCGCCAGTATGAGGGAACTTGTATCTGAAGAACCACAAGGCACTGAGAGTTAGATATTTCATTCGATCCGAGTGAGGAGTATGGATGCAATACCATGGGTCACTTACGTCTTCGGAATGCCTGTTTGAGTGATTAGGAAACGGTATTGAGGATTGAGACAGAGGTCAAATAGGTTTCTAACCGTTGCTTCAATGTCTGTCATCTACTGTCGCAACCGCTAGAGCTCAACTTCCCATGCTCGACCTTTGTGGCTGGACCTTGGCTTATCAGCAATCCCAGGCACTCGCATACTCCTCTCACATACCGGTTGTTCCGGAGGTTCCCAAATAGGCAACAAACTCATTGAGAGGCTCACAGACTTCGAGGGACGGAGATGGAATGTCGTCCAACACCGGGAAGGTGGTAGCATCGACCAGCGTCACGCCTTCGGTGCGGCCGGGCTTGGTGTGGTGGTAGAGAATGTACTTGATTGCATGTCTGTCGGTTGATGGTGATGTGAGTGTCAGATCGGGATCAGGCATAGCTGACTCGATTCAACCCCCGGACCAGCCTGCTCATCCTAACGACAACATGGCAGGGACATACCTCTCGCACAGGGCCTTGCGGGCTGCAGGAGGCAGGTTGAGGGCAAAGTTGAGTGTTTTCCTGGATTGAAGGAGGATCAAGAGACAGGTGAGACTCGACCCTTGACATGGCACGGAGCAAGGGTTGAACATGTCCCTTTCTTGAATTAGTGTTCACAACTCACAGCACAACATCACACCGCACCAATAGCGGATACTCACTTGCCCAGCATCCACACGGCGAACGAGTAGATCACCCAGCTGGCTTCAGCCTCGCAGAAGGTGCCGATGACGTCGTGGCCGTCATCGTTCCAGCCAGGGAGGGCCTTGAGGGCCTGGGCGATCAAGTAAGCTCTTCTCCACACCTGGAGATAGCTGAAGCGCTCCGAGTCGCCGTTCTCGTATGTGTTAATCAGGAGAGCATCAGGCTCGTCGCGGGCAGTGTTGATGAGACACTCGACGGGATGGAGCCAGGGGCCCAAGGGATCGGGCTGGGAAGGGAATGTTGGTTGTTGGGAGACAGGGGTCTGTGAGGAGACATCTCGGTCCTTGGGTGGGGTTGCCAGCCCTCCAAAGCAACAGGAAAAGGCTCTGAGCATGGCGGAGAGGTGGGATGAGGAGAGACAGGAAGCAGCAATCGACGATGTGCAGACGAGGCAGGAGAGCGGTGACGAAGTCGAAGAGCGAAAGGAGAGGGCCACAGGGGAGGGGCAGAAAGGAGAGCAGGCGATGCCATTGGCAGCCGGCCGAGTTCGCACCAGTTCGTCAATGGCACTTGTGTCGTCAACAGATGTGCCCTTCCACCGATGGCGCTGAGGCCAGTCATGCATGGTTGGCCAATCCCCGGATCAGGCGGGAGCAAGAACAAAGCGGTTGCCATCCCGATCGCTCTGGTTCCCCGTTTTAACATTCATCAAGCTCGTGCTGCGTCTCTCATATCCATCGCCCCATGAACCCAAGACCGCTGCGTCGACGGCCTCCTTGCCAAGCCGATTTTCCTGCTGTCAAATTCGCATATCTCGCCAGCGCCGATGGTGTCGACGAGAACTTGCTGGTGTTGTTCCACGGGCTGGGTCGGTTGCCGATCTGGCTTGCTCTTCTCCCATCGCATCTTCGAGACCGCTCATCGACACCACGCGATTGTCATAAACCGACTGGATGCTTTGCGTGATAGATATCCAGATGACGTCGGATATCGTCAAATATTCCCGCACCATTCCATAATCTTTCTCTCGAGGCATGAGTCCCTCCACTGAAACCGACCACGCACCCATACCTCGTTGTCCATTCAGGAGACAACCCGGCCAACTTCCTGAGCTTCGGTGCCAAGATGCAACTGCCGCAAACAGCCTTGCTGGCCATTCGGGGGTAAAGCAGTCGGAGTGTACCGCCGAGAATGCGATGAGATGAGATGGTATGAGATGGACTGGTGTTGGCAGAGCTATCGAGTTTGCACTTTGACCAACTCCAAAACCCCACGGCATCTCAAGGCCATCCCCAATCCCATACTTTGACGACGGCACTGGATGGTTTCCGGCGTTTGATCAACTTGGAGAAGGTTGGTTCTCTTGATACTTCTGCTCTCTACTAGCTGCTGGATCTGGATCTGGATCTGGATCTGGATCTGAATTCTCCGTTTGACCCTCCTTTGGATCTCCAGAGATCTCGTGGTCGTCGCCCCAAGCTTCCACCGGCGTCCAGAACACTCGCAAGTTGCTTGTCGAGTTCTTTCGAGCCTGTCTCATCGAGAAATCACCAGGCAGTGGGATAGGATGGCCCCCGGGTCAGATCTTCTTGCTTGGATTCGCGCAGGGAGGCACCATTGCTCTGGATCTGGCTCTCTGGGGCGATCTCGATGCACCTGGGCCTGGGCCTGCTCCAATCCTATGTGGTGGTGTGATATCGATCGCCGGAGGGCTCTTTGACGCTGCATCGTGCGTCCGAGCCAGTCTCCCCGTCGAACGCAGACAACTCTGGGCATTAGTCACCAAAGACGACTCGATCGACGCCTCCGTCGGCCTTGGAACACGGCAGGTTGGTGATTCACAGCTCCGGTGAACGGTCTGTGACGGCCAACAAACGAGCTGGAGCTAGAGCCATGGGTTGAACTGATTCCGACTGTGCTCGTTGCCTACTTCCAGCTGTCGAGGCTCAAGTCGCTTCTCGAGGACCATGTTCAAGTCGAAGTGATCAGCGGGAAACAGGGCATCTCCATGCCAAACAGCCATGTGAGTCATACGCCAAAGCATTTCGGCCAATGTCCATCATCCTCCAGAGCCGCGTCGTTGATAATGTGGCAGTTCAACATAGTGGTCTGGTGGAGCCACAACCGCACACCGATTTCGCTCACACATTCTCGCTCTCAATCCCAGGCCGAGATGTCAATGATCTTCCAGTTTCTAGGAGCACATCTGGCGTTGCGGAATCTGAAGCTGGAGGCCATGTCGGATGTAGTCCAGATCAACTAAGGCTCACCCAAGAACAATATAGAGTGAATCCTGTTTGTTTCGAAACACATCGCCCCACATTAGACTGACGGATCGCTGACAGATCGATGAGCGACTGCCGACCTGCAACTGCAACTGCAACTGCACCCGCCGATGTCGCCTGCGACTGACAGTAATGACCACTTTGTCTCTGGCATTGTGTTCTTGGATCCCACTGCTCGATTGCCACGAGTGGTGCCGACCCGCGCGCTCGGTATATGCTCCTGGCTGTGCCGCGCACTTGGCGATATTGAACGGAGCACATGGGCTGTATTCAGGATGCAGAGATATGTGGCATCGGCGTCAAAAGCAGAGCGGCCTGTTTCGATTCCGTGCGCGGTGAATATGTGAGGCTTGAATCTTCACATCATGCGCGAATCGAAGCTCACTCGTACGGCGGCAAGCCATACTTCTCGGGCTGGAATTCCTCCATCGAGCCCAGGACATCCGAGACACGTTCGCCCAGGGTAGGGTCATCGGTCTTGAGGTTGGGATCGGGAATCCAGACGACGGACATGCCGGCATTCAGGCCGGCGAGCACGCCCGGGTTGGAGTCTTCGAAAACGAGACAGGATCGCGGGTCGACGAGCGGGTTGCCGAGGGCCTTGGCTGCGGCCAGAAACAAGTCGGGTGCGGGCTTGCCGTGCTTGATGCTGGGATCGTCGCCGCAGGTGATGTGGCCGTCGAAGAGGCCAAAGAGCTCGCCGTTGAGAGAGGACTTGAGTTCAAAGGCACTTCTGTGAGAGCTGGTGGCCACCTATTTACCAACCCGGACGCCGATAGCAGGGTAGACGACAGATGCCGATGAGGTCAGGACATGCCAATCCACCCTCGTTTCCAGGAAGCCATCCTCGTCCCCCCTCCTCGTCGCACCCCGAGCCTTTCCATCATCCGTACCGCAATGGGGATATTGTGTTTCTTCAGATGCGAGACGAGCTTCATGACGCCTGGGAGCGGACGGCAGTGCGGGAAGAGCGCCTCCTGACAAGCGTCCCGGGAATGGCCAGGGTGAGCATCTCGGTGCTCTCTGCTGTATTGAGAACGGCCAGCCATGGCCAGCTCCAGCGGATAGACAGATCGACAGAGCGGCCCACTGTCAGATGGCGGATGTTGCTCGGCGGATGTCAATGGCTTACGTGACCAGCGTTGCGTTCGGCTAGATATTCGTCCACGGTCATCGGGATCCCGAGGGTCCTGACGAGCAGCTCTCCCGCCTTGGATGGAGAGGGAGTGGAAGATCAGCAACCAGTCGATTCATGGCGTCGATCCAGGGTGTCGATCCAGGGTGTCGATCCGCGATGCCGATCCATTCGCAGCGAGCGGATAAAAATAGGAATTCACTTACGTCTCGCTCTTTCATCCCCATCATCTTGGACTGTTGGGAGCAGGGCAGCCCATGTCAGTATAGAGGCAGCGACGACGACACGGCGAGGATCGCGAGGGCCAATTTTGTGGCTATTGATGGGCAGTCTTGGGGCCTGACGGCACCAGCAATCGCTGGCATACCAACCTTCAGATCCCAGTCATAGGTCTTGCCGTACCGACTCACAATGTCATTGGTGACTTTGGTGTAGACGGCCTCGGTATCCTGGAGCCGGCGACGATGGTGGTCCAGCAGGGCGAGCGATCGACGGGTGTTGGCGTGTTGGAATGGTGAGCCAGAGAACAGGAGCCGGAAGGGATCGAGGCGACGCAGGCTCGTGGAGCCATTCGGCACCCAGGATGCATCCTCACCAGCAACAGGCCATCCATGTCGAATAAGACATGGGTGACAGGGGGGTCGATGCTCATGGCGGCTGTCGCTGCAAGTCGGCAAGTTGATCGGCGGACGAGGACGAGGACGAAGACGAAGACGAAGACGAAGGCGAGATCACACCAAACAGGATGAAAACGAGCTGTCTCGGCGCGTTTTGGAAACGCTGTGATGCGACCTTGATCACAGTCACCGCAGGAAACGACAGACAGCACTTCGGTAGGAGAGCACCATCGCCTCCACCAACCTCGGATGCACCGTTCTCGGCTTGCGACAGCAGAGTGCGGACAGCCATGAGCTATATATTTCGATCAATGCAGCGCGAGCGAGGGTGGGTCGGAGAAACGGAGCGCAAGAAGCACACAAAAAGAGAGAGAGGGGGGGGGCAGGCCAGAACAGATAGCGCATAAAGGTCTCACGTAAGGCAAGGCAGGAGGAAAGCTATAGCGGTGCTAGAAGGCAGGCAGGCGGCGGCTCATCCGGAGAGTATGGACACATCGCTGCGACGACAGACCGGCGACCAGTCTGCCGGCCAGGATCGATCCACCGAGATGAGAATCATACCGCCCCTTGGCGATCACGGCTGCGATTGCTGCGGCAATTCGACTTATCCATAGTGAGGGCCACCCATGTGGTGGTTGGAGAGGTGCTGCTGTTGCTGCGAGCCCACAGCCTGGCTCATTTGCTGGCTGATCTGCTGGTTAATGTGCTGGTTCATCTGCTGTTGTTGGAGGTACTGTTGCTGCTGCTGTTGCATCAAGAGCTGCTGCTGCACATGGTGAGGCATGGCCGGGTTGGACTGGACGCTGGAGGCAGGGACGGCGCCGTAGACTTGGTTGGGCACGACGCGGCCGCCGCTGCTCATGGTCGAGGCGGAGGAGCCCGGTGCCTGGCCAAACTGCTGCTGTTGCGACGCTTGCGCCTGCGACTGCGCTTGCGCCTGGGAAGTCTGCTGCTGCGTTGGCGGCTGAGGGATGGCCTGGCGTCCCTGTCCGGCCGAGAGCGGCATGGTTGGCATGGCGGAAGGGAGAGCCAGCGAGGGGTCGTTGAAGTAGACGTGGTTGAGGGCGTCCTTGGCGCTGATTCTGTTCTGCGGATCGTACTGGAGCATGCGCTGCAGGAGGTCCATGCCATAGGGATCGATCATGGGCAGCTTGGCTGACAGGTTCTGAGGCGGGAAGTATTGGAAGCCCTTGCGGTAGTCTGGCAGCTCGACGACTCGGGGCCAGGTGGTTTCAGAGGGGGTGCCAAGGACCTTGAAGATCTTGATGAGCTCGTCGTCGTTTGTCTTTCCGGGGAAGAGGGGCTTGCCAGAGAACATCTCGGCCATGATGCATCCTGCGCTCCAAATATCGATCGAGGTGGAGTAGTTGCGCGATCCCAGCAGGACATCCGGGGCACGGTACCATAGTGTGACGACTTCGTTGGAGAAGGTGTTGACGGGGATGCCAAAGGCACGGGCGAGACCAAAATCGGCCAGCTTCAGTTCCATGTTGCGATTAATGAGCTGGAAGCGTGGTCACGGACAGATGTTATCCGGGGTAGGAGGGGGGGAAGAGCCCGATGGGTGGATGCAAGTGGACCCACAAGCATTGCAGTTGATAGATGTTTGGTGGGTGCGTTTGGACAAGGGAGATGGAGCAGGGAGGTTGTTGGAACAGAAGACGGAGACAGAAAGAACCCCGGTGAGTATCGCTGTCGGTCAAGGCGGACGGCCATCCCGCACAAGGTTGGGGTATCAAGGCGGGGGAATGGCAGCGCAGGCGGCGAAGCACGGCACACATCGGGCAGGAGAGGCGCCGCCGCCGCCGCCGCCGCAGAGTGGCAGCGTCGGCCGGCAAACCCCACCCCTCCGCCCGACTGCGAGGCAGCCAGCAGCAGGTCCGAAGGCCGGTTCCAAAAAGCGTCACCGAGGCCGGGCAAGAACGAGTGCGGTGACGATAACTGCACCAACGAAGCAGGCAGCGGCAGGAAGCAGCAGCGAGACGAGCCACGTCCACACCAGGAGGAGACTGCCGAGATCTGGCGTGCCAGGCCGGGCGCCAAGTCCAGGGACATAGCCGGCCAAGTGCCGCCGCCATCCAACACCAAACGGCAGCGCATCCAAGACCAGACAGAACGATCGGTACCAAGTTTTGGGGTTTGAGGTCTCGATGCAGAACCCGGTTCTCGTGGCAAAAGGCAATGCCCTTCAGCAGCTGGTACATGAACTTTTTGACAGTCATGGGATCCAAAGCGCCTTGGTTTCCATGGGTATCCATGAACTTCTTCAGGTCCTGGTCCATGAACTCAAAGACCAGGGTGAGGGTTCGGTCGGTGTGAATGACGTCGTAGAGGCGGACAATGTTCTGGTGGCGGAGCTCCTTCATCAGCGAGATCTCTCGGATGGCGGTTGAGGGGGCGCCCTCCTCTGGATCGAGGTGGATTTCTTTGAGGGCAAAGATCTCGTTGGTGAGTCTGTTCTTGCCCTTGTAAACGGTGGCATAGGTGCCTTCGCCGAGCCGCTCCAGTCGCAGGTATCGTTCCATGGCGAAAGCGTGAGCAAGAGAGAGGCGGGTGGGTGGTGGAGCAGGTTCGACGGGACCTGAGGAGGCGACGGCAGGGGGGAAGCTTTGGAGGAGACAGGCGATGGAGGTGCAGGAGGGCTCCGGGGGATTTCGGCAGACAGCCCGAGGCGAGCAAGCAGGCGGCAGAGGCGAAAGAAAAAGGGGGGGGAAGCCCGGAGCCAGGCGGGGGGTGGGAATGCGGCTGTCTGTGTGGAGGCGCTGTGGCTGTGGCTGCCGGCGTGCTGCGTGGTGCGCACTGTCTGTGTGCGGCGTGCTGCGTGGTGCGCACTGTCTGTGTCCGGCGTGGTCTGCCGCCTTCCGTTTGCGTGCGCTCGTGCACCCGATCGTCACACATGTGTTCCCGCGCATCTGCCAGCCGGATCGTGTGGTGCAAGCTGCTGCTGCGGCCTGCATTGTGGCTGTGGGCGCGCTGCGGTTACTCAAAGTGACTCGGTGTTCCCATGGGTGCCACAGAGTAGTTGAGCCACACGGAAGCTGTCTGTGTGATGACTGATTCCGTTCGAATGATATTGGCTCGGCTGATAACATGACCTGGCCGATAGCATGACCTGGCTGATGACATCGCCTGCATCGACCGCATCCAATGCATCAAACGCATCCGACTCGGATACCGATGGCGCCTCCGTTGATACCGCCACGCCATCCATCGCCGTCAACGGCTGCATCACGTGGACGCCCTCACCACAACCCAACACCACAACTCAACACCACAACTCAACACCGATGGGCACATCGCTGCATCGGCGTCTGCAAGCGAATCGCGCCGTATCGGCATGTGGGCCGTGCGGCAGCGATCGCCAGTGAGCCGTGCTGCGTCGCCTGTGGGTCTTGTGGCCCTTTGCTTGTGTCCGGAAATCTCGCCCCGTTATCGCCCGTGCCGCCCGCTGATTGGCCGCGTTATCGGATATCCGCATGGTTGGCGCCCGACATTCCCTATCGCTTGTCCTCGGGCCTTTGGCTTAAAAGTCGCCGCTTCCCATGCCCGTCCTGCAGCCCATCCTCCGGCGGGAACGACTGAATCTCTGCCATCTGCGAACCATCCGCGAATCATCCGCGAACCATCCGCGAGCCATCCGCGAACCCTCCATCGAGCCCTCCTCTACGCTCCTGTGTGCTGTCCGAGTCTGCGTCCCGGCCAGCGAGTGGATTACTTTGCCTGTACTTGCGCATCCCAGCTCGCTCATTACTGCCTCGAGTGTTGCCTTTCTGGCCCTCCACTTCCACCCACACTCCCCCGATATCCAGACCACCATGTCTTCCACAACACTTTCGCAGTTGACTCTCGTCACCGTGCTCGACCTTCTGGCCCTCTCCGGCCACCTCGATCCCCTCGTTCTCACCAAGCTCGCCCGCTGCTCGCGGCAGCTGGCCGCACGATACGCTGCACCTTCCGGCCGCGCCTGGCGGCAGTGCTTTGCCAACCTGCTGGGTGTCCCGGCCCTGCTCTGTCCTCCCGGCGGGACATACAAGTACTTGGCCCTGGGCGCCCATTCGTTCTTCACCCGCTCCGGCCCACAACCCCACGAGCTCGAGGACCTGTTCTGGTCCTTTGTGGCCGAGGACGACGCTCTCTTTGCGGCCACGATGCGACAGTGTGCCCGCCACGACAGCCGGCTCATGCGGCGGTGGTCTGCTGCCCAGGACTTTGGTCAAGATGTGCCCGAAAACCTGTTTGATCGCTCCGTCGTCAACGCCTTCAGCGTCTGGGGCGACTTTGCCAAAACCATCGACCTGCTCCCCAAGCTGCAGTCCCTCCCCGACTCGATCGGCAATGCCGCCTCCATCGCCGTCCTCGGCCCTTTCCTGGAAATGTCGTCGCTGCCGCCCACCGTCGGCAACCTCGCTGCCCTTACCGAGCTGCATCTGTGCAACAACGCTATCGCCCGGCTCCCAGAGACCCTGGGTCGTCTTGCCAGCCTCGTCCGTCTGGAGCTCAACCACACCCAAATCACGACCGCGGGACTGCCGCGGTCCCTGGGAAAGCTGGCGTCGCTCGCGCAGCTCTCACTCAACAGCAACAAGCTCGTTACGCTGCCGGACTCGGTGATCAGTCTCTCCGCCCTGACCAAGCTCTCGGCCAGCTCCAATGAGATCGTTGCCCTGCCGCCCCACATCGACAGCCTCGCTGCACTTTCGCAGCTCGACCTGCACCGCAACTGCCTCCGCTCCCTGCCAATGTCCTTTGGCGGCCTGGCCTCGCTAACTGAGTTGCACCTCGAGTTCAACTGCCTGACGACCCTGCCGGCGTCCTTTGGCAACCTGTCGAGTCTGTCGGTCCTGCACCTCAACAACAACCAACTTCGAGAGCTGCCCGCTTCGATCGGCAGCCTCTCGTCGCTCACCAAGCTTTATCTCGGCCACAACCAGCTCGTCCAGCTCCCCGATACCTTTGGGCGCCTCGAGCGCCTCACCGAGCTGCACCTCGACAACAACCAGCTGTGCGTCCTGCCCGAGTCTTTCAGTGCCCTGAGTGCCCTTTCGGTGCTGAGCTTGCGCAACAACCGGATCGCGAGCCTCCCAGTCTGGATCGGCAATCTGGCGACTCTGACGACGCTGGTGCTGAGCTCAAACCGGCTCCGGGCCCTGCCCCTGAGCGTCGAGAGCCTCGCCGCCCTCTCAGAGCTCCATGTCGACGGGAATCTGTTGGTCTCGGTGCCGCCTCCTGTCTTGAAGCTGTCGACACTGCAAGTTTTGGATCTCTCGGACAACTTGATCGCCTATTGCTGTGGGACAATGCAGCGACTGGCGGCCGACAGTCCGCGAATGCGAATCAAGATGTGAACGCCTTGAGTTCGTCTTGGGAGGGCTGCACACACGACGGGCGACAGAGTATGGCCCTGCTGCATGCCCAACCTCATTGTCGCTTCTCCCTCGTGCCTCCTGCTCCCTCTCTCTATTACCCAGTTTTGCTCAGCTTTGCTCACCCGCCGGGGCTTCCTCGATCCCGGCATTCGTGTAATCATACCCCCCGCCTCCCAAGGCAACCCATGTATATATCAAAATACAGCTTCCTTAGTCGTGATATTATTGTGTTTGAAACAAAACAGGACAGTGATCTGCAGGCGTCGGTGGATAGGCCGTGGGATTGCGCCCCAATCTTTGTTTTTGGAGAGTGTAAAGCGATGGCCATCATCCGGCCATGCAGCCCAGGCCCGACGAACATTGTAGTGATCGGCATTGTTGCTGTTGTTGTTGTTGCTGTTGGTTGCTGCCTGGAACCATATGCCAGGTCGAGGTCTATCCGTGTAGCCGTCAGGCCGGACTGAAAGTCCAACTTCAAACATTATACTCTATGGTGCGCTCGCGGTCCAAGGGGAATAAACGAGCAAAGATGGCAACGTGCCACAATATCGAACCAGGTCCAGGGACCATTCACACCGACTGGGCTGCCAAGGAGTCGGCGACGGGGCACGGGCGGCGGGCGGGTCGAAGAAACGTCGGGGAACGGTGCCCCCGCTCAGCGGATAATCGCTACGCCTCCATCGAAAAGAACTGCTTGCCCACTTCGTATGTTGAAATCATGATGGCGCACGCAGGGGCAATCTTGGAAATCCGAGGCACGATGCCTTTGTTGTTTGGACACGGACAGGTTGATGCACGAAGTGAATTGGTGAGTCGAGGCAAGCGGCTGACAGGGATTCGGAACATGGCTGCCGTGGCGCACTCTCTATGGGTTGCTCCCACCATCTACGGAGCCACAATTGACATGCAGGATCCCTCGATGCGACAAAGTGCAGCTCGCAACTCACTCCTTCGGTGGTGTTGCTGGCCGGTATCCCAACCCAGAGCCAAATGCCAAGTCGCCCGTGCGATCGCCAGCCGTCAGCTTACCTTTGAACAGCCCCGGCAGTCCCTCGGTGCGATAGAGTTCCCGTAGGATGCATGTCATGCGTCCGTGTGGGCTGCAAGAGAACTTTTGCGGCGAGTGCGAAGTGTCGACCTGCTGAATCGACTTTGCGACATCGAATGGTGTGGTGGCGATTGCAGCGATCTGGCAGGAAGGAGGGATAACAACACATCGGTGAGAAGGCGTCAGCCGCACAACACCCGGTGCAGCCTCGACAGAACGCGACCCCCAGGGATTCCGTTCTCATCACCACCGCAGATGCGTGAAGTGGGCCACCGGCACCGTCTCCCTTCTTCCTCTCTACCAGCAACCTACCATTCCGCTCGTTGCTCCGGCAGCAAAGCTTGACCGAAACTCTGAATAGGCTTTGCTGTCGCCGCCACCCAGATATCGCGAGTACAAGGGCTTGAGCTGCTCGTAGCCCACCCAGTACATGGCCGAGAACGGAATGTCTCGCCAGAGCGTCGGGATCAAGCCCCGCCACAGATAGAGGATCCCGAACTGCCGGGTCATGAACCGCACCCGCTTCAGGGTCTTGGCGAGGCTGTGGTGCTCGTCGGTCTTGCCCTGCATCCGGGTCCGCACCAGCTCAATAGGGGATACGATCGCCGCAACGGCTCCTGTCGACAGAGAAAAGGCCAGAGGCCATTGTCAGTTTCGATACGGGGAGGACGGCAATAGGCCGAGGACGAGCAATGCTCTCCAGACCAGCCCCTCCCACAGGATCGCATTATCAGCAGAACCACTCAGGCGATACAGCGTGGCCCCAATGCGCCGTATATGCCGATGGCCTGCTGCACCCACCTCGTGTGATCGATCCCGCCAGAAGCGGTGCCATGAAACCGGCTCCGATCGACGACAGCGGCGCCGAGATTTGGTTGCGGAATTTCTCATATCCGACGTAGTAGAGCACAGTCGAGGGCACCGAGATGACTCTATGTGGCCACCAAGGCGGTTGCACAGGTTGGGCAGAGGAAAGAACGATTCACGAACATGGCGTGAGTCGACCGCACTCGGGGACTGGCTTGGGCAGGGAATCCGACTTGGAGTGCCACCCTGGACTGGACCGGACGACGGGCCGGTGGACTGCGGGCCACGGGGAACGACATGAACAGCGACGAGCAATACGTACAAGGTCGGACTCAGTCCTTTCCAGAGGGCAGCCCCGCCTTCGTTCCGGACGATTTGCAATACGGTGCGCTAGGGTGGGGCCAGACAGGCGAATCAAGCAGGAACCGCAGTCAGCAGGAGCAGGAGCGGGCCGAAACCGCAGGCGACGATCAAGTTGGTGCTGGTGCAGGTCGGGCTGCGAAACACAGGGAGGCAGATTGAGAGGCAAGGGCGAACCGGGGCGGGAGCGACTCCACAGAGAGCGGGTCGCCACAGAGGAGGAGAGGAGGGATTCGGAGCGACTGACGGCATATCCTACATTGTGCGCCATGGTCTGCTGCCGGGTCTTGACGACATCGAACGGCGTCACTGATGGAGGCAAGAGCGACGGACTCAGTGTGCGTGGGGTTTGTCGAATCAGTCAAGCAAGGAATGAGGCATGCTGTGGGGGGGTGATCGATGGCGGCGCTTACTCAGGAGGGAGGTCAGAAGAGCACCAGAGCATGCCGACACAATCCTGGCCAGGGTCGCCCCGGGCGCTGCAGTCGTCACGGACGAGCCCGAACGAGACGCAGGCTTGAACGATGCTGACGGCGACGCAGGGCCTTGGATGCTGGGCGGCAGAGCGATCAGGACCGAGGACGGGGGCTGGGCCATGTCGGAGAAGCGGTGGAGGTGCTGCTGGTCGCTGTGGAGCTGCTCGGCGGTCTCGAAGGCGATCTCGGCCGACATTCGCAAGAGCAGACGGGGGGCAAGTGGGGTATTGATAATCCCAGGTCGGTCTGTTGTGGTAATCTGATCAACGGGGCGGGCAAGCAACCGGAAGCGTGGCACTGCTGACGGCCTATCTTGGGCCCGAACAAAGAGGCGTGTCGAAGCGGAAGCACCGGCCAAGCAACAGACGACTGCCACAGTGCCAGCGGGACATTGGCGAGAGCATCAGCGACTGCCACCGTTGGCTTTGGCTTTGGCTTTGGCTTTGGCTTTGGCTTTGGCTCTGGTTGTTAGCGGATGTGTCTGTGGGAAAGCAGAGGTGTCGCAGGAACAGTTGCTCTCGACAGACCCTCCTGGAAAGTAATGCTGCAGCGCAGAGCTCCCACCCCAGCGAGATTGCGCTCATCCGAGCGAATTGCGCTCATCGCAGACCAATCTCGTCCCGGACGGGCCCACTCGCACATCAAGCTCAACGGCCGGACTACTGCAAAGTATCTCGCTGGCTGGCAGTCGGACTGCCATCGCATTCGCTCATCGGCAGGTCCGATGGCGAGCACCATTGCGAGCGTCATTGCGAGCGCGATGGCGAAATTGCCCGCCAAAGAGCATCATCTGTGGATCCGTCTTGCACGAGCAGCGGTATCTCGCCCGGGCAGCCCGTCGCCGTGCTCTGCTTGCGCTTGTCCAGTCTTGATCGACCTGAAACGGATATGTGGGTATCCTCACAAAGCAAGTACCTCGACAGAGCACTCGACGGGTCGTGCAGTTCTGCCATTGCACCAAGACAGTAGCTCTCGACAAATCCATCTGGAGACATTCAAGGCGATGCCTCTATCCATGTATTCCCGCCAGAGCCCCCGCGGAGAAGTGCCAGCACGACACGACATGGCTGCATGCGATATCGGGGCTCGATCGAGACTCAAGTCGTGGGATTGAAGCGTGTCTCTGGATGCTCGCGGGCTGGCGGACAAGTCGGCCGAGCACACTGGCTCCGTCTCTGCTGCTGCCCCATCCGCTCGTCTGCCAATGTGCCGAGCACACCACTCCGCCGGCTGGGCTGTGGGATACTCTCCATCGAGTCTGGCCCTGATGTGCCAATGCACCGATTGCGCGACCAGGGACGACTGCCCAATCAGCGGGCGGCGACCTTTCCAGCCAGCCCTAGACAGCCCTAGACAGCCCTAGACAGCCCTAGACAGCCCTAGACAGCCCTAGACAGCCCTAGCAGCCCTGGATCGATCCAGGCATGTCGCACAATCCGACGCGGCTGCATTCGCTTTTTTCTTGTCGCTGGTGAAAAAACGCAGAGCCGATCTGCCGCACGGAATCATCTCGTCCACGATCGGCACTGCGGCATGAACGTCCCCCGCTTTCTGAGAACTGCATCGGCCACTTGCGCTGCTGCTGCCGCCCGGCCTGTCCGGTTTGCCGCGGGCCCGTCGCCCGTCGCCTGCATCGCCTCGCAGCTTCTGCAGCGCTCGCACGCCAGCACCGCAGCGACGGCATCGGCCCTGCCAAGCGACCCCACCAGCCATCCCGCCTTCTTCACCGGAAACCCACACTACTACGATGCCATTATGGACCTGAACAAGCTGATCCGGAAATACGAACTGCCCTTCACCAAGGAGGAGCTGTCTGCCAAGGCCCACAAGATCCCCGTCAAATGGATGTCCATCGATCTGATGCGGTCGATTCTGCACTTCAAGCTGGACGACCCGTCCTACAGCGCGCTCATCACCAAGCTCAACATCCTGGCGACAAAGATTGGTGCGTGCTGTCGCTGCAATTCGGACGGCATGCCCTGGTCCATGTGACGTGGATAGCCTGGATAGCCTGGATGGCCTGGATGTGCTCGTTGGCTGTCTGCCGGGGGGGGGTTTGCTGGCCAAAGTCTGGCTGGACGACTCCTGCGAATCGACGTCCTCCAGACGCAACTCGCTCACATTTCGTCGTGCCCTCGCTCTCCGTTATAGACGAGAGCCCTGAGATCATGGAGAAGCTCTCTCAGTTCATTTCGCCAGGCCAGTCCTTCTCGGTTGCCTCGGCCAGCAAGACCAAGCTCGACGAGTTTGGACGGGGCTATGCCTTGGCATCAAAGAAGAAGGCCCGCGCACAGGTCTGGACCGTCAAGGGAGACGGCCAGTTCTTTGTGAACGGTGTGCCGCTCGCCGAATACTTTACCGAGCTCGATCACCGCCAGACATGCACCCGTGCGCTCGAGGTCCTCGGCAAGCTCACGGACTACAACATCTGGGCACTTACAAAGGGCGGCGGATTCACGGGTAAGCGCCGCGGCATCGACACCGCCAAGGCTCCGCAGCCTGAAGACTTCACGACGGGGGCATTGGGCGGCAACTGCTCGTTTCTGAGCCACGAGCTGGACACCGACAAACAGACGACGATGCTCTTGGACATGCGCAGAGATCGTGATGTCGAATGTGTTTCCTTGATCGATTTGCTCGATTACTGCCGTTTGGATGCTCGGAATATGCACATCACTCGCTCACTCCCCCCCCCTCTCCATTGACTCAGGACAAGCTGGAGCCATCTCCGTTGCGCTGGCTCGAACATTGTTGGCCCACGACCCCTCAGCAGTCAAGCACTTTTCCGAGCGTAAGCGACCTCCCGATTGCTGTGATGTGGATTGCAATCTCGTCCTTCGGATCCGTTTGATATGAATGCTGCCCTGCTGCATCGGTGGACACCCGAGCGTTTTTTGATCCGGCAAATACTCCATCGGGATCGGAGCCCATATTTACTCGTCGATGGCATGGTTTGCTCGCGGGCTCGTTGCATGTTGCGCCATACTCACCCAACGTGTTCCGACATTCGACCGCCAGTGGGGTTGACAAAGATCGACCGACGACAGAAGGAACGCAAGAAGACTGGCCAGCCCAGTGCCCGTGCCAAGAACCAGTGGGTCAAGCGTTAGAGGCCCTGGTGACATTTCCGTCCGCGTGCGTGCAGGGTGTGCTGATGCTCTCTGCCAGATCAACTGATGATGGTCCTTCAAGACCCCTGGTGTCTTTTGCGCTGAGCTCCAGCGTCCCTCCCTGTGGATAAATACACACTTTATGCAGGGGACTCAGGACACCCTCTCTCCCCCATGTGTCAGTCTAGTATGCGACAGCTTGCGTCGAGCAAAGCCACATGCAATCAAATCGACCATCCGAACAGAGTTCTGGCCGTGGCGCGTAGTGTACGAAACAGCCAGCGGCCGCCAGCACCGACTCCCGCCTGCTTGGACCAGGATCTGTCCTGAATCCGATTCCCGCACAGTCCGCCGCCTTCCCCCTCGTTCGCTCTGCAGCGATGGACACCGCCGAGCCTGCAATCGGCGCTGCCGCAGACCTCTCGGGAGCAACGCCGCAGAGCAAGCTCGCCCACACCAACCCCCTGGCCAAGAAGCTCGCCCAGGTCCTCACGATCGTAAGCGAGCCGTCCACCACAAGCCATTCGGCTCCTGCTGCATCGGCCTGGCTGGCCGCACCGGATCTCCATCTTCCCCATCGTAACCCATCTCCCCTTACTCCTCCTTGGCCCCCCACCACCATCCTAGTCGCTTGAGGATCAACAAACTCAAAATGCGCTCGAGGCACTCTCGGAGTTCTATGTGTCTAGCAAGGGCACATCCAAGCGAAGCTTCAGGGCAGATGTCGAGCGCAGAGTCATCTTGATGAACAACCGGTTCCTCGACTCGCTCAATGGCATCAACCAGGTCCGTGTTTGCTGTCCGAGATGAGCAGCAGCGGGGCCAGCGAGCAACGACACAACAACCCCGACATCGCCATTCCGCTCCCTTCCTCCTTCTCAATTCCATATCGACATGGGACCGTCTCGTCTCTGCCTGGGACTCGGCTTCGCTTGATCCCAGCATCGACGGCGGTGGCACAGGCAAAGCGCCAGGATCTAACATTGGCTTGCTTGACAGGCCTTCTTGGATATCGAAAAGCAGGTCACAGAAATGAACTCGCAGTGCCAGGAGATGGAAGACAAGCTCAAGACCGCAAACGAGCGAACCTTCCGAATTGTGTCGAGAATCAAGGATATGAAGGAGAGCAGGTCCATGTTCGCCAGCCCAGCTATTGCCGCAGGCATCTCCATGGCCGCCGACTGGCTGTGAAAACATCCTCCCCCCAGATTCTCGCTCGCTTGGTCTGACATCACGCCCTTTCTTCCATCGTGCTGTCTCAATTGCTCATCTCGAACCTCCTTTTTAATCTCCTCAGCCAACGTGCTCTCATCCGCAAATCGCTCGCCGAAGCCTTCGTGAAGCGATTCACGCTTTCGGACCAAGAAATCCAGATCCTGACGACCCCACATCTCGAGATCAACAAGAGCTTCTTTGATGCCCTGGACCATCTGCACCAGATCAACGAGGACTGTCGAGCGCTGCTTGTCACCGACCATCAACATGCAGGGTAGGTGGCTGACCCAGAATCGGTCTGGACGTTTCCTCTCGATAACGGACGAGCGCCGCGCATTCACACACACTCGCTGACGGATCCCCGCCTGCCCTTGGCTTCGAATCTTCAAGCCTCGAGATCATGGACTCCATCACCATCTACCAGGATCTGGCCTACGAGAAGTTGTTCAAATGGACACAAGCCCAGTGCCGCGGACTGACCCGGGACATGCCGGACCTCAACCGAACGCTCAAGGACGCCATGCGAGCACTCAAGCTTCGCCCAGTTCTGTTTCAGTGAGTTCTCTGGTCGACTCGCCTTGCGTGACTCTATGCCGCATCCATCGCCAGCTCCTCCGTCCGCATCGATCGTCCGAGTTCGCCTGTGTCCCTCTCAAGTAACCCCGCACGACAATCGCCCTCGCTACCGATAACAGAACATGCGTCGAGGATGTGTGCCATATCCGGCGCACGGCCGTCGGGAAGGCCTTCCTTGACGCCCTCACCCGAGGCGGGCCGGGTGGCTTTCCCAGGCCGATGGAGCTGCATGCCCACGATCCTCTGCGATATGCCGGCGAAATGCTCGCGTGGGTCCACCAGGCCTCGGTGGGCGAGCACGAGATGCTTGAGGGGCTGTTCGACATCCGCAAGAGTAAGTCGGCGGACAGTGCGCCATCGCCAGCAATCGGACTCGCCAATATGATAGTATTCGCACTGGACTGCACTGGACTGCACTGGACTGCACTGGATCGCTCACTCCAGTCCTCTCGCCGAACATGGCTTTACTCTTGGATGCGAATACAGAGCCGGCCCTGCACAGTCCTATCCGGACACAGAGCTCAGCCGAGGAAGATTCCCCGTCCGGCCTTGAGTCCCTTCTGGATGACTCGGACGTGGTGGAACGGATCTTGAACAAAGGGCTCGAAGGCGTGTGCCGTCCGCTGAGAGTAAGTGTGCTGCAGCGGCCCGAGTGCCAGGCTTCTGGATTGCTCTCAGTTTGCAGCAGCATGACTGTCATCCTGCATAACTAGCTGATGATCCTTTCTCCGTAATGTCGTGTTTTGACTTTTACATCCGCCATGATGCCACCCAGGCTCGTCTCGAGTCCATCATCGCCACGCAACAGAAGCCCCTGGTCAACTACAAGCTGATGAATCTCGTCCAATTCTACTACAACACCGTCAGTCGAGTCTTGGGGTCGTCGGCTGAGCTCACCATCACCCTGCACGAGTAAGTTTGGACTGAGCCAGTGCGCTGTATGCCCAGCAGAGACAGGCGCTTGAAACGCATGACCGACCCTGCATTCGCCATGCCAGGATCGAGGGAGTGGCCAACCATGCCTTCTTCGAGAATCTGAACGGCCAGGCATCCGAGATGATCAAGGCTCCTGAGGTCAGTATCCGCCGAACGGTTGCCCAGAATGTCATCCTGGGTGGCTGCGCGACCGCTCTTCTCACCGACTCCAACTCACCCAGGCTCCAAAGCGCGATCTGCTGCCCTCCCCGACCATCAACGACGCCGTTTCGCAGCTGGTAGGCGCGCACCGAGTTGCCAGACGGCACCGTAGTCTTGTTGGATATCCACTGTCGAGCAGCGCAGGGCAGCACATCCAGGCTCGTCACTCTCAATGAGCGACTGATCCCACCGGTGCCCCAACTCGCAACCACAGAAAGAGATCATGACCTCGTACCAGTCATCGCTGGTGCCGCACGAGGAACGCGAAAAGGACTTTGCCAACCTGCTGCGCGCCCTGCTCGACCCACTGCTGCAAGTCTGTGTGCTCGGTTCGGCCGCGCTCTCGACCTTTGAGAGCGCCATCTACATGGCCAACTGCCTCTACCACGTTCAGGTACGACGGTTTTGTTCACGATCGATGGTCCTGGCCCCCGCGAGTCTCCGAGAGTGTCTGACAGCCCGTTGCTGCCTTGAATCGCATTGCGCCTCGCGCAACAGACGACCTTGAAGCCATATCCCTTCACCGACCAGCAAATCGCGGCACTCGAAGGTCAGATTCAGCATCAACTTGAAACGTTGATCCAGGAGCAGGTATGCCATCCGTCGCGACGTGGACGTGCGTACTGGTACGCTTTCTTTTGGCTGCTTGGAGTGTTGGTCGCGAGCCAGTATCCTCACTCGCATGATCGTGTTTGATCTCGTCCTTCCCCCACAGCACACAACGATTCTCAAGCGCTCAGGCTTGGCTTACATGGTTGAGACCATGGACAAGAATGATAAGCATGTGAGATACGCTGCAGCTGTCCGAATCAATCTCTTGCGTGGTTTGAGCAGCGGGGGAGTATTTCGCTGGGCATCTCCATCGTCCGTGTCTGCGTCGCTCGTGCTGATGCTGTATCCAACGCCCACGCCACTGCCAGGAACCACTCGCGCTCCTCCCCGGAATGGACGCCCGCTCCATCTCCGACGCCATGTCCCAGCTCGACACTTTCCTTTGCAATGTCGCTGTCGAGGCGTCGTCGTTGCTTGCGCGGCTCACGAGCTCGCGCCTGGCCAAGACCGTGGTCCAGCGAGCGCTGAGGCTCTTTGTCGACGACTACTCGCGATTCCACGACGCCGTTATGGATCCCTCCAACCGATACGAGTTCCCGTCGACAATCCTGGCCCGAACAGTGGGCGAGGTCGAGACGCTGCTGGGTGATGATCTACTGTGAGGGATGCCGACGCGGTGTAGCCGAGCAGTGGATATTCCCAGCAATGCGAACGATCCGCCATGCCAGCCAAGGAAGCACACGGAAAAGTGCCCTCAGGGCCGCTGCCAGCCAATAAATCGCTGCTGTTTCGGAAGTCGACTTGCCAACACGCCCTGCTTGACTTGGCTTGGAAGCTCGGCTGCAAATAGGCACCGGGTCGAGCCAACCCGGCTGTCTATTGTGTATGGAAGCAGGGTCATAGAAGAGCATCGAGAAGCAGAATTGGGGCGAGCCTTCCAAAGGGCAGTGCCCGCAGCACAGCGACAAGGGTCCAAGAACCCCCCACACTCAGAAACAATGGACCTCGAGCAGTTCCAAGAAACACGCAAGCCCTCCGTGACTAGTCCTCGTCGTCAAAGGCAAAGGGATGCTTGGTCGGCATGGGCTTGATTTTGGATCGCGGTGCAGCGGCAGGCTTTTCGTCGGGCTTCCTTTTTTCCAGCGAGCTCTCAAAGATGGCATCGGTTGAGGAGGTGTCGGTGAGCTGGCTGGCCGAATCGCCCATGTCAAACACACGCCGGTGGCCCTTGTGTGCCAGCGGGCCGGCTTCAAGCATGACTTCGATGCCGTCGTCGCCGTCATCGTCGTCTTCGTCAAAGTCCTCAAGCAGCCCGATATTGTCGGCGAGGGGAGCAGCAACAGGCTTCATGACAATGACCTGGGCCTGTGGTTTACGGCCAAGCGCCAGAAAGCTCAAGAGTCCATCAGCCAGTGAGCTCAGGCCGTCCGAATCTCCCTGCGCAGGATTGGCGGCTTCGTTCGAAAAGGCGTTCAGCATCGGCGTTGGCGCATTGACGCTTTCGTTGCTGCTCTCTGGCCGACTCTGGAAGGCAGAGACTGGCACGGCGTTTCGGTTCCCAGGCGGCGGATCTGAGGCAAACGGGACGGCCACGGTGCTCCCCGAGTCGTTTTTCCGAAGCACCTTTCGGCTTTCGTTGGGGCCGGATTGTGTTGTGTCGAGTCGCTCTGACCGAGGCGAGAAGGAGGAGGATGTCGACGGCGCTGTTGGAAGCGCTGGTGCGGATGCGGGTGCGGGTAATGATGGTTTTGTTGCAAAGGATGTGAAACTGAGCTCCGGAGGGCCGCTTGTGTCTGCGGATGGGACAGTACTGGTTGATGTGCCAGATGTGCGAACGACAGTGGTACCTCCAGAGGCACTGACAACATAGGTGACATTGGATGAGGTTGTGATGTTGGTGATGTTGGAAGCGGCGACGGTCGTCGAGTGTGTGCGAATGTCGGTCTCCTCGCTGCTGGTTTTGGGTTTAGATGGGCCTGCGGCTCCAAACTGTGGCTGAGGCTTCTCGCTGGATCCAGAGACGCGGGAGGATCCGATGCTTTCTCTTGGTTTGGATGATGTGCCTGGGTCGGCTTGTGGCGATGGTAGATTTGCTGGTGCCGCGGAGCCCTGCGATTCATTGGCTTTGTTGGAGACAGAAGGCTGCTCAGAGTCCGAGTCGGGCTGTCCCTGAGCCAGAACCTCTCTCCGTGGAGGCCTGGGACTCGGTAGCGTCTTGGGCTCAGACTTTTTCGGAGGCACTGCGGCACCTTCAGGCTCCTTGCGAGCCTTCTGAGGCGTCACCTCATCGGCAAAGTGCACCTGGAGGGTCTGGGATCTCGTCGGACCACCGGACTGGATCCGTATCGGCGCCACGACCAGAGGCTTGGGCTGGGTCCGGATGACCTGGGCGCTCTTTGACGACGAGCTTCCCGGAAGGGAGCTGTTCTGAACTTTTCCTGGATCAACGAGCGTCGCGGAAACGAGCAAGGCCGTCAGAAATGGCTGCGCGAGAATGATGCGAGCTAATCGGGCACGACGACACACTGATATCCCAGAGCGAGCTGCGATACTGGTGACGACGTTGGCTGCGGTATCGGTTGCTGCGTGGGCCTATCATTACTTTTGGAACGTCCACCGCAACACGAGAGCATCTCAGCATGCCGGAGTTGAAACGGGATGGGCCAGACGAGGCAAACGGATGTCGGTGGCAGCCGCAGTGACGAGGACGAAAGTACGCGCCGCAGACCGAGTGTGGTCGAGAAGACTGCGTGGCGAGGGGGGGAGATGGTGCCAATGCAGCAGTTGCACTTGCGTAGAAAGCGGCAATATGTTCGCTGGACAGCTGCGTTCAATAGAGCGGCGTTCGGCGTGCTACAGGCGATGGATGCTCGGGTTGACGCGACGGATCGAGACCGAGGCCAGAGAAACAGCCGATTCGAGTGGTGCTCGGATGCAGCTTCGGGCTTCGGGCTGCTCGGCGGTGGCTGCCGTGATGGCAGACACAAGTTGTGTCCGGCCGAGGCAACCGGCCACCAGATGGCCATCGGCATCGGTGCCAACGGCGGGCCCAGCACCACATCTTCCCCTGGCTGCACCCCCTGCCCCTTGCTGCCGATTGGATCCGAATCTGCCCCGCACAGAACGTTCTGTGTCGGTGATCGGGAGTGTGGCGCATGTGGCTTGGCGCGCGACATCAAAACAGCGGATTCTTTGCGCTCTCCTCTCTCTCTTGCCTCTGCCCGCATCTGTCCGTTTCCTTCTCGATCTGCTTCAGTGTGCCAGCAGCGACCACATGCGCATGTCCTGGGACCTCTTCCTCCGGCGCCGGTGAGTACCCTGTCCCGAGATGCGGTCTCCCTCTGCGCTGCACAAACCACAGCAGCAGATCCGAATGATGTTACGTAGAAGGCTTAATTTCATAGTCCCAAGGCCCCTCGGGGCCGGGGACCATGCCTGAAACACATATTTTACGACCTGACAATCGCGCCCTGTGCTTTGGTGCCGATCGGGCCGCTTTGGCAAGCGCGGAGAGCATGCTGACTGACCGAGGCCTGCCGTATCATTCGTTCCATGCAGACCCCAACGATCAGCTCGCCGTTTGGCAGCTCGCCGAAGGACGCAGCACCACTATCCGGTCCACATGTGATCGCGATGCTGGTCATCCTCGGTCATGCTGAGAGATGCCGAGGAGCGAGGAGAGAGCAGCTGCAGAGCCAGCTGGTGTGAGCAGGGCGAAGAGAATCAGACGATCTGAGCTTGCCGGTCGCTGCAGCGGCCAGACAGATGGGGGCGGGATGTGGATCAGATGCGGCGAGGTTATTTCGGTCGATCCAATAAAAAACGGGACACCCAGGTTTTGACCATTGATCGAATATTTTGTTACCCAATGTTATCGCGCGCTGGCCATGACCATTCGCCACACATCCGACTTTCGCACCGCCGCATTGCGATGCTACGCCCTCATCCATAGCCTGCGTAAGGTCGCCTCCATATTCAGTGTATCCAAGAGCACCATCCATCGATGGCACCGAGGATGCAAGCTGGATGACCCATCCCGGGTCCCAGCTCGCAGATCCACTTTCTTTGAGCAGGCATGTCCAGTCATTCGCACCCTGATTGAACAGGACCCGTTCCAGACTGGTCCTGTGTTGCGGTGCAAGCTCGAGTCCATCCTCCAGAGGAAAGTATCACTCTCACTCTGCCACACTGCCATCCACCGAGCAGGTCTCTCACACAAGAGGGCAACACACCTCTACAAGTCCAAGCGACTGGATGAGCGAGTGGCACAGTTCAGGGACCAGGCCTGCTCCATCGACCCGCGGTGATTCGTTTTTGTCGACGAGACAGGGATCAGGAGATCCATTTTCCCTCTTTACGGATACTCACCGAAGGGTGCTCCGCTTCGCCAGCGCAATCACATGAAACGCAAGTCTGTCTCGGCTGCATTTGCAATCAACCACTCTGGTGTGCTGCATCGCATGTACATCTCCACATCATTCAAGACACACTCGATGGTCGAGTTCTTTGAGCGAGCGACCTTCCCAGACGACTCTGTGGTTGTGATGGACAATGTCAGCATGCACAAGACAATGGCTGTCCTGGACTGCATCGAGCGCCGAGGATGGTCAGTGATCTTCACCCCACCTGCTTCACCCGACTTCAATCCCATCGAGAACTTCTTTGGGATTGTGAAGCACCAGTACAGGAAGGTGGCAGCGCTGAATGCGTCCGAGGGGTTCAGAGTCGGGATGGTGACCCTGTTTGAGTCTGCCGTGCGGAGGGTGCTTCCAGATGTCTTCCCACGGCTGATTGAGCGAGCGATGCGCTTCTGGGGTTGAGTTCCCTCCAATCAAGCCGCCATTTTCGCGTTCACATCCCTGGCTTGAACCTCTCGGCGATTTTTGAACAGGTCGCTTCCCCAACCAGCCCGCAAAGACGGGCTCCTGCTCTCGGGTATAAATGCCGCACCTTCGTCCTGCTGCTTTCTTCCATCATCTCGCCTTGATCTGATCATCGCGCTATTGTACGATAAAAAAAGTCTCTGCTCTGACCAGTACCACTGGCAGGCATCCAGCATTCTCTGCCCCCATGCCTCCGAAGCGTAAGGGTACCGGTGATGGCCAGCCTCGGCCACCCAGGCCCAAGAAAGCCAAGTCACAGTCGGAGCCTGTCTCTGGTTCGTATTCTGATCTCACGCATGCTTGGTCGTCTGTTGCTCCGTCGCTCACCACCACTGCTTCTGCAGATCCAATGGATGTCGATCCCACCGAGCCTGGTCCCTCATCTGGTCCTGTCAAGCGATGTCGCCAGTGCGATGGCACCGACCAGGAGCGAAGCAACACCAACAAGTGTCCCAAATACCGGCCCCTCAAGAGTTCTGTCGTCCCACTCGTGGATGGAAGGTCATCCGCCCCTCAGTTCAGCTGCTTCAAGCAGACGATGGATGGCTGTTGTCTCAATCCCGCTCTCCGCGACAAGATCCAGGCCACCGTCGAGACCATGACCCAGATCCAGTTCGAGGCATCCAGGCTGCTCAACCTGCACATCCTCCGGTGCATCGAGCAGGATCTTCCCGTCCCTGTCATCTCCAAGTCCACCCCTGCTTTCATCCGCCAATGCTTCACGATTGTCGAGGACGGTGCCCTCTCCCCGACCGGGGACAATGAGAAATACAACGAGCATCTGGTCGCTTCCTTTCGCGACTACCAGACCACTCGGCACGCAGACCTGCCTCCGGCCCCTCGTCTGCCTGATGGTGCTCACAGTCAGCTTCTCACTCTCGCTGTCAATGCCTATGCCACCAACTGCACCACCCACCTCAACCTGGCCTACTGGCGACTCCTTCGCCGCTTCTGTGCTGCCGTCTTCCCAGCCAACAAGCACAAGCACGAAGCCATCGAGGCTTGTCTCGAGCTCTTCGAGAAACCAGGGCAGACTCCACCCAAGGCCGATCTCGAGTTCCTCTATCCAGACTTTGGCCACGTCCTGGACGAGTTTCGGTACAGCAGCGACCAGGACCGCTTCCGGGCCCTCCATCGCCTCTCACACCATGTGAGAATCCTCGCCCGAGACAAGATGGTCGACAATGTCCACAAGTGGATCGACTGTGACATGCCCGCCCTCCGAGTCACTGAGCTGCAGCGCCAGGCCAAGCTGGACGAGCTCACTGCCAGAGGCATCCCCTCCGACGACAAGAGGTTCACCACGGCCAAGTCTGAGCTCGGCACCACCAAGGCCAAGATCAACAAGCTGGCATCCAGGATCAAGTGGGCCCTCAAGCAGCTCGCTCTGGACACTCCTCCGGCCGTGTGCACGATAGTTCCTCCATGCACTGCAAGGGCCAAGTATGTCAAGATTGACACGGTCACTCTCTGGGAGCTCCTGGGTCCAAAGAAGCGCCTTGGACTCACCAGGGACAAGCTCAAGGATGAAGGTGATGACGGCATCAACAACCAGGATCGTTTCTGGCGCAGTTGCTTCAAGCTGCGTAGTTCCCTCTTCCAAGAGCGGGACGTGAACAAGAAGCTGTTCAACTACGAGATCAGCACCGATGGCATTGGATGCACCATCGGCCTCATCAAGTTTGTGCGTCGAACCGATCACACCGAGACCATCGAGCCTCCTCCGACTTCCGAGCAGCGCATCCAGGCCCACATCGGCGACCCAGACCCCAACCGCACCACTTGGATTGGCATCGATCCTGGAGTCGGCTCCATCTTCACGGCGGTCATCCAAGCACTGGGCCACCAAGACGAGGTGGTCTCATTCTCCAATGGCCACTACCAGCACATGTGTGGCCACAAGTCCAACACAAGGTGGCACAACACCATGAAGTATCGACTCAGCATCGAGACCTGGATGTCGACCACCCCCTCGCCCAAGGTGTCGTCCTCGGAGGCCTTCCTTGTCCATCTCACCCATGTCCTGCGACCGGAGCTGCGAGTGCAGCTCGACTTCCACCTTGGCAAGAAGGCCCGTCACCATCGCTTCATGGGCCACAAGAGGCGCCAAGTGGCCGTCGACAGGATGTGCAAGGCCGTCCTGAAGCACGCCCCGATACGGACCGATGTGGTGATCGCCTTTGGCAATGCGTCATGGCGACAGGGCAAGGGCTATGCATCCAGCCCTCGGAGGCAGCGGTTTGCTCGGTACTTTGAGCAATTCGAGCACCACCGACGCCGTCCCAATCACCCTCATGGAAGCGTCAAGGTAGTCTCGACGAACGAGTTCAACACCTCGCAAGTGTGCTCCAAGTGCCTGGAGCCAGTTCGGTTGGAAGGACTCGATGCGCCCAGTGTTGCGAATTCCCACTTTGTCAGGAGCTGCAAGAATCCCAGCTGCCGGACAGTGTGGAATCGCGACGTCAATGCGGCGCGCAACATGATCACAGTATGCAGGTCGATTGTGGAGATCGGAGAGCGACCGGCGGTCTTCACTCGGAGGCTGCCAAAGTGATCTGTTTTATTTCTTGTGGCTTTGCTTGACGCAAGCACAGCACATACTACATGTTCATGGAAACGGCTATGTTGTCCCGTTTTTTTCTGAATAAAGTGTATTTCGGTCGAAAGCCGTCTCGGATCGGTGTGGGGCAGGTGGGGACCGATGGATTCTCGGTGGCGTCGTGCCCCACACCAGGGCCCCAAAGGGTCCAGCGCCTTGCCAAGCCAGACGCAGCGCCGCTCCTCGGTCTCCTCTTGGCCCCCATCTGCACTTCCATCTCCCGCTCGCCCTCTCCCATCCTTACTTTCGTCAACCGCCGCTGCTATCGCCATGGGCAAAAAGGTTCTGTTCATCGTTGGCGACTTTGTCGAAGACTACGAGGCCATGGTCCCCCGCCAGATCTGCGAGGTCTTTGATATCCAGGTCGATGTCGTTGCCCCCTGCAAGAAGCCCGGCGAGACCGTTGCCAGCGCCGTCCACGACTTTGAGGGCTTCCAGACCTACACCGAGAAGCGGGGCCACAACATCGCCATCAACGCTGACTTCCACTCCATCGACACCGCCGACTACGACGGCCTCTACATCCCTGGCGGCCGTGCGCCCGAGTTCCTGAGCCTCAACCCGCGCGTCCTGGCCATCGTCAAGGAGTTTTCGGACAGCCGCAAGCCCATCGCTGCCATCTGCCACGGCGGCCTCGTCCTGGCTGCCGCCGGGGTGATCAACGCCAAGAAGGCGTGCTTCTACCCGGCCACCATGCCCATGATGACGCTGGCTGGCTGCACTGCCGTCGACGCCAACGAGACGGCCTCGAACGCTGTCGTCGATGGCCACCTCGTTACCGCCCCCGCGTGGCCCGCCCACCCCGCCATGATGAAGGAGTTCCTCCGCCTTCTGGGTGCCCACTTTTGATCGGTTGAGCCTCTGACCGCTGTTGTTGGTGGTGTTCTCGCTTCTCACTTGTGCTGCGATGTGAATACAGTTCATTTGAATGGATCGCTGGAAACAGACATCGCTCGGATATGGCGCCATACTGATCGGACGGTCAGGACCCTGGCCAAGGCGGTCCCGGTACGGGAGATCGTGTGGGCGTTCCTGGCATTTTGATATCGCTGTTCTGCGCCGACGCCCTGTTTCATTTGGCGGACGCTGTGCGATACGTGGCAGCGCATGGCGTTGGGTGTTTTGCAGTATGTGGTCGTGGTGCATTAGCAGATTATCGGAAAGTCGATTCGTCCAATACCCTCAAGCAGTGACTGTCGGCGAACATCATACCTCGATCTAATGTTGCTGGCTCTGACTTTGATTGTGCAGCGAAGGTGGCTAGCTCCTCTTCCCCGGGGAGATGCACTGCCGCTGTTCGTAACGCATTGTGTTGGCAGATGCCCGAATCGACAGGGTCGCTGTCTAGAAGTCCTGGTAGTTGCAGATTCTGATGCAATCCTGCCCGTCTCTATTGCTCTGGTCGGCGGATCTGCGGTACCACTCAATTGCCTTGGTGCGGTTATGGGAGACACCTGCTCCCCACTCATAGCAATATCCGATCCATCGCTGCCCGTATGAGTTGCCCTGCCCTGCTGCCTTGCTGGACCACTCGAACGCCTTCGCCTTGTCGACCGATACTCCAAGGCCATCAAAGTAGCACTTTCCCGTCCAGAACTGGCTGTCACTGTGCCCTTGGTTGGCGAGCTCTTCGAAAATCCCAAACGCCGTCGCTTCGTTTCTGCTCCTTCCAAACCCGTTGATCATGCAGACTGCGACGAGATGCTTGCATAACCAGTCGCGCTCCGAGCCATATTCACACAGCTTCAAGAACTTGCGGGCTGCCAGGGTGTCGGAGCCAAACGAGGATCTCTTTGCAGCCAAAACGACGTCCGGATCCAGGGGGAATTCGTCCGAGGTACCCTCCTGCATCAGCCGGGCTCCCTTGCGCCAGTCCTTCTTTGTGCCCCGGCCGAGGTAGTGCATCCAGCCGAGCATGTGCAAGGCGATAGACCTGTGGGTAGTACCGGCGGACCTGTCCCGGACTTGCTGCCAAAGGCTAACAGCATCGACGTCGCTTTGCGGAACACCCCAGCCCGCCAGAGCGAACCAGGCTCTCAGAAACGCAATCGCGGTCCGGGCACCCTCGTCACCTTGAGCGGCAGCCTCGGCATACCATCCGACGGCCTTGTCGTAATCTTGGTCGACCCCATATCCGTCTTCATGGCAGCGGCCGAGGGCGATCTGGGCGGGTGCGAATCCTTGGTTCGCAATTCCATGGTACAGCTGGACGGCCTTGGTGTGGAAATTCCATAGCCGTAGTAGAGGCATTGGGCCAGGTAGTACTGCGCCCGGGAATGGCCAGCATCCGTAGCCTTCTCCAGATAATAGATGACTTGTTCCCATCCTGTGGACTGGGTCGGTTGGCCCTCGGGCATGCTTCCGTGCTGCTCCGGCTCCGGAAGCCCATTCAAGAGCCCATTCAGAAGAACAAGGGCCAGGAAAAACGACACGACGACATCTCCTTGCTCGGCCCGCGAAACAAGCCAGGAGAGATCGTTGACAGCCTGGTCGCTGAAGCAGCGCGAGACGAAGCACATTTCGCTGGCGCTGACGAGATGCGGCAGAGGCCCTCCTTGGCGATGCAAAAGCCCGACACCCCGGCACCAGCGCCGGAAGCGGTTCAGCTTGGAATTCAAGGCGCCTCGGGCGTCTCGACAGAGCAGAAGCAACTGTGCGATTTCTTCGAGGGTGAGCGAGAGGGAGAAGCGTTCGTTGGAGAAGATGATGGCGATCATGCCGAGACCGTTGAGTCCGCAGACCTTGCCCATCCGATCGACGGTTGAGTTGTCGTTGCCGGTTGGGGTGTTCATAGCAGGATTGGAGCAGGAGTCAGCAGGGCTGCCAACGGAGGATGAAGCGAGACAGGGCCAGCTGACCGAATGGGGTTATATCGTGCCTGAAACAAGCGGTCGGGTACATTGGTGGGCGGAAATGAAGGGGATGGTATCCAGTTGGGTTTGAAAGGCAGGACATGCAATCGACCCAGGTGAATGTCCCGCGGGCTGTCGCGATGATGCGGCCACGTCGGCTGGGGTATCAGGCCGCACCGGCAAATCCATTGGCCTGCTTGCCGCAAGATGGGCGCAAGTCCTTGGCAAGAAGGCAAACCCAACCGAGAGGCGACCTCATTGGTGGCCAATCGACACAGGCCGATAAACCAGGGAACCTTGACCCTCAACAGTGTGTCTGGGGTGCGCCCCTGCCATCGGCGTCGCTGGTGCTCGTTTGGGGTGATTGTTTGGGAGCCGATGATGCTGGGCGGTTGGGGGAATCAGGTTCGTCGTGTGGTATCCGTGTGGCCAATGCGGCACCGATGAAGAGCCCAATGTGCTGTATCAGATCCGCTATTTGATCCAGCCAGAGCTCGGAGGTCCATGGTATCACACCATGACTGAGCCCGAACATATCTGTGCTGTGGGCACATGATGGTCGACGGTGTCGTGCTCGATACATGTCATTGTCAATCCGATGAGATCAAGTCCGACTCGTTTCTTCAAGGACAGAGGTGTCAGGTTGTGGTCGAGTGAGAGCTGTGTGATATGGGTTGAAGGATGGACACTGGCAGCCATGTTGGTTGAGGTATGCGGCGGACTGGGGTGTGATGAGAGTTGCAATGTCCAGGCGATGAGACGAGATGGGTGGAATGAGCGAGTGGCACAGTCACCAAACCAGGAACATTCCATCCATGGATCGAGCGCCAGTCAATTACTGCTTGTCATTCACATTCCCACACATCCAGCACCCATTCATTGCCACCATCGGTTTCATTATTTTTATATTTCGATTGAAAGCTATCAAGGTCTGGTCGGCTCTAGCAGTATATGTTGGAGGAAAGGGAGGCAGTGATGAACCTATCGAGCAGTCTGGGGGAGATGAGAGCCGTCATCCCTCGCTCTCGCTCTGCATCATCCGGGTGTCCAGGGAAGGCACCGAGGGTCCACCTTACCATCATATTGTGATAATATCGATCTCTCTTGGGCCCTCGCTCGGCCCACAGTCCCGACATGGTCGTCGTCACGGTGCGGGCCAAAGTCAGTTCCTTTGTCCTGTCGAAGCCTTGCGCGTCATCGATGTGAATCTGCAGCTTGACTGGTGGTCCTGGGAGCTGGTAGTAGCCATTCCTGAACAGCTCCTTCATCGGGTAGTCCGGCTGGCACTGCTCTTTCAGCACGATCAGCTGCCGCCAGTACTCGTCGAGGTAGAACTGGGAGCCGAGGGATGCGTCCATCAGGCTGGGCTGGGTGCGGGAATATCTCAGCACCAGCGAGACCATCTTGTCGTTGTGGTCCAGACGGTCTTCCCAGACGGCTCGGTGCTGGAGGGCCAGCTGCTTGAGGCGGTTGGGCAGGGTGATGAGTCCGCATCCGAGGTGCATCGCTCCATAGGATGTGTTCCGCACCACTCTGAAGAGTCGGGTCAGACAGTGCATCTGTGCTCGTCTGAGTATCACGGCTTGCTGTTTCGTGAGCACTTCGAGGGTCAGTCCATACTCGAGCATGGGCCGAACGAAGGTCTTGAACACAAAGATCTTGTCCAGGATCAACTGTGCGAAGCTCCACATCAAAGCTTCGTGGTACTGTGGTGGCAATGACAGTGGAAGGGACACTCAATATATTTGAAAGTGCAGAACAAAGTGAGGCGGCCTTTACATGCACAGCACAGAGTCGATCAGACTCAGTCGTGAACTGCGGAAGTGGACTGAGACTGGGCGCAAATGTGATGGAGCATGTTCTTGGGGATTTTAAAGCCTTGGCTTTCAGAAAGAAGGTCACATCAGATGATCAAGTGGAATGGAAAGCGCAGATGCCAGCCGTGCTGTAAAGTGCTGGAGTGAAAGCAGGTGCAAGCATGTCAAGTTGCCGATGGGCAGAGCCAATGAGAGATAGGGGTCGATGAAAGAAGAGGCAGCGATGTCATATGTGGCCATGAATTCCAGCCATCAAGTCGGACAGCATTGTCTCGGTCCCTCTGGATATCTCAAGACCGATGTTTGCTCGCCCATTAATGGTGATTTCATATGGCATCGGATGTGCAACATCTCTGGTGTGCCGATAATTGCTCTCACCACACAGCACGCCAAGAGGCCAATCATCGTCAGGACCATTCGCAAGTCTCGTATCAGATATCGGGAACACAGACGGCACCAAAGCCTCAAGTATCTCGACTCCTCAAGGGGATTGATATGCAGTTGGATCTCTGTCAATCCGACAACCCAACTAAAGGCAACTTACTGATGCTGTGAAACTCATCACAAGTTCACTCGAATGCCTCAAACACCATTCATTTGCCACAGTCAGTCTTCCTCATCCAGCTCGAGGCAATGATGCTCACTCTTTGATTTCATTGAATCTAATTTATTTACGGGTGGTGATCAAGACAATCCTCCTCAAGATACAGTCACAACAGTAACATCAGGCTATCCTCGATGAAAGGATATACACACATTGATCGAGAGAGTCTCCGCATCTTCATTCTCCTCGGTTGATCCGATGCTGCAGCCCTCCTTCATTTAGCGTCCCACCCTCGAGGATATTGTGTGGTATAGTGATCACCACTAACGAGGCTGATTCCCCTCGATTCTTCTCAATTCCATCTGAGTTCAGATATTGCTTACTCCTGAAACTTTATATTCAGCTCCGAGATCACATATGCCTCAGGGAATGTGCATCGTTTCCACTGCACTGCTGTAGACTTCTGACTGTCAGGATGTTTCTCATGGTTCAGTCCAAGAGGACATTATTTTCAGAGTTCAACTGAGAGGCAGACGTGACATGTGTTGGTAAGACGGAGATGATGATACCTGGAATGTCATCAAGAAAACAGCCGGGCGGTTCGTCACGAGAGTACTTACCGAGATCAACAGGGGTCGATTTGTGAACAGGCAAAGATCGCCTTTGGAGTTCACACTGGATCTTGATCCGCACGGGATCGATTGTGGTGCTTTGAACATGCTCCGCCCATTACGGAACCAGAGCTGCGACTGGGCATTCTCCTGAAGTCTCCAGTTGCCGAGATCGATGGCTGCAAATTGCCCCAGAGGATATCGAATATCCAGTTTAGTTCCTTGATATTGCTCATTCACAAGCTTCCATTCCCATATTTCGTTGTCATTCGTCCTGGAAATCAAGGTGGTATCGTCTCTATATGAAATTGATACATGTGCTTGTGAACCTTCGGTGATCATCTTGCCAGCGTCTGAAAGGAAATTCCAGCGGCGGATCGTGTTGTCATCGGAAGTGGATACAATTTCATGGCCGGAAGGGCTGATATCGATTGAATACACCCCGCGGCTGTGACCATAGAGATTTCGACTTTTGTCCTTGGACATATCGTAGACTTTGATGATGGTGTCATCCGCGGCCGATACCATCTGCTGACCGTCCGGAGTCAGGGCGACGGATCTGACGCTGCCAGCGTGCCCAGACAAATACTGGTGCAGAGTCAGATCTCGCTTCCATATGATGACGTCGTTGTGGGATATTCGCACGACTATATAGCAACCATCTTCGGATACAATAATTGATCTTATGTTTCCTTTATGATTCAGATCTTTTCCAACTTGCTTCATATCACCGACATTCCACTTTCGGAGCTTCTTGTCGACAGAGCCGGTGACAAATTCCTTCCCATCGGGTAAGATGGCAACAGACGTTATAAGGTTGTCGACCTGGATGACCTTTGCATTGCGATTTTTCAAATCGACTTGTGTGATACTCTCGCGAGAGCCAATAATGAGGAAGCTTGCGTCTCGAGCAATGTCGATTGCCGTGTTGTTGTGAGTGGTGCTTGTGAAGAGAGCCGTGGTGCTCGGAAGCTTCCAAACTTGCACAACACCGTCGCTGCGAAGAACGGCGAGAGTTTGTCCACCTTTCGAGAGCGTGATTCGCTTCGCATAGGCATTGATGACAGGAATACTCAAATACTCAGTGAAGTTCGAGACTTCCCACATCTTGATGGTACAATCCTTGGAGCCCGTGGCGATGGAACGGCCATCGGCCGATATTGCAATAGTGGTGACGTCATCTGTGTGGCCATACAGCCTCGCAATATTCTCACCCGTAGCAGTGTTCCAAATCGAGGGGGACTTGTCTTTGGATTCGGTGACCATGATGTCCCCACTGACGGAATAAAGCGCCCAGTGGAACCAGAAACGATATGATTCGAGTGGGACAAGAAGCTGTCCATACTGATCCCAAACTCTTGATTCCGCGAATTCTGATCCAGATCGAGGGCCTCCTTCTGGTTTGATCTCGTTTGGATTGATGAACTGAGAGTGTCCTCTGATGATTCGGGGCATTTCCGAGTTTCTGTTTCTCACCATAATGCATCCATCAAAGGCGCCCGAGGCAATAACTTCGCCGTCATTAGATATGGCTACCGATGCCACCCCATCTTCGTGGCTCCAGAGCGATTCGACGAAGCTTCCGTCATCGGCTCTCCATTTCCGGACAGTATTATCGCTTGAGCCTGAAACGATGAATCTTTTGTTTTTCGATAGACACACCGACATCACCATCATTGAATGCGTGTGTGGGTCTCGTTCGGGATGGGGGACAGTGAGATCCCATATTTTGATTTCACCAGGCTGGTTGTGGAATCCTGAGCCTGAGACTGCAAATCGGCCATTCTGGGATATGGCGACGGCCCTGACATTCTG